AACCAGTAATATAGAACTCCAAAAGCTGATGATGCTAATATGCCACACAACCAATCCCAAGCGCCAGCTAATGCATGTTCCAAAGCAAGTAATACGCTCATCAATATTAGAAGGACTGTGGTGTGTATATGCCAAAATGAAATAGGCGTCTATAGAGAAGGATCGTTCCGGACACCCGAGCCAGCGCGTGTGAATATGCAATCGTGGCGATGCTCCGACCTAAGTCAGACGAGCAGGTCCTGGTACATGCAGCAATGCCACATGGTTGCAGGGCGTAATATGGAGGCTTGTAATCCAAGGCTGAACTGGTGTCGAATCGTTCTTCGAAGACAAGCTTAGTCTGCTTTTAACCGGAAATCATGGTCGATGTTAGGTGAGTGACAGGGACTTGTTCTGAGTCTGAGGCACGTAGTGCGTCGAAGATCAGATCGTACTGGATGCTGCAGATGCACTGCATGATGGCGGCATACCAGGCGGCAATGTGCGGGTCGATGTCGGATGGTAGAGTATTAAGGTGGAGTGCGCTGATGGATCTTCGGATAAGAGTGCGGAGTGAATATCGATGTTGAAATGCGCCAAAGCCAAGTGTAGGTCGAACAGGACAAACGTGGTTGGATAGACTTGATGTCCATGTCTATTTCGATGGGACAGGAGGAAGCGGGCGGGTTGGTGGTGGGCCAGGGCAGGGTGGGAGGTTCTGCGATGCCATGTTGGACTCGTCGTAGATGATGGCGGCCATTGTGTTGAGTTGAAGGTTGAGCTGTTAGGCTGGTGTTGAGCGGAAGTGTTGAGTAGGTTGTTGGAGTATTGGATGGATGATGATGTTGTTGTTGTAGTCGTGGTAGGCTGTAGAGATATACTCTTTATGTTGTAGTCTTCGGCTCTGGATGATGAAACGAACTCTCCGATGGTGGGGGGTCAACGTATTTATGTTTGTGCTCAGATTGCAGACCCCCAAAATGTCGGTCAGCTACGTACTCTGACGATGTGTGTAATAATGCTAGGCAGGGCATGGCACGGCCCAAGCGGTGAAAGAGGCGTTGGGCTGATGAGCAGGAAAGGGGTGGCTCCTGGCTGGTGCATAAGCTAAAGCACGCCGAAACATCGCTAATCCTGGTCACTTAATGAGCAGGGGGGAGAAGAAACACGAACTTGCGCGTTACCGCCTTGTCGTTTCATCGGCCTCGTGACAGCGTGAAGATCGTGTTGATCCAATCCTGTCGCAGTATTGTTGCCGTCGCGGCATGTCGTTCGTACAACGCATCATCCTCCAGGCAAGGCAGCAGGCCCAGCGAGGCATGATTGACCCACGGGAAGTGTCTTCACAAATCTGACATCACCTATTCCCTGACATTACCGGGTTTTTACTAGCAGACATGGCTAGTGCGAACGGTCGTGATGAATGAAACGTAGTCCTCCTTTTCACCTATACGGTGCGCAGGGCTGGGATCAGTCGCCGCCTTGAGGCCGCTTGCAAGAGGGTTTGCTTGCGAGCACTTCAGGAACAGGCATCGCTCGGTTCCAGCAGCCGTGCGCGCCAGGAGCAAATTCTGACACATTGACAGTAAATTTCCGTCACACAATTTGCGACGTCGCCTATTTGCCAACGTCGGACACCCACCGACCTCCAGCGCAGGACGAAGATCTAGCGCCTATGCCGACCTTCTCCCGTGCTTCTTTGGCGCTTCTACCCAATTTCGAAGCCCCCTAGAATTTTCCGCTCCACAATGTCCACAGTTGCTCGCGCCCGTGCTGGCGGTGTGAGGTCAAGGCATGACTTTGCTCTTGTTACCCTGAATCAGCTGGCCGGGGTATACACGTTTGTTCGTGGGCAACTAGGCTGAGAATGCAAAGCACCTCACAAAGGTATGTCATGATTATTTTTGTCATTTTGGTTTGCCGTCTTCGTGCGACTCGTATTAATCCTGGCTCGCGTTTGTGTCCGAGGTAGGAGTAGCTGCCGACGCCCAGTGTGCCCTGTTTCTCAAAGAGTTCCGGCGACCACAACTGGCTGGCAGTGGCTGCTCGATAAAGGTTATCATGGATGTTCGGCTAATCCGGAAGGAGAGAGTTGAACGGGCGCCATGCAGCTACTTGGCGCAGTAGTCAACCATTCCAAAGAGACGGACAGAGCACCGCATGTCGCATGTCGCATGTGGTCAAACTCCACGTGGACTTGACAGGGTTTACGTCTGACTTCAGATAGGCGTCTGTTTGATTGACATTCGCAATATGCATTCCTTTCCCCCTGCAACTTGCCATATGAAAATCACGATTATCGAGGTGTTTACAGGACCCTGACAGCCTGTGCGCAACAAGCAAAAGGATTTCCTATGCCCACCAGGAGAGGTCTCCAGCAATGTGTTCATCGTTGGCAGTAAGCGATCACATTTACAGGGGCAGTTCGTGCGTCAAAGCTTAACGCAGAAAGTATCGTCCTCACCATCGCCACCCCCTTCGGTAGTTCAGTAGTCCAGTCTCGACGCTTCCACAGAGCTGCCGTTTCAGCACAGTGGGGAAGGATTGCGCAGGTGTTACAGTCCAATGCGAAAGACATCGTGACATGCCACAGCATCAAAAATCTGGTCCCAGCAAAAGACGTTTAAGGCTGACAAGCGTTCCAACCAACTGGCCACCGCGGAGAAGCGAGAAAAGACCGAGCGTTAGCCTGTCTGCCGTTAATTGACAGGTAATCAGATTGAAGCCACGCTTTCCTAGATGGTCCCTTGGTGCTGCAGGAACGGCTGTCTACCACGTAAAATTAACGGCGCTTTTGGCTGACATACTTTTCAGCTGAGGCTGCTTGAATCAATAAGCCTCTCATGATTTCCATGCAGGCTTGCTTCCAGCAACAATCACGATGTCCGCGTCGGCGCAAAAAAGTACGCAGTATTGGTATTGAACTCTATCCACCGGCTCCGCGTTCGTCGTGGTGGCTAGCCGATCACAACGTCATTATAGAATGAGTTGTCGATTCTGGCGTAATTTGGCAGCCATGGTCCGATACCGATGATTAGGCTGATCGTCATCAGCAGATCAATAGCTTGGTGTGGAGAAGGTTATTGAGGCACACTGCTGCAGGTACGCGCAACATGTCGCGGCGCCGCTACTGCACTTTATGTGGCTCACGCGCCTTTTTTTTTCTTTTCGGGCGAAAGCGAATATGCTGCGCCACCCATTTTGGGGCCGGCGAGACCGAAGCGCTACTGCTGAAGCACTCAGAGAAGACAAAGACGAGACTTCGGATAGGTTCATGCCGAAGAATGACCGAGTCTACATACGCCAAGGCAGTGGTTCCCCAGTGATGTTTTCGATCAACGACCTGTTTGACGCAAAATTCAGCGTTGCGATCGAGTCCAAAACCCGGTTATAGATGCAGTGACACGTCTAATCGTTCCGAAGAGCCGTCTATCCACCTGTGCGGACAAATCTACCCCTTTTTGTGCTTGGTTTCAGGTTCATTGTCCTCATCAAGTCCCAATTGGGACATTTACCACGTTTGCAGAAAAAATTAAACGTGCACACACAAAATGGTGCGCGAGTACCGTGGCGCATGTCGTACCCGTCTGGGAAAATGGTTCACTAAGGCAGCCACCTCATGCGCAAGGGCTTCCTGAAGGACCGCGCATTTATCCGGTGCAATGGTTCAGGCCCGTTCAGCACAGTGCGTCCACGTGGATGAAGCCTGTCAAGAACTCATCGTGTTCAGGGTCGGCGAATCGTGGCTGGCGTTGTTATTTTTGTCCCCAGTAGCTCGTAGTCGTATCAGTCTGCAGCGAGATCCTACTATCTTGTTTCGACGGCGGTCATGCAGTACGGTGATGCTAATTCTATTCAAACGGCGTCCTCGTCCTCGTCAAGCTGCTCTGCCACAGCTTGTGTCGAAACCCAATTCTCCAGCATAGCCTGGCTTGAAGTTGCACCACTTGCTCCTGCCACATTTCGTACGCCACGGCGCTTAATGACAAGACACAATATACGGCCGTAAATACTGAAGCCATCATATGATGTGTTGAGACCAAGCTTTTTCTTGTCATCCGCCTGTGGCTCATCGTCACTATCCTGGTCTGCATTCTCTGTACGAGCCTTGGTCCGACTTCGCTTGGTGGGCTCAGGCACGAACAAATCCGAACCTTCGCTATCGCTGCGATGACTCAGTGCATCATCCTCATTCTTGCCTCTTCGGTGTCTTTGACGTGCTGAACGCTTAGGCTGCTTTCCAGGCTGGCCAGCTGCGGGGATGTCAGCAAGATTAATGGGCTCATCATCATCTTCCTCTCTGATAACTATCGGATCCACGGCATCTTCATTGATAACGACAGGCTGATCGTTAGTGCCGGTTGTCAGCCAGTTGGTGAGTTTCCCCGAGTTGCTCTGGATGCGGGCCTTGTCCTTGAAGATCTTTTGCTTGGTCAAGACGGAGTGGCGGGAGGATAGGTCCGTCAAAAAGATGGAAACCTCGAAGTCATCTGACGTGAGGTTAGCCGTCTGAGTAAGACTGCAGCATCGATGCGGGGATGCCTGTATTGTGGATACGATATCAAACTTCCATGAAGCTTACCTTCAACGACGACATCCTTCACGCCCTTCTTCTTCGATTTGGCACTGCCTCGGCCTCTACCCCGCTCATTTTCCTCTCGTAGCTTGGGCAGTACAAGCGGTCGTATGGCCTGGATGACGCGTGGTAGTGCTGGGTCATCGCGCTTCAAGAGCCATGCCTCAGCATCAGCGGGTCGGTCAAGGTAGATGCGAACCTCCAAGACAGAATGCTTCGTGATTCGCAAGTACCGTCGAAGTGGTGCCATATTAGCAGACCGGATAATATGATGTTGATGGTGTAAGTGAGTGTATGCAACTGCCAGTTGAGGAATGAGCAATGATGATGCGTGTTCACGTGCGAGCGTTCCGACGCTAGTTCCGATCGGCATGCGCAGAAGTTGGTCGGAAAGTATGCGTTAACACCTGACAAGCACACGACGCACCGCAACACAGCACCAGACATGGTGCTTGAGCTTCATGTATGGGGTCCAGCCTTTGGGCTCCCTTCAATAGAGCCTGAATGCATAGCTACGATCGCCTACTGTCAGCGTGTCGTCCCAAGAGGAGAATGGTCACTGGTCGTAGAGCACAACCCCACAGTTGGCACCACAGGTACAGAATCCATGACCTACCGTGACTAAAGCAGACTCTTACATATACGTAGAGAGCTTACCGATACTCTTCGATGACGATGTCGCAACCGCTTCCGGCTTCGAGGATATTGTCGCATATCTTCGCAACTACCCTACAGTTACCAATGACCTTGATGTCAACTTATCAACTCGGCAGCAGACCGACAGGACTGCGTAGGTACCGATGTACGAATTATAAGTTTTACTCTAACGTATTCGCAGTTTCATCACGTTTCTTCAATCGACAGCAACCCCTCTGATCGATCTATCCCTCTACGTCTCCGCCGAAAACTACAACACTACGACCTCGTCCGCATATACCGCCATTTTACCATGGTATGCCAATTACACCGTTCCTCCGAAACGACGCGACCTCGCTAGAGCTAGGACAGCGCACATGGGGTTGAGTAGTCTGGATGTGGACACCACAGCTGAGGAGGGGTTTGCGCCAGGTCGAGGAACTGCCTCGTCGGAATATGAGGCCGCCAAGCGAGCAGCCGGCATACCTACTGAAAGCCAACCCAATGCCATGAGTATGGGACGTGGAAAGGGACTTGGCGGCCTCTTAGGTGGTCAGGTCTACGCCGCGCGCTTCAGACTTGATGCTCTGTCAGGTGAACTCTTGGATCCATTGTCGGATCTATTGGGGAAACACGACTACCTGTTCCGTGGGGAACAGCCCTCGAGTCTGGATTGCCTTGCCTTCGGGTACTTGTCCTTGCTGTACTACCCGCCAGTGCCCCAGGCATGGCTCAGAGAGACCATCCAAACCAAGTACCCACGCATTGGAGCGTACCTAGGCAGGTTATACAAGGCTCTGTTCCGCAGTGAACAGGTCAATTCTGCAGATGTCTGGTCCGTCTCCACCGGTGCGATGAAGACACCAAGAAGTACATCTCTACCATGGGCAGCAAGGTCAGAAACTTTTGCCTCGAGTACACTATCCGGCGCAAAGGAGATCTTGGGAAATATGCCTGGGTTGTCTTTCCTCGCACGTCGGAACAACGTCGTTGTCTCGGAGCCACTGGTGGTATCAAAGCACATCAAATCTGAGCTTCCATCTCCATTGTTCATCAACACCCTGGTAGGTGTAACAACCGTGCTCGCAGTAGGCTTAGCATCCCTAGCTGTGCACCACCGTCGGTCACCGCGGGAGGGCGAACTTATCTTCTGGGCTTTGCGCCTAACCAATGGCCTCGGCGAAGCTGGGAGTATTCTCAGCATCTTCGCCAATCAGCTTCACGGCGGAGCACTACATTCCCAGTTTTGAGTACGGTGAATCAACAATATACCCTAATGATTTATGCACGGGTTATAGGTGGGCAGCTTTAGACCTTGGGAAAATCAAGGTTCTGTCACTGGCCAATGCTTGCTGTAGCATGACCTAATTTGGAATCAAGAAGATAGTCACTTTCCCACCAGCGTTATCCAAACAGGTCGCGGAACGCCCGGCTTTGAAGTCACACCGTCTTGTGTAACCTCACCACTGCCATGGAGTTGTCGCATTGCGCAAACTTGAGATAGTCGCAAAATGAAAACGCTCGACCCTTAGTAGATACCCAGCATGGTTGTTAAACGACATGAATGGCTGCTTGTAATGGTATATGGAAAGATGATTCCTTGGTAGCGCGGTTGTCATGGCGCCCATGGGTCCCGAAGACAGGCACACACCAACGTCACTCATCCGGAAAGGACATAGCCACTGGCGCCAAATGTTGTGGCCCCAGCCTAGATCAGCGCAAGCAGGGCAACTGCTGCCTAACTGTGTATGAGACGTACCTTATATGTGCGTACAATTCGCAGGCGAGGGTCGCAATTGGAGCATTGAAGTTAAGCAAAATACAAGGATGCCCTACGCTGATCCAGGATTGCCAATGTTGCAGTGTGGAGGATGTGCAAATGATGTGAGGGTAGCGTGCCCGAGAACATGATCGCCGCGGGAAAGTGGGGCTAACCAAGGTCTACGTCATTGAACTCCCCTAAACAAAACCTCCGTCATACTGCGACATCTCTGCGCCTCCCCTATCAACACAACACCTTGAAAAACCTCACACACGACCGCATTCTTCCAATTTACACTCTATACATCACCACAACACCGAAGCCAAGATGCACCGAACGTACAGTATGCGCCAGTCTCGCGCGCCCACGGCGTCGCAGATTCAGAGCCCCCCACCTCCTTCGTCCTCGACCAAGAGCGGACGCTTCTTTGGCAAGGCCAATATTGGTACGTATTTCATATATGCGCTCATTTGTATTCGTCTTCACTCTATTTCGCGCGAAAAGCGAGTGATGACGACTGCGCAATGTCGTCTTAGCACACCGCACGAACAGCGCCTTGTCGCATAATGCAACGACGACACCTACTCCAAGAGTGCATCTTATCGGATGATTACCGGGGTGTTGCAAGTGTGGTTTTCTATGCTATAGTCGCTAACTGCTTGATTCCTATGCAGGCCACACCTTCCGCCATAAGTCTGCCGGTGCCTTCGGACCCGACCTAGCGAAAAAGCTGTCACAGCTTGTAAAGATGGAGAAGAACGTCATGCGTAGCATGGAGCTGGTTTCTAGAGAGCGTATGGAGGTCGCAGTAAGTCTGCACCACCTCTGTGCAACTCTACGTAATACTGACTGGACACAGCAACAACTTTCCATTTGGGGTGAGGCTTGCGACGACGACGTCTCTGATGTCACTGACAAGCTCGGTGTCCTCATTTACGAAATTGGTGAGCTTGAGGACCAGTACGTTGACCGTTACGATCAATACCGTGTCACCATCAAGAGCATTCGCAATATTGAGGCTTCCGTCCAGCCCAGCCGTGACCGTAAGTCAACCACATGCGCGCTACCAGAGCGACGCTTACAATCATATAGGCAAGCAGAAGATCACCGACCAGATCGCTCAGTTGAAGTACAAGGAGCCCAACTCCCCCAAGATTGTTGTCCTCGAACAGGAGCTCGTACGTGCTGAGGCCGAGTCTCTTGTCGCCGAAGCCCAGCTCTCCAACATCACCCGTGAGAAGCTCAAGGCAGCTTTCACATATCAATTCGATGCCATGCGCGAACACTGCGAGAAGCTCGCCATCATTGCCGGCTACGGAAAGCACCTTCTCGAGCTTGTTGATGATACACCGGTCACTCCCGGAGAGACCCGTCAAGCTTACGACGGCTACGAGGCTAGCAAGGCGTAAGTCAATCCTCTTCCCTTCCCCTAAGAGAAACATCTACTGACACACTACAGTATCATCCAAGACTGTGAGGATGCTCTTACCAACTGGGTGTCCCAGAACGCCTCCGTCTCCTCCAAGCTCTCCCAGCGATCGCGCACTCTCTCCAGCGCCGCCGCAACCAGAACCGCAACATGGGTGAGGGTGTCGACCTCTCTGGCCAAGACCAGGCCCTCGATAGGGAATCTGGCCTGTGGATCCCTGCCGCCGAGCACCAGGGCAACGGCTACGACGACCGTGAGGACCTTGATGACGATATTAACTCCACCATCGCTAGTGAGCACCAGCGCGGTCGTGAAGACGAGAGGGTCGTTGCTGCTTAGACGTCCCACTGACAGCTTGAGCAGTGTTCCACTCTCTGTCCACTAATAGTCCGTCTTCGCAAGGACTGACGACTTATACCCCTGATGGAATGAGCGATGACACTGCAGTTTTGGGTTCAATATATCCATTTCATGTGGCTTGGGCTATGTGATGGAAAGTTTTCTGGATGATTAATCTCACTGGAAGCTGAAGTCCAGTTCGCGTATACGGATATCATAACTTTTTGACGATTTTCACGCGCGGTACCTTCATAGGGAACTTGCAGTAATAGTGTAATGAGAATAATATATATGCTTCTCTGGAAAAGTGGGCGACATCTGCAATCCTTGTTATTAAGTTTAGTCCTCTACCACTACTGGATATAATTAGTAGGACGAGCAACTCTTGGGATCGTTTTGATAGGACATGTGTACTTACTCAGTTGACAGTTTCTGAAACCTACCTTTCATCAAGATGACTGTCGTTACTTGTTTTGACTCAAGACGGGTTTTCAACTACGGCATGCACTAACCCGAACCTAGACCTTAAGGTGCCCACAGACAATTACCATATCCAAAAGATACATTCTCAGGGCGGCGCACACGCCGAAGCTCACCATCCATTCTCTGTGCATCCGGCTTCCCCAACATAGACTGCCATCGGTCATTTGCCGACGACCCACTTTCGGCGGGTGAGCAATACCCCGCCTTGCCGGTTTCGCTCGTAGTGCGGGGCAACCAGGATGAATGTCAATGACCGAAGACGGGTCTTTTGCCGGCCCAAGGCATTTTTTTCTGGGGAAGGAGGGTAGTGCGTGACGTCGGGCCAGGTGGAGTGATACCAGAAATGTATGTGGTCGATCTTTTGTCCTTGACGTTTTGACTCAAAACCTCCAACTTCAAGTTCTGCATCTACAACATCGTACTTGAGAAAGAGTCAGGCATTGGCTATAGCGGAAGAAAGAGGAACACGAAGATCTACCACTGCGGTTACAGATCACAATTTGAGCACCAGTGTCCGTCGACGCTTAGCACCAGTATTGATACCGGATACTCTGGAAACATCAAACAACGGAATCCGTTCAAACACCACAACAATGTCATCCAAACCTCAAATCGGCTTCTGTGGCTTAGGCGCCATGGGCATGGGCATGGCAACGCATCTCGTCAAGCAGGGCTACCCCGTAACCGGTTTCGACGTCTACCCACCTTCGCTCGAGAAGTTCAAGGCCGCCGGTGGCACACCATCGTCTTCCCTCTCGGAATCCGCAAAAGACAAGCCTTTCTACATCGTCATGGTCGCTTCGGCTATGCAAGCTCAACCCGCGCTTTTCGACAAAGACGGCATTGTGAATGCGCTGCCGAAGGGAGCTACGCTCTTGCTGTGCTCGACGGTACCCAGTGCGTACGCGAAGAGTGTAGAGAAGGAGCTAGTAGATATCGGCCGGGACGATATCTTCTTCATTGATGCGCCTGTTTCCGGTGGTGCAGGCCGAGCAGCAGATGGCACTTTGTCCATCATGGCCGGTGCCTCATCTGCCGCTTTTGAGCAAGGTCAATGGTTGCTAGCAGAGATGTCCGCGCCTTCCAAGCTCTTCATTGTCGATGGCGGTATTGGCGCTGGTAGCAATATGAAGATGGTTCATCAAGTCCTTGCGGCAGTTCAGATTCTGTCTCTCAGCGAAGCATATGGTTTCGCTGCTAGACTAGGCTTGAACGGCAAGGACGTGTATGATAAGGTGCTGGGTAGTACAGGGTGGAGTTGGATGTTTGAGAATCGTAGTCAGAGGACTTTGAAGGAGGATTACTTTCCAGGAGCGAGTGCTGTGACGATTATCTTGAAGGATACTGTAAGTCGCTCCGCTTTCCTCAAGTCATATATTTTGGAGATACAAAACGACATGACAGTGTACTAATGAGAAATGTAGGGAATCATCACATCCATGTCCCGCAGCGTAGCCTTCCCAGCAACCCTCTGTTCAGCCGCCGAACAAGTATACTTCTCTGCGCTTGACCGCGGTTGGGGCGCTAATGACGATGCCGGCATCGTCCGCCTGTGGACCTCTGAACCTGTCACGAGCATCCAAAGCAATCTCTCAACCGAGGACAAAGAAGCTAAACTCCAGCTTGTCGTTGATCTCCTAACTGGCATCCACCTGGTATCTGCCGCTGAAGCCATTTCCCTAGCCAAACACGTCGGTATTCCATTGGCGCAGTTCTACGAATTGGCATGTGATGCTGCGGGTGGAAGTAGTATGTTCAAAGATGCGGGCGCGAAGATGATTGCAGTGTTAGAAGGCAAAGAGGATGGCAAAGGGAAGGCGCTTGGAGGGTATGTGGAGAAGCTGAGGCAAGCTGTTGACGAGGCGCAGGCGATCAAGTGCCCTGTGTATCTTGGTACTGGCGCGTTGAACCTTTTGTTGCAGACGGGGAGTGAACTGAGTTTGGGTTCGTTGCTCAAGTGCTATATGCCGTAGATCTTGGAGAAGAACTGCGCAACCGAGCGATACTATTGAATTGTTTGCGAGATCAATTGGACAGAGTATCTATATCTACCCCTTTGTAGTAATAGTGATAGTGCCCACCTCTAAGCCTTCTGCCCTGGCAGTGACTGTCAACGAACCTGGTTGTCCCTTCTTTGCCTTCACAATAGCCAATGCTAGTCCGTTAAATGCATCTCTCTGCAGAGATGGGAAAGGAGTGAAGTCCGCTTCGAACCCGTTGTCTGTTGCGAAAATCTCCCCTGGCCCTTCGATCGCATAGTCAACGGTATGATGTGCATTGCGCACGACATCGCCATTGTTATCCAAAACCTCCAACGTGACGAAAGAAAGGTCCAGACCATCAGCTATAATCTCATCTCGATCGGCCGTGAGCCGCAGCGCAGTCGCAGGCCCATTTGTCTTCACACTCTCCGTCGCCCATTCCTCTCCACCTTTGTACGTTACTACCTTGACCTCACCAGGCTGATACACAATCTCATCCCATCTAACCCTGTACTGTGATACACCCAGCCTCTTTCTCCCCTGAGATACACCATTAACCCACAACTCAGCCTCTTCAGCATTCGTAAATACATGCACAGGCGTCACCATACCCACTCTCTCCGGCCAATTCCAATGCTGCGGTACTACATGCGCGATCCTAAGATCTGGCCGCCATCTCGCCTGATACAGATAGTACCGATCCTTTGGAAACCCAGCAAGGTCAATGACACCGAAATACGAACTGCGAGCATCGTAGTACGGCTCCGGCTCGCCTAGGTAGTCCCAGCCAGACCACACGAATTCACCCGCGACCATGGGATTCGCGTCTTGCGCGGCGAAGACTTTGTCAGCTGAGGAGCCAAAGTTTGCGGTGTGGAGTTCGTATGCGGATACGTAGTAGAGAGACGAGTTTCCGCCACCATTTGTGTCGTTTACTGGGGCACTGTTGAGATCTGTGACGGGGAAGAGGTAGGTACCTCGTGAGCTTAGTGCAGCGGCAGATTCGCTTTCCGCGATCAGCTTGTCGGGGAAGGCATCGTGGAAGGGTTTGTACTGTGGCGGGGTCCGCGTGCCGTTTGTGAATGAGTACTGAGGTGTATCGCGGATACCTTCACCCTGGTAGTTCAAGCTGAGGATGTCGAAGGCCTCGGGGAATGTCATGTTTGGTTTCGCTACGTTCATGGATGCTGTAACGGGTCGGGTAAAATCTTCAGATTTGACAATGTCGTTTAGTAGGCGACCTATCTCGTAGCCTCGGTCTCCGCAACATGTTTGCTCGCCAACTTCGTTGCCTACGCTCCAGGAGTAAATGGAAGGATGGTTGCGGTCTCTTCGAATGAAGGAGCGAAGATCTGCTTCGTGCCACTCCGGGAAAATGAGGTGGAAGTCGTTGTCTGTCTTTTTTCGTTCCCAACTGTCGAAGATTTCATCCATGACTACGAAACCCATGCTATCAGTCATCTCGAGGAGCTCTGGTGCTGGCGGATTGTGTGCCATGCGGATAGCGTTCACTCCGAGTTCTCGTAGAGCCTCCAGTTGGCGTTTAGCTGCACGATCGTTCCATGCACTACCTAGTGCCCCAAGGTCATGGCAGTGTTGGTTTACGCCTTGTATCCGTAGGTGCTCTCCGTTGACGGAAAGTCCTTCACCACTATAGGTAAAAGAACGAATACCGAAATGCGTCTCATACGTGTCGACTGGAGCGCTACTATCGCGGCTCAATAGGCTAGTAACAGCGACGTACATATTCGGCTTTTGGTTTGGCGGAGGTCCCCACAGTTGAGGATCTTCGATCGTGACTGTAGTATTCACGGAGCTTTTGCTTCCAGATAGCATTAGACTCATCCTAGGAAATTCTGCCACCTTCTCTCCTATCTTTTTTGCCTTTGCGTCGTAAATATGTACGTTAGTGGCAACTTCAACCTCTTGGCTCGCATTGCTTTTGGTTTCCACCTGGACCGCAATGTCGATGGTCGCAGACTCTGTACCCACGTCTCGGGTCGTGACATAAACTCCCCAGTTTGCAACATGAACCGGCTGGACCTTCGTCAACCAAACATTTCGGTAAAGGCCAGCACCTGGGTACCATCTCGAAGAGTCCACAGGATTGTCGAGCCGGATTACTAGCTGGTTGTCGTTGCCTGACTGTATATAAGTCGTGAGATCAAGACGAAACGAGTTGTATCCATACGGCCAGCCGCCCACCAAATGACCATTGAGCCATACCATAGCGTATGACATTGCACCATCGACATCAAGGTAGATAACCTTTCCTGCATCTTCATCCGTCATAAGTAGCTTCCTTCGATAATATCCTACTCCTTGCGATGGCAGTCTTGCCATTCCACCTGTAATAGGAGTTGGATCTCCGACGTAGTAGGGCCCCTTGATGGCCCAATCGTGCGGTAATGTAACATCTTCCCATGAACTGTCATCGAAGGAGGGTTGCACGTACGGTATATTGACAACAGGGCTATTGGAAGGGGCTTCATAGTGTTTCGTCGCATCGTCTATGAACTCGTTGGCGCTTGGGAGGATCCATGGTCTTAAGTATGTGACGTTCTCTTGAGGCGTGTCGGTGCGGTTGTCGTAGGTGATTCCATCCGGATTGTTCTCAGATCGCCAAAACCGCCAGTCTGTATTGATACTCACACGTTCACGACCGGTAGATGATGTATCGTAGTTTCGTGTTTGTACAGCATATGCTCCTGCTAAATCGCTGTAGAGGGATAAGAACCCTAAGCAAATAAGCCTAGTAGCCATGCTAGACAATGACGAAGCTGTGTTCGCCTTGTAAGCCATCAGCTATGCCCCACGTTCTTATAGTTTCTTTGACAGCGTAATGGCCGACTACTGCAAAGAGAGCTGGATCACATTTTCCTCCTGCGTCACTGCCCCTCACGCCTGGTCGGTATCTTCCGCGCCAGGTACAGAATATACTTGGGATGAGGCATTAGCCTAGCGAGCCGCAGATTTACCCCAGAAACTACCCTAATCGAGTAGGTTGGCGGTTTAGGTCCCTATATTTCTTAGGTACGGGTATTCACTCTCCGCATCAAGGGTGGTATCTTCTCCACAAATTGCCCTCCAATAACATTGATTTCCACAAAAGCGTCATGATGGATACTTGCGATTGACCGGAATACGACACCTTTTAGAGAACCCGACTACGTAATCGAGGCGGCGAGACTTCGTATGGAACCGTTGTTGATGAGCATGTTCGAGGGGTCGGCTCGGTTGAATGACCTCCGGCAAGAGCTACCCCACACATTCCCCAAAGCTAGGAGCGACTTCCCTGCCTCTTGCCAACACAATACTTCAACGTCTGCGTAAGCGCTGTGAAGTAAGACATTGAAGCATGACAAAGTCCTTCGTCTGCGACAAGTCTCGCAATGGTATCGCATTCAGCCCAATTTTGCGTTCTTCAGTATCTTCTACATCTTGTTATACTCAGTCACCAAGTGGGTTGATCAAGCAAGCGTATATGAATGATGGAGCGAACGGCGAGATATCCCGCAATTTTTAATCGAGTTGAGATTTGTCTGTTTTGGAAGGGTGACTGAATAGCCATGTTAACCGCTCCACACACTCACGTAGACCCAGGTATCCGCAATGAAGACACCGCCTCATTGGGCTCGAGGGGGTTGCTTTCTACAATGTAGCGCTTTCTTTTTGTCCTCCCATCTACAGCGACTGCTGTTATGCGACAGCGGTGTGCCCGATGCCATACTCTCATTCCACCACATGTCGCATGATGCCCTCCTCAGCTCTATGCGTATGGAGTCGAGAGTATATCCCATGCGAACCAACCGTGCCTGACTCTAATGAGAACCCTATTTTTGTAGTCGGGTGGTGTACTCGGATCTGATGCTGGCAATCTGTCGCTGATAGTTGAGCTTGTGGCGCAGTTGGGATCGGGTCGCGATGCTTTTCGACATGTTCGATGTAGGAACATCTACGAAGTCTTGAAGGTATTGCCTCTTCCTCCAGCATCATGTCCGCATCTCCATCTCAAGATCCCTAGTCTCTCTGCTCAAGTCTTGCACATCGTCTTGAGCCATTATCTGTGCGCTAGCATCCAGGTCTTGTATAACATTCTCTAGACCTCGTACTAGGGCTTCTATTTCGGCGCGCTGGGCGGTAACGGTCGAAAGCAGTTCGGTGTTTGACTGCTGAGTCTCGACAAGCTTAGTGTTCATCTCTGTCGCTTGCTTCTCTAGGAAAGGCATGAGGTGTGCCAAATGTATTTCGGACGGAGTGAGGGTATGCGGTCTATGTCGATGAATCAGTATTCGAAAGCGACAGCAGTTGGCGCATTCGTAACACTCACGGCACAGGCGTCTCTACGGGTCCACCGTTGGCATTTGCTTCGGCGCGTTTCTTCCTTAGTTTCGCATCTTCTATGCACTGGTCCAGCGAGTTGAGAAGCTTAACAACATTCCTCCTCTCCATGATATCCTCGAAGTTGGTCTTCCATGTCCGGTCGAGCTGATCAACGATCTGCCCTCTCAGGTTGTCAAGCACTTCTGGGCTATACTGCGCGGCCGTCGGGAAGCACGAAGCAAAGTTCTTGGCTGAACACTTGTCTAGAGTCGCTTTTGAGGCCTGATTAAAGACATTGATCAGACCTTGCGCGCGCGGGCCAGGCGCATCAGCGATAGGCCGGGCGGGCGTAGGAGATGGAGAGCGCGAATTTGGGTTCGTAGCGGTAGGCATGATGCTATAACCACAGATCAATACGATGGATCGCAGTCTTGTGTGGAGCCGGCTAGTAGATGTTATCGTAGTTGCATTACCTCCTCCATCGCTGTGTTTACGCAAAAAGCGCGCTAGTCGATACACGTGATGGCGTGTCCCGCTAGATCAGCCCTACTTCCCCACAGCCATCTCCAACAACTATTGTAACTTTACTGATTTGCCTTTGTTCATTGCATCAGGTGGTCACAATCAACATGGCTCGATTGCCGTCGTCCGCCACGTATGGTGATGTCGAAGACAATTGCATTAGTACAGAAGTAAATCGCGTCGATACACAACAAGATGATGAGCCCAAGTCCATTAACAAACCGATGACATTGCTCGAGTCTGGTGATCTTACCCAAACGAGCGCTGATCACCGAGCAGATAGCCCTGGGGCTCTAAGTCGTATACCGGATTTGTACAGAGCACTCTCGAACAAACCTAGCTTTCTTGCACTTGGCTAACCTCATTTCTAATTTTGCAGCAAGTGCGTAAGACTCCAGAGCACAGTTCCCTTCGGACCAAAACACCCAATCATTCAACATGGACATGGCTACCGGAATCTGAGTCGTCGAACAAACACAAAGCATAGAAGGGACCAGTGCTGTTGTTCAAGGTCTCAAGGGAGTCAAACGGCCAAGACGCTTACTGGATCTATTCCAACACGTTCATTGTGGAATCATCCAGGCTATCGACTACAAGACCGCACTCCATCTCGCGCAGACACATGGCCATCTCCGTCCGTTGGATGACTACGCATACTCACAGGGTTACAAGCTTGAGAACAAAGTGTCGTTCGTAACGATGCGCGCAGCCGCCCTGGGTGCTCGATCCAAACAACATGAGTCCTATCGTGCTTGCAGGGCCTGCTATGAAGTCTATCATTGCCAACCAACCGTCGATTCCAAGAGCAAAGCCCTTCTTGGCCTTTGTAGAGAATGCAACAGGGAACTTGGTCTGATTTGGAAAAAAGTTCCTGCTTCGGGGGCAGATATATCCATTCGCCTCAAACCGGCGCGTACGTTTCTGCCTAGCCTGTGAACCTCTCGTTTATCAATTTCTGGACATCACGTGTCCGATCATCTACTGCACTTGCATCGGAGATATTTTAGCCAGAGCAGACTTGGAATTGGAGGCGCACAAGGCTGAGGAGGTGGAACACTCTGCCGCACTTGAAGACTGTGAGGAGTATCAAGATACGCTTCGGAAAAACCTCTGAGTATTACCGTAATACTGATTGTCTTGTGTAGTCGATCACTCACAGGAACTGCCAACGTACACGAAGACATTCAACGGCCGTGTGCGACCTGTATGGGCCGGGTTTCCACTGGTGCCTGTCTCACTTTCACAGATGCGCGGCTTCCAGGTCGAGCACAAGTATATAAAAGCAAGCAGGACGAAGAAAGTTCCAGGAGGACGAAGATGAAGCTGTGAACGTAGATCATGCGGTCGATAAGACACCAGTCATCAGGGAGTCACGCCCTGTCAAGAAGAAGCGGACTGTCGAAGAGAAACAGGTAAACTTTTGGGGAAACGTCATGTTCGCCGTACAGTCGGCGATCGTTGTTTACGAGAAGCAGATGAAAGATAATTTCCCGTTGGACCTGCAGGTGAAAAGGTTCGCGATGGGATGATAGCTTGGGAGAAGGGTGGAGATAACTTGAATGGGGCGCAATACACATCATGTGGGAGGCGATTGTTATCTACGAGAGGCAGAAGAAGAATGATTTCCCAGAGACTTGGCGCAACAGGCAGACCATCCCAGCCGGCTGCATTCCGACAGGAGATGATAGTCTAGGAAAGAGAATAACGATGGCTAGGAGAGAAAATAGTCTTTGATTATAATTAGTCAATACGTCGTTTTCCTTCGAACATGGAAAAAGAATAGTTAAATTCTCTTCCCATTGTATCCACAAGAAATAAGAATGAGCAATAACTATCAACGATGAACCAGCTGCTATCCATACCAACGGAAAGCGCTAATGGGTAGACAACTACTCCTCAAGGTAAGAAAGCTTACGCATCTCACCCAGCCTTGTCCTAGCCTGAGCGAGCGAGTTCTCGAGTTGCAGGATCTCGACCTAGAATCGTCTGTTAACACACGTTCCTTTCCAGACAACATTTGATTATCACATACCTGCTGCTCCATCTGGCGAACCTTGAATTCGTGGTCGCCCAACTTGCTGTAGTCGACATCCTGGCCCTCATCCCTGTTCTTTTGGGCAATAATCTCCTGCACCTGCCTAACAAGCGACCTGCAAGCCGCTGTGACAGTCTTGGACGCACCCTCGAGTCTGTCTTGCGTCTTGCTCATGAAGCTAGCCTTGACACGACTAGCAGCCACCAACTGAGCGGTGGAAGCAGCGACGTCGTTGGAAGCGACAATGAGCTGCTCGGGCGAGTTGCGACCAGAGATGACGCCGTCGGCGGTCTCGATGAGCATGTTTGTCGATGTGGCGACGGCCTTGGCGGCACTGATGAGACCTTCGGTCCAGCGGTTGTGCTTCTTGTAGAACTGCGTCTTGGACATGCTTCCTCGGCCTTCGCGGACAATTTCTTTCTGCGATTCTGTTGCTGCCTTGATGAGCTGGGCAATAGCGTTCGTGACGGCGATGGCGGCTTCGAGGATGGAGTCGTGGATCTTCAGCTCGTAGGTTGAGTACTGGTCCCTGGGCTTCTTCATCAGCTTTGCTAGACGCTCGGCAGCCGCGTCGATGGCATTGGCTGCCTTGGTCAACTCGTTGTCGACCAGATCGCCGAGGTCGCCAGAAGCATTGGTGATCTTGCTCTTGGGCGCGAATGCGTCTGCAAGCTTAGACAAGCTCTGCAGGTTGCGCACGACTTCGGTACTGTTGTTGATGACAACGTTGATCTTCTGCTCTGCGTCCATATCGTACATGCGCACAGATTGGACGTTGCGGAAGAACCTGATGGTTGACAATGCAGAAGTCCTTGCGCCACCGATGAGCTGGTCGGCCTTGTTCTCATCAGAAGCGAACCGCGTCAAACCCTTGGTATTCACCAGCACGTCGACGATGGAACCACCAAAGTTGTTAACAGCGTTGATGACCTCAGCGTGCTTCGCGTTCGGTCCATCAGCGATGAAGTTGTTGAACGCTGTTGAGAACTCCATGGTACATGTTGATGCCCTCTCGATCTGCGAGAGCACATATGGGCCAGTGGCGTTCTGGTTTCCAGCCTGCATTGGAGAGTCCAATTCATAAAGCGCATCGTCAACGCGTTGCACACCACTCTGGAGGACGGAGTCAATAATGTCGTTGATCTTCTGGAGACTGTCTTGGATGAGAGTGTCCAAGTGACCGTCCAGGACATCATCATTGGTACCGGCGTTGAGCTTCAGCTCGTTTAGTTCCAGTAGTGTTTGGTCCATACCGGTACGGAAGATCTCCAGCTCTTCCTCCTTGTCGCGCAATTGACGCTCCAGGTCAGAATCACCTTCACGGTACTTCATCTGGAACTCATCCAGCTGACGGGTCTTGTTTCGCAGCGCTTCTTCAAGGTCTGCGATCTCTCGGTTATGTCTGTTCAGCATTGCTGATAGTTCTGAGCCCTTGCCGCGCTCGAGGTTGTCGGCTCTGTCTAGAGCAGCGCGAAGTTCCCGCTTCAGCTTCTCGGTCTCCTCGCGGTGACCACCAGTGTGGCGGTCCTTCTCCATGAGTGCTCGGTCGCGCTCGCGGATCATGTCTGCCAGTTCCAGGTTCTTGGTCTTGAGCTCGCGCTGCAGTTTGTCCCGACTATCTATGGCTTCCTGGGCTGAGTTTGCCTTGAGCTGAACCGTCTTGAACTTCTGCAGCAGTTGGAGATGCTCATGACGCAGTTGCGAATATAGCTTGGCCAGTGACTCGTACTTTGATCTCCATGTGTTGAGCTGCTCCTGAAGTGCTCTTATCTGATCGTCTCGCGAGCCCATTTGCTGCTGGAAGTTTTGGTTCATTTGGTTGATCTCGCCCTCCAACGCCTTCATTCTCTGATCGTATTGTTGTAGCATCAGCTGGTCGCGTTCGTACTGTGCGCGCGCATTCAGATTCTCCCGCTCAAGCTCAGCCAGACGCCCTTGTGTCTGCTGCTGATACTGTTCGCGCATGAGTTGCTCTTGCGCCAACCGAGCTTGCTCTGCCTGGAGCCTTTGCTGCTCTTCGAAGTCACGTTGTGCTTGCATCGCTTGCTGTTGCTGCTGTTGTTGAGCTTCCTCCCATTGTCGCTGTAGTCGCTGCTGTTCGGCTTCGTATTCCTCTTGCTGCCTACGTTGGTTGTCTTTCCAAAACTCGTTGATCGGCTCCGGGTCTACGGAGGGAGCGCGTGTGGGTTCTGCGGGCTTTTCGTTTTGCGGTCGTCGAGGTAGCGCCGGTGCACTTTCGTCTTCGGAAAGCAGGTTCGGTGGATCTTGAGGTAGCTTTGGTACTGTGATCAGATTTGTCAAGTATCGAAGATTCGAGCATTCGTAGTAGAACTTGACGAGACGGTAGTGCTGCGCATCGTATCGTCCGCGTAGAGGAGAGAGCGCTTCATCGTCACCGAGAGCTACACTGGTCAGTTGGGTTGCAAGTTGGCTGAACTCCTGTTACTCACTTGTGTGCATTGCGCGCAGCATGCTAGTGATGAACTTGTAGATACCATACGACTCCTGGACCAGTGGCACCAACGCTGCTATCCTGCACTCGTTGTTGGCACCGCTTCGGAAGTGAGAGAAGATGAGCTTCTGGAAGGCATCGATCTGATCTTGTAGGGTCATGAGGTCCGAAATGGTCTCGTATCCCTCGTTCGGGTCGTTGATCGACTTCAAGCTGATGTACTCCTCGTACTCAAAGGTTCCTGTTCCAATCAGCCAAATATCGCTGTCTTGCTACCATTTATCGTACCATTGAACTCCGGGTGTTGTCGGTGGAAGGCAAGCTTTGCCATGAGATAGTAGGTGTACTCTGAAATAAGCGGCGCATATCCTTTCATGCCTTCGCCCATAGAAGAGCCCCGTGATAAACTCTCGAGCCAGCTGGTGTTCGATTGCGCCTCCTTGAGAACGATGGGGTGGCCTTCTTGTAGGACCTTGTGGACGGTAATGAGCGCCTTGAATGTCTGCACCTCGTCGGCGAGAATTGGCTGCCTGGAACATGCTATTAGCATTGGGGGGTAGCTCGGGCGGCATGTGTGCGCTTCGGTCAACCTACACTTTCATGCCCTGCCAGAAAGACGCGGAGCTCTTATGATCCCACGTGTAGACAATGCATGCTCGCACATGCTTTCCTGTGCTAGTATAAGCCTCGTTCGCGTTCCAGGGAAGTTCTGCACGTACTCTTGGGTGAGACCTCCTCGATGCTTGTGGCTTTACGAATGTTGATGGCAAGCTCCGACTCCTGCCTAAAATGTTCTTTAGTCCACGTTCTGATTAATCCAGCGACAGATCCCTCCAAATGTTTATTCCAGTCCGGCATGATAGTGATGGTATACGTACTTGCCCATGTCAACGTTGCGCGAGCTTCCGTAGAGCGCCATCTTGCTCGCCGTAAGCTCCTTCTTGATTTAGTTGTTGATGGTCTCAGGTAATTGTAGAAGCGGAAGGATGTGGGTCAGTGTCGAAGAAGGCGCGCAAAAGTAATGCGCGGGAATGAGGAGGTGTGGGGTTGAGTTATTTGGTTGCGCTGTTCGGGTCAGTCAACCATCAGAGGAGCTCCTAGACTACTCGACCCTGGGAGGTGGTTCGTGCTGCTTGGCGCTTCGTCATCGCCTTCATCCGCGACGAGGTATCGCACGCGATAATTGGCTGCTGCCCAACTAACCTTCTTGCATTGAACACTGTATCCTAGAGATACTTGCAGGTAAAAACTCTTTACTCTAGCCATAATCCTCCTAAAGCGCATTCTTGCTGCACCTCGTGCCGCAAAATCGTCTCCGGGCTGTGCATCCTGGCATAAACTGCTGCCTTCGCTGTCGACTAACGACGCATACGCGGCTGCATGCGCAACCGCCTCCGAGTCTGAGTTGGCATTCGTGATGGAGGGTGAGAGGACGCATCTTCACTAATAGGGCTGCATGGCTTCGCTACATGGACCCTTGAACCATGAACTGCACCGATCACGCATGGCCAACGCAACGATTATCAGGAACTGCTATGTCATGTTACATGATATGCTTAGATGCAACTCCAGGGTATAAACGCCATGCAATGCTACAAGTACAATATTGATGCCCTATGACGCCGTTACAGCGGGCTGGACAACTCAAACCGCCTCACTTTTACCTCCTTTGCTAAGATATGCTGCCATGGGGTCGGCAGCCATTGTCCTTTTGCGGCGATACTCTTCCATCTCTTCTTCATTTACGCCTCCAGTCATCTCGTCGAGAGCTCGTTTCCGACTGGCAGCATCGCTTCTCGTTTTCTCGGCGCGGTCGGGAGCATTCGGTACGTGTTCTTCCAAGGCCGCCTCTTCCTTCCATGCGATCTCCTTGGGAACCTCGTCCAGCTCAGCTCCGGTTCGCATCCGGTCTGCTAGCTCAAAAGCCTCCTTGCCTGCCTCGCCTGTGCAATAAGAGTTCTTGACTGTCGAGTGACAGCATGCAAATCCCCATTGGAAGTTTGACCACCAGCTGCCCCAAACGGATGTGTGGTTGTTGAGTAGTACATCCTCTGGGTACTTTGACTTTGCTTTGACTTTGGGTGCACCCTTTATGCCACCTCGCTCGTCGTACTCAACATATCGTTCATTCTCGGTGACGGCCGTCTTGCGTAGTGTGTCATCATTGAACTTTTCCTGTGTGCCGTACTTCTCGGCCAGGGCCTTCTTCCTGGCTGCTGCCATCTCCTCAGCCTCCTTCAGCTGCTTCTTCCGCATAACTTCGCCAGATGTAGGATTGGCTTGCAAATGTAGCTTGTTCTTGTCTCCGCGCTCCTGTGTCTCCCAGGCATATCGCTGCGCCTTCTCAAACTCAGCTGCATCTCCGGACGCCTTCATGAACCCTTCTTCTGCTACCAATTGGGCGGCACTATCGGCTGTTGCACCGCTGTCCACCATGGAGCGTGTCTTGGGATCGTATTTGGCCGAGTCGAGATCTAAATTGAGCAGATACTTTGCGGTGTCCTCTCGTAACCGCAGATTGCGCGTAGACGTGGCTTGTTTTCTTCCCATATCCGTCTCGGCATCGTATCTATCTCCCTCGTCCTCGTCGTCAGACTTGTCACCCTTCTCAGCCTCTTTTGCCTTCTTCCGGATCTCCTCCATAGCGTTGTACTCCTCGATGACTTCCTCGAAGTGTGATGCATCATAGCCATTCCATCGGTCGCGCTTCGCATCAAAGCCTAATTGTACGTCCTGAATGACCTCGTCCGCCTCGATGTTCTTGCCCGTGAACTTTGCGCCTGCCTTACGTGGCCGACTTAAGCAGTCCTTCTTCTTGTGCGTCATGGCTCCGCAGTTCTCGCATGCGCCTTTGCGGAACTTGGTCGCAGCTGGGCCGACTTTCTTGCCGCGATCGTACCATTTTGAATCTTGCTCCTGCTTCTGTAGACGCTGATGCTCGAGGTAGTCGGTGTTGTCCTCGCCGGTCTCGTCGACGGCGTAGAAGGGCTTCTTCGAGATGAAGGAGGGGATATATTCGTTGCGCTCTTTCGCAGCAGCGGAGACATCGGGTTTCTTGGGTTGAGAAGGCGGCATGTTGGGCGTCGTGTGATGCCTCGGTCGCGTTGAGTGGTGAAGGTTGTCAGTGTTGGTCGAAGCTTTAGATTGACGGCGAGAGTGGATCTTGAATTAGTGGCGTAGGGCTGCAGCGTCGATCTCGCGTCTCACGGGACCACGCGCATTCCGGTCGCGACCTGTTGAGCATCGCGTCTCTTTCACCTCATTACGCCACCAATCCCCTTTTGAGTGCCATTCGGTCTTGAATGATCTTCTGAGCACAATGCGAAGCCTCGGATTCGCACATAGTTCCTGGATACCAGCTGTGTCGTCATGGAGCCTTTCCGCTTTCGCCTGAACTGCATCGACAACTACCAGGCGGCACCAACAGACATCGATCCTCCCCTACGGCGCATTGCTGGTCCTGCAGGTCGCTTGGGTGCGCCACAAGTCCCGGTAATTCGAGCCTTTGGTGCGACTGAGACTGGGCAGAAGGTGTGCGCTCATATCCATGGAGCGCTTCCTTACCTGTATTTGGAGTACAGTGGAAGCCTGGAGACGGATGTTGGTGGGTCTGATATAATCGCGAGATACGAACAACACTGATGCCTCTTAGTAAACGCGTACATCCTCGAACTCCGCGCTTCTATCGACCACGCTCTCGCCGCCACCTACCGACGGAACGCATACGATGGGAAGTCGATATACGTTGGCCACATCTCGCTCGTCAAGGGCGTACCCTTCTTTGGATACAACGTTGGATATAGGATTTTCCTGAAAGTCTACATGCTCAATCCTATGCATATGACTCGATTCACCGATCTTTTGCATCAGGGAGCAATCTTGAACAAGGTGTTCCAGCCATACGAGAGTCATCTGCAGTATCTCCTACAGTGGATGTGCGACTACAACTTGTACGGGTGTGACTACATCAATTGCGCCAAGGTACAGTTCCGAGGACCCGTTCCGGACAGTGACGAGATAGATACCGCGGTGCACAAGTGGCACGATGCCTCTATTCCCGATGAATTCATGGCCGAAGCGGATCAGTACCCGCGTCAAAGCCACTGCACCCTCGAGGTCGATATATGTGTTCAAGATATCCTGAACCGGCACGAATTACAATATCGACCCATCCATCATGATTTCCTAGAACGGTCAAGCCAATTGCTTCGCAATCCAGACGACAAGTTTGTGCCATCAATGGCTAGTCTATGGCGAGATGAAACTCGTCGGAGGAAACATCGCATGGGCCTTTCCGATCCTTCGAGCAGTCCATTCCCCGCTGAAGTGCTTGTGTCAATGTCGGCGGATACGCGGGACACAAAGAAGGGTGGATGGATTCACGAAGAAGAATATCGAGAAATCGTCGAAAGCTTGATTGCCGAAGAAAAGCGAGGAAAAGAAGAAGCGAGATTTGATAACTTCGTGAAGCCCATCGCCGGTGAAGGACACATTAGTACTGCTGTAGAGAGCGTCGAAGATCTCTATCCCAACGTTCTGTCTACGCAGCAGCTCCCAGATGACGATCCCGAAGAGGATTCTGATTTGCCAGAAGACAATGGTGCGCCCGTTGATATTGGAGCCCAGCTCGCATTCGATGAACCCGAACCAAATCAGCTGCACAGTGACGCCACTGTCGGCGATGAGCAAGACGAGAATCCAGCAGACGCCGACAATCAGTCCGACACCGAAGAGCAGCCATCACTGGATCCCCTGACTGCATCGCTACTCAAGGGCTCTAGTGAGATGGAAACTGAAGACGCACTCATCGATGAAGGTATTGATTTGGTTGATCCGAGTGATGAAGGTGAACCACCTAGCAGTCCAGGGAATATGCGGAAGCGCTCTCTTGAGCCTATGGACGAAGACTATAACAAGCGTCAACGAGTCTTAGCTGCAACCCCTGGTACTAACAAACGCGTTTCGTTTCGCAACGCTCTCAGTAGGGGCGAGGACCCGCCTCATCCTGGCCAGGCTTCGCAAGGAAGTATCAAAGCTCAGGGCCTGGGAGGGCCGACTACATTTTCATTTCCCGTAGTGAAGAATCCAAACGCATCGGAGACGATGCATCGCTTGAGTAAATCAGGATATTCAAACTCCCAAGAAGGTCCAAAGACACCTGGACCTAAGTATCTTATGGCGAGAGCTTCGCAACATTCCCCGAAAACCCCCTGGACACATCAGAAGACTTCGCCCATGATGCTGGGCAGCAGTACTCCGAAAGTTCGCTCTCAAGTAGCCTCTTTAGTGCGGCGGTTGGAAAAATCACACAAGCACATGCATCCTACTGTCTATTACGGCTCCTTACCTCCATCGGTCGAGGTCGTCGAAGGTACCATGATGCATGCTGGACTTCCACCGGTGATCTATCAGGATGCCTACTACAGTGAAGAGAAAGATGTTCCAGATCGACCGAGAGAGTACGCGGGTCGAGGATTCAAACTACAGAGCACTACATTACCGTATCTTCCTCCATTTGACCCCACTGGTGCTTCCCTCGCCAACATCGGAGAGTATCCGCCAGTTGTGGTAGACAAAAAGAGACAGACTACAATGTATCAAGCAAGATCACGTCGTTGTAGCCTGCGTCATTGGGAGTTTGCTACACCTCCACCTACTTTCAAGGAAGTGGAGAGCTGGAATAACCGGCAAGCGAAGCCACGTAAGGTGGCGAAGCCCAAATCTAAAGCAGAGGAGGCGACATCTGTACCATTACGCAGATTCAATCCCATGAGTCATCTTTCACAGATCGAAGGCCCGACACAGAATAATCCACACGGCTTCAAATACTCCCAAAAACAAAAGACGACGAGTGTCAAGCATGACGTCCAGTACATGAGCATCATGAGCTTAGAAGTGCACGTCAATTCCAGGAGTTCTCTCGTGCCAGACCCAGCTGAAGATGAGATCCAATGCATTTTCTGGAGCGTGCAGGGTGAAGAGAATGCGACTACCGACCGCCCCCGTACCGGCATATTGTGTTTTTCCGACGAAGAAGGTATCGCTGTACGCATTGCTAAGCAAGTCTCAGTAGAGGTTGAATACGAGGAAGATGAGTTGGATCTGATCAACCGTGTTGTCGATATCGTCCGCCAGTTCGATCCGGATATACTCACAGGATATGAAGTACACAATAGCTCATGGGGTTACCTCATAGAACGTGCGAGGATGAAGTACGAGTACAATCTATGCGACGAGATCAGCAGGATGAAGTCGCAATCTCATGGCAGGTTCGGAAAGGAGGCCGATCGATGGGGTTTTACACACACGTCTACTATTCGAATCACTGGCCGCCACATGATCAACATCTGGAGAGCTATGCGAGGGGAGCTGAACTTGCTTCAATACACTATGGAAAACGTAGTCTTTCACTTACTTCACAAGCGCATACCGCACTATCAGCATTCCGATCTTACGACTTGGTATACAAGCGGAAAGCCACGGGATCTGGCAAAAGTGCTTGATCACTTTGTAAAACGCGTACAACTCAATCTGGACATTCTAGAAGCCAACGAGATTGTGCCTCGAACTAGTGAGCAAGCTCGCCTGCTTGGTGTAGACTTCTTCGCAGTCATCTCGAGGGGTTCTCAGTTCAAGGTCGAGTCTACCATGTTTCGCATCGCAAAGCCAGAGAATTTCATCCTTGTTTCACCAAGCCGGAAGCAGGTCGGTCAGCAGAATGCGCTCGAGTGTCTACCTCTGGTGATGGAGCCGCAGAGTGCGTTCTATTCAAGCCCGGTGCTCGTCCTGGACTTTCAATCGTTGTACCCCAGTGTGATGATCGCCTACAACTACTGCTACTCAACATGTCTTGGACGTATCGTTAGTTGGCGAGGTCAGAACAAGATGGGCTTCATGGATTTCAAGCGCGAGCCGCAATTGCTGGAACTAGTCAAGGATCACATCAACATTGCGCCAAATGGCATGATGTACGTCAAGCCAGAGATGCGGAAGTCGCTATTAGCAAAGATGCTCGGTGAAATCTTAGAGACCCGTGTCATGGTCAAGAGTGGGATGAAGCAGGACAAAGATGACAGAACGTTGCAACAGCTGTTGAATAACAGGCAGTTGGCGTTGAAGCTCCTGGCAAACGTCACTTACGGGTATGCGTCTGCATCGTTTTCCGGTCGCATGCCATGTTCTGAGATAGCAGACAGCATCGTCCAGACTGGTCGCGAGACCCTTGAGAAAGCGATCGCGATCATTCACGCAACAGAGAAGTGGGGCGCAGAAGTCGTTTACGGAGACACTGATTCACTCTTCATTCATCTCAAAGGACGCACCAGGGATCAAGCATTCACTATCGGCGAGGAGATAGCTGCAGCCATTACCGCTGCAAACCCACGACCTATCAAGCTCAAGTTCGAGAAAGTGTACCATCCTTGCGTCTTACTTGCCAAGAAACGCTACGTAGGCTTCAAGTATGAGCACCGCAACCAGAAAGAGCCAGACTTTGACGCCAAAGGTATCGAAACAGTCCGTCGAGACGGTACACCTGCCGAGCAGAAGATCGAAGAGAAAGCCCTGAAGCTCCTGTTCCGTACGTCAGACCTCAGCCAAGTAAAACGATACTTTCAAGAGCAGTGCGCGAAGATCATGGAAGGTCGCATCAGTATCCAAGACTTCCTCTTCGCCAAAGAAGTTAAGCTGGGCACATACTCTAATAGAGGTCCTCCGCCACCCGGTGCTCTCATTGCCACGAAACGAATGCTCGCCGACCCGCGTGCCGAACCTCAGTACGGTGAGCGCGTGCCCTACGTAGTCATTACTGGTGCACCTGGAGCTCGCCTCATTGACCGCTGTGTCAGCCCCGAAACTCTACTTCAGGGCGATCATCTCGAGCTTGACGCGGAATACTACATCAGCAAAAACCTCATCCCACCACTTGAACGCATCTTCAATCTCGTTGGCGCTAATGTAAGACAATGGTACGACGAGATGCCCAAGATTCAACGAATCCGCAATGTTTCAATCCCTATGGCCATCAAACAGGATAAAAGCAACGGTCTTTTCTCTGGTAGTAATACATCTCTTAGTAAAACACTTGAGAGCTACATGAAGTCCTCAAACTGCTTGGTCTGCCGATCAAAACTGTCTGCTCCTGTACCAGCACAAATTCCAGGCGGCGAAGGTAGTCCCTACGCCATGCTGCCCCTTTGCGCAAAGTGTCTCAAACGCCCAGCGCATTCACTACTATCGTTGAAATACCGCATCTGGAGCACCGAGACACGTGTATCAGAGGTCGAACAGGTGTGCCGGCGCTGCTCGAATCTGGCCTGGGGCGAAGAAATCAAATGTGATAGTAGGGACTGTCCTATCTTCTACACGCGCATCAAGGAACGCTCGAGGCTATCCGCGCTGAAAGATAATGTCGGCCCAGTCATTGAACTCATGGAGAAAGCAGATGATGAGGTATACATGGCGAGGGACGAAAGCAAGGAAAGAAGCAAGAGTGAGAAACTGGCTTGGTAAAACGTCTCGCCCTTAGCTTGGGGATCACAACGGCGGATTGAAATAGACTACTTCGAATCAAGAAACGTATAACAAGCCTTGATCTTTCCACCTACGATTGTCAGCACATCCTCACCCTTCAACCCTATCTCCCCGCTCCCAGCAGTTTTAATACCCCATTTCACTTTCGTCACCCAAATATCATCTTCGTCATCATGCTTCAAATATTCCACCTCACCTGCAACATGAACAACTGTCAACAATTCTTGCATTACCATTCAATGGACCCAACCTACCTAAAGCGATAAACTCATCCCCATCCCCACCCATACCTTGTATCTTGTCCACCATACCACTAATCGCCTCATGTGATTTGAATACACCCAGTGCGTCTACGAAAACCACGTCTGGACTTGGTACCCAGAGATCGGCGATGGCTTGCATGCGTGTAGGCATGCATTTTTGACCGAAGATGGAGGAGAGGTTGAGGAGAGTTACAGTTCTGGCGCGAGATTGGGGAGTTGACATCTTTAAGGTGGAAGACGAAGAAGGGATAGATTTTAGCGGGGTACAAAGGTACGATGAATAGACGGTGTTCTAAAAAGAGAGTTTTGTAAGTGAAGTAAGAGGTGACAGGTAAGATGTCAAGGTTCATGAGTTTGTGTTGTGGTGTAGCAAGATGGAATAGTGAGTAAGCAAGATCTAGTATTAAGTTTGCAAACCAGCGCGCTAACGGAATTAGGTAGGAGATACACCCTGCTCGTGCAGCGACGTCTATACTATGACTTTACGACTCTAGGCGAACGATTAGCGAGCATTTCTCGAGCCAAAAACACGGTGGCAATTACATCACCACCAAGCCCTCCTTTAGTTTAACCATCTCCCCACCCCCTTGCACCTCCTCCGCCTTCTCTTCCATCATCTTTGTCATTTTCTCCAACACTCTATCCAATGTCTTCTCCAACACCACACCATCCCACTCCTGCTCGATCACCCAGTTTTTCAACTCTTTACGCTTCTCATACAACTCTCTACCTGGTCCAGGTACCACACGATCAGAGCTGAGATATGCATACAAGCAAGCCTCATGAAAGACCATGAAGACCTGCAACATAAGAACTGGCTCCGAAACTGTCGGTAGGAACTTCTTGCTCGAGGCCGAAGTGCGGAAATGCTTGATCTGGTGCAAGTAGCAGATCGCACAGCAGCGTTTGAGGGGAGATGAGATGGGGATCGGGGAGATTGGATGGTATAGCTTGTCATTGGTGACAGAGAGTAGAAGTTTCGAAGTGTTAGGTGTATAGTTTAGAGGGAAAGGTGTTGTGGTACCGAAAAATTTGGAAGCGTTGAATTCGTAGTTGGAGTGGCCGAGGTGGATTAGTTCTAGTAGGGAAGTGTTTGGCTTGCGGGCAGGCATCCTGAGTAATATCAGTGCGGCTATTGGTACTATCGGTTACATATCAAGATCATGACCAAGGCTATTGTTGATGAGGGTGAAATGAGAGTCGTGGCGATGGTTGACGAAGACTAGGGGAAATAGCTGTTGTTCGGGAAGGTCTCATACAGAAACATCGTGCCTGAACCGTTGCGATCACTGTTCGTGGGAAGGCCTGACTAGGTTTCATCGGCGTTTGGCTGAGTCAATGTGAGTGTTTAGGGATATTTCTCAGAACAAGGAGATCGACGAGGATAGTCATAGTAGGTGCACGAATCTTCCGAAACTGAAGGTTCACCAGCTTCGTGACCTCCAAACGCAATCTGCAAATTTTCCTGTTCTGAGGAGGCGCTTTCGACTGGACCTTCAACTGCAACATGTTTTCGCGGCCGCAAACTGTGGTCCAAGTTCTTTTCGGGTAGATCCAAGGACGCTCTCAACACGTTGACTCTCTCGAGCGCTGCTACGCTCCGTTCCAAAGGCATGTTCATCCACTCTTTAAGGTATGGTGAAGGCCTCTGAGGAGATACTGGTCGCGTTGTAGGTGCTGTCAATGACTGGGTAGGCGAGATCTTTGAGTTCGAAAGTGGGTATGTATGAGACCTAATAACATCGAAAATCGACCTCGATACTGATGTATATGCTGTACCCTCGCCACTCGAATGGGTTCCTGAGGTTTTGAATGGCGTTGACGACGGTTTACGCTTAGAATCTGCCATTGCTTTGGATGGTGATGCGGAACTTTTGACTGTAATGTCTTGGAGTCTGGGGCAAAAGTTTTGGAGCCAGGTAAGCGGAAAATATGGGTTTCCAATATATGTGTGGAGAATTTTGTGATTTGCGAATTGTGGTTGAGATATGGGGAGTTGTGGGTACTTGCTTGTGCGGAAACAAAATTATTGAGAGTGCACCAATCTTCTACAACTAATTGGGATTATGTATTAACAATGGCAAAATCGGATATCGCAATAAGAAAGTGTGAACATATCAGTGTAAGAGTTGTGAATTTGCATCAACACAGCTGTATTCATCTAAACGACCAACGTAAAGCTGTGCTCATCGAAACACAATGCCTACTCGCATATCAGTAATACAGCGTTAAATCTCGTCTATTCTTCGTCATCACCCTCCAATTCCACAACGAAGATGTCCAGATCAACATCATCCTTGTAGGGTGGAGGTGGGGTTGTGTCCACCGCAGAATATTCCGGCAAAGGCTCACCACTGGCAGTAACGAGCGGCCATGTATCAGCTTTATCGCGACGCGCTTGAGCATCTACCTCACCTAACTCACAATCAATCTCTGTGTCTCCTAATCGATTCAACTGAGAGGCTACCGCGATTGCTGAGTAGAAGACAAAGAACTGAAGAAAGAAGGCGGTAAGGATGAGAAATGCAGGCGATGTATAAAATGGCATGTCTGACTCTATTATTGTGGAGCAGTTGGGGTGAGGACCTCGACATATATCGGACATATGAATTGCAGGTTCCAGAGTTAGTTGATACGATGCTGGTTGACGGTCCTGTGAGGTCGTGTCGGGAAATATGAACTGGTGCGATGTACTGCTGTGACGCGACATTGTGAGGTAGATGTTGTGCCATTTCGATGCTGTTTTCTATGAAAACCGCAAGATCGGTATCGCAAAATGCCTGTAGATTACGCCACTGCGCGCTGTGAGTACAGAGCTTGACACAGAAGGAGGTTTGGAACGGATTCGTAGCGATAAGCGGGGCCTGGGCAGCGGTTAACGTAAGATGGCACTAGTATGAATGACGACCGTTTCTTTGTCCAAGTGGCCCGCGGAAGGCCTGACCGGCGCCTCCTGCACCTTGGCTACCATCAGCACAAATGAACATCTCTCAATTAGTACGACAGTAGTCCTTGTCCGTCCCTGGGGTGGTCGTGTGTTACTGCTCTCAGTCGTTTGTCTTCGGCAGTATTGTAACACTGAGCGATTAGCAAATCACAGCAATTAATGGCATATAAGTGGCTTGCAGGGGTATGGACGACACAAATCAGCACTTGCAAAGTCAGCCTGTATGAGGGCTGCACACAGTTTCACTTTAACGTGCCAAGAGCTGTGAAGCGATGCCCACATACGAAATGAATCTTACACAAGGCGAAATTCTGCGAATAGCTGGCATCGAAGCTAACTGAGACTTGCAACGCGGATGTTAGCGGATCGTCAGCATATCATCAATGTTAGTTCACGTCCCGCCGCCTGTATTGGCAACAGTACGCATTCTGAAGTAGCTAACAGTACATCATACGTGATTTGCTTGAGAGTCAGGCAATCCCCCAAACCCCCTGTGACGTGTTAGAACATAACGATAAGACAGCTAGCTCTTACTTCTCTCGGTTGCATACATGAAGAAGGATACTCCTGGCTACCAGCTCGACGAGTAAACCTACTCTCGATTCCGGTAGCATTAACGCACGAATTTGGAACCGTCTTGCAAGCTTCGGTCAAGGCCTTACGCATACCTACTTAGGTGCCTAAAATGGCGAGTTTCGAGGAGGCTAGCTCAGCGCTTTATGACGCCTTCCATAGCCTCACAGCTTCGCAGGTTTCCGCTGCCGTATTCATCTTCGTACGAACATGATCGCGGCCAATATCCTCCAAATCCAGTCTAACATAGCAGCAGTTATTCACAAGATGGTTTCTTCAAGGAATCTATCGAGTCTACTTCCACCCACTGAGCCACTTCCCTGGCCCGAGATCTTCAGCTTTCACCCGCATACCGCAACTCTACGCAACAGCTACAGGTAAATTGCATGTCTACGTTGCCAGTTGTCATAACAAATACGGACACGTTGTTCGCATATCGCCCAACGAGATTAGCTTCACCAACTCTGAAGCATGGCGGTAAGATCTCCAGCGCTACAGAATATCTTCACTGAGCTAATTTCTTTAGTGACATCTACGGCTATGGGTCCAAAACAGGGCCTGGTTCCGCGCCTCCAAAGCACTGGGTCCGCTACGGTGAAAGTCCCAACGGCGTGGCCCCCATACTCCAAGATTCAGACGACGCAAACCACGCACGTGTTCGCAAGATCTTCAGTCCGGCGTTCTCGGAACGTGCGATCAAAGAGCAAGAGCCACTGTTCACGAAGTATGTCAACCAGTTGGTACAGATTCTCAAAGACGGAATCGCCGCTAGCACTACCGATGCTGCAACATACGATCTAGTCAGCCTGTATAGCTTCACAACCTTCGACGTTATGAGTGATCTTACCTTCGGAGAGCCCCTTCACATGCTCACCACAGGCTCCTACGACCCCTGGGTCCGCACCATCCTTGGTGCCTTAAAAGCAAACTTGCGTCTTAACCTTGTTAAAGCACACTATCCGCTCGCCGCCAAAATCCTGCACCCCATCATGGAAGCCCTTTTCTCGAAGATGCGTTTCGAGCTCTTCGACACAAACGTCAAGCGCGTTACGAAGAGGTTGGAAAAAGGGAGGCAGAGTAAGGTAGGAGTTGACCTATGGGATCTGGTATTGAATCAAGAAGAGAAGGGTAAGAGAGGGTTAAGTAGAGGAGAAATGGACAGCAATGCGACTACGTTCATGGTAGCGGGTACGGAGACTACGGCGACACTGTTGAGTGGACTAACATATCTGCTATTGACGAATCCAGAGTGTCAAGCGAAATTGGTTCATGAGATCAGGACAACGTTTCAAGAAGAGGCGAACATCGATATGGAGTCCATCGTGAGGTTACCCTACCTCAAGGCATGTATCAGTGAGGCATTTAGGTTATACCCACCCGTTGCAGTAGGTTTACCGCATCTGACTCCCAGCGATGGATCTACTATCTGTGGACACTTTATTCCACCAAATGTAAGCCCTCTTATATACGTCAAAACCACGAATTTGAGCATAGCTGACCCAGGCCTCACACAAGATCACCGTCTCAGCATCTCACTACGCCATGTACACCTCTGACAGAAACTTCACCGACCCTCACTCCTTTATCCCCGAACGTTGGACCGGCGACGCGCGATTTGCAGATGATGAACGCGCAGCTCTACAACCATTTTCTGTGGGTCCGAGGGACTGCTTGGGGAAAAAGTAGGTGTTGCAATAGACATGCTTGCGGATCTGACTGACTGGCGTGAACAGTATGGCGTACCACGAGATGCGACTGATTATGACGAAAGTGTTATGGAATTTTGATTTAGAGTTGTGTGAGGAGAGCAAGGGGTGGCTTGATCAGACCGTGTATACGCTTTGGCAGAAGGGACCGTTGGTTATGAAAGCGAAGTTGGCCGGATGAACATGAAGAAGGAAGATGGTGACAGAGTGAGAGTGGAACATTGATGGCGTCTGATGCTCGGATACCTAGAGTCATGTTCGTTGTTGCTGCTGCTGTAGCTGTATCATGAAATTATCATACACGTTATCGGAACATATCTACATACCCGCTGTCTTTACGATCAACCCCATCCCCACAACGTCTTTATCGTATCACCGAATGTCGCTTGCCCAGCCTCTCTCCTCTTCATACGAGCTACCCGCTCTTCTATGAACGTCTGTTCCAGCTGCTTCGAAACACCAGTCTGCGCCCGAATTTCACCTACTATAGCCATCCTCTCAATCTCCCGCTCTTCCGGTGTCAAGCTCTGAAGCTTCTTTTCGTACTCCTTCCTTACTTCTGGCTTAATCTGGCTCCAGACCTCGGTATCATCCGAAATAGTACTTGACTTGCCAATCTCAGCTACAGGTACGGCTTTCCTTGGTGTTGAAGACGCGCCACCCACTGCCTCCACGACGTTTCGTTTCGACAGGATGCTTTCGAATTTCGGTACTGGTCGCCCCTCTGCTTTTGCCTTTTCCATCTCCGCCTCCTGTTCCAGCATACGTTGGTAGAGTTTGTCCGCGTGCATTTGTATCCGCTCGTCCTCCTCTGGCGATCGCTCGTCCATGGTCATGTATCCCAACGCTTTCAAGAACTTGGACTGTATATCGTAACAGCGGTTGAATTTACGCGACTCGGCGATGCACATAGTTCCTGCTGACCACCATGATTTCGGATTTCGGAAGCAGTCAAATTGCTCCATGTATTCCAATGCACAGTTTTCCATGGCTACTCTTCCAATTGAGGCTTTGCGGTCGTTGTAGGCGTCTACTAGGTCTCGTAACCGATCCTGCTCTGACTTCCCACGGTCATCGATAATATTTTGCGGGGTATAATTCTTCCATAGATCGGCATATCGGCCATCTTGGAACTGCGATTGCGGCGGTACAAACGGCTTCTGGGGGTCTGATTGTGGTTGCGCTTGCGATTGTGTGGGTGTTGGCGACTCGGCGGGTTTCTCTTTGGGAGCGGGCGGTAATGAAGGTTTTGGGCCAGTAGGCGCTTCTTTTTTGAGAAAATCGCGGAGGGATGGATCGAGTTGGTCTTGACCGTTTGAGCTATCACCGCTTCCCCAGAGCCAGCCCATGGTCGCGTTGGCAGATGTCTTGGTTCGTATTCGCGAGGTGAGCAGGTGAAAGTTCCCAAGTTGCGGGGACAGTGAACATGGGTTCGGCAGTCCGAGCTTTGGGACATGTCTTAGCGCGTCTGTCTTACATCAACAACGACTCGATTACGCGACAGGACAACATCAACCCAACAATTGTTACGACGTGCATTGTTATGGCGCCAGTCGGTATGTCCTACTCTTGTACATTTGAAGACTTGGGGACCGTGCTTACAAGTTTATAGATCGCCGCGAACATCGACAACAACGCGTGCGCGGTGCTGGGTAATTCAATCTTAGAGATCCCTAGACATGCAAACGCTGACCACCGTAGACCTTCATCTGTCCAGGCGTCTTTTGGCTTCAACTTTGGCGCGCTCGGTTCCCAACCAGCCAAACAACCCTCTCTCCCACCTCAACGATCACCACGTCGAACACCGGTCCGAAGTACACCCCGCGCCACCAATGGCTCAGCACAACGGCAAAGAAGCGCGTCGCTCCAACGTAGCAGTGTGTCTAAGCGGAAAAGTGCTCCAAAACATAACACTGTGACCCCGCAGTTGGGCAAGAGGAAGCGGGGTTCCCCAACTGCGCAGCCAGGCGCAGACGATGGGAAGGAAGATGAGCTGAGTCCCAATCGGGAGGAGACCGTGCGCTCCATTGAGAAGAGCAGGAGAGTCGTCGGGACAATTCTCCCTACAAGAGAGGAGCAAGACGATGTGCCAGACGAGCTATCTATGCTGGAGGAGGGCGCCAGTACTGTACGTGAGACAGTTTTCGCCAAGTCTACAGTGATCAAGCGAACCCCTCCACAAGTATCGTCACAAATACGCCCGTCGTCAGGTAGCGCCCGCAACAAGGCGCCTATTATCAACAGAGTCGAGGAAGCGTCGGTCGCATCACGGCGATCAAAATCTACAGATCCTGGCCCGGCTACACCCAGTGTGCTTCCAAATGGACAACCGAGGACATCATCTGCTTCACAATCGGCAACTATTCTCGAGACACCGACTGCAGCTCCAGTGGACGAGGAGAGCGAGGATGAGCTGTCACCGCAGCTCAATGGATCCACCCCGCGAGTGGTTGGCAGTGAACCACGGCCGCAGCAAATGACACAAGAAGAGATCGAAATGGACGCAGACGAGCTCTCTCCACACAGCCAACCGACACCAATCCAGATAACACCGATAGCGAATGGCATATCGATATTGCAGATAGAAGAGCAAGAACCCGGTGAGCAAGCCACTACACCGCGGCCGATCAAACGAGGCCGACCGCGACATGTGGAAGAGTTTGAAGGGGAGACCCTCCCGGAACCTGCTACAGCGAAGCCTGCTAGGCGCGGCACACCAAGGAAAGAAGTTGCAGCTCAGGAAAGCGGACTTCAAGCAACACCAGTCGTGCAGAAGCCAATTCGAACAAATGGCGGGGGTCCCTCAGCGGAAGAAGTAGAGGTTCTCGACAAATTCTCCCCTAACCGTGAACGAACGCCTACACATTCTCTAGAGCCCACAGCACAGGAAGAGGAAACTGTAGAAATCTCCAGTGCGAATGAAGAGTCAGACGCGTTCAAAGAACCGGAAGTTGAAGAAGAAGTTGAACCTTCTCCACGACCTAGAACAAGAGACCCCTCTCCCAAGCAGATACAGCACGTCAAACCTACGACAGAGAAGCCACTTCGCAAACGCCAGAAGTTCCTGGGACCAAAGCATGCCATCTCTGTCATGCGTATCAAGGGCTCCGCCGTTCAAGGCATCACAGTCGCAGACACTACGCGCACCATCCTAGAAGAAACAATCGACCACCGCCTCAGTCGTATGGCCGAGAAGTTGCAAGCCTCACAAGACTCCGGTCACCGCAAGGAACTACGAAGCGAGATCAACCTCTCACTGTCCTTCAAGGAGAGCCTCAATGAGAAGCTACTAGACTTACAGGATGCTAACGACCTCCTAAGCACCAACTTCAAGAAGACAAAGTTGCTTAAACGCGATAATGTTGAGCTACGCAGGGAGATCCTTAGTCTCCAGGACAGCAGACAGGAGATTGCCATTGAACAGGACAACGTTCAGGCACGATACGACGCCGAGAGAGCCGAAGCAGAGGTCAGAAATACCCTCAGTGACAACATATTTGAGATTGACGCTGCAATCAAAAATGGACGTGAAAAGGCACGTAAGGAAGGAAGGGAAGACGAAGGCCCCCAAATTTCACTTGGCACGCTACTAGAAACAGTAGGAAATGACGTCGGTTCGCTCGGCGGCGGTCTTTTCGCCAATGTAAAGACACTTAACGGGCTCTTGGAGAGAGCTGCAGGCTGGCTTGAAGGAAGAGCCTGATTGCACAGCGAATAGCTGGATGGCGTTTACTCTTGTGTACTTTCAGATACGATACCCGGCAAAATCGCCACTTTCCATATGATATCTCTCGTTCTTGCATCCCGCAACCTTCAGCTTGCATCACCTCCACGCCAGTAATAGCAACATGCATATAGCTGTTCACGCGGTTTAGTCTGCGGATAGTCCTGTTTGCTGCAGTTACACTAGGAGTAGTCGCGTGGCTGCTTGTTTTCGGTCTAGCGGCCGCTTTGTAGATCTGGGGACATCGGATCCGCTATCATGCACATTGCGTAACCGTGCATCATCAAAGAACATACTGGCCTTGCTCTGCGCATCACAGGGTCCAGGAGACCATTAACTTAACAGCCCAGCCTTCTGGCCTAGTCTCACCTGACAGTTCTTTCTACATCTCGTGGGTTTTTGAGATTCCACCTGTTTACGTGTTAACACCTGCACTTTGCCCTTCTCGGGGTTGCTCCAGGGGCCAAGCTTCACATCCTCGTCGTCTGCAATTCTACAACGTGCATCTCCTAGACCCTTTCTTCCAAAACAGAAAAAGCAAAAATCGTGTAACCCAACCCTGCATCTCATTTTCATTCAGGTCCCCATCATCTTGTAAGTGAGGCAAAGGACATACTCGGACGAGGAAACTAGCTTGCGCGGACCTCCGGAGTATCACCGGACCTTTCACCAGCTCTACACCTAACCAGAAGCTCGCCAGGTCGAGAACAGCCCAACTGACGTCAAAGCGATCCTTGATCACCCAACTTCAATATGACTCGTGGGTCCATCACCTGCGACACTAGCCTCCCAAAAACACCGACGACGCCTTTAGCACCATCTACGCCAACCTCGGCCAAACCCCTTAGAACCACACCGGCGTCGAAATCTCCTCGTAACCCATCGAACAAATTCTGGGTCCAGGAACAGCAGCGTAGAATATTCTTGGAACACCTGAGACGATGGTCTGTGAGCCACGACTCGAGCACTTTTTTCCAAGGCAAGATAAGCTTACAGCCCCCTGAGCCTGGTGTAAATGAGGAGATAGCTCTGGGTAAAAGTGTGACTTGCATCCTGACGGATTCGAGTTTTACGGATTGCAGGAAGATTGTTGCTGTCAGGCTATTTCAATCGCAAAAGGACAGCAAGAAGAGCACGACAAGAGGTCCGGAACGAACGACGGATAACAAGAGCACGGGTTTACCCAGCAGCGATATGAAGCTCTCTGAGCACCGAGAAGGTTGTTGTACCGGAGAAGAGGATCCATGGCCGTTATCTCCGTCAAAGCCGAATCCATCGACCAGCTACTACAAACTCGTCTTCCGCTGCGGCTCTGGCTGGCTCTCAGCGCGCGACTACCTTAACAAGCTCTACTTCACGCATCTCGCAGCTCGTTTACCAGGCCGGCATACCCACTGCGTCACCGACACGGCTGACTTCATCTTCGGCGTCCGCTCTCAAGCCCTTGGCCCACCACCCTCCACTAAAGACACCGTACCCATCCAACCACTTTTCCACCCCTTCCAGCGCCTACCCACTGAGCTCCAAGAAATGATCCTTATGACCGCCGCCGGCCTAACCCGCGACTGCGACCTAACCAACGACCCACGCAAGACTAACACAAAAACCACCGAGAGACCCGTCAGTCTATCAACCATGCTATGTATCTCACGCCATATCTATACTACAATGCAACCGTACATATTTCACAGCACAACCTTTCACTTCGGCTTGAGCGGCACTACAAACTTCCTCTGGCAATCCGGACCGGTTCATCGCTCTCAAATCAGGCGGCTGGCTTTTCATTTCGGGAAGAACGCTTTACTGCACTGTGTGCGCTGGTTAGCCGCAGATCCCATCTTTGATCTCCTGGAACCCCCGCAGCCGAGTGGTGGATCTGGATTACCGCTCTTCTGGCGCTGTCAGTTGCGCGCTCTAGCACAGGAAGTGCATTTACTGGAGCTTGTTGTTGATATTGATGGGATGCCGAAGGCTGATATCGCGATGGTGGTTAGAATACTAAGAGGGGTGTTTGGCAGCGTAGAAAGAGTGAAGTTTGTCGAGGGTAGTACACCCGGCAAGACGGTGGTTGTTGACAAGGGAGATGAGAGGTTAGCTGGTCTTGGGAGAGGATCGTGGAGGGAGATGGTGAAGGGATACATTGAGAGGTATCGACGCCAGATTGGGTGGCATAACTGGCATTTTAAGATGGATTTGGTGCCGTTGAGGGAGGAAGAGGTTGACGATTTGATGGATAAGGAGATGGAGTTTTTTGATAGTTGATACATGTGTAGATATATGGTAACGGTACCCGGCATTTGAGCTCTAGGTCAGGGTGAGAGGAAACAAGTCATGAGTTACGGGTTATGCAGCTAGTAAGATCTTTTGTGTTTATAGTTAGGTGTCCCTAGTGTGCGTATGATAGCCCCAAGACGTTATCAGTAGCCTTGAGATGAATTTATTTTGTTTATCCGCTATTGGGCCCGTACAATGTGCAATCATACTTTCAGTAGAGAATTCGGATATCTTTTAGATAGCTAGGGCCAATCAACAGTGTTGGGAATTTCTCGGAGGGTTGAGATCCTCCAGCAATCTCAAAATGCATCCCTAGTTTCTTTAGCGCATCGCATATCTAGAGAAGGTACTCCGCTGAAGATCGAAGCAATACATCATGCAAAGGCTCTTCTAGATCCTCCTCTCCTAAATCCCCAGCTGTGCAAAAAGGATCTCAAAAACATACAACAGCGGGGATTCGCTAGTGGTCACCCACTTAACTACTAATCCGCCGGTACACTGCTTGTATATGGCTGAGCGGACGGGAAGCCTAGCTTTCACTCATGCGACTGTCACAAAGTTCAGTAATTTTTCTGTATGCAGTAAACTCCTTTTCTGTATACGGAAGCTCCTTTTCTGTATGCGGACTATTAGCACAGATTCTAGTCTTAGTGGCTTGCTCCGTGCCCTCGGGCGTAAGTGCTACTAATAAAGCAGCGGTCCAGCGCTTAAGTTTCTTAGACGCCACGAACATAGAGTTGAGACAGCCCCTGCAACAACAGTCTGCGAGAAAGAAGGCGCATCTGTAGCCTAGCCTTTATTTGCAAAACATGCGGCTAGTGCAGAATCTATAGGCTTACAAAGACATGCGGGTGAATGATGCTCTCTGCAGTACCACTGTCTATCACGCCTACGATAAACATGCCAGTCGAAAGTGACGCGCTTAATAGTTCACTCTTACTAAGCTTAGCTCCATTATTATGCGTCCTCGCCATTGTTATCAGTCTTGACACTGGTTTGATTCGGCTCGCCGTAGAGGTGACAACACGAATCAGTAAACGCACCCTAGAGTCACGGGAATGGGTTAACTGTTAGTGGTGGTTGCGGCACAATGTTAGTGAGGATTCTGTTTCCCAAACTCCGAGTCTGTACCGTGAGCTACTGTCTGTGCGTTCGTAACGCGCACCATCGGCCTTATTGAGCACCCACACACATGAGGTTGTTAAGCTACGTATAAAAGCTATCTTGTCTAGATTTTCTAGTGGAGTAATCTATAGGCCTATGCGACAAATTTTGCTACCAATATTTGCGTAGCTGAAGTATTCTGCGGCCGCGACTGTTAACTGTTAGTGGAGGTGCAGAGGGCGGCTCATGAACAATAGAGCGACGCGCACCACCTCTAGCACCACAAGAACGCTTTGCAGTTAGTTCTTAAGCTGTCAAAGCCTTGCGCTTGCCTTTTGCGGCTATTTGTATAGCTTTTTAAGAGTCACACTCCTGCTTCTTGCGTTCTTTTTCTGCCTTACGTTCATCAATTGATTTGCGCTCTGCAGCCTTCTTTTTATCCCTCTCCTTCTTCTCTTTCTCTCGCTTCTCAACCTTCTCAGCCTCTAGTTTTTGCTTCAGCTTGCGTGTTGTTTCACGTAGCTCAGCTGCATTAGATTTCCTAATCTCCTCCGCCTTCTCTGCCTCATCTGCTTCATCCAACAGACGCTAAGCTTCGTCCACTCGTGAAGGAGACCACCATTAAGTCTCACCATCCCAAGATTGCCGCTAAATCAAAGGTAAAGCTCTGCTTCTTTTGCTACCCTCCTTCTGCTAGTTAAGAGCTTCTTGTGGCCTATTATTTTCTATCTCAAGTAGCTGGTTTTGGATAGAGAGATGGTGAAGGGTGTCCCTCACCACCCTCGCATCGAATAAGTACCTATCCTTCACACAAGCTAGCAGGTGCCTGTCAACAGTACGCTAATCTTTCCCATCATAAAATCTTTAAATAGGCTTAGGTGTTTCTGGCTGCTTAGGTTCCTTCGTTACAAACTTATTAAGTATAACGTTAGAGTTGAAGTGTATTAACCTAGTGCTCTCAAAGGCGCTAAGTATAAGCTTTTTAGTAAAGGTCTTCACCCAAGCAGCCCAGAAAAGGCAGAGGAAGTCACCCTTCTTTATTAGCACTAAGCCCTAGCTGTTGTAGAGGTAATCTGTAAGCACTTTGCTGTAGTTCCTAGCTAAAGGACTAGAGCAAACTACATCTAACGGCTGCAGTGTATAGGTACTATATAGCAGGTGAACTGTAAGGGGCTACGCCTAAGTATCGCAAGAGGCTACGCTAAAGAACTTCCCTACTTGTCTATCTTAGTAATAGCGTACAGAGGATAAATACTGTACAAGGAGGACACTACTCTTCTTTTCTTCATCCTTCTTCTTCTGTACATAGGAGCAAATGCATACTCGTTAGCAGGCCTCTTTCCGCCCATAACACTATCTGTAAGGCAGACTTCACGCGCAGAAGAGCGAACTGGTTGAGTAGAAGCTTGTATTCGGAGTAGAGAAAATAGCAGACGCAGAGCCTAGAAGAGGCAGAGCGTACGCGTACTTATATAGCCTAGAGAGAGAAGCGAAGCAAAGGCGTACTAGGCCGTAGAAGGTCTAGTAGTTTACGCCTTCGTAGTAAGACGTAGCCTTTTACTCCTTAGCTCTAAACCTCGTAGTAAGTAGTAGCTAAGGAGAGGCTATGTCCTTACACTATCATCAAAAACGAGGCTGTACAATCACCAACAAAAGCTATTATCGCGAGATTTTTTGAGGTTGAACTAATTACAGTATTGCGATCAACTTGTGCTACTTATATTTACTTGGTACCTTAGTAGTGCGGCCAAGGCGGGTCGTTTGAGTTGGGACGGCTGGTGCAGCCACCTCAGCTTGTACATGAGATGAATCAACAACAACACGTTTTTGACGCTTCTGATTTTGAGTAGAGGCTTGTGAGGCCTTGCGCTTACCCTTTTGGGACAATTTTATAGCTTTTTCAGCGTCGCGAGCTGCTTTCTGGCACTCCTTTTCGGCTAGCTTTTCGGCTCGCTCCTTCTCCCTCGCCTCCTTGAGCCTCTCCCTCTCAACACGCCTCTCCTCGGCCCGTTGAAGCTTGTACAGTTGAGCCTGTTTCCTCAGCTCTGCCCTCTCTGCTTTTTGGAGTTGTTCGAGCTGTTCTTGTTGACGTCGTGCTCTCTCATCGTCCTGAGCCTGACGAACCTTCCTAGGCGACCAGAAAACGGCTCCTCCATAGTATTCCTCAGGATTACTGAGTTGAAGCGTATAGCTATTCCTTTGGTGTCTCTTTTTGAACTTTAGAGCCTCCTTTAGGCCTTAAACTTCTGCTTTGAGTATACTGTTTTAAGCTGAGTTGTGATGCAAACTTCGATAGAGCTTTTTCACCTCCTTACTTGTAACAAGGGACGGCAGAGGCTGAGCGAGGAGGACGATTATGGTCCCAACATGTTTGCTTCTCTCGCTCGCGCCTTGGCCTCTGAACCTGCTCATAACCTGCGCCCCGCGCGTTAGGAGATGGACAAGAATTATTCTCACGACCTCCCCACCTAGTGTATTAATACAGAGCTTTCCCCCACTATTCTCTTGTAGTGTGAAGCAAATACTATTGCCTATAACTACCCCTCACAGCATTACGCGAACATGCGCATTAACAGACACGGTAACTCGACCTCGAGCCTGAACACCAACACCAACTCCCGATCGCAGAGGTCGTCCTCCCCTAAACCAATCTCCCTCGCCCCGCACGGCACACATGTCTCTATCCCGCAGGGGCACCTAGCGTTACGTACCAGCTAGCTTGGATAGCGCACGAGCACTGAAGTGGCGCGTGCCAGTAAATGTGCGATGACAAACAGCAGGCGTCACCCATGATTCAAACACCTAATCACAGATCTCACGCAAATTTGCTCCGCACGAATCGCCTTCCCACTACCATCTACTCTCCTTGCATCAAATTCCATACATTCGATCAGCCGCTTGAGCTTGAGCTTGCGTTCGCATGAAAGTCTCGTATATGGCCTTTGACCAGCACGATGTTCCAAAGCGACCACCTATGCTGCTCCCCGCCCCCGCCCCCGCCCCCGCTACCATCGAGCCACCGCAGCAGCCACAGAAGAGGCCCCGCCTTCCTGCGTGCGACACTTGCCGCACCCGCAAAGTAAAAGTAACGCCAGGCACCAGATAGACGTTTGCTTGTTCATTATATACTAATGTCCTGAGCAGTGCAGCAACGAGCGGCCCCAATGCAGCCAATGCATTAAACATCACACTACTTGCCGCTATTCAGAAACGGAAGCGAGGGTCGTCAGAGTGAATACTGTCTACAAAACAATATTCTTTTCTCAACTAACACGTGACAGAAAAAGTACGCGGACCTGAAAGCTCGTATGACGGCCCACGAAGAGTTTTTTGAACTTCTGCGATATATGCCCGAAGCAGATGCGAACGAAGTGTTTCGACGTGCTCGATCAGGTGACAGAATTGAAGGGATCCTTGATTATGTTAAGAACGGGGACCTACTTATGCAGCTGGCTGTCGCACCCGAGACCAACCGCCGCTACCAATTTCCATACCGCTCAGAGATGCCGATGCATTTGCTCGTTCCTGGCAACCAATACTTGGATTCTCTAATGTATGGCTCCTTGTCGGGTCTGTACCGACCCAAGCATGGGGTTTCCTTACATCCTCCAGGTGCGTCACGTGGTACTGTTCAGGTTGTACAAGACCCATACCTGAAGCCTGCCAATGCAGCAGAACTTGAGCATCCATTGTTGTCGCAAGCATCTGCCTCAAAATGGACCAATGCTATCTCGAATGATGTACTTTTTCGAAAGCTATTGAGCAATTATTTCCTCTATGTTCACCCACTTTTGTATTGTTTTCATATGAAGTATTTCTTGGAAGATATGGTCGCTGGGCGAACTCGATTCTGTTCGCCTCTCTTAGTGAACGCTGTACTTGCTGCCGCTTACGTGAGTCCTGATCTTGAATATTCAAAGCCTGACTGGATTGGTTTGCTAATTTGAAATAGCTAACCCATGGCGCCGACCCTCTTAGATCCCAGTATTGGCTGCCGAATAGCCTTGGATACAAATTTCTTGCAGAGGCGAGGCGGCTGTGGGAACTGGAGACAGCTGACAACGTTCGACTTACAACAATACAAGCTGCAATAGTCATACATCTGATATACAACCTGATCGGTGTGGACCGCGTAAGTTGTGTCTACACTCCAGAAGCTATGGCTGACACGTTACAATTTAGGTCGGCAGCAATTTCACTCGACAAGCAATTGCTATGTCGCACGAGCTCAATCTGTTCAAAAGTCCAGATCACATCAACAGTAGGAAAATGCGGAATGCACGTATAATGCTGGCATGGGGACTTTTTGACTGGGTTAGTGCTGTCTAAAGATATCATTGATGTAGTCCACGCTGATGTATCGATCTGGACCTCATAGTGTTTGTTCGATGCATATTACATGTTCCGAATCCCGTTGTTAAAAGACCCTCCTGAGATGCCATTTCCGGACCCTTTGACTAATCCAGGCTTCCATGATGAGATGTGGCTACGCTACCCACTCGCCACGTCGACAGTGCCTGCCTATTACGCTCACACCATTACCGCAAGAAGACATCTCAGTCAAATCAAGAACGATATTGTCTACAAAGTTCGTAGTCGAAATGTATTGGAGGGTCCGGTTCTATTTAGTACCATACTAGAGTTCAACAAGAGACTAGATGGTTGGTTCCAGAACCTGCCGCTGGCTATGCAGGCTAGGAACATCGTGTTTCCACCGCAGCTAGAAGTCCAGTAAGTAATCTTCTATGAACTCGACCTTCGAAAGCTAAGAGACATATTCTTGAATACTACAGCATCGTTATCGAGTTATTTCGACGGGGCGGAGACGGGGCAGATGAGGCCCTGTCCGCCCGGATGATTCTCGAGTCGAATGTTCGAATGGAGACTGTCCTGCGACTCTATTACCTCCGTCATAGCTTCGACTGCTTCACTAATTTCATGATTTTCTTCATGGTCTACATCGGCAACTTGGCTCTCGAAGACCTTCGCAGCAATCAGCTGAACAACGCAAGCGCCGAAGACCTCCGATCAACCCTTGTCCTGTGTGCCAATGGTCTGCAAAGCTATGGGAAAGCATTCCACGTCGCAAAGCTCGCTCATTATGCTCTAAGCACGAGAGTTTCTACGCGTGACTTACGGCTGCTACAGGCGTATTCTGGTTCACAAGACAACGCTGTGGAGGAGCAAACATTGATAAACCACGCCCATAGGTATGCATTTTATATTGCCCTATAACACATCATTCTAGATTCACTTGTTCTGTAGTCCTTTGAGCTAATAAGTTACAGCTCCTGGCCTATCCCTATCTTTGATGTCAAAGAGGAGGACCCCGAGGTAGCGAGGTTAAAAAACATGATCGAACGAACCGAGAAAGTCTCGTTAGTGGACGGTTCTAGTGTTGCTAGTACACCTGAGCCCTGAGGAATGACCCATATAATGCAAAATGGGTTGAAGAATTATGTTGTACTATAGTCACATCAAGCAAGACTAAGTGATGGCATTGCTGACGCTGAAACATGGCTTCATCTGGTTTAGGTTTTGTTCGACTTCGTTTAATCGTGACGGAGTAACCGCGGCCATGTCCCGCACGGCATCACGGTGCCATACGCGTTAAGCGGAGATAAGGAAATGGCGGCAGTTGCCATTGCAGGCGGGTTTCTCCGGCTATCGCGTAGGGTGGGACGGACGTTAATGTGCTGGGAGAACGAGAGCTACAGAATAGATGCGCGTTGCACTTGTCTGTATTCAAGAACACTAGGGATAATCTGAGAGTCCGGAAGAGAAAGCGTCCCGTTACACCGTGCGTCCCGGCACGCTTGGATCGACATTATAGACCCCTTCGACCTTACTGCCACGCTCGTAAGCCAAACTCAGCCCTGTGGCGGCAATACTAGAATGGTTCATGCAACGTCGCTAACATGGATTATAAGCGAGTTGCGAATCCAAGCAAGTTGCGAGCCCCACCAACCTTCTGCACCTCTCTACACGTAGACATCTATTTCTCAACTACCTATTCCTTCAATGCCTTTAAATGAAGCAGATATCTAGCTTGCTATTGCAGCAATTAGTACATCACAAATACGAGCTGTTAGCCGTGCTGCAGCTACGTATAATGTCGTTGAATTAACACTACGCAACCGACGCGCTGGCAAGCCCGCTCGACGCGATTGCTAGCCTAACTTAAAGAAGCTTACTACGCTAGAAGAGGAGGTGGTTGTGCGTAATATACTTCATCTAGATTAGCGTGGATTTGCGCCTACGTACGCAGCTGTACGTGATATAGCTGATACGCTGCTCGCGCAGCGCAGCGCAGGTCGCGTTGGCGTCCACTGGCCACGCAACTTTGTTAAGCGTACAGACAGTCTTACGACGTGTTTTAATCGAGCCTACGATAGGCAGAGAGCTCTGTGTGAGGATTCTGTTCTTATCTAAGGCTGGTTTGAGCTTGTAGAGCAGACGAAGACGAAGTACGGCATCTGCGATGAGGACGTCTATAACTTTGACGAGGCTGGCTTATGATGGGCAAGATCACGACTCAGCTCGTCGTGACTGGGTTAGAGAGGAGACGCTGGCTAAAGGCTGTTTAACTAGGCAATCGCGAGTGGGTGACCGTGATGGCTGCGATCAACGCTGCTGGCTGGACAATCCTACCCTTCCTTATCTTTGCTGGTTAGTATTACCTATCTGCCTGGTACGAGGAGGCAGAGATCCTACGCGACTGGGCGATCGCAGTTAGCGACAACGGCTGGACGAACAACGAGCTTGGAGTTGAGCGGCTGAAGCACTTTAATGCTCACACGAAGACTCGCGTTATAGGTGCCCGTCGCCTGCTCGTCCTTGATGGCTATAGGAGCTATTACTCTATCGAGTTTGAAGAGCTCTGCAAGGAGAACAATATCTACACGCTCTGTATGCCGCCTCACTTATCCTACCTACTGCAGCTGCTTAACGTTAGCTGCTTTTTGCTATTAAAGCGCGCTTACAGCTGTGAGATTAAGGCTCCAATCTGCTACCGCATGTCACGGCGCTGACCTAGATAGCCTATTAGAGCGCGCCAAGCTGCTAAGCGAGCAGCTGCGCGATCGCTGAAATTCCTGCGCGAACGCGCCCTGTCGTACGCTCCTTGAGCTACGTCCTTGTCTTAGCCTGACCCCGTACTATCAGCGATATCTTAGTGAATATACTGATCACGTGCACCTACCGACCCTGCCTGCCGACCCCGTGACACCGCATTAACTACATTACTAAGCTTGAATTTCTGCTAGCCTTTAAGGTAGCCTTTAATCGCGCGTTTACGGCAGCTAATATCTGCTCAGCCTTTAGAGGCGCAGGCCTTGTTCCTCTCTAGCTAGACGCTGTCCTGTTAAAGCTAGACGTAAAGCTGCGTACGCCTACTCTACGAAGGAGCTCGTTTTTAGTGAGGAATATTTTCTGGCCTGTGCGCCAACTTCACTTTTTTGGCTGTACGGCCATACAAAACAGGGAAGAAACAGCACAACGAGTCTGTTTTTTGCTCTATAAAAGATGAGGCTACTTAAACATATGTAGACCTATTAATACATCGATTTTTTAGAGTTGCGATTAGCCATGGAAGTTGTTTCTTCCCTCATTTTGTATAATCCTGCGCACCACCTTTAGAATCCCCATCACCCACCGATTAATTAGTTCTTGAGGCATGGCCTCCCATTCGGTCTCCCATTGCTGTCGGCACTGCTCTGGTGTACAGCTTAGGGTGAATTGCTTCGTCACATGACGTCGTAACCATAGCCAGGCATGCTCAGATGCGTTCACATCTGGACTGTGACCTGGCCACGCCATCTTTTCGACCTTTTGAACTTGCAAATAGTCATTTGCGATGCGAGACTTATGTGGAGGAGCTCCATCTTCAAGTAAATAGCATGTAATACCTTAGTTTTTTAGTTGGTTGATCCATAGAGCGACCTTCTTAAGGGCTCCTTCGCGGTGGCGATACCCATCCACACCACCTCTAGACCTAATACCACGATGATAATCATGTTTCTTAATGTGCTGAAGCTTCTTTGTAGACGTACGGAGGTTTGTATCGACCTCCCTAAGCACCTGGAGCGCTGCGCGGGCTTGGGTTTAAGCATGGTTTGAGGATGTTCGAGTAGCTGCATTTTCCAACTCCAAGAGCTCCTCCGCTACCTGTTTTTCCTCCTGTGTCTCGTGAAAATAAACGTGACAAGGACCTTTATAGTCATATCTAAAAGCTCCAAAGAATTGTATACAGCAGTCTCGGCGGTTGCGGTTGTGGCGGACGTCCTCATTATAGATCTCATCATCGCGAGCCCATGTTCGGATCATGCCTCGCTCTTCTCCCACTCTAGCTGGTGTTTCGTCAGTAAAAACAACACACCAGAAGTCGTATCCAAGTCCGTCACCAACCTCGTATCGATCGGGGTTGTGGTTGAGGGCCCATTGCAATCGCTCGCGGCGCTGCGCGGGTGTTAAGGGCGGCTTCCAACCTGGCTTTCTGCGCTTGTAACCAGCTCCATACATGACATTTTCAAATGTTGACACGCTCAAATTAGGCGCAATAGCATGAAGCTCGCGATGCTTTATTGCCTGCCATGACTCCTGCTCGCGGTGGTTGCGATCCTGCGTCGTGATGCGGATGATGGCGTCTTTCTGATCATCACTCAAAACCTCGGGTCTCCCACGCCCAACCTCATTTGTAAATAGTATTAGATCCCATAAGTCAAAGCTTCCAGCTTCAGCGCGCTCTTTTATACGATTTAGAAGCTTCGATATAGTGCCTTGGGGGCGGTGGAGGGCGTCTGCGAGGGTGCGTTGTTTTGCATTTCCGAATAACACAGCACCAGCGATAAATGCACGGGTTTCTGGAGGTATTTCGGTGCGCTGAGTTTTTGAAACTCTTTGGGTAGGTGTAGCAGTATATTTAAAAGGCTTTCGCCGGTTCAGAACCATAATTTCACGTTGTTGTGTTGAAAAATATGATGTATTACTATGGTGGTTGCAATGGTGGTTGCGGCATTTCAGAGTTGGGATGGTTCGCCAAGCAATATTCCTCACTAAAAACGAGCTCCTTCGTAGCTGCTCTGCTAGAGGCTGTCTAGGAGGCTCGTACACTAAGCAACGTACGTGAGCTTGAGGCTTAATTAACGTTAATTCGTGAGCGCGTTAGGAAGCATAAGAGCTCGTTACTAGCTTCTATTCTTAAAGCGATTAACTAGCTTGAGAAAGGGGTAGAGATAATAATACTCTTAGCTGAGCTAATGCGCGATTAGATTACTAGCCTTAAGAAGGCTAATAAGGCAGCGTTAGAGCGAAAGAAGCGTAAGAAGAAGCGTATACAGAAGCGAGGAGTCTTAACAAAGGGAGCTAGAGAGGATATAGTTGCTTAATGTAAGGCTAATTAGCAGATTGCTTGTAAGGGGCTACGCTCAGGGAGCTATCGCACAGGTATACTGGAGTTGTATTCGATAGAGAAGAGAACTACAGGTAGCTAGGGTTCTGAAGGTCGTTCAGGGGGCGGCGGCTCGGGATAACCTTCTGCCGGGCTCGCTTGCACAGAATCCGGGTGCTCAGGGGGGGCACCCGGAATCTGTGGACAGTGCGCCTCGCGCACGTGACCGAGATATCATCGAGGACTCACCAACTGGGCTCCAGCCCATCACACCCAAGTACTCCTCACACTGAACGAGAGAGTGCAAGTGCGCAAGATCTTTACTCTTTTTCTTAGGCGCCATAGTAAGCACGTAGAGAAGTCAGGACCATAGAGGGAGTAGGACTGCAGCGGAGACAATGTGAAGAGGACAGGAAGGTCGTGAGCCCCATCCTGGCGGTAACTCATCCTTAATTCAGTGCGCTGCTATTGCAGCGAGCACTATTAGACGAATACAGGATGCTGAATGACCGTTAATGGTCATTTGTGGCTATGGTGGTGGGGGCTGCGGCGACGGAGTCGTGATTCCTGAAACGGGTAACCGAGGACCGCGAGTTTTGACGGATGGCGAGGGTGAACTAATTTTCAGTGCCCTATGTTCGTATGTGGAAGAAATTGTGGGTAATGATATATATATCTACCGTCGCTAACCACTGTTAGCGTCAGGATGAAGGATATGAATCTGTGCTTACAATGGAATTGTATCACCCTACATATCAGCAGCAGATATGTGTCTGGATATATCGGCAGCTGCACCGACGACCAAAGCCTCAACGAAAAGTTCCAGTAACATATCGTATGTGTGGACTTTAGTGTCTAGCAGTTGTCATTAATCGTTGCGCGGAGCTAGCTGCGCGACGTCTTTCCACGCTTCGCGCTATCATGTCTACCTTGTCAGTTAAATGGTAACAGCACTGTCCAAGTCGTCACTGTGTCTTAATCTTCGTATGCTATTTTAACGCCGCTTGACCTCTGTGAAGCCAAGCGGGTAAGTGCGGTTATCGCCCGATCACGATTGACAACTTACAAGGCATAGATTTGACAGGGGACATCTTGGCATGGTACACAATAAAAAAACAACGGCTGCAGGCGTCGCGGTACAAGATGAAATGTTGGTGTTGGAACAAAGTGTTGCTATATCCATGTGGATCCAAGGACACATCGCAGTAGCGCGGTGATGTAAGGCGCTCGTGACAACAAGTGGATCGGCTTAAGGCAAACCGTGCCATTCAGCAACCTTGCGTTAACGATTATCCTAAGACAAATGACGACAGAAGAATAACGCTACCACTGCCCAAGAACCTCACTGAAGGAATGATAAGCAATTTGTTCGTTCCGATTACCCGGCGGAGGCGCGCCTAAACGCATTGCACTGGCACTATTGGACACGATGTTACATCACGAAGCTGCTTGGGTGCCTAAGAATGCCTTACTCTTGGCGGACTGCAGATTGCCATATTATGGAGCGCCATGTATGAATAGAGTTATCGTTGGTAAATATCCCAGATTTCAGAACACTCCTATTAACTAAGAAACGAGATTCATTACTGTCGTAACAATCACGCTTTTGCACTCCACCTCCTATATGAGGACTTTCTTCAGCCTTCAGCATATTCCCTAGCAATGCAGTCTGTTCGTGTCGCCATCAGAGCAGTATCTTTAGCTTTGTTGTTGGTCTCACTCCATGTCCACGCGCAAAACTCACCTTATAAGTTTGTACTCTTTCGTATATACTAAGCTACTTGGATTAATTATTCGATAGCCAAAACTTAACGCTTCGCTTCTTCCAGGACGGTCAGGACGATACGTGCGACTATGGCAACTCCAGTGGCGCCTTGACCTTCACCACGGATAGCATCCCTATTGTAGACCACTGTTTCGACTTTGCAGATCTTTTCGGCGGAAACACCACGCGTGGCTATGTCAATCAGACAAAGAACCTAGGTAGCCAGTGGGGTCAAGCGGGTCTATACTGGCAGCTTGAGAACATCGACAAATTCGACAGGAATGCCAACTACTCTCGGGTTTTGTACCGTCAGCACGTACTGAATCCTTCGAGTGATGACTACAAGCCGGGCCACCATGCAGATCGCAGGGTGACATTGTACGGAGGAGAGCGATGTAGTGAACTCGATCCTTCAAACGATAAGAACTTGCTCAATTGGTATGGTTACAGCTGTTGGAGTGAAGAGCAAGGTGCATGTGGCAACTTGCCGTACCTTATCAATAGTTTCAAAATCCTACCTGGGGAAGACAAGGGCAAAGATCCGGGCTATACTTGCTGGCTACATGCAGAACTCGGTGCGGCGGGGCATAGTTTCTCGTCTTCGCGGGCCATCATGGGAGCTTTTGCCAGCGTGTCTTTGGCTGCGTGGCTGGCTTTGTAGGACAATGGGATATCCAGTACGAGCCCCTTCTCTAGGTTCCTTTCAAGGGAATAGTGAAAGAAATTAGGGTGTTTCACCTTGCTTCTCTTCGGGTATCGTTCCCGGCTACCTTACAATCACGACACACGTTCATGACAAGATCTGATAGAGGCAGAAAAGTTGAATCGACATTACGCCTATGTATGCCCAGCCTTTTGAACCCAATGTCCAAACGCCAGTAGCAGAAGATTTAGACAAGGCAGGTCTCCTGTAGCCTATCCAAAACACCGTGACTATGCAAAAAGACTCAATGCAGGAGTAAAAACCGCTCACAATGTACACCATAACCATGTTTTCAACTAAGTACTTCCATGACTTCTCAGTTTCCTCCCTGCTGCAATTCCAGGGCCTACGCTGTTGCCGAAATTCGTGATGTTCTCTACGTCACCACGCTCGCCAGCAACGCCGACCGTTTTCCTCGTCATCTTCTTCATGGGAAGCTTACTTCCATCATCGCCATTGGTGCGCATCTTTTTACTTGGAGGGGCGCCGTTGGTCAATGAGTCGCAGGATGATTGGGATGCGAGATGGGGAAGAGGCTGGGTATGAGCTTCCTGCGCCATCACGTTAACATCTAGCTCCCGCAACGAAGTAGGGTTGCCTGTTGGGAGATGTGAGATAGTGTGGGCGTGCGCACTAATGGAGCGGGAGAAGTTGGGCTTGTTGGCGGTGAAGGCGAATATGTCGGTCGGGGAGCTGAGGGTATCCGTGGCATCATTGAAGACAGGTTGCTTGGAGGGACTGCGTGTTGTAGAGTCGGCAGTTGTAGGGCGGTCTCGGAGACGAGAGAGGATGTTCTCGTGTGCTTCGGTGCGTGGAAGGGTTGAAGGGATAGTGTAAGAGACGCGTTGAGGTGTTTCGCCGGTGGGGTTGTACTCGATCAAGGCCTGGGAACTAACGACCTCGCGAAGCTCGTGGAGCGGTGCACGTATGTCGGCGTCTGCAGCGAGTGCTGGCAAGGTCTCCTTCAGAGTACTTGCTTGTGCTGACATGTCTGATTCGAGAGACTGAACGCGATCAAAGGAGGAAGATAGATGATCGCCGATACTAGAGTATGAAGCTGCCACCGTCGATGACAAGGCAGCCAGCGAAGCCGTGTGCGCCGCGTGATGAGTGTTGTTCTGCTCACGGATTCGGGCCACAATATCATCTAGAGACTGGAGTTGAGTGTCCAAATGTGCCATCTGTGCCTCAACTGTCTTGACAGTACTCTCGTGAACGGAAGTAGTCGTGTCTTTGATCGAAGTGGAATGCTGAGTCGCGGCTGCAAAGTCTGACTTGATCTTGGTCTTGACGGCATCTCTTGACTTCGATACACCTGCCAGGATGTCTCTCGACTTATCTGACCACGCAATAACGCCTTCTGCGTAAGCATCCTGCTTCGTCTCGAACGCAACGTTGGCGGTGTTTAGCTCCTCTCGCACAGACAGGAGCTTCTCGTCTAATCTCTTCTCTTGTGCATCAGCGTTCGCGTTAACGATCGCGGTAATCTGCGACAGCAGCTGTTGGCGGTCTTCGGCCGACTTCTGCTTCTCCTCATCCACGACCTTCTCCAGCTGATCCTGCGAAGCCTTGCTGACCTCGACCAAAGCAGCGTTGGCCTCCACCACTTGCTGGTGAAGTCGTTCGTTCTCAGCCTGCTGTTCGCTCAAATCCTTCACTAGATCATCAAAAGTTGTCTTGAAGTCGCGCCCTAGCCCTGCATATGATGCGTGAACCTGCGTATGGAAAGCGTCCAGTTCCGTAATGATGTTTGCTGAGATTGTCTCTGCCGCCGCTGAGAGCTCATCGAGCCCTGCGCCGATCTTCGTCTTGACATCCTCACGAAGGGTCTTGATCTCTTCTAGAACTTCATTCATGTGATCGCGTGCTTGCGCAGTCTGACCGTTGACTTCTTGCTCGGATGTCTGGTATGCCTCCATCTTCTCTTGCAAGAAAGATTGCGAAGCGCCAAGCTTCTCAAGCTCGTCCCGGACGAACGTTTGCATGCGTTCTGATATCGAGTTCATCAACTGTTCCTGTTGCTGTTGGAACTCCTCTATCCGATCTTCGACCATACGAGTAGTATCAACAACCTGAGTTTGGGAGGAATTCCAGTTCCGTCGGTTCTGTGATTGGAGTTCTGACTTCCGTCGAATTTTTGATCGTAGACCATCAATAGCTGATGTCGTCTTGCCGAGCGTTGAGATCATGTCCTTTCCTACCTCTGCCAGCTCTTGCTCAGTCTTCTGATGCGCCTTCCGTAACTCTGTCTCTTCTGCCAGGTTCTCGCGAGTGTGCTCCAGAACGATCTCCGTCTTCTCTAATATGCCCTTGGTGCCGTCTAAGGCCAATTGCGTTTGTTCATTGTCTTTTTTCAAGGTCTGGAAGTTCGTGGTGAGTTTGAACAGGTCTTCCACCTTGTTACGGAGGTTGACCTCCATGGTTTCGAGCCGGTCGCGTTGTTCTTCGCTAAGGATCCGTCTTGATTCGCTAACTGTGGTAATCTCCTCGTAGTTCTCTTGCGTAAGATAAACACCGTTGCGTTGCCGGGTCGCTATTAATTCGCTCTTGAGCTTCTCGATTTCGGCGGTATACTCTTTGAGTAGAGTCTTCTTGTTGATGGGCTGGTTCATTTGCGGCTTGTTTCGGATATTCTTCGCGCGGAATGCGTAGTCGAGGGTGGATATAGTTTCTTCGAGGTTGCTCTTCGCTGGCGACAAGGTCGCAATGATGCACGTCTTCGTTCGACCACCTAGCGAGTCTTGCAAAAGACGGGTTAGTTTTGATTCCCTGTACGGAATATGGGAGCTTTTCTCCACGAGCGCGTTGATAACACGACCCAATGTTAGCAAACTCTTGTTGATAAGACCGGCCTCTGCTGCGCGCTTGTTTTCAGCACCACTGCGTTGGATGTTCTCGCTACCTGCAAGATCGACGAGATTGAGCTTTCCGGCGCTCAGGTACTCTTGGCCATCTTCGGTTGTTCGCTTTATGTAGACGGTGATGGTAAAGACTGTATGACTTCGCGAACTGAGATCGTTGCATTTAGTCGCAGCTACCTGTCGCTTGTGGCTTCCGTTGCGCAACATTGTAATTCCTTCAGCGGCAGTCTTGAGATGACACTCCTCCATGCCCTGAACCATGGTTGTGGTAGAGCCCTTCTTGCTGTTGTCGTCGTAGATCTTGAGTTTCGTCGCGTCGTCTGGGGACAGCAGATCACGGAGTTCTTCGTTGTACAGTTCGATGAAGGAGCATTTCACCGAGTTCTCGATCTCGTCAGTTTCGAGGCGTTGGAAGAGCGCGTACAGCACACGTGGTACGATACCGGCGGCGTCCGGAAGGGGGAGGACGTTGGAGATGTCACCAGTCATGGTGTAGGTTTTGCCTGTGCCTGTTTGACCGTATGCGAAAATTGTGCAGTTGAAGCCATCAATAACCTGAGGTGTCGTTAGTGAAGTTTGTTTCATTGACTTGTCCCGACTAACTTGGTCCAAGATGGGCGCCACAACTTCGTCGTAGATCATGGCCTGGTCGGCTGCCGGTGAAAAGACCTTGTCGAATTGGTATGTCTTATTGCTCAGCGCACTTGAACCCATGGAAAGGTCTACTGCTGTGCCCCTGATCCCGTTGGTCGATACCACTACGCCGCTGTTTTCGCGCACTTCGCGGTCATTGCGCCCTCTGCATCGGACGACGACGTTGATGTTTGTCTCTTCTCCTCCATCGCTTTCGAAGTCGCATTTGCGCTTGAGGGGCGACGATCGTGGAGTCCTCGCCGAAGCCACTGATTCTGCTCTCGAGGAGCGGCCATTCATTGCCGGTGTTGCGGAACGGCCACGCGCTAGATGTGGAGGGCGCGTCGTGGGAGGGCGCATGCTCGTCGTATTCCGCTTGAGCGGCGGGCCTGGTCTTGGGAGTCCAGACATGGTGACGCTCTGGGTATGGAGAACGTGTATATGCTGGGTTAGTATGTCATACGTCTGGTGTTGCGGAACCTGCAGGAAAGTAAACAGTTGGTAAACACATGCATGCAGGGATCGCCAGGCACGGACTGCGCGCTATTAGCCGTCACGAACACCTCGCGCTACGTCAATGCAGCATGACTTGCATATCTCCAATACACAGTATGTTTATGTCTTGATGACTGATTCAATGCAATACATCTCACTCGTTGTACTATTACCCTTGTGTTGTGCAGCCTACTGAAGCTTCCCAAAGGCGCCTGAGACGGGCTATATACGTGAACGTTTGCCCCGCCACCCCTCACCTATCGCAGCAGTGTCGCGGATTGTACCTGATTTTATAGTGCATCGTCGCAATACCGGGCACCTTATCGTCTTGATTCGACTGCGTTGATCTTTGCTGTGAGTTCTGGGGGTTAGAAGGATAAACCCGTCACCCTGTCCTCGTGGACACAGCACGCGCGTGCGAGCTCCCTGTTATCTACAAGCTAGGCAGCACATCGATTAGCAAACATCCCGATAACCTACTACATTCATACACTTACCAAAGACTCACCATGGAAGATGGAAATATGCAACTTCAGCCAGGGCGCAGTGTAGGGTTCATGAGTCCGTTGCGACCGTCTTTTGAGTTACCAAGCTGACCGAAATACAGCCCTCGGATGCTCCCTACACGAAGTACTGACGACCATCAAAGCCGAGGTCAAGGCCTTTCCACGGTTCCAGCTCTACCACGACGAGTTACGACCTATTTCATCCCCCGTCCAAGTTGTTCTTCCAGACAACGGTTTGCGACTACAGTTCGACGGACCTGACCAGCGGCTGCGCCTCATCGAAGTGCTCGATTTCGCCAAAGCCAAGTTGGTATATAAGGATATTGAGGTGTACAAGCCTGGTGAAATAGGCTTCTCAGGAAACGCGTCAGGGCCGAGGTTTCGGCATGTCTACGACAAGCTGCTGGGACCAACGTATGGCGGCGAGTACATACCCCCAAAGTCTGAAGACCCCAACGCAAGAGGCACATATAACCTATCTTATCCGGGGATAGCTTTCAACTTCCCGGTTCAACACTCCGCATACTCTCCCAAGAAAGACTTCATCTCGCTCCTGTCCTCGTCGGCCACAGGACCAGCAACTTCTATGGCGGTCTTCAACGGCGAATCCTGGCAAAAGGCTCGTGGGACATTATTCACAGCAGTACCACCGAATCCGAGATCGCTGGCCCTAGGAAAAGCAAAGGACGGTGGTCCAGACGAGATTGAGACGGTCAAAATACATGGAGAAGGTCGGATAGAGCTCGTCCGGCGCTCTAGTCCTCCATTCTGGATCGTCCTTAGTGAGACAACGCCTCAGGACTTGATCATGGAACTTGGTGCACCCGAGTCCATATATCGTAAGAATGACCATCGGCTATCAATACACAAAGACCGGAGGACGAGCGACGCATCGGATCTCTCGCCCAGTGGACTCACTCCAGATGATGATGATTCAGACCACGGGTCAGTGACCAGAAGCAACAACGAAGATGCATGGGAGGACGATGACGAAGCCGCACTAGAAGCTCAGGAGCGAGAAGTCGCAGCGGCTGAGCACTTCTACAACTACTACTACCACGGCTTCGATATCCTGATTTCACAGCCTACGCAGATCTCTCCACCTTCTCCTACTGCAGAGAGACGGGAGTCAGAACTGCACAGCCAAGGCGAGCTCAGTGCACAACCTCTAAACCATCTTACTGCAACCAAGGTCATATTCCACGGTAACGTGCCTGGTTCGTACCAGTTTAATCGACACAGACGAAGTAGATGGACGCTCGAGCATGTGCCCTCAGCTATGTATCGTGACCCTCTCAGTTCTGAAATGGACTTTGGGGATATTTCAGGCCGACTGAAGGAAGTTTTCAAGCCATATTACGAGAACGAAGAGCAAGAGAGGTTGCAGCAACGTGGCATGGCCCTAAACAGAGGTTGGGGTGACAGCCCGGGTAGCAGCTGCGAGCTTCTTGGAGGGTGGGAGGACAGTTCTGGGAGGAAGAGCAAGTTTGCGAATGCCGGCAGTGTCTTGATGGAGGGTGCTGCAGATGTTGGGAACGTAGAGTTGTTTGGGTTTCCAGGTATGGTCTTCGAGGTGTTGAAGAATGGAGCTGTGAGCTCGTTGACTGTATACTAAGACGGCTGGTCATAACACCTAGTGTGGGGAGCTCTGCGCACTAGGTCGATCTGTACGAGGCATGAATGTTGGATATGCACTGGCCTGTGGCATGGTCGTCAGGGGCTGCTATCACCGAACAATTCGCACTGTACCGACTTCAGGAAGTGCGCTATGAATAGCTTAATTTCTATATACTATTCGTATTATACTATTATTTCACAAAGCTTGTCGACTCGAAAGTTCACGACCAACATCTTCATACTACGATGTGGGAGGACATGACGCAGCGTTATCTCCGTACTATCACCGAACCGAGCCGAACCATCACCAAATGAGTGTTCGATCCAAAAAATATTGGAACACCTACCACCACTTCCACGCCGATTCGCCCGCCCAGGATGCTATTATGCTAACCCCAACACGCATCCTCCGCGCATCATGGTCAAACACCCTCCGACTACCAAAATCTAGTTTTCCGCCGCGACCGTTAGCGTCAACGAATCCCACCTATCTCAAACGATGCACCGATGACCTGTATGCGTGGCAGGCAAGCCCCGAACGCGTTCTACGTTATGGACACCTGGAGAAGCGGTTGAATGGACATAACGGCGAGAAAGAAGGCAGTACGCCTAGGGAGAGTTTTACTCTGCATGATGGACCACCGTACGCCAATGGGCCACTGCACATTGGGCATGCATTGAACAAGATCACAAAGGACATCATCTGTAGACACCAGATTGGACAAGGAAAGAAGGTATCATATATCCCTGGATGGGATTGTCATGGTCTGCCTATCGAAATCAAGGCTCTCCAGGCGCAAAAGAAGGATGCGGCGCAAGCAGATCCTGTAAGCGTGCGCGACGCTGCGCGCGAGTTGGCGACTCGGACAATTGAAGAACAGAAGAAGGGCTTCAAAGAATGGGCTGTCATGGGCGACTGGGACAACGCATACCAGACGATGGAACGAGGTTTCGAGATCAGGCAGCTAGAGGTGTTCAAGAGCATGTTTGAAAAGGGCTTGATCTATAGGCAGTTCAAGCCGGTATACTGGAGCCCAAGCTCAAGAACAGCGCTTGCGGAAGCCGAATTGGAATATGACGAGGGACATAAGAGCTTAGCTGCTTTTGTTCGGTACCCGGTGCACCTGTCGGAGGCATTGAAGAACGGAGCGCTGAAGGATGTAAACAGCGAGGTTAGTGTAGTCATCTGGACAACCACACCCTGGACTTTACCCGCGAACAAGGCGATCGCGGTGCACAAGGACATGCAGTATTGCGTAGTCAGAGACATTGAGGAAAACGGCGAGCTGATTCTGATCGCTGTTTCACGAGTAGCGGAATACGAGAAGATCCTGGAACGGAGGCTCGAAGTCGTCGTAGCAGATGTGCGTGGAGCCGATATTGCTGAACAAGTAAAATATGAGAACCCGTTCCAGAAGGCTAGTGGACTCCAACCGATAATTCATGCGGACTTTGTCACCGACTCATCGGGTACTGGGCTGGTTCATCTCGCTCCTGGACATGGTATGGACGACTACAACGTTTGCATGGCGCTCAACGTCCCAGCTTTTGCGCCCATAGATGATGCCGGCGCCTTCACAAAGGATGCGTTCCCTGAGCAGCCCGAGCTTTTGGAAGGACTACCTGTTGCTGATATCAAGAAATCGGGTAGCAATGCTGTGTGCAACTATCTCCAGAAGCTGGACATGCTCCGAGGCAAGCAGAATTACCGTCACAAGTATCCTATCGACTGGAGAACCAAGGAGCCTGTCATCACCCGAGCTACTGAGCAGTGGTTTGCCAACGTAGAGAGCATTAAAGACGCCTCAATGAAAGCAATCGCCAATGTCAAATTCATGCCTGAGACTGGTAAAAGTCGTCTCGAGAGCTTCATCCAAGGACGAAGTCAATGGTGTATCTCGCGACAGCGCGCTTGGGGCGTCCCTATTCCTGCCTTGTACAAGGTCGAAGGTGATACACTGAAAGCGACTATGGACTCTGAAGTCATTGACCATGTCATCGAAGTGATCAAAGAACGTGGGATCAACGCTTGGTGGACGGATGCGCAAGACGATCCAGCCTGGAAGCCGAAGCATCTTACCGGAACGTATGTACGTGGTAGAGATACCATGGACGTCTGGTTCGATAGCGGCACTAGCTGGACGCTCCTTCCACAGCAAAGTGACCAACCTGTTGCCGATGTATACCTTGAAGGCACCGACCAACATCGCGGCTGGTTTCAGTCATCACTCCTCACCCATGTCGCTACCCAATCTTATTCGACCGAGACCGTCAAAGCACCGTACAAGACCCTGATCACTCATGGCTTCACACTCGACTCCAATGGTCGTAAGATGAGCAAGTCTCTCGGTAACGTCATCTCTCCAATGCAAATCATGTCGGGCGAGCTCCTTCCACCCGTCAAGCGGAAGAAGCAAAAGGGCGTCAAGCAGGACCCTGCGGCAAAGAACACGCCAACATACGATGCCATGGGCGCCGATGCTCTCCGCCTCTGGGCCGCAAGCAGCGATTACACACGCGATGTCACAATCGGCCAGCCCGTCCTCATGTCCGTGAACCAAGCTCTACACAAGTATCGTGTTACCTTCAAATGGCTACTGGGCATCTTCTCCCTACCATCTTGTCCGCCACCCTTTGCCTCCTTCAACGACCTCACACTCAACATAACCAACTTCAAGGAACTCACAGATCGCCTGGCCGTCCATCGACTGGTACAAGTCAGCGCGGAAGTGCACAATCATTTCGGCAAATACGAGTTCTTCAAGGGTGTCAACGCGATCAACAAGTACATCTCAATGGATCTCAGCGCATTCTACTTCGAAACACTCAAAGACCGGGTTTACACTAGCGATAAGCATGATTGCGAGACACTTCAGCGCGTTCTGGGACTTATCTTCTATGAGCTATTGCAGATGCTTGCTCCAGTCTGTCCATTACTTGTTGAAGAAGTCTGGGATCATGTCCCAGATGAGCTCAAAGAAAAGAGTAGTCATCCTGCACGTGCGGTTTGGTCGCCTCTCCCCGCGCTCAGGGAATCTGAATCGGCTAGTCTAGAGTCTATGATTGATACTACTAGTACACTGGGAGCAGCGATCAAGATTGCACAGGAGCGCCTCCGTGCGGATAAGAAGATCGGTTCGAGTCTCGAGAGCGCAGCTACCATCTATCTACCATCATCCAACGCCGAGAAACTTCACGCGGAGTTCTCGGCTTGTATGCAGCCTTCTACTCCCAAGCTCGCTGACGTCGAAACTCAACTTGCTGGTCTTTTCGTTATCAGCGAGGTTAACCTCCGTATGCTGTCTGATTCTACCGCTTCTGCGAACGACGTCTTCACAGCAGAGGATCCCGACGTGATGAAGCAGCAGTCGCAGTGGTGTGAGGAAGAAGTACTCTCGAGCGATAGTGAGTCGTTGGGTAAGGCGAGGGTGCTCGTACATCCGCCTAGTAGGGAGAAGTGTCCCAGGTGTTGGCGCTTTGTGAAGGAGGTGAAGGAGGACGTTTGTGGGAGGTGTGGGGACGTTGTTTCGCAGCAGGGCGGTGTATAGATGTGCTGATGATGCTATATGGATTGTGGCTTTCGAGCTGCGTTGTACGTTACTGTAATTCTTAGACTTGTTGATCGCTGCATGTGCGTCAAACTTACATGGCATGTGGAAATAATGCTGTGTTTATTCTACATCTTCTTTCGAAACGTTTCCCTCCATGTACGGCCTATGTGCTGCCTCTTCCTCAGAGTCGGCTTCAAATTTGGCCTCGGAGTCTTTTTTGGGTGCCTCTTCTCCAGTGTCGATTTCTGGTGTTGGTGATTGTAGTTGTTGTTGTTGTTGCTCTCCAGTGTTACTTTCAGTATTCCTTCGCGCTCGCCTTCGAAAGTCGCTAGGCGAACAATCCACACTAACGGCCACTGGCGATCGACCTAGAGGAAATGACCGAGCTTCTTGAATATCCTCATCGATGTGGTCAGCTTTGGAGTAAGTCGGGGTACCCAAGGTTGTGAATTCGGCTGGGGGGCCGAGGAGGCTAGTATATGGCCTCCTGCCTGCCTCTTCTCTGGTATTGACTCCAGTCGTTGAATATTGCAACTGTCGCTGTTCTCCCGCGTCGCTCACTACACTTCGAGGATCCTGAACCAATTGTTGTTGATGCCCCGCATCGCTCACTACATCTCGAGAATACTTATCCGCCCAGACCTTGTTTTCGGTCGGGATGGTGAGGGAGCTGGTATAAGGCCTCCCTGTAGTGTACAGTCTCTCTGCCGCGGCTTCTTCGGAGTCTTCAGGGTCGTGGCCGATATTGAATGTTGCAGTCGGTCTTCGTACGTGTCGTAATAGTTGTTGATCCCCTGCGTCGCTCACTATTACTCGAGGATCCTCGGCCAGTTCTGATGTTCGACCGGGAGTGTCGATAGTACCTGAGAGCAGTCCTGATGTATTTGAAAGATTCCAAGGGGAAAAGCGGTTCTCAAACTCCACATTTGTGGCACTTGGAGGCGAGACTGTAGCACTCTCCTGCTTTCCATCGAAAGAGCTCCAGCCATCAGATGCCTTCTGTAACGACGGTTCTGTCTCTTCATGTAGCTGCCCGACTAATGAAGTAGAAGAGCCATGTCGCTGTTCTACATATCTGTTATGTCTAATGACTGGCGATACTGTTCCTGGTGAAATGATTCTACGTTTTTCGCTCGTGAAAGTTACAGACTTGGGGCTTTGGGGGACGATAACTTCTGTCTGTTGTGGTCTTTCTGGTCTTTCTGCTTCGTACAATATCATACGCTCTCGGAGAAGCTCAAGTGAGTCGCGCCCGGCCAAGACTTTTTTAGCAAGGGGCAAAGGTGGCTCTGCAAGGGCTTCTGCTTCTCTCGCTTTGCGCATCGCAGTTCGGGCTTCCTTGAACTTTGGCGCAATCTGATCCCACGAAGTATCTACGTTCTCTTCACCATGCTCAGACATGTCTGGCGCCATGTCTTCGTGTCGTTCACCATCTTGTGGGCTGCGCTCATTCCCAGTATTGTGGTTTTCCTCGCTGAAATTGAGACTTGATGCATCCGAAGACGATTCCGAATGTTTGTTCGTGGAGTGTGAACCAGAGGATTCCGGAGCGCTTTGCCGCGCAGCATTCGAAGAAGTATCCGCTTCTTCCCAATGAGCCATATAGTCGGTCTGAGGTATCGCGAATAAAGAGATCTGCTGGAGATGTCGTGAAAGATGCGATTTCAGCTTATTCGCATATTTACCACATAAAGTACAGGTACCGGAGGCTGCACGCGATGGTCTCTGGAAGCCGTGATGTAAGTTCTGGAGCTGTGTTTCACTGAGGGGCTCAGAGTGGATTGTGTGCATGTGATCCAAAAAGTCCGACATCTCGCAGAAGGACTCGTGCGATTCCGTGTTACAGAACCACTCGACACGATGCGTTCTTGACTCGTGATTGAACCAGTCATCCACAGTTTCAAAAAGATATTCGTTCAGCTGGCATTCAGGGTATGTGCAGATGTACGGCTGTAGATCAGATAAGACATGCTTCCTAGTCCCATAGTGTCAGCTGTTTAGATTGCAGCGACCAGCTACATGTACTTACTTCCATTGACGCTCATCAATGATGATTTGAGCCGTGGAGCAATACGGACAAATAAAATGTTCTAATGCTTTCCCGTCTTTTCCCGTTGGTCGATTCGGGATTCTGATCGCAATATCTTTCCCTGCCTGCTCTGACGCCGTGGAAGATCCGGAAGTGGATATGGAAGGGGTGTAAAGCCCTACCACGGGCTTCATTGCTGACACAAGAGCACTAGGCTTTAGTGTCGTTGCTTTGGTAATTCCAGTGGTTTGACTCGGTGTTTTGAAACTGGAAGTGATCTCACTGAAGCCATCACCTCCATCCGTCCTGGGTTGATGACGGTAGCTGAGCTGAAACGTGTCTGATGACGGCGTTTCTTCGTATTGTAAGGCTTTTGTATGGTCTTTGCGGTACATGATAAGCTGCCTGCGTCTCGATATCATCTTTGCTAGACGTAGAGCAACAATTTCGTGAACGTTGGGATACTTATCTTTGACATACATGATATCGAACGGAACGTAGCCTGATGTATCTGCACTAACTTTCTTCCGCATTCGATCAACTGGCGCAGGACGTCGGATAGGTAGTTTCCAGAGACATTCGACGACGAATTTGGTAGAGTCTAATGGCAAGGCCTCAGTAGTCGCGACACCAAGCGAGAGAGTTGGAGCCTCTGTATGAGGGCGCTTTGGTATGTACGGAGAGTGTCCTTGCTCGGGTGGCAGTTCCGTTTCTGAATCAGAAGAAACTTCCCAGGGTGAATCACTGGAGTCCAAGTCGTCTAAGCTCGTATCCAGAAGGCCACAGTCTTCAACTGCATCCCTAAGGGCTGCCGAGTTCTCATGCGTAATCGCATGCAATGCTTGAGAAGTTTAAGTCAACAAATCTTAGGTATGAATTTGAGCTCATCGTACCTTTGTCCAGCTGTGACACAAGTACGTGATTAGCGCTTAGTCCATAGATCGACAACTTGAAGTGACTGCGAAAAGGTCTCTTCAATGCGAAGCAAATTCCCTTACAGAGCTCCGCAGATCTTGCAATAACTTCGATACCTAAGAAAGTGTAAGTCTCGGTGTAGGTGTTGGACGTGAGTTCATACCTGATCCTTGTAGAAGGAGGCCTCTCTAAGCCGATAATCTAGAGACATCTCGTACTTGGCACCTTTGTGCATAGCGCCAACGTTTCCAGCCCAGAGTTTGTATCTATCAAACACATCATACGCATCTTCTAAATTTTTCTGATGAGAAGGGGATTGCAGTGCATCGATTACCGCAAGAAAAGCCTGGACGCAGCTAGCATGGATGTGAGAAATGGTGCTGTCCATATTTTTGGTATGGCATCTTGTTCACTAGGAAGTGGAAGAAGACATGAGGACTAGAGCGCAGCTGAGCTGTCATCTATGAGAATGCTATGAGGGGCACCTGCCGACTAGAGCATTTCGGGTATAGTGATGCGGGTAAGTATGCCAGAACTACTCTTCTACCACGACATTCTTTGCACACATCTTCTGTCCGTGCGGACAAGCAACGACTATTGGATTGCCGAGGATTTTGGAACCATAATACCTCCAACTGCATGCTCTGTAAGTCTCACCACCACTTGGTGGGAACGCCCAGGTTAACAAGGTGATTATAGTAACGTCGCAAGGTTACACCTATACTCGTCATGTCTGGATTCGAAGTAGCTGGAATTGTACTCGGCTCGATTCCGTTGGTTATATCGGCTTTAGAACATTATGCGGAGGGCGTACGAAATCTAGTTCTAGCGAAGCATACCATTACTGACTTCACCCCAGCTGTCAACAATTAGAAGTATGCAAAAGTACGAGGAGGTATTCGAACATCTGCATGCTTCATTTGTGACTATCTCTTGTATCTACAGAAACGCCTGCGAGGAGTTACTGAGTCCACTTGCCCTCTCGGATGCCCAACTGTATCAATTGTTGGAGCATCACGAAACGTCATCATGGGAGAGCCCCAAGCTCAATGAGGCTCTGCGCAATCGACTGGGAAGTAATTATTTGCCTTTCAAATCCTCTATTAAGCAACTTAACAAGAAAATCAACCTTTTCGGCCGAAAATTACAATTGCGCGACAATTTTCAGGTAAGTGCAGTCGTGTGCGGAAGGTGAGGATCTGCTAAGATTTATTAGCCGCCCTGGACGACTCCAACAGGAGGTAATGATGCAGCGGCGCGGAACAAGTTCTTCAACGATCCGTTCATACGAATCAAAGGGGGTTTCAAGTCGAAGCAGTACAAACAGCTCTTGTCATCCATCGAAGAAGACGTAAACCGCATTTCCAGCCTCACTGCGGGAGCGATTGCGCTTGAACCATTACGACTTCAGAGAAGACGCAAAGCGAACACGGAGTATTTGCTGAAGTTTCGGCAACAAGCAGAAAAACTTTATGACGCCTTCAATACGCGATGGTCCTCAAGATGCATGTGCCAGTGTACGCATCAAGCTAATTTGCGTCTTGACATACAAAGAGACCAAGAGTCCGGCAAGCCTTCTACCTTCAAGCTGGTATTCACATTCGGTTCACCAGATTCCGGGCAAAATGCTCCTTGGAAACCACTCCCAGTCGAGATCGAAGCTGTAGATATAATCGACGTAACAAAGCCTAACAACAGCTCGTTACTTCCCAATATCGTCATACACTCGAACACGAAAGCGGATGATCACTGGAAATGCCTGAAAAGAGCCCCGGACATCGTCGACCTATGCGCAGCACTGCAAAGCTGTCCAAGCCTTGACTGCATAGGTGTCATGAGCGACAAGCTCGCCAAACACCACATCCACACTCTTCACCCTCCCAACGCAAACCCCATTGACAAACGAGTCACAATACAACAGATGATAACGACACAAGGTGCAACCTTCCAAATCAAAGAAAAGTGTACCCTAGCTCTCACTCTCGCATCCGCCGTCTACCATCTCCACAACACGCCCTGGCTGGAAGAAACCTGGGACCTGAACGACATCTGCATCCTAAGCCAATCCGTACTATCTGACCAACCCTACATATCCCGTGACTTCCCAGCCGCAGCCACGATACCAGTGCAAAGCCAAAGGATGCGTATCATCAAGAACAGCATCATCTTCGCTCTCGGCGTCGCGTTACTAGAGATCTCATACGGCAAACCACTGCATGCGTTTGTCACCGCAGATGACCTAGATGCCACAGGTAATCGTACGGCTTTCACCGATTATCTTATTGCGGATCGGTTGGCCGAGGGCTTGCGTACGAGGGAGTTGCGGAATTATGCGGACGCGACGCAGAGGTGTATTCATTGTAACTTTGAGGCTTCGGTGTTTAGTTTGGATGACGATGATTTCAGGGAGAGGTTTTACCAGGGTGTTATAGTACCACTAAGGAAGGACTACGAATACGTCGTTAGTACTGTCGCGACATGATACATATGAAGGATAATATACCTGAAGTAAACCATGACCGTTTCATGCATCACGACATCACTATCAGTTCGTTTGATGGACAACTACATCACTCGTCAACTCATGAAGACAGAGGTTATGTACAAGAACTCGAGTTTGAAGAATGTAGGTAGATGATACTTGAGATAAGCATTCTGGAGCTTTACGAACTACTTACTGCTCCACTTAGTGCAACCGCGGAGAGTCAACCCGCAGGCTAAGCGGGTCCGATCTATCCGTACGCCATCCTCACCGTTCTTGATATTTTCGTGTCTGTAGCCATGACCAACAGAGTTGCTGACAGCGCCTGCTTCCATAATGGAAACTGTAGTATCATTCAGTACTCGCCAGTTTCTCTCTTAGATAAAGCACGCAGCAGGTCGAAAACCTTGGCGGCACAGCAGTTAGCCTATAAGTGCCCAACGTGTTGCGATACCGACACGGGACGCAGTTGAGAAGCATCTCCGCATCCGTGATGATAGCACTAACGTTCACCCGACTCTAGAGTGCTAGAGCAGCAAAGTCTCAGTGTTTTGACTTTGGCTTCCGGACTCCTTCGGACTCTAAGGAGTCCGTCAAGAGCCAGACTGGAGAGCTCCGAGTGTAGGACCGACCCTTGACATGGATACACAGAACGGACAGGGTATCTGTCTTTGGGTATCAAGAAGGTATTGTGAAGTCTTGGAGACGCGTGGTAGGTAAGATGCTGACTATACTAGCGAGTGTTTCTAGAACATCAGGCAGGAATGTCACTGAAAAGGTTCGCACCGAGGCCCGATAAGTGTATATTTGGATAAGATTCTATTGTGCTTCTGGGCGACCCCCGTCCACCCAGCTCTGCCAATCTGTATGTATACCGTGTAGGAGGTAAATGAGATTGCCATGGCGCCGTCTATCTTGCCTCCATGTCTAAGGTAGTAGTAAGCCGTATATTTGGTACATGCGACTGAGACTCCGGACTGTTCGATTGGAGGCCATTCCCTCTAACGCGCAATCGACCCTGTAGCACGTCAGCTGAATGAGGTACTTTTGAACCTCAAACATAGTCAGCGATAGCTTGTAGGCTAAAGGGCCGTTGGCGAATCTGGAATGCGAACGGTCTCAGTAGTACTACGCCTCTCGTTGGGTTGCAGGGTTACGCGGTATACCAAAGAAGACGGGGCTCTATTTCTTGCAGTCGTCTGCCAGCTCGCATTATACTGAAAACTGTCCTATTGATTGGAAGATAGCAGCATTGCACCCTTGGCGCCGGGGTCGGACGGAGTCGTGCAGGCAGCGGGACGAGAGCTTGTCACGATTTGCCATGATACAGTTCATGGCCGTGACAGGTGTTGACCCCGGATTCCAGCTTACCAAGACTTAGATCAGCAGCCTTGTCACGGCGTTATCTTGTATTGATGTGGCAGGGTCGAGGTTTGTCGAGCGAATAGCGGAGAAGGTAGAGATGGTATCCCTCTTAGCGCCCCCTCTTAGTGTAGTCGCAGCTCCTTGCTAATTGCAGTGTACGTAGCGAATATGGCTGCGTTGATGGTCACGGGCCAAGCTGCTTACGTGTAGCGTGCCCGAGACTTCGGCGTGGAGCAGCGACCTGCCGCAATCGTGTTAATGGCTGGATGAGGCGGCTGAAAGAAGGCCCTCACGGACATGTCGAGGCGGATGATCCAACGGCATATGCCGTGTGCGGCAGAGCGTAGTGTCGCAAGACACGAAGACACGGGCGGGGATCAGCAGTGATTGATCAACAAGCAATCGCCCGCTCGCGGACCGAACAGGGGCTCTCTGTTCCCCCCACAGCGTGCAGCATTGGCGAATGATGGGATTTGCAGGCAGCTTCACACGAGTCGCCACTTCCAGAATACTTCTGAACTGGGTTCTTTCGGGCAGATGACGGAGGTGCGTGGCAATAAATAGCGGGGGTAGGGCGTGAGCGAGTGGGCGTCAGATGCACGCCGACGGCAGACGGACGTACGATAGCAAAAAGGAAAGGCAAGGCAAGCTGATGCCAGCGCACAGCGAGTAGCGGATGCTAGCCAGTAGTAGTGCAAGCAGTAGGGGTAGGCGTGCTGTATGTAATCTTTGCAGCGTGCGGGAACTGGGCCAGCCCTGGGATGCGTTTCAGGACCGAAGCCGTGCTGCAGCCAAGCTTCCCCGAGCGGCTCTCTGGGTTCGTCGCAGCCCTGCCGGGGCAGAAGGGAGGGCGGGCGTGTGAACGTCTGGCTACCAGCGTCGCCAGCATCGTGGGAGAGGGCCAAACAACGGCGCTCGGCGAGACAGTCGCATAATCATCGGCAGTCACAGGGCGTGCGGTGACGCTGCGGAGCATTTGACGGATAGAAAAGCTTCCAGAAGGCTTGGAGGCTTCGACGGCTGCTGGTCAGTTTCGACATGAGTGGGGATTGTCCACCAGCGCGCCTTCCTCTTTTCGTCTCGAGTAACCCAATCACGCAACGCCTGCACCTCTCCTCCACCACACTCAATCGATTCCTATCCCCGACCTCTGCCCTTGCTGCTCTCGCCCTCAATTCACCCTCACGACCTTGCCCGCGCCCGATGCTGCTCAGAGTGCAGCCCATACTGCGAGTGCGCTCATGCGACACTGACGCCGAGGACCACTAGCCCCTGCGTCTGCGACCAGACCAAACCAAACCACGACCTCACCCGGCGCCCTGAAGACAGCGCTCCGTGTCGAAGACGCTCTTCAAACACGCTGCACCCGAATCCGCCAGAGACACCAGTGCGCTGCGCATCTCGAGGCTCGCCCGCTGCTGAGTCCCGCTTGTAACTGAGTGAGAGTGAGAGAGAGAGAGAGCGAGGCAGCTGCGTGCTGTGCCCTCCCGCCATCGCACCTTCCCGCCCACGTCGCTACCCGGCTTCCTCGTCGCATCCGCCCGTTGCGCCTTGCACGTATACAATAAACAGAGCAGATTGGTGTCGTGTGCACTGGCGGCCTCCCTCCGCATCCCTAGGTTCCCTGGAGCTCCCACCGACGTCGTCGTTTCAGAGTGCATCTCAGACCAACGCGCCCATCCCATCTCTGCGCTCCCCCACGCTTCCAGACGCACCGTACCGTCCGGAGCTCTCCTGTGTCCACTCTCACTGCGCTCCACACCTGCAATTGGCTATCGCATCCACCACGCTTCCGCCTCACATTCACCCGTAACTTTACTCGACCCCCTTCGGACGTCTCATCGCGATCCATCACCCTCTCTATTTTGCGACTCCTCTTCAAACCCCTCCCCTCTGCGCTGGAGACCAGTGCTGTCTGGTCGCCGCACATAGGCGGAGACAATGGAACATGGCGCGTGCAATGTTGTCTACATTGACCGACGGGCCAACGACGAGCATGTGCGGAAAGAGACGCTGTCCAAGTCGCTTGTTGCGAGAACCACCTCTGGAACTGTAGGACAGAGCTACTTTGCCATCGGCAAGACATCACCGCGCGAAGTACACGACAATGTCGAAGCGATATTGTCCATCTCCACTGAAGGTATTACGTCCGTCTTCCGCGCCCATATCCTTGCTAACACATCCAACAGTACACATCTGCAGCACCGGCCGCGCGTGCCTACAGAAGATTAACCAGCTCATCGATTCCACCAAATCCAGCATTCCTACCTTTGTCATAATAGACATACCCTACGATGAAGAGCAGCGCATGAAGCGTTTGTCTCGCGAACCGCGCACGCCGTCACCCACCTCCTCACGTCTCACACGGATGGATACCAGCGAACCTGATGACATCTACGCCATGCACCTACTCACCCACATATCCTCCGAAATCTCGTCGCGAAACTTCTCCAAACTCGTTGTACCTGTCGTTATGCTCTCAGGTCTGGGTACCGAAGAGCCGTCCTCAGCTGGCCCGCTGCCGTCGCCTGGTCTACAGGTATCATTTTCCCTCGGCGACAATGTTCGGTTGACCCGATACCTGGACGCTGGTGCCGTTGACGTTCTGACAAGTCCCATGTCCAGAGATCGCATGCTTGGCTTGGCCGTCCACGCCTATCGGTTACAGAAGGAGTTCTCGAGAGAAGAAGCAAGCTTTCTGACTACTAAGCGAAATCGGAAGCTGTCTTGGGTCGGTGTCGACGATACGAAACCATATGCCTATCTGCGGGAGGCCATGGTGTCAAATCTGATGACTGGTATCTGTAACCCGGAGACAGTGGGCGACTCACTCGAATCTACGTATGTACACACCATAACGTGGGACCCGTGGCTAACAGCAATAGGGACTTCCACCTTGATGAAGATCGCCAGATGGTTGTTGAAGATGCAGTAGGTACTTGGGCCTTTTCAGCGCACGACTTCACCGACGATGAGCTTCTTTATGGTGCTTTCGTCATGCTCAAGCATGCACTGCAAATGCCTGAGTTAGAGAAGTGGACGATAACTGAAGGCAAGTGAAGCGCATGCCAGTACTCTCTTATCTGCTAACGAATCTCTAGATGAGATGATCGTCTTTCTTTTGGCCAGTCGTACCGCCTACAACGAATTCGTCAAGTACCACAACTTCCGTCACGTTGTCGATGTCCTCCAAGCTCTCTTCCACTTTCTCGTCCGAATCGGCACTCTACCTCCTTACCCCTCGGCTTCATCCAGCATCTCCACCCCGAAATCACCAATCGCTGAGCTTCTCAAGCCTTTTGATGCGCTTACGCTGCTAATATCTGCCATCGGACATGATGTCGGTCATCCGGGAGTTAACAACGCTTTTCTAGTAGCACTAAATGCACCACTAGCCCAACTCTACAACGACCGATCCGTCCTAGAATCTTTCCACTGCGCTGCCTACTCTCAAATATTACGCCGCTATTGGCCGAGAGCATTCGCTGATGCTGCGATGCGGAAACTTATGATCAATAACATCCTCGCAACAGACATGGGTCTCCATTTCAAATATATGAGCGACTTGGGTAATCTACAGCAAAAGGTTGCACATGACAAGGGGATAGTCGACGGATGGAGTGCTAAAGTACAGGAAGAACAAAAGGATTTGACATGTGGGCTTCTCATCAAGTGCGCAGATATTTGTAACGTGGTAAGTTTTGCGGCAACACCCTACTAACGCATTGTTACCTAACCTTTCTAATCAGGCGCGGAAATTCGAGACCGCTGCCAGATGGGCCAACATTCTTACGGATGAATTCAGCAACCAAGGTCTCATGGAAGAGGAGCTGCAGATGCCGTCCTGTTTGTTCGGCGGCCCACCTGTACGAGAGGACATTATCAAGCTCGGTGAATCCCAGATCGGCTTTATGAATATTTTCGCTAGGCCGCTGTTCGAGGCTGTCACAGACATCCTACCTGCGATGCACTTCGCTGTCGACGAGATTCTGACCAATAAGGCTGTTTGGGAGAGAAAGATCGACGAAGAACGCCAGAAGAAAAGGAAGAACAAGGGTATGAATCTTGGACTAATAACACCTGGATTTGCTGTCGATCCAACTCCGAGTCCACTCTCTGGAGGGCCTAGCAGACCCGCCGTAAAGATACCGCTAAGTGCGATCAAGACCATCTCTCCAGAAGAAGCGACCCGCCGAGGATCGACAGGCTCTATCTACTCCATTCCAGCAGCGACGTCTGAATCACGAAGATCCTCTTCAATTATTGACAAGAGCTCACGGCGATCTTCGACGACCGCCGTTCCTGGCCAAAGAGCCACGAGCTCCTCCGAGAATGCCACTTCGTCAAGACGAGGAAGTAGAGACCCCAGTCTCACTGCGATCCTGGTGACACAGACACCAAACGCGTTGGATCCGAAAGGGCAATCTCCAGGTGCCGAGGATCGGTCAAAGACTGATCGCAAGGACACTTTGACAAGGTCGTCGTCACCGAAGAAAGATGGCGTCAGACCAGTCACAGCTCCCTCCCAGGCCAGGCGCAGTCAGGGTGAGTAAACGTCACTTGAGACCCGTCATGGCATATGAGCTAACTGTGGAAAAAGTTCTTGATCCTTACCCCGCGCAACAGCCGACGTCGCAAAGTCACTCACAGGTCGATCTCTCGCAAACTGCTAATGGAAACTATGATGGTTCAAAGTTGCAACAATGGGACACACACAACAAGTTGAGCGCCGATAGCAACGCAACGCGCTCGGATGTGTCGCGTGACTCGAGCTGGTGGCGACATGTGAGTACCAAGCGACGCCCTCGCGATGTTAGGAACGGAGATGCGGATGGACGAGCTCCGTTGAAGGAAGTAGCGCCGGATTCTCTTGCGCCTCCGAACCCCGATTCGACTACCACATCGCCTACTTGCTCTAGTCCCGGCAGGAAGACGACGACCGGCAAGATTATGAACTTTTTCAAGCGAAAGCCTAGCCACAAGGAGCCAGAGAAGCAATTATCTAGCTTCGGTAGCTCTTCTCAGTTGCGAACACCACACACGAGCGATCCTGGGCGCTCACTCAACAGCGACGATTGATTTCACTAATACCTTTCTACGCCTCTATTGACCTTAACATTAATGACCAACGCCGCATCCGATACCACGGTATTTCCTTTAGTCTCAACATACCACTTCAAAAGCAGTCCTTGGTCTCTGCGACACTTGCTTTTTGGTTTCCTTCTTATTTGGCACTTCTAGGATTTGATACCTCTTACGCATGGCATGCCAGCGGAAAGCAAGAGCATTACACTCGCCCTGAGGACCACTTGTTCCACCTTCGGGTATCTTTCGGGAAGCCTTCATCTGTGGCCTGCTTCAGCGCGCTCGCACTCCTAGAATATTAGGCTCGCCTATGCATCTTCACTCTTCCTTTGTCGATTACCTTCGTCTCGTTGAGGCGCTTGGCTGCGCGCATCGAGTGCGCTTCATGTATACTGAAGGCGAATGCTGCTTGTCATGCTTTTTAGCCTCTATAGTTACGGGGGCTTAGTTATATTGTTTCATTCGCGACCATGAGGACGCATTTTTCTACGCAACTTTTGCGGGTTGGTACGACAAGAGAATATTCAGACACTGGATAGGGCATGGACCGGTGCGAGCATAGCAATGTCGCATAAGGAGGGCACTGGTGGAAGAGTTGGCATGAGGAGCGGGTGTATAGCTGGCTCCTCTCGAACCTTTTGATATATGGATGCAGCAGCTATTACTCCAAGCTTGGCATGTGCCGGTCAGCGGACTGATGATAAACCCCGTAATGAAATGTATATTCTCAACTTCTCCTCATTCGATGCAAGCGACAGTCTGTATTTCTCATCAATCGAACAAAATGCAGTCACAAACTTGGCCGTCGGCAAACGCCGATACCCTTATCAAGGTCACGAGCTGCTTCCGTAAAAGTGGTTCTTGTAGCACATAACTACCTAATTCGGGCCAGTGCAGGCGGTGTAGTGCGGCGCTAAACCCCACTTGCTTACCTGACAACACCTACTCTTCAACGTACAGCTTCGTGATTCCTATACACCTATCTCGAACATACAGCAACATAAACATGGACGACAAAGTCAAATATCTCCTCTCACTCAGCGCCGTGCGAGAGCGTGCCAAGATTGTGGGAGAGGCTGCCGAAGCAGGCAAGCTGAGCCACTTTGATGTGCACGAGGAGCGTTTGGGCGAGGCTGCGGACTACGTGACTTCTGTTATCAAGGTTTGTTGTTCAACTTTGTTGACTTTGGTATCCTGGAGATTGCTGATATCGATTTCACCAGCGCGACTTTGGACCAGATAAATTCCACACCATTCCCCCTCACGGTCGCTGGCAGCACTTTGAAGTAGGCGGTGTACCCCGCATAGCCAACCTACTCGATGAGTGGAAGAAGGATGGATGCGACGATCTAGAACTTACTCGTCGGTTGATTGATCTCTTCTTCGTTTCTGTGCTGTTGGATGCTGGTGCGGGGGACCACTGGCGGTACGTGGAGCCGGGTACGGAAACGGAGTATGAGAGGAGCGAGGGGATTGCAGTGGCGAGTTTGTACATGTTCAAGGGTTTGGGATTCGCTGCGAAAAAAGATGGTGGGCCGATTGTTGATGGTATGTGTGCTCTCTGTGGCCAAATAAGGTTTAAGCTGACTGTGCTGCGTTGTAGGAAAGGGACTACGAGATTTGAAGACAGAGGCACTATCAGAAGGTCTCCAAATCTCCGACAGCAACCCCATGCTAGGCGTCGACTCCCGAGCCAACTTACTCCGCAGTCTGGGTAAATCATTGCTTTCTCATCCCACCATCTTCGGCGAACAAGGTCGTCCAGGAAACGTTGTTGGTAAGCTTCTCCCAACAAATCACTACTTAATTTCACTTTTATTAACCAAATCGAAAACAGATTACATGAAAACCACAACCACCGACCCTTCAACCCTAGACATCCTAACCTTCTGGGACGTACTCCAAAACCTACTCATCCCCATATGGCCGCAAGACCGCACCGTGGTAAACGGCCAAGCCCTCGGTGACGCATGGCCCTTATCCACCTTGAAAACACAATCCAAAGAAGGCAACTCTGACGAAAGCACCTACATCCAACCCTTCCACAAACTAACCCAATGGCTCGCCTACTCTCTCACCGTCCCTTTCACCCGCATCCTGTCCCTAGAATGGAAAAATATGTCTTCCATGACCGCCCTCCCTGAATATCGCAACGGCGGTTTGTTCGTCGATCTCGGTGTTTTAACCCTGAAACCTGCGTCTTTGGACCGTGGTCTCAAGGCTACTTCTGACGGAAGCGGTCTCCCATCTTTCCCCGCTGGAGACGACGCTATTGTGGAGTGGCGGGCGATGACGTTGGTGTTGGTGGATAAGTTGTACAAGTTGGTCTTGCAGAGGATGCAAGGGGTGGAGTTGAGTATGGCGCAGTTGCTCGAGGCTGGGACGTGGAAGGCAGGGAGGGAGGTTGCGAAGGAGAAGAGGCCTAAGACGAAGAGTAGTCCGATTGTCATCTTGAGTGATGGGACAGTTTTCTGAGGCGGGTTATAGGAATGGGGGGTGTGGGGATGTGTTAGGTGTGACATTAGAGTATGTATGTCTTACTTGCTACAACGATTGAAAGTAGTCAAAATTTCGTCATTACAACAAGAAATATGACTAACTAGCAAGAAAACTTTACATTCCTCACAAAGCGTGATGATCGCCTCTCCTTCTCTTTCCCACATCTCTCCGCTCCGCTCTGTGCCCCTCCATTCTATCAGTTCCCTCCGACGTATCGTCCAACACACCCAAGCCCTGCGGTCCTCTAAAATCACTTGACTCGACTTCTCCTGTCCGTTCTCCAGGTCTCTGCTGGTTAAGAGCTGTAGATTTAGTACTCCGGGATCCCCAATCCTGAGGCGCCATCCACATCTGCTGTGGAGTATCCGGACCCGCTACGTGTCTATCTATATAGTCCTGCTCATTTTGCCAAATACCACTCAATACCGGCGATTCCGGCTCTAGTTCTCCTCCGCTGTCTAATTCACTCCTTGGATGGTCGCCTGATAGTTCAGAAGGTCCTCTTGCATGTCCGTACATGGATTTGTGAGCTCGGAATTGGGCTGGTGTAGGAATGGTCGAGGGAATTGAGAGGGGGAGTTCTTGGGGTGGTGGGTGCCAGTCGTGTGGATGGTCGTGGTAGGCATGGTTGTTAGAGGCGTAGTTCGGGTCGCGGTGTGCGTAAGCTATGTAGCGCGGATCTTGAGGATGATAAGATGATTGCGGGTGCTGGTTAAGAGGGGATTGTTGGCTGTAAAAGGTATTGTCGAAGCCTGGGGTTGGGGACGTGTAGGATGGCGGTGCTGTATCTGTCATGTCAGTTTGACAGTCTAGTCCGTTGGAGAGAAGACTTTTATCAACTTACGGTCGGTTGACTTCGTTCGTATGTGTATTTGATGTTGTTGCGATTGTTGGTTTTCCGTCATTCCGCCGATAGGTAGGATGTCTTGTCTTCGCTCCATTCCATCTCCATTCTCATCGTTCTTTCCTTTCCTTTTTCTGAAACATATAAACCATATCACGAATCCAACGACCAAGGCTAGCGCAAAAGCGCCACCTGCTGCCCCACCCGCTATAGCAGCGACTGGTATTTTGTCTTCGGCTTGAGCTGAGGCAGTGGCTGATGGAGATGTAGTCGTTGATCCAGGTGTAGTTGTGGATGATGGTGCGTTGGCTACATTTACGGATACACTTTCGGTAGATGAAGATGGTGATGATGTCGGTGTAGCGCTGGATACTGTTGTAGATCCGCCAGTGGCGTGGTAGGCACTGAGCAAGTCCGGGCGATTGATGATGGCGGGTTCAAGATCGCCGTCTGGACAGCCAGACTGGGAGCATGCGTTTGTTTTACAACATCCCCAAAACGGTTCTAGACTCAATCAGCAAGTTCTTCTGGGGGTACAATCTAGTCGTAGATGGAGTGGAAGGCCTTCGGTAGACGACCAAGGCTGATCAATGTTGATCATTGACTTACCAGCATCAGCTGGAGTGCATGTGTAGAATTTGCTTCCAGTTCCGCACGTAGCATCAGGGAATAACCCGTACGCAGCTGCGTCAAAGGATCCAGGATATAGATTGCCTTGTGCACAGGTGATCTCACATGGATCTCTTGCGCAGCAGCCTACGAAGAATCTGGAGTTACATTAGCTATCAGACACGATAGGAAGGAGCTTTGCTACTCACGTTCCGTAGCCGCATGACCACCACGTACCTCCAGCGGGACAGGAAGGAGAGAATTCCTGTCTACTAGTGAGGTTGGCCGACATGATTCTAGGTGATGAGGCTGTAGTGCGTCCGTCAATGGCAGATGAAGCAAGCACGACCAACGCGGAATAGCAGCAGCGACTGAAAGCAAACAACAACTTTCCAAACTAGGTAATTCGCAACAGACAATAGAGATCGAAAGGAAGTAAAACTGAAACTTGACCTGAACCTAAAGGCCGCATATCTAGCGGATGAGGTGCGCATATACCCACGAACAATGGGCGACCCCGCGGCTGAGCCATCTTTCTGGCCTACATCACGACTACCGACTCTACGACGCATCTGCTCTGTAGTCCTCGAGCTAAAAAAGTCCAAGAACGCCCCCGTACACTGCCACATGATGGGGCCAGCCTCGCCGGATGTTACCTACCAGTGAGGAATTTGATGCATGTCATGCATATCTCCTCAGCACTACCAAGAAACCGCAGCTCGTTCTTCTTGGATCGTGATCTTACCCAAAAAGCATAGGCGGCCTACAATTTTGGTATATCAACGAAGAGTGCAACGAGTGTATAGATGCTGCGCTTCAACCTAAAAAAACGAGCATCTTCGTACCAGACCGGTGGGCGCAGCACCAGCGCGCAAAGCTAATCCATGGAGCTGTGAGAGAAAAAGTTTGAATACCCAGAAACACGCACATCCTGGGAGTAATGATTAGGACCAAGGTTGTGAGGTGGTGTGAGGGATAACCGGATTAAGTCAATGGCTGCCGTGTGGCGGCGCGGTGAGACGCATTTGTGGAAGAGCTGACGTTTGGGTCCTATTTCAAGGGTGGCGGGCTTTTAGCTGCACCGCCAGCGGGGTTCCGGAGAAGCTCGTGTTTTCGTAAGATGCAACACGAACGCGACAATGTGCACTATGTGTATATACATTCGCCTATCTCGTTTCAATATTGCTATCGATTATTGTGAATACATTGGATGTCTTGTTATTGTTGAATATAACTCAGAAAAGGGGAGATCGTTCGGAGGGAAGGAAGGGTAAGCCTGACCGAATCTTGTTTGATGGGATCTCGATACTGTGCTAATATTGGACATATGCCTGTTGAATTATACATTTATGCATTCGCTGGTTAAGATGGGTATGATACGCAGGTACGGAATAAGGTCTAAGGAAACCGCCCAAATACAAGATCTTGAGCGAACGAACAATAGCCTTCAATGAAACGATACGATCTTCGCGCAATTAGTTCCTTTGCGACGGTCCCTCAGTCATCACTCCCAACCCTTGACCTCGACTCGTTCGCTTAGCCATGTCATTCGAGAACTCTGCTTGTGGAGGTCTCGGAGAGACTTGCGGTGACTCCAATTCGGAAGGAGCGGGCCCTGTAGCATCGGCAGGAAGTTCAGAAAACCTTCGAGTATCCATGCCCCCTGATGCGCCGGCAGGAAGTTCGGAGTATCGGTGTGTGTTGGATGAAGAGACCTCTGCCGGCAGCTCTTGAGGCTCGCTTGCGTGGCTGGCGTATTGGTGGTATGACTGATGGCCTCCCTTGGTAATGGAGTTATCCTGGTAAGAGTCCTGGATAGGAGCAGAGTATGTAGGGGGTGCTGTCATGATTGTTAGTGTATTTTGAGGTGAGTTGATGGGAAAAACATACGCGATTGACCATCAAAGTGTGATGGGTGCCTGTTGTGGTCGTGCTTCTCGTTTTGCATCATTGGGACCATGGCCGCTGCACCCATCTCGCCTTCGGCAGGCTTCTGGTTGCGTCTCTTACGAAGAATGAAGAAGATTATGAGTCCAATGATAGCAAGGCCGACGACACCTCCAACTACTCCACCAACAATAGCACCAGTATTGCTCTTCTTGTCACCTGGTGTGGGGCTTGCGCTTGGGGTTGCGCTCGAAACACCTGAGGCATAGACTCTGAATTGCTCTGGTCGATCCATGAAGGCGGGAACTAAGTCTCCATCCACGCATGTGGACGGTGGTGTTGCTGCGCATGGATTCGACTTGCAGCATCCCCAGAATGAGTCTCCTGCGTCACATGTATAGAAATCGCTGGCTACTCCGCAAGACGCGCCTGGCCATTCCCCGTAATGTGAGGTGTTATATGCACCGGGACGGATGTTTCCTTGTTGGCAGCCATTGGTACACGGATCGGTCGTGCAGCACCCAACAAAATTGCTTCCACCTTGGGTAGCGCAGGCATACCTGGAGCTTGTCAATATCCGCGTCACTCTTAACTTCTGAGATTTGCCTTACCACTTGCCTCCAGTTGGGCAATGAAAGTCGTAGAATGATGAATTAGACATGACGGAAATACTTCTAATGTAAACGAAGGGGCTTTGGATGTGTAATATTCGCAGTGAAGTATATTGTTCAAACCAAACGGCGCAAAAACAAAGATCGGACCAAAGCGAGAGTAAGTGCAGTAAATCCTACCAACAAGGCGGTAGATATGATAAAGTACGGGGCATGGCAGCTAGTTCAAAGATGAACAGCACACGGACGAGCATGTATCTCCATGCCCAGGTGTCTCGAAGCACACGCAAGGAACGCCTGAATGTGGCGTTACCTGATCGGTAGCACTGCAGGAAAACATTGTGCACAGCACCCACCAATCGAAGACCGCGCGTAATCCAATGTGGTATAGTTGACCCATCCGCCTTATGGTGGCTGGCGATGTGTGATGTATTTTGGTGTATTGTCAGAAGCTTGACCTTACACTTCGCGTTAGTAGCTGAAAGAAAGTAAGCGAAGAATTGACGAGCCTAAAGGCCGACCCGTACCCCGTGGCAGGATTTGATCTGAGCGTGAGAGCCTTAGCACAGCCCTCTTCCATCGCGGGAGCAACGGTGTATATAACGGAAAGTCCATGCGATGCTACGATGGTTTATTAGACCTACACTACCAACGCATCACGAAACAAAAGCCCATCGCCTTGCTTCCCTTGATGGCACTTTATCAAGCGACCCGCAAAAACCTCAGGTCTACATAGGGCGGTGAGGCGCAGTAGCAATCACAACTTCACTTCCTTTGGTGGCGTTGTTAATCGAAATGAGAACCAAGATGTGCTTAGGGCATGGGGCCGTTTCTCAACAGCAGAACCCGCATGTGGGCCCACAAGAAGTCAGCATGAGCCAACATTACCCCGAGGGGGATTGTAAAGTTGGGCTGGGTGCCTGAGAAGCCGTGCTCATAAACACCCGATCGCTGCATTGTGTGACAAAATCAGTATTCGCCGACCTGAGGAGACGATGCGGCTGTACGGGTACTTCAGCCGTAAGCAGTAGGCTTGGCGTCCGCGTCCCGTTTCCGAACCCACCTGTTGCGCGACTGAAGCCAAGAAGATTTTGTATTTGTACATCAGATGCTGCTCCTAGAATCGGGGGCATAAGGTGTCGAGCCAATATTATGTCGCTACATCGTTCAGAGCCCAGACTGATGTGGAAACCTAAACAGACGAACAGCGCACCGTCCTTGACTGGAATAGGATTAGAGCGCCAAGCTCTGGAGTTCAAATTCATCAGTATAGCCTGGCTGCCTTATTGCAAAGCGGTGTCTAGATGACACAGCCTCTGATGGGGAAAGAGCAGCATATTTGGAGCCGTCACCAGGTGGTCACAGCAACACACTTCAAAAGTGGATGCTTCCGCTTGGGCATACGCCTTTTGACTGAGCCTCGCAATTGACGCAATCGAGAGTTCTGGAAATCAAGATATTCGCCTAACCAGGATGCAGGCGACAAGGGCGGTGATGAAGACAACGACGTTCAAAATTCATGTCGCAGTACGGTAGAGAACAGGAAAAGTAGTCGAAAAGAGCAGCTGTAGTGAGTTTTAAGAATCATGATCGGTTTTCTCCGTAGGGACATGGCGTTAGAAGATGGACGTGTGGCGTGCACGAGCCTCTCAGGCTGGGGCTAGTACATCATGACCGCGGGGAAGCTATCGTGGCTATCTTCAGTGACAGCACAGCAGACATACCGCAACACTATCTGGCGAATGACATGCGGTAGATGCGAGAAACTTGTTCATTCCCGGTTCCATTCATGACTTGATACATGCGTCGCGCCAATGTGATCCCAGCGGTGATGCGACCAGCCTCCCCAGTATATCCGGTGGCTGGCACACAGTTTCAAGCACCCGCCATCTCAAGTAGAAAACTTACCCACACCCAGCTACAGAAAAATCTCATAATGCTATCATTCTTGAACGACTCCACTTGATTAGTGTACCGAAGAAGATATGAGTGTGGAGACATTCCAACTCAAGCAAACCAACGGTAGGTAAGCTGCGCAAGCTGTTCAAGACGCGTATTAGGCTGACCGAAGTACCAGTATCTCAACCTCAATTATCTCACCAAACCTCACAGCAGAGCGTTGCTGCCTCATTAGCTGCTTCGGAAGGCTACTATAGCGCGTCAGAGCACGCGTCTAGCTCGAGCGAAGAAAGACAGCCTCTCTACCAGACACCGCCCTCCCACCACCGAACACCAGCGCAAAGTCATGAGCAGTTGGTGCCACATACTGACGTCCCAATAACGTCTCTACACGGCATCGGTATCCCAAGGCAGCAGCCTCAGCCTTCCTTTACCCACGAACGCCCTCAATCACCCGCTGTGTCTACTATTGCCGAGGAGTCGAGACCAGACACGCGAGACGCGAGGCGGTCCCAGTTACTATCCAACATGGATACCGAATCGCAGGCAACCACACCAGGCCAGGACACCACGCCGTATATTCGATTCGCTATCGACCAGCTTACTCGGGACGAAGAAGTTAGAGGATCGAGGATATATCCAGAGGTTCGACCTGAGGACGACGAAGATGACTATCCCGTCGATAGGATCGTCCACGACAATGGCTTGGGATACATGGCCCAAGAACAACGGACACAGCAAAGGATGTCACAACAGATACCGCGGAAGCCCTTGAGACAGTCGTCCACACCGCTTGCGAAAGCCCCAGCACCTATGGCTACCACACAGCCTTACAATCCACATTACCAATCTCAACAGCACAGGCAACAGCAGTCACCTTCTCCTCGTCGGTCAGAGGACGACGTCTTCTTAGCACATACTCAACACGCGCCCCTCCACTTCCTCCCAGCCATCCTTCGCCCATTTTGGCTAGGCACCTTCATCTTCTTATGCATTCTTATGCTCGCTGCACTAATCTTCTCCGCCATCTACTCAAACCGTAATGGCGGCAACGGTCTATGGGACTACAATGCCTTTGGGGACAACCGCTACTTCGTCTTCGAATACCTTCCAACCCTAGTTGGAATGCTCTTGCTCCTTTGGCTCATCCAGGTCCAGGTGGCTGTCCAACGCCTGATACCTTTCATCTCAATGGCTTCAGACTCTTTCCACAAGCGATCCGAAGCCGTCTTCCTCCGACTGTACCCGATGCAGTTTGTATGGCCAAATTTTGAGCATATCCGCTCCGGACACCCCGGCGTCGGAGCTTTCTTCATCATATCATGGTTGTTTACTTGGACGATACCCCTTCTTGCTTCTGCTTTCAACGTGCGATACGATTTAGGGCGCAGTGTCTGGCGATGGGTAGCCGTTCAAGGCGTCATCTGGACCGTTGTTGTTCTTTACATTATTCTTATCATCGCCCTGCTCTACCTGCTGATCTTCCTGATCCTCAATCCAACCGGTCTGAAATGGGACCCCCGATCACTTGCCGACATCGTCTCGCTTCTCGAGCGCTCGAACAATCTCACCGATTACAACGGTTCCGAGACTTTCGAGAAAGCCGATTGGCACCTTGTCAGCAATCGCGCAGATCGCATTGGATACTGGACGACTACAAAGAGGCCTAGCGATGTCTTCTATGGTATTGGCGAAGAGGGTGCTGGAATCCGGAGGTTCTCAGTCCAAGAAGGGCGCATCACGGAGAAGGGAGCAGAGCGCACCAATTCTGCGCCAGCCCAAGGCAATGATTTCACCATCCGCACCGACATCCGCAACCCAAGCGTGCGTTTAAGATTCCTTCCATGGTATCTGAAAGACACATCGGTCATTGCATGGATCGTCATCGCTGCTGTGTTGTTGATTGCCTTCCTGGTTGTCAGTTTCGTCAACGACGCTGTTCGCTTCGGATTCCTGCCCCAAGTCTTCGCTCGTACAGGCGCAGATGGCTTCTCGGCTTCGAACTTCCTTTACTCTTTCATTCCCGCACTGATCGCCAACTTCCTCTTCTTGGCCCTTTTGTCTCTCGACTACTCCCTCCGTGTACTTCAACCCTACATTGCGCTTTCCTCGAAAGGCGGAGCCACCGCTGAAGCCTCTCTACTAGTCGACTATGCCTGTCGCCTACCTTTCTCGGTCACTCTAGCAGCGCTCGATAACAGGCACTGGCAAACGGCAATCCTATCTTTTGTGTCGCTGACATCGAGCACCCTTCCCGTTCTCGCTGGAGGCTGCTTCTGGACACAATACTGGAGCAGCGGAGACGTCGTTCGTGTCTCAGCGGAGCTTGCAGGATACTACGCCCTCTGTTTCTTCCTCGCCTTGTATGGCCTCAGCCTCCTCGCCCTCATACCAGGTCGTCGCCGAGCCGCTCTGCCTCACCGCAGCAACACACTCGCCGAGATAATCAGCTGGGTATACCAATCCCCCATCCTTGCCGACCGCGCCTTCTCTCGTCCACAGACAAAGCCCGAACTTGTTGCAAGGCTGATGGGTACCACCTACGCCGAGCGCACGTGGGCGCAATCCGCCCTCTCGCTCGTCCGTCCTTCCCGCAACGACCTGCGTGGCGAAGAGGCTGCCGAACCTGCCTTGGGCGACAAGACGAGGAAAGAACGCAAGAACGAGAAGCACAACTCGTACACTGATCCTCACAAGATCCGTTATGGCTTTGGTATCCACGTAGGACGCGACGGCCTTGAGCACCTCGGTATCGATCGCGTACACCGTGGTGGTGAGAGAAGTGGTCGCGAGCTGGTCATTTGGGAAGAACAGCAACACAGTAAGAGGAAGAGTTGGACGAGCCAGGCTTAAGCCTCACACACATATACGCTCTGTCTCTTCGATATCTGACAGCAACGGTCGTACACGAAACAACGCAACGTAACGCACCTTTACGATCACAATCACGCTCGTATTCTACATCGAGTTTTCCACAGCAAGATCACATTTTTTAGCATTGGCGTTTTCTTTTTTGGGCATCACGGATTTACGGGATTCACGGCATTTGGGACGACTGGCGCAATGATTTTGGAATAGAACGAATCTTACGCAACGTAAAAGGGAAATGTATAGTACTACATGGTAATAGTGGGGGGTGTTTTTGACATAGACTAGGAGGTTGTAGACAGGCTACGCTTCTTATGGGGGGTAATGACGTGTATACGGAAAGGGCAAAAGATATAGGCCCAGTAATTATGAGAGCTGAATAGCAGCGACATGGACGATGAAATGTACACGGGGAATGACAGTATCAATGCACACACACACACACACACACACACACACACACACACACACACACACATCATGATGCGATTGGAAACTATAGTATTTTTCTTTTACTTGCACATTTTCAAGCATGTCAAGTGTGGAAATTCTTAATATTTGCATCTCAAACGACTGGACTATGCAGCAATAGCCGCCTCAGTGAGCCTACTAATCTCCAACTCGCCATCCCCACCCAAGTTATCTAGTCCATGGAACCCCTCCTCCACAATCCATTTCTGTTCATACTTCATGAGCACTTTACACGCATTGCCCACGACCAACAGGCCAGGAGGTCTACTCCCTTCCTCCTCGACAGCAGCACAGACATGTTCTAGTGTCGTCCTGATGACTCTTTGATCCGGACATGAAGCTCGTTCCAGTACAGCGACAGGCAAGTCTGAGGGGTACGCTTTGCCGACTAGACTTTCGACTAGAGCGGATAGGCGGTGGAGTGACATGAGGAGGACAAGTGTGCGGGACGCTACGAACTCTGGTGGGTCGAGGGGCGCGCCCTTTCTGCCTGTGCCGGTGCAGATGAGCACTTGGTCTGCGATACCGCGGTGCGTGGCGGGTATCGCGGCGAAGAGGGGTGCGCTTAGGGCACTTGTGATACCAGGTAGGACACTGGGTATGAAGCCGTGCTCGCGGAAGAAGTCGTACTCTTCGCCGCCACGACCGTAGATGTATGGGTCGCCCTGCTTTATCCGCACGACAACTTTGCCAGCTTTGAGCCCTTCCAGACCTAGCTCCAAGAGCTCTTCCTGCGCTTTGTCTGCATTTCCGGGGAACTTTCGCGCGATGTGGACGGTTGCGCGGCGGGGAACGAGGTCGAGGATGGGTGCGGGGACGAGTTTGTCGGCGAGAATCAGATCGGCGGAGAGGATGGCTTTGTGTGCTGCGCGGGTAAGGAGGTCGGGGTTGCCAGGGCCGGAACCTGCGAGGATGATACGACCTGCTCGTCTTCCAGGAGTGGTGGCAGTTGGCCCGATTTTCGAGGGGATACTGCTGGCGAATTCGCGGAATAACATATCGACGTCTGCGTCTGTGATACCTGCAAGACGGCGTAGAGGCCAGTATTCGCATATTTGTGATAGCCAGCGCATGCGACGTCCCCGTGCTGCTTCTTTGCTTTCTTCCAGGATCAGCTTGTTGAATGTCGCTGGCTGACCACTGTCCTCCTCCTCTGCTTCCAAGTCTTGCGATAATTCCGCTGCATGGTCTTCCTCCCATATGCGTCGCCGCAGTGTTCCCAGCCTCTCCACCGCATCGCCCAGGCGCGGTGGGAGCGACGCCGCAATCTCCCTCCGTATCCTTGCGGAGAGTTTGCATCCCTTGCCAGATGTTGTGATACCGATCTGTAGAGGGCCGTCCGAATGCGTTGAGAGGAGGGTGAAGGAGCACAGGTTCGGTGCATCGGCGACATTGATTGGTATGCGTAGTCTCCGACAAAGACTTGAGATGTGGGTTGCTGTGGCGAGTTAGAGAGAAGCCTGGAATGTATAGGGCATGTGGCCTACCTGATGTATGTTTACCGCCCGCAGTAACAAACACGGCATCTACTACGCCGTCTACCTCTGGCCTTCCAAGTGTGGTCAAGTCTTCCTCTACAAAACTCCGCTTTAGCCATTTTACTTCGCCCGCCTCAATTCGCTTGACGAGACCATAGTGAAGTGTGGAGTCCTCGGGCGCAAGCAGTATTGGTTTGGCACCAACCTCTATTGATCGTGCGCATCGTGCGCCGGCAAGTGGGTTGGACCCTACTATAAGGTGAATGTGGGATGTGGCGTCAACCGCGGTAAGAAGTGCTGGAGCCATGTTGAAGTGTGATGTGGAATAAAATGGCAACAACTTGGAATGCCAGGAAGGAGGGGCAATAATATGAGTAGACACAATCGTCGAGGCGATAAGTCCTCGGCGGCGTTGATAATGCGGGTGTACATTATTTGTTCCGATAGCGACGAGCCGATATGGCGCGATCGCACTAAGGGCATCCCCGCGGAAAAAGGCGACATGTGAGTGGTGGTCCCGCCCAATAGCCGATGGTGCAATTGACTGCTGTCAAACTTGCGCGGAGTTAGTCCATCTGCTCGTCGCGGCCCATGACAATGTTGAGCGCTTTTCGGCTCAACATTAGACTGTGTCCAAGGGCATTGAGCTTTGCTGAGGCGGAGATTAGAGCAGGGTCTTGGCTCTCCACCCGTATCTTCTCTTTGACGCGAACGTCGTGGTCCTTGTATTTGAAAGTGCGATCGGCTTCATCGTGTGCAGGTGCTCTTGCACCACCTAGCGCTGATGCAAAGGTATTGCGAATGCTGAAGCCGGTGAGCGATGTGTTGTCGCTGGCATTGTATGGTTCGAGAGTGCGGATTTCGAGCACAAGGGCGGCATCGAAGACGAACAGATGGAAAGACAGATTCACTGGCAGTGGAGGGTCGAAGGTCTGTGGATTGTCAGTGACGCCCACGTTCGTCCTGCATGTGCAGCCTACCTTGTCGTCTACAGGGTTTTCCCACCACGGCGACTGGACGTCCGAGTAGCCCTTGAGTGCGGCTTGCGCTTCCAGTATATGGTCGTGTAACAGCTGCAGTTGTCCAGAGACAAAGTTGGCATTGGTAGCATCGCCTCCCCAAGTAGCCACGTCGATGACGTCGAGGCAGCTGTTGATGGATGTTCGAATCGAGGTAAGCTGGGGCACGACGAGCGTAGGCGCATGCGGTGCTGAGGATATGGCGAGGTCGTATGTCAGAGAGCCTTTTGGTGGTGGGAGGCTTGCCAGCCGAAGCTTCACGTTCTGCGCGGTGTGAGTTGCTGTACCAGAACAGACATGAGAGAGACATACGCCTTTTGTGATGCGCGTGCCAATGCGCGTAATGAGGCCTTTGAGACTCTCAGAGCGTACCGACGTCAGCACAAGCGTCGAGCCATTCTCTGAAGGCGCAAGCAGCGCAGCGCACTCTTCCAGGCCTGCCTTGAGCGACTGCAACGTCTCGCGGAGCTGCACAAGCAACCATTCAAGCTCCCGCGCTTGCGACGCCGCCTGCTCATGAGCGAGACGCGCATCGTCGATGGGGGGCCATACAGCAGTCGACATGGTGGTGTGCTTCCAAGGCACGAACGGTGCAGGGTGTTGTTGTCTGCTGCCCGAGCTCGATGGCAGGCACGCAGCAGATCTCGCTACTATCCGAGCAAGGAAGCCATCCCTGCATCCATCACCCATCTCAACATGTGATGCCGCACGCATCACACACTTGGAGACTCAGTAACTCGCACCGTCACGATCCGTTGCATCCGCCAACACGTTTGCAGGCAAGCCGCGGGCCCTTTGGTGTGTCGAGGAGCCTCGGGATGATGCAAAGCGCGCGCGATAGTGTCGTAACCCTGTGCGATGATGGAGCTAGTTGACGACGCCGATTCATTCGCCTACGTCACCGCTGGCCAGCGCTCATAAACAAGCCTGCCAGGCCTCTTTTCGTTGCGCATTTGACACGCAGCTAGCCACGTCGAATCATCCCACTGTAATAGCACCTTTATCGTGCATCCTAATCTTAATACACAACCACCCTTGCGACGACACCTCTTTTGGGCGACACCAACAATGGCAGTGGCTAGTAAGTCGTCCGTCACTTCCTGTTTTGGCTGCGCGCCTGCTAACATGCTACCCAGGACCCCTTCTCGCTTTCGGCTCGCTGATACTCGTCGCTGGTGGCCTGCTCTTCCAATTCCTGACCATCCTCACTGGCGGCGTCAATAAGGCTCCTCTTAACAAGTTCTACTTCCTCGAGGCCTCTACCAATGGCATCCCCAACGCACGAAACCCATCGCGATGGACTTTCTTTGCCATCTGCGGCTCCGACCCATCATCGGGAAACAATGCCAACTGCGGCTCACCCGTTCCAGCGCTGCCATTTGACCCGCCCCGCAACTTTGGCACCCAGCAAGGCATTCCTGAGCAGTTTATTGGTACACACACGTACTTCTATCTGTCTCGCTTCATGTTTGCCTTCTACCTGATCGCTCTCTTCTTCGCTGCCATGGCTCTCATCTCCGGTCTACTTGCCCTCTGTAGCCGTCTTGGAGGATACCTCTCTTCTTTGATGGCCTTTATCGCTCTATTCTTCCAGGCGCTCGCTGCAGCTCTCATGACGTAAGTTTACCCATGACGAAACTTCTTGCCATGTATACTAACTTGACCAGTGCATGGGTAGTCAAGGGTCGCGACGCCTTCCGTTCCGCCGGTAACGAAGCACGCATCGGAAGATACCTCATGGGTTTCACCTGGGCTGCCGTTGCCTGTTACTTCCTAGCTACCGTCATGTTCTGTCTCGGTGGCCGTCTCGGAGGCGATCGCTCTTCCAGCATGCGCCGAACGCGCTCTACCAAGTCAAACCGCAGCCGAGGTAGCTTCATTGACACCGAATCCCAGCGTAAGACTAGGGACTACTCTCCGTAGACCGGTACACGATGGGAAAAGGAGGACGAGATCGAAGAGAGGCCATGTAGAGGGGAGACTGATCTTTTACGCAACGATATCCATGATTTGATTTTATAATGCACGAACATAATACCTTGTTATAGCGTGCGAATGAGTTAATGCTAGTAATGTCCATATGCATACACAGCAAAAGTAACTTCGTATACAAAGAGCACCTTGATGAATGTGTCTTTAGACTGCTAAAAGTTCACGGAAAGGATTCTTGTCATGCGCCTGCACATGCATTGCGCGTCCGCCTCTGACCCGGAAATCAACCAACGACATCAAAACTCATCCACACCACACCATGTCTCAAACATATCCCCCAGATCCAACACCTTGCCCGCTTCTTCCACTGTCCTTCTCTCGACCACAGTCCACAAGTCAAACACATCCTCTTCGTCTTCTTCCTCCTCCCCCTCCTCTTCTCCCGACTCATCACCACCACTAACCGGCACGTAAGCCTCTACCCCCTTACAACTTGCCACACACTCATCCAGCAAATTCCAATCCGTCACCCCTCTCAGCACCATCTGGGGATCGCCCAGTCCAGGATATCTCATAACAGGCGGCGCGCCATTCGACAAAGTATATCTTGTTTCTAGACCCGTGATCCTCGAGGTGTACGAATGGGATTCGTTGCACGAGGAAGGCATCGACAGGGTATGAGCATCGAAGTCCGCGAGAGAAGTAGTGAGAAGATCAGACTCGTCCTGTTTGTTGAAGAGCTGTGTAGCGAGTGTATATGCGCGTTGGGTGTGAGATTTCATGAGGCCAATAGCGGGGAGGGGGATATATCTCGTTGTGTTCTTTTTCTTCAACAACCCACTTCCGTTATCCTTGTCTTTCGCAGCAGCAGCAGCAGCAGCAGCAGCAACATCCACAGCACCACCACCACCACCACAAAACGGCGGCACAACACCCACACCCCCGTTTCCCAAAAACTGTGCCCACGGCTTCACCCCACTGACCCAGGGTCCCGTCTCGTACTCGCCCACAGGACACCACGCCTCACCCCTGGGATCATAAATCACTTGATCGCCCGTCGAAACTCTGCGTCCCCAGATTGTAACCTCGAGAAGAGAAATCGTGTCCCTAACGCTCTTCTCAAATGCCCTAGCACGATTCGCGCCTCGTACCGCTACTTCAACAGTCCCAGCTGCCTGCGCTTCTTCCAGCACCTCTTCGTAAGGGAGGTATAATGCGCTTTCTTGCCAGATGTCTAAGAGATAGAACCATATTGACTGCATGAGCGGGGTATCTATGGGGTGGAAATCGGCAAAGTAGTCGAGGAGGATCGTAGCACACGACCAGTATTTGGTTGTGAAGGTAGATTCGCATGGGCGGCAGGGCCAGTTGGACCGGTTGCGGTGGTGCGGGCAGATTGGGTGGGTGAGAAGGGATTTAACTTGCATGTATGCAGTTTCAAAGGTGATGTCGTTGTTGTCGCATATGTAGCGCGTGGTTGTTGGAGGTGAGGTGGTATGGTCTGTTATGAGGATGTTGGGTAGGGGTGGCATTGTGATGGATGCTTGAGGATAAGTAGCCAGCGCGTTAGAAATTTTAATATTCAATCTAACACCAGTGAGTAGTATGGATGTTGGTACTGAAGTGGAGGTCGAGTAGCAATCGGGGTTCATAAATTAGCGCCAAGACTGCAGCCTTGAGTGATATACTTGAAAGCAGCTCACAATACCAGTCGCAGTGATATTAGAACAAATCCTACTCTAACCCTGAAAGCTGCGCTCGATACCCTTCACTCTTCCTACCATTTCGACATGCGACTAAGCGTGCTCATCCTCCCATGTTGCATGTTACTCAACAGCGCTTCCTCTAGGGCCGATTGACTGATACCCGCATCTGTCCAATGTGAATATATGTATCAATCTAAAGGACGGTAACACCATGACTCACCATCAATGTCGCTGAAGCTGCTGCCCATACTAGGCGTGCCCTCACTGCCTTCCACCTTGGATCGCAGTCCTCCGCGCCGTGGACTGCCGAGTCGGCCTAGTGCTGCACGATGATCTGACGCTGGGCTCATGGGGCTCTTTGCTGCTGAATGAGGTCCACCGGAACTAGTCATTGATGACGCCGTCTCGTTAGTCGCAAGTGATTGCACGTCAATGGACTTCTGTCTCGTGGGTGGAGCATTCCTTGCGCGATCTGTTTGTAGAGTCTTTTGTTCGGGTTTGCTAGTGGTACGGAAACGTGTATCTTGTGCATACTTGCTACTGCTGGGCTGGGGTCTAGCTGCAGTTGCGAAGGGCAGACTCGGCTCATGCGAGCCCGAATCATCAATCTCCTGGGTTCCATCACCCTCCTCGAATGTGGAGAGATCTCGAGGTTTCTTCTGCTGGAAACGCGGTGGGCGCTTGAAGAGTTGACTTCGATGAGCTGGATGATCAGTATCTGACAACGATGATGAGCTCGAAGATGAGGAGTCAGGAATGTCTGGAGAGGCCGTTTCATCATTCCGATAGCTGGGCGGTGCGGCCGGAGTGTGTGCACGATCGTCAGACCTCCGACTAGTCAAGTTAGGGCGTTGAGTAGAGCGTGTGGACAGCGTTCGAGCTGGCGCTTGAGTATTCGTTCGAGACTGAGTAATTGTGGTCGTAGATGGTGTCCTAGATAGAGGAGGCGCTGGGTCATGTTAGATGTGTCTACCATGAAATCCATCGATTTTGTCAATGTACTTACCTGGCGTCGTTACCTCTGCACTGCGTAGGCTTGGACTGTCCCTTGATCGTCCAGCCAGCGCAGATGTAGTCCTACCAGCTGCTTGTTGTCAGTAATATCAACCAATAGTGAATGATTTACCTACCTCCAGATCCGGCACTACCACCCCTCCGCATCGCAACACCACCAACACCGGTCATAGTGCTACCGCCAGTTGGCGACGATGATGGAACAGCATTTGAAATGCTGACCTTCTTCATCTGATTGCGAACGTGATCAAGATGCCGCTCGTACAACCATGCTGCTTGCTGAAGAAGAAAGGTTGGGGGGACTTGAAATTTGTCGGCTCTGTTACAGTCAGCGAGGCTGATGCATTGCGCGATATGCATATACATACAACTCGACCCCTACGTTATATATCAGCATAAGTTCAGGAGGCTTATGTGAAGGAGCACTTACAGTTCAAGTCACTGGTCTTCGAAGACTTTGATATAACCTTCCATAATTGGCGGTCTCTCTCGGCATCCCATTGTGCCTGTGCGATGGTCAGATGATCCCTCAAGACCAGATGGAAGTTACTTTACCTGTGGAGGATCTTCAAAGTCACCCCGTATGAACGGGAGACGTATTAGCGCTGTAAACTGAACTGAAGACATTGAGAGATGATCCGACGTAGATGCGAAGATGTAGGTTGATGGAGAGATGGTCAACAGAGGTGTGGTGATGCGACTAGGCTGTCGAATGAAGTAAGGCGTGAACAGAGCTACGCATGCGGCTGATTAGGCAGGAGCAGCAACTTCTCGAACAAAGCCCGAGTAGCAAATAACTTCACGTCACTCGGATCTTGGATATGTCTAGATATGTAGATTCTGAGTAGTCCCGAAGACTGCAGTACCGATCGTAAAGATCAAGGTCGCGTGCACCTTTGACATCGCGGACTCCGCACCGCCACACGTTCCCCGTGAACGCCACAACGGCCCCGCTGCAGGGCACAAAATACTCGACACGGGCGCAGGCATAAATCTCCACCAAACACAGTCATTCCACCAAACATCAACTCCAGAGAATCAACTCACTGGAACAAAATGTCGACTCAAGCAATTACCAACATCGATATCCAAGGCAAGCTGCCCAAAGTCGCCTCTGGAAAAGTGCGCGATCTATACGCAATCGACGATGACACACTGTTGTTCGTCGCCAGCGACCGTATATCAGCCTACGACGTGATCATGGAGAATGTAGATAAAACACTCACCAACATTCAAGAGACTTGATTAACAAAAAACCCCAGGGCATCCCCGGAAAAGGCGCCCTCCTAACCGCCATGTCAATCTACTGGTTCCACTATCTCCCCACCAAAGTCCCCGGCCTAAAAACCCATTTCCTCTCCCAGGACCTCCCCCCCGCAATCCAGGACCAAAGTTACCTCAAGGACCGCAGCATGCAAGTCCGCCGTCTGCGCATCCTCCCCATTGAGTCCATAGTCCGCGGCTACATCACCGGATCGGGTTGGTCCGAGTACACCAAATCCGGAACCGTCAACGGGATCAGCATGCCCAAGGGACTAATCGAAGGCCAGAAGCTACCAGAACCACTGTGGACACCGAGTACCAAGGCGGAAGTAGGCGGTAAAGATGAGAATATTAGTCCCGAGGAAGCTAGACGCCTGATTGGCGATGACAAGACTGCGAAGCGTGTTGAGGAGCTTTCACTGGCCATCTACAGTGCTGCTGCAGACCGCGCAGAGGAGGTTGGTATTGTCCTCGCTGACACCAAATTTGAGTTTGGCGTTGATGGTATGGGTGAGGTGGTGCTTGTTGACGAGGTTTTGACGCCGGATAGCTCGAGGTTTTGGCCAAAAGAGTCGTGGGAGAAGAATCTAGGAAAGGCGCAACCTAGCTACGATAAGCAGTTCTTGAGGGATTGGCTAACAAGTAACGGGTTGAAGGGCAAGGAGGGCGTCGCAGTGCCGGCGGATATTGTGGAGAAGACTGCGGCGAAGTACAAGGAGGCTTGTGAGAAGCTTACAGGGAAGAGTGCGTAAGGGTGTGACGAGAAGTAGAGCACATGATGTGCGGGTTATGAACCATATGCAGCTATGGCAATGCCAGGCTTGAAGATAAGACAAAGTCACATACCATCAAAGTCACTTCAAGCATGCATTGCATCGAGAAGCAATCATCAAAATATTTCTTCATTCAGTTGATCTATACACCTCATTTCAGCCCTCTCAGCAACACGTTCAGGCTATACACAAACCCCGCATATCGCATTTCCGTTCTTAACGCCATGCCGTGTATGTCCCACAGCAATGCAAATTCCAAATAATACCCTATGTGATCCCATAACGCTATATGCAAATAAATCCTTTCCACTAGAAACTCCGGTGTAATGCAATGTCATGAGCAGATCATAGCAGTAACCCGGGAAAACGCCTTGCTTCATGCTTTGGAACCGAAAAAGAAGCTGACGTGGGACCCAATAACATATGAGATAAAGAGCGGAAGAGAATACAATATACGAAACGAAGGTGGTCCACCGAGTTGGTGGATATGAATGTAAAGTAGAAGTGATATGGTGCATGCGGACTCACACCTTTCGCGCACCAAAGAGGCTCAAGTTGATTGCAGTCTCGTTGCCGTTCGGGTTGCCAGAAGATTCAGCTAGAATCTCCCACCTTGGTTGTACGAACGGATAGTGTCGTATCTCCCTATCTTGCCTGACCTGCAGCTTGCCCGGCGCCTGCGCACCCGTCTGGCCTTGGCTACTCGTTTGGCCCTGACTTGTTGCAGAAGTCGGACGCTGTGAGTAGACGGGGGAGGGTTGCATGGCGCGCTGTTGCATTTGTTGCATCTGCTGCATTTGTGACATTTGCTGGAGTGGAGAAGGAGAGGCCTGGCCCGACGGTGTTCGTTGAAGCTGAGCGGGCAGCATCTTGTTCTGCGGATGCTGATGGTATTGCTGTTGCTGTGCGCGCATCTGCTGGGCTTGTTGAGCTGCCTGCATTTGCTGCTGTCTTTGTTGTTGTTGCTGATGGAAGTAGCGTTGTTGCGGGGTTGCAGAACTACTGGTAGGTATCTGTGGGCTCTGATATGGAGATGGCTGATTCTGAAGCGGTGTTGGCGTTGGTGGTTGCGACGACGCTTGAGTCAGAGGGATGTTGACCGGTTTGGCCAGGACAAGCCAGCCATCGACTGGCGCTGTAACTCCCAGAATGAAGACACAGCGTGCATCGCTTGCAAGCCTAGCACCTTCCAATCGAGTAACGTGGAACCGAACGTCGTCCGAGATATAGTCAGAAAGGAACACTGTAACATCGAAGACATGCTCAGTGATTGTAGGATATAGTTCCAGAGATGGATGCATGAGAAGAGCAGCCATGGCACTCATCATAGCGGTCTGGTGTGGATGGGTCGCGTCGCTCAGCATGGCTGAAGCATGGGATACCACTAGACGAAGAAGGGCGTTTAACCAAGCGTATACCTCTAGAACCGAGAGTCTGTCGTCTTCAAGAGCCTGGCTTATGCCTTTGAATCTCTCGATTAAGGCTTGAAGCAGAGCAGTCTGTTCTGTGGTCTCCGGACGCTTACTGGAAGTCAGGTCAATGACTGTGAGATACTTTTGCACTACTGCCGGCGAGACCTTTTCAGTCTCTTCTGCTTTGACGGTAGGTGACATGCATAAAAAGGCAGAGGCATCTATGATCTCCCGTTCGGCATGTTGTCGAATCTGGTCGGTGAGAGCAGCATCCAAGCTTGCGAGAAGCTCTAATCCTGAAGGTTGATCCTCTTCGACCGCTGTCTTGATGGCACTCAGAAGAGACGCGGAGAGTGCCTCACCGGAGCCTCCCAGCGAGGCTGCACTAGATGAGAACAGCTGCTCAATGGCCGCTTGGCAGATTGGTAACGATAACTCGCTAGCAAGTGCGAAGACTGCGAGTACCTGCTGTTCGGGGCTCTTTTCCGGCAACCTCAGCTGACCTTTAGGGTCAAGGAGGCTGTCTAATGACGGCTTGAAGTAATGACCTGAGGCCTCTTTGTGCAGTTTGAACAAGCATCCCGGGTCGCTAACGATGCGATGCTTTAGGACATATAGCATAGGCTTACTGCGCAGAAAGTCTGAGAGTTGCGCTTGGGCCTTCTGAGAAGGGATCATTGCGCCAAGTCCAATCACCTCACCAATGCATCGCGTAAAGCGGCCTTCGGCTTCTAGGCAGAGCTTTCGCTGCTCCAGGCGATACCGATATGCATCTTGTGGCGAGCAAGACTGAACCAATGCATCAGATGGCAAAGTAATCAGCATGCCCTTGAGAGCGCTCTGGAAACCACCTTCAGAAGGATTTGTCTTGAACTTTGCGATACAAGCTCGAAGAGTATCCAGAAAAGATGCCAAAGGAATACAGCCAGAACCAACAAGAGTGGGTAAGGCTACCCGCAGCGTGTCAGTCCTTTGGGCCATTAAGCTCAAGATCAGCCATTCGTTTACGACCATATCGAAGGTCGGCTCGTCGAAGCAACGCAGCCGATGGAACCAGGCATGATGGCTGTTCAATTGAAACGAACCCTTGGCTAGATGTTCCTCTAGATTGCTAACAATCTTGCGGAGTACTCGTCCCATCATTTGCTGATCCATACTGGTACCACTTGAAAGAATGCGTTCAATCTCGTCATCGGAAGAGGATCCTGTTTGCATGACCTCACCCATGTTGTCGGAGGCTGGTGAACAGGCCACAAGTGAGTTCCGCTGGTTCAGTTGACTCAGGTCATAGTTGAGAAGCTGTGGGAGTTGGCCATCAGCATGCGCCGTACGAGCTAGGCTGGCAAGACTGAGCAGTAGTTCACGGTCAGGAAGTCGAACCGTCCGCAGGGCAGCATATCTTGTTGCGATTCTAGCGAACAAGGGGTCAAAAGCACCTATAGCACGAAAGGCTTTGACGTGGTAGTTGATCGTATCCGCAGCAGAGGCGAGAACACTAGGATCCAAAGATGTAGTTGCCACGCCGACAATGTCCGCAAGTATAGCAAGGTCTCCAAAGCGCTCAAGGTAGGATCTTACAATGTGAAAGTCCCATGGCGTCAATAAAGATACCGCAGCGGTTTCTTCGACAGACGAGTCCTTGGTAGGTATGCTATATAATGTAAGCGGGGCCGTGATCATCCTACTGGAGCAACTTACTGCGCGCTGACCTCAGCATACTGAGCGACGTGTTGACGTAACCAGATGCCCAACTCAAGCTTTACTGTCGAACTAAGCTTGTCTAGCTCTACGTCATTGGGCTTAGTTGTAGTGCTGTAGATGCCGAACAAGGCAGGCAATGTCTGGGATATCATGTGCTCGGCGTAGCCAAGAGCTCGTTGTTCCAGTTCGGCCGAATGCATGGTTCCACGTAGGAGTGTACTTCGTAACGTACGGATTTGGTCTGGTAGCCCACTGAGGGGTATTTCAGTGACCAAGCGCAACGGCCAGGAATGCGGCGAAGACAGATCCGTGCTGTACCCAGTAGACCCCGTAGCGATGAGCCACTGAAGATAGCGTCCGGTAGCGAAAGTCTTTGAGCGAACCAGCTCAGCAACGATTCTGAAGAGAATGCTCGGGTCGCCGGTCGCAACCCAGGTCACGTCACGAAGATGCGAGACGATTCCGTCGTACACGTCTGCGCCAAGATGGTTCCATCTGCGGAGTAGTCGAGTCGCCAGATAGATCCTATGTGTCCCTTCTCGGTAACACGTGCATGCCCACTGAAGAAGGATGCCGATCAACCGTGGAGCGTCGGCGACAATTTTCATGCAATCACAGGACAGGTCCTCGATGCGCACTGGCTTGTTGTAGTCTATAGAGTCCAGTATCCGGTAGACGCGGCCAGCCGGTGTCTGCGAGGCGGAGGGAACTTTCTTTGGAGATTGCAAGAGCCTGGTGTTCCTCAGCTCGAGCCTCCGCACCGCTTGCGTAACATGTGCATGGTTTTTCCGCTCGGCGAGTTTCCGCAGAAGGGGGCTATATCTAGCCCACGCAGTTGGAAGCAGCAGACAAGCAGGTCGTGTCGCGAGTAGTCGGACGACGGTGTTCTCTAGATACTGTAAGACGGCCAAGTAAGGCCTCAGATCCTCAAGTAGATAGATCTTGTCAAGCTGATTGAGCAGTGACTCGGCAAGGCGCTTGCCGCGGCGTCGACAACAGGTTACGGCTGTCCAGTAGTGCGAGATGGATACAACCAGCAACCAGATAAACAGACGTTCGGAAGGGCATGTATCCAGGCCATTGACTATCCAATCCAGGAAGTGGTCGTCGTCGAGAAGGTGCTCTTTGTAGAGATGGGTCGCAAGCTGGAGGGCATACGTGATCCGGGGTTTCCAGTCACCCTGTCCAATACTGCCAATGACACCGTCTATGAACTGCTCGACCGAACTGGTCCAGCCTCTTCCCCATGTCACAGTGCCAGCCTGGCCCTTTCTCTTGTGAGCACGCAGCTCGTTGATACCCACACACTTGGCCAGCCACAAGGCCCTCGGGAGAGGGATGTTCTTGTTGAGACATTGTTCCAGCAACACTTTGCCTGTGAGCCCGTGGGGTATGGTGCGGCTGAGCCTGCGGAGGCCCGTTGTTGGGTTCGCCAAGTCGTGCAGCCATTGCTCGCGGGTCGAGTCTCTCAACGTCAGTCGCGGCGGAGGCTTGAAGGTATTCGGGGTTTGGAGGCGACCGGTCTGCTGTCTCTTCTCTAGTACGGCGACGAACAGGGTCGACAGGGTGCTGAGCCCTGACTTGTTCTTGAGGTTGTTGATGAGGGAGGGGCGGGCGGTGTTGGACTCGTTCATGATCTGCGGCTTGTTACTCACGCCTGCCTTGACTAGCGCCTCTGACAGGTTGTCCTCGGGGTTGTTGCCGGTCCAGGGAAACAGATCGGCGGCCTTCCCACCGGGAAAATGGACGGGTGGGACCACGACTTCAGGCCCACCGGGTTTGGGCGCATCTTTGACTCCTGTACCACCAGGCAGTATGCGGCGCTGGAGCGAAGCGTCTCTCAGGTGCAGGGAGCCAGGGCGTGGGGGTTGGGGCAGGTTCGCCGTCGGCTGATACGGGAAGGAGTGTAGGGGCAGCTCGATGCCATGATTTGGGGGGATGGTGGTGTAGAATAGCGGCGGACGCCCCCTTGGGGGAGGTCTCGCAGCATCGTGGGCAGCATTGTGTATGGGTGGGCGCTCGTCCTCTAGGGCCGGATCGATGCAGTCCGGCTGAAGGAGCGTATGGGCAGGCTTCGAGGGCCGGCGCTGCACCTGGGACCGAGGAGGCAGGGCGCTGCCACGATTCTGTAGAGATTCGTGAATCCCCGGGCCAGGTCGAGAAGTCATCGCACACACAGCGACTTCATCGTTGTATCAGGCGCATGCAGTTGTTGGGCCAAGGGAGCGAGCGAGGGCTGGGCGAGGTCAGGAGGCGCCGATGTTGGGGCGGCGGCATGTGCGAGCAACACACTCTCGATGGGGACAGGAGGGACTGATGTGTTGCTCGGGTGAGGGCAATGGGGACGGACGCAGAGAGATTGACGTGAGGTCTGAGGTTATCGTGGATTGCGAACAGCGGAGACGATCACCCGGTAATACGACAGAGCGACATGGGTTCCACACTAAGACGGGGCCAACGACATCCCGGCCGGTACCAGAGCCAGACAGCCGCCGCTCACGCCTCACGCTGCAACAAGATCACTCCATCCATCTCCACTCCGCCAGCCTACGGTAGATATCTCGGCCACCGAAAACACACCGCCCGACCACCAGCTCCACGATGGCTTCCAAGAAGGACATGCGCCGCGCCGACCTGAGTACGTGATGCCGCGGAACTTCTCCCGGACGCAGCCTCTCCGTCATAGGGGTTCTGACGGTTTAACATTCCAATGCCATTGATCACGTGTCTAACGCGCTTTCACCTGCAGTCGTGCCCTACGCCGAGCCAGAGAAGGGCAAGGATGACAACGACATGGCGAGCACGCTCTCGAGCACGCTGCCCATGGCTGCTGTAAGTGCCGCTCTCTATCCAACCCCATGTTACACGGCTGATATCGAGTCCCAGATCTTCACGCGAAACAAGTAGGCAATACCCAGATACGCGCGCAGGTGTGCCCAATATCCATGACTGACATCACGCGTGCTGCACAGGATGATCGGCTGGTGAGTTTCCTCATTTTTGTGCCACGTTCCCTATTGACTCGATGCAGGGTTGCTGTAGTATTCGCTATCCAGTCGTGGCTCGCTGAGACACCCGACCAGAAGAAGACGTCAACAACTCCCGCCTACTTCCAGGTTGGCATGTCCAGTATGTATCGCCGCTGCCTCACACTTGATCATCAAACTAACCAAGATCCAGTCATGTCGCTTCTAGTTGTAAGTTTGGCCCCTGGACATGACTCTGGCTGGTCCTTCGTATTGACGCGGTACTACAGAGTTACTCGTCCATGTTCCTTCCGCCCCCGCCTGTCAGATCTGGCCAAGCATCTGGAACGGAAGCGTTCCCTGCTGCTCCGCCGTCGTAGGTTGCCGTGCGAGAAGTTCAAGTGTAGCTGGTATTCAGGTAGTCACTGTACCGTGTAATTGTATAATTCGACATGTTCACCTAGCAAGCGACGATAGCTGTCGGCTAGCTCGTAGTACCCATATCACTTGCTCACCCCATGTGTCACCATTTCACCATCGTCCTCTCTCATTCGCGCCTTCCGCTCGCCATACCAATTAGCCTTTGGACGGTAAGCACCACCCAGTACCCTTTGCTGCGCACTGACCACGGCGGGGCTCGCCTTCCTCTCCCGCCGCATTCCCCACCTCTTTCTCTCAGCCTGCTCGACCCTACAAACACTCACTTGCAGCCTCCCGACTTGTGCATCACCACGACCAAACCACCCAAACTCATTCTCAGCTCAACCAGTCCCGCTACCCACAGCATCCACATCCCAACAACCCCCCACCTACACGCGCGCTCACCGACTGTCGTATGTCCATCGAGAACCTCAAGTCCTTCGGTAAGACGTCACACTCGAAGCGCATGCGAGGCAGCTACTGACGACGTGTTTGCAGACCCGTTCGCGGAAGCGGATGAAGATACCGGCCAGGTCAAGCAGACTCAGCAGGACTACATTCATATTCGTATCCAACGTACGTCTCTCACCGCCCTTGCACACTGATGCAAAGTCCTCACCACGCACCCAACCCACTTGCGCACCTCCCAACATGTCCCCAGACGCTCACGCAGGTCATGCGATATTCTTTAAAAATACCACGGCTAACACACCACAGAGCGCAATGGCCGCAAGACACTGACGACCGTCCAAGGTCTCCCCAAGAAGTTTGACCAGAAGAAGATCCTCAAAGTGATCAAAAAGAAGTTTGCCTGCAATGGCACCATCGTAAGCGACGCCGAGATGGGCGAAGTCGTCCAGCTCCAGGGCGATCAGCGCAAAGACGTCCAGGACTTCTTGACCGACAAGAAGGAGGGACTTGGTCTCGATGTTAAGACGATCAAGGTGAGTCACAGCATCATGTGAATTTTGTATCGAAACACAAACTAACCATGATTCAGGTCCACGGTTTCTAGTCTTCTATGGCTGTTACCTTGTGCCCCCTCGATATGCCGGCCTCCTTCGCCTGCGGCGCGGCTAAAGCGGCACAGCTTTTCGTAAGCTTGCGTCATACGCCCTTGTACCAGTATGAAGAGAAGGACGGAGTTCGAGGTCGAATCGAGCATATGCGCGACAGTGAAATGCTGGGCACTGAATGATTGTGTGTACCTGGGTTATCGTTTTTGCTACTGGCAAGTAGAGCTCAAATGACATGATTATCTTCCTCTATGCGCCATCTTTCCCGAGTGGATCCTTTTGCTACATGGCATTCCACGTGATGTCAGGCTCGGAACAATTTGCATATTTGAAGATTTGAAGCTTTGAAGCTGCGTCTCCAAAGCATGTATAGTTACACCTAAAGTTCCTAGAGCACGCCCACATGCCCTCATCATGTCCATCATATGTACAAATATGGTTACAAAGTCCCTCCATCTTTTTTCTCTCGCCCACCCTCTCCTTCAGTCGTCTAAACTACGCAGTCTCAATCTGTGTATTCAACATCTTGGACCAATACCTCTCATCCCTCGCAATCACACTGGGCGTCGACTCCTCGGTGAAACCCCAAACCTTCCACTCCTCCTCTGACCCCCTAATAACCCTCTTCTGCAACACAAGGTACTCCACTACCGTCTTGGGCACTCCGTTATCAGGGAACTCATCACCGCTCTTGACAATCTGGTTCTCAGTTTCGCCCTCATCCTCTAGTTTCTGACTCCGTTGACGTGCCTTTTCAGCTCGCTGGCGTGCGGCATCTGGGACCCAAGGGAGATGAGGTGCGGTGCGTGTCGACGAAGACTTTGTAGATTTAGACAGAGAAGAAGTGGATCGTTCGAGTGATTGAACGGATGCGATTCGCACAACGACTTGTCTGTATGCCGAGTCTGGTTGTTCTTCACCCAAGGGCGCGCAGCGGTGCGAGACTACACGTAGGGATTTGAATTTGTGGAGGTGCCAGGACATCTGGACTCTGCTGCCACGGGTGGCAATTCGTTGTCTGAGCTTCTTGACGAGGGGGGATAGGCAGATTTGCTCCAGAGGGGTGACATTGCCTCTGTTGAATATGTTAGTCCCGTCATGTTTGGGGATTATCTTGGGGCTAGAAGAATAGTAAGGACACGTACTTGGCGAAGTCTTTTTGGATTTGCTCGTAGTATCTCTTTGCTAGGGTTTTGTATTGGCTATTGTTGAAGAGATCGACGGGTAGGTATTGTGACCAGCCGGATTTTTGGATACAGGCGCGGTAGTAGTATCGTCTGGGTATTTATGTTAGCTCTCAATATCAAAGTTTCCGTACAGTTCTTCATTTGAGCCTGAACCTGCTGCCCCTCTCTTCCCTTTGCTCAGACTCTCACTCTAGCTTCAACCCGTAGAAAGTCCAACTTACGAATAAAGAGCCGTTCCCTTGTGCTTGACAATATTCCAGTAATAGCCCATAATCCCCCTAATCCCATCTGCCTCTTTCATCAAATCCCTAAATGGCGCCCTCACAATGGTATTCTGCAGAAGCCCAATATCCTCTGCCATAGCATCTGCATCTCGTTGCGCACGCTCAAAGTTGACTTTCGGTGAAGGCGCAATTTGGGATTCGGCAGCGGCTCTTGTTTGCGCCTTGTCCTGACCGAGTTGCCGGCGCTTTGCTGGGCGTGAGGGGGTGCTGGAGAAGGTGCGGCGGGAAGATGGGTGGGTTATGGTGGGTTGGGCGGAGCGGACGAGGGTTTGGTGGCGCAGGAAGAGGCATTGTCGTTGGAGCGCTGGCATTCGTATACTTCGGAGTGGTATTGGTGAAGACATTGCGGGCGGGGGTTTATGCTCGGGGCGAGCGTTGGGCGTTTGTGATGAGGATGTTCAATATGTCAAAGTCAATGTTCGGGCGGGAAGTTCGCGCTAGTGAGGTACATGGTACCATTGGCCTACAGTGGTGCTTTCTACACCTACACACTCACAAGAGGTCAGTTCGCAATAAGAAAAATCAGATAAAATGCGAAAATTACAGTCGGAGAGGTTAGAGAGTATATTCTTTCAGCGAAGAGCTGTACACGCTTGCTACTGGTCTCAAACTTCCATCGCGAACCGTTTCCACAGATTTCATGTCGTCGTATATTCTCCCATGTTTCCAACATTATACAAGTACATGCTCAATCAGAGCTGAGTGGTGATACAAGACGCCGTATATGCGTCGCAAGGCCCCAACTTTTCATAACGCCGTTTCTATGCATCAAATCCTGTACTCATCTACACCTGTATGCAAAAACCGTTGACTCATCACATGTTACTGCTCTCTCCGAGGAACTTTAGCACACCTTCGTATGTACCGAACATGATGGCGGCGCTGGGTACCACGCGGAACATGTGAGGAACCAGACCGCCGTAAAGCGCCGCCATGCCCTCTTCTTTCCAGATCAGTCGGAAACATTGAACGAGGCCAGTGTATTTCTGTCGACCATCTTCCATGGGTGCTTGCCTTAGGCGTGTTCGAACGACCTCGTGTGGATAAGTGATTAGTGCAGCCACAAATTTGGCTGATCCGGCAGCAGTCAGCTTGCCGGTCCATGCCACAGTCTGGTCCCATACGGTTGGCGGTTTCCCGCTAGCGATGACGCGCTCTTCTCTCCGTGCCAGCGATAGCTTCATCTGCTCGTACAGCACCCATTGCAACGTGCTCTCAGTAACACCCAAGTAACTGGCAGTCAGTCCACGGTATAAACCGCGAACACCCTCTTTCCGTATAGTTTGCATGGTGCAGTCGAATGCATTCTTGTACTGCCGCCCGCGGCCATCCGAATGTGTATTCTTGTCCAATTGCAACCTCGTCTTGACAAGCCAAATGGGGTTGGTGGCGGTCCCAGTCACGATACCAGCAGCGGCCGCACTGCAGAGATGCACCCATGCTGCCTCCTGACCATTGTTGAAGTGTGTACTGATCAACCGCTTTCCGTTGCCGTATGCGAAGAAGTTGATTGCGCGTGCAGGGACTACCCCAATAAGATTTGGTCCCAGTCCTTTGAACAGTGCCCGCCATCCCTCTGTCTTTGGAACCTGCCATAATATCTCTCCAGTTTCTCGGATATGCAGCAGCGAGCTGCGACCGAAGGACATGGTTTCGATTGGGGGCAGGCCACGGGCGGTGCGCATTGCGGCGAGATGCTGTTGGTAGAACGTAGATTGCAGACGGGTCTTCAAGACATCAAGCGGGGCTGTTAAAGTCGCCGAGGCCATGCCACCAAGGCTTTTCAATTGTCAGTTTCTGAGGTCATAATCTAGTCTCGACTGTAATCTTACCCTCCGGCGACAAAATGTGCCCATGACTTTCCAGACTTGAGGTCCTGTTGCGCTACCGGTGCGCCATCTGGCTGTTTTGGAGGAGTGACTTCGCCCAACTCTCGCGACGACGGTGGGAGGGGTTGCAGCGGTTGGGTTGTGTCGTCTCGAATACGTCGAGGTGTAGAGGCTTCTTGCAGTGTCATCGAGGCAGAAAAGGCGCGTGGCGAGATGTGTGAACGTGGGTTGAGGGAGGCACACGCAAAGGGACGAGTTGGAGTGTCGGGAACGTCGGGTTATTATTGTATCATTGGAGGAGTTTGTTTGGTGAGTTAGAGGCGGTGGTGGGATGTATTTGCACATGCAGCAGTCCCCAGATTTTTGGTATGGTCAACGAAAGCGGCTAGCCTCTGATGAGACTACCGCGGCGTCATTTGCCCAGGTGCATTGCGTTGTGAGCTCATCGAAGTCCGACTGCCATTGCGCCCGCAGCTTTCACAGCCTATCCTCTGGATATTACAAACCCTTCACGCCAACATGCGACCAACATCAGCTTGCCTTGCGCCTGGCTTTTTAAAGAGGAGCCTGGACGAATTCAAGCGCCTTTCCAACTTCGGTGAGCTCTGCAGTTGCATGTGCTGGATGCGCCGCCACTAATCTCCGCAGCACTCAAGCTTGAAGGCCTAAGATCACCGTCCAAGCCCTTCCCTCTAATCCACTTCAACCAGCCTGAAGACCTGGAACGATGCAAGCGCATGAGCGACAAAGACATCGGCGGCTACTCCACCGCAAACTTCGACTACCATCCTGTCACCCAAACTGAACCCCCACACGTCCGCTTCCACGGTACCATATCCACACAACTGCCACACAACCAACCACACATTCAAAGAACAGGCTATGCGGGATGGAGGACACTTGATCGAGGCTCAACCATCTTCGGCAAATCACTATGGGATGTGAGCATGTACAACTTCCTCGCAATCCAGTTCAAGTCGGACGGTCGCAAGTACTTTGTAAATGTGCAGACCGAGTCGATCGTGCCTACAGATATTCACCAGCATTTGCTGCACTCCAAGACACCTGGCGAATGGGAGACAATCTTGATCAAGTGGAACGAGTTTGTGCGGACGAACCATGGGCAGGTTGTAGAGCCACAGAGGGAGATGTTGACACAGAAGGTAAGAACAGTGGGTATCTCGTTGATAGATCGGATACCAGGGCCGTACGATCTGAGCATCAGCAAGATATGGGCAACCAATGCAACGAGCGAGGACGAGTTTCTGAACGGCGCTCCAGTGCCGCGCCTACAGTCTAGCACAGATGATCTCAAGAACGTCGCGAGGAAAGACTCTGGATTTGGTGAGGCGCCTCGGGAGACGATTACATAGATGTACATATTCATGTCAATTCGAAACTACTTACTCTTTTGCCTTTTCTTTAGTATACTTCTGCGCCATAATTCTACACAAAGTAATCGTTTGGGAATATTAGCCCAAACAGAGCCGTGAGTTGGGGCTGTCGTCGAGGCGCATGACTTCGCGACAATTACGCGCTGCGCGCCTCGGCTGTCATACCTTCCACACGACCTCCAACAAACACTCCCGTCTTAGACCTCGAAACACTGACAAATAGATCAGCAATCGCCTTGTCTGGTTGCAGTGCAGATGTCGCGCGAACCTACACGATAACAGCTTTCGTGTCGGCCATAAATGCAATAACTAACACCGTCTACGCCCAACGCTTTGTTTTGCTACGAACACTAAGCCCCGAACACCAAAGATGGCTACACCGCGCTACCTCACAGCGCAAAAGATCAGCCTTCTTGTTCTGACTCGCCTCTACTGCAGCTCAAGTCTTCCTTATTCCGCCACGATACCCATACTTTCCTTCATCTTGTCAAACAATTTACCCCCAGCACAGTCCAGCGCTCGTCCACGACGCTCTCACAATTCCAATCAACAAGACACATCTTTCTCAATCGATGCCTTCGAAGATGTGCTTGCGGAACATGCGTCAAATATGCCGGGTAGGACTCTTCTCGATCTCTTCCTCAAGCACATGTGGGAGATGAACTCCTTTGATGCGCTGCACGCTCTGTTCGACAGCATCTTGGATCTAGTTACTCCGCCGCCACCTGGCACACAAGATGAAGAATCACCGGATCGGATCTATCTCTCCAAAACATCGCCGCTCGGAGCGTTCGTTCGTAGGGCCCACCTGGAGTTCACGAGGCTGCAATTTGATGATTCAATGAAACTCTGGTCTTCGTTCATCAGGTACAGGGCTCCAACAGCACAATGGACAAAGAGACTGGCTGGCTTGGCATCAGGTGGAGTGGATATGGTAGTATCTGAGATGGGTCTAAGAGCTGGTGACGATGTGTATGAGATTGCGTACGGGCACCTGGAAGAAGATTACGAGGAAGGAGCAGGCATGAGTCTGAACGATTTAGACAGGATACTGGATTTCCAACTCGACCGACTTCAGAAATTCGGAGATCGTGTTCCTGACGAGATGAAAGGCCAGCTCCGCAATATGGTCAACTCCTCGGGCACAGTACATCGACAAGCGCATCTGGTGCAGTTCTTCGATGCCTGGAAAGCTGGAGACTACACGTCTGCGTTTGACAATCTGCACCGCTACTACGACTACGCTATGCAGACTCGTGAGAAAATTCACTACCAGTATGCTCTCTTGCATATGGCTATCCTACAGGCCGACTTTGGCTGTTTTGGCGAAGCGATCGCTGCCATCAACGAGACGATTGCTACAGCACGAGAGAATCAGGACATGACTTGTCTGAGCTTTAGTCTTAGCTGGTTGAATCACATGGCAAAGGCCTACCCTAAACAGATGAAGGGCGTTGGTTACATGAGCATGCTAGGAACCGAAAGGGATGCGTTGACCTTTCTGAAAGCGAAAGCTAAGGAGGCCAAAATGTATAATCTGCTCAGTGCAACTCTACTGAACGAGGCAAAGCTGTCCCTTATGACGGTACGTGGTTCTAGTCCGAACGTAGGGATTATTAGAGCTAATGTGTCTACAGGGCGACTCTATACCCCGAGCATTGGAACACATTTACCAATCCTCACACCTTAACATCAAAGAGAACGTCAACAGCTACGGCAGCCAGATGCTGCTAACAGCGACTCTTTATCAGCGACTCGGCGTTCCACATCTTGCCAACATCCATTGCGAACTACTTCTTGACTGCTATTCACACTCCTGTCCAACCGAAGAATGCCTCCGTGCCATCGGCCGCCGGGCTTTCGTTATAAGTCAGAGCGGCCGCTATGACGAGGCTATCAAGATGCTCGAAGCTATTGACCCCTCAGTGTACAAGTCGCTCAAGTTTCATCAATTCCTGGTACTTTGTATCGGCCTTATTAAGCTCAGGAGAGCTATCCGAAGGTATCTTTGTACCCACAAAACAAATACTCTTTGAACTAGCCATACTGATATAGTGATACAGATCTGACTGGCCAACCGCCACCCACCTGCTCGAAACTCTCAAACCTACGGCCACGCCTTCTACTCCGCCTCTTGATCCGGAACTCTCCTTTGTTCAACACGACACCTATATTGACTACCTCATCTCTACATCGCAATTTCCTCTCGCCTACCAATGCATTTCCTCGCTTGCTAAATCTCTCAAAGAAGACAACGCAGATGTTCAGCAGCGCGTTTCCGTACTTCTCATGCAAGCAGAGTTGTGGTGGAAAGTAGGTAAATCAGAAAGGGGCTTCAGCGTTGCGCTCAAGGCGGCGAGTGTGAGTTTTAGGGCACGCCTTGCAAGTTCGCTGTGGACCGCAGTGGGGTGTCTGGGTGTGATATTGAATTCGTTGGGAGAATGTCGAGAAGCGAGGAGACTGATCGAGGGTGTATTACCACAGGTATGTTGATTTCGCTCATGCTCACTCAACATGAAACTGCTCATACTGACGTCTACGACAGGCTCTGGAAGGCGCAGACACCGTGCTTACGGGTACTCTCTACTCGCATCTAGCAGACTCGTACATGGGTCTTGCCAATCCCAACGCAACGCAATCATCAATTTCCAACGCCGCGTCCCCGTGCCCTTCGACACCCAAAACAGGCGAGCAAGCATCAAATCGTTCCCGTTCTGCCAACATTGCCAAAGCAGAACTCTACATCGATCGGGCGAGGGAGTGCTTCAAGAATGCGGCGTATCTGGACGGAGAGTGCGAGCAGTTGATGAAGAAGGCGATTATTGCGAAATTGAGGGGCGACGAAAAGGTTGCAGAGGAGTGGGCTATGAGACACAATACTGTTTGGGACGAGGGCTATGGATCGCAAGAGGTGTGAGATTGCTACCAGCGTGTCATATGTCACGAGTGAAGATGCAGACACAAAGAAAATGTATTGCTGGTCTACTCTCAGCTTGCGCTCGTTGTACTATATACACATTTAACCCCACACTTGGTCCAAATGCTGGCTCGGATGGTTCCTGATATCAATGTTTGGAAGCGTGCTGTAGAAGCGCTTACTCGTCCTTCTTGTGGTAGTTGACCTTGTCGTTCCAGAAGAGGGTCTATTAGGTTGTCAGTAAATCGATGCAGTCATCCCGTGTCATGGGTGTCGTACCTTGTCACCGTCTCCCCAGAAGTAGTTCTTGGTACGGATGTTCTGGTATGCGTACTCGGGCCTCTCCGAGCGGGGGTTCTCGTGCTCCTCGTGGGCTACGTGCTCCCAGTGAGCATCCCACCTAACCTTGGCGTTGACACTGGCGACGATGATGCAGGGGATGGCAACGCTATCATAGAATTAGCATAGTTGCTCGCTTCATCAATTCCTCCTTCCAGGAGATGGTTCCAATGGCACGGCTATCTCGCATATTCCCCTTGGTCCACAATCCTCCCTCTTTCCCATGTGACCCCCCTCCAAATCCATATCCGCGTCAAGTAACTGGGTACTTACTAGAGCGACAGCTTGCGCCAGAACTCGCCAGACTCAGCAGCGTGCTGAGCAATGTGGGCACGCTCGCGGTTGAACTCGTTGTCCTCGGATCCGGCAAATTGCTTGGGGCTCTCGGAGCTGTAGTTGCGGCGGCCGGCGCGGGCAGGGGCGCGGGCAAGTGCCTGGCGGGGCGCGGCGCGGGCGAAGGATCGAGCGGCGAACATGGCGATGTTTGTTCGGCGTGGTAGAGTGGAGATGGGGTGCAATTGGTGTTGGCGTGAGGTGTGACGGAGGGAGCTCGAATTGACGAAACAGAGGCTTGGCGGATGGGCTGATGCGGAGATTCCCGCTTGCTGTTAGCGTGCGTGAGCTCGGCTGCCGGGTAATGTGACGTCGTGTCTGTCGCGTGAAGTCGCGTTTCTGCGTCCCGATGCAAGTCGGTATGAGTTGAGATGGTGAGGTCATGATGGTCTTCGTTTACACTCGCTATCGCCGTCCGTAACAGCACAACACCATGGTTCGCATCACCACCTGGAATGTCAACGGCATTCGCAACCCGTTTGGCTACAAGCCATGGAGTACGAACCGGACATTCAACGCCATGTTCGATATCCTCGAGGCGGACATTGTCATCATGCAAGAGCTGAAGATTCAGCGCAAGGATCTGACAGATGATATGGTGCTTGTGCCTGGCTGGGATTGCTACTTCAGTCTGCCAAAGCACAAAAAGGGTACTTGCCCATACTACGCAATGCTTGCTCTGCGATCTCCTACTAACGTGAGTGAGGTTACTCGGGCGTTGGTATCTACACCCGTCAGTCTGTGTGTGCGCCCATACGTGCCGAAGAAGGCGTTCTAGGCGCCCTCTGCCCTCCCGGCTCGACGACATCGTACCGCGACCTCCCCGAATCTGCCAGCATCGGCGGCTACCTCAGCCCATCTCAAGTCGCCAGTCTCCCTCCCGATCTCGAACCTGACAGTCTCGATTCAGAAGGACGATGTTTGGTGCTCGAGTTTCCAGCCTTCGTCCTCTTCGGCGTCTACAGTCCAGCGAACAGCAACGGCCTGCGTGACGGCTTCCGAACCGGCTTCCTTACAGCGCTGGAGACACGGATACGGAACTTGACTAACATGGGCAAAAATGTGATACTCACGGGCGATCTCAACGTCTCTAGGGATCTGATCGATACGGCCAGGGCACAGGACAATATGCTGGCAGAAGGAATGACGCATGATGAGTACTTGAGCACGCCGAATCGCCGAATTTTCAATCAGCTGTTGCTGAATGGAGTGGTGCCGGGCCAAAGGGACAAAGGGCGAGAAGAGCCAGTACTATACGACCTGTGTCGAGAGTTCCACCCAGACCGCGAAGGCATGTTCACACACTGGGAGCAGAAGATCAACGCTAGGCCAGGCAATTTTGGGTCACGTATCGATTTCATACTGTGCAGTATTGCCATCAAGGACTGGTTCAAAGAGGCGAACATTCAGGAAGGACTCATGGGGTCGGATCATTGCCCAGTGTACGCTGTCACAAAAGACGTAGTGCCAATATCACAGGGATCGACAACGGAGGAGAACAAGGTTGAAGAAATGGTACATATTTTGGATTTGATGAATCCAGCTAGCATGTTCAAAGACGGTGTACGGCAACGAGAGTACGACGCAGTCAAGGATGTTCCACCGCTCAGCGGAAAGCTACTAGCAGAGTTTACCAAAAGGAGAAGCATCCGAGATATGTTCAGTAAGAAGCCCGCTCTACCAAAATCTGCGCCAACACCAACGCCAAAGGTAATTGAGAAGGAAACTACGACAAAGGCAGATGTTGCGTCTACCCCTAGTAAGATCATCAACGATTCTGATAAAGACCTCGAATTGGCAATCGCGGCCTCTTTGGCAGACATGCCCTCAGCAGTTGATGGCAACCCTACATCAAGCCAGAGCCCGCTCAAGTCGGCTGAGAAGCGACGCGCTTCAGCATCCGCATCTCCCAACAAATCAGTCAAGAGGGGCAAAACCAACGCCCTGACCACTGCACCCAAAGCGTCAAAGGGCCAACAGTCACTGAAGGGCTTCTTTCAAACCCGAACTAAACCTGCAGATGAAGATCCTGTCAAGGACTCAGCACCACCCGCCTCACCGTCTACAACCAGCGATGCGCCTAGCCAATCCATTACAGACATGTCTGTTCCCCAATCGTCCATACCTTCCGACTCCTTCGACGCTGATCCGCGCGCCTCTCAGGAAGCATCAAAGGAAGGTTGGACAAAGCTCTTCTCTAAAAAACCGATACCGCGGTGCGAACACGGTGAACCCTGCATGTCGATGACGACAAAGAAACCTGGTATGAATTGCGGAAGACAGTTTTGGATGTGCCCTAGGCCGATCGGACCGACGGGACACAGGGAGGTGGGCACGCAGTGGCGGTGTGGGACGTTCATTTGGTGTAGCGACTGGAAGGGTAGCTGAGATGGAGGATACTCCACGAATGATGGAATATAAATATCCTACGCCGGAAACACGGTGGCTTGCGGTTCGCAAGGACTCTTTATAAGATGGCGATACAGGCATCACAAGGGTACTCACGAAGACTGAAGATCACCGCGGGAAGCGCAGACGGAGCAGAATATGCATCCAGGCATACGAAATCGCCTATAGGAACCAGAGATAGATATAATCGTCGCGCCGAGGGCAAGTAGAACAAAGGTGGAAGTTAGAAGGTAGTTCCTATCATGTTGTACTAATAAATCATACCCGAATGCGGGAGGAACAGCTTCGTTTACGGGCTGTCAGGACTATTTGATATGGAATCACCAGTCAGAAGTCATGTGATATATTCTCGCCAAGGCAACCTCCCTCTCAGCTGCGGCTGAAAGGATTTAATTTCTCCTTGCCATACTCATTCAATAAACAGTATCGGCTCTTTGGTATACCGTCCCAAGCCGATCATAATGTCCCAAAAAGACCAGTCTAGTACATATCGGCCCTTGGATCACTCGCGCCAGCAAATTCGACTCCTCGCATTTAACGCCGATCTGAATCTAAGATTTGAGGTATTCGATCTTGCGAATTGTCCCCCATACGTCGCGTTGAGCTACACATGGGGACTTCCAACCAACGACTACCACATCGAGCTGAATGGCTGCGTACACAACGTGCGATACAACCTTGTCACAGCTTTAGTTGCAATATATGGCCATGTGAAGCGAGGCCAACCATGGAGCTACTTTTGGATCGATGCTTTGTGTATAAATCAAGAGGATTTACTGGAAAAGAACGAGCAAGTTGCGATGATGAGCGACATCTACAAATCCGCCGAACATGTTCTAGTCTGGCTGGGAAACGATGCTGATGGAATCTTGAAGCGCTTTGCACGAGAAGCGTTGACAATCGACTCGCGTGGACTCTACGATAGAGTCGCCTTTCACGAAACTGAACTGTATCCGCTACTCAACAACGTCTACTGGACACGGATGTGGACGATCCAGGAGTATGAACTAGCGCAAAACATCATCTTCACGTCGAAGACTGAGTTGGCAACCGTGCCGAGCCTTCTAAACATGTTCCGAAATGTACGCTTCCACATCGACACCATTCCCAATGATCAACGAATCGAAGGCACCGACTCTGGCAACTTCCACGCGAACCATATGGACATACCCCGTCGCCTGAGCGATAAGCACTTTGGCAAGTACCGCTCCAAAGAAGTCGACCAACCTATCCGATTCAAGCCCAATAGCCTTCCGAACCTAGTTTGGACGAACAACTACAAGGGTTGTCAGGATCCGAGGGATTACGTATACGCCATTCTGAGTCTCGTGGATTGGAGCTTGCATCCTGGATTAGAGCCGCTGAAGGCGGATTATCGCTTGAGTCCGGGAAAGTTATGGGAGCAGGTACAGGCTTACGGCTTGGATAAAGGGCTTTTGCCGTTCAGGCTCAAGAAAGAAATTGAGAAGGAAGGGTATGATGTTGATACGACGCTGAGGATAAAACTGCCCCCGTTTCCGGCGCGTTGAAAGGATCCCTAGATCTGGTGGAAACTTTTAATAGTATCAAAGGCAAAATCTAGAAGCGCCTACCAGTGTTGACGTATTTCTGCGCATACTGTTACTAGGTAGAGCCAAGACGACCTCGACATCTACCTTACTAAGTGCTACGCAGCACCGTCAGAGTTACTCATGAAGATTCCAAGATACAGAAACAGATTATTGGTATCTTTGAACAACATCGTAATTTGTTTGCCAGGCTTGATGCAAAGATACGAAAGTTGTACTTGAATGTCGTTAGGAGTTCGTCCGTCTTGGAGGCATACCCGACCATTACTCCTTGACCACTATACTCGACAACTCGAACTTGGTACTCCATCTTATATACTATCTGAAATGAGTTTGACAGGGCCTCGCAGGTTTCTGATACGAACACGATTGTTAATTTAGTACTCTAGGTCCACTCGCAAGCTCACCTCGCTGACTGCGACATATCCTTACACAAATATACTAGAATAGTTACAGAAACTAATGGAAGTATCGAAACCACCAAAGGAAGATTTGTTGAAAGTCTTGCCACAGTTGATGCGAAGTTGCACAGGTTGTTCATTCGTACCCTTTGACAGCGGAATTGGCTCATTGCGGGCAGAAGCGGGACGCGATCACTGACATACCAATTGTTTCTACACTTGACAGAGATGTTATTTAATACTACATAAAGCTTTTCGTACTCGCTTGCCAGGCTTGACACAAATATACATGTACAATATATTATATCATTTAGACGTAATTCTTGGAATCTATCTACTGATATAACACAATCACTAGTACACAGGATCATGTGGAAATTTGCGAAGCTATTATTTAGATACTTATAAATGTTATATGATGTGTTTACCGAGCTCAACACAAAGCCACACTTCTAATACCGCCCGATGACTTTCACTCTTCGTCTTAGTAACTACATGGTTACTGAGCTACCGCTATTCCCCCTCGCTAAAAAATATTGATGAATCATTTCAACGCTACTTATGAAGGACTGGATAAAGGTCTGTCAGGCTTGACGCAAAACTATACTAGTAGTCTCGTCCAATAGCTTGCGGACCCTTCTTACATAGAGAGCGTTATATCCCAACGACCATCATACCGAATCATTCTAAACCTTCGCATATCCTTTCAAAGACACTTCAAATGAATATGTGAATCGCTTGCCAAGCTTTACACAAAGTTGTGTTGACAATATTCCTGTCAATTGAGCTTACCCCTATGTCAACACCCACTACAACACCGAGCTATGATTTCAGACCTACATACCCGAACAACTTCCTAGGAGAACCCAACTGTTCGTTAATACCCTACATATGATTAATGCGTGTTCTTGAGTCCGTGACTACCCCTCAGCACATACATCACCTCTGGCAAGCAGCGAGACCGTCTCACCACCCAGGACACCAATACGCCCCGCAACCCCTCAGTCCTCAAATATACAGCCGCGGGGAGAATATTTGAGGATCTATTCCAAGTCTAATGAGCCCCTCAGTCACATCAAGGGAAATTCTAGAACAGCCCCGACGTCAGGGTCAAAACTCTCCTTGCTTAAACGCCACCACCATGCAAGCCCATCACGTCCTTCTATGCAGCCACAGACATCACTGTCGCAACCTCGCACATATCTCCTTACATATAGCTTAAGACAGGATCGAGTATTCAAGTACAACAAAGCAAGTGAGCAAGTCACATCACCTCACATCACGATGAAGCAATTGCGACCAAGATTTTTCTTTTTTGTGAATTTATCTATCTTTCATCTATCTGTTTTTGGGTGGAATGTTTGTGAGTTGTCAGTCACTTGCGCCGCACAACTGAGAATTATCTAAAGTACATCATATGACCATGTGAGGATCTGGGGGTATCTGAATCTCTTTTGTAACGAAGGAAATAGTGACCAGCGCCCGCATTGGGGGTGCGGTTGAAAGATCGCGCACTCCAAATCCGATATTCCAGCATTAAGACTCATAAGCCTCCTGTTGTGGCACCATGCAGCCGTGTGTGCACGATGCGGGGGAGTGTGGGTCGTGAGTCGTAATCGTAATCGGGAGAACGGGGAAAGGGGTGCTTGATAGTGGGTACGCCGAAAGCAAGGGATGTTGCTAAAGCAAGGAGGTTGCCTGACCGATGGAAGATTTGCAAGGTGTGCAGGCGAGTCGGTTGTGTTGCCCAAAGAAGGCAAAATGTGATCATCAACCTCTGGGAACATCGAGACGCGAGATTTATGCGGAACAGATGGGCGGGAAACGAGTGACGGTATGTGGGGTTCGCCAATCTCTCACGCAGCGTGAGCCATTGATCAATGATGTGCGTGCTTCTGATACACAATCTATGAAAACACAGCTTATGTGTCCGAGAGATCAAGTGTTGGGAACATCGTCGAATGTGGGAAGGGTTGCATTCTCGTTGGCGCCTAGGCGGAAAGCATCGAAGTCGGTCTGGAAGAAGGCCGCGTTGAATGCGATGTCATCCATCTCACTATGAGGAACGATAGCCGAGACAGATGTAGCGTCGATCAGAGCTGCGTCAAGAAAAAGACCTGCGTCGTGCTGAAAGTTGGGGATCGGGCTGTCGAAGTGACCAACAAGCTGATCGTAGAACGAGTTGGGGTCGTAGTTAATTGGGGCGGGAGTTGGGTAACGGTCAGGCATGTACTCGCCAATGCGGCCAGCGTCAGCCCTATGCGCGTTGAGGATGTCTTTCTCAAGGTCTACCCTGAAGCCAGTAGCCATAGCCATATCTCGCTTCGCGCGGCGCTTGTTGCGTGCGATTGTGCGACGGTCAGTTGCAGGCGCTACGGTTGGTGTCACTGCCATGGCGAGACTGCTCTTCTCCGTGGAGGGGTTGACCGAGTGTCCGAGGAAAGTTGGGGATGTAGTGTTGGCGTTAGCGACATAGGTAGATGCGTATCCCATTGACTGGACATAGGCAATGATGTCTTCAACAGAGAGCGCAATGTCCGCGAGTCCAGCGCTGACGGATGCAGATCTGGAACAGTCATTGCGGGAGATCGTGGGATCACCCTCTTCGTTGACTGAGACGGACCATCCAAGAATCGCGAGGTACGACTCTGGCGTAGGTATGTTGAGGTAAGTGCAAATGATCGTGAAGAACTGGTCCAACGGAGCTTTGTCTTTGCCAATTTGGTCGCGAATGGCAGACCAGGCTTTCGCCATCAATGACCAGAGTGACTTATTTGGATCGGCCTCCCACAGGAGTCCGATGATGTTGGAGAGCTTCTTCATGGGCCAGGTCTTTAGATCAGGGATCATAATGTAGTAGCCTGTAAAGGTGAGTTGGGGTTACCGTGATGGTGAGTTGTGTACTTACATCGGAATCCGACGAAGGCATTGAGAGCTTTCTTGGCTTTCTCTGGGGCAACGAAACGACGATGACCGCTCATAACTGGGGGTGCAAGTAGCAGCAGCCTGGCTGTGAGCGCAGCCTGTGCCGCAGGCTCTGGTATCAGACGGAACAACTGAACCATCTGCTTACCGCTGCGAGTTTGGAGAAATCTGTCGACCTCCGCCTCAGCCGGATTGCGCAAGAGCCGTGCAACGAAAGCTGCCGTCGTCATAACTGCGTAGAGTGTTGTTGCAAGGGAGTTAAAAAAAGTTATTCAGAGAAGAATTGAGTGGGTGACGTTGGTGAGTGATTGAGACAGAACAAAGACAGCAGTAGGAGCTTAAACGGCTTGGCGCGGCAGGCAGCCGGCCAAAATGCCAGTGTTCACCTTCACCTCTTAAAGAATTAATATTGCAACTTGCGCTGTTTCATTGCCCCGCTAAGTGCAGGTGATAATCATTAATTGCCTCGAGGATATCTGGATAATTTTGGTATGAAGCGCTACCAGCCGACATTAGAGCGACCAAATACATAACACGCATGTGGCTTCTTACCTTTCGTGTCCCTATCACAATCCACGGCAATGATTATGATGGTATTCCGTTGGTCCTGGCATCTTGGGTATGTTCTGAGAGACTCCAGTCTCGGACTTGACCTTTCCAGTCTGCGATGCGCCCGTCACGAACCTTGACCACGACAACCCTGACCTCTGCTCCTTCGACGTAACATTTGGTGCCCCCGTCACCCTCTCTTAGCGTTTCATCGGCAGTTTCTCGTGAGCCTAGCCCACCACCACCCCATAGTCCTTCTCCACCAGGGGAAGTCGAGTACGTGTCCTCGGCACCTTGACCGAAGGTGTTGTTAGCTAGGTGCTGGGCTTTGTACCATGTCTCTGCTTCAGAACCAGAAGGTACAAGCTCAGCAACCCCATTGATGGTGGCGCTGATGCGACTTAAGGACGCGGTGTTCATGCCAAGGAGAAGCTCGGCTAATGATCCAGAACGTGGTGCAGGACGCGATGGCGAGGGCGAGCGACCTGGCTGGCTTAACGTTGGAGGCCGATGGGATACCCAGTCGTGTACCAGGAGAGAAACGACAGCATTCGCTTCGAGGTTTTGTGTCTTGCGGGAGATTGAAGGTGTTGTCATGATGATAATGGGAGTTTGAGAATAAGGAGTGTCAGGTAGGTAGGTGTAATTCATCAACGAGACATGAGGAATGTTGTCCGAGCATGTTGCAAGGTGGAGCTATTCAAGTCTGTCAGAACCGAGCACGTACGGATAAGAGAGGCCGGGGGTACATTGCGAATGTGCAGCACGTGTTTGCATAAGGGACATAAGAAACAAGACTTGATTGGATGAGTCTCGGGGAGATTGGAGAGACAAAAGAAGGAATGCAAGAGCATGCAGGGATGAGACAAGATATGGAAGGTGATTTCAGACATGGAAAGATGGGATGAGATGAATGTCTTTGGAGAGGACTCACAAAGCGGGCGTTCTGAAGGCAGGTAACCACCTCATCTGGCAAGCCGCTAGACATTGCGGAGGTGAGCAGTGGATCGGTGATAGTGGTAAATGAAGAATGGGGCACTGTCAGAGATAGAGGCCGCAGCAGTGTTTGATGTGGCGCGTGTAGATGGTAGGCAGAACTTGACAGCGGGAAGGATGACGTTGCATGGGGCGTGCAGCGTCTCCACCAAACTACCCGGCGTTACGCATTCCGACCACAGCGCGACTGACTACCTAGACACCAACCATTACAACATTTACGCCTACAATGGCTGCCCCACCCGCGATTCCGCCCATGGAGAGTACTGATAGCTTCAATCCCGACCTGAATAGCGCATCCTCTCCCACCCGGGACGGCGACCTAACCTCGCCCATCGAAGATGCCACTCCCGCATCGCCCGAACAACGGACCGCCCCTCACGATGCGCAGACGCAGCAGCGCGTGCACGATATCTTGCACTCTGATGTGGGCGTTGCGACTCTTCTGAACCGCCTCAAGGCCAGCATCGCGAGCGCCCGAGTCAGTGACGCCCAATCGACTCCACTACACTTAGATACGCTAACACGCCCCGGTAGGACTTCAGCAGCTTCCTCAAGCGCCGAGGAGCCCTTGAGGAAGAGCACGCCAGCAGCCTCAAGAAGCTGAGCCGCCTAACACTGGACGGTGTACGAAAGCCCGATACGCGGCATGAGAGCTACCAAACGCACTACGAGCAGGTTCTCCACGCGAATGAGCGCATTGCCGACAATGGCACCCAGTTTGGCCTTGCTCTACACGCCATGCATGAGAATCTGCTGCAATTAGCCAACAAGATGGATACGAGCCGCAAGACGTGGAAGCAGCAGGGGCTCTCCGCAGAGAACAAGGTGCAAGACGCCGAACGGCTGGCCGAGAAGGCCAAGGCCAAGTACGACCAGCTTGCCGAAGACCTTGATCGGGTGAAGACAGGCGACACAGGCGCAGGCAGGAAGTTTGGTTTGAAGGGACCTAAGTCGGCCGCTCAGCATGAGGAGGACCTGCAGCGCAAGACACAGGCGGCGGACCAGGACTACGCCAGCAAAGTGCAGACAGCGCAGGTCTCCCGCAAAGAGCTCGTCGCGACTCTGCGTCCCCAGGCCGTCACTGCACTGCTGGATCTCATCAAGGAAACTGATGCTGCGTTGACCATGGAGATGCAGAAATACGGTAAGTCTATTATGTTCCTTGAGTGAACACCTACTGACACTGCAGTAGCCTCATTCAACGAAAAGCTCGTCGTCAACAACGGTCAGGTTGTGAGCCCACAGCCGCTCAAAGGCGCCACTACTCAAGGCCCACCCAGCATCAACCAGATGATCTATCAGATCAACAGCGAGCGAGACTTCGACGAGTACATCTTGAGCCATGCATCCAAAGCACCCATGGCCAAATCGGAGCTACAGTATTTGAAGCACCCAACACAGTCGCAGACGCGGTCACATCCCACACCACCAGCGGCTGCAAGCGGTAACCGACGCGCCTCTATGCAGCTGCAGAGCCAGCCACCGCCCTCGTTCTCCATGCCACAACCAGACGCCAATCCTCTGTCGCCCCATGGCCCTTCTAGTCTTGAGCCGTTACAGCAACCCTCGTTTGGACCTACCCCCTCTTTTGGAGCTACCTCACAGCCGCCATCTTCATCGCTGCAAACGCAACCACAGCAGCCCCAAGCACCGCAGTTCAACAACTCACCCTACTCACCCGTAGCGCAGAACCCTTACCCACAGTCAGAATATCCTCGTGGACCCGTCGGTCAGGCCACCGCACAACAAACTAGTGGAGTCCTTTATAGCAATTCTTCTCAACCCCCGGTGAACCCTGTCTTTGGCGTCACTCTGGAAGACCTGTTCCACCGAGATGGCTCACCCGTGCCCATGGTAGTTTATCAGTGTATACAAGCTGTGGATCTATATGGGCTAGAGGTAGAGGGCATCTATCGTATTCCTGGGACCTCGTCACATATTCAGCAGATGAAAGCTCTCTTCGATAGTGGTACGTGATGGAGATCTATTGACGTTCTCAACTAATGCTATGCAGATGCTTCCCAGGTGGATTTCCGCAACCCAGAAGCGTTCCAACACGACGTCAACAGCGTGGCTGGATTGTTGAAACAATTCTTCCGCGAGCTTCCTGACCCGCTGCTCACTCGCGAATTCTATGGCAAGTATATCGACGCTGCACGTATTGATGACGAGACCATGCGCCGAGATTCTATGCACGCGCTGATCAATGCCTTACCTGATCCGAACTATGCGACACTTCGTGCGCTTGTTCTACATCTGCATCGTGTGCAGCAATCTTCCGAGGTCAACCGCATGAGTACTGCCAATCTGGGCATCTGTTGGGCGTAAGTTGTCACCCATCGAAGTCTACATACATTAATTGACATTATGCAGGCCATCCATAATGGGACCACACAAAGGAAACAACATGGCCGACGCCGGCCTGCAAGCCCGTGTTATCATAACCATCCTGGACAACGTACTCCAAATATTTGACGAGGATTAAGCATTCGTCTTCCCAGGGATATGAGTTTATTTCTGCCACAGCGCCTTGGCAACAACTACATTCTCTATCCATTCCTAAGTTGTGCAATGTGTAGTATATCATGGGTTTCGTTTCTGCGGGACGGTTATCGCATTCGTAAGTGCCACTCCGTGTACGCTGGTAGTAGAGTATGAGCATGTCAAAGACTATGTGGTAAGAGAACATGGTGGTTGCCCATAGGTTCGAAGGTATCGGCTACGGCGAGTAGGATTGACATGGTTGGAAACTCTGTTCCAAGCAAGGCTCACTTTGGAACGGCGGAGCTCAATTAGAAGTTGGAAAGTGAGATGCAAAGGGTCTCGTGTTGAGCTCTTACGTACATGCTTGGCTGCTATGACTATATGAATTCACTGTGAAACAATCCTCAAGACTTGAGAACTCGGAACGCGTGACCAAAATCCATAGTGACAATGTCTGCAGTGACCTGTTTACGCGCAGATGGCTATGGATCGTCTCCAGTATAGTAGAATGTTGTGGAGGCGTGTTTGAGTAGTGGCGCGGGGAGGTTTGCAGTGGGGCGCGCTTACCCCAGTGCCCCAGGCGGTTCCCTATGCAGCGGCACGCTAGCGGGCTTGACAGGGAGAGCTGCAGTACGCCGATTGAGGGGAAGCTTCCAAGTCGCCCACCCAAACCAAGCCAAACACGACCCTCACCACCATTACTCCGCTCAACACACGCTGTCAGAAACAGTACTCAAGTTGACCTCGGCCCCCGACTTTCTGTTCTGACACTACCATCATGCTCACACGTCGTGCTTGTGCCAGCGTGCGCGGCATCCTCTCCCCGCCATCTGCCACAGTTGTCCGCTCCCAGGCATTCAGTACCGGGGCTTCGACACAAAGCCCGGCTAGAGCTCCTACTCTCGCAGATATTACGCCTGACGGTGCTGCGGTCTTCAACCAGAAGCAGAAGAGCTTCCGCGACGGTCTGATAGCTGCTCAGAAGCGAAAGGAACAGGAAGAAAGTCCGTCATGTATCACTCAATGCGGACGATCTAGGAGCGCTAACGTGATCAATTACAGGAGATGCCCGCGCCCGTGAACAAGAAAACAGCAAGAAGAAGGGTGGTGCGCTGTCATCCCTCATCTACGGCACACCCGAGGGTCGCGAACTCGACAAGGACATCGAGCGCAGCTTTTCTCAGGTCCTAGCTCGCGGTAAATACGTCCACTCGATTGTATTCCACGAGGTACAACCAGACAAGGTCGAAGAATACACTGAGCTGGTTGGAAGTTGGTATCCGAAGATGGCTTCTATCCCCGAGAACAAGGTCCATCTTGTAGGTAGCTGGAGGACCGAAGTGGGAGACTGCAACACCTTTGGTAAGATTGCACTTTGCTCCAGGGGCTACAATTCTAAAGTATACTGACTATGCGTCATAGTACACATCTGGGAGTACCAACGCTACGAGGGTTATCACGAATCACTGCATAACATCCAATCTCACCCAGAGTTCCCAGAGTTCGACGCCAAACTCAAGAAATTGATCCTGTCCAAGAAGAACTCTCTCATGCAAGAGTTCTCCTTCTGGCCAACAACGCCGCCACGCCAGCTCGGTGGCTTATTCGAACTGCGCTCGTATACACTACATCCAGGCAACCTGCTCGAATGGGAGACACATTGGCGACGTGGCTTGAAGGCCCGGCGGGAAGTCATGGAGGGTGTAGGTGCTTGGTTCGTTCAGATCGGTGATCTCAACACAGTACACCATCTATGGCAATTTGCCAACCTAGAGGAACGCAAGGTTCGCCGTGAACAGAGCTGGAGCGTGGAAGGCTGGGGCGAGACGGTGCACAAGACGGTGCCACTCATCCAAACCATGAAGAGCAGGATTTTGATTCCTTGTTCCTGGAGCACTGTCGCTTAAGCTTCGACCAGACCGAGCCGGCCGCACACATCGCGTACCTCGATAGACGAGGCGACCGTACGCTGCCCACAGTGGCTGAGCGCGATACATGTCCAACCACATACGAGAGGGAAATAGGTTACGATGCTCCAGAATGATACTAGTCTGATTGGTGGAGGTACGGACGGTTTAGCATGTGATGCCGTGTTATTGCGAAGGGCTGCATCAATGCTAGTCACAAATTTGCGAAATAAGATCTGACCAATACTGAATGTTGATGATAATCCTGTTTCGTTGTAATACACCTCAACTCGTGCATGACAAGTAATTATGCCCCTTGGTCACCACACTACCGTTTTCACGCTAATGGGTTGGCAAAACCGGGCGGCCAGGCGCTACGTCATAAGATCTTGCGCTTGGCACTCCACCACACAAAGCAACAACAAGCGCCGCCCAAATCGTTTTCGCTGCCAGAACCCCACAACAGCTCGCCAACAGTTGCTGGTCGAAAAAGGAGTCCCAGATCATGGTGTACATACGACAGGACAAGCTGCCGAAGCTTAGGGAGTACAAGTACTCTGGCGTGGATCATAGTCTGCTCTCGCAATATGTTCTCAAGCCCTTCTATAACAATGTGGTCATAAAATGTTTTCCCATGTGGATGGCGTAAGTGCCACTGAGGTCTCCTATGTAGCAATGCTAACTTGTATCAGACCCAACCTCGTAAGTCCGGCCTGAAGCAAAACGTTCCAGTCGCGCTGTGAGTGCTTGTTTTCTCGCTTACACAACTTCACAGATAACACTCTCTGGTTTCGGATTTATCATAGTCAACTTTCTTACCCTGCTCTGGTACACGCCAACTCTTGACCAAGATTGCCCACCTTGGGTATACGCCAGCTGGGCGATCGGCCTCTTCCTCTACCAAACATTCGATGCTGTAGACGGCAGTCAGGCCCGCAGGACCCGTCAGAGTGGTCCTCTAGGGGAACTTTTCGATCATGGAGTTGATGCGATAAATACGACATTGGAAGTACTGTTGTTTTCTGCGACTATGAATCTTGGCCAAGGCTGGAAGACGGTTCTCACGCTCTTTGCATGTAAGTCAGCATCCACATGTTACTCATTTAGTATTGACGGTCTTGTTACTAACTACTCCAGCGTCGCTGACCTTCTACGTGCAAACCTGGGACGAGTATCATACACATACGCTTACTCTTGGTGTGATCTCTGGGCCGGTTGAAGGTATCTTGACGTTGTGCCTTGTGTATGCCGCAACAGCTTTCCTTGGTGGGGGCAGCTTCTGGCAACGTTCCATGATCCAAACTCTTGGAGTTAAAGAGCAGGGTCTCATCCCGGAAGTTTTGTACAACATGGCATGGAATGAGTGGTACATGGTCTATGGAGGCATCGTGCTTGTGTTTAACACTGTCTCGAGGTATGAACAATCAGAGAAAACCCGTAGGGCAAACTGACGACAAAACAGCGCACAAAACGTAATGAAAGCTCGTCGTGCCCGTGGTGAAAAGGCGCGAGTTGCTCTACTCGGTCTCCTCACCTTCGGCTCGGCTTGGGTCCTTATTACGGCATATCTGTACCTGCAGCCCATAATCTTACACCACCATCTGGTACCTTTCATCTTCTACGCGGGTCTCATCAATGCGTACTCGGTGGGTCGCATGATCATCTCCCACCTTACGAAATCACGTTTTCCTCGAGGCAACGTGCTCATATACCCTCTCATCTACGGAGTAATCGATTCGCTCGGGCCATGGCTACAGGAGCACATCGGGGTGGGCTGGCCAAGTGCCCTAGGTAACGATGTTTACCAAGTCGCCTTTGTGTTCATGTGCTTGGGTCTTGCCGTAGGCGTACACGGAAGCTTCATCGTGGACGTCATCTGGACAATCTGCGATTATTTGGACATTTGGTGTCTCACAATCAAGTACCCGTACCAGCCAGTAGAAGAGAACATGGAGAGGAAGGGACAATGATGGCCAAGACACGGAGCTTCATACGAGTGGAGGGAATGACATGGCAAATGAGATCAAACTCACTGTCAGTTTTGTTAAGCTGGAGTCCTACACGTTTGCGGATATTTTCGCTGCTTTTCAGGTGGTGAAATGGTTGGCCGTGTAGATTCATGAGAAGCATGACAGAAACATGAGATGATTCTATTAAATAATTCTATGAAATAGACCACGCATGCCTACTCGCAAGTCATTGTTATTGATGTTAGCCGCTTACGGACGTACCTTGGATTTCTTGCAGGCGCGTAGCTATAAGACACGCTAGACCGATGTAGCTCACCTCCGCGTTCATCTCCGCAATCACTCGTCAACGAAAGTCAGGACTGATATCTCCAACGCAAATATGTCAACCTTGGGAGTCAACTTGGCTGTTACCAAAGACGGTGAGGCCTACAACAAACTACAGCGACCTGATGGTTACCTTATATCGACGCAGCCAGCTCCAACAAAACCTCCGACAGCTCCTCCGACGGCACACAACGCCAAAAGAAAGTGCGCGCAAGAGGACGTACCTGAAGTTAAGCGCGCCAGGATTGAGCGCAACACAGCGCATTCCAAAAAAAGACCACGCGCTTTAGATTCGTACCAAGAGTATGGAACACGGACGGTGCTACCAGGACTCGATGGCGAAGAGCAGTCATCCGACGAGTCTACAAGCGAAGCGTTAGCATACCTTCACAGTGTCCGGTGAGTACACGTTTTTTTCGTTTGGAAGCTGCTCATAAAGGGTGCATATATCGAGTACATTGCTTACGTCGATGACATAGGTCTGAAGCATCAGCGATCCCGACCCTGCTCGTAGCGCCGAACAACATCACCACCGGCGATATCGACTCAGACTCAGACGAAGCGCACTACAGGATCTCTACGCACAGTCAACGCGTCATATACAAGGAGGGAACTTGGATCGCTGTGGATAGAGAACACAATGCTGCCAAGTGGGAGAAAGACTCGTTCGCCCTTGACCCACAACAAAGTTGCAACAATATGCTCCTCCAGCGCTTTAAGAATCTTCGCAACAAGCTCGCCGAGATCCGAAAGAATGGGCAGGTACCGAAACCGGCAGCGAAGCATAAAAACACAGAAAAGTCTGGGAAGCAGAAATGGTCGGAAATCATAGAGAATGATTTCCCGGACCTCCAAGAGGTCGCTCGCATGGATGAATCGACGCTGTATGTGGCTATACAAGGTTGCACGTTGGCCTTAGGTCGATCGGCAAAGGTATCTCGTCAGGAGAGCTGTTGGGTATGGACTTTGTTAGCCCTGGTTGGAGATTTCGGTACTTTGGACCATGAGCGCGTCAGCAGGATTCGGGATTTGGGGCTCAGTGCCGGTCGACTAATGGAGCGATTCTATGCAGACAAAACGACATCGACGCGCGATGCACAAGAAGACGAAGACAACAGTACAGACGTCCCTGATTCTAACACTGGAAAACAAGAACCTTACACTCACAATGAAGAGGATTCCACGGGAGAGGGGGGGCCTACGCCAAGCCACGGTCCTGACGAGAAAGATATTGTATCACATTCAGATTTCCATAAGTCGGACGACGTCGCGCTGGGTCAAGACGCAGTGAATGAAGAGGCGAGTGATTCTGACGCAGAGATGATCATATCTGAGGACGAAGAACAACCCGAAGGTACCTCAGATGATGGAGGGCTCGAAGAGGCCCGGGCGCGTCTTCTTGCGCAACTCGGGGATCGTTTGGTACATTCGCAGATGCCCATACCCGATACGCCACCGACACAAGCCTTCCACCATCTTTCACGGGTCGAGGCTGAGAGACAGCGACAGGAAATACGCAGAGGAGGCCCTCAACATGACATGGCCCCCAAAAAGTTGACACCCGTTTCCGAGCCGACACAGGCAAAATCACAGGCCATCACTCCATTGACCGAGAGTGACTGGAACACTAAGGCAACCATCGATATGATTCTTACGGTAGTAGCAGAGTGCTACGGACAGAGGGATCTGCTAAAATTCCGAGCAGCATGGTAGTTGCACGCAGAGACATGACTAGATACCCATGCATCAAATTATAGATTGTAATTCTCTGACTGTATTTTTGCTACGGCTGTGACGTCGGTATTGATATGCACGGGCCAAGTCGCGGGATAGAACGATTCTTTACACATGCGCGCTTGCTCTTGGGCGATTGAGTCACTTTCCAGGTCCATGCAGCGCACTTCACCCCACTTTGTCTGCCCCGCGCTCTTCCAAGACGCCCTTCGATATACTTTCGCATACCGCAAAGTCAGCCCAACACCTTTCCGTCTTCACCTTCTCGCACCCCGCCGCCGCTTCTGCACGCAAAATTCGCTTTTGGGCTTCGACGATATGGGCAAGGAAGACAAGAGCAAGTCGTTCAACTTGAAGGTGCCAAAGGGCACACGCGACTGTACGTTTTGTTTCCATTGTGCGCAGATGATTTTACTGACCATCCAAGGGACCGGCGAAGATGCCGCACTTCGCGACCACCTGTTCCAGACCGTGACGGAAGTCTTCAAGCGCCACGGAGCCACGACACTCGACACGCCCGTCTTCGAACTCAAGGAGATTCTCAGCGGCAAATATGGCGAAGACTCCAAGTTGATATACGATCTACAGGATCAAGGCGGCGAGCTCTGCTCACTGCGCTACGATCTTACAGTTCCGCTTGCACGATGGCTCGCCATGAACCCTAGCGTGCAAAACTTCAAGAGATACCAAATCGCCAAGGTGTACCGTCGCGACCAACCGGCTATGACCAAGGGACGTATGCGCGAGTTCTACCAGTGCGATTTCGACATTGCAGGCTCCTACGACGCCATGATTCCTGATGCCGAAGTCCTCAAGATCGCAACCGATGTATTCGAAGCGCTCAAATGGGATTCATACACAATCAAGATAAATCACAGGAAGATCTTGGACGGCATGTTCAAGGCAGCTGGTGTCAAGGAGGAACTGATACGGCCAATCAGCTCTGCGGTGGACAAGTTAGACAAGGTAACAAGAAGAGCTTTAGTCCCCTGTCAATCACTAACGTGCTGCAGCTACCGTGGTCAGAGGTGAAACAAGAGATGGAGACCAAGGGACTGCCAGCGGATATTGCGGACAAGATTGGCGAGTGGGTGCAGCGCAAAGGCGGCGACGATATCATCGAGTATCTCAAGACGAACGAGACTCTCTCTAAATCGGAGGATGTCAGCCAGGGTGTTCGGGAGATGGAACAGCTCTTCGCATACCTCGACGCTTTTGGTGCCCGCAAGAGGATCTCCTTCGATCTCTCGCTCGCTCGAGGCCTAGATTACTACACGGGTTTGATCTACGAGGTTGTTACAGAAGGCTCCGCGCCGCGCGTGAATGGCAAGCAGCAAGAGATTGGTGTAGGAAGTGTTGCTGCAGGTGGTCGTTACGATGGGCTGGTGGGCATGTTCAGTGGCAAGCCCATTCCCTGCGTCGGCATCTCTTTCGGTATTGATCGAATCATCAGCATCATGAAAGCCCGCGGCCAGTCGACACAGCGTGCCAAGGACGTTGATGCGTTCGTCATGGCCTTTGGTGGTAAAGGCTTTACCGGCCTGTTGACAGAGCGCATGCAAGTCGCTCAGGAGCTGTGGGCTGCAGGCATCAAGGCCGAATTCTCTTACAAACTGAAGCCCAAACTCCCACAGCAATTCAAGCAAGCCGAGGTAGCAGGTGTTCCGCTCGCCGTCATTCTTGGTGAAGATGAGCTCAAGGATGGCAAGGTCAAGATCAAGGTTCTCGGAATCAAAGACGAGAACGACCCCGAGAAGGACGGTGTACTGGTCGAGAGGAGTAACATGATCGCCGAGATTCAGAAGAGGCTGCCCAGCGCAGCTTGATTGTCGTTGATCGGACTGGAGATCCGGACTGACAGTACACTTATAGATACCCATACATAGACTACTTTCTACCAGCTCGCTTACTCGGGTGTTCACAGTGGCATCCGCGAAGGACCAGGCATGGAGAAAGCCTGCGAAGATAAAAGCATGTATACTTTTGACCCATGGTCTCTGGCATGGCGTATATCTCTCTAGCCGGGCGGGGAACAGATTTCCCTAGCATTACCTACGTGGGGCATGTATATACAATGACACCAAAATTATGAAGCACATGTGTGTGAAAGGAGTAAAAGAGAATTGTTTGATCTATGCAGTGGCACCAATGGTGGTCTTATGTACAGACGCATAACGAAAAGAGAATTCCGCGCCCTACTGTCAGGAGTCTTCAATTGGGAATTGAGTAGTGGATAGCAATTTGCATGTTTAGTAGCCGTCCTTGCCCCACTTGTTGTATGTGTCGTGGAGCTCCTATAGTCTTGATCAGTACAGTCGACTTTTAAATTCACAATTGGCTCCAGCTTACCTTGGGGAGAGTGACGTTGGGGATGACGACGACGTTAAGAGCAGAAGGCGCATCCTTCTTGATGCTGGTGTCACCTCCAGGGTGGTACTGGTAGGGGCCTACTCCACCATCCTGCTTCCAGGGCTCACTGTCTGAGGCCTTGGCGACAGTTCGTTCCGACGAAGCACTGGTGGGAGAGCGGGCTTGCAATTGTTAGTATGCAACGATTGGCGCCCGGGGCAGAATCCATATGGCTGGGAGCTTACAAAAGTGCCATCCTGCAAGACCGAAAACGCCGCTCATGATGGCGAAGAGCACCTGTAGGCGGATCAGCTATCCGCCTCATTTATCCCAGTGGGTGTGTGTGCATCGTACGTAGAGCTCGGGATCGCGCTTTGCTCCCGTCTTGAGGGCATCCTTGCCGGCTTGTCTCTCGCCCTCAGCAGCGGCGCTGGCCCATCGTCGAAAGGCGGGCGTAGGACGGACGACGCGCGGGGCAGCACGGAAGGCCGAACGGGCAATGATGGAGGACATGGTGGGGGTGGAATTGGCGTGGGTGTTCTGCGAGAGATGGGTTGCGTGCTTCGCGGGAGCAGTGGTTCGATGTTGAATCTCGCGGACGCCAAGCTTCGCGGCTGCGTCACAGCGACGGCCATGCCGGAAACAGACAGGCGGACCTTGCAGTGCGCCGGGCAACGTCGAAGGGTCGAGCATCAACTTTATGCGCCCCTTTCAACGCAATCACACGTCTTGTTCATCTTTTCCATTAGCCGTCGGCGCCGCAGCCCTTCCATTCACTCACTTCCAGTCGCTCCTTCCCCTGCCGCTCGCCATCTTGCTCCATCCGCGCTCTCTGCATCCGTCGCGACGACGCGCTGAACCGGCCGTGCCTCCCCTCCAGCCCCAAATTGCAACGATTTGATGTCATGCTGCGTGTAGAGATAGTCATAGCGCCGGCAACAACAACAACAACGACACCATGGCCATGACGCCAACCGAACAGAAGCGCAGCTCGACTGGCAGCCGCGTGCTGGGCATGACGGGCCCAGCAGGAGAGCCCGGCCTGCCGCCATCGCGGCCCTCGTCCATTGCGACTGCAACCTCGGGCAGCCAGAACAGATGGTCCCAGGCCAGCCCGGCGCGACGAGGCGGCATGAGCGTCGCCGGCAGTCTAGGACACCAGAGTCGCCCAACGACATCTGCCAGCCGAACCCATGTTCCGCTGGCAGCCCACGGCTTCTTTCGCCCCATGAGCTCACAGCGTCTCCAACAGCAGCGCAACCAGCGCCCCACGTCCCTCCTCAAAGACGGCTCGCTTTATGAAGACGCTACATACGAAACAAATAGAAGTTCGTACCGCCAGAGTGTAGGCTCGACACAAACAATCCGGAATGCCCCGACGCTGGGCCTCCACCACGAGCTGGACCTGCAGCCTCCGCCTTCGCGTGGCACCGACATCACCGACAGAGACATGCCCGACCGCACCACAGCCAACACCACACCCACAGGCGCAGAGACTGTGCGTAGTCGTGGCGAAAGTATCACTCCCTTGCAGCGACCCAGGCCCCAGCATCTAGACCTTTCCAATGCCCATGCCCACGATTCCGGCAAGCTCCCAACGCCCAGCAAGTCTCCTCGTTCGTTTGGCTCTAGCTTCATGCTGTCTAGTCGCGACGGGCGCTCGGCTCAGGTACGAGCCCATCAAGGACATGAGAAGCTCACTTCCGCCGCATCCTCTCCCCGCTTAGCGCGCAAGGAAGCTACCAATGAGGCAGTCAAGCGCGAGCTGGGCAAGAACTATCAATACTTCTCGGGCAACACCGCCTTCTGCTGGGGCGGCAGACTACAAAATACGCGAGATCGGCCGGTTAATGTAGCTACGGCTATCCTAATCATCTTACCTGCTGGTCTCTTTTTCGGCTTCTCGTTTGTGCAACCCTCCTAGCGGTTATCATTACCTATGCTAACTATCATCGTAGGGCCCCTTGGCTATGGATCCACGTTTCTCCTTCGATACCCATTCTCTTTGCGTACTTGCTTCTAGTTTCCATCTCCTCGTTTTTTCATGCGTCAGCTTCAGATCCGGGCGTATGTCATGCACTCTCTTCATTTTGAGCATCACTGACTCTTACAGATACTTCCCCGGAATCTACATCCATTTCCTCCACCTAATCCTAATGACGATCCGCTCAGTCTCGGACCTCCCACCACTGAGTGGACCATGGTTGTTTCCGCGACCGGCTCTAATGCTGCCATGGAGGTGCCGACCAAGTACTGTAAGAGTTGCAATATCTGGCGACCCCCACGTGCTCATCATTGCCGTGTGTGTGACAACTGCATTGAAACGCAAGATCATCATTGCGTTTGGCTCAACAACTGTGTCGGACGCCGCAACTATCGTTACTTTTTCGTCTTCGTCTGCGCCACCACCTTATTAGGTCTTTTTCTCCTAGGCGCTAGTCTGGCACATATCTTGGTCTGGCGGGCACAAACTGGAGCGTCCTTTGGCCAGGCCATCGATCGATGGCGCGTCCCTTTTGCCATGTGTATATATGGACTTCTTGGGTGGTCATATCCCTTTAGTCTTGGCGTGTACCATCTGTTCTTGGTCGGTAGGGGCGAAACGACACGTGAATATCTGAACTCGCACAAGTTCCTCAAGAAGGATCGACACAGGCCTTTTACACAGGGTTCGGTCTTGAAAAACTGGATTGCTGTATTGCAACGACCGCGTCCGCCGACGTATCTGCACTTTAAGAGAAAGTACGAGGAAGGCGATCAAAGGTTTGGCCCACGCAAAGATAAACGGACTGTGCCTTTGGCTCCAGAGCAGCAGGGCGGCGGAGTGGAGATGCAAGATGTTCGCGGATCGGAGGCCTTTCAGGGCCCAGCCGGCAGGTCAGCAGGGCGTGACGCTGCAGATGCGACTGCGACATGAGACGATGGCTCTGGTCAGCTTAATCATAGATTAGCCCATCTTAAGTAATAGCGTCTTTTGAATACATGAGTGCAAAGCAAGGCACCATGTGACCATTTGCATGAATTAACGGTGGTTTTTATCTAAACATATATGTTTATCACAGAATTGTTCCAATAAGCTTGTATCCAGAGGCTTGCTTGTACGTGTTGATGATGAGACGGAATGCGAGGGGTGTTGATGCTGGTGCTGGTGCTGGTAACACTGGATAGACAGGGACGGCCTAATTGGCTGACTGACTAGCTACATGTGTTTACCTCCCAATCCTCCATCCGTCCATTCATCTCCTAATTCCGGCTCGCCGCACCTCCCAATGCATGCTCACCTGTTCTTCTGACCCGGATCAACTGTTGTGCACGTTTCTACGCCCGCTCTTTGTCTACTGCGCGTAGACTTTGGCAGTGTTGCTTCGCGAGCGCCGTTGACCCGCCCAAACCGTCGGCCTCCTTCGCGCGTCAGTGCCTCGCCCCTCAAGACCACGACCGCGACGCGTGCTGCAACCTTCCTTCTTCGCTGCCATGGCCGAGCGCGATCTCTCACCGACATCGACTTCCTCTACCCTCTCCAACATCACGGTGCGGACGGACAAGCAAGGCGATGCTCGCGCCATGTCCAGCGCGTCGCCTTCCATCTCGACGCCTCCTACTAGCCTCGGCGACGAAGCCAGCGTTGTATCCGAGATGACCAAGGTCGAACAAGCCGTCGAAGTGTACGAGGAGGCCCCTGGCCTGCAGATGATTGGCGACCCAGCAGCGTCGGCGCAAACCACCACGCCCGATGCCGCCAACAGCGACGTCCGTCGGCCTGCGAGGGCCTCGCGCAAATCCGTCACCACGTACAATGTGCAGATTCTTGCAGGAACTGCCATTCATACGCCGACCAAGTACCTCGAGAAGCATCACAAGAACGTCGTGCACGGCTCGCTCGAGAGCATCGCGAAGAAGGAGAATGCCACACCTATGCGGAAGAAGATGCTGAAGCGGAAGTCGGAGATGACGGACGCCAGCGATCAGATCGAAGAGCAGCTGGCTACCGAAGCCGCTCAGGCAGCACGACGTCGCACTTCCTCGCGCGTAACGGACCTTCGCAAGGAGGCCTTCCGCAACATAACAGCAGACGGAAAGGCTTCCACTCAAGGCACTCTACGGCGTACTGCTTCAGCGCCATCTTTGAAGCCCAGCCAATCGGCTTCCTCCGCGGCTTCTCTGAAGCGCTCTCGCGCTGCAATGGAAGATGGTAGCCAAGCGCAGGAAGAGAAGATCTTCTCCAAGCCCAAGTCGAAAGTCTGGCTCAAGCAAGGACTATATGTTGGCCAGGATCGCGAATTTGATGCTCGTCTCTCAGAGAGCCAGAACCGCGCGAAGAAGAGGGCCAAGAAACCAATGGACGCCGCCAGCATTTTGCCCCTCCCCATCTTTGCTTGCGAACGTCTTTTGAACGAGGACCCTAGACACGTGTTTCGCGATTTCAAATTGCCATTCGACACTTACAGCCCTCTACCCAGGAAGGTCAAAGTCGACGGCTGGGTCAAGCTCAACAAAAGTAAGAATACTGCGCTTCCAATCTGGTGAGCAACACTAATACTTTGTAGACAGATTCATCGGCGACGCGTCTGCACTATGGAAACGTGATAAGCAAGACTCCTCTCAGTGTTATTGCGATGCTGAAGACGGCTGTGGAGATGCCTGTCACAACCGGATCATGGCGTACGAATGTGACAATACCAACTGTCCCCTTCCTGCGGAATTATGCCAAAATCGCCCATTCGCAGAGCTCAGGAAACGTGCCAAAGGCAATCGCTACGATTACGGCGTCGAGGTTCTCGATACAAAAGACCGAGGCTTTGGTGTGCGTGCTATGAGAACCTTTGAGCCGCATCAAATTATCGTAGAATATGCTGGAGAGATTATTACGCAGTCTGAATGCGAGCGGCGCATGAAGCAGGTCTACAAGAAAGACAAGGTGAGTTGTCAAGGTCTTGGCTTGCCTACTTCCGCTAACTCGTTGCAGTGCTATTATCTCATGAGTTTTGACAACAAAATGATTATAGATGCGACCCGTGGAACGATTGCTCGTTTCGTCAACCACTCATGTGAACCCAACTGCGAGATGATCAAGTGGACTGTGGGGGGAGAACCCCGAATGGCACTGTTCGCTGGTCCACGAGGCATCATGACTGGCGATGAGCTGACCTACGATTATAATTTCGAGTAAGTCATTTTTCATCACATACGCATTGGACTAAACTGACTTCCTCAGCCCGTTCTCACAAAAGAATATCCAGGAATGTCGTTGTGGTACTGAGTCATGTCGCGGCGTCCTCGGTCCCAAACCGAAGAAGCCTGTTGAGGAGAAGTCTATAGCTTCCGTTCTCCTCGCCGGCACCAAACGCAAACTTCAGGATTTGCTAGGTTCCCGGAGGTCCGGTTCCGAAAGCACCCAAAGCTCCCCCAAAAAGCGCAAGGGGCTTCTTGGAAATTCAATTAGCGCAAAGGCAAAGAATGCTTTCGCTCAATCAGAGTCTGCTCGGGCGCGAGCTGAAAGAGAAGCAAGTGAACTGTCGCGCCAGAATGCGTCCCGCGAAACCCGCGCTCTTAAACGATCGAATTCTGGAAGCCTTGATAAACGCACAAGGTCAACTAATTCGCGGACGGCACAACCATCCGCCGTCAAGTATACCCGACGCACAACCGTCAGCTTTCAAAGGAAGGTTTCCAGACCTGGTGCATTGAAGAAGGTTAACAAGCCTTCTCGACTGCAATCGACGCTCAGCAATAGAAAGGCGCTTCGTTCTCAACGACCAAGCACGCCGAGTCGTGAAACGAGCACGGAGGCACCGGACTCAGAGGTAGATGCTTCACCAAACATAACCCCTGCATCCCTGCGCAGCGCAACCAGGAAATCACCCCTTGATAGTCCCATCCTACGAAAGCCTCTTGAGAAAGAGAATATGGCTTCAGCAAAATACCGTGTTTCACGCAAATCTTCGATCCGAAGTGTACTAGGGAGGTGAAAGATTTATTATCTTCTTCCAGTATGTCGCAGACCTGTAAATCAACCTACATTATGCGATGGGTTCTTGTCGAAGGGCATTGATTGAAGCACTCTTGCTAGGCTATTTTCCGAACTTTTGAGGATATGAGTAGAGACATGTACAAATAGTAGTAGTAGTTTGTGTTTTCCTCCATTATCAACTATGGAAAATAGAGAGATGGTTCTTTGCCGGTAGTAGCTGTTGTGGTGCGTCATGATAATACCATTCTTGTATTCCGCTTGCCTGAGATTTCATTTTACAAAGTTATAGCTGTTGGTAACGTCGAAAGCAAGGGGTGTTGGCATTCTTAAGTGCTGCAGTGGCTGTTTGTAGATGTTCCGACAAAACGATACGATGTCGCGTTCAAACAAACACTAAAGTAAGCTGCATCAACACCTGGAGGTACGCTTTGATCACAAGCATTGGGAGGCAGAAGATGTGTGTGTGTCTGCGTGTGTGTGTGAAGGGGTCAAATATTTATATTATCAAACTCTCCGGACAGATACCTGCCATCGATACAAAAGACCGATATCAGAAACCTTCCGTCAGGAATTCAAGCCGACCCGCGCGTATTAGGTACATGATTTAAAGTTTGTAAAAAAGAAAAGAAAGAAAAGCCACGCTGTACGTAGACGGAACACAGCTTCAATCCCATAACCGCATGTGTGGGGTTGTTCATCGGATGTGTCGGCAGATCGTTCGCGTATGTCGAATTGTTATCGGCGTTGCAAGCAAGGCTGTGAGGCGTATCATGTCCAAGTACTTCATTGATTGGGTTTTTGAGTACTAGAAAAGAATCCTCTGTTGTGTCGGAAAAGAGGGTTGACGAAGTGAAGTGCGGGTGAGCCAGAAACGCGCCAATTTGTAGTTGTTGCGTTGATACAACTACAGTGAGGTCCTCCGGGAGACTGTTTAGCGGCGCTGGACGGTGCAGTAGCCAGCAATGATGTCCTTTTTCTGAACGGTACAGTAACCAGCGATGATGTCTTTGCCACGGCTGACGGTGCAGTTCATGCCAGTGATGGGCTTGGAGAACATCATGATGACGGTTTGGTTGGCTGGTTGGGCTAGTGATTAAAGATTGTCTAGAGAGAGTGAGTTTGTTAAACGACTGAATGTTCTGATGGGTTGAAGACGGATTCGAGGGAACATGTGCCTCCCTTTATACATCCTTTGCAGCGAAGCACATGGGACGAAACAACGAAGTTACTCTTGCCGCTGTTGTTCCCCAAAGATTCAGAGCATGCTCACGACAAGTGAGAAGCGATTTGTTTCTTGCCTTTACTATTGTTCTCAGATATGACCCGCTGTCCTTACTATTGTTCTTAGATATGGCCAGTTGTGCCAAGCGTTTTCTCTTGTCATTGTTCGAACGCCTCCCGCTTTACTAGAATTAGCGCAAGAAAGAAAGTTCAGCGGCAGAGGAATGCCTCAAAGACCTTTGTAGCGATTGTTAAGTAAGGGGTGATCTGGATGGTCGGCAACGCCTCATTGAACAGCCCTGGACACGCTCAACAACTTCAAAAATCAGTCAGTTGCTGTAGATATCAACGCTGTCAGTATGGCGGATTGACTATTCTATTAGAAACCTGGCGTTCTGTGCAAATACCCAGATGGTAAAATCGTTGCATGTTGCATATCATACCAGTTGGAAGCGAAGGAATAATATTCCGAGTGAAAATTTCACTATCAGAAGGATCGTTTAAAGCTGTGAACTGGCTCAAGCATGCTGCTAACAAGTTTTCTAGTTAAGGGAACAATAGGTATAAAACCTTCCAGTAAAGGCTTCTCTATGGGATGTTAATAATGAAGATTGTTAGGAAATTATTCTCAAGGTAGACGACTCCTCCCCTAAGAGTGTCATTGTTATAGTTAATACTAACTCTGCAGGAGCAGTGCAAGTCAGAGATGGTCTTGGCTTAGTAAAGGCTAAACTATAAGCTCCTAATGGATGAATGAATAAACCGCCGCGAGCCTCGGTAACACCATCATTGCAACATCACACCCCTGCATGTCGCGACCCCAATCGTTCCGTTGTACCCTGGCCCGTTTCTGTTCCAGAGATCTAAAAAGCCTCGAAACGGTATAGATGCTGCCTAGTTGAGATACGGCTGTACGCTTCCGCAACTTGTCTGATTTACGTGTTTCTACAAGCCAAATGCAGACACAACACCGGGTCAACGTTGATGCTACATGGACAAGACCGAATACTCGGCGATTTAGAAAATGTCTTGTGGTGAGGCTAAGGACAGACGAGAAAAGTTGCGGCGGTGTAGTCTATGGGGTTTGCACTTTATGGGGCAAGACCGTCCGTCTTGAGATTGCTACAAGGTAGCTACCAGCTTTGTGGTGAAGATCTGCTGGCCGAGTGTAAACTTGCGTAGTGTCTCCGTTGAAAATAGCCATCTTTGTTTAATTTTGTTCCCACTATATAACTCCAATCCCTAGCATCTAAACAATCTCTCAAGCACAACCAGCAATACAATCATCACCAACGCTAATAGTCCACTTCCTACAAACCCACCACCCATCATGCATCTCCTCAGCCTCTCCCTCACTGCTCTCTTAGCAATCCTAGTCTCTGCATCTCCCGCCCTGGACAAACGCGCAATATCTTGTGTCAGGGTCGGCGCCACGGCAACAGCATCATGGACCAACGCAGCCGGCCAGTCCTGTCGCTGGACCGGCGTTGTAGGCAGCAACTTTGGCGCAAACAGCGAAAACAATGGAGAGTACGTATTCCACCCTCCCGTATATCCCTCCATGCAGTACCTAACATAATCCAAAGGTACAGCTGTAATGGCCGCTGCGGAGCAGGCTGCTCAGGCACCGCAATCGGCAACGCATATACACAGGATTGCTTCTCGCATGATATGTGTTCGTGGTTTAACAATGCTGAAGGTGGTGCAAGGTAAGTTGTCCTGGGAGAAGAGGTGTTAGGGGAATTTCTTGCTGATACGGTGTCCAGCGATCCGAACTGTGGTGCCGCGTTTAATGCGGCGATTGATGATACGATTGGTGGTTTGGCGGCGGGCTGTAGACAGACGAATCCGTCGAATGCTGTCGTGAGACCAAGTACGAGGCCAACGTGCTCGTAGGGGAGCAATGGATTTCAAGGTTGTTGATTGCAGGTTACGACTCACTTACTGTATTTTGTCTGTTCGCAGAACTGACAGACAGTTCAGACGGCGAGAAGGATAGCATCTCTGTCTCTGGCACCGATGAGTCATCCCCAACAGCCAGAACTGGTCATCTAAGGCCAGGTCGTTGTGTCTTTCAAAAATGCGTTGGAAACAGTAAACAGTAGGCTTAGAGGGGCTGACAGCTATCCCGTGCAGCCGCTTACGACGTGCACCCCCAAGGTGTGGTAAGGAAGGGGCTGGTTCATTGCTCCCAGGTGTAGACATTCGCCATAACCGTTAGCTGTCTCCTTCTTCTTACGCCTGTGTACGTTAACCAAAGCGGCTTTTCTACTGTGTTTTCCCCTGCGTTTGTAGTGATAAATCTCATCTCTCCGTAAACTGCTTCCAATACTGGCGCTATCTGCATCGTACCATCTCGTACGGGTTCCAGAACGCTACCTCGCCAGGTCTTCCACAACATCGAGAGTCGGGAACGAGGTAGGGAATCTGACACACTACCAGCAGACTCCAATTTTCGACCACTACACTAAACCAAGTAGTTGGCATGCGTCTCCACCTGGTAAATTCAACAATCCATTCATCCTCTGCTAGTTCCCTAGCTAATGCGCACTTTCTGGTGCCCTGTAGGGTCGAGGCCTTTCATAGGCCATTACATATAATTGGCGTCTTCTAAGAAGATACGAGTGGAAACCCGATCGTCAGAATGCGTGAATGAACAAAAATCCTTCAGCGATTCATTCCATTAGGATAATGACCCGTACCGAGACTGTGCCGCTCGCTCGGAGCTGAGAAGAATCAAGGGAAGCATGGGTTCTTCCTAAGGGCACCCTACCACCTCTCTCATTCATTTCCCCATCTTCTTTAGGTCTGAGCCCCTTCAAAACTCAACCATCTTTCCCGGGTCGAAGCCATTCGATTGCGCGAAGTAGTAACCACGCTGATTCGTAACGAGTCTGGTCTGATGAGTTTCATGTTCAAAATCACAGTTGAAATGAGTGTGTCCGAACGCCCATATCACCACACGTTCCGAGGAGAAACAAACCTCCTAGGACAGATCAGTCATGAAGCCAGATGAGATAGTACTGCTCTTGTGTTTGGGATCGATAGCACGCGCATCATCGGTCGGAGAGTAGTGTGACATGATAATGATCTTGCGGTCCGATCCTTGCATGAGTTTTTTAACTTCAGCGTTGAGCCAACGAAGCTCGGATTTGTGCTTCTGCACATGCTCCTCCACGGTCCAATTCTCAATGTGGTAGAAATCATTGAGTCCAAAATTGACAAAGTCTTTTTGAGCAGCTGTGATATTGGAAAAGAGCGTGCAGCTGAGAATAGACACCGTTGACGAGAGATCGTACCGCGTTTGGTCAAGGAGGACGAACTTCGCACTTGCTTGTTGTTCAGTTTCAGCCTGGAGTGTAAGAAGATGTTGCTTGCTAGCTGCATAAGACGAGTGGTATGGCTCATGGTTACCGAGCACATAGAAGATGGTTTTGAATTTAGCCAGGGGTTTTCGGAGAAATTCGATCAAACCGGCGTCCTTGGTGTAGCCAATGTCCCCGAGCAGCGCAAGGTACTCTGCCGTTGGAGTAACTTCAAAGACATCTTACGCCGCTGGAGCCTCCAGATGAAGATCAGAAAGAATTTGTATCTTTACCATGCGTGTGGTGGAAAAACGTTACTTGAGCTCAAGTTTGTGGCCTATGCACATAAGGAGGAATGAGCTATGATGCATAGGCCATCCTATCGTTGAGCTCTTGATGAGTAGAGAAAAATGTCTCGATTGAGCCGACGAACGGGTGTAGTATGGAGTTGATGGACGGTAGTAGAGCAATGCCCTGTGCGTAGTATAGACCCAGGTTATCTGCGCGCCACGTGCGACATTCCATGGCGGTAAACGGGACGATGACTAAGGATAGCACAACATGCTAACTGCTGCAAGTTAGGAAAACGTCACACCTCTACAACGAACTCGCAGCCAACCAACGGTAATGAGCACGATGCGCCTACTTCCTCGCTGCGGCTACCGTCTACCTCTTCGCCGCGCATTCCAGACGGCCGCTACCCCTAACAGCCGTGCCGCCGATTTTGCTTTCGCTTTCGAGTAAGGCGGCTACGCCATCGACCTCTCAATACAGCAGCTGACGGCTGTCAGTATCGATGGAGTACTCCTAAGGAGTTCGGACGCATTACCGCGAGCTCGAAAGGCCCTCTCCTATCTTCAGTCAGAGCGCATCCCCTTCATACTTTTGACGAATGGCGGCGGCAAACATGAATCCGAGCGCGTGGCCGAGTTGAGCAGCAAACTGGACGTGCCTATCGATACATCCATGTTTGTTCAAAGTCATACCCCTTTCGCCGACATGAATGATCTGAAGGACAAGACAGTCATGGTTGTGGGTGGGGTGGAGGATAAATGCAGGAGAGTTGCCGAGGCATACGGGTATGATACCATGCGACTACATTGTGCTGCAACATTCTAACAAAGTCGCGTAGCTTCAAAAAAGTTGTCATCCCTGGCGACATTCTAGTCGCTCATCCGGAAGTATGGCCTTTCTCACAGCAACTTCTATCATACTATAAAACCTTCACTCGACCGCTGCCGGTCCCTATCGACGCTACGGCACCGTCTACGTCGCTCCGTATCGATGCTGTCTTTGTGTATAACGATCCTCGGGACTGGGGTTTGGATGCGCAGATCATCAAGGACGTCTTGTTGTCAGAGCGTGGCATCGTTGGAACTCTGTCTCGGAAGAACGGCAATCCTGCCTTGGAGAACCGCGGTTATCAGCAAGACGGGCAACCACCGCTCTATTTCTCAAACCCAGACTTGCTATGGGCGGCAAAATACCACCTACCACGTCTAGGCCAGGGAGGATTCCGCGAAGCCTTTGAAGGTATCTGGGCTGCGATAACCGGTGGCGAAGCACAAGGTGTCAAGCTGCAGAAAGTCATAATGGGCAAACCACACCGGCCTACGTACGAGTTCGCAGAGAAGCGTCTGATAGCGCATCGGCATAATATAATGCAACGCTATGGCAGTCCTCTGGGGCATCTCAAGCGTGTATATATGGTCGGCGATAATCCTGCCAGTGATATTGCCGGTGGTAATAACTACCGGAGTCCGTATGGCACGGATTGGGCTAGTGTATTAGTGGAGACAGGTGTTTATGAGAAGGGCACAAAACCGACACCTCAACCGCGCAAGATCGTGAGCGATGTCTGGGATGCCGTCTCGTGGGCTGTCGCACAGGAAAAATGGGCATCTTCAGCTGATACTCCTTGATATCGTACATCTACTCTCAAACTGCGCCAATCTATTTACAAAAATGGTGCTAAGAATTCTCAATATGAAACATATTCTCGGTAGTCCGCTACGCACCACGTCCACCGCTCATAGACATAGCCTTCAAACAAAATCTCACTCGATCTACTGTTGTTCCAACCACTGCACGAACCTATTGCGAAGCAAGAATGTCAGCATTCAGCATACACACACACACGTCAGGGAAATTAGCTTACATCAAATCGCCGGGCCCAAGATTATCAGCCCTAGCTACCGCTTTGCCGTCTTCGATGAATCCGGTTTTTAGATTACGCGCGTAGATGTTGACGTTCTTGCTCAGTTGATTCGCAACCGCGATCAACGATCCATTTTGATTCATACCGAAGTGGCGAGGGTACACTCCGCCTGATTTTGCGAGCTGGACAAACGATAGCTTCCCGTCGGCTGAAGGTTTAAATGTTACAAGCGAATCACTTGGAAGCTGAGTGCTGTTGTTTGGGTCCGAGTTCTCTACAGTGAACACTGTACCGTTGCGGTTTGCAGCGATTAGGAATTTATTATCGGGTGAAAGCGTCATTTCTGAAGCGAAGGTAGCTGGTGGGACGGTCTGATTGCCGTATGTGCTGACCTCGTCGACTTCGGTGAAAGTTAAGCCACCCTGCTCGAGATAACAAACTTCGTAGCTTGTGATCTTGTTGGCTTTCTCGTGGACTACGAAAAGATACGTCGTCGTAGAATTGGTGCCTGTCCAGAAAACTGCATGTCGCGGCCCGTAGCCTTGCTTGGATTTGAGTGGCGCATGCTCGGTGAGCAAGTGGGTGACAGGATCGATGCAATACACATGGACTGTGTCTGCACCGAGACTGGGAAATATCATGTACTGCCCTGTAGGATCGACAACCGCTTGATGAATCTGCTCCGGCGCAGACTCATTCGCCGGAGCAGGGAAGGTAATATTTTGCAAAGATGAAATGGTGTTCTTTCCGTCGATAGTGAATAGTGAGATGGCTGGCTCGGGACCGTACTATTGAAGTTATCGCAGAGTAAGTATGTGATCAGATCGGAATTGGAGGAGGGATATTGTACATACATGAGCAAGGGCTAGAGCCGACTTGTTGTTGTAGGACGCCATAGATACTGCTCCTCCCAGCACACTGTTACTGGACACCTTGCTGAGGCTGCCGTCATGACCAAGGCTCAACATGGTGAGACTAGCATTGGTAGCTGACTCATCTAGACAAACTATCCTATCCAAGCCAAGGGACACATCCAACCATGTAGGCAAGGCTCCACACTCTTTATTCTCTTGAGCAACTTTCATCGTACTCGCATGGCTAGCGTTTTTGTTTGTGCTAGACGGTACTTCAAGTGTCTGAATAGCTCCAGGGTGAGTCGCATTTCCGTATGAAGCCACCAGGAGCCGGTCCGCAGCTACTTGTCCTACAACCGCCAAGGCGATAAGTAAAGTGTTCATTGTTATAATAAAGAAGACTTGGAAGTATCAAGGTATCTACAAGTCCAAGCAATGTCGTCTCGTAATGTAGGGACCAGAATTTGTGTGGTAGTAATGAAAAGGAAGGTTGTCGTATGATAAGGTTTTTATTGCAGAAGAAATATACGTGAAGAGTCGGTGACTGGCCAATGCAGACAATGTAAGGGGGTGTGAAATGATTCTTCGTGAATAAACATGGTCATCCATAGCGTATGTTCTCACTTACTGTGTATATGGTGATGCCCATTACATGTTTCATATTGATCGCTATAAGGCATGTCAATAAGCTTAGGTTTGTAAACGCGGTTACTCCTGGATGCCAAGCAAGATCTGAAGTAGCGGGTGTTTCCACAGGAGAGAGCGTAACGGTCCTTTGCTAACGATTGGCAAGTGCGGGGGTGAAACATCATTTGTGGTTCGGCCCCATTCGGAGATAGCAAGGTTCATGATTGCGCTAGTGCGTCATGTTCCATCTCTGCGCCATGATGGCGCGTGTATACTGGCAAACTTTCCTCACGAGTTACGCACGCACACATACAACTGCACTAGATATGCCTGCCTCCACAACCAGTTATGCAAACTATCTTCCCGACGAACTGCTTCTTGAAATCCTGGCCCACTTTGAAACGTTGGGCGAAATTGAGAGGCAAACGACGCTGGCCCGCTTCTCAGCAGTCAATAGGTAATCGCCGCACCGGAGATTTGATCACATAAGCTTACCAAAGTAGACAATGGTACGATGTATGTGAATATCTATCTATCTGTCACTGGGCGGACTGTGACTAATTTCGCTCTCCGACGACTAGGTAGCAGTTCAACCGTTGTATGAATCACCGTATCTGTCCGGAAGCGCATACGAACTTTTTTTACGCACGATATGTCCTTCTGTGCTGGCTCGCATCAAGGTAAATCGTCTCAAAGATAGTCGGCGGTGTCTGCTAACTTGTCGCAAGCCGACGGCGTTGGCAAGTTTAGTAAAATCCCTTGACTTATCACACATCGTACACCAAGGCGCCAAGTCTACAACAGCTAGGTTACTGGGCCGAACAAGAGCATCTCTTGAAGTCTTTGTAGCGCCCCAAGCTAGCTTTGCAATCAACTGCTGGGCTAGTCTAAGCAAATGCTCTCGGCTACGCGTTCTTGACCTGAGCCTGTCAGTAAGCCCCAAGTACACGATACATTCGACCTTGTAGACTGATGTGCAATATCAATATCAGGGTTTCGGAATGTATCAGCTTCCAAAGCTTGAACCAAACGATACGGCAACTGGGGGATTTGCGTGAGCTTTACTTGCCTCGCTGTTCGTCAAGATACGAACCACCAGCCACGCCCGGTGGTCCCAGCATTCGCTGGCCACCCAAACTTGAACATCTTGCGTTATCTGGATCTGTCTCGGGTCAGTTCCTCTGGGATATGCTACGACAGCCGGATAACTTCCCACCGACTTTCTCCTCGCTAAGTATTCACCATAGTCCTGGGCTAGATCAGTATGTCAGAATCACGTCCGAAAGAAGTCACTGAACGACTGGTATTGAAGAGCGCGATGCTGATTTTTAATTCGCAGGCAAGGCATCAGACCACTGCTTAGTAGCTTAGCTGCGTCGCTTACTGTCGTCGAACTCCGCGATCTGCCAGCCGTCAAGCAAGGTCGATTGAATGGGGTACTGGATTGGCTACCGAACTTGGTGTCTCTGACCATTGCGCTCGATTACATTGACAGTCGGTTCGGAAATATGCCGCCAGACTTCTCCCCGGCACGATGGCAAGAAGCCAGGCCATTGTACAGCCTCACCCTTGTCGCCTGTGGACGAACGGGCGATCCATCACGCAGTTTTACTATTACCGATCTGTTCACCATGATAGACGAACGATTCTTAGGCCGTTTGCGCTACTTGAGCATAGGACATAGCACCGAGTGGCAGAATGAGGAGGATGTGTTGGGTGCACTAGATTCTAGTATAGATGAGCTGGATAAGGAGAATTGGTTGGAGCGTAGATGGCACTATCGAGATGTGGACTTTACGGATACGAGAAACATGGAATACGAGCAATGGAGAACAGACACAGCGATGGGTAGAAAGATGAGACCGCGATTCCGGCTCCTGAAGAATCGATAACTGAACCCAGCTCGAAATTCTAAGCCCTTGGGCAGGCCTACATAAGCTATCAATAGCGATCAAGTAAGGAAACAAGCTGTCTATGTCGTGTATATCGCATGTCATGAAACGCCCCTATCCAGCGGCTGGTGAATCGGTATAGAGGAGGAGTTGGGTCCACCTAGGCGCTACCGTTAACCTTCTTTCCTTGTACGATACCACGAATACCGCCCTTGCCACCAACTTCACGGATGACGGCGTTTATGCTCAGGTCGGCGGCAATGTTAATCTGCACTTCAACCTTTCCTCCCTTCTTCACACCCCGGATTGCAGCTTCGCTCAGCACTTGGCCAACTTTCCAAGTCTTTTCTCTTAGCTCTTCCTCCTCCTCTTCGCTATCGTCTTCGCTATCGTCGTCTTCCGAGTCGTCTTCCTTCTTCTCAGACTTGGGCTTTGGTTCTGGCTTTGTGACTTTGATGTGTCGTGAGCCCTCGGCAAGTTTGATAAGCACATCACCACCCTCTCTTGGTGTCGTGATGGTTGCAGTGCGTCGAACGGGCAGTTGTGTCTCGGCGTCAACGATGGCGTGGAAAACGCCAGAAGATTCATCGCCCGAGATGCACAGCACACCGACGGCAGTGGAAAGATGGGGCGTGACGGTGACCATAGGGTGAGTGCTTTGTTCAATGTCCTCAAGCTCGAACTCCTGGATAAGGCTGGCTTGAATAGCAGCACCACGGACTGCCAGCTCCGAAGGGTTGATGGCTGATGGGGATGTGGAAGGTGCGAGGACAGTCGTGGAGTCCGGGAAGGCTGATCGTACTGCGGAAGCGACCTTGGGCGTATGTGAGTTACCGCCAGCCAATACGATCTCGGAAATGTCAAGGGGATCCAGGTTGGCCTTCTCCACAGCATGCGTCACAAGACGAGTGAAAGCGGCGAACAACTTGCTTCCCAGGAGATCATAACGGGTACGGTTGATGGTTGCGGTGAAGTCAGTGCCACCCACTAAGCTCTCAACGGAGAAGTTGGCGGTGGTACCGATGGATAGCGCCTTCTTGACGGCTTCGCACTCGAGCTTCAGCTTGGCCATCGATCGGTCGTTTTCCCTGGGGTCACCGACCGACTTGTGCTTCTTGAGGAATTCCTTAGCGAAGTGGTCCATGAGCACTTGGTCGAGCTTGAAGCCGCTAACATCGTAGTCGTGTAAGGTGGCCAGGATAGTGTAGATACCACCACGGGACGCGACCACGGCGATATCCGAACGAGTACCACCCAAGTCGGCGACAACGATGATCTTGTCGGCCAACTTTGCATCAGGGCGGGCGTCGTACGCCAAGACGGCAGCTGTGGGCTCGCTGATGAACTGTAGGACCTCGATACCAGCATTTGTCGACGCCTTCTTGAGAGCCTCTTTCTGGGCGTCGCTGAAGTTTGTGGGTACGGTGATGACGGCGGCATTGACGTCCTTTCCGAGGTAGTCGGAGGCAGAGGTTCGTAGTCTCTTCAAATGGCGTGTGGTGACATCGATAACGGAAACGGTGTTTTCCTGCTCTTCGCTAGTATCGCGGATGCTGAAAGCCACGCTGTCTTCATGCTCTATGGGGTGAGCCGATTGGTGGCATGGCGAGGGGTCTATCGATTTGTAGCTTCAGAGCGTCAGTCATGTCGGACATGGAGGGTTGGATTGCCTACTCTTGGCCGAGGAAATCGCGGAAGTAGGCGACGGTGTTCTTCGCATTGCGGACGAACTGGCTCTTAGCTTGACCGCCGGAAAGTTCCTCGCCTTCGACATAGGACAGAGCGGAGGGGATCTGGCGGTCTAGATACAAATTAGCAATGGAGGGGGTCCAGGGCGTGGAGCAGACGACATACCTCCATCTTCGTTGGCAATAACCTCTGCTTTACCTTCCTGTTATGTGTCAGAGACATCCAGTGAAAATAGCGACAGGCATAGGGGACTTACACCACTGGTATAAGCAATGGAGCTGTAAGAATTGCCAAAGGATATTCCTATCGCGACTCGCTGCGCGGGGTCCGCTTGCGCACTCATCTTGCGCGGGGAGACGTTGTTTGGTTATGTGAGGAGGTGCCGGTTCAGAATGAGGTCGTCCAATGTTGACGAGGAAGTGGTAGAGGCAGAATAACTGAGGATATCCGGCTGTGGTTGCGTTTGTAGCGCGTGTGTTTCTTCGCGGCTAAGAAATTCAGAGTCGTGCATTTTTCTCGGAAGCGCACGGGCTTCTTCGGAATGAGCTCACTCTAGGATTGCACATGTTACCATGTGCTCTACCAACACCCCCAAAGACAAGACTCCACAAACACTACCATGGCAGCGTCAGCCACAATTGTTCTGCCGGGTGACAACATCGCGAAGAGCGCCTTGCCTACAGGCACAGGCAAGAAGAAGACGCTCACTCTGGGACCGGGTTTGCGACACACGCCGCCAGACACGGTCACAGCCACAGTTGCGGGCGCGCTGGTGACAGACAACAAGAAGAATGCTGCTTCGGTGGAATACAACACTGGAAGGGTCAGATGATTCTTGCTCCCCTTTGACTGCTCTTGGCCAGCTAACATTTCTCACAGTATCTTCCTTTCGCGGGCGACCTCGTCATCGCGACTGTCAATGGCTCAGCTGCAGAGAACTTCAACTGCCTCCTTACCCCGAACACACCGCCTGCGACCCTCCCCCACTTGGCCTTCGAGGGTGCGACTAAGAAGACACGGCCCCAGCTTCCTCCAAACTCTCTGGTATACTGTCGCGTCGCAAGCGCCGGCAAGGATCTGCCATCAGAACTCACCTGCGTCGATCCCTCCACTGGCAAGAGTGAAGGACTCGGTCTTCTCAAGGGGGGCATGCTATTCAACGTGAGCCTAGGCATGGCACGAAGAATGCTGGCAGCACGGGGAGGCATAACTTTGTTGGAGACGATAGGTGCCAAAGTCGGCTTCGAGGTTACAGTCGGTCGAAACGGACTTGTACACGTCGACGGTGGGAACACAAAGACGACACTGGCAATTGGCCAGGCTATACAAGAGGTGGATGTTGCGGCCCTTGGAGACGAAGCCCAGAGCAAGCTAGCTGCCGCGACTCTGAAACAATGCTGATGGAGAAACCATGGCTGTTATACCAAATTCCGCAATCGCAGGACGGGAGCGTGTCCCCGTTGTTACGTCTGTCGGAATATATCATGACTGAACATAGGCGGGCCATCAACCGTTGGGGACAATGATCTGCAAGGGGAAACGATGGACTTTGGCGCCCAATTCGGTACGCATAGAGGACGGGTACCTCTGTCGTTGTAACCATGGACGCACCGAGGTCGCAAATAATCAGCTTACGTTGACTGGCTACGTCCGATCGCACTCGATGGAAGTGTTGGGTTCTAACGAACCAAGTTGAATGGACGTGAAAGCGCTTCGCCGAAGGTATGTCTCAAGTATTCCGGTCATGCCGCTATAGGCGACGCGTTCTGTCGAAAGCAAGTATGCACCTGAGAAGAGCTACTCACATGAGTAGTCGCATTCACGGGCTGAAGGGCGAGTATGTAGAGTATTTTCATTGTCTCTAGTCTACGCTTGACTTTGTGGGTCGTTAACTCCATGAGACGCGACATTGCCAATACATCAGTCCTCAACGTCTTCTCCATTCCACAACCGTTGGATTGTAATGTGATGTGTGAAAATCGTGATCAGCCTTTACCGCATTTTGCAAACACGTGCAGTATCAAGTTCATGTCCATCATGGTAATACATGTCTCCCAGAAATTATCAAGCAGAAGTTTCATCATTCCCTACAGGCAGGACAATCTTAAGGCACAACACGCTGTGGGTCTCGGGGGAAGAGACTGCACATCCGAATGTTGGGCAGTCCAAGCCAGAATTGTACAATCCTCTCCAGACCGAAACCTCCTCCAGCGTGCGGTGGGCAACCATACTTGAAGCAGTCTACGTAGTCCTTGGTTCCAGCTCCGGTGGGATCAATAGGAGGATCATGCTTACGCATCTGCTCGGCGAGGAGCTCCGAGGAGTGGATACGCTGTGCACCAGAGAGAATTTCCTGACCTCTCATGAACATGTCATAGGAGTTCGAGAGAGCAGGATCGGCGGGTGATGGCATAGTGTAGGCGGGACGGATAGCGAGAGGGAATTGATCCAAGACGTAGAAGTCAGTGTTGTACTTTTCCAGGACGAGACGGCCAAGGTGCTTTTCTTGTGGAGTTCTGAAAATATTAGTTGAGCCTTGGTAATCTTCTTCACTGCACTTACGTCAGATCGTCGTAGTCTCCCAGCTCTTCTCCGGCTTCGCGAAGCATCTTGATGCCTTCTTGGAAAGGAATTCTGGGCACCTTGCCAGACTCAGGAAGCTTAAATTCATCGACGTGGTACACTCCTCTTACGAGTTCAGTCTCCTTTCGGTATCGCGAGTTGAGCTCGTTGAAGATGAAGAGCATGAGGTCTTCCAACACGCCCATGACTTCATGGTAGTTCTCCTGGAATTCCATCTCAAGATCCAACCCAGTAAATTCAGTCAGATGACGAGCCGTGTTAGAGTTCTCGGCGCGGAAAACAGGGCCAATCTCCATGACCTTCTGGAAGCGGGAGGCGATCAGCATCTGCTTGTAGAACTGTGGTGACTGAGCAAGATAGGCGGGACGACCAAAGTACTTCAACTCGAAGACATTAGCTCCTCCTTCGGAGGCAGCGCCACTGGGTACGAAGTCAGTATCTACAATGGGTCATCATAAAGATGACATACAGTATCTTTGGGGTGTGCACCAAGACAAAACCCTTCTTAGAAAGGAACTCCTGGAACAAGGCGCATACACCACTCTTGATCACGAAGATGGACTGGTTGATCTTGGCCCGAAGATCAATCGTCCTGTTGTTCAGCCTTGTGTTCAGACTGACGAGTGGTCGCTCACCACCTTCCTCTTCTTTCTGCTCTTCTTCGGCGACAGCCTCGGTCGGCATTGGCCGTTCAGCGTCGGACACCTGAAGCGGTAGTGGAATCTCCGCACTGGCCTCGACGAACAACTTCTGGACATGAATCTCGAAGTCGGTGATAGTAGCGCTCTTAATGGGCTCTTTTACGCGCTTGACTATGCCCGTGACGACGAGTGTGCTTTCGGTGCTGACGTTGCCGCAGAACTTGACCATCTGCTTGCTCAGCTTCTCGCTGGCCGCAACGACAGCCTGCACAGTATCGAGGTTTTGTCGCAGGTTCAGGAAAGCGAGTTTCGCAGATTGGACCCTTGCGTTCTCTACCCAGCATCTGAATGTGATTTCCTTGTCCTCATTGCTGGCGACATCGGCAAGCTCAGTGCGCGGAGTTCCCGTAGGCTTGTGTTCTTTGGATCCAATGAGGGGAAGTTCGCCGTATGCGCCTGCAGATACGTCGGCTCCGTCGTCGGCCTCTTTCTTAGAACGCTCAGCGAGTTCGCGGGCTTTGGCTGCAGCTTTCTTCTCCGCCTGGGCTATCGTGAATATTTTGAACTTGAAAGGAAGGGGACTCCACTGACCTTCTCTTTCTCTTTCTGCGCCTTCTTCAGCGCGTTCTTGGAGGGCGGCTCAGCGCCAGTAGGTGCGGCGTCACTCATCGTGGTAGTGTTGTGGATTTCAAGTCGCGTTGTGCAGTGGTCAGTCGTGGTGCTGCGGACTCACATTTCCATAGTGGGGCAGTCACAGCCCCGCTATCCCCCGCGGCGTCATAGCCAATTATGGTATCACCTAACAGGCACTGGCAACCTGCCTAGCTAAGATCCTTGTGGACGTGTATTTCGAACTCGTATGCAATTACTAATTACTGTAGCTGGGTATAATAGAGATTGTCCGTCGTGCTCGAACCCAATGCATCCCAGACGCCTTGCAGCAAAATAAGCCACTGTGCTCCACCGTTCTAAAAAAAGTCATGTCCTCCAGATGGGCGTGCAAGTCGGTAACCAGAGCAACCGCATTCCTTTCTTCTCGGTCGCTCGTCTTTGGGTGTAGTCAATGGACTACCCTCAGCCGTGTATAGATGCACGACTGGACACCGCTGTACTCGCATTTCCATCCCAAAGTTTCACTGTTTTGACAGCGGAATGCTTCGGTTCGTGACATGAGAAAATATTGACGTGAGTGTCGTTGACAGCCGCTGCGGCAATCATCAGTCGATGGGGATGGAAGGCGGTAACCGATATAGGGGCAGATCGATCCCGAAGGAAACCTGAGTACGGCTCAAGGTGAGATACGGGTTGACCGTTGTTTATGTTGAAAATCTTCACACGGTGTCGTTGCGTGCCACTATTGATGTCAGTATGTTCCGCCCTGTTTTCGTGTCATGGGCACTTACGTAGCGAAAACCGGAGCGTGCTCATGGACGCTGAGCGTCCTGAGCGTGTCGGAAGTCGCTTGTATAGTTTTCACGCTCCGGTCCCAGCGGATGTCCCATAGTTTGACTTCACCACCACGACAACCGCTCACAAGTTCACGCTGACCGCCACGCTGTAGATGAACGTTGGTGATCCATTGCTTGTGCTCTTTCCAAACCTTGACCATGGCGGTGGCGGGCTTTTGGCGCTGATCATACACTCGTATGGCACCATCACCAAAACCAGCGACAAACACGTCTCCCTCGACCTGATCAGAGGTCAAGGATGTGATACAAGAGCCTGAACGTGCCGGAATATCCTACTCAAGTCAGCTACAATATCAAGAGATGCGGGAAGCGCAACTTACATTTGTGCATACTTCGGTCCCTGCGTTCCATACGCGAATGACCTTCACGTCCCCAGCGACCAGAATCAGACCTCTACCTTGCTGCCAATCGAAGACCAGCCCGGCATTCTTGTTGCTCGAAACAAGATCTGTAAGGGCTCGGAATCCCGTCACTAGTTCCGTCTCGCCTTTACGATCATAGTTGCGGAATATCTTAATGACTCCGTCCGAAGATCCGGTCATTAATAACGCCTGGTCATCTTCGTTGATGAACCGTACGTCCGATATCTTCGATTCGGGAGGATTTCCGTTGGAGAAAGAATTGATCCTGCTAACCGACTTTGAGTAGTCGAAGATATTGACGGTATCCCGTGTATCTGTCACCACCAGATGATCTTCGAACTGATGGAAACACATTTTCGCAGGTTGGCTGAGGTTGTCGAAATACCCTCGGGGCACATCCCAACGATTGGAGACAGCAATATCTTTCAACGGCTGAGTTTCGGCAATAATCCTGTCATTACGGTTTCTCCGCCAGAGTCGGCCATTGTAGTCGGTGCTTCCAGGCTCATCGGCCTCTGTGGGCTTCATCTGGGGCTCACGGAAGTACTCTACGGACCATTCAAAGAAGACACTCTTGAGTGGGATCTCTGGCTTTTCCGATAGATCCCTGTTTTTGAATCCTCGTGATGTTGGCTGCTCTACGACGTGATATTTCTCCGGAGTCTGAGGACGCGACGCCGACGGGACACTGGCGTCGTCAGCAGCAGATCTCCCCGATGGTCTCTGCTTAGGACCTGCTGATTCTTGACCGGCCCAGAGGTTCTTTAGTGAAGCACCAACGCTCGTAGACTTTCGGATGCCACCGAAAAGAGACAGGTATGTCGAGTCTTTGGTCGGTGTTGGTGGATTTGAGGCTTTTTGAGGCGTAGAGGTCTCTTCTACTGTGCGGCGCATGGGACGAGGAGCTGGCGCATGTTGGAGGGCTTCGTCTAGTTGAGGTTGTACGAATTTGGCTAGAGACGATTCGATAAGCGCGATCAGAATGTAATCGACGACGATTTCAGCGTCTTTTGCAATTTCTGGATGTGGATCCACAGACATGACCAATAACTCTTTCCATATGGCGGAGTATATGGTGTTCTGCGAACAGGACGTCGATTCTGAAGCACTGCCCGTCGCTCCTGTACGTGTTTTCATATAGAGCGTCTCAGCGCTTTTGTCTTCTGTCTGCTTTGCGTCTGTGTTGGCGTGGTCCTCCTGTAGTTGTTCGAATGCGGCGACTATGAATCGGGTCTTGTAGCGAGCAACAAATGTCGAAAAGAATATGAGCAGTTCTTTGCGGACCATACTATTACCATCCATTGTCATGATAAGGATCATTGATGCGATTGACTCCTCGATGTTAGCCACCTGGGGAGTGACATCGCGAATGCCGAGGAAGGATGCCAATGCGTGCAACATCGCAGCTCTGACCTCAGCAACGGGATCCACGATAAGTTCGCATAGTCGCTCGTGTGCCATGCACCTGATTCCGACCCACTTGGCCTCTTCGTAGTTAATCCAAAGCTTGCTTAGGCAGAGACACGACCATTGCCTCAGCAACGGGTTCTGCATATCTTTGAGATGATCTAGGCAGCTCTCTACAAGTTCGGTACTCAGTGAGGCGCGTTGTCCCTGGTTGTAGTCCTTGCAGAACATGGAAACGATGAAGGCGCACATTGCGCGGTGTTCACTCGCATTCTGAATGGGTATGCCTGGGTGAATTTAGCTAATGTAAAGTTTTGTTGGAGCAATTTTGTATACCAGAATTGGGATTGAATATATTGATGAAGTACTGGTAGCCATTGTCCTTGAGAAGATCCGCTTGGCAGGATTGATCAACTGCGAGAATGCGAGCCCAGATAAATACCATGACTGGCTTGAGCTCGTTCGCTTGAGATTGTAGTAGTTTGAGGACGTATGGGAAGATGCCAATGCTGAGCGCGAGATTTACAGCCCAAGGACCATGATCTAAGAAACTTGACAGCAGGATAAGCGCACGGAGACGATGCACTTGACTGAGCAGTACTTGGAGCACTATGGGAAGTTGTTCCGGTACCTTTTGCTCCACTGCGCCCTGCGTCAAGTATACCTCGAAAGCGGTCAACTGTTCGGAGAAGAAATCAGAGTGCTTATAGTTGAAGTCCTTTTCGCCCCGAGCTTCAGCCTGCAGATCCGGAAGCTGAGCCAAGATCAGCTCAACCGCCAAGTCCCAGCTGCGCCAGAGGGGATGGTTATGTGTTTGAGGGATTTCGGGATGCGAGACAGGGTTGCAGTGATATGCGCGCATGATGCGCTGTGCAAGAAGATAGTTGCGGAAGAGGGCGGCGACCATCAAGTCCTGACGGAACAATTTCTTAAAGAGCGGCTTGGAAAGAGAATTCCAGGCGATGGTGTCAGTAATGGCCGTGAAGATCCAGTTCAGCTCGCCGATAGGCGTTCTACGCTCAGAGACTTTGCCTGGGATATTGTGGGCATCTCGCAGGCTGACTTTAGTTGGGAGAGGGTTTTGCAAGATAAAGAAGCGTACCGCCATGGTTATGGGGTCGGTCAGACAGGAGGTGAAGATGTCAGCAGGTAACTCTGGGTTAGTGGGAAGAGATTCACGCTCTCTACATGCTGCCAAATGGATGCAATCACTAAAGTCGACATGCTCGACGCTGGGATCTCTCCGGCGCGCCTCCTCAAACTCGGCCTGGTGTTTCTCGGCAAAGCGGTTGAAATTGCTGATGATAAGGCCAGCATCGGAGCAGTCGTAAACGAACAGACTTGGTGCGCCAATCCAGGACTGCAAGTCGTAGAGCGACAAGGGAATGTACTGTGTATAGTTTCTGTTGAAAACCCAAATTTCGCCTGAAGAAGTAGGTTTAGGAACGCCATGGCCGTTGTAGTGAAACAAGACTCGCTCATTGCGGGCATTTCGCCGGAGAGTGGAAGCGTACTTTCTAGTCTCTTCCGTTGTAGGGTCCAGCAGCAGCTTGTAGCGCGTGCGCATGCTCAGCTGCTCGTACTGGGTCTGAAGGGCTTTTCCGATCTGGTTCATGGGCGTGTGGCCGGGCGTCTGGGAGGTGACGGTCGGGTCGATCCAGCACTCCTCCTTGGCACACGGGTTGGTCTTGATGACGTCCGGGGGATCAACACCAATGTTCAGGCACAAAGCAAGGACGGCCGAGACAGTCTTGAGGCGGTCCCGCATGCGCCATTCTTGGACTGGGAATGCGCAGTCTTCGCTCTTAGGGTGGCCGCCGGTCTCGTGTTTCTTGTCGGTGTAGTACATGAAGAAGTTTGAGGTGAGTAGGTTGCTGTACTCTTCCGAGTTCAGTTGGTCGTCCCAGCCGTGACGGATCTTGAAGTGGCCGTCGACGCTTCCCTCGTCGGCGCTCTCTGGTGGTAGGGCAGGATGGCGAGGCCCAAAGTCACTTTTCGCACGTAGGAAGCTGGGGCGGGCAGACTGAGGGCCGATCGAGGCAGGGCGGGCGGGCGGCGCATGTTCGTCCATGTGAGAGGTAGACGATGCATCAGCGGCGACAGCGGTGCTAGGACGCGAGGAGGCAGCGGCAGCCTCGAGGTACTGGGAGCCGTTCATATCGACAGGCGCTGGGGCGTGCGAGGCAAGCGGGTTGGGGTGGGTGTGGCCGCTGACGAGAGGTAGTTCGTTGGCTGTTCTCATGGTGAGCTTCAGCGAGCAGTGACGGTGTTGACAGGGCCCATAGCGCGAGGCGGGCGATGCGCGTGACAAGGAGACGCGTTTGGGTGAGAGAGGGAGAGAGAGAGCAGAAGTCAGGAATCCGGGACCGTCAAAGGTGGTGACAATTGCACGTCTATCAAACTTGTTCTCATCAACGTCGGGCATAGGTGAGAGCTCGACAGTTCATAGTCGTCGACGCTAGGCCCAAAGCAGCACCGCGGTGAGAGTCGAGCTCCACCGCAATTGACGACGCGGCCATGGGAGCGGAAAAGCAACGGTCCAGCACTGATGCAGTCCCGAATGGTTCGGGTGGGGATGCTGGCTGGCCAACGGTGTGAATACTCTGGCTAGCCTCTGCATACATGTCAACGCGCCCTCTTATACCTGAGGTTCTTTTGCAGGCCTTCTGCGTACTCCGGCGCGACGCAGCCAATGACACCGCCGCCTGTCTCCTAGCCTCGTCGGCGTCCGCTGATCCTCCCGGACACTTCTCAGGGGCGGCGCGCAGAGTGAACAGGGCTGGGGAGAGACTAACCATCGTTGTTCCGCCTGGTCGTCTTTCCCTTGTGCCTACATCTGGCCTGCTCAACCTTGGAAGTGCCGCCCTTGGAATTGCTGCGCCGTCTGCGTCCGACAGCATTACGCCTCTTCTGCACCCGCATTCCCAGCATCGCATTGCTCTGGTCGCCGCCATAATACATAGATATCCCCAAACGTTACCACTGTCCATCTCTCCCACGCTTCTGCTGTCTTCCCCCCAGCCGTACGACATGCGCGCGCGCCCCGTCCATTGCTTCGCCTGATCACTTTACTCTCACCAGCCAGCATCTGGTCGTGTCCTCTCTCCATCTCTATCCCAGGCCGAATGCGTGCGCGATAGGCCCCGGCTGCTACTGCACCAACGCCCTCGCAGCACCACCACCGCTGCCGCCGCCATGTCTTTTCTCTTCGGCAAGAAGAGCAAGCAGCAGGCCAACAACGCGCTGCCACCAGCCATCAGAGAAATAACCTCGTCAGGTGGCCCAGGGCAACCACCCCCGGCCGTCAATGGATCTGGCTCTCGCGAGATTGAGAGGACCCGTGGAGGCTCCCAATCCCAGACACCTACTCCCGGAGGCAGCATAAACAACTCGTTGAGCTCTCTCCAAAATCAAACCCCTGGAAATGCGCCCACCCCTGAGCCCAAAGCACTGCGAGAGAAGGCCGACACCAACATCCAGGTGCGTTGTATGACAAGTCCATTATGCTGCATGTGCGCTGACTGCCACAGAATACGAACCCCAGATTTGCCGGCAACTCACCAGACTCCCCGTACCCTTGGTCCTCCCGACGGCTGAACTTCACCGCAGGCAATCCCTTCCCGCGATACGGCGCTGCTATCAATGCCACGGCTTCCAAGGATGGCACGATTTACCTCATGGGTGGACTCGTGGGCGGCGCGACAGTCAAGGGTGATTTGTGGCTGACTGAGATGGGCAACGGTAGCATGGCCTGCTATCCCATTTCCACAACTGGAGACGGTCCTGGTCCTCGCGTGGGTCATGCTAGTCTACTCGTTGGCAATGCCTTCATCGTCTTTGGAGGAGACACGAAACTGGCTGACAACGACGACTTGGACGACACCCTATATCTCCTCAATACCTGTGCGTAGAATCCGGAATCACCTTTGACTTCAACTAACACTTCACAGCTACAAAGCACTGGTCGCGCGCACTACCGCAAGGCCCTCGTCCCACTGGTCGCTACGGACACACCCTAAACATACTAGGCTCTAAGATATACATTTTCGGTGGACAGGTCGAGGGCTTCTTCTTCAATGACCTAGTAGCTTTTGACCTGAACTCGTTGCAGTCATCCGCAAGTCGATGGGAAGTGTTAATACCAAACACTAAGGAGCAGGCTTCTCCGCAGGGCAGATCACCACCAGCACGTACCAATCATTCCGTGGTAACGTGGAATGACAAGCTCTATCTGTACGTATCACAGTCATTTGCCTTGTTCACAATCCCGTGTACTAACTATCGTCAGATTTGGTGGCACCGACGGGATTACTTGGTTCAACGATGTCTGGACCTATGAGCCACGCTCCAACGCGTGGACAGAGCTTGACTGCATTGGCTACATTCCTGTAGCTCGCGAGGGTCATTCTGCCGCCCTCGTCAACGACACCATGTACATCTTCGGCGGACGTACCCAAGAAGGCGTCGATCTGGGCGACCTTGCAGCCTTCCGGATTTCATCCCGCCGCTGGTACATGTTCCAAAACATGGGGCATTCCCCCTCAGCCCGATCGGGCCATAGCATGACTGCGTTCGGAAAGCACATCGTCGTCTTAGCTGGTGAGCCCAGCTCTTCCGTCAGTGACAGGAACGAGCTCAGCCTTAGTTATATTTTGGACACCTCCAAGATAAGGTATCCGCCCAATGAAAGTGCTCCTCCACCGCAGCCGCAGAATACCCAGCGAAAGATGAGTGGCGGTGAGAGAAGCAATGTGCCTCCCGCTAAAGTCGGCTCCCCTCCAACGCGCGAGAGTATGATGCCTGGTTCCCAACTCACAAGAGCCCCAGAAAACATGGGAAACGGGGTGAACGCAGGATCACGGTTGCCTCGTGCAGCAGGTCAGCCACCTCCAGGTCCTCCTCCACTCCAGCAACCCCCACAGCCCCGCGAGAATGGTGCTGGCGCACAAGGTGCCCCGAAGCCCCGAAGCAAGACTCCTACCAAGAACGAACGTGGATATGGCCCACCTATCGACACTGGAGCTGTGTCCGCGCTAGATAGAGACAATATGTCGCCTGTGACCCGCGAAAGTCCGTCTACGAACGACATGCAACGGAAGGCTTCGATGGACGCTGTAAGCCAGCAGACCCCGAAGCAGTCCATGGACACTACGCGCTCCGGTAGCACCGTATCACGGAACACATCCAAATCTCACCGTCCGCAGCCTTCCCAGGATAGCACAGACCAAGCAGCAAGGCAGTCTCTAGAGACACAACAACAACGCGGATTTGTTCGTGAGGTTGAGCAGTTACCCAACGAGGGCCTAAAAAACGCGTCACTTGCGAATGATCAAAGAAATACCGACCTTGTTAGAGAACTAGAGCACGTCAAAAGTCGCAACGCATGGTACGCCTCGGAGCTAGCACTTGCCCGTCGAGCAGGCTACAGCTCGGGTACTTCGACGAGTCCTGTATTCGATGAGCGATCGGCCGACGCTTTTCGGGACGAAGACAGACCCTTGTTGGAGGCGCTCTTGAAGATGAAGACCGAACTTGAACGAGTACAGACCTCAATCAAATCGCAAGGCGACGATGCCGCAAAGAGAATCGCTGAAGTTGAGAGACAGCGGGACGCAGCTGTTAGTGAAGCCATATACGCTAAAACCAAGTTAGCGGCTCACGGAGGTGGTAGTCAGAATGGAACTCCCCAGCCAGATGGAGCTCGAAGCACGAATACACCGGACGCTGATCGACTCCAAGATATTAGTCGTCGACTAGCTACGTCTTTGGGGGCTCAAGGTGACCTGGCTACCAAAGTGGAGCATTTAACCCGTCAAATTGAGGCCGAAAGGAAAGCGAAACAGCTAGCCGAGGAGACCGCAGAAGCTGCACAGAAACGTGTACAAGAACTGGACTCGACCCGACAAAAGGCCACGGCTGAATCAGAGAGTCTACGTGCCGAGTTGCACGAAGCTGAACGTATCGCAAGAGAAGTCTCCACTAGCGCTGCAGAAGCGGAATCGGCATCGAAGCTATTAGCGATCGATAAACAAGAGCTGAGCGCCAAGATTGCTAAGGTTTCCGAAGAGTCAAGAACTCAGTCGGCTGTTATTCAGTCTCTGCGCGATGCGGTCTTTGCGTCCACGGAGAAATCAACATTGCTGGAGAAGAAGCTCAACGAGGAGCGGACTACGAGCGAAAACCTGCGCCAGAAGTTGAGCCAGCTTCGCAGTGAATATGAGGCACGCGTACTGGAGCTGGAGACTATGTCACAAAAGCTCCGTGATGCGGAGGAGTTGGCGGAAAGTCATGCAGAAGAGGCACGCCTTCATCGGGCCACCGTTTTCTCTGGTCTTCAAACGATGACGGAGCGCTCTGAGGAAGATGGCGCCAACCATGACGAGCGGGTTGTAATACTGCAGCAGCAAGTCGAATCTGCAAACTCTATGGCCCGCAAAAACCAGACAGCAGCTGATCAGGCGTCGGAAAAGCTTCGACGGGCTGAAGAACGAATCGCTGGTCTTGAAGCCTATCAAGAGCAATCTAGTCGTGAGGGGCTTACCATCCGTAAACAACTACAGCAGGCTATGCGAGATGTACAGCTCTCCGAGGCCGAACGAACTGAGCTTCGCCAGCAACACGAGCGTTTGCGCCTTGAGAGCAATGCATTTGAAGTTCAGCTCAAGACTCTTCGCAATCTCCTTGACGAAAGAGGTGTGAACGCTGTCGACTCGCGACGCTCAAGAGTACTAGACAGTCCAAACTCAAGGTTTGGCACACCTGAACTCAACCGAGTTCGCGAGTTGGAACAACAGGTAGACTCTATGACCAAAGCACATGAGGAACTGCGTTCCATGTTCGAGGAGCGTGAGCATGAGGTCAGCAAAGAGTGGGAGGAAAAATTACAGGCACTTCACAACGACCACCAAGCTGCTGTCAAGTATCTCCGGGGTACAGAAAAGATGCTTTCGAAGATGAAACAGGAGCTCGATCGCTACAAGAGTGCGAATCTCAAGCTCGAGGAAGAACTCACCCAAGTGAGGCAAGACAAGCGTAGTTCCGCTGACGAAGCCGATCACACCAAGTGGAACGCAGAGCGTACGGCACTTCAGTCTGAACTGGACAAGGCACGGGAGGACATGGAGGCTACCGTTACGCGTTTCGAGACCCAGTTGTCCAAACTGCAAGCCGATCTGGCTTCCGCTCGCGCCGATGCCGAAACGGCAACGAATGCTACAAAGCAGGCCGAGCATCAGGCAGCTCAGTTCCAGGCAGATCTCGACTCGCTCCGCCGTCAGTATACACAGACTGAGGAACGTGCACGCGAAGCTGAGAGTCGGGTCCAAATGTTCCTTGACCAGTTTGAGTCATCGGTCGATAATTACCGTCGCCAGTCCCAGGTTCCGACCGAGAACAACCTTCCTGAACACAGCCGCCACCATGCCCACGATAGTATTGCATCGGCTGAATCTCTTTACAGCCGCAATGATGGCTCCAGTACCCCGGAGGCTACTAACCGTCGTTCATCTACTGCTACACGGAACTCCATGGCTCTCGATAACCTTGCCTCTGAGTTGGATGCTCTCAGGAGTCACTGGGAAACCACCAACAAGGCTTACCGATTGAGTGACCGCTTTGATTTCGAACGCATGCCCGACAATGATAACACGGATGTAAATGAACTTTCGCAATGGAGGAAGAAGGTGGAGAGCGAGGATGGATTCCAAGCTGCGGCGGGTAGTCAGGATTCAAAATCCGTTCAGCCGGCTGCTACCATGGCCTCGCCGACACAGCTCCACGGATCTTCGTAGAGGTGCATACGAACCTTGAACCGTTTTTGCGCTGCTTAATGGATTGGACACGTGTTCAGCGATTTGTAAGGCGCAATCTGGTTTTTAATTTCTCTTTCTCATTGTACCATCATGTTTCGATGGGATTTCGTTTTATACCATTTGTTACTACTGCAGGATCTATGACTGAAGACCTTTGGACTTTCTGCGCCTTGTTACACTTTTTGGCAGTCGGTTGACGTTACTCGCTTTCCGCATCGATTATATGGCGGTCGGCATTCCATGTCAGGGGAGTTTAAAGAGTCGGGGACAATCACAGGCAAATGTTAACTTCGACACACATTAATGTATACGAATCAATCTATCAAGAAGTGATTAATGCACTTGCGAATCTGGGTTGTCATTGCTGCCGAAAATGAGGTTATTGGACCGACGAGCCACACCTTTTGGGTGTAAGTGAAGGTGAAGGTGGCTCGACATCACTAGCGTGTGAAACTTCTCGCTCTCCCACGCGGTACAATAGAAACGACAAAGCTTGAATCGCCAGATCTGTCTAAACAATATGATGGTGTGGGAGTTGCGAGACTAATCCGGCTTTCAGTAGGGTCATTTACAGCGAGGAGTTGTGCGCTATTATCCTACGTCTTGACAATGGGAGCATGTCACGTTTGGGCAGCAAATGGTCTAGTATAACGTCTTTACTTCCTCTAATCTTTTCCTCTCAACAATCTACTTTCTACTCCTCAACCTCCATCATCGCGCAACTTCTCTTCTCTTCCCTTCTCTTCCGACTTTCCTTGCCTTTGACGCTGGTCATCACTGAACATTTTATCCTCCTAATCTACTTCATCATCGGTCTGGTACCGCTCTTTTCAAGCAATAATGTCTTCAACCCATGATCCAAACTCTCCTGCCCGTTCAGAGAACTCAAATTCGTACATTGATGTGCGCGATGCCTTTGCACCTCTCCCTGAGTTACCTGTCAACTGCTCTGGTCAGCACAATGATGCCGGTTATCATGAACACGTCGACGATCTCGGCAGTCACAGTATCGTGCATGACGCCTTCGTAACGCTTCCTGCACTACCCGACAACGACTTTGAATCCAACGATTTTGGTCATATTGACTTTGGACACAACGACTTTACCAGCAACCACGAAATCGCCGAATACATCCCTGATGAGTTCGATCCGGCCTTACAGCTTGCACTCGTTCCAGCGCAAAGATACAACGGACCCTTAGCACCTATGTTCGACGAATTCACCGCACAACGCAACAACGAACCTCAGGTACTAAACAACGACGATTCCGACCTCGAAGATGTCGCTGCACGCATACTGTCAGGAGCACTCAGTCCACGTCAACAGGCCGAGGCCATGAGCTGCATGTCCGAGCACAGCATGGACAAGCTGTATCACGACCTGATGCGCTCTCGTGGGTTTCAACTAACGTTGTTCACTACTCCAACTGCCATTCCAGTCGATAATCCATCCGCCGTGCCAAACGCCATATCATTAGCCATTCCAGTTGTAGCTCCGTCTGCCATCCCAGTTGCCGGTCCAGCCGCCACTCCATCCGGGATACTCAACGAGAACAACTATACGCCCGTCGCTTGGGAGCCTCAGCCAGCTTTGGATCCTAACGCTCCTCCGCCACCTCCGCCTCTTTATCCAGCATACACCGGTCGGTTCCAGTCTGGCCCAGCTGCCAGAGCATACCGAAAACGCAACCGCATAGTACCCAAGTCTCATGCATCAGATGTCGAGCGTGTCAAGCGTTATGGACGTAAGTAACACACAGTGCACTAGCTTTCCAATATGAAGTAATTTGATTTATTTCTAGGCATGTACTGGGTACGACGCATCTACGAGTCTATGATTGACATTTCCAACGTCAGTGACAGCGAGAATTCCATCCACCGAACGCGGTTCATGAAGGAACCAGCATTCAATCCCCTGGATCTGGAAGCCGCGGCACACCATGTATTCGATGAGTCCTTGGCTGTACACGAGCGAGGCTGGGTCCGACCCATCATTTACCACAAAAAGGTGGTACGCGGCAAGCTCACAGACGTCAGCGAGAAGTGCTTGGAGAGGCGGCTAGCTCGCATCTGTCTTTGCCTCCAGCAGAAGAAGGCGACGGTCGATGACGCCGTTCGTGGAGGTGTGACTCTTGCGCTTTTGTGTGATAATCCAGAGGCGAGAGGCTTTACCAAGCTCTCCAATAACACCGGTAACGCAAAGCGTGGAGAGCGACTGAGGGCCGCCAAGGAGGCGGAGGCGGAAGCGGAGGCGGAAGAGTCTGAGGAAGAGTAACCATGAGTATTGGTGATGATGATGGAGGCGATGGATGACGGATTGGCGACGAGGAACTGATCTTGGCTGGATGCCAAATCTCCACTGCTGTTCGATACCCGTTCCCTTTTTTTTTGGCTTTCTGCTTTGGCGGCTGGCCCGCGCAAGCATGAGGCCTTTATACCCGTTCAATATCAACTGTCATGTCACATATTCTCTCCAAGGCTCAGTAGAACTTGACTCCGCCGACGCTCTCGACCTCTTGTTTGGGCAAGTCACTCTTTGCTGTTTCCTTTTTGTCCTTGCCCGAAGTATGGGCGGCCTCTTGCATAGCAGCATCTCTCAAGGCCTTCCTCTTCTTCTTGCTCTGGAAAAGAGCCTCTTCGTTCTGGATATCTTTCAGAACTATGACATGTCAGCTTTCACCATATCTAGTATTGGTGTCTGTGAGTGTCGACTTACCCTCAGCCCATTCTCTCTCGTCTGCTTCATTGCCCGTTCCCAAAGCTGCTTCAACCGAGACGTCTTCCCCCTTTTGTACGCGCTCAATGGCCTCCCTCAACACACCAAGCTTCGCTTCGGCTCTACGAAGGTTGTGTGCCCTCTCCTGCTTCAACCATAGTATCTGAATGGCCTGGCTGCCGACAAGCAGTCCAAGAATAATGTACGGGGTAGCGGGGTTCCATTCTTTGCGCCTAGGTTGCTCGGAGCGGGTCTTGAGTGGCTTGGGTATCAAGGAGGCCCAGAAGCTCGGCTGGACAATGCGGGGGATAGACAGGAAGCGTGAATGCGGCAGTGGGGGTGCTAGCATGGCGAAAGCGCGCGCATGGGGACGCGTAGGCGCGATTAGGGCGGTTCGATGTACTACCGGCATGCGTAGCAGCTGGCGGAAGAGACTGGACGGGTCCATGACTAGACTTTGCTTCAAACAGGCGGGCTTGAGGCGCGTGGGATGAAACTTGTGCTCTCATTGCCCTCCGGGGATATTTTCTGATGCAGTGGCTCGAAGCAGTTAGCGCTATTGGAGATGCCGAGGTCCCAGTGCATCTCACATAGTGCTTGATCAGTATCATGTCTCTCTACATTCACAACACTCGAATATGGGCAGTCTTGCACGAAAATACAGCGCGAAGGTCGCCGCCGAGAGTGGCGGTAATGATGTCCTCTCACCGTTTCAGAAAGTCCAGCAATGGGTCTGTGATCGCCGTGAATACCTTCCAGCAAGACCCAAGGCTAACAGCGAACATTAGTTTGACGCAATAAGCTCCAGCGACGACTACGACGCATGTTGCCTTTTAAACTCGATAATGCGGCTCTGATACTTTTTTGTAGGGCCACGATGCTATCCTTGCGCGCATTCTTAAGCTCGAATCTGTAACGTTTGTGCCATCAAGCAGCAATCCTCACGACTCGCGCAACGTTATGAGCTTCACTGTGCCCAGACAGCTGTGTAATGCGGGTGGTACGCTTCATGGCGGCGCCGTGGCTTTAATCTTTGACATTACCACGTCAATGGCCATTACACCGTGCAGCCGCGAAGGATTCTGGGATAGTGGGCATGTCTCACGCAACCGGTAAGGTGATTTTGCGAGAAGAGTTGTGACATAATTGCTAATGCTTTGATAGTAAGTGCAACCCGACGAATACCATCGACCTTGTGATATCCAGAGGCCTGGAGAACAAAACTTAGCTAGAACCTTGCTAATTACTTGCTTGACGTGTTTGAAGTGAACACGACCTACTTAAGACCAGCAGCTGAGGGTACAAAGGTCTTTGTCGAGAGCTGGGTTGTTCATCTCGGGAAGCGACTGGGTCAGACGAGGGGTTTGATGAGGCTGGATTCTGAAGACGGCAAAGTTTGCTATACCTGCGAACATGGGAAAGTGAGCCTGGGTAGTTCCGGTCTGTAATTTTAGTGAGCTTAGATGTAAATGCTTATCGGTAGTAAGACTTGCACCTTTAACAGGAACATTATGCTCATGTTAGATATGAGAGACCACAACTAAAGCACCCGATGAGAAAAACAGATGCAGTAGGCCCTTGGTTCCCGATGAGGGTGTTGCTAAGAAATGATGTGACATGTGGTGAACGGATGGGGGTCTCGCGACTAGTGGGCCCTGTATGTCATACGCAACCCAGCGCCAATGCATAGCTGCCATGAGTATACGGCTCCCAACTACACCCGCGACTTCAACTACAACCACCCCCGCATATAGCCAATCATTGCGCCAATGGACCTCGGAGATGAAGAGAGCTCCCCGTGGGGAGGTATGTGTCTATGGTCTAGGCGACGATACTGCGCAAAGCTGACAGGCTTCCAGATGTGCCCTCGCGGTCGAGCCCTGCGCCGAGTGCTTCCAAGGTAGAGCAGAACGACACGCTCGATACCAACTCTCCCACTCCCTCTGCCAAGCCAGCTGCAGACTCTGCTCCTACCGCCGCCTCTGCTCCGCGCTCACCCGCAGGACGCGGTCCCCGACGGCGGCAGTATGGCCTGCAGTCGACCAAACTCGAGGCTGTCGATGATCCGTTGGGCCCTCTAGGGGCTCCCTCGCCCACGACAGGCACCGAGACTGCCCCTCCTGCACCGCCTCAGAAAGAAGCTGCTGCATCGCGCACCACTCGACCCGCCCCGGGCGGCGCCTCTACGCCTTCGCTAGGCGGCATGATGGACTCCGTCGACCTCGACGACGACAACGACGAGCAGCCACCCTCCTCTCATGGAGCCAGAATACCGCCTCCAGTCCAGGCGCCGCCTAATACCGCGCCCCAGCGCCAGACACAGCCCAGCGTCAGCGTTGAGCAGGCCGCGAAGCCCTCCTTTGCCATTTCTGTAGGCGACCCTCATAAAGTCGGTGACCTCACGAGCTCGCACACAGAATACTCCGTCACTACCAAGACGACGTCCAAGGGCTACCGCAACCCCGAGTTTACCGTCTCGCGCCGTTACCGTGATTTCCTTTGGCTGTACACACAACTGCACAACAACAACCCCGGAGTCATTATTCCTCCACCGCCAGAGAAACAGGCCGTCGGCCGCTTCCAAGCTGACTTTGTAGAGTCGCGACGCTCTGCTCTGGAGCGTATGCTTAATAAGGCGGCTGCTCATCCAGTGTTGCAACACGACAGTGACTTGAAGCTGTTCCTTGAAAGCGATGCCTTCAACATGGATATCAAGAACAAGGAGCGCAAGGATCCCGGTCTAAGTGAGAGCAAAGGCATGTTTGGCTCCATGCTCTCTGGTAGCAGCGGTAAATTTGTCGAACATGATGACGTACGTATAACAATTTCTGTGATAAGTCGACATGCTAATGGTACTGCAGTGGTTCCATGACCGGCGTATCTATCTCGATGCTCTTGAAGCGCAGCTAAAGGCTCTTCTCAAGGCTACCGATGGTGTGGTTACACAACGGAAAGGTCTAGCTGAAGCTTGTGGGGACTTCTCGGCTTCCCTACATTCTCTATCCGCTGTCGAGTTATCACCATCTTTATCTGGACCGCTTGATAGTCTGTCCGACATCCAGATTCGCATCCGTGAACTCTACGAGCGCCAGGCCCAGCAAGACATACTCACCATGGGCATCGTGATAGACGAGTACATTCGGTTGATAGGGTCCGTGAAAACCGCGTTTCAGCAGCGACAAAAGGCCTATCATTCCTGGCATTCTGCCGAACAGGAATTACAGAAGCGGAAAACGAACCAGGACAAACTTTTGAGACAAGGCAGATCACAGCAAGACCGCCTAAACCAACTCAGTGCCGACGTTGCAGACGCCGAGCGCAAGGTTCATCAAGCAAGGTTGCTCTTTGATGATATGGGCCGACTGATGCGCAGCGAACTAGAACGTTTTGAGAGGGAGAAGGTTGAAGACTTCAAGTCAGGCGTAGAAACGTTCCTGGAAAGTGCTGTAGAAGCACAAAAAGAAGTAAGTTTATGCATCACATCAAATTCTACGGCTTACTAACTTGCGTCCTAGCTTATTGAGATTTGGGAGACTTTCTTGATGCAATTAGACACGGATGAAGGCGATACTTTCGTCCCTCCTGCCGGTGTAGTTGCTTCATCGAACGTCGAACAGACAAGTCACAGCTCCACCAACAATCAAGAGTCAGAGAGACTAGAAGCAGGCAAGGAAGGTGTGTCAGGAGACCAGGACTAGAGAACTATATTGAATATCAAGCGGTAAATTTGTGGCAAGCGCGGGAGCATTGCGAGGGTTGGCGCTCAAGTGATCGGGACTATAATAGCCCGATTTCGGTATTTCCTGCACGAGGTAGAGATGCTTGCTAGGCGGTGTCAAGTGAGCCGCATGTGGGTCACTGGGCAGCTCGCAGGTTGCATGGAACATCTCCTCATGTGGAATTGGTACGATCATCGCAAATACCCTCACTCATACTGAACTGCCTGATGGCTGTTTGATTGTGTATCATCGTGCTTTGACTCCGGTCATCTACAATCGAAATCTCAATCGCTTCGCGCTTGGTAGCTTGACGTCCTCTTGCAGCCCTTCTACCAACATGCCTAAAACACGATAGTTAGTGGCACGCGTTCATCAGCTCCAGTTTTATGCTTCCTTCGGCGTGGCGTTGCATTTCGGCTCAGGCGCGGGGTTGACAGAACACTGGCCAAGTAGGCGCCGGCAAAAGAGGCGGTTCGCAGCCGGCTAATTCATTGCGGGCAATCGCCTACATCTCGTCTTTCAAAAGCCCCGTATATAGCTGAGCAATCGTGCAGAGCGTGTCGCAACCCACACTGAGAAAAGTTTCATACAGCCATCATGCCGTTAGTTCGTAACCCTATCCTTCCAGGTTTCAACGCGGACCCTTCCGTTTTACGTGTTGGCAATGACGGTAAGATATCGCAATGTTCCGTATAAGTAATCTGAGCTAACTAAATACCATAGTGAGTATTACAGTCTCTACAACTTCTTCTCTTCCACAACGGTAGTACCTTTTGAGAGAGTCATATCATGGGGTGCTCTGATACGACCAGAAAACAACTAAACTTTGGATTTCAAGACTAGCTCATGGTATGAACTGACTATGTGAAATCAGTATTACATTGCAACATCCACATTCGAGTGGTATCCGGGAGTACAGATACACCATTCCAAAGATCTCGCCAACTGGGAGCTCGTGACACGCCCTTTGAGTAGGAAGAGTCAATTGGACATGCGGGGTGACCCCGACAGTTGCGGTACGTACTCGATCAAACTTGACTACAATCGCGCCCTGTTGTAACAGACTTCAAGGTGTGTGGGCCCCTTGCCTTACACATGACGGCAGCAAGTTCTGGCTGGTGTACACCGATGTCAAACGCAAGGATGGCTCGTTCAAGGATACGCCCAACTATATCGTCACTGCTGATCGCATCGAGGGTCCGTGGTCTGACCCCGTTTACATCAACTCCTCGGGATTCGATCCATCTCTGTTCCACGATGACGATGGCAAGAAGTGGTTTGTGAACATGCTACAAGACCATCGGCGGCGTCCACGATTCTTCGCTGTTAGTATATATTTCCCATGACCAATCGCTGTGACAGAAACTGACCTCGTGTATTTATATGCAGGGTATTAGGCTGCAGCAATACGATGCTGAAGCGAAAAAGCTTGTTGGCCCATGCAAGACTATCTTCCCTGGTACTGAATTGGCTCTTGTGGAAGGCCCCCATCTGTACAAGCGGAACGAATGGTACTACTTGTTGACTGCTGAAGGTGGGACAGCATATGAGCATGCCTGCACATTGGCTCGATCCCGCGATATTTGGGGTCCATACGAACTTCATCCTCAAAAGTACATACTCACTTCCAAAGACGCACCACTAGCGTCTTTGCAAAGGGCAGGTCATGGAGATTTGGTCGACACTCCAGAAGGCAAGACGTACCTTGTCCATTTGGCCGGTCGTCCAACAACCCAAGCCCGTCGTTGCGTTCTTGGGCGTGAGTGTGCGATTCAAGAGGCATACTGGGACAAGGATGACTGGCTGTATGTCAAGAACGGACCCGTTCCGTCTCTCCATGTCGAACTGCCAGCACAGCGCGACGACAGCTCCTACTGGTCTGAGCAGCGCTACCTCTTCGATGGTAGCGACAGTCTCCACAAGGACTTTCAGTGGCTCCGTACACCAGAACCAGAACGTATCTTTAGCATCAAGAATGGCCTGCACCTCGTTGGACGCGAGTCGATCGGGTCCTGGTTCGAGCAAGCTCTCGTTGCACGCCGCCAAACGCATTTCTCATACGATGCCGAAACAGTCGTCAGCTTCAGCCCAGACGACGAACGCACATATGCAGGTCTAACTGCTTACTATTGTCGATACAACTTCTTCTATCTGACCGTCACTGCCGACTCTGACGGTCAGCGCGAACTGCTCATCCTAAGCTCGGAAGCTTCATGGCCGGACGGAAATTTGAAACTTCCACTCGCAGATCCGGTGCCACTTCCACAAGAGGGCAAGGTTAGATTGGCGCTGAGTATTCGGGGGAAAAAACTCCAATTTCGCTACGCGCTGGAGGGACAGTCGGGTCTGACGGACATTGGACCCGTCTACGATGCTTCCATCTTGAGTGACGAGTGTGGCGGTCATCAAGCGTGAGTTACTTGCTTCTTTTTGTTATATACCATGCATACACTGACTGCGCATATACAGACACGGAAGTTTTACTGGCGCATTCGTGGGCATGGCAGCATCTGATATCAACGGCACAGAGAAGGTAGCGTCATTCGACTACTTTCTATACACACCTGTAAAGCATAGTACGGACCGCTACGATATGTGATAGGACAGTACGTCTCTGTCTACGTTTCGGCGTGGCATAGCTAGATTTAATATCGAAAATGCTCTGCTTGACATTGTGCACACACATAAGTCCGTAATCTCATCAGAAGTATGTGCCTGCAGCTTGGCTGAGGCATCCATTGCAAGAGGGCACGAATGCGTGTTAGACACGATGTGATAACGGGTAGCGTTGATACAGGATCGCGGCTCCAAGTGTTTCAGACCAGCATCCGTAGCGCTCCGCTTCCTCTAGTTTGAACTATTGGAAAACCGTAACATGACTCGTGCAGGACTTTGGCGTTACACCAGTGAAGAGATAGGGCTTCAAGTGGGGCCTTTTCCAAGTACGGGCTCGACATGTTGTACCAAGTGCAGACACAGTATGTTGAACTCGTACAGTCCAGGACTGAACAGTAATTTTAGCCTGATACCGCTGTCGTTCATATGTCTGTGTCGCAGATATCTTCGTCCTGACCCCTACGTCTCAGCATCGTTTCATAACATGACCACGATAGACTACATAGAGGTACTCGAACCTCAACTTTTCAAAGGCTATCGAATCCATCCTAAATCTGAATAGAACCAGCTGCACCCAGCTTGCTAGTTCAGCCCGCGCGGTCTCATCATATACGCAGACGTCATCCAGCAGCACCATTTCGACCACAAAGCCAGCACAGGATGTGGGCACCGAACCGCGTACACCCGGGTGCTAAACGGACTTCATCTGTCCATTCAATCGTGTCTTTACAGTCAGGGAGCCGTCCCGTATCGATGAGTTCGCCTCAGATGCAGAGACAATCGAGGAGTTACGAATCGGACAACTACTCTGACCTGGGTTCAGAGGACGAACAACCGTACACCCGACGTCCGCAAGACACGTCAATGTCAGCCATGTCGCAAATGCAGCGACAACAACCTAATTCCACAGCGAGCCTAGTCTCTCAAAAAGTAGGAAACGATGTTGGCTACGCGGTCAACACGGATAGACCGCAATATCAAGACCAGCGAAACTTTGTTGAGCGGCCAGTGGATGATGATGCGACTTCGCGATCCTCCACGCTGGATGGCAATGAAGAGGACGTCCCGTATCCACCCAAGAAATCGTTGGCGCATTCTGCCATAAAGATGAGCCTTACAGGACAGGAACCGGCATCTCCAGCACCCGCGCCGCATATTCCCGGCCCTCTAGAGTCGCAACTTGCTGCCTTGATGTCCAAGCTTGTCTACATTGAACAAGCGAACCCTATCATAACAGTCAAGCCTGAGGAGTATGAGCAAACGATGGCGCGTTTGAAAGCGTTGGAAGAGGAGAAGAAGCTGTGGTGGAAGCGACACGAGGCCATCTGGAGCCTTCGAGACGAAGACGTGGAAAACAACATCAAGATTCGCGTAAGTGCAAGAGATGATGGATTGGCGAAAGCAGCGTGCTAACATGTTGTGTCATGCAGGGATTACTAGCTAGCTGTCGACGCGAACTAGACGCGACCAAAGCGCTACGCGACGAAGATCTTCTAAACGTGCAGATTGTACGGAGCAAGCTTGCGGAAAAGACAAGAGAGGTGGAGCGACTGCATGCACAGACTGGACGCAGCAGCCCAGGCCGAGGGCGTCCAGGCAGCTTTCTCGAACGGCGCGACACAACAGATCTCTTTACCGCGGCCAAGGTGGCAGCCCTCGAGCAACGAGCTCTTGAACTAGAAAAGAGGAATTCGGATCTAGTCGCGCAATTAGGGACGTCGCGAGGTGGTAGCATCGATGACCTGAACCGAGCGACGGCTCACCAGGCATGGAAAGGGACAGTTGCCGATCTCGAGGCAAAGATCAAGGCCAAGGACGCTGAGCTGTCGCGGCTACGGGGCCAGGGTGCCTCTGCAGGAAGCGGGCAGATGGACTGGTACCGGATCGAGGCCTTGCTCGAGGAACACGCAAGCTACCGTGAGAGCATTGGAGGCAAGCTGCAGGCTCTCCGGTCAGAGAAGGAGGGACTCATGAGAGATCTGCACCGCAAGGAGAACGAGTGCCAAGTGTTGGAGCTCAAAGTGCAGACGCTGCAGCGACGGGCAAATGTAGTGTGATGGAGGCTGTATAATTCCAGGAGCGAGTTGATTGCCGAATACCCATGAATGCATATTTTTTGGTTTCAAATGCGGAGTCGGAAATCGCGGTGGCGTCAGCGTGCATGAGTGGGGACGGTGAGGCTCTCTGAATGGTGGCTGACGTGGCTGGTGTAGTCAAAGCTTAGCCATGCCTTGGTCGGTACCTGGCAAACATCGTCATATCATTCCATAGTCGTCGAGCACATCCTGCTTTCGGCTAACTCGACAGCGTACGGCAGGCTCAATCCGGATAATGACATCGTTTTGCTCTGCGTCGTGCAGTGGTTAAAGCCGATCATGTCTCCCAATTTTCCAGTGTACGGCTCGCGCTCTAGCCTTCATCGCCCACCATGCAGTCGGCTCTCGTGTCCCTCCTAGCAATTGCTAATGCAGCCACCGCACAGGCAGCCTATTCCTTTGACCCGTTGCAGCATCTTGCCGGCATTGCCCCCTACTTTGAAGATCCGCGTCTCGACCCAAAGCCACCCCAGGGCTGCAACGTGACGCGCGCCTCGTACCTCATCCGCCATGCTGCCATCTATGCGAATGACTTCGATTTCGAAGAGTACATTGAGCCCTTCACCGATAAGCTGAAGAACACAACGGCAGACTGGCGAAGCGCGGGACCTCTATCCTTCCTGTCCAAGTGGCAGACACCCATCAGCGATGAAGAGCTAGAGGACCTCACTTCCGTCGGGAGGCTGCAATCGTATAAACTGGGAGTCGACGTCCGTCTGCGCTATCCAACTTTCAAGGACCCTGAGCATGTATGGACATCAACGGCTGAGAGGACCGAGCTCAGCGCATCGTCCTTCATCGACGGCCTAGTGGCTGATAGCAACAACACCGAACGCGTTTCCGTGCGCGAAGATGCTGCCCGGGGCGCAGATTCTCTGACACCCTACAAGGGCTGCCCCAAGTACAGCTCTTCCTACGGTAGTGAGCAGTCATCTGTACGTATCTCAAGCGAGAAAACATGACACCGACTGACTTTCCTGTAGCAATACCAAGAAATCTACACCAAGCCCATCGCCGAACGTCTGAATGCGTATGCTCCTGCCTTCAACTTCACCGCCGACGACATTGTGGGAATGCAGCAGCTGTGCGGATATGAGACTGTCATCCGTGGCTCATCCCCATTCTGTTCCCTTGACCTCTTCTCCCAGGACGAGTGGCTCTCGTTCGAGTACATGAATGATATCATGTATTTCTACAACACCGGTTATGGAAGTCAGCAGCTGTCGGGCGCCCTCGGCCTTCCTTGGCTCAATGCTTCCGCCGTCGAAATGCTCGCCGATGAGGCTGATCAGGATCTCTACGTCTCTTTCACGCACCGTGAGTTGCCTCCTACCGTCATCGTCGCCATGGGCCTGTTCAACAATTCCGCCGATTCCGGATCGAATAACCCCAACGCCACAATGCCGCTCGACAAGCCCAACCACGCAAGAGCATGGAGGTCGTCAAGAATCCTACCTTTCTTGTCCAACATTGCCATTGAGAAGATGACATGCGACAGCTACGGTTTCTCTGCTGACGAGTACTTCCGGGTTCTGGTTAACAAGGATCCCCAACCGCTATCTTGTGCTGATGGACCAGGAGAGAGTTGTTCCAAGAGCGCGTTCCAAGATTTTATTCAAGAAAGGGCCGCACTTTTTGGTGGATTCACCGAGGAGTGCCAACCAGAGTACTCAAACTCTACTGACATTCTCACTTTGTATAACTAAGACGATGCTTTGTGTCGCGATAATAATATTTTGTAATGTTCCAACCATGTTTCGCACAGCAAGTATTGAGTGAAAAGTGACGCTAGTGGGCTCGGCGATCGCGGGCACTTGTTGAATCGTTGACGATTATCGTGAACTGGATAACGCTCAACATCACATCATTAGACAATTAGGTAATTGATGTTCCCAGTGATGCCAAGTCTTGGAGCATGTCCATGTTCCGCCGGCTTCCGCTGTACCATAGTATTGGGGTGGGTAGCAATATCTGAAGTTTTGAGCTACACCGGGGTGGCTTGACAGCTTCAACATCGTATGCAGGGGCGTAGGAACACGTAAAGCAAGACTCATGTTAGTGTTTGGACAGCAAGACGCGTTCACATGCGAAACACATGTGCCGATGCGATTCAACAAATGTTCAAGGTGCAACTAGCCCTATTGATTTTTGTAGACGTCATGACTGGTAGATTTGGTGCACTGATCCAGGAATACCCGAGCGTGGCGCGCTACAGCGCGTCTTCTTTACAACGCTCATCGCAATTGTGCCGCTTCTCACACATCTACCAGTCTACTAAATGGGGGAGCATATCGAGAACAAGGGCACGCGCCCTAGTGCGATCGTCGTTGGTGCTGGTGCCGGAGGTGTCGCGACTGCAGCGCGACTTGCGGCGGCAGGCTACAAGGTCACTGTAGTCGAGAAGAATGACTTTTCTGGCGGAAGATGCAGTTTGATACATCGTCGGGGATATGTAAGTCGACAAATGTGAGGTGCGTTGCACCCCAGCGCTAATCGCTACGCAGAGGTTCGACCAAGGTCCGAGCTTACTACTCCTCCCTCGATTCTTCCACGAGACATTCGAGGACCTTGGAACCTCACTCGATGCCGAGGGCGTCAAGTTGGTCAAGTGCGAGCCGAACTACAACGTTCACTTCCATGATGACACTACGTTCAAACTTTCAACCGACATCTCCATCATGAAAGGTGAAATCGAGCGATTTGAAGGCAAAGATGGGTTCGAGCGGTATCTTGCTTTCCTGCAAGAGTCACATCGCCACTACGAGGTGTCTATCATCCATGTGCTGAAAAAGAATTTCTACTCGTTACTAAGCATGGTTCGCTTCGATTTCTTGTTGCATCTCTTCGAACTACATCCGTTTGAGAGTATCTACTACCGAGCGAGTAAATACTTCTGGACAGAAAGATTACGGAGAGTCTTCACCTTTGCGAGCATGTATATGGGTATGAGCCCGTTTGACGCTCCAGGAACCTACAGTCTACTGCAATACACTGAGCTGGCTGAGGGCATCTGGTATCCCATTGGCGGCTTCCATAAAGTCAGTACGTTCCATTGCAGGAAATTCTCTTACTAACCTGCGCAGGTGGTAGAATCTCTTGTCAACGTAGGTGAGCGCTTAGGCGTCGAATTCAGATTCGATAGTCCGATCCGCAACATACAGCTATCAAACGATGGGAAGCGTGCAACTGGCGTTGTCTTCGAAGACGACAGCAAGGAACCGCTAACAGCTGACGTTGTTGTCTGTAACGCAGATCTGGCCTATGCATACAACAAGCTTCTTCCGTCCACCTCATTCGGACGATCTCTCTTGAAAAAGGAAGCTTCTTGCTCGAGCATATCTTTCTACTGGGCTCTGGACCGGCAATTTCCCGAATTAAGCGCTCACAACATCTTTCTCGCCGAAGACTACAAGGAAAGTTTTGATAGTATCTTCAAGAAGCACCTGATACCAGATCAACCGAGCTTTTACGTCAACGTCCCGTCCCGCGTTGACCCTTCTGCTGCGCCAGAGGGCTGTGATTCCATCGTCATCTTGGTACCCGTCGGACATTTGGAAAGCGACTCCACAAACTCACACAAGGGCTCCAAGCACACGAAAGGATTGACTCAAGATTGGGATTCTATGGTAGCATCAGCGCGCGATACCGTCATCAAAACCATGGAAGCACGACTTAACATATCACTTGGTCCCCACATCATCGAAGAAACCATCAACACGCCACCCACGTGGAAGTCTACTTTCAATCTCGACCGCGGCGCCATCCTAGGTCTGAGCCACTCCTTCTTCAACGTACTCAGCTTCAGGCCGAAGACGAAGCATCGCAGCATCGAGGATCTGTACTTCGTTGGTGCAAGCACCCACCCGGGCACTGGAGTTCCCATTGTGCTCGCGGGTGCAAAACTAGTCACTGAACAGATACTTTACGACCGGCAGCAAGAGTCTCGCATTCCGTGGCGTCCGTTAGGCACCAAAGAGCCCAAGGCATCGCCAGGTCCGTTGGATCGCACGCAAAACGGACCATATCTCAGTTGGCTCGTTTGGATACTGTTAAGCATCTTCCTCGTGTTTGTAACTGTACCGGGCGCTTTGTACTATCAAAAGGCTGGAAATGGGTTGATGGGCGATTGGTAGTGTCTTGATATGTAGTTCGCTAAGACATGGGCCTTAAAATTTCGCGTAGTCTTGATTGTATCTACATTATTTAATACCCCAATTCTTATTGTCAGCTTGACATGGATCCAAGGATGTGATTGTGTGCTGGAAAAGAAGCACAGACGGTACATGTTGGCTATGGCCTGTAGGAATTGACACATGGTGATGGATGGTTGGGAGAAAAGATTTATTAGGTTGCTATCAAAGAGGGTATCCCGTGCGTAATTCTAATCCAATCTGCCTCGCAGTCATTACATTATCATTACCATATTACAACTTCCGCGATGGCTCCGATTTGTCTTCCCCATTAGAGATCTCTATCAAAACAGAATTCAGGGCTCGATCTAAACAGTGTTGTCGACGTGAGGAGCGGTTCCATTGTAGCCATCAGGGTGGGTAGCGGTTTGGCCGTTGTTCAAGGCCTCAGGTTTGCGCTTCTCATGGACCATAGCATCACCATCGTAGTCTCGGATGGAGAGGCCGAGACGGGCTGGGTCAATGTCCTTGTGGCCCCACAAAAGGAGGGCGCCGAAGCAAGGCTTGGCTAGGAAGTCAAGTACACCGTAGAAGACGGCTTCACTGTCGGGGGCGATGAGGTTGCTGTTCCAATGTTAGCGACTGTATGATTGTTTGATGCTTTATACCTCGGGTTGCAAACTTACGCGCCCTCACACACTCCCCATGCAACTGGATACAAGATCCAAAGCAGAGCCGTCAGGCTTCCGCACATCATGAAGGTCCTCTCAACATCGCGGCCGAAGGATTTGGCATGGATACGCGATTCCCATACTAGATGGTAAACGATGTAGAAGAGAGCAACACAACCTGCATGTTGTTAGTAGTGTTTTGACAAGGGACTTGACGAGAGAGCGAGTAAGTGCTTACCAAAAACGAAATAAGCCCACTTGTAGCGGTTGTCGATAAGGGCACCGATCAGACCAGTAACAATCATAATCTCGTCAACCATGATAACCCAAAGCAGAGTCGGCCATGGCATGCCTGCAGTCAAAAGCAAATCGAGGAGCAGAAGAGGTGTCGTGATGAACCAGTCAATGTAACGGACATAGTATATCGAACGGTAAGTTCCTGCTACCTTGGGGTCACTGCGGGGGAACTCGACTGCAATCGGTGTGAAGCCTAGATTGGATCCCATTGTGACTGAGAGAGAAGACAGATTAGTATATAGCTCGCGCATCTGGAGTCCCAGGTTTGTCTACTTACAGTAGGCGATGCATGCGACAAAGACTACAGCTGCGGTGATGTAGTGGAAAAGACGGTCACGACGCTGTTTACGGTAGGCAAGACCTAGGAAACAAAACCCAGAGAAGCCCATGGCGGCGCAAATCGCGAAGTAGAAGTCGGATCCATGTGTCGTGATGGCAATGTCTGCCGTGGCACCATTGACGGTGTTGTCTATGGTTTGTTAGGAGCATGCCCACAATACGTCAAATCGATTAGGGAAGAAAACATACCATTGAGACTGAGTGCGTTGTTTCTGCGAAAGAGATCCATTGCGAAAGAGGTGGTAAGTTGCCAAGTTGATTGTACGGAACGGAAATGTACCAAGAACGCCTTATTGCAAGCCACCCGGTTGCAAGCCCTGAGTTATATCTTAGGGACCAGCCCACGAGATCCAAACATGCTGTCATGACGACATATTTTGCGTGGGAATTAGAGCTTGATCATGCATATGTCAGAAATCCTCAATCGACCAGGGAGTCCCACACTAGGCCTGGAATATGCTACACAGGCCAGCAACGACCAGTCAGAGCCATGGGTTGTGTTTAGCATTAGCAGTCTCTGATCTCAAAATGGTTGATATCATCGACTGGCTGCTCGGTGTAATAGACATGTCACACTAGGATTACCACCACCGACGCTAAGAGCCACTGAGCATAGTGCCCGGGCTTTCCGTCGCACCACTTGAGTGAAGCGCAAGCAGGATTAAGCTTTATGACGTCGATCTTTTAAGCTTACTTCGACATCGATATGCGTCGGTCACGTTAAAATACAGCTAGCCTAACGATAGCCATTGACAAACTTAGCAGTGTTGATGCAGTATTTTCGACATGAAAAACGTTGAGTGTACCTTCTAGATATGCTGCACCATGGGAGTGACTGCCGGACAGTTGATCATTACGGCACCTCATAGTGGTGTGATATTCTTGTGCACGTACTGCCCAGGCAGGTATCGACCGGTGTCGACAGGGTCGACGATCATCGAACCAGTCAGTGTTTTTTTACGTCAGTGCGATTGCGGGCGTTAAGTATACTTACCGCAAGATCAACAACTACAGGCAAGGATCGGCAACTTCAAGCTTTCATCGAAGCGGGGCAAATCTAGATCCTACAACGTTTGCTAGGGTCATACCTCACTCAACGCTTCACGATTCACGGCGTGTGTAAAACGTGGTGATTGAATACTTTGGATATTAAAACTTGCCGAAAGAGTTTGTAGAGTACGTAAGATGGTGGTAGCGCTAAAGTCGCGAAACCCTCCGATTCATTAAACATGTGGTCCGAACACATAGGCGTCACTAGCCTAAATAACTAAAGAGAGCTTTCCGCAAATTGCTCGATCCCGCCTCGAGTTGCCCATCCGACTCGGATCTCACTGTCGCGACTTCTCGTTGATGAGCAATATCTTCTTCAGTGAACCAGTTTCCGTGCAGGCCATAGGGTATTCTAGCTCCGAGTTGGACCTTGCAAATGATAGTTTGCATGTCACTTGCATCCAAAACCCACAACTCGCTCTCTGCATCTGCTCTACATTCCCCGTTTTCGTCTAACTGATTCTCATTGAAAACGTAGAAGAGTAGGTAACCATCCTTCTCTGCTGTGTCTGCGCAATCATCGGCTACACTCTTGGTCGACGTGCGAGGCACGAATCTAGCTTCCTGACCGTAATGGTTTGGCGGAAGCTTGAACGCTTTGATGGGATCATTGCGATCCTTTGATGCAAGGATCTGGTCCATCGAACGGGTGTCGACGCAGCCGGTGATAGCTTGAGGTGCTGATTGCTCAGCGCGACTGAGTAGAGTCTGCACATCGACTCTCACAAGTATGTCGATTTTGGTTGCTTTGCCTAGTGCCGCGCCAAATGACTCGTCTGTAGTGCTACATCCGTAAATATATCGTGCACGCGACATTTCCGTGACAGGAGACATGGTAGGGAATTCGAAAGGAATGGCTGCTAAAGCAAACTCATGGGTGATGGTGTTAGAAGAGCCCGGAGCGAGAGAGAATTGGTAGTAATATAGCCGACATTGTTCTTCGTCGTCATGCGATATGGGGATGTTGTGATGCGCCCTCGAGGACTCTGGTTCATCGCGGCGTACCAGCAAAGGTGAAGTTTCATCCAAGAGAGGTTTCTCAAGATCTTGCTCATGTTCTTCGTCATCGTACTTGGCAAAGAAAGACATGGGTTTGCTACGCACTGTTTCCTTGCGATCTGGATGTGGGGGAGGTTCGATGTTGCCGGCACTGAAAACCAGAGATGCGGAAGTTAGCCGACAGGCTAGCATGCTGACGGCTGATATATCCCCGGTGCTGTTGTACTCATCCCAAGTGTTGGCTGTGTGAAGTATACAGCAACCTCTTGTCTCGAACCATCGTACTAGTTCAGGATGTCTCCGGGGAAACACACCGAACCTGGCAGGCTTTTCGGGCTGGTAGAAGACGATAGGCTTGTTCTTCGCCAGGTTCAATGGGGTAAGGGAGAGCGGCAAGTCGAGTATGACGGTGTTGTGTCGGGACACACCGAAGTCGTGCATGAGCCGTCCGCCAGAACACCCGGGGACCGCTGCATTGATGATTCTGTTTCCTTCCGAACTGGTTCTCGTCGCGATCGAGCCTTTAGCCGGGAGCAAGGAATAGTGGACATAAGGCGCGACGAAGTTGCAATGGAAAAGAACCATCTCATTGGTTACTTTGTCGACTTTGGGGTGGCCCGTTGTCCACTCTTTCATCCAGCTCAGTAAGCCAGTTCCACCAAAAGCTTCACCCTTGTCGCCATCATCGGTGTCCCGGTCGTGAGGCGCAGCTTCGCCTTCGGCACGATTTCCATCAAACCAGCCAACTGTCTCCAGGCTTGGCAACGCGATGCGCATTGGTGGCCCACTCTCGCATGTTGCCAGTGCACGTCCATCGTGGTATAATATGCTGGTGTTGGCGACGCTGATTCGCTTGATGGCGCGTGCAGAACCTGAGATATGGGTCCAGAAGACGATCAATACAGTACGCAGAATGCGCCAGAGGATGAGCAATAAGCTGGATGCAGGATTGACAAGTGTCGCGATGCTAGGCAGGATAGGCGTGCGGAGTGTCGGGTTTTCAACGGCGGTGCGATACACATCGGTAAGGATGAACTGGTTAACAAAGTTGACAATGGGCTTCGTAGGGTCGGTTTGAGAGCGACTGAACCACACTCCTGCGAGCATGCCATCGCCGTCGAACCAATGTGCCTCACGCCCCAGGTCGGAATTGGTCACGGGATTGCCGCCGTTACGGACATACATGCCGCCCAGCAGCTCTTCTGGAATTCGGCCAGTCCATGAGACAGGCGTGGGAGGACATGTTGTATTAACAGGCGCAAAGTTGCCAGAGAGATATCTGGAAGGGATCAGTCAGGGCCATGTAGGGCATTGAGGAGGGAATTGCAAGGGCAAGCGTACGGGTGCTTTGGCGCTGACTTGCTGTCAGGTCCAGTCTTGGACATTACGGCGATATTGTTGTCTTGGCGGCATTGGAAGACGCGGGTGGTTTGGCTCAGGACAACGGCGCAAGCAATTCATTAGTATAGTGGACTCGATCTTCACATGTCGCCGCGGCCAAAGCAACCGGGGGCACGGTGTCAGGAGCAGGTAGCATGACGCGACAATTCCAAGGCTGCCCGCTTTCTACGGGTATCCGGTTGACGTCTGCTCCACGGCAAGGCTCGTGATGGCGGCCAAACAATCGTGATGTCATATCGAAGCTTGCATAATCACTAGGCTGTTTCGGGCAGGGCGCATCCTTCACAGCCGCCCGAGCAGCGCCGTCTCAACGACATTGCAAATATTCCCCATCATGGCCTCTTTTGCGCAATATCCTGTGCCTGACGCCCGCCGCGGCTTAGTCTGTTCCCCTGCAGCATTGGGTCCATGAGTGACGCCGATTGCACATCTCTCCGGCCACTCCCTTCTGTTTACACGGTGCCATCATGGGCTTCGACTACGCGCTCGTGTACGTGACGCGCCCTCTTCTTGCATTGCACCAACATGGCTGACAGTGACGGCTAGTCATCTCAAGTACACGATCCCCCCGGCCGTGGGGCTCACCTGGCTCTATCGCCCTTTCTTCACCAAACTTGACTTGTACAAGGTCGTCTACCTGATATTGGTTGGTACGCGCATCCTCGCCAACCCTCCTCGTGCTAACAGGCCAGGTTGCTGTTCTGTCGACTATACCATGGGACTCGTATCTTATTCGCACCGGCATATGGAGTTACCCCGCTCATGTCATTATTGGACCCAAACTGCTGGACATTCCTTTGGAGGAGGTCTTCTTCTTCGTTGTGCAGACATACAACACATCGGTTCTGTATCTTCTCCTTAGCAGGCCCACCTTTCAACCCGTCTACCTCAGCCCTGAACGCGGCGCATCCCGCCGTCGATGGAGATTCACCAAGTTTGCTGGTCAGATCTTCTTTTCGGGTGTAATTCTATGGGGATGGCGCTGTATTCAGGATGACAGCAAAGGTACCTACACTGGCCTTATCTTGATATGGGCCGGCCCGTTCCTGCTGATGCTCTGGTATGAAAATCACTACTATACCTTGAAAGCACACTAATTGAAAACAGGACTCTTGCATACCAGTTCATTCTGGCGCTTCCTCTGACCAATACCGCGCTACCCATCATCCTTCCAACGCTCTATCTCTGGATCGTCGACACTTTAGCCTTGCGCAGAGGAACATGGGTAATCAACACTGGTACAAAATATGGCGTGCACTTGTGGGATGGTCTCGAGGTTGAGGAAGCCCTCTTCTTCTTGGTCACCAACTCGCTTATAGTGTTTGGTCAATTGGCGTTTGACAATGCTCTTGCAGTGCTGTACACTTTCCCGACGTTATTCGCGAAGCCCTCCCTGCTCCCATCACCCGCAGTCTTAATGCGCGCTTTGCTCACCCCATGCTCCAAGTACGATAACGCGCGCCTTGTAGGTCTTACCGAGGCCGTGCATCGTCTCAAGCGCAAGAGCCGTAGTTTCTACCTGGCCTCCGCGACCTTCCCTGGACCTTTACGGGCGGACCTGTTGCTACTCTACTCCTTTTGCCGCGTTGCTGATGACCTGGTGGACAACGCTTCCTCTGCCGATGAAGCTAAGGACTGGATATTGAAACTGCGCAAGTTCCTAGATAATGCTTACAGCGATTCTGCGTCCAAGCCTGCAGTAGAAGCTCAAGTCCGGAAAGACTTTCCGGTCGACACACAATCTGCACTCCTACAGCTTCCAGCCGCTAAACTCTCGCACCAACCATTGGAGGATCTTTTACGCGGGTTCGAGATGGATCTTGCTTTCGACAAGGAGCCTATGATTAAAACCACGGAGGATTTGCGCGTGTACTCGGAGCGTGTGGCGGGCACTGTGGCTCAGATGTGCATTGAACTCATCTTCAACTGGTATCCTAGCGCTTTACCTGCTGCAGAGCAACGTACTATAGTAGCTGCTGGTAACACCATGGGCGTGGCCTTGCAGTACGTCAATATTGCGCGAGATATAGAAGTAGACGCTCAGATTGGTCGTGTTTATCTTCCCTTGAAATGGCTTTCTGAAGTGGGATTGAGTTACGACGAGGTGTTGAAGAAACCGGACCACGCGCAAATCGAGAGCCTGCGTAAGCGTCTTCTGAAGGACGCATTCTCTCTGTATGAGAAAGCCAAAGATGCAATCGAGCGTTTGCCAGTTGAGGCGAGAGGCCCCATTCGGGTCGCGGTGGAGAGTTATATGGAAATTGGAAGGGTTTTAGGTCAGGACAAGTTCAAAGTCAAAGCTGGACGCGCTACTGTGCCCAAGTCGAGGAGGATAATGGTTGCTTGGAAAACACTTAATCGTTAATAATATAACTTGCGAGTTTTACGCCTCCAGTGCTCGGAGATAATCTCGGAGATAATCGCCCGGACTTGGCCGCACGTGCAGTATCGCGTCCCGCCTCACCAAGACTCGCACCTGAACTATTCCTCCATCATCAACCATATTTGCGGAAACCCTTGAAAAGTGTGACATGTACCAAAACCGGCTACTGGACCCGACGGGCGCGTCTCTTGTCCCCACTAGCAAGAAGAGGAAAGGTGGGCCACGTATCGTGAACCGGCAGGCAAAGGGCAACTACAAGAAGCTACTTTGGTTCAAACAACCCTGTGAGTAATACCATAGGCCTCTGTCTTGGGAACCATCTGACGTATACAGTTCCCGATAACTACACAGATGAGACCACATTTCTTGACCACCTTCAGCGAAATCCAAGATTGCAGCCATATGAATTTTGGTCACTGATGGGTGACGCCACGGTTATCGTGCAGCATCTTGCAACAGTGGTAATATTTTGTTGCTGTTTCGTGGCCATCATTCATGATAGGGTGTCGCCTGTCGCGATAGTCGGCTGGGCCACTTTGTGCACAGTTCTGGCCTGGTTCTTATGGGATCATTGGATGGGCCAGGAGTTCGAGACCGTTTCCAATGTAGAACCAACACCCGCTTCAGACACAGACAATGCAGGAATGAAACCCTCGCCAGCGCTCTCAGGACGAGCTCAACAGCGTCTGGCAACTGCCAAATCAGCTTTACTGATTTATGCGGCTTTACTTGGGCTTAGTCCAATTCTCAAGTCGCTTACACGCTCCACGACAAGTGATTCAATATGGGCGTTGAGCACCTGGCTGCTCATGATGAACGTTGCCTTCTTTGACTACAGTGGAGGTACGGGTGCACAGTATGAGGATCACTCTTGTTTTGAACGTACGTGCGGCTAAGCCATGTGCCTACAGATTACCAGCTTCGATATCTACGAATTCGGCCATGATGGCGTCGGCTGTTCTTGCCTCGCGCCTTCCATCCACTACGCACGTCTTCTCGTTGACTCTCTTCTCTATCGAAGTTTATGGACTGTTTCCAATATTCCGTCGTCAACTCCGCGCTCGATCTCCATGGGGTCACCTCGCCCTCACCATTACACTGGTAACAGGCGCATGGGGAGGCCTTTTTATCACCTTGACAGGAAGAGGTCGCGGCGCGTTCTTGGCAGGCGCGATCGTAGGAGGTATCCTCACTCTTTTGAGCATGGGCGTCTGCAGTTGGTGGCTCATCGGTCTCCAGAAGTATAAAAATGAGATTCGTGGTCCCTGGGATCCAGCAAGGCCCGTCATCCGACGGCATTGGGATTGAGTTCTTTATCCACGGACTCTTCTCCATATGAGTAGCGGTTCTCGCAAGCGAATAATGAACATGCTCCATTCAGGGGCCAGACCTCCGTGCGATTGTCAACTCCTGAAGCTTGTGCCCATTGCATAGCAACGCTACTTTGTAGGCTCGACTTCGAGAGTACTTCCAGCTGTAATTTCCCGTCCTGCCGTAACCACTTTACAAGGTTGTCGCTGGAGTTTCCAGTGACACACTTGTTCATTCGACTAAGCAAGTCATGAGCTCCAACGTCGTCCCCACCAACGAAATGGACAGGCGACCATGGCAGTTTTCGGTCCATTGCTTTGCCTTTACTAGCTCCAGTCACTACAATCCTATCCAAGCCTCTGAGCTCCGATAGCATGCTTCGAAGAAACTGCCAAAGCTCGCTCCTGAATACGGGCACTGAATGTTGGTTCACAGTCAGCGTATGTCTCACACAAAACCCTACTTGGATACACATACTGATAGGCCATGCCTCTAGATTTACTCGCAAACACTGTAGACCGGCCGCATCGGCGCGAAGCGAACCCAAGGCTTCGTTCTTTGCCAACGCAATGTACTGCAACCACTCACGTGCAATATGAGGGTGATCCGAATTTAGTTCCCGCAGGTCAATCTCGATATCGTGGATACGCGTTCTATGGTCGAGAGGAAGCGCATGGAGGAAACTTTGCATCATAATAAGATTTGAGAAACGAAAGGTATTCTGCGCGAATAATGGACGGCGGTCGATCTCGTGGTAAGTTCGGCGACATGTCTGGAGCAGAGCAGCACCTGGTGTTGTACAAGCCGTTCCATCTTGTCGATCTTTTGGGTTGTCAATCTGGGGATTGATTATGGGGGCGTCGGCAATGAAGCAAAGTCCATAGATGATGTGTTTGATTTCTGCTGGCAGTTGAAGGAGTTCTGATTGAGGCTGAAGATTGTCAGGGGGTGGAATAATGATAGCCATGATTGTGGCAGGGTATAAAGCAAAAGAACGCAATCTTTGGAGATGATATCACATCAGCTATAACTAGAACGTGAAACTGCGTGGCTTGAGGCTGAAAGTCACCGCCTATAAGCCGCTGTCACGCTTGGTTTATCTCTGGATCGTGGCGTTTTGCCGGCACAGCAGATCATCAGCACGAGCTGAAATCTTTTCACAGACCGGATAGCCTAAGCATCAAGGTACCCAGCATTCCCCGGTCATGGTCTGTAAACAGTACGTAGAGTACTCGAAATTTCCATCAAGGGTAGCTAAAGCGGTGAGTTGAGACCCACAGTTTATGTCTTCGCCGATGGCGACTTTGATATCGGCGCATTACGGAGCTGAAGCGGCTCAACATAAGTCTCTGACTGATAGTCGTCACCTTTTTTGCTTTGGCACTTGTCCAACGCCGCGACGCAGGATAAGAGGTATGGCTGTAATGCAACGCGAACGTGAGTGGTGATGTCGGGAAAGCCTCCGTCTCCGCTTCCAACGTGTCAAACCCAACGACACGGGTTTGCACTTTAATGCTACAACATAAACCTACGGAGCTGCTCCACGATGTACTCAGACGCCTACCGGGTTTCCAACTCTAGAGAGGAGTGCGATTTGAGCTCGGATTCTGGCCCCCAACTCGAATATGAGCGAGGCTGAAAGAAGCGGCTATGGTGTGGCAGCTTCCCGCCATCGCAATTTTCGTCGTACCGTGCACTGGACTGGGTTGCACAGCGCGTAACTTGCGACGACCACGCGTGAATTAATATCTGCACAGTCAATTGACAAGTGAACGATCAAGGCCATGTCTTTACGGCCCGACAACAGCACAAGGCGTTCGCGGTCCAAGTCGCCTGGGCGTGGTCGAGAGCGTGCGCGCTCACGCAGCCATGATGGGCGCGAGCCTCAGCGATACGGAGCAGCTGACAATGGAGCTGCAACCCCGCAATATGAGATTAGGCAGCCGGGTCAGCAATATGCGACGTGAGTACTGCGAGAATTGACTCTACCAAATGTCTGCGACAGACATCGTGGGAATTCAACTGAGATATGGCGGCCAGACCAGCGAGCGAACCGATTACCATGGGAAACTACACCGATCTCCCTCCGCACGAGAGACCAGGCTATTCTCAACCCGCCTCTTTCGCCCACCCTGCGACTACGGCGGCCCCTTCTGCGGGAGTCGCATATGCTCAGCCAGGCAACGTCCAGTATGCGCCGACCGCACACAACTTTGCTTACACCGCAGCGCCAGCTTCCCATAACGCGCCCACAAGGACACCGACGACGGCAGCGACGGCGAACGGGGGCTTTCAGTATGCAAACCCGACCCTCCAATACACGGCGAAGCCAGTGGGCAGCAACAACCAGCCGCCAATTGTCCGACACAACTCTCAGAGCAACGGCCAGCCCCCAGCTGTACGTCACAACTCACAGCCCATGAGTCCCTCGTACCCTCCGACAGCACCACTGCAATACACTGCCGCATCGCAAGCTCCTCCACAGCAATCCCAATACGCGACCATGTCACCTCCTCCTCCTCCACCACAGTCCCAATATACGGGCATGTCACAGGCCCCTCCGCCGCAGTCTCAGTATGCGACAATGCCGCAGGCTCCTCAGCCGCCGCCAGCTGATCAGTCCGGCTATCCACCTCCGCCAATGGGCCACCACTCGTCGCGCCCTGACCATCATCGAGCGGCGTCCTATTCGGGCTCAATGAGCGCACACGACGGTCGTAATGTGGTCGAACTGCGTCCACAGGGTCACCTTGGTGCAGGCAATAGACCTGATGAGCTGCGTATGGACAGGCTTTCAGTGAGCGGAAACCGCCCCGATTTACAAACCATCGTACCAGGAGGCATGCCGGGAGGGTTTCCAACGGGACTACCACCGCCGAGTCCTCTGCTCGAAGCTTACCACGGAACCTACCAGTCGATCAGTCCCATGCCTCAGGCGATGATGCTAGATGACGATCTCGACCATCTGCCTGCCCTCGATACCCTCTCCCCTCGGGCTTCTGGTCATTCTATGCATGGCCGTCATCGTTCTCATTCTAGTGCCTCGAGGCGATCGCCAAGCCCATCGAGGTCTTCCAAGCATACCGATAAGCTAGCATTGGCGGCATATGGCCGCGGCGAGAGGCTCCCTGAGAGGCTTCCTGAGAGAAAGGAGCGGAGAGCAAGAGTATACGACGCTACAGACGATGCTCTAGCACTTGTTGACGCTTTGGCTGCGCGAACCCCTGATGTGGATACTATAGTTGATATTCTCCCGGCTCTATCACATGACCAGATGCTCGAGTTGAGAGCTGAGTATAAGCGCCACTGCAAAGTACAAGGCAGGGGTATCAACATCGCCAAGCACATTAAACTGAAAACGTCTGGCAATTTCGGGAAGATCGCCTACGTGACAGCCCTGGGAAAATATGAAGGTGAGGGCTACTGGGCGAACTATTGGTATCAGTCAAACTCGGCGCGTCGTGAGCTACTCATCGAATCGTTGATGGGACGTCAAAACTATGAGATTCGCGAAATCAAGGACGCATTCAAAGACAAGCGTTACAGCGATTCCCTCACTCGCTGCATGGACAAGGAGCTCAAAGCCGACAAGTTCCGAAAAGCTGTGCTAATGGCACTGGAAGGTGAGCGGCAAGAGGAAAGCGATGTGTGGCCGCCCGAGTATCGCATGCGCGATGTCGACAATCTATACAAAGCGATCAGAGCTAGGGAAGGCGGAGAAAGTACCATGCTCAGTATTGTTATCATGCGAAGCGACGCGCATTTGCGCGAGGTGCTGAGGACCTATGAGAGAAAATACCAAGGCAACTTTGCGAGAGATGCTCTCAAGAAGAGCAACAATCTGGTTGGCGAAGTCATTGCACATATCCTCAATGGCGTCAGTAAGTATTACCCGAGACAATCTGCTTCTCATAATATGTACTAATTGCGTGCTCAAGTCAATCGCCCTGCAAGAGATGCAATGCTCCTACATCACGCTCTCATGGACCTCATGGAACCTGCAAATGATTCCCGATCCTCCAAAACAACTTCTAGCAAGCATGAACGTCAACAAAGGGTCGAATTACTCATCTCTCGCCTTGTGAGATTGCACTGGGATCGTCAACATCTTCTTAGAGTCAAGGCAGAATACGAAGACAAGTATGGTCGCGTAGTTGAGGAGGATATTGAAGAGGCTACAAGAGGGGACCTCAGAGCATTCTCTATTGCCCTCTGCCAAACCGCAAGATGACGAGTTTTGATTAACGATCATCTGGAGTAGTGATACCCGAGTTTCTGTAGCCGACAGCATGAAATATGTCAAGTATAACACATATACAATCGTAATTTGGACCGTAATTCGAGATTGTCAATTGGCCGAGTGATCTGGTGACAAGCTAATACCGAGGGAAAACATGATTTCAAACTAGCATCTACGTGATACAAAGCTTCTTTGACATCCACTGACCCGTCTGGAATTCCGCGCCGTTATTGGTCATATGTCGACGATGGATGCACTCTTAGCTTTAGAGGCTCAGTATACTCATGCTGGAAGAAGTCTACTTCCAATCTTCTTCCCGGGTCGCATTTTTCCGGAAGAGGAAGCTCAATGGGAAGCACTTCGGCTCAAGGCCGAGCAAAAAGAAGCTTTACAACGTCAGAATGTCCAAGCAGGTCAAGCTAGGCCACCAACATTACCTCTGCAATCGTGGATTCTACATGCTAGAAGCTATGAAGGTAAGAGAAAATAAGACATGTTGTGGTCGAGCGGTCTAGGACCTACTTAGTCATAGCAAATGCCATTCCAACTACAATCCTCTTATAATCATAATTTCTAATTGTAGTGAGGAGCCGTAACTATACTCTGTAGCGTTTGAAGTAGCGTATATTCACATGTCCACCCCGAAAGAAAGGGGTTTTACCGCCAGTCACTATCGAACCAGCGAACCTCGAGCCTTTTTTTTTACTCTTGTAACGCTACTACCGGGTTGGGTGATTGACTACCTTAGTAGAATGCAACTTTGAGAATCAAGTCTCACCCCATACACGTATACCACACCAAGTCTCAAACCCGTCATATGTGGCATGGTGCACACCACGCTCACTCTCAGACTCGTTTCAGTGCTCTTATAAGACAGACACCCTGTCTCGACTATCTCTTCTGTCACTGCGAAGTTGCGCAGCAAGCTCGACCATAGACTCGGTATCTAGATTGGTACTTGTCAAGGGTCGGCTACGTCTCCTCTTAGGAGCACTACCGAATGTTGGTACGGAGTTCGGGTCGCCGTAATTACTGGAAGCGTTGGATCTGTCGCTTGATCTTAGGTAGGTGAACATGCCGCCCCAGGAGCGGAGGATGGGGCGGAGGAGAGGAAGGGATGCTAGTGAAAGGATTTAGTAACTTGTTCTGATAGTGTGATTCAGCGTAGATGACTAACTTGCAAAGGATGCCAAGTTCACGTCGCAGACTACCCATATCTGGTCGTTGATACCATCGTATGTGAGGTCTTGGTCGTGCTTTTTTCCTAGTGCGATAGTATGAATGATGGTGCAGAGCGCTGAGCCGCAAACCCTTTGATCGTGTTAGCAGAATGTGGATGACGTCGTGTAGAGAAGCCCACAGTAACCCGGATGCAAACATTGCCGCCACAGCAATCTTGCGTGCGGCTGAGATGTGCAGTCTATATACCTCAATGAGCGGACAAAGCAGTATAGCGACTTCAAGGATGAGGTGAGGTATGCCTGCTGCAAACAGCGACAGCATCGGTGTCAGGGGGCATTTGCCTGGGACATCTTTATGCCAAAACTTGCGGATTGGCTGGCACTGCGTAGAGATGAGTGTGACCTTTACAGGTCGACATTTTGTGCTGAGAGCGTAAGGTCGATATTCCGCTTACTCTGACAACGATCCAACCTACCGAGCAGATGAACAGGATTCTGATTGGCTGTCGGATTACTGATAACGAAAAGGTTCTCCAGTAGAAGCCTAGTATCACGAACTTCGACAGCCCAACGGAGAATGTGTAGAACTACATATCCACCCAAAGGTCGAGGAAATAGTGGTACACGATCTCGTCCTCTGGCATGTCGATGTCTTGAAGTGGCCTTCCCAGTCCCCATCGCATCTCTCGCTGTAGTCAGCACTCAGTTGATTGGATCGTACAATGCTACATACTGTAGATGCTGATGAAAGTGAAAGCGCTTCCGGTAGACTGTACAACCGTAAGTATCGTGTCGACTCGTGAGTCAAGTCCACTTACAAAAGCTATCACGGCCAGAATGTCTTCCCATACCAAAGCATGCCTAGATTGACGACGTGCAGCCAGCCGAGAAACCAGCGCAACTGCTGCAGCTGCGTAAGGTATAAGCGCCGCTGCATAGAGTTCAGATTGTCTGTTGTGCCCCATGGTCAGCCACAAAGCGAGTCGTACAGCATTACCATCGGTTGCTGAGAGATGATGTTATGAGACAAAGCGACATGCAAGTAGCTGAGCCAAAGAGAAAAAGGTAGGGAACATGGCACGGTGAATGGTGAAGCTGCGGACACAACGCGGTTTTGCACCTCATCCGTGATACGGGTAGCGACTGTTTCAAGTCAGGACAACCCTTATTCTAAGAAAAACGCAAAGTGTCTAAGCGGTCAGTTGGTGGCCGATAAGCGCAACGCATTTGATAGGGTGTATATCTCTCTCCAAGCGCGTGGCGGCATGATTGCATGGTTTGATCTGGTGTAGATCCTGTTGAATTTAGGTTACTTTGCAGCGTTGCTAACAGTGTCCAAGTTGTTTTGGGGTGGGCGGCACTGCAAGGCTTATTGTTTTGGCAGGCAGTCGCTTAGCATCCAATGAAGATGACTTTTAACAATATTGCCACCCTTCCTTCTATTCTACTTATTGTCTTGTTGGTCACTTCCCATGTCCTACACGTAGGGCTATTACTAAACAGGCCTCTAATATGGACGAATAGAACCATTGTTGATTTCCTCACCATTGACCTCCTTGCCAGGAAGATCAATGACAAAGAACCTGTCGCTATCTGCGGTAGTATGGCCAACGAGGATGTTAAGACCACCAGTTGCGCTCTTTCCTCAGCAGTCAATTGACCCACTTCAGTTCCCATATCTGTCTTGACCCACTTTTACTTTACTGTTAGCAAACAAATCGCATTCCGAGAGGAGATAGGAGCACTTACACCGGGGCAAATAGCAAGCACAGTAAAATCATCACTCTCGAGCGACTCCGCCCATTGTACGGTGAGCATATCAACTGCAGCTTTAGACACCTTGTACGCAGCAGTAGCTGAAACTTGCCCATTGTTGATATGGTCATAGAGCCGAGGCTTGAAGAACTAATATCGCGTTAGGGCTACGTGATCGTGTGAGAAAAGGGAAAAATTACATTTTTGCAATCTTCTTGAGCTGACTGTTCTTGAGGATCAGTAGAAAGGCTCTGGTGACATTATGCGCTCCAAAGACGTTGACGTTTAGCACCTCGGTAAGATCCGTCCTAGTAAGTCGTTAGTACACAAAGTATAGATGATACCCAGCCTTCAGTGACGCACATGTTCTCGATACTACCCTCAGTGTGACTTGGAATGCCAGCGTTATTGATGAGAGCATCGAGGCCCGTATCACCTAGAGAGCGCTCAACATGCTGGGCTGCCTTATTAGCACTTCCCTTCGACGTCACCTCCAGAGGGACAAATTCGGTGCGACCAGCAGATTCAGAATTTTGTCAAGACGCAGCCCTGTGTAAGGGGCTACAATTAGGTAGCTATCGCACAGGTATACTATAGTTGTATTTGATAGACAAGAAATCATAGGATGCTATGTTATCTAAGTTATATACTAGGATTAGCTTAGAGTAACCCTTAACAACACTTAGGGGGTTTAGTCTAAGCGTCATTTAGATAACAGTCGCGTGCGGTTATCTACAATACATCTCTCGTAACCGTAACATTCGTCGTCACTATCACATTATCTTTTCCATCTTGCATTTTTGTCTCATCCGTAGTTCCAGTGGGGGTTAGACTAGCCTTTCGATCAAGAAAGGTCAACTCCATCTCCTCCTCATCTACAGTGCCACCTTCGATACGTGCCGTGTAGGTACCACCTCTGCTACTGATAACCGGTTTTCCGGATCCGGGTTGTAAGTACCCGGTGTTGCTGCGATTCGCCGTGTTCGTAGGCGTTGTCCGGATGATAAGGGATTTGAGTGATGGGAGCGAGACGACGACAACTGCTGTGCACATTTCGGCTGTGCACCATGCATCTATAGTTTTGTTAGTACTAGATAAGAATGATACGAGGACTGAGGTGGGCAGGTGGAAACGTGGAAAAGTGCAAGCTAGTAGACTTACTACCGATAGTATCGGAAACGTTGTAGTCTAGGCTGTATACGATGAACCGAGCAAGGCTGATAGCCATAGTAATAGCACCTAGAGAGAATACTCCAACTAAGCCAATCTTCTGCCGTCTACGGAGCTTCAGGCAGTTGATGATAGAGAAAGGGAGACAGAAGACTAGACAAAACACTTTGTTAGTACAAATTTTACGAAACGAATAGATAAACCACTTACGCAACAAATCGGTACTGATATTCAATGCCCAGTTGATGGTCAGATCTGTGTAAGAGTTCCATGTTGAATTGAGCTGGTTTTCGATCGACCTGATGAATGACGCGTGTCAGCGGATGGTATCGTTGAGTGTTGGAAGTTGAAGTTGCGCCATACAAGTTGTCCGAGATCGAAGGTGCGATGAAAGTATCCGCGAGAAGACTTGCGATCCAAGCGCAGCCTATGATAGTAGCAGTAATGTACACCGATATCCGGAGATGTTTGAATCCCCGTGGAATTAACCACCAGTAGAAAGCCACAAGAGATGCTTTAGGGAAGTATAGTCCAGTGTCAAAGAAGTAGCAAGATACGAAGACTGTCTGCGATAAGGTGTCAGTTAGCTAGTACTCTTGGAAGGAGTTCCAGTCTTAGGTGGTGCAGTTCACTCACCTTCAAGTAATCGACTGAATCCGTTACACCCTCTTCGTTCAATGGATGATTGACCAGGATGTAGAGCGCTTGGGTGGAGCAAGCAAACCATCCCAGTGTGCAAATCCATCCTCCCCAAACGAGGTAATCGGCAATCGCCAGCCGTCGATGCTCTACGTGAAGGCGGATCCAGCATCGCAAGATCGTAACGGCTAATGCAAGACCAACCAAGAGCGCCTGAAGGACCTGCGTTGCATGTTAGCGAGGGCTTGGAGTGTTTTGCTTTTTCGAAGCACTCACAACGGATGTTACTGTCTGCATTCCGTTGGGCAGCTATGCATACCGTGTCCGGTGGAGGTTCAAGACGAACTTCTTTCCGACAGATTGGGTCAAATGGTTTATAAAAGGGACAGCGGCGAGTGTAAGCTTTTTTCTCAACACTGGCACATGCATATACCGGGAACGACTCTGACACAGACTAGAATAGTTTGACATGAGAGACTAGTCGCGTGCATCCGAGGCAGTGGTATGGTTGGGTGCGCTATGTCCCGCATTGGTGCCATGATTCGCATAGTTCCAAGCGGCAGGTAGCGTGTACCCTGTGCTGATCAGTCGACGACCAACGGCATGTCACGTGTGGTTGCCATCCAGATAACAATTCATCATGAATCAGGCGAGAAGGCTTTCTTCAATCTGCTCGTGATATGCTGATTGTCCTGTGTTAGTACTGTATACGTGATAATGAGTCTCTTCGCAAGAAGCAGAAGAGTGCGGCAGCTGCGAGCTATTGATGCGTTATTCTGTAACTTGTAATATAGTTTCTCGGTGACGCCGGTACGTAGTTCTGGAAACGGAGATTGCGATGCGGGACATTAGCGATACATAAAGTGGTGTGAGAATTCGATTCCTGTTTTCCTCACATGGCATCTCGTGAGCGTCAAGGAAGACGGGCGAGGAAAACCCCTGGAATTCTCCCATGGCGTTTGTCCACCACCGACGATTTTGATGGTAACGAGAGATAAAGTCTTCCTGACTTGTAGCGTAGCGCGCTAGGGGCTTCGTGGCTCCGCGGTACTGTTCTCAGCCAAGAACGCCTTCGCGTGTATCGTTGACGGCGGCCTTCTCAGTATTTTGGTCGGTCCTTTTAGATTGTAGTAAGCTAATGCCGCATAGGTGGTCAAAGCTAGGTTTGCTTCAGATGCACAACTAGGTAAGGACCGACTCTCCCTTTTCAGGTAAGGCAAGACGCGTATCGTAGCCACAGTTGCGTAGGATGTTGCTGGCTCGGTGCGAGGTATGTTAAATCTTAACTTGGATTCGATGGCAATCGTGAAATGATCTGCAATTTTTCTAAGAGTGGCGTCTTTCGTGACTCGCAGTGAAGATTATGATCTAGATGGATTTTTGAGAATCGTGATCTAGTTAGTGCAGCGACCACTGCAGGGGATCTGCGCTACGGGAAGATGACAGAGGCTAATAAACCTTATACAATGCAGTCTGTTACCTGGAGTTGGTTTATTCCCGCCGAACACTAAAACACGTTAGGTAGACTCTGCCATCGCTAGCCCAGCTACACTCTAGATGCTTACAGCGAACGGGCTTTTCCGGATGGGTACGGTACCCGTAAGGCACGTTGGGGCAACTAGTCTACAAGAACACGTGCTAGCTAAGCCGCGGCCCCTGTCTTACCAAACTTCGAATCGCCACAACATCAACTCAGCGATTGCTTCTCGGCACCTCTTTGATTCCTCTAGCCCGCCGATCGCGGGTAGAATACCTTCTGCCTCCGCTCAACGATTGTTGTGCGACAATAAGGAAATCCAGATGCCTTATAAAGGTCCAGGCAATTATCATTGCTTCATGAATCCGGTATGCGGAGATCTCCAGTCACGATTCGTTGCTATTTGTGGACTGATACCAGACAAATGTTGAGGTAGTTCATCCGCGTATGCGTGGAATATGTGTGCGAGATTGTTCTGCTGCATTAAGATGCGTGCCCGTTCAAGTCCCCGTCGGACGAGGGGAAGATGGGCCCATGGTCGCAGTACCTCGTATCCGTTCCGGATATGCTGCTCCTGCTTGGTTTCTTCGATGAAAGCGAGAGCTGGATGGTTGAAAGCAATAAGGAGAGTTGCGAAGCACGCAAACGTCCTAGACAGACTTAGTAAGTATTCAGCTTCATCGAGAACAATCACCGTACGGATATAGTGTGAAGTGTGTTCCCATCTTTCTTCCCATGAGTTGCTCGTCTGCTATACTTAGAACCAAGGCTGTACTCTTTATGCAGTGTCGCGCGTGGTCCCTTGTGACCACTATCGTTTCGTGGTCTTGAACGCCTGTCTCTTCTTCACTGTTCTCGAGTATCTTGAGCACTGATGGCCAGCCAAGTACTACGTGTAAAGCGATGTACTGAACCCTTAGGAAAGATTTCCTAGAGTCAAATAACGGCGTCGAATCTAAGGGAAACCGGACGACCAAAGGTAGATGATCGTACCATTCTCGTACTTGTTTACGGAGCTCGCCAATGACTACAGGTGCAAATATGACCTTCCCTGTAACTGAAAGGGGCGTCCGAAAAGTCAGTACGCGCTGCAATCATCGAATCTGCAAGCACTTACAGTATCCAACCACTTCAAGCGTCTGTGTCAAGAACTTTCTTAGGCTGATTTGCGCTAAGAAGAAATAGAAGCCGGAATTCTCCTCTTCGAACTGGGGAAGCGGGACCAGTTCGTGGAAGTGACGCAGTCCAATAGGGTGCATTTTACATGTTGCCTCGAGTCTACACAAAAGAAGATATCAGTTAAAACTCTCACAATCAAGCCCAGTAGTGCAGGCTACACGTGACTAACTCACTCATGGAGGACCGTAGAGCAAGCCCAAAACGCTCGATTGAATGCTTCTTGATCGGATGGGTTGTATCGCTGCATCGTTCTGGAGGACAGAATATGCATGCAGTCACGTGCCGCTTGCGTAATAGAATTCCATGTTTGTAGGGGTCTGATGGCAAACTTGAAGTACGAAGCTTGTAGGATCCGACACTGAAGGGTAGCCAGGTTTCCGATACGAAGCGACAAGTGCTCAAGGATTCTCGAGCCACGTGCAAAGTACTCCAGTCCAGGCGTGAGGTTGTTTGGATTATCATTTCTATCTTCAGAGATTGCACCAAGGGCCAAGATCAAGAAGGCTAGGCATGTTGGTGCACTAGAGTATGAAAAACTATTCAAGTCTGCCTGTTCAAGCGCACTGATACAGGTTCGTTGATCGAAGATTGGTGTCCAACGGAGGAAGTTCTCTACGAACGATTGTTGAAGTCGCCGGCAAGTTCTTCGCGACAAGTCCGCTGGGCGTGAGATGGCTGCGTCACATTCATCGGCTAGTTGTTCACCAGCCAGGATCTCATCATCGTAGAAGTCAGCTGTGTAATCCCAGCTCTCCACATGAATATACGAAGGCGCGCGGAAAGTTGTAAGACTAGGCCTGGGGGTCTTGCCTTCGGTACTTGTCTGTCGATAAGCAAAATCATATGGCACTGGCGTACCGACCGATGGAATAGACATAGTGTTGTTGTTGATCATTTCAATGGCCATTCTATTGGCGCTTGAGTGTCGAGATCTAGGTCCCGGTGGAGGATGGATGTCGCTATGAGTAGACGTGTTAGGTGAGAGCGCTGCAGAGCCGTGCACACATTGCTGCGTAGAATCTAGCCTAGCTTCAACTTGTGCCAATCGTCTTTCAATGCTTGACCAAGCCTCTGGCGGAGGTCCAACAGATTTTGTCCGGTCGCCGACTGTTGGCTTTCGATAAGTGCATTCAATGCCCAGCTCAGTACAGAAGCCACACGACTATGAGTGTTAACAAGGGATATGAGCGAAGGCGATGTTGTCCCACTAACTGGTTTTTGAGCGTCACAACGAGTCTTCCGAAATCTACAGACGTTGCACTAAAAGGTATGAGTGATCCATGTCAGAAGCAAGAGATAGTCTCGACCCACTGCTATCGCTATACGTTTTCTGGGGTAGTTCTCGACAACAGTTTGACTATCCGCTGGGCTTGTGGACGGTCGGCTATCATTTAGTGGTTGTCGCGACTGGTCTGGTCCATAGGATTCATCATGCTTCCGTTTTTCGGCCATGACAGCACCCATCGATCGGATGTTGTTGTGGAAAGCAAGCCAAATGCATGGTGTGGGTGGGCCGCATTCATAGGAAATGGACGTCCGAAGTGGATGATTCGGCTTGCGGGTTCCGTCCCGTGTGGAGACCCCGCATCCTTGTGTCGCCTCCTACTTCGAGCGTGTAATCTGCATGAGACTCATCCTGCACAAGTGACAAGCCAGGTTTGCGACGTGTGTCAGGTGGTTATTACACGATAATGTACATATATGTTACTTCATACGGCAGCCCGTGCCATGTTCTCTTTAGCCTCCTTCTCTTTCTTGCGCTCTTCACGTTCCGCCTTGCGCATAGCCCGTAGATCCGGTGGCTTCTCAATACCCAGCCTAGCTCTTAATTGGTCAATGTCTGTCTCTAGCTCTTCCTCCCAGTAGATGTTGATCACGTCGGCACTTTGTGCGCCGTTCCTTGTAGCCCATGGTCCGTAGACGTCCCAGAAACGTCTCCATTCGGCCTTCTTCAGGGTGAAAGCGCTGAACACAGCCAAGCCAGTCATGGGTAGGCCAGTGTTTGCGAATTCGAATGCTTTTAGAGCAACCTCGCCTTCACGGAAGACAGGAAGTCCTACCAAGGCGTGGTAGAAGTCATGGCATTCGCGATACCGTTGCATGACATATGCGCACTCCTCGTCATCTATGTATTGTACTGCCGCTCGCGTGTCTGGAGAGACGCCTTCGCGGTCAAGCCATGCAGCATATGCATAGCCCAGTGTATTCGGCGGTAGTTTGCGGAGGCGTGGAATATCAAGCGAAGTGGATGTTAATCGTGGTCGGTCGCGTAGTATTCGTCGGCCAGTTGAGTTCAGGAGCATGCGATCGCGAAGCTTGTATATGAAGTAGGGTTGTGCGGTTGCTTCGCCAAAGGATGCGATGAGGTCTGACTTGTGTAAGCAGCGCACCATAACATGAAATCTCTGGATTCCATCTCACCTCCTCTCCGGGGGTCCAAGAAGCTTCCGAGACCCGAACCTATTGCCAGCCCTAACCTCTCCGTACGCGTCAATGGTATGTGGCCCTCATAGTTTGGCGGAGGGCGATTGAGGACTGAAAAGCAGCGAGATGACTGTACAAACGAAGGTGTTTGGGATGAGAACCGCAACGTCAGCTTCTGAAGCTGCTGTATCCGCACATTTCTCGCCATTTGTGCGTGTCAACGAGCAACTGCGCAAAACGTGGGAAAGATGGCTGGCATGGATTCCGAGCTGATGGCATGATGCAATCTTATCGATACGCCACATGCACTAGCCACACCAAAGTCTGTTAATAACCATGACTCTTTGGTCGACTTCCGGAAAGGATAATTGCGCCATCGATTCGCTGATGTACATATACAGATTTCACTATCATTTAAAGCCGTACTACTGATGCAGCTTGCTCAAAAGCCTAGACCTCGATTTGACGCAAAGCAACTTGTAGATTAAACTGGTTGTGCAGCAACCTTCACCGGGAACCTTGAGTATGGCATTCAGTCGTTCCAGTCGATAATTGCTCTGCAGACCTGCCCACTGACGATTTTCAAGATTCTACAGGCACACTAAGTTGAGAGATTTCCAGAACTATCCACTGTAGCCATGACTACAGCACTAGACCCTGGTGAACAACACACCCAATTCGTCGACTGGGCCACGTCCAATGGTGTTGAAATCAATGGAATCGCTCCAGCACGCTTCCGCGGCCGAGGAATGGGTATCGTAGCTGCAAAAGACATCAAAGTCAGTCCCACTCCCCAATTCATCTACCAACAGACCCTCAACTAAATCATCAAGAAAGGAGACAAGCTAGTCCACGTCTCCAATAAATCACTCGTCCACGTCGCCCTCCCCTCCATCCACAACTTCAAACTCCCAGATAATGCCACCGTGCACGGGAAACTCGCTGCATCCTTATGCCTATGGTACAGCGGCCAGGAACCACACTCCTACTACCTGTGGCAAGACGTCTGGCCTACGCAACAAGATTTCAAAACCACTATGCCAATTCACTACCCGTCTTCCCTCCAGTCCCTTCTGCCACCCGCCTGCAAAACGCTCCTCTCAAAACAGCGTTCAAACCTAGAAAAAGACTGGACAACCCATTCCCCCCATCTCCCTTCATCCATCACCAAATCCCTCTACACCTACACCTGGCTGATAGTCAATACCCGAACCTTCTACTGGGAATACCCCGACCTACCCAACGCACACCCCCGCTTACCCAAGCGGCGTGCGAAATTGACCGCAGATGATTGCTACTGCATGTGTCCGTTTATCGACTACTTCAACCACTCCGACAACGGATGTCATCCCCAACACGATAGTCATGGTTACTCCGTAACTGCCGACCGATCATACTCTGCTGGCGAAGAAGTATTCGTCACATACGGACCCCACACAAACGACTTCCTCCTCGTAGAATACGGATTCATTCTCAACGAGAACGTCCATGACTCCTTACCCCTGGATCCCATCTTACTCCCTTTGCTGGACAAACAGCAAGCGGATGCGCTGAAAGAAGATGGGTTCTACGGTAACTACACGTTGTTTGGTGCAGGGAAAGAGGAGACTGTGTGTTACAGGACACAGGCTGTGCTTAGGCTGTTGGTCCTGGATTCGAGGAGGTATTCGGCGTTTGTGTCTGGGGATGATGATGGGGCGAGGGATCAAGCAAGATTGAACAAGTATCTAGCGGACGAGTTGACCAAATATTCGAGGGAGATAGTGGACACGTTGGAGGAGGTTGGGGATCTGGATTTGGGCGGAGAAGACGAGCATGAGCTTGTGGAAGGTCATAGGGAGACTTTGGTGAAGAGGTGGAAACAAATCCGGAGTATCGTAAACAAGGCTATCGAAGCACTTGCATCGTGAAAACTTGCAGGAGAGATTTGATAGCTCAAGGCGCTCGTTAGTCGATCTCCTCAACATGTAACATTGATGTCATGGTCATTGAACTGTGCATACCAAGAGTTCTACTAAGAAGCCCGTTGATCTTTTACGCTTTCAAGACACGCTACTAAACAAAGCTCGACCTACCACCACCTACGCCACGCTACCCACGACCAATGCAGCGACACCTTCTTCCTCGCTCCTTACATCAATCTTCATCGTCACACCAGTCTTAGCACTGAAGGCCATCCGTACCGTAGCAGCAACCTTGCCGCCTGTGATGGTCTTGCCGTAAAGCTTGAGGGTATGTGTTGAAGTTGATAGAGCGACGTCCGTGCCTTCGAGAGGTTGGAGAGATAGAGTCTTGGTAAGTTGCTCGGTTGCATCTGTAAACTGTTAGTCGCGTGTTCCTTATCAGTGACAGCTCGAGACACAAATGACGTACCTGATATGCTCTTCATGTTACCCAACTGCAATGTCTCAGTCGCCGAATCGCCATTCGACTGATCCCAGACATTATCGAAACTGCCCGCATACGCCGGAACGACGTAATCGGCACCAGTGAGATACAGATCCTCAACCTGGTACTCGTCTGGGTACCCATCGCCTTCCTCTGGTTCGTTCGTACTTGGGTCGATCTCCTTGCTTGTGAACTTGAGTACGTTGGTGAAGCTAGCGGCGATGAATTGTGACTCGGTCTCCAGGCGCTTGAAGGATACGTAAACGGTACCGGGCTCGTTGGTGGCGAGCTTCGGCGCTGGAATAACGAATTCCTCTTCTAATTGCACGTCTCCGTCATCCTCTGGTGTGACGACCATTTCCACATCTGTCAACACTGTGTCCTCTAGTGTGTTCTTGATGTCGTATTGGATAACAATGTGATCCTTGAAGATGTGCTTGATGGCAGTGACGACATATTCGGTCTCTGATTCGGTGAGTTCGACGACGTCGCTTGACTTGAGCACACCACCGTGCGCCGCCAATTCTGGAATCTTTTGCAGCTCTGTAGCGTACTTCTGAGCATTCGATGCTGCGTTCGCGGCGGCGTCGGCACCAGCCTTTGAAGGTGCCTTGGCCGCGCTGGGCGCTTTGAGCGTTGGGGTAGCGCCTTCGGTCTTCTTAGTAAGATCGGCCGCGTCTGCCTGTTCGCGAGAGACAGTTGGGATCTTGGTGATGTCGAAGGCTGTCTCGAAGGTATCGCGGGAATCTGAGCTGACGTACATAGCCAGCTGGTGCTCTAGTACAGGGAGTGAGAACATTGAGTCGTTGCGAATAAAGCTGACAGCCATGTCGTCGTCTTCCTGGTCCATCAGACGAAGGCTGAGCGCAGCTCGATCACGCACCTCGTCATCGACATCGTCGAGACACCTTGTGAGGAGAACGTGGACCGACTTCTTGATTTCAGGGTCCTTTTGCCCAACGCCAAACTTGGACAGAGCAGATGTTGCCGCAGCCCGAACAATCGCATTCTCTAGGACTACACGGTTGTAGATGTAGCGGATGTACTTGGTGGGGTGGGGTGTCGAGGGACCTTCGCGTCCAAGAACGAACAGAATCCTGACGGCGAGCTTGGTGAACTCACAGTCTTCAATGAACTCGCAAAGTGTAGCAAGCGCATCTTCCTTAGCCTCGGGTACGAAGCGGATGAGATCCATGATAGCCTCAACAACAGACCGCTTGAATTCGTAACCACCTTCGTCGCGTAGGATGCCGCTGAGGAAAGCAAGGAACCCAGACTGCTTCGCCTTGAACTTCAGTGCCAGCGTTCGGACAGCTTCTACAATGGTGACCTTGAACTCGTCGGTAATCTCAGCCATGAAGCCTGTAATTTGCTTCATCAATCTGTCAACTGAAGACTCGTTGCCCGTCTTGAGGAGTGTGGTAATGGCGAAAGTAGCGATACTGCGGTTCGAGTTGGTGATGAGCGATTCGATATCTTGGTTGCATGATCGGACAGCATCCGGCTTGAAGGAAGCCATTTGCGACAAGATGCGGAGGGCGGCAAACTTGGTGACGGCGCGAGGGGATGTGAGGAAGAGCTGGAGGACGTGAACGGCTTGTACGAGTTCGGCGTCGGTGACGTCGCGCATGTCGCAGATGGCCTTTGCAGCTTCGAAGTTGACCATTTCCGACTTGTGGCGCAACCAGCCGTCGAGAAGTTGCATCATGGGCTGCGAGAATTGTTAGTGAGCCTTTCCCCAGGGACTCGGAAAGATTTACCTTGCGTAGGTTCGGGTCCTCTTCAGCAAGCTTAGCAGCCAGTCTGACCAGCAAGACAGTAGCAGCAGGGCTCTTGACGACGCCAGCAGCCGAGTATTGCTGTACCATCTTGACCAAGCTCATCCTGTCGCCAGAGCGCATTTGGTAGAGGAGACCAATGGCGTGGTACTGTGTCATGTAGTTTGTGCTAGCCTGCAGAGCGGTATGTGAGCCTCCTCCGAATCCTCCCAAGAAACCTCCACCCGACTTGCTTCCCGACGCTGCTTCTGCAGCCTCGGATTGCCATCTTCGAACAACATCCTTGGCGACTGGGAGAAGGTGGTACGAGGAGACGAGGGCAGCGGAGGACACCGAGGGGTTCTTGTCGACTATGCACGTCTTGACGAGACGCTCAATAGCCTGTACAGTAGAGGCGTCAATTACGCGACAGAGGGCGCGGATAGCGTTTGGGCGGTATACGACATCGCTGCCGACGGATGTGTCCTTCATGATAGAGGAAGTGACCATGATTACATCGTCGGCGGAGCCAGCGAGCTCCTTGATGACCAGGTAGACCATCTGGCGGAGCGAGGCATCTTTGTTCTGGAACAACTTCGATATGCCGAAGAAGAGGGTCGTGGCTTCCTGTCGTCCCCAGCTCTCTCCAGTGAAGAGCAGCAGCGCCAGTTTCGTCAGGATCACTCTACATTTCCTGGGCGATATAGGGCTCTGGTTGAATACTCGTGCTGGACAACGTCAGCTTCCCCCACCAACCTTTGGCGTGTATGAAAGTCGCCCTACCTTCTTGGAAAACCGACGTCTTGTCAATCTGGGCGACTCCGCCGGCGTCCTCGTGCTTCTTGTCCATGGTGTTGTAGTGCAGCTCCGAACGGCTAGCTCTCTCCGCAGATGTATAAACTTGTCCCGCTCTTCCTCCGCCTAACGTGGCCTTTTGCGACGGGGTGTGGAAATGTGTCCAAATGCCGCCTTGCAATTGGAATTGGCGGGTGGGGATACGTCGAGGTGTCGGGGGGAAGTCGCTGTGTTGATTGCCTAGCCGTCTAGAATTGGCGACGTTGAAGATGCCCTCGACCAGCGCGAGGGAGTCCACCTGCAGGGATGTCGCCGTGTGGGCTGCTCTTGCATGTTCCAGGTCTTGGCGCCCGGAATGCGCAACTCAATGCGGTGCGGGTATTCAAGGCTCTGCCATCCAACATACACCCAACACACTCACTTACTCGCTCTTCTCCCTTAATTTTTTTTCCAACATTCATACATGTTAAAATGGCAGCCTCAATACCACGATCGCGATGTCTCTTCTCCTCGTCCACATTAAAGGCTGTCCCTCGCTCAAGGACGCCGCTTAGAACTTTTGCCACGACCTCCGATACGCCGCAAACCTCAGCACCTGAAGCTCCTACAAAGCGCTCACGACCACCCACATCTTTTAGCGATACCCTGAATGCCGGTCCATCATTCGGCGATTTCGTCAACCCTGAGGCGCCCCTCTCCCCCGCCGAAGCATACGAGATCAAGACGGTGCAGGTAGGCCCGGAAGGCCGCAAGAAGACTATTACACGACTTCCAGAGTGGCTGAGGACACCGATCCCCTCAAATGCAAACCAAAACTACAAGCAGATCAAGAAAGATCTGCGGGGGCTGAATCTAGCCACAGTCTGTGAGGAAGCAAGATGTCCCAACATTTCGGATTGCTGGGGCGGAAGCTCAAAGAGTGCGGCGACCGCGACAATTATGCTTATGGGAGACACATGTACACGAGGCTGTCGGTTCTGCGCCGTAAAGACATCGAAGGCACCTCCACCACTGGATCCCCACGAACCAGAGAACACCGCTGAAGCGTTGCGGAGGTGGGGGCTGGGTTACGTCGTCATCACAGTGGTAGATCGTGATGATCTCGCAGATTCCGGAGCGCATCATATTGCGGAGACCATTATGAAGATCAAGCAAAAGAACCCGACACAGCTTGTTGAATTGTTGGGCGGAGACTATGGGGGCAATCTCGAGATGGCCAAGGTAGTCGCGAGAAGTGGTGTCGATGTCTTTGCGCACAACATCGAAACGACCGAACGCCTGACACCATTTGTCCGCGACAGGAGGGCTAAGTTCAGGCAGAGTCTGGATGTGTTGAGATCGGCCAAGGAGGCACGACCGGAGCTCATCACCAAAACCAGTATGATGCTGGGCTTGGGCGAGACGGACGAGGACCTCTGGCATGCGTTGAGAGGTACGTCCACACCACCTGACGTACAACCAAGACTAAACTAACATCCACGCAGAACTCCGCGCAAACAACGTCGACGTCGTAACCTTTGGCCAATACATGCGACCCACCAAGCGCCACATGGCCGTTCACGACTACGTCACACCCGACAAGTTCGAACTTTGGCGCCAGCGCGCTCTCGATATGGGTTTCCTATACTGCGCCTCCGGCCCACTCGTGCGTTCAAGTTACAAAGCAGGCGAGGCCTTTATCGAAAACGTGCTCAAGAAGCGGAGACTGGGCAACGCAGGAAAGAGCGAAGTCGCAGATCTTAGTGCTGCAGAGGAAACCAGCAAGACGTTGTAGATATAGAGATGTGGAAATAGGGCTATAGCCCCCACTGCGACGTTCAGGATTACCTCAACTCGATCCTGAGTAGGAGCCTGCTTCAACCAGGCCGTGCAATGTACAACATTTATTCCGACTACATATGTTCTTTGGCAGTCTATACTCGCAGCAAAGCTTGAATCTTGCGACGCCTCATCAAGCGCCAGGTGATAACTAGTCCTGTATTACTCCCTTGTGGAAGTTCCCATTGAAGGGAAGTGCTGCAACTGACAATGCATTCTTACCACGTTTTGCCGTCAAGACTCAAACGCGACTGATCTTTGGAAATCACGATTTCATAAACGCGTATATACAGCCCGTTTCTATAGGCCTCTCATGCAACCAAAACCTGCCTCACTCTCCAGCCCCAAGAAACGCCGTCCAGCCGCTTGCCGCCCCAAGAAATGAAGTGAACGATCGTCGTATGTACAGTAAAAGAGTGCAGCGTATTCGTTGAACAAGTAGAAAAACTAGTCCAGTGCTCTTTCAGGAAACCTGAGCACATGACGCCTTTCCCATAGCGCGCAGACGTCCATGCAGCACTACCATAGGCTAGTCCACTAGTTATTCGGAAAGCCCTCGCGCAGATTCTGGTACTTGCTCGCCGGGAAGCTGAGCAAATTGGTCGACTGATCCAGGTTACCGATTCCACCAACGCTCTTGACAAACTATATAGCCCGTTAGTCGATCTCCTTATACAAACACACATACACACATAGATCGCAACTAGGGAAAAGGGTGCAGAACAGAAAAACGTACCGTAGAGATCAAACTATCATCTCCCGACTTATCACTCGAGCTCTCCCACCACATACCACCACCAAGTCCTTGTTGGCGGATGAACTGGCTTTTCTTCGCAATGATCTCAGGTGTGTCGTAGGTGACCATCGACCTCTTGGTCGGGTCGTAGCACCAGCTGGCGGTTACGCTGTCGTCTGTCTTGATCTCGCAGCCAGGTAGTGGAAGCTTCTTGTAGTCGTATACACCTCGTTCCCAGGTACCGTCACCGATACCCGAGAACGGCTTGCCAGGGCCATCGGTGTTTTCAAAAGAACGACCATACAGGGGCATGCCGAGGACAATCTTATTAGCAGGTACACCAGCGGCGATGTAGTCGCTGATTGCCTTGACGGTACTAAAGGGTGTACTGCTGGGGTTGGAAGAAGAGGACTGCAAGTTAGCCTGATGACCGGCATTAGCATCCCAGGACCCGGCGTAGTCGTAAGCCATCTAGTGCTTGACATTAGCAGCCTGCGCGCGACTAGATGAGTCAAGGTTACTTACCAAGTTCCAGAAATCGAGATACCGGTCCATAGCCCCAAGCTTCATCTTGTTGTAGTTGGTGGGGCCCGCAGGTGAAGCAACGGTCAGGAGCAAGTGCTGACCAGGGGCATGCTCAGCGGAATATGCATCGAGAGCTCGACGAGTCTCCTCTAGAAGGGAAACCATGTCGTTTGCTTGAGCTTCATTTGCCGGATACTCCCAGTCAATGTCGAGGCCATCAAAGCCTAGATCAGACAAGATTTGAACCGCGCTGCTTGCGAACTTGGCCCGGCCTTGAGGGGTCGAGGCAGGCTGAGCAAAGTGGGCAGAGTAGGTCCATCCGCCGATCGATAGCAGCACCTTCAACTTGCGGTTGCGCTTCTTCTGGAGAAACAACTGCTTGGCGCATCCATAGACGTTGGTACCCACCTAAATGTAGGTGTCCGGAGTCAGTATTTGTCTCACATGTAGTCCGTATATGGAAGTTACATACATCGTTCCACGAGTCATTCGCGTAATGCTTGTCAGTGTCGGACCAAGTATCTGTCAAGAAGACCTCGCCAGTATCCCGAACATCGGCAAAGGCATAGAGAACATGGGTAAGTTCTTCACCAGTAAGATTTTGGGGGTGAAAGTCGCGACCATAAATAGCCTGCAAGGATTATCAGTTGTAGGTCTTGTACATTTAGAGAAGCGGACGAACCCAATTGACAAAGTAAGCAACATTCTTGTAACCTGAAGCGGCTGAAGTAGTAGTCATGGTGTCGTTGGTACCTGGCGGGATTGCAACGGCTCGTGCAAGAGTGGAGAATGAAAGTAACGACGTTACTCCCGCGAGTATGTTGGCGGCGCGCATCCTTATGATGTCGCTAGTGGCGCGCTATGTCGTGATACGTGGCTGTGGCGCGGGCTAGTGCAGGTACGAACGCGGCTTCGCTTGAGTGCCGAAAGTCCACGTAGAGAGTAGGAATAGAATGAGCAGAATTGTAGGTATTGAGAGGCGCTCAAAGAGCGAATATATATACTCGAAAGAATGACTGGAAATAACGGGCGGTCAGAGAGAGTTGTCCGGAGAAGTGTTTCAAGGAACGTAAAGGAGGGTCACTCGACCAAGTAGCGGTTGAGTAACAACTAGTGAATGCTACGATAGCTCTCTGAAAGGAATGTGACAGTGAAAAACATAGCGAAGGGCACAAATGCTTGTAAAAACCCAGGACCCAAGGGTACATATCATCGCCCACGCACCTGCATCACTACAAGCGCAGCGTGGGCGGCAAGGCTATTCGCACACGCACCATTGATAAGACATACTAGTCCCAGGCCCATGAACGCTTGTGGAGATTACTCTTGATCGACCAGGTACAGACGGCTATGATCTGGGGACGACGGTCAAAGCCCTCTAGAGCGAACCGCTTCAAGCTATGACTAGTCGACTTATAGACAGAAGCAACAGGTGGCCTTGGACACTCGGTAGAGACACCTGGTATATTGAGCGGGTAGAGAATGTGTGAGTACAGACTGGGCATCTCTCTCCATACTCGTCTAGCGGCTAATGAGAACTGGAGCGGCAGCTCGTCTGTCACATAGAAAGAAAGCTAAGATGTTTTTCGGGCATTAAGTGACATGAAGATTCTCGTTGCGACAGCGTTCTTCGGAAGAGTGTGTAGTGTGTGAGAACTCTCATACTGCTCCGTGATGGTCTCGCGGACGTTGGGATGTGCAACATCAAAATACAACATAGCATCAGATTGCGTTGCGACCTCAAATGCTTGCTTCACGCCTGGTCCAGGGCGGCATGGTCTCGGTAGGCCGCTCCGCGGATGAAACCGCACATCGGCACATGGCGACACATTTCTAGTGCCGAATGAAAGATTGAGCACAAAGGACGTGGTGGTGTTTACTCGAGTAAGTTCCACGAGGTAGATACCACCTGAACCAGGATAAGAGACAAGGTGTCTCTACCACAAGCGACCTGGAAGCAAAGGCCCAGCTTCTGGTGGGAGGAGGCAACGTCAACTCGACTCACGACAATCCATGTGTGATCGTATGTCTCCACCTCTTACGTGCGCGTGCGTATGGCAAGGCGTCGGACCTTCTGATCGTTTGGGCTGAGCAGACATATTATGATAAGTTTGCCAGCGCCAGATGTAGATAGATTGTGAGTTAGCCGTGGCATATTGCAGAGGAGATAAGTGGAGACTGAAGCCGCATGAGGGGATGGTGCTTGACGGGAAGAATGGCATGCGGGACGGACGGCTAGCCGCATTGAGCTGCGGTGCATACGCGACGGATGAGCAGATATAGAAGGAAACCCGGCCCAGATGCAGCGAGATTGTAACCTTCCACTCTGCATGGAAAGACAGGCCTCTAGCGCTTCAGATGAGCCGTTTCTCGACACATTTTAGCGTGAAAGCATGTGAATTTACCCATGTTCCTGCACTGGTGACTAAAGACACGCGATGCTTTGCTGGGGTTATTGCAGATCGAAGCAGCGCTATAGCAATAGCACGCGCTGGAGAAGCCCAGGGCTGGATAAGAAGTTGGAGCTACCAGGGTCAACGCGCACATCGCGCTGCATCGTACCTGAGGTTGAAACCTGGAGCACGGGAGGAGGGCCAGGCCGATAGGCTCGCCACTGCGACTTTTCACATATTGGTGAGGACACAACCACGGCAATATTGGAAGAGAGATAGACGCAAACGCAGGATAATGGCAAAGGACAAAGTGAGTTGGAATGTGAGGTTTGCTGTGATGGAAACAACTGGCGAGAAAGACGTGGTTGCGTGAAAGTGAAAGGTGGAAGGGATCATCCCGACTTGTGTCACCAGCCCGTCCAAGTAGTGTGGCCAGTGCACGTGGAGTCTCTCACTGCACCGTAACATCCTCACACCACTTAGAGAATGAACAACATCGCGAGTGAAAGGTGTACTGTCCGAACCTATCCGCAGTGCTCTTACACTGTCGGGTAACAGACAAGATCCCGCCTCTGCCCGCATGAGCGTTGCGCATGCATGGCATGGCGATAAGAACGCTATCAGATCACCATAGCAGATAGGCGATTTGTAAGGACCGACCGTTGCGGAGTCGCGTGATTTCACAGTCAAAAGTTTGAATGTGTGACTTTTCAGTTGAGAAGGCGTTTGATCAAGACGATGAGCGACTTACTATCAATGGGTATCGTAAAAATTCAAAACGCCGTGCTCGGCGGTCCCATGAAATTCAGGCCTTCATAAAGGCTGAAAACATCTGGTGGAGGCTTTGCTCTCCTGCTCATGCCCGTAATCTGCGGACCAAGCCACTTATGGGACCCATGGCCTTCCTGCTGAAAACATCATCTCGAGCTCCGTCTTTGGTTCTACACACGGCCCTCTCAACTCTACCATCTTTGGTGATGGACATGACTGCTGTCCGTCTGTTGGACCAAACAACAGTGATCTGCCTGACCGCAGCATCGGCTTCGATGTCCAGTATACGTGCGCTGTCGGTCTCACCGTCGGCTTCCTCGACATCTGAACTCGTCTCATCGTCGCTCACGAAAGCGTTCAGAACTCTCCCAGTTGATGCAAAGCCCTCGGTTTCACTATCCGGTCGTGATTTTGCTAAACCAGCCTCCTTCTGTAACTCTTCCACAGCGTTTACCCGCAAGTGCCAGCTCACCAGTTCCTTCCTCAGCAGTCTTCCAAACTGCACTAGGTCCTGTTCTGGATCGTTCTCTTCGTCTTTGCCACCTGCAGGTAGCCACTTGTCGGACAATTGCTGCAGAGGTATGCATGGTGGAATAGTGTGCTTGTTTATTCTCAGAATCCTCTTGTTATCCTTTTGTCTGACGCTCAGCAAGACATGGTATGTCTCGACGAATCTACCTCCGAGTGATACATCTATGCTGACGCCAAGAATGTTGCCATCATTCAGCGCATGTGGGTCAGGATCTTTGACTTTGTATGCAGTGACGCCAGCGCAGGCGCGGTAGGCATTCTCGAGGTTGCGTTTCGACTGCTGTGTGATGATTTGATCAACATGATCCGCGGATTTGTTGTGCGTACCGCTACTTTGAAGACGCGCTGCGAGGTGGGGTTGTGACAGGAGAACGGAAGATAAATTTGCGCGGTGAGCTTTTAGTGTCGCTATCCGGGTATGTAGGTCGCTGATTTCATCGTCGAGTTGCTCAGTAGTCTCCATTGTGTAATGATATGCCGTCGTGGAAGTGCGTCAGTGTTGATGTTGAAACGCGTGCACCGGCGACATGAACGCGCTAACACGTGAATAAGCGTTGGGCAGGGGTGAGGTGGGATGAAAGCTACCGACTCGCCTAGTGCTCCGCCCTTCTCGAGCTTGAGACTAGAGGACACGGTTCCGTCCAGACATCCAGGGCCCGCGGCCATCATTGCTGCATAATCATATACTGGTGCCCGCGTCGTACTAACTCGGCTGTTTCTTAACACGTTTCTTGTCCTTCACTAGTCGCTCCCTAAACAACCATCACCACCTAAAGTTCGCGTCTTCCTCTCGCCGTCCGCAGTCCCTGACATCAGCCACCCAACACCCGCCCGACTCCTATCGCCCAAATTTGTCGAATTACACCACGAAGACCCCTCCTCATCCGACACACTCCGCCGACGCACCCAAATGAGCAAACGAGCCTCGCGATCCAAGAACCGCGGCTCTGTACTACGTGAGCAGAGCTCCACCGACTCGTTGCAGGAAAAGAAGAAGAACGGCAATGCAAACTCCACTGCCATGAACAGCGTCATGTTGGAACATCGGCGCAAACACTCTTCATTTGACAGCACTTCGCCCTCGAGCCAGGCTGCATCCCTCATGGGCAACTCCAACTTCTCGCTGGATGATGAGGTACCCAAACTGGGTCAGGATGATGAAGGGCCCTCCAAGGGCTTCTTCGAGCTTTCCAAGAAGGATCAGAGCAACTTTCTCCTGCTGGTGCTGCTCTACTTCCTCCAAGGCATACCCATGGGGCTGGCCCACGGTTCTGTGCCCTTCCTACTCAAGCACAATGTATCCTACGCGGCCATCGGCGTCTTCTCGCTCGCAGCCTATCCCTACTCACTGAAACTCCTTTGGAGTCCCATTGTGGACGCGGTATGGTCGCCCAAGGTGGGACGCCGGAAGAGTTGGATTTTACCTATCCAGACCATCTCTGGCTTCTCCATGATTTGGCTGGGGCGGAACATCAACCGCATGATGAAGGAGGCGGGCGAGACAGACAGCGGAGTTTGGACTTTCACTTGGTGGTGGTTTGCGCTCGTGTTCCTCTGCGCTACGCAGGACATCGCTGTGGATGGTAAGGCGCCGCTCATCTCCCATATTGACATGCACCAGGCTAATGACGAACAGGTTGGGCACTTACCCTTCTCTCCAAAGAGAACCTCGCATACGCCTCGACCGCGCAAACCGTCGGCCTGACCGCAGGCCAGTTCCTCTCCTACACCGTCTTCCTAGCCTTCAACTCCAAAGACTTTGCGAACAAGTGGTTTCGCAGCACTCCTGCAGAGACCGGTATCATGGAGCTTGACGGCTACTTGAGCTTCTGGGGATGGGCATACCTGATCGTCACTCTTGGATTGGCCGTCATGAAACGCGAGGACCGCGATAAGAACGGCGATGGCATTGGAGAGGTTTACCGCACCATGTGGGGTATCTTGAAGCTGAAGAACATTCAGAGCTTCATCATCATCCACCTCATCGCCAAGATTGGATTCCAAGCCAACGATGCTGTTACGAGCCTGAAGCTTCTCGACAAGGGCCTCAAACAGGAACAGCTTTCGCTCGTTATTCTTGTTGATTTCCCTGTTGAGGTCTTCCTGGGTTACTACATCGGAAAGTGGTGCCAGACCTACCCGCCAATGCACATTTGGTGTTGGTCCTTTATGGGACGTTTGGTTGCTGCCGGGTTTGCGCAATTTGTTGTGTCTATATTCCCGGTTGGAGGCGCATCGTCCGGGTTCCTGATGTTGGTCATTGCTGAGCATGTGCTTTCGACTTTCATGAATACAGTCATGTTCGTTGCAGTCAGCGCGTTCCACGCAAAGATCTCGGATCCGCTTATTGGCGGTACCTATATGACGCTCCTCGCTACGTAAGTCCCATGCTTTCCCATTTTACCTGTACGTCACTAACAACAGTGCAGCGTCTCCAACCTCGGCGGCACATTCCCACGTTACTTCGTCCTCAAAGCTGTCGACATGTTCACCTCGGCAACCTGCATACCACCCACCGACGTTCCGAAAGCAGACCTTTTGAAAGGGCCTCTTATCACACAAGCGTTCTCTTGTTCTCTAGAGGCAGAGAAGCATCGATGCCAGCAAGGCGGTGGTATCTGCAGCGTCACAAGTGATGGGTACTATATTGTGAACATTCTGTGTATTGTAATCGGTGTAGTGACGTTCTGGGGCTATATCAAGCCCGCAGTCATGCGGATACAGGCGTTGCCGCTGCGAGCATGGAGAATTGCTGGGTAGGTGGATAGCCTGCATAGTGTATGATATAGGCGCATAGTTCGATGTTAGATAAAGGCATGTTGCAAAGCTATAGGCTACTGATCAAAAACACTTCGGATCCAAACTGCATGCCACTACTGGCATCCAAGCCGCTTGTGCACGTCTGTGCCGCGCTCGCGCGTTTTCCCGTGACCAGGCGTGCTGATCGGCCAATAGTGGGCGGCCTTATGCACCAGTGTAAGCCACGTCGTCTCGAGCACATGCAGGTACGTCTGCGGCACAGCAAATGTCTCAGGCCGCTCAAATTAGTACCATTATATGCAATGGATTGCTAACAGACCACCCACAACAGTTGGGTGCTCGATTGAGTGGAGAGAATTAGCGGCTTGCAGTTGTCAGTGATGAGATAATCGGGGACCGTTCTGTAAGCAGGCCAAGTCTCGACTCGACGTGCCGAAGACGCCGATGGACGGGGACTTCTGACTGTAACATGTCAGGCCATGTGTGATGGCAACGGCCCGGTAGACTAGCAGAACTTTAAGAATCATATGCCTGCATCTGTTCCGAGAATCTTACAAACCCCCGAAGTCGCCGAAGAGACGCTGTGCCAGCTAGAGTAGCATACCTCGGAAACGTGCACAAGGCGTTGACGCTTACCTTCCTACGGCTAGCTACCTTCGACATCGCGTTTTGACATCTGTCGCAAATTATCTGCTGATCTTGAATACTCTTTTACCTCTATTCCTATTCGCCTGACCTGCTGCACTCTTCTACGACCGTCGCAACACAAATCCACCTAGTCTGACACCTTGATCGACGTCCGACTCTACACCAACCCCCAAACTCCACAGCTGCCGTTAAACCTCAAGGGTCCAACCAAACCTTACTTGCGCCAATCCCGCCAACGTGTGTGTTGATAACGAGTCCCTGCATACCATCACATCCCGAGCCCTAAGAAATCGGTCCGTCTGACCTTCGAAGAGCATTGATACGACTGGAACTTCCAACGTTGTGTCGCATCGTCCTTTTATAGTGTACGAACAATCGCAATGGCTTTCGCAGCGTACCAACCTAAGGCGCGGGTCCAGAAGCCCGCTCCCCACTTCTCTGGCACTGCAGTTGTCGACGGCACATTCGAAGGTATGCGACTATCTTACACTTTCCCATCCAATCACCCATCAGCCAGAGCATCATACTGACAATCCCTACGCAGACATTAGCTTAACAGCATACACATCCACCAAGCAATGGCTCGTCCTGGGTTTCGTTCCCATGGCCTGGACTTTTGTTTGCCCAACCGAAATCCTCGCCTTTAGTGAACGCGCTTCCGATTTCGCAGCCCGTGGCGCCAGCGTCGTCTTCTCCAGCACAGACAGCGAGTATAGTTTGCTCGCTTGGACGAATGCGAGCAAGAAGGACGGAGGCCTGGGCAAGATCAACATTCCGCTGCTGAGCGACAAGAACCATAGCATCGCCAAGGACTACGGTGTGCTGATCGAAGAGGAGGGTATTGCGTTACGAGGGCTCTTCTTGATCGACCCCAATGGCATCGTACGACAGATTACTATCAACGATCTTCCTGTTGGAAGATCAGTCGACGAAACGCTTCGCCTGATCGATGCCTTCCAATTCACCGACAAATATGGCGAGGTATGATCTAACCTACTCGTATATTACCTCGTCTTCGCAAGCATACTGACATTAACCCATCAGGTCTGCCCCGCGAACTGGAACCCTGGTGATGAAACCATCAAAGCAACACCCGCAGGCAACAAGGAGTACCTCGACAAGCTTCACGCCGACACCAAGATGTCGGACGTTGCCGCAAAGACAAATGGTACGGCTTCCTCGGGACATTAAAGTAGCTGGCCGGGTGTCGATATCGCCACGATAGCGTGCTGATCTTTCTTTGCGCAGGGACTTCTTGAACCGTAGATGTCTCGGTGTGCTTTGGTTGTGCGATATTAGCATATACATCTCATCTTTCATCTGAGATTAGTTGCATTGATTGGCGTTGTTTTGGCGCCGTCGTGTTGGCTTCCTGATTGCGGCCCTCCAGCTCAACTACGCTCATCATACCAATGGATTCCCCTCTATAGAATGTACAAATTTACAGATCATTGCAGCCTTGAATCTGGTGACACGATATGTCTGGATGCTTGGCTGATAGAACTTGACCTTCATCTCTGAGTTTTCGAATGGTTCCAGTCCCTTGCACAAGCCGATTGCACCAAACTCTGCGGCTTAACAAAGCTCCAAAATTTGCCGCACTGAACTGTTTGAATGAGACGCAGACATGTCAGGACAGCTGAGCTGATGCGCGTTAGCTTCCGCTTGGCAGGTCGGGAACCCACGCGAGCGCCACGGACCTGTGCCTGTTTCGACATAGCCCACGAGAAGGCCTCCAATCATGGAGCCACGACTGAATGCGCTACTGGACATCTCGAACCAAAGTAGCATGCCGTACATCGCAGAGCCACCGAACATGAGCTCATCTGGCTCACAAAGGCCCTCGCATCATGCTGATCAAAGCTTCGTACGCCCCAAAGCACTAATGCTGGCAAACACCTCCCCTGAAACCAGTCAGTCGAACGACGTCCGAAGGGACGGACACGAGAGGTTATATCCCATACGGTCGATGCCTAGTGCTCCGATAGCACAGGTGTTAAACAGCGAGGCGAATGTGCTTGGGGCTGCACAGTCTGTATCATCGACTTTTGCCTCGTCAACGACGCCCTTCAGTGGAAGACTAGTTGACTTGCTTTTGGACAGCCCGGATCATGCAAGGCAAAGATGGGATCAGGAACAGCAATTTCTCCAGCCTGAAAACACAGGATGCAGTACTTCTGTCATCAAATTACCGAGGCTACCGCAACCTCCTAAGCGGACAGCAAAACGACCTAGAATACCGCCGTTGCTGCAGGGTTTGCATCAACCTCCTCCGCTTCCGCCTGAGGGGAGACTCTTCCCGCCGATTACTGGGGAAAAGAATGCATTCGCAGGCGAGAGAGGGTACGATGCGCGTTTTGAAGAATCTAGGGGCAAGGACGTGGATGATCATGCTTTTCTCGAAGGTGGTGCATTGGACTATAGCAAAACCATTCAAAGCGCTGAACATCCATCCGTCTCTCAAGCGGCACCTCAGTCTGTGTCTTCTAGTACACCAGACGCAGTCCATGGGGCCGATTTAACAACAAACAACGTCACGGGCACTTTAGCGCCGTCCCAAACTAAGCGTGGAAAGAAACGAAACAAATGGTCTGAGCAAGAGACCAAAGATTTGCTTATAGGAGTCAGCAGGTATGGTATAGGCAATTGGAAGAAGATACTACAGGATCCAGATTTTGCGTTCAACAACCGCACGGCCGTTGATCTGAAAGACCGTTTCCGAGTGTGCTGCCCGGGTGAAGGTCTAAAGCCACGGCAACCAAGGACGAAAGCAAAAGAGAAGGTAAACTTGGATGAGACGGCCTCTGGTTTGCCAAACCAAACCATCCATACCCATCAGCACTCTCTTCCTATCAGTGGTCATAATAACGGCAATAACTTGATTTCGAATCCCCCCAGTCCTACAGAAAATCAACCACGGGGAGCAACTCGTAGCAAAACCACAACGCATCTAGACCTCGCCGAGCTCGGTATTCGCGAACCATTTTCAAAAATCACACGTCGACCGCGCCGAGCCTTCAGTGCACGCGATGACGTCAATCTTCTCAAGGGCTTTGAGAAATATGGATCTGTTTGGCATCTGATGCGTGACGACGAGGATCTAGACTTTGCTACTCGGCATCCTACGGATCTGCGCGATCGTTTCAGAATCCGCTATCCGGACAAGTACGCCAAAGCAGGATATAAACTCAAAGCAAAAGAAAAAGAACGCACATCATCGAATCAAGCACATGTCCAAGAGCAAGAGAGACACGATGATTCTGCGCAACCAGAGCAGACTTTCCTGGTCCACAGTTCCTCACAGCAAGCTCAAACACAGCACCCACAACACGACTCGATTACCATGGGAGGCAAAGACATGCACCCTTCCAACAATAACAATAACAACGGAGCAAACACCAACATGTCATCCCACCTGCCTACTCCCAACAACAACAACAATAATAATCATCACAACCCAGCTCTAAAGTCTTTCAACTCGTCGTCTTACCTCTCCGACCCTCTCCCGACCCTTCCTTTCGACGACGCAGATCCCGATCTCACACAAGACATGAGTACTGTAGGCGACGAGAGTCCCATAACTCTAAGTCGGAATATCCTCCGCTGGGCTGACGCAAATCCATCTTCGCTCTACGCTTTCACCCCTGCTGTTTCTTCTTCCTCGACGTCGGCGGGGAATATGCATGGTGTTGGTCATAGTAATAAGGGTGAGGGAGGAACTAGTGGGGGGTCAAATGGGTTCGCAGGAGGAGGCCAGCAGCAGCAGCAGCAGATGGAGGGAGGAAGGGGGACGGCGTTGCCTGAGGCGGATACTTGGCTGCTAGGCGGCGAGAGAGTCCAGGCGTTTGGCATGTATAGATATCGATCTTGATACAGGCTGATGTATTGCTTGTGGCCGTGTAGTTCGGAGGTCGAGCGATGGCACAACTGTGGTCTTTTTCGCTACATGGGAGCTGGGAGATGTATTCTGGAGACTACGCATAGCCGGGGATCGAGGCTATCATGATTACGAATAATGGTTATGAGGAAAGAAGAGCTGAAGCTGGTGTCTGCTAGCTTGAAGTGGGGAGAAACCCCAGTTTGAGGTCATACTCAAACTCCGATTATCCAATGGGAATATACAACCTCGTGTACACCGAGAAGGTCAATGTGCCAACTGCACGACGAAAGAATCATACCACAAGATCTTGTTCCGTTCACACGTCTTCCCAAAGAGGTGCTTTATCGACGAGCTTCAGCTTCTTCATGGGTATTGCTACAATGGACACTACACAGCTTATGCAATCCAAAAGCCTCTCGTCTCGTACGTCTGCGAGCCTTGAAGCCATTGCTCAAAGCCCTGGGCGTCTTCTTTGGACTCGAATGATGGTGTCCATAGACCAACTCGCTCCCAGTTGGTCCCCACTTTGGACACGAGGAGCATTGCAAATGTGTTGCGTACGTGCCTATCGTCGTGCGGGCATCTCATCTTGTCTGCCAAGAACAAATAAATGGCATAACAAGTTCTGGTTTCTTGGTATCCAAAGGTGTCGGGTGACAAGTCGAGGTTTTCAAACCGGCTGTCAAGTAGGGCTTCCTCCCACCAGTAACCATATTCTTCACCTTGCACAATCAATGCGCGGTACCCACGTATGCGCCCGCCATGGCACTCCAAAGAGTCGAATTCCTTGTGAAGCCTGACCTCCAGGGAGGGAGCTGAGATATGTATTCGCTGGGAGTAGTGGTGTCGCTGGGTGCAAGCCGGACTAGCTTCTTCAAACGTCTTCCAAGTCTCTGCAAGACCATTCTGTTTCTCGACTTGAACTGCCATACCATCCGCAACTGAAAGCTCAGTACATGGCATCCTTCGTAGACGATATTGTGCAAGTAGGTGGCGTGACCATCCCGCCCAAGACCAGCTTGGAAAGCCTTGCCGACGATAGATCTGCCCATTTTGGATCGGATGGGCCCAACACAACCCGATTAGTAGCCCATTCAGGTATCCTGATGCGTCGAAAAGCAAGGGTATACCCCAGTGTGATCTGACAGGTGGCTCTTGTTGCTCGAAATGCCCCACAATACCATCAAATGCATTCAGAATATCGGCATTGTGAGTGAGTACTCTTCCAGTGTATGACTCTATCAGATTGTAAACAAGACGTACTTCTTCCCCAGGCTCCCACTTCTCCAACCTGTATCGATAATGGATCTGAGAACTTTGTAGATCTTCGCTGACGACACCTTCGTTGCAGTCGAACAAAACTTGTTCTTCAGTGAAGACGAGCCTTCGCCGGGAGAAGTAAGCTTCTTGAAACGTCCAGGCACGCTGAATCCATCCCTGATAATAATATACAGAAGTCCATGGCCAGAGATAGAAGGTGGTTAGGCTCAGCTTGTCGTAGCGACCCTTTGTTTGCACACCTTCACGCGGTATTGAAATGCCCACGAGTCCTGACTTGGCTTTCATACATCCAGCTGCCATTATTGTAATCTCAGCAGAACGATAAATAAGGTGCATCTGACGGATCTGGTGTCTAAAATCGTTCTCATCTGTCTGGAGAACGCAGTATGCATCGACCCATAGGTATTGGAGGCCGAGGCTTTGGGTTACGCGAATAGCATCGTTGATAGAGGCAGGGACATCCGATGGTAGCACATCCATTTGTTGGTCAGGGGACCCAGTATGGCCTTTGCCCCACCGATAACTCAACGCAACGTAAGAAACGTCGTGAGAAGGCATGACGACTGCTCTTGTGGAACAATCAATCACTCGAAGCCGGGTTGGGTGGCTACCTGACATTTCTTTCTGTTGGCCGCAAGGACCATGACCATGTAAGCAGTTTTGTAGCTGTCTTCTTACGCTATCGAGATCGAGCCATGTCGGGATCTCATCCACCCGTATCGGGGATGGTTGGAAGCTTGGCATCTCAGTATCTTCGGACACACTGAATGAAACGATATTTTCGGGTTCACTGCAGGTATGTTTCGCGGGCCATCCATCCCATGTATCAAAAACGATGTTGACATGCAAGGGAACCTTCTCACATTCAGTGCCATCTCTTTCCAGTCTCCTCACCCAGCTTCTCCCGCAATCTAGCTGGAGATACCGTGGCTGTATCGAATCGTTTGGTGGAATCAAGTTTGACTGTGCCGCCGAAAGGAATTCACAGAATTCGCAACCAGGCTCTGAATCCCAGACCCAGATAGCAGTAGGGTCAGAACTCCGTGTGATCCATACTTCATGTCCCTTTTCCAGCGGTATGCCTTTGTGGTCGCCCTTCAAGATTGCAAAGAGATCGATGTCTAAGCAGTTGGCACACAACATCTCAATAGGACTCGACAAATGTGAATTCGTATAGTAGAGTATTTTGAGGAAGAGAAGTCCAAGACTGTTAGCTTTCGAGCTGCCGCCTAATGCTATATAAGCCCGCAGGTTAATGCTGCGATGAACATTATGGCTGTGCATGCAGTAAGCGGGGTTATACCACGCCCACCTGCCTTAGGCATCAAATGAGGCAACACCTCGGGCAACACGTGCAAAGCAACACGAAACAGAAATCCAGGATGGCAGTACTGTAAATCTTGTTGCAACGTAGATAAGATACAGTAGAGCCATAAATCTGCGCGTCACAGAACGTGGCAGTGTTGAACATTGAGTCAAATAAATGATCTGTTTCCATCTCCTTTCATATCCAGCAATGAGTGAAAAACATAGTTCCCAGATTTGGTATCATCGAAAAACACACGCTCAAACGCCTAATCCCAGACAAACACATGGAGAAAACCTTTGACGATACAAGGCGCTCTAATAAGCGTTACCGCCCCAGCCCGGCGCCTTCCCTTTGCCTTCATGCGGCGAGTAATACTCATCCTGCTCCATCACCGGACTAATCGTTATGGACCCGTGCTGCTGCTGCGGCGGCCCATACCATGCGTTACCTCCAGCAGGCACATTGCTGTAATAGCCTCCTCCTCCTCCTCCGTACCCAGCCTCCTCGCCACCAAGGTTATTGAACGCTTGTGTCCGTGGTGTCATTGGCGACTTCATGCCGCCAACGGTACCGGGTGTACGAGGTAGTTGCTGGAGTTCCCACATGTGTTGCCATTGTTCCTCGGCGGTCATCTCGTTGTCGTAGGGCGAGGAAGCCCATTTCTCCTTCTCGGCTTTCTTTTCTGCTTTCCGCGCCGCGTGGGCTTGTTTCTGCGCCGTGGTTGGAATGAGGGAGTAGACTGATAGGACGACGAAGACGGCGTAGATGGTGCTGTGGGTTCATGGTTAGCGTCTTCTGAAAGGATGTATAATGGATGCATAGGGTACGTACAGCATGATGATACTGACGGCGAAACTGCTCTTCGCTTGCATGCAGTAGCTCTTGATGTGCTTGTCATCTACAATGTTACAGCTCTTGGTAATGTACCAGGGCGCTCCGTTATTGGTATGCGTCGGGTCGATGGTGTCGGGTGCGGTTTGGATGTGGATGCCGTAGGCCCATAGAGCCATGAGTGCAATGTGAAGGAGGAGCGAGAGGATCGGGAAGAAGACTTTGAGGAGCCATAGCGTTGTCTTGACGAGCCAGAAGAACATGCATACTACGCCGATTACGAGGTGATATTGGGTGTTGCTGTGGTTGTCAGTACGTAGCCTTGAATTTGTAACCTGTACAGGATGACAATATGATTCATGAAATACTCCGGTTCGATACAAGGCATGCTTGCGCATCCTTGTAATTGATCCAGCATATGCTACTTACAAGCCACTCCACACTAAAGGTGTGTCCACAGGTCTATAATTTGCAGCCGCGTATAGAACTGTGCTTGGTTTCGAGTTAAAGCCCAGCTCGCCTCCTACTCTCCACAAGATAGTGCGATATAGGTTTGGCGATGCGATACCGAAGAGCGCAAGGTTGGCCACGGTAAATGGCAGTTCAAAAACCATGAGGAAATAGATGATTTTTGGTAGGCGCCATGATCGTGATATGAAGAAACCCATAATGGACGTTCGAAACCGTCACACTCGACGGCGATGTGCGGTGGCAGGCGTTGCCGTATATATGAGGCTGCGCTTTCAGCTGCGCTCGGATGGATCGCGATTGCGGGGATAAGGTTGGAATGCGCCGTCCTGTCTTGTTGCGCTACCGTCGGTAATCCGAAGTCGATAGCTGGAGATGCTACCAAAAGCCTCCCGTGGTCGTACACAGTCGTCGTTCGTACTCGAGGTTCAGACGCACAAACGAAGCATCAGCATCCATCACTCCGGGGGCCTTCGACGCTCTTAACAGCCATGTAAGCCCCCATCTTAGCCGACGCCAGTGAGTGAATTGAGGGGCGAAAGAGCCATTGCAGGCGCTGAGTGGCACACGCATGCTGCGCGATCACACAGCTTGTAGAGTGTGATGGCGAATCAGACTTGCAGGACGGCGCTGCATGCGGGAGCTAGACGGTTTGTTCCTTGCGCCATCCCTGCCTGCTGTACCGAAGAATGTGGGTTAATATCGACGAATCGGGTAATTCAATATAGAACTTCGAGGTAAGAGGTCGGATGAAATAGAGGGCCTTATCGCGGGGTCGCACAGCATAAGCGATCGCTAACTGTGCCGTAAAGTGATTGCGGACGGTAAATGTCTTGAGGCACAAAGAGTGATGGTGGTCGTGGTTCGCGCACAGAGATTTGGAAGGTGGAGCTAGTCTGGTGGAGCTCGCTCGACCATCACGAGCCGTCTCGAATTTACGGCCTTTGTGGGCGCGTAAATTCGAGTTAATGGTGTGAGCATCGTACATACAATAGCGCTTGCCGCAGTGACAGGATGATTGTCGAATGCAAAACTTGGTATTGATCGCCTTGGACTATCCAGTGGTAGATTACCTTAACATTTCCATTACCACCACTTTTCGCACAGCACTCTCTCTGGTGCCACGTCATCCTGTTCCTTGATAAACTTCACCATTTCATCTGTCATGTCTGGAGGTCCACACACGTAGAAGACGGTAGATTGCGCCTCCTTCCTATTGCCGACTGCGCTAGAGAGGGCAATATCGTCAATGCGATGCGTCCAGGCACACACTGGCACTTCGGTAGCCGAGTCAATTTGCGGCAGCGTCAGAGACATGAGTGGATGTATCAGGTCACCATCATCTGTGCCCATCTCAGACCCGTCCCAAGTTCCTGTGAAGAAAAGCTCGAGGCGGTCTTTGGTCACCTTGAACCTGGGTATGCGGAAGAGGTCGAGCACGTCTTGTAGGAAAAGGACTTCGCTCGGGTCGGTTTCCCGCGATGGGACTTTAGTAGAGTACAAGAAGCGCACTTCGAGGTTTGGGTAGTTTTGGTTTATGTAGGTCATCATTGACATCATAGGGCTGTGGGGTGTTAGCAGTCGAGACATGCGACTCTGTGATGGCATAGCTGGACGCACTTGATCCCGACACCTCCTGCGATGAAGATGGCGCGCTTAATCTTCTTCATATCCAGACAGGGAGGAGGCCATACAAAGCTTCCGCCAACACGCACAGTGACCTCCTTCCCTAGGATGTCGTCAACCGGCTGCCACAACCATGCTGCCGGCGGATTATCGGGGCTCTTCTGTACGGCTAGCTCAAAGTATGGTACGAATTCGGGATCCGATCGCGGTAGGGCTTCTGAAGGCGACGAAGTAATGGTAAAGCCGCCGGCCTTTTCTACATCAGGCACAAAGACATCGAGCCATTGGCCGGGGAGGAACTGACTTATCCATCAGCGCATGTCGCGAGCGAGATGGAGATCGTCATACGTTGAAGCCGTCCTTTTCCTTGATTTCGAATTTAAAGCGCTTGATCCGGTGGTTGACGGGAGTCACTTTGGCGAGGGTGGCAGTGTGGATGTCGTTCTCTCGCGGTTCAGTCGCGGTGCGCTCTTGATGGCTTAGAATCGCTTTTGCTGAGCGAGCCTGTGGCATGCTGCTCAGCATGCTTCTCTGCGAAGAGAGTCGTCTTGAAAAAGAGTGATGAGACAAAAGTCGACGGGCAAGAATGCTCATAGTAAGAAGAAAGTATCTTACCACGAGGAAAATGTAAGTGGGGACACCGGGTAGAGGGGTCCAATGCGTTATGCAGGATGATCCACTGGGCGGGAGCTTGGACAACAGCCGTCAAGGCTAGCTGACTTCACTCTCATCATGTCATCGGCACTTTTTCGGGTCTCCAAATATAGCCATGTTTTATTGACCATCAAGTCTCCGAGAATGAGCTGACTGTGGCCATGTCGCAAGCTGAGCTGTCGCGTTTGACATGTGCGAGTGGCCGGTGGCACCAAGAAAGCTATGACGCGTGCGGGAGCCGCGGCTGTCACCCGAGAGCAGAACAACATAACATGTCAACTACTCTTGATTTCTCCATTACTTGAACTCAACCACATCCGCACTGCCTAGCGCACTACACCTCTCCAGTAGCTCTAATATCGCTTCCAAGCGTGCATTGCATCTCATCAAAATCCGCCTCGATCGTGTCACCATGTCCGTTGAAGAAGGCACACATACTTTGGCCGATGGCAAGCAGTTGTACACGAAGACGTTCAGGGTACGGTGGAACCAAATCAATAAGATCGGCATTAATTTATTGAGCAGACGGATGGGCCGGCAAAAGCCCGACTTGTATTCATCCATGGTTTCTCAGATGTATGATTCCTGTAGACATAACATGAAATGCATCACTAACGTTGTCTTTAGCACGGTGAGACTATACTAGCCACATGGGTACTTGTCCTCTAACAGATATTAAGTCAACACCTACGGCTCGTTCTTTCCCCATCTGGCGTCCAGAGGCATTGAAGTATACACGTTCGACCAAAGGTACGTACGCGCGTTGCTTCCAATATTTGATACTGAGGAGGCGCAGGGGATGGGGCCGCTCTGTAACAAAGCCCGCCGAGCGAGGAGATACGGGCCCGACTAGTCAGGTCCTTGACGATATCGCCTCCTTCATGAAGACATTGATCCCGAGTCCAGTACCACTCTTCATGATGGGGCATTCTATGGGCGGCGGTGAGACCCTTTGCTTCGCTGCACAAGGGCCAGAGGAGGTCCGCAAGCATATTCGCGGCTTTCTCTTGGAATCGCCTTTTGTCGACTTTGATCCCAAGTCGAAACCATCTCCCATCACAGTCTTCTTCGGTAGAGTCGCTGGAAAGCTCATGGCAAAGCGTCAGTTGACTAACAAGTTGGATCCCAAACTCATCTCACGAGACCCGGAGGTTTGCAAGCAATTCGACGAAGACGAGCTCTGCCATGATACCGGCACGCTCGAGGGGCTTGCCGGACTGCTCGATCGAACCAATGCTCTGTCCAGCGGCAAGATTATTATTCCTGATAATGTTGGAGAGGGTGGCGTGACGAGGATCTGGATCGCTCATGGAGATAAAGATGGCATCACCAGCTACCCTGCCTCGAAGCGTCTGTTCGATGCCCTGCAAGTCAAAGACAAGGAGTTCAGATCGTATGCGGGCTACTACCATCGCTGTGAGTATTTGGTCCAATCCAGTAGATTGAAACTAACCCTGTCAGTACATGACGAGCCTAGTCCTGATAAAGACACATTCCGAGACGACGTCGTCAACTGGGTACTTGCTCGCGCGACGGACCCTGTGGGTGACGATAGTGCAAAGCCAAGGCTATAAATACTGGTAGAAGCTTTCTATAACAGGCAAGAAGCGAGCCGAGCGACGTAACCACGATACAAAGCTATTAGATTTCTTGGCTTTGGTCGTATTGACACGCGCGTCCTCCCGAAGTGTGAAACGCGGAGGATCTTCAGGTCCATGTCTGTATGAAAATGACGACGCGATGGAATCGGCGCATGAAAGCGACAACAGGATAGTATGTAGATGCCAAATGCAGCAATGTTCTGGGTCAACAGTACTGAAAGTGAATGACGATAGTTTGCTGCTGCACTTGCGCCGCCATTGTTTTCTGTTAGAGCGCTCGACTGACGAATATAACCTTCTCTTCCTTATTCCTGCGTAGGAAGAGGAGCGTGGTGATGTGAGTTGAAGCGAGGCGGGACGGATGTGGCGGTAGAGAAGGCTGCCCCCACAATTGCCGTCTGTTGACGCAAAAGGCGCCATGATACGCCAGGAACGAGGGCCGATAGCAACCGCGGAAGAGGATCAAAATTGTCTTGGAGAGATTCGCAGCAAGTCGCATCTGGGCTTCCCGCATAACTAAAAGGCGCAACCGCTGCCACCACGTCCCATGTTACTGCGCACCGCCTGCAGAAATGGAGATGGCATGCGTGTCCAGTTTAGCCAGCGTGGACGCGTCTTACCTTCACCCCGAACCCTGCAGGGTGCTCAATCCAACTACTACTCGACGCAACCCTCAGTGCGACCGCACGGCCTATCACGATACGCCTACAAGCCTCCCGCTTGCCGGCCCAAATTGCGCGTTCTTTGCACCCAGACGACGACTAAAGGCACCCAATACCTCCACTATCCTTCGCATACGGCGCCCCTACTCAACTGGTCCTCTACCGTCCACCGCAAACCACACTTTTGCCCTTCCGCCATGACATCGGCCACGCAGAAGAGAGACCATGCTGGTCATTCCCACCACCATCACCACGACAATACCTTCCTACTGTCCAAGAACAAGAATGACGCCGGCGTGCGCATCACCAAGATTGGCCTGTACGTCAACTTGGGCATGGCAGTCAGCAAGGGTTTTGGAGGCTACGTCTTCAACAGCCAAGGCAAGACACATGTACGCGTTTTAGATTGACTTGAGCTAACATCTGCCAGCACTCATTGCCGATGCCATCCACAGTCTCACCGACCTCGTGAGCGACATCATGACGCTCGCGACCGTCGGCTGGTCCCTCAAGCCACCCACTGACCGCTTCCCCAGCGGATACGGAAAGGTCGAGAGCTTGGGTTCGCTCGGTGTCAGTGGTATACTGCTTGCAGGAGGCTTCTTCATGGGCTGGACCGCTCTACTTGCCCTTTGCAAGCAATTCTTCCCTGAAGCCGCTGAGATGGCTGAGCAATGGGGACTTATACCGCATCACCACCATCACGGCATCGAGGACCTGGGCCCCAACATCAATGCCATCTGGCTTGCAGCCGGCTCAATCGTCATCAAGGAGTGGCTATACCGAGCGAGTAAGCACACCCCCCAACAATGCAAGAAGCGCGCGCTGACATTCACTCCAGCTCTCAAGGTCGCCAAAGAACGCAAATCCACCGTCCTCGCTTCCAACGCCTACCACCACCGCGTAGACTCCCTTACCGCCTTCGTCGCTCTCCTCCTCATCGCCGGCTCCAACATCCTCAACAACGCAAAATGGCTAGACCCCGTTGGTGGATTGGTCATCTCGCTCATGGTCGTCCAAGCGGGCTGGGGGAACACTAAGCAGGCGCTATTGGAACTGGCAGACGTCGGCGTAGACAAGGAGATGAAGGATAACGTGCGGAAAGCCGCAACCAGCGCTGTCGAGGGCATCACCACGGCATCGGAGCCCGTGAATGTGCGCGCGATTCAGGGTGTCAAAGCCGGTCAAAACTATCTGATGGATGTTGAAATTGGCGTATCCAGCACCTGGACCATTGATCAGACACGCGACGTCGAAAACACAATCCGGGAGCGTATCGGTGCCAAAGTGCGCGGAGTAAAGAAGGTGCGCGTGCGCTTCGTAGCCAACTCAGCGGAAGCACCAGACTTTCTTGACGAGTTCATCCCTGGTGACCCTACTGCGACATCGAGCTCCGCATCTGAAGCAGAACATGATCACGACCACGACCACGATCACGACCACGATCACGACCATAAACACGAACCCACCGATGCCAACGCAAGGCGAAGAAAGTGATTTGTGTATATCTATAGACAAGCATGGCTGGGCGTTCGGAGTTGGGCAGAAGGACTACCCGGCGGCATATACTAGACACTCGACAGTTGAATATCTATTGAATCCATCACCTCAACTCGACCCCGGCCCACGCTCTAGACTCGTACTTCCCCACGCTAACAAAAATTCCTAGCTGCCATCGGCGTTTGGCCGAGATGCAACTCCAGAAAATCGTAGCTGTAGTCACGATGTCTCGGCACGAATTTATCCGGCGTCCAATGATCCTACGGCAAAGTACTGGCGCTGCTGCAGGCACCGCCGGCAAAATTGCCTGTGATGTAGCTTGTCCGTCAATGTGGGTCTTGCGTAAGTGTGCCGTATCTTGGGTGTGGGTGTGGAGAGGGTCCTCCAACACCACGAGACGTGATCTGCTTATTTTAGCCATGTCTTGGAAAGTCATAACACTCATATTCTCTCCTCTGCAGCTCGACACGACATTGACATTCTGCGACCATGGCTGATCAATTCTTGGGCTTCGACCTGAGCACTCAGCAACTGAAAGGTGAGGAGACCCCGCTGGAGCTACCCCACCATCTATCTGAACTTCCAACTTGTAGGGCTGAACTGACGCGGTTGCGGTTTCCTAGGTATCATTGTCGGTTCCGACCTTAAGCTTATCCACGAAGCCAAAGTCGACTTCGATGCCGATCTCTCCAAGTATGGAATTGAGAAGGGTGTCCTCACAAACCCCGACGAGGGCGAAGTCTTCGCGCCTGTCGCCCTGTGGCTTGAAGCCATCGACCTTGTCCTGCAGCGATTGAAGGAGCAAGGTGCCGATTTCTCCAAGGTCCAGGGTATTTCGGGTGCAGGCATGCAGCACGGCACTGTCTTCTGGAGCAAAGATGCAGAGACACTACTCGGCAGTCTGGATGCTGGCAAGACGTTGCTCGAGCAGCTTGAAGGTGGTTCCAAGGGCGAGAGGAAGGGTGCTTTCAGCCATCCTTTCAGTCCGAATTGGCAGGACGCAAGTACACAGAAGCAGTGTGATGCTTTTGATGCAACACTACAAGAACCCAGGAATCTGGCGCTGGCTACTGGAAGCAGTGCTCACCACGTAAGCTGCCGAGTCCTTCCCAGCCTTCATCAATACTAACACTATGAAAGCGCTTCAGTGGCCCCCAGATCCTTCGGTTCCACGACAAGTATCCCGAAGCCTACAAGGCGACCGCCCGCATCTCCCTCGTATCCTCCTTTCTCGCTTCCATCTTCCTCGGCAAAGTAGCCCCCATCGATATCGCAGACGTAACTGGAGCAAACCTGTGGGACATTAAGAACGGTCGCTGGCATGAGGATCTTCTAGCACTTGCAGCTGGAGGAAGCGGAGGCATCGAAGATCTTAGGAAGAAGCTAGGCAATGTTCCTGAAGACGGTGGTTCAAGCTTCGGTACCGTCTCGCCATATTTCAGCAAGCGCTACGGCTTCCCATCGTCAGCTCAGGTCATTGCCTTTACTGGCGACAACCCATCGACAATCCTCGCCCTTCCTCTCCGCGCGTCAGATGCCATCGTCTCTCTAGGAACCTCGACCACATTCCTTATGTCCACACCCCAGTACAGGCCCGATCCAGCATACCACTTCATGAACCACCCCACCACAGCAGGCCTCTACATGTTCATGCTCTGTTACAAGAACGGTGGCCTAGCACGCGAGCACATCCGCGACGCAATCAACAAAGCTTCGGGCTCACCTGACAAGTCCTGGGACAAGTTCAATGAAACAGCTCTCACAACGCCCGCGCTCGGCCAGGCCCAGCCCTCCGATCCCATGCGTCTAGGCCTCTTCTTCCCCCGCCCAGAAATTGTGCCAAACGTCAAAGCAGGAACATGGCGTTTCCTCTCCAAAGACAACCAACTCTCGCCTATAGCACCGGAAGCTGCTCAGGGCAAGACGGAGGACAAGTCCTGGCCTATTCCTGAAGCCGACGCCCGCGCGATTCTCGAATCTCAGTTCCTTTCTCTAAGACTCCGATCGCAATCTCTCGTCGAACCCCAGGGCTCTCTCCCCGCACAGCCCCGCAGAATCTACATGGTTGGCGGTGGTGCTGTGAATCCCGCTATCGCTGAACTCGCCGGCCAAGTTCTCGGCGGCTCAGACGGCGTGTATAAGCTTGAAATCGGAGGAAACGCCTGCGCTCTCGGTGCCGCGTACAAAGCGGCTTGGGGTGTGCAACGTTCTTCTCCCCAAGAGAAGTTTGAAGATTTCCTCGAGGCGCGTTGGAATGAAGAGGGCTTTGTTAAGAAGATTTGTGAGGGATATAGAAAGGGCGTTTTCGAACAGTATGGTGATGCGCTCAAGGCATTTGATGAGGTGGAAAAGGTGGCACTTAGGGAGAACGGAGAGGCGGAGAAGGCGGATGCTGTTAAAGAGGCTATTGGGCTACAGGGCCTGGATGACCAGAGGTAAGATGGAGGTAGCGTAGAATATTTTAACTTGTCATCTGTTTATTTCCAGGGCATGTATCCAGTGGAAGTGAATAACTTGGATAATGAACATTCTGGTAGATCCATCATTCGGCGGGACATGTGATGGCGCGCAATCGCGTTGGAAGGGCACGCGACACTTGACGTAACCTCTAGTACTTGAGCTCCACAATGCCAAACTTCTAATCTTCGACACTCCCTCGCGCTTCACCAACTTCAAACTAATTGCACACACTGATTCTCGCATAAAAACATGCCTGGAAGTGCTACAAATCATATCGTATGCGTCGGTGCCGTATACATCGACACCATCTTAACGTATGTAACATGCTCCATGCGGGCAGCCCCGTGAATCAAGTGATTACTCACCTCCAAGCATCCAGAGTCCCACACTTCCCCATAGAAGATGAGAAGCTCCGCGCCAAAGCTATCACACGAAGAAGAGGGGGCAACACAGCAAACAGTCTAGAAGTGTTGTCGCAGCTACAGCACCACGACCCCGAAGCAGCGCGGAATGCTCAAACCACCGACTTGCATCTACTAGCCGTACTTCCTAACGAACACTCTGCTGCTTCCAAATTCATTTGCGAGTCACTCCCTGAAGTAAAGATATCCGGTGTTACCCTATTTCGCCAACAGCACCAGGAAGCTGCATCTAGCTACATTATCCAAAGCGAGGAAACCCGCTCGCGTACGATCGTCAGTAGCAACCCGTTACCCGAAATGAGGGACGACGAGTTCATGCAGCAAGTTCATAGTTTCACTAGCAGCGGTGGTGGGCAAGAGCAAATCGCTTGGAAGAAAGCGTGGTTCCATTTTGAAGGCCGCGTTCCAGACGTTACACTCTCCTGCGTTCGCTTCCTCCGCGAACAATTCCCTCACTTCGGTATCAGCGTCGAGTGTGAGAAGCCTGAGCGAACTGGTATGGCTGAGGTCGTAAAGTACGCGGATGTGGTGTTTTACTCGAGACTATGGGCGGGGAAGAATGGGTATACGGATGCGAGGAGTTTTCTCGAAGAAGCAAGACGGGATGAGATGACGAGGGATGGGGCGATATTGTGTTGTACATGGGGTTCTGGAGGGGCTACTGCTGTGGTTAATAAGGGGAATGATGATGAGGAGGTGGTTTGGGCTGATGTTAGGGCGTGGCAGGTGGAAGGAGGAGCTGGGCAGTCAATGGTTGTGGATACGATTGGTGCTGGGGATACGTTCATTGCTGGTATGCTGTTTGCGGTTAATGAGCATGATGAATGGTCGTTGCAGCAGAAACTTGAGTTTGCGAATGAGTTGGCTGGGAGGAAGGTTTTGCAGGAGGGATTCAGTGGCTTGGGGAAGAGAATGTGGTAATAGAATTGCCATGAAAAGGCTTATGGTTATCCGTTCGTCTTCTAGGATTTCAGGGCTTTCGCTTCTCTCAACTAAGAAAAGGCATTACTGACCGGAGCACAAGGTTGGATTTCCCTAGGCTAAAAGACTTACATAGCCTGCTCGTCATATATGCAAGGCCTTTAGTGGTACGGCCTCATTTCTTAAAGGCCGGAAGAGACGGAAATCGAGGAAGGCTCGCATGGAACTAGGGAGACTGCCATGGCTCTAGCAGCATGTTGTCACAGCACAGTCGCAGATAGAACGCGAGTAAGATAATGGCTTTGCATGAATAGGGCTAGCTTCCACCTCAACCGAGCCGAATGGTGGCTTCCAACTTGAGTATCGTGGACAGGGTCAAAGATGCCAATATCTCTGCTGCATACATACATGCAGCAAAACATCTTAGCAGTACCTGCTAACGTATCCCTCAACCTAGCTACTTGCAATGAAAAGACCCCTTATTGTTTTTTATTGCGTCTTTGTTATGGGAGAAACTTCCCTTGCCAGCAGTTAGTCCGATAAAGGAATTGTCGTTTTCTTCAAAGCTCCGGTCGTTATTCGCAAGGACGGCCCCGCTCGCATTATTGCCCTGCGAAAATTAGCATGTCAAATAATTGAGGGCATATTGACGTGTTTACTTCGCTTGTTGCTTCTTGACTTGAGTCTCCGGGTGTGCTGGTGTCATCTCTTCCTTCTCCACGGTAGATCTGGATCTCCTTCCCTTGAATATCATGCCCTTCTTGAAGGGAGTGTGTGGGCTCTGACGATTGGGTCGAGCTCGACATGATTTCAAAATCACAAGATATGGAGGTGAAGTAAATAGAGGACTCGGCTTTAGGATAGAGCCTTGTCTGGCGTGAAAAGTCTCGTAGATGGCCTGCACAAGTTCTCGTGTGATCATGACAAGGACCAAGACTGGTATATATAGTAAACACATAAGTGATTAGAGCGTTTTCCCTCTTTATATTACGAAAAGGTCGTGAAACCAGTCGGGAATAGACCAGCGAGTCACCTCTGGAGGAACTCAGACGGTGCAGGCGAAGCAGTGAACGGAGCCTTGGAAGCTGGCGTCTGTGGACGTGGCGGAATGGATATCTCCATTGAACCTATGCCAGGGATCCAAGCTTCGAGATAAGGCACATCATCCCATTAGAGATGAGAGGCTTAGTAGGCTCACCGGTGGGCTACTGAGATGCCTATGTGTAGCTAAGAAAGGTGGGGCTCGATGACGCGATAGGTATCACAGACTCGCGCCCGCTCGCTAAGCAAGACAGTCGCCTGATAATAATCATGGGGTTCTGGCTTTGACTTTTGGGCACTCATTACCGAATCCTTGTGAGCATTTCCGGAATGATCCTGAGAATGATGCTGGCGTGGCAAAGTTGCCCTATAACTAACATCAACAGTAACTTCGCTATCTAGTTTTCATCGTCCCACAATCCAACGCGTACGGACAAAATTTCAATGAACAGCTACAGACGTTCGAACGGCCTATCGTCGTCAGATATTATTGCGCTGGCCGTTGGCATTCCCACTGGGGTGCTTACTTTCATTGGTGTGTTGCTTGCCTATCTTGGATATCGAAGAAGGCGTATATTGAATGCAAATGTAGGCAATGACTGCGATATAGAGTGTGCGGGGGTTGCATATCATCTAACCATACAGCAGACGAGACGAAGAACGCCAAATTCTTTCCAGCCGGAAGCGGATGAAACCAACTCGACGCATATCGACAAAGACAGCGACTCAGGTAAGACCAAGAATTCTTTGACTGTAGCAACGAACTTAGTTTTTCCCCAGAGCATGTACGGTATCCGACCACGGAAGCTGCAGCACCAGGTGCCAAGGCTGGCTCTGTGATCATCGGCACTTTGAGTGGCAATGTCAACTCGATGAATGGAGTTACGAACAGTTATAACCTTCAACAAGTGTAAGGCTTGGTGGAAACTTGTTCTCGAGTAAAAGGAGGCTTTTGCACTTGGCTGAAGGAACGGGCTGGCTTCCAAGTAAACGCCGCGAATATACACGACACACAAGGCTTGGATAGACGCCCGCATCCAATCGCTGCTCATCTACGATGCTTGGCGGTCAACGATGCACTTTGAAGGACCATGGGCTTATGCTGCCGCATATGAGTTGTTTCTTGTATTGTTGAGTTTTTGGGTCCGCGCATGTCCGGATGGCTGGATTTATTGGCTTAGCTGTCTGCCTTCCGGTGAAGATTATCCCTTGTACCACCCAGTCTCTACCTAGATGCATCAAGTACGACGATCGCTGTATTTGCCACACTGGTAATCCTGTTGACCAGCATCAATATCGTCCCGCGGAGATGTTATAGCAACTGGACGGATGCGAAGGCGACGAGAAGAAGAAATCAAGAGTAAGCCATCCAATGCCATATGAACCCACTGACTTCGCTGCGCACGACTGGGAATTCTTCCAGGGCGCAGAAACCGCTATACTGTACATCCTCCAACCAACATATGTCTTTACATTGATATCGCCTGAGGACCCATATTCCATTATAGGCACTTCTCTGATGGAAGACTTGGGCACTGGTTATCCTAGCACTTCACTCATCAATTTAAACTATCAGTGTCTGCGTGGGTAAGGTATACTTGAACTTTCAGTGTCTAACCAAAGAAACTCTTTCCATAGCACCTGCCGTATCAGGTTGTTATGTGACTCGCACTACTCTTTGCATAACCGAGCTAGGGGGTGGCTCATACTCCTATCACAGGGTATTGTGCAGGCAGGCTGAACATGAATTTGGAATTGTAACCGGTCAGCTCCATGAGGCGCACCCCTTTCACCAAACTTCGTGCTGCTGACAGCCAGCCACCAGCGCTTCAAGTCTGGAGGCGTCCGAGTGCTGCCGACAACTTAATAGATAGCACAATGCTACTATTCCAGTTTGTGGCACATATCACGCCAGTTGTTGCGAGTATCTGATGCAGGCCACCTTACCCAGTATCGAGCCTACCCAAACTCTGGAAACCACTTCCTTATCATGCCCTCATCCTCAGAAGCCGGCATACCTTTAGGAGCACTTTCGAAAAATACTGGGGCGCTAAACAACAACGACAACTCCTTCAATCGTGATCAATCTCATCAGAACACACTTCGCCACAAAACCCAGCACGACAATGCCGTCCATACCTATATTAACAACCATTTGCACTCGAGCAAGGTTGAACTGTGGCACGTTGTGTTGCTCGTTTTGTTGGCTTTAGCCATCATTGGCGTAGCTGTAGGCGTACCAGTCGGACTAAAATCTGCATCTCAATCTGAAGGCAAAGTAGGTTCTATATTCTGACGTTCCCATATGGAATGACCTACGAGCTCATCTGATCTCTCTTAGGCTTCAGAATCTTCGGCTGCTTTCAGCTCTCTTCCTAGTTCGACTGATGCCTTCCTGCCATCAAACCAGCGACCACCGCTCGAACCGTCTACTGCATCCCAGACCACTACATCTCAGGGGAACTCTCAACAGGACTCACCCACTCAATCAACACAAACAGAGGCTCCCCTCTCTGGTGGCGCTGCTTGCACTGCCAACAGCCAGTGCAAGCAGCCGAATGTGTGTCTTACGAACGGAGAAACTAGGACGTGTTGCGATACGACCATTCAAGGTTGTCCGGGTGCCCCATGTTCAGTTAACGATTGTCTAGATCCATACGGATGTCTAGTCGAATTTGGCTCATGTTGTGGATATCCGCCTTATACGAACCTTAACGGATCTACCTGCTCTTAAGCTTCATAGGTATTGCCATGGTATCAAAGCTGTTGTTCTTCTTATCCTGCGGTAGAAGGAAGAAGACAGGAAATCTTCAGAGGGTAAAAAAGCATATAGAGGTGGCGGAAATGGTGACTGAGCTGCTTGGATATAATGGAGACGGGTTTGTTGGATATCTAGGGTCTGTTTAGTGGTGATCGTACATTGCAGAGTGTGGGATATATAGAAGACCAGAAACCCTACCATATGAAAAGTAACTACTAGGCTCCCTGAATGTACCATGCCAGTAACCACCTACCCATTGTAGTCCTCCGCCGCTACGTTCACGTACCCATCCTCCTCAGACCCCATCTCGGTTACCGCCATCTCACAGGTCTCCTCTGCTCTCTCACAAACTTCCAAATGCCGTCCAACCCTCGGAAAAACGTCCACATGCGCATGCTGACCCATCCAACAATCCAGATGTCCATAGCCATCCACAACAAATCTTTCATACTTCCCATCGGGGAAACATTCCCTCAGCAGATCAAAACTATGCTTCGTACTTTGCTGGCTCCAAACGGCGTTCTCAGCTCCACTCAGCCAGCAGATACTCAATCCCTTTAACCGCTCTAGATTCGTCGGCGTAACCAGATCTCCAACCCCGGACTTATTGCTGCGAACATGGTGAGGTGGAATAGCACCCATGCTCGATAAGTGCGAGACGAAGTTGGTATGAGTACCGTCAAACCAGTGACCAAGATGCTTGTGTGTGGCGTGATTGAGATTGGCGTGCGTCCAGCAGCGTCCAAATGGGACGTCGCATCTGTGGCAAACTGCAGAGTTGCAAATCTCGCTTCTAGTGCCCGTGGGATAGAAACGTAGTATCTGATCCAGCAGGAACTGCACCCATGGCGAGGACGAAGAGGAGTGGCATGAGAACCAGGGGCCTGCTAATGTCTACTTGGCTGTAAGTGGAAGGACTTGAACGAGGACGCAGAAAGACTTACTTCGTAGGCCTTTATGAGAATTGGGTGCCGCGCTTTGAGATCGTTATCTGGGCTGAAGATCAGGTTAATGAATACTTGACTGCATGTCATGCCCTTCACCCAGGAAGCTTCTACATCTCCTGTAAGCAGGGCAATGCCGGTTGCTATGCTTCCTAAGCAATGAGCAATGACGTAAATCCTTCTATTTTGTTCCTTCTCTCGAACGTACTGCATGGCGGCTCGAACGTCCAATCGAGCATCGTAAACAGTGTCGCCCTTTCTGGCTTCTTCTCCGAATCCGAATCGGAGAATGGGGACGTAACACCGGTAGCCGAGCGAGGTGAAGTAGTCGACAGTATTCGTGGATATAGTTGGCAAAGAGAAGATTTGATCATCTACAGATGCACCAGGGATAAGTACAATCGGCGTTTGTTTCTCGTGTATGGTGGATGGAGGATGCCATAACTTAATCGGAAACTCGACTCTGTCTTCGGCAGTGAGCTTAGTCACAGTTGGAACTGCCTTCTCATAGTAGTCCGATTTGTCAGTAAGCGGCGTTGGATACTGGAGTCGACGAAATGGGCTGAACATGTACGATGTGATGTTGGTTGCAAAGAACTTGAGGAAACGAGCTTGCGCTTGAATATCGCTCACGATACCCATAGTTGAGCGAGATCGTAGGGATCGAAGTTCCAAGAATAAGTCGCGGAGTGATAGGTGTAAGATACCTTGGCCGACTATTATGCCATCGTCCCCAGTGATTGTTGTGTATAAGGTTGTTGTGCCGCCCCAAGTCTCCGAGAACGAGAATGTAGCGGCTGAATCGAGTCTTTTGTAGCCATGGAAGCCGTATTTCGCGCCGTCTGTGCCGAGAAAATTTAATTTATACACGAGGTTAATTGCATCCGCAACGTTCTCGTCGGTTGTGAAGAATTCGACTATGCCACCAGTGACGAGGAGTGGGTCTTGGGATAACGCACCGCAAGCAAAGGTCCCAGATGGCACACCCTGGTACGAATCATCACTGATACGGCGCGTGTCAACCGTAAGTACAAGTTGAGCTGAACAAGAAGCCTCTCTCGCTATCTTTTCTGCAATACCAAAGTCCGAGATGTCGTTGCCGATGTGAACGTGACCCCGCATGGTTTCCTCAAACTGTACGCCTTCTATGGAATCGTTGCTCATATCAAGAGCGAGCCGTTTTCCAGTTTTTAGTAGTATGGGAAGGGTCGTATCGTCCAAGGGATCAAGTTTGTCATTTGAAGTGTCGTCGGCTGTCCAACCACGCTCTTTCATGACCAGGTCGCAGCTTCGCTCAGCTAGTGCGGTGATAGTAGCGCATGGATTCACACCTTGGAGGGCAATCATTAGCTGCAATCGCACCAAACCGGACGCATCAACAAAGCAACTTACCGAGTGATGTTGGAATACTTGAGCCATCTACACAGACGATCCCCTCGTACACTTCATCTCCTCTCCTATCAAAAACCTGTCCACAATGATTGACCACGCCTCCAAGACTAGTTCCGTCATTGCTCATTACTGCGCCGCCAAGAGGATGGACGGTAATACATGGAGCCTTGACAAGTTTACCCCCAAGGTTTTCGGTCATCTCAAGGAGAACGCTGTCAATGTTTGCACTTCGTTTCTGGCTCCCTATACCCGACCACTGCAAACTCACTGCATCGCCTTCAAGTAGCATCTTCCCTTCGTTCTCATCATGCGACATGGTGAGAAAGACTAGCGTTCGGTTGACGCTACCGCCTTTAGCATACGGTCCCAAAATCCAGGCCTTCAACCTGGCCAGCAAATTGCGTGTGGTGTTAGGCACTTGCGACGGCACGGCAGTCGTCTGGGTCTCGAGCAAACCTTGAATGACTGGCGCCAGTGCTTCAGGAATAGCGCCGTCTTGGATCACATACCCGTCCCGTAGACTTTTGGCATGTGTGGGGCCTCTCATATCGACGCAAGCGGTAATCGTTGGACCGCACGACCTGGAACTCACGTTGTCTAAGTGTTCATGGCCAACGCTTCCAACGTTTTGGTTGCAGTTGTATGCAAAAGCCAACATGTCGCCATTACCTGTGAATCTTTGACCCAACAAAGGCGACGTACGAAGGCCATAGCGATGTGATCGCAGCAGTATTTCTGTTGTTCCGAGCGAGCCGGCTCCTAGGAAGATAGCCTCCTTCTATATTGCGTTAGTCCAAGCTATACCTGAGAAATCTCATACTTACGGCACTAACCCACTTCGCTATCTTCTTTCCTCTTCCATTGGACACCTCGTAGAATACTATGTACCCTTTGCCTTTGTCTTTCTTCTTCAGATGGCTGACATCAATTCCGCAAAAGATCTCGGCGCCTCTTGTCCAAGCATCAGTTAGGTACGTCACGAGTACTGAGTTCTTGGAACCATCGTTGGCACCTGTGGACTCATTGCCAGAACCTGTGCTTTCACGCATGTGTATACCAGCTCGGTTGATACTGGGGCGGAAGGTTGTTGTCAGGGGAGGGTAGTAAAAGCTATCAAGTAAGCCGAGATCTCTGACTTGTTTTTCAAAGACGGCCAGTTTGCGCGGTGTCAGATAATGTGATGGAAAACTTGTTGGCTGGAGCATGCGCTCAGCTCTTGCATAGTCTATGTTGAAAGGTTATGATGGGTGTCTTTCCTGCTGAAGTGCTCGAGTACTCACACTTCTTAAGGCTCTCGGTATCTTCTCTAATCTCCTTCGGCCACTCTGCTGCTTTCAGCAACCTCTCATCCGGCTCTAGAAACACCCCGGCGTTGATCAAGCTCGTCCCTCCCAGGCCGCAACCTAGGAAGACATCTTGTCCTTCACCCTTGACAGTATGGTAAAGCCCTGCCGCCTTTCCTATATTGATCGATTTACCAGATGTTCCTCCACTCACACCATACTCTCGCATGGCTTCTTTGAACGTATGAGGATACTGCCCTGGCCACATCTCATCTCCACGTTCTAGTACACAAACGCTTTTTCCAGCTCTTGCCATGCGCGATGCTGCAACACCACCGCCATATCCTGAACCAATGACCACTACATCGTATTCAGGTTTCATAGAGGATGGGTGACGACTTAAGTGGGGATAGCCTCTACTGATCGATGAAGCACCCAAGTATGCGTTCGATAGCCGTTGTTTTTCTAAGCCAATTCCCACAAGTGTTGGTTTTAGAAATACAAAAGAGATTTCTGATAACTTTGACTGAAAGACATGGCTAGTGACATGCCAAAGAAGATAGCATATACAGGCAAGGAATGCGATTAGGTATGTCGACTCTAGCATGGCGGCCACTTGAGAATGCGAATGCTGGATCGTTGAATTGACAGCGGGTGTCAGGCTCAAGTATGGAAAGTTTCAAGCAGTGGAGGATACTTCGCATCGGCAAAGCCTTCATGTAACATGAAACCATCGCCATTGGCGAATTCCGTCCACAGCAATAAGCCCTAGAAATCTCCTTGGGGCTGGACGCCGCATCGGACCTAGCATTGTCGCCCGATTAAGCATACTAATGCAGGTCGTGAGCGTATCCCTTGTCGATGCCAGCGGGAGTGTCTGGATCGAGCGCTCGACCGATAGATAGCAGTTGTATGATTGGATGCAATTCTAGAGGGTCGCACTGTTGCACCGAAATAGTAAGTGAGGTTGGGGGCCATTTCCGGTCGGTAGCGGTAGCGGCCCGCGCGGTAACGGACGGTATCAAGAAGTTGACATCGCTTATCGATAGCAGTAGCAAGAGCAGCTTTCTAGGAATCACGTACGCGCTAGAATTCGTGATCACCATCAAGAGAGTGTGTAAAAAGGGCAACAGCCATGGTCCTAGTGGGTGAGACGCCACCCTCTCAGGGCGTCGCTCCTGTCGATCTACCGGCTTCGAGCAAGTTATTGGTCTCCAGGCTCATCAGCCATCGTGTGCCATCTGTCGCATACGCGCATCATCTATTTAAATATGAATAATGGAAGTGGGGTCGTTCGAGTAGAGGTGTGTTTTTGATGACGAGAAGTAGGGTGACGCGGTCACTTCTTCCGACCTCGGCACATCTCGAAACTAACGCTTAGCATCGAATCGCCTTCTTCCTTTGCTAACACGAACTAAGAATGACCAGACTAAGCTGCCCTGCCCGCTATGGAAGCTATCAGCCAACTGCGCACGAGAAATCACGAACACGATTCCCCAATAAATAGGCACGTCGCCAGTGCATGGGCTTTTGGCTATCGAACCCAGGTCCAGTACAGACGCCCCCGAGGAAGCTTTCCGACGTGTCGGTTTGATCGACTTTGACGAAGCGGACGACAACGCATAATCGCAAAAGACTTCGAAGTTGCAATAAAAATAATGGAGGATTACTTGTACTAGACTGGCGAAAGAAAAAGAGCGACGCCCACGATTGCGACTAGTATCTATCTTACATTGCGTGGTTGAGAGCCTAAAGCTGAGCCCTCAACTCCAGCTGATGATCCAGGAAAGACGCGATGGTGTCTTCCATCTTCCTCCACTTGAGGCCCAGAATCTCCTCAGCGCGACGCGCCTCAATAGGAGGAGGCGCATCAAATGAGCCTTCCAGCTTTGTACCCAAGTTAGGATACTTCTCTCGTACAAATTTCGCTACGTTGGTCCACGACCACCCATCTTTCTCACTAGCGCTCACGATGAATTCTTGAACTCCATTCTTTCCTTCCAGATTCGCCCCTAAGGCGCGTACATGCGCAAGCGCAACGTCCCTGACATCCACGGCGGCCGCGGGGATGAATGGCTTTTCGGAGTAAAGGCTGCCCCAGAGCATGGCATTAGTACCATCAACGCCATCAGGGGATGTCTGGCTAAGGTTGCGACCGAACACGAAGGAGGGATGTAGGGTGACGACTAAAAAGTGAGGTTTGTTCTCCGCAACCCATTCGAGGGTGGCTCGATGAGCTAGGAGCTTCGAGGCGTGATATTTCATTCCTCCGCTTGCCATGGGGTCCTCGGGGAACTCCATGTCGGGATTCACAGCAAGACTAGGGTTTAGCCCCTCTGAAAGAACATGTTAGATACGTGTCTAATTTGATTGCATACGGAAAGGGCAAGGCATGTTTATGGCATAGAGACACACCTTTAGCGTTCATCACTCCCGTGACCAAGGCATCCAACGGGACCAAGGCGAGTATCGATGACACAATAACGACACGTTTGATTGTCCTGACTTTCTTCGCGGCATTCAACACCGATGTTGTACCTTGCACTGCGGGATTCAGATACTCTTTCTTGAAGTCGATGCCCGTCCCAGGCATTGGGGAGGCGATGTGAAGTACGTATTCGACATCTTTGAGTGCACTGTCGAATGCGCTAGAGATAGATAAATCGGGAATAACGACAAAGTCGACCTTGTTAGCATGCTTGGAGAAAAGAGTTTTAAGACCCTCGATTTGGGATTCCTTGCGCACGCTCAGACGAACTTTGTAGCCTGCTTCGAGGGTTTGGAGGACGACGTGGGAGCCGATGAAGCCTGTTGACCCGGTAATGAAAACGAGAGATGGAGTCATGGTGAAGGAAATGATGATCAATGATGATGCCTGTTGTTATAAATGAGTAAATGATGGTTGCGACTTATTTGATTCAGCGCCGTAGAGTCCTTTTATATCCATAGTGTTATCCAGCCTTGTGCCGGAAGGCTGTGTTAGATTAGTTCTCGAGACTGGGTACTGTAAGCAGTCTCAGCTCAAAGCCGGAGTGAGATTGCAAATACCTCCGTCTTCAGCGTAACTCCTAGTGACAAACTCGCGAGAGAAGACCTTCCCAGCCGTTTGGAGCCGTACGCATATAGGCCTACGTGCGTATGATTCTCCGATTATTAAACATGCTACGCTAGCCCGATAGAGTGCTTGCTGAATACTGATCTTTCTAGCCCAGCGACTAGTGGGCTAATCACCGTAATCTAAAGCTTCATTCCGACGGCCGAAGCCGCGCACTAGTTGTTGCGTCATTTTTAGAGGCAGCGGAGAATGAACCCCGGCAGTCGACCACTTTAGCTCATACATTGCCAAGCGTTACGCCAAAGACATGTGGACCATCGGGGTGGAAACTGACCGCAACCGTCGGCCGTGGTGCTCTGGTCGCGATTTTACGTGCGTAAGAAGCGCAGTACTACTAGCACCGCTTACTACGTGATTGTTAGAAGAGATATACCAAAGGTAATAAATATAACTTGAGCAACATGCTTCCTCATCACAACTCAACCACAGCCTGGACAACATACTTCCTCATCACTCTTCAACAATACTCAATACCCAGCCACACATATTACTTACCATTCACTTCCAAAACCCACCAACATGCCGCTCTGGATCTTCTACCACCCCGACGGTACATTTGAGGACGATGCATCCAGAGAAGCCCTATCTAAAGACGTCGTCAAGATGTACACCGACATCGGTCTTCCCGCCTTCTACGTTATCACGAACTTCATCAAGATGCCTGGCAACACCATGCTAGTCGGAGGCAAGAAAGTCGGTAAAGATGAAAAGCCATTCATCCGCATCGTCATCGAACACATTGCCGTGAGACTACCAGACGAAGACGAAGTCTACCGAAGGACCGCCAACGGGATTGACGCTGTCCTCAAGGCCCAGGTTTTCGACAAAGGTTACAACTATGAGTTCCATGTCGATGAGACGGAGAGGAGGCTTTGGAAGATTAATGCTATCTTCCCACCCATGTTCGGAAGCGAAGAAGAGAAGATATGGGTCAAAGAGAACAGAGCCGTGGATTTTGGAAATGCCGCTTCGCTGTAGTGTGGTACTGTCAGTCTAAGTCGATGATAGTCAACGTTTGGTCCGGGGGTCCTTTGAATGGAGGAAAGATGGAGCCGTCATCTTCTTGTATATAATGACTGTGTTCAAGGATTCGCATACAAACATTCCTTCGAATTGTATATATCAATTTACCCCCCTGTTCCTATATCACGATCAGCAGTGCGGTTGGGCAGGTGTGGATTGGTCTGTTCAAGATCATACTGCTAGTAAACTTTTTCCAAACCAAAACAATCAGCGAACCTACCCAAGAGCACTATGTAAAAGGAAAAACTCTGCAACCTTAGTTTAAAAACCGCCGCGTTTGCTCTTACATTCATCGTTGAAGTTGTGTTTTGTGGGTGGGACGATTTTGGCGGCTTTTGATTCCAACATTTCGTCGTAGGTCAAGGTGCACGATAACCAGAAAAGCGTGAGAAAACACGCGGATATCGATCATGCCGGCAGCGATAACACTTGTCACAGACCGAGGAGGTGAGATTCGCAAGCTATCTATGTCTTTCTATCATCTATACCGTATGTCTGACAAGTTGCGACGTGGCGTTCCGATATTCCCAGTCACATCGGTGGAGTTAGTGGTGATAGCATAAGGAATGCGCAGCCCGATATTTCTAGTGATTCATATCGAGAAAGACCCACTTGCGAAGATTCAATGTACACGGTGTTATGAGAGCCCGAGTTAGGAACATAGGGGAGGGTTGCAGAGCAGGTCGGAAAGTTAATTGGACAAGACTCAGGTGCCTATAAATTGCGCTAGCCCACCGTGCACCGACGCGTGCTGAGCTACCGCGCTCGCTTAGCCACCTACCAACAACGTAGACGACATAACAACAAAGTTCCATTCTGAATTACCATAAGAGTTTCTAGTGCAAGAACACTGTACTCGCTCAGGTGCGTTAATCGCTTATATAGTACATTACTCGGATTTCACGGTACGAGAAAGATGCGCCGTATTCGCGCGATTCAACGTCTTCAATCCTCCCTGAATCGAGTCTATAGTGGTGGAGTTTCGTACTGTTGGATGTGCGCGTAGGATCCTTGGTTGTGTGTGGGGTAGCTCAACACGCGCGTCGCCTGATCACCCGCCCGGCGACGGTATGCTGTATGGCCCTTGTCGAATATATTGGATTTCGAGGCTCCTCTTAGCAACACCCACTCTGTTTCACATTTTCGCTTTTATTGGTACTCTGCCTCACCTTATCGCTCTGCTAGTGCACAACGATTTTAGCGCAACATGCTTTACTCCTTTGTTGACTGCATCTTCGCGCTTCGATTAGTAAGCGAGAACCGAAAACTTCCCTCTTGACGTCTTCGCAATTACGCCCACGCATGATCTCTCTGGGAGTGTTCTACACGCACTCGACTATCGATATTCCTGCAGCACGATAAGGAAGCCCACCTAAGACGTTGCCAGAAAGATTGGAAAGATAGAGATATCCAGTTGCTACCAGGGACCGAGGTATACGTAAGCAGAAACTACCACTTCGCAAGTGTAGAATCTTGCCACAACCGGTGAGCCGTCAAAAGTCGCAAGCTGCGGATTCCAAGAAGGTAGTCTAGTTCCCATGCTTACCTTCAGCTACTTAGGACAATCGCAGGTCTAGTCCCTTCAGCCGCGGATTAAGCCGTTGCTGACAAGCCAATCTGTGCAGGTTGTCTGCAGTGCCCGTCTTTCTCTACCCCAGTGGACCTCTCAACCTTATCTTTGTGCAACTTTATTATCTCTATCACTGGACCGTCTGATGGTGATCATCTCAGCCTCAAGCCATCTACCACTGTTTTCTCGTCAGCTTTATATTATGACGTTGTTTCAATCACACCACCTTACAAATCATCATCAGCAATCCAATGGCTTTATGGTGGCAGACCGCTACATCGTTCCCTTATCGGCCAGTATGGTTCGGGATGATGCACCCACCGAAGCACCATCAAAGGCTGAGCTCTATGTTTCGTGTGGTGGTCAAGAGTGGGAGCGATTACCTCAGATGATATGTCGCGCGACACTATTTTTGATTTTCAGCAGCTAAGTGACTTCGGTGTTGGTTGGGGCTGGCTTTTCGAAAACGTCCGGTTCCTTGATCACTGCCTGCTTCTGACGGAACTGGCTGAGGTTCCTTCTTATGTCAATGTGATTTCCAATAAAGGAATCATCAAACAGCACAGCTCGTTGCTGCATCCATCGTGAAACCAACCACCTAACTTCCTCAATCAAGATGCCGCATTCTCTTCTTTTGCAGTTACTTTTGGTAACTTTTGTCTCTTGCCTAAGGTTCAACGATGCATTTGTTGGGTACAACCTTAATGAGAATCAAGCAGCTGTAGACCCCCTCGACTACTCGGGTGAATGGAAAGACCATAAATTTCATCCCTCACCAACAAACTGGCGATTTCCATTCTACACTCTGTTCCTGGATAGATTTGTCAATGGCGACCCGACCAACGATGACATAAATGGGACAGTGTACGAGAAGGATCCACAAAGCAACCAGTTGAGGCATGGAGGTGATCTGATGGGATTGATAGATAGCTTGGATTACATTCAGGGACTTGGTATCAAGGTAAGCAGCTCTAACCCCTTCTGAATTCTGTGCTGAAATATGCAGGGCATCTATATCGCCGGTTCTCCTTTCGTCAACAATCCATGGAAAGCAGACTCATACTCGCCGCTGGACTTGACGCTCCTTGACAAACACTTTGGAGATATTATGGCATGGCGAGCAGCAGTGAACGCGATTCACGAGCGGGGGATGTATGTGATATTAGATCACACAATGGCAACGTATGTAACAGGATAGCTAAAGGCACACCTCAGTTGACACATCTATAGAATGGGAGATCTTCTCGGCTTTGAGGGCTTTCTCAACAAAACCGCGCCTTTCCAACCAGACGAACACAAAGTACAGTGGAAATCAGACCGCCGTTATCATGACTTCTCGTTTGGAAATAACTATAAGGATAAATGCGCATATCCAAGGTTTTGGAATGAATCTGGGCTTCCAGTCCTGAAGGATTCCGATGCGACGTTCAGTAGACTCGTCGGATGCTACGACAGCGAGTTCGATCAGGTGCGTACCTGCATCCAAGAGTCTGCGTTTTATACTGATGGCTTAATTCTTACAGTACGGTGATACCGAAGCCTTCGGCGTGTTTCCTGACTGGCAGCGCCAACTGTCCAAGTTTGCCTCAGTCCAAGACCGCTTGCGAGAATGGGTTCCTTCAGTTCGAGAAAAGATCCAACACTTCTCGTGCATAACTATTTCAATGTTAGATATCGATGGCTTCCGGTTCGACAAGGCTACGCAGATCACTGTCGACGCTCAAGCTGAGTTTGGTAATTACATCCGACAGTGCGCGCGAAAGTATGGGAAGACCAACTTCTTCATGCCAGGGGAGATTACGGGGGGAAACAACTTCGCTTCCATTTACCTTGGACGCGGAAGACAACCTGATCAGACCCCGCACAATATTACGCAAGCTGTCACCCTTACCAATAATTCGGATGATAAATACTTCTTGCGAGAAGTCGGAAAACAGGCATTAGATGCAGCAGCTTTTCATTACAGTATCTACCGATCGCTCACCCGGTTTCTTGGATTAGACGGCAATTTAGCTGCAGGCTACGATGTTCCCGTCAACTTTGTTGATGCTTGGAATACAATACTCACCACGAACGATCTTGTCAATGCCGAAACCGGAGAGTTTGATCCACGGCACATGTATGGAGTCACGAACCAAGTAGGCCCTTTCCGAACTTTTCAAAGTCTCTTTGTGCGCGACGCTAATATTACCAGGATGTTTTCCGCTGGCCTGCCATCGACCAAGGTACTGAAAGGATGTTGCTTGGTCTTTTCGTCACAACAATTCATATCCCTGGCATCCCAAAACTACTTTGGGGTGAAGAGCAAGCGTTCTATGTCCATGATAGCACTGCCGCGAATTATATTTTTGGAAGACAGCCAATTTCATCCGCGTTGGGCTGGCAAAATCACGGTTGCTATCGCCTCGGCAGCTCGCAGTACCACAATCTGCCAGTCAAAGCTGGGCTTAATGGCTGCCATGACGATACCGTTAGCCAGGATCATCGTGATCCTTCTCACCCGGTTCACAACATCATCAAGAATATGTACCACCGTCGTACCCAGTATCCCATCCTCAACGATGGGTACTTTCTACAGTCGCTCTCCAATCAGACCCGTGTAGTGCAACTACCAGGTTCGAACGGAACGGCATCAGAATTTGGAATGTGGAGTGTTATGAGAGATCAGTATCCGGGTGTCCAAAATTTGACCAAAGGAGAAAACCATACGCAGGTCTGGCTCGTCTACTCCAACGAAGATCACAATGTCAACTACAAATTTGATTGTGAGTCCAAGGAAAGAGCGGTCCTTTCGCCATTCGAGGCTGGAACCTTCGTCAAAAACCTCTTCGCTCCATACGACGAGATTGAGCTCAAGAACAGCTCCACCGCTCTGGGGATCGATGGCTCCCAAGAGTTCAATGGATGCATTGACGAGCTTGACATGAAGGCATATGACTTCCGGGCGTATGTACCAAAGGCCAACTGGTTAGATCCAATGCCTGTCATCACGAAATTTTTGCCTGGCCATGACGCTCAGATTGAGTCTAAGAAGTCATCGAAAGAAAAGGATTCACTCGAGATTGAGATTCAATTCTCCGAAGCGATGGATTGCGATCCAATCATAGATAACCTCGTCCTTACTTCTGATACTGAGAACGAATTTTTTGCAACAGTGGACAGAGACTCAATCAGCTGCACCGAAATTTCTTCCGCAGAATCTACTCTTGTTGGGGGTTTAGTCTCGAAATGGAGCTGGAAAGCCATTCTGAACGACATCTCGCATGGTGTTCACACTGTCACTATCAAAAACGCCACAACTAAGGACGGAGAACGTTTTACGAACGCGAATGATAAATTCATCATCCGTATAGGAGCCAAGAACAATCCAATAGTTTTTCCACGGCTCGCAAACTATACTACGGACACACTCAAGCAGGACTCAAAAGGATTGCATTTGTCACACGTCGCCCCAGGCGCCAACAAATGGAGATACTCCACGAATTGGGCATCAAATTGGAGCGAGTGGCAAGACTACAAAGGAGGAGACAGTGATCTGTTGAGACAACCTTGGTCGGGTACTAAACGTCAAAAGTGGAAGGGCGAGCATGTTATTCTACAATACTGGAGCCGTGTGACCGGAAGCAGCGATCACATCCAGCACGCCGATGCAAATTATGACGGTCATCCAAGACGGTTCCCACATCTCTTTGCCCATGGGCCCTACAACCAATTTGGATTCGATAGTGGTATAAAAAGCGCATTCGACTTGGCCAACGATGGGAAGTGGAAATTGCATATCATGACCGAATGGCCTTCGGTCGCCCAAGTCAACGTTTGGGGTATGAATCCAGACGGCAAACCTGACGCAGGATTCGTGTTTGGCGATGTTGACAAGGATGGTATCATGGACCGGCTACCTCCGGACTCTCTTGCGAAAAATGTGCTGAACATGTCTACTCTGCCACCTCGGCCGTACCTGGCTTACCGCATTGAGGTCGACGATACTACTATGGCCTATAAGCTCGTCTACATGGGCAACCGGTTCGTACAACTGATCCTCTTTACACTTCTCTGGTCTCTTCCAGTAGCGACCGCTGCAATCAGTATATGGATCTACAAGGGTGCCTTCTACGGTGTCAAGTTCAATAAGACAGGTGTGAGCACGCAGAGTCTCGCTATTTTCGCGTCTTTGGCATTTTGGCGCCGTGGCCACAAATTCGAAAATGTTCAATCCGAGGAGGTTGTGGAATCGAAACGGCCTAATTCGCGCCTTGGTTTTCCGCGATCGCGAGATCCGTCTCCCATGATCACAGCGTCTATCAGTAACATCGGAGGGAGGAAGAAAAGGCCGATGATCCTCATCGCAACTATGGAATACGATATCGAAGATTGGGCGATCAAGATCAAAATTGGTGGATTAGGCGTTATGGCACAGCTTATGGGGAAAAATTTGCCTCACCAGGACTTGATATGGGTCGTTCCATGTGTCGGTGGGGTGGACTACCCTATTGATACACCCGCGGATCCTATGCTGGTAACTATTCTCGATACTGAATACGAGATCCAGGTTCAATATCACAAACTCAACAACATCACATACGTCTTACTAGATGCTCCAATCTTCAGACAACAATCTAAGACCGAGCCTTACCCACCCCGCATGGACGATCTCGATTCGGCTGTGTACTATAGCGCTTGGAATGCCTGTATCGCCCAAACTATCCAGAGATTTCCCATCGACTTGTATCATATCAACGATTATCATGGCGCTGCGGCGCCTTTGTACCTGCTCTCCAAAGGACAGACGATACCTTGTGCGCTGTCTCTTCACAACGCAGAGTTCCAAGGGTTATGGCCGATGCGCACGCCCAAGGAACGCGATGAAGTCTGCCGCGTTTATAATCTCGAGCCTTCTATTGTGGAAAAGTACGTCCAGTTCGGGGAGGTCTTCAATCTTTTGCACGCTGGTGCGAGCTATCTCCGAATCCATCAACGTGGGTTTGGCGCTGTCGGTGTTTCCAACAAATATGGCAAACGATCTTACGCTCGCTATCCTATTTTCTGGGGTTTGAAGGAAGTTGGCAGACTACCAAACCCGGATCCCAGCGACACCGCTCCTCTGGAACCAGAGCAGGAGAATGAGGTGATCACTGTCGACCCAGCCTACGAAATGAGCCGTGGGGGTCTTCGAATACAGGCTCAACAGTGGGCCGGTCTAGAGCAGGACCCTAACGCTGAGCTGTTTGTCTTTGTTGGCCGATGGAGTAATCAAAAGGTACGTCCAATGTTCCCAATGTTGTTTCTAGCTAACTGAGTTAGGGCGTCGATCTTATCGCTGATGTCTTCCCCGCTATCCTCGAAAAGCATCCCAGTGTTCAGCTCATCTGTATAGGCCCCGTGATTGACCTCTACGGGAAATTCGCGGCGCTCAAGCTTGGAAAAATGATGGAAAGATATCCCAAGCGCGTATTTTCCAAGCCAGAATTCACAGCACTTCCCCCGTTTATCTTTACGGGGGCGGAGTTTGCTCTAATTCCATCTCGCGATGAGCCATTCGGCCTAGTCGCTGTTGAGTTTGGTAGGAAAGGAGCTCTTGGTGTGGGAGCTCGTGTTGGCGGCCTTGGTCAGATGCCCGGATGGTGGTTCACGGTTGAGTCAACAACTACTAAACACATGCTACACCAGTTCAAGTCGGCTATCGAAGAAGCACTGACATCTGAAACTGAGACAAGGGCAGTCATGAGGGCAAGGTCCGCGAAACAACGCTTTCCGGTCGCGAAGTGGGTAGAAGACCTTAACACCCTCCAGCAGACCGCGATCAGGATTCACAACGAAAAGAAGGGTTCCTCTTCCAAGAATATCTTCCGACCGCGATCACACGCTTTGGCTTCACGATCCTCGCTGCAATTGCCCGGTGAGGGCTTCTTTCATGTCCATTCCCGAGAAGTCAGCATGGACAGATTATCTGCGTTTGAGGAGAGACCTGCTGGGGACGACGCCGAAACCCAAGAATCTGATGATCACCACACAAAGCTTCGCCGTGGTCTCTCTCTCGGTATTCGCTCTGGTCCTGGACATGGGCAGCGGACGGGGTTCACAACAGAACCGCTCATACACGTTCAGAAGCAGTGCTCGCCTTCTAGGACACCAGTGATTCATGAATACGATCCAGAGGGTGCAACAACTTCAGGTCAAGGGTCTTTACACGATCACGAGATGTTCATCAGTCGAGAGCAAGCAGAGGCTGACTATATGGAGTCTGAGCGGCGGCTCGCCAGTGTAGCTCTCGAGGGCAGCATTGCGGAAGCTTTCGACCGGAATTCAACGCCTGCCGACATCTTTCCCGAGAGTGATAGGGGCCGTCGTAGATCTCGCAGCCCGCTCCCTGCTGAGGCCGACGGGATGTTGACGAGTCCGCGTTCCTCGATCAGTTTTCTCGATCCGAGTAGCCTCCCAATGCGCGTGAAGTCGTCGCATCACAGGCGAAACCGGTCCTCTGCTCTCGACCTGAGCACTATCAAGAACGCTAGTACCACCGACTTCAGCTTGGAAAAAGTGGATCCTACGTTCGAGGACAAAACAGGCATGTACTATTCCAAGTTCGAGTCTATGCTCAATACCCTGAGTGGCAAGACATCGGAAGATGAGCTTTGTGTTGAGAAGTTTCTGGTCGAGAGTGAAAAAGCGTGGTTCAAGAGAATGCGTGCCGAAAGACTTGGACGGGGGGATCGTGCCCATTCCCAGGACAGTCGATTGGGCCTCGGTCCCAGCCCTGCCTGGCCGCGCGACAGCCTGCACAGCAATCGTAGCCGGGATTCCAGTATCTCTGCATATCCACATACACGAGAGAGCGAAAGCGACGAGACTTTTCCTCGGCCATCGGCTGAGATTGACGAATTTCTTCTTGGTGCGAACTATCACCGCCCGTCACTCCTCAAGCGATGGATGCAGACTCGAATTGGTGACTGGCCCATATATTCTATTCTCCTCGCACTCGGACAGATTATGGCGGCCAACTCGTATCAGATTACCCTTCTTACTGGGCCACAGGGCCAAAATCCGGAAAAGCTGTATATCGTTGGTGTCATCTTCATCGTCATGTCCAGTGTCTGGTGGATCATGTTCCGTACCCTACCTTCAAAGTTTGTTCTTTCCGCACCCTTCGTAGTCTATGGAGTTGCTTTCTTATTTGTGGGTGTCGCACCGTTCGCGAAGTTTGGGGTTGCGAGGGACTGGATACAGAATGTTGCTACCGGTTTTTACGTGGCTGCTTCTGCTAGTGGCTCGATATTCTTCGCGCTTAACTTCGGCGATGAGGGTAAGATTGGTATTCTCTTCTCAAAATGTCTCGCTCATATTGACTTCCCTAGGTGGTGCTCCTATCGAATCCTGGATCTTCCGAGCTTGCATGATTCAAGGAACCCAGCAACTATACATCACCGCGCTCTTCTACTGGGGAAGCACACTCGCAAATTCGTCCCCGAGCAATTTGCTCACTTCCTCACCAAAGGCCGCTATGATCACGCTTCCAATTGCCTGCTTCTTGTTTGCGATCGGATCACTTCTAGTCACGTCTCTGCCGTCCTATTATCATCAGTCTCCAGGCAAGATACCATCGTTCTACACGACACTTCTTCGAAGGAAGCTAGTCGGCTGGTTTTTCGTCATGATAGTCATGCAAAACTACTTCCTGAGTACGCCGTATGGACGTAGTTGGGCCTACCTCTGGTCCTCTCACGCAGCACCACAGTGGGCTGTTGGACTCCTTGTCCTAGCTTTTTTCGTCGTATTTTGGGCGATGTTTCTTTTCTTCTTCGCGAAGTTGAGTGGTAGTCATTCTTGGTTCTTGCCTATCTTCGCCATCGGGCTGGGTGCGCCAAGGTGGGCTCAAATGCTTTGGGGCGTATCAGGCATCGGAAATTGGGTTCCCTGGATGCCCGGTGGTCCTATCGCCGGTGCTCTCGCTGGTCGCAGTCTCTGGCTCTGGCTTGGTCTTCTTGATGCGCTGCAGGGAGTCGGATTTGGTATGATACTCCTCCAGACACTGACTAGGATCCATATCGCAGTGTGCCTAGTACTGGCACAAATTCTTGGCACTATCGTCACAATGATTGCCAAAGCCACCTCCCCCGACGCAAATGGGCCCGGAGACGTTTTCCCAGATTTTTCGGCAGGAGTAATGCAAGGGTTGAAGAAACCATGGTTCTGGATAGCATTGGCAGCGCAGCTGGTCATTCCATTAGGTTTCTTTAAGTTCTTCAGGAAGGAGCAGTTGAGTAAGCCATAGGTTTGCTGTGGGGAACGCTGGAAGATAAAAAGAATGGAGCCGTCAACTCATGTACATAGTGATCTTCTTTAACAGGCCATACGTAGTATCTAGTTTCTCATCGCAATTACATACTTGTCGTTCCAGATGATTCCCAGTGACACAGAGCTTGAATTATGAATACATTCGCAAGAGCTGTAGCATCGTGTGCACTGACAGTCTTCTATATTTTTAGCGAATGTATACACATTTTAAGAGTTATCCTTCTACATACGACCATAGGACACTGAAAATTAGGCTTCCCGTCCGCTCAGCCATATACAAGCAGTGTACCGGCGGATTAGTAGTTAGGTGGGTGACCACTAGCGAATCCCCGCTGTTGTATGTTTTTGCTCTTTTTTGCCTGCCCTTCTTTTGCTCCTCGACCCATACACTCGCTCTGGAAGCGTATAAAACAATTAAAACTCCAGGAACTCCACGGAGGTTGCGGCTCTTGGTACTACTTCAGTGTGCATGCCTGTGTTTGGATTGAGCGCATCAGCAGCACCTCCTCATCCAACTATCAGAACTTGGTGGCCCAAGGTCAGTATTGAAGAGTCTCGATATGGATTCAGCCAATGCACAATATCTTTGGAGAAATTCGGCACTGCAACTTCGCATGGTAGACAAGAGCTCGGGTGCCTGCCGGAGATGCTATATCAACTTGACTCTCTCTCTCTCTCTTGATGATGGAAGATGTCTCTGATACATACCGCAGCTTCCCTAGTTCGTCTGCAAAACAGAAACATCTTCAACATCTGTTGTACACATCGCAATAACACTTCTCGTATGCGGGACAGCTTCATCAAAGTCAGCACGCCGCGCGTCCCGCTTTCAAGTTTGATCGAGTATACTTACTAAACAGGGTCTTGACCAAACAAAACGTGCCAGAGATACTCCAACACCCGGCCACTCGTCTCATCTTTCAGCGGCGTTTCCATCAGCCATGTATAATACTTTTGATATTCGACCAACGGCCGCTTCTGCACTTGCTTGCTCGACACGGCAAACTGCGCACAGCAAGGGGTTGCAAGTACTTGCGGTACGTCCGTATTATTGAACAAGCTTTGCCACGCATCCGGCATCGCTGCTTCGATTGTTCGATGATCCTCAGGTGGGTTTCGGAACGGCATGACTTCGTGCGGACAGCCTGGATCGTTAACGCAACGCAAATTCGCGTAGCCGTTGCTCTGGATGAAGTTGATGTTGAGGTTCTGCAGAGAGACTACGTTGGAATGTTCGTTGTTGTCGGTGTGCCAGGCGATCGGGTAACCGTCTTTGTGCGGATGTATGAATGCGATTGTTGAAGGAAGGTTATTGTAATTCTGCACTATGTATGCGAGGTATGCATTTGCTTCCATTCCCTTATTCCGAAGAGTACGTAGAGTGCTGTTAGTGAGCGGATCCAAGGTCGACGTGTTGTGCGGAGTTTCGGTATCGATATCGTAGATGGCTGATTGCCAATCTTGCAGATCGGTATGTACCCAGCGGGTGTCGTCTGTGGGAAGCTTCGCCATTACCACGACGCGATCAGGTAGCGATGGGCTATGTGTCGCTACCGCTGTACTTTGCGTTGGTATGCTTGTATGTTGAGGAGTGGTGGAGGCCGATGATGTTTCCTCTTTCGTGCTGCCATGCGCGACTTCCTGCTCAAGTTTCTTTTGCCCTTCCTCTACTTCTATTGCCTCATATTGCCACGGCTTGTCAGTAGCGCTAGCCTTGACAGATTCTTCTTGGGTAGCATTGAAGTGGGCGTCAAAGAGGAACCATGCGCAGAGCAGGAACACTGCTACCACCATAAATTCAATTTTCTTGCGGGAACGCATCATTTTTTGTAACAAGTGGGTGGGTAATCGAGAGGTGATCGAACTTTGATGTGACAACCCCTTCCAGAGATTATTCCGAACAGGATATGGCGAAGGCTCTGCTTTTGCCTCGCATGCACGTGCGCAGGTGATATGAGGCGCCTAGAGGAGATGCCGGTTACCAGGAGGTGAAGCGCAACTGAGCCGCGCGGCCTAAATCAACCTCCTCAAAAGGGACGCGAAAGACGTTTGTTGCGACGAATAAAGGGGAGCTTTTGTCGCAGCCCGCGGTCTTGCGATGTGCCATTGCGGCACAGCTCAGCTATCATTAAGACACGTACAAGTGAGTCGGGGGGGGTGGAGCAGGCACTTATCCTACAGTGCCGGTGCGCGTAATGCACAGGTTCGCGTAACGCCCCACCCACAACACAACAGCTTCATGAGTATTGCAGCTGTAACGCCTCAACAAATCGTGATAATATTGCGCAAAAGTAGTTCTATACTATATACTGGCCTGCGAAGACTTTGCGCTAGTCCAAATCTTTTTTTGGGCGGCAGATTACCCGCGATCTAGTAGTTTAGGGTGGAACTGGCTGTGCAACTACCCAGGCTCCTACAGAAGCTGTACCACCCCCAACACGTTTCTGACGCTTTGTAGCTAGCTTATAAGGTTTTAGAGCTTTGCGTTTACCCTTTTAGGGCAATTGTATAGCTTTTTAAGCGTCGCGGAGGCTCTTTTGGAGGTCTCTTTCAGCTTTCTCTGCAGCCTTCCGCTTTCTGTTCTCATCCCAGATCCTCTCCCGCTCAATACGCTTCGCCCTTTGTAGTTAAAGCTTGCAAAGGCGAGCTGCCTTGTTAGCCTCGGCTTGCTCGGCTTTTTAAAGCTTTTTAAGCTCTTGTTGTTGTTGTTGTAATGCCTAACGATCGCGAGCTCGTTGTACACTCCTAGGCGACCAGACTTTTGCTCTCCCATAGTAAACCTCGTCCTCATCAAGCTAGAGGGTGAAGGACTGCTTTAGTCGCCTCTCCTTGATGGCTAGGGACCGCTTAAGGCCCCTAACCTCACCGCGGAGGAGTGTATTTTAAGCTGCAATGTAGTGCAAACTTCGTTAAAGCTTCTTAACGTCCTTGCTGCTCTAATCCTTCACCTCACGGCGTATAATTGACTTAAGCTTGAGCCAATCCTCCCCAGAGAGTACTAACTAGCTGCTGTCAGAATCTGAAGCCTCCTTAGCAAACTTCTTAAGTACAGCGTCTAGGTTAGCTAGGTGTATACCAGTAGCTTCAAAAGACCTCTTAATGAGTAGAGGTTTAAATACAGAGGTCCAGGACCTCCAGAAGAGCGGGAAGAAGTCTCCTTTAGTCAAATTGAGCAACCCCTAACTGTCCTAAAGGTATCCAGCCAACTCAGTTGAGTAAGCGTTCAAGAGGGGTTTAAACATAACAACGTCAAGGGGTTAAAGCGTATAGGTAGCGTAAGGGGGAAATACAAACAAGAGGATCTTGTTGTCGTGGCAATACTCAATAAACTCCATAGTTACATAGGATCCGTAGCCGTCAAGAAGTAGTAATCGATACCCAGTTAAAGCGTGTCGTCTAGTCTCTCTTTCAAACACCCCCTTAAGCCAAGCTAACCCAATATCGTTGTTGCTCCAGCCAGAGGGAGAGGAGGTGACAAATACTAAGTGCTCCCCTGCTTGTATAGCATCAACCCAGCTTAATTAAACAGCTCCGTTAGCCCCCTAGAAGATAAGTGTAGGACTCAGAGGTTTGCCATCAGAACAAATACAAGCCATCACTGTTATCCACTCGCTGGAGCCATCTTCAAGTGCTTGCCTTACCCCTTTCTGCTCCCAGAGTCTCTTGTCAAATATACGCTTTGTTCTGCCAACTCGGCCAAGTTGAAAGCCCTTCTCGTCCATATTAAATATATAGATCAGCTGTATATCGTACTCCTCCATCTTTTCAAGGAGAAGCTTAAAATACAAGTTGTACTTAGCTCCGGAATCAGCTTTAGTCCGTTCCTTAGTCATGCCTTTGCTATAGCGAGAGATGAGATAGTCAGGATGCCGGTGGATGAACCGGGTAACCCAGCTTTTAGAGACCGCTTTGCCAGCCAGCTAACCGGCAAACTGCTGTATCATTGTCCTTGTAGGTAGCAAACGTCGCTCATTAAGTGTTTTAATATATTGTACAAGCTCGGCTTCGTGTTCTAGGTAGAGGACTTGATGCGCAACGTTGCGGGGTCTTGTTAGGCCTTGGTGCCGTCGAACGAGCGTACTGCGCTCAACACCGTACTTGGCAGCAACTTTGTTGTACGAGAAATCATCTCCTGGCTCGCGCGATTCTATTTCTTCAATTGCTTCTTAAATCAGATCCATATCGGTGGAGTTGTGGCGCGTTGAAGTTGTGTTGTTGATGGGGTGGGGTGGGGCGTTACGCGAACCTGTGCATTACGCGCACCGGCACTGTAGCGCCTATTCCACGGCGCTAAGCGACGTTCGCTGGTTGGTGTATTCATGTACCTGGCGCTAACCACAGTGGATTGCGATGCAGCAGGACATAACCTAATTGCGGTAAAACACCGAATTTGAATGAATATGCTGTGCCACTCATTTGAGAGCTATCGATCGAATTCGCTTTACCACCCTGTTGTTCCCATAGATCAGCAACTCCTAGCTCTCTCGTCCTACCTGGCATCATAACTTTTAACATTGAGTATCGCAATGGGACCTCCGACAGGCCTATTTCCACTGTTTTTGGGAGTGCTACACTTCACGACTTCTGTCAAGAGCCAATGCCAGCCACAGCCCCTTGTCGCACCTATCCAGAATGTATCTTTGCCCAACGGAGCCTTTGTAAGAGGAATTTCCATGGCCGTCGGCTCCAGCAACCAAAACATCGCTTTCATCGCTAGCAGGTAAGTCTTTGAGTATAAGTCGCAGGTTTTGATATGATTGGCTGTTGTATTACCTTGTTTGGGGAACAAAATGTGTCAAAACCTCGACGAGCTTGGGGGTTTGGTATGGCTAACTAGTACCGCTTATAGTGATTACAACGAGACCTACATCTACGGAACAGACGGATACTGTACAGATGACTACTCAGCTGGAGCATGCGTAACATTTCGTGGCGGCGCATACGACACATCAAAATCCTCAACGGACAAATCGATCGGTAACCGAAAGGATAGTGATGGCTTCGATGCAGACTGGACAGAGGATACCCTTAGCTTTGGCAGTAACACCTCACTGTCTTCATTCGGATTCGGCGTTCCGCGACAGGATCTCAACCAGGCGTTCACCAGCCAATCACAGCTCGGCCTAGGGAGGAACTCATCCTTTTTGCGAGCACTCGTATCAGCCGGCGATATAGGTACAAAGGCATACTCCATATTTTGGGGGCTGGTCGGTGGTCCTGCGGAAAAGCAGACTCGGGGGTCATTGGTCCTCGGCGGCCTGGACAGATCATTGATCGCGGATCCAAATGACAACTTCACGGCGCCGCTGTTCCAGGGCAATAGGTGTGGGACGGGCATGCTAGTAACGATTAGCGACATCCTCCTGAATTGGCCGAATGGTACCGACATAAGCATCTTCATGGGATCGCAATCAGCGGCCATACAAGCGTGCATCAGCCCCAGCTTTGCAGGGCTGATGTCCCTCCCACTGAGCTACTACGACAACTTCCGGTCGCTCGCAGGTGGAACACCTCCAGATGATAGGAGCGAGGCGAGAAGCTTGGGTATCAATTACTTCACAATGCTTTTTGCCCCAAATGATGTGTAGGTGCTGTACCGATTCCGTTCGAAACGCTCACAGCTCATGACCAAAATGTAGTTACTACGGTGGTCTGACAATCAAGCTTCAAAACAGCGTCTCCATAAGGATTCCCAACACCGAACTAGTCGTTCCTGACACATACATCGCCTCCGATGGCGCAGTTCAGACGAATACATCGGTCCGTAACGTCGTAATCAATTCCCTTCAATCCGACAATGACAACGATCTACCAGTTCTCGGCAGACTGTTCATGAGCTCTGCCTACGTAATGGTCAACCAAGAAGCTGGCAGGTTCTCCGTCTGGCAAGCGAACACGGAATCCAAGACTTCTGATATCGTCGCAATGGATAAGAAAAACAACATGGTCAGTGAGTTCTGCGCGAGCTCTACAGGCGGCTCATCTAGTGCTACATCCTTGCCCACGTCTTCCACCACACCTTCGTCACAGGACAAAACGCCAACGCTGTCAGGCGGCGCAATCGGTGGGATAGCTGTAGGTGCGGTGGGGAGTGTTGTTCTACTGGGCATCATAGGCTTCTTTTTGTATCGGAGACGAAGAACAAGCGGCGCTGCAACAGTGGTGGTACAGGAACCAGAGTTGCAGACAGAAGATGCGAAACTGCCTGCGTATAGCATAGTGACAGCAGGGCCTCAGGAACTTCCTGTAGACCAGTACAATGTAACAGAGTTGGATAGTAGCACCGTCTATAGTAGGAGACATTAGTATAGGGACTAATCGGTTAATGTTTGGGCCCTTAGCAGATATACAGTTAGCTCGTAATCCTGCACAAACGGATAATTTTGGCTTCGTCTCCTATGGGGTCTTTCTACTTGTCGATCTCTCAAAACTTTGGATGATTGAAGATCCTACCTAGGCGCAGAACAAAGACGGGTCAATGTCGCCAAAAAAAAAAAAAAAAAAAAAGGTGTCGGGAACGTTGCGATCATCGCAGTGGTCAAGCTTGATGCAAGTCTTCTCCTTGGACAATTTCTTGTAGGACTCGCCTTGGGCTTCACGTCGCTGCAATGGATGAATGGACAGCGGTACCTCACCGTAATGCTCGTCTCGGGGCAGGATCTGCTGTTTTAGATTGGTTGAAGAGCGGAGTGCGAGTTTCCAGGATAGCCTGTCATGCCTGCCTCAGCCACATAACCCCGCTAAACTCACAACAACGCATCCATCTACACAAAAGCCATAGACTCAAGGATTTGAAAAATCGAAAACTGCATTCATGAAGAAGACTACACACCGTAGGCTCATGTTCGTTACCGCCCAGCTCTAAGAAGAAGAAGAAGAAGAAGCAAAAAAACTCCCCCATGCCATCATGTCCTTCCTATACCCGTCATTGACCATGTCGTCAATCGTAGTGTGAGAGGCTAGAAAAGGAAACGAACGCCTTTGCTTTTACCGTCGTGTCGTACTCTACTGCCTATCTCAAGTGACGAGGGACGTACTTTCCACCAGCTGGTGCTTGCGTAGGAGGCCTAGACTCACGCTCGCCTTCACCCTCACGAGGTGGTGCGCCGCCGCGGGCACCGGGAGGAACATAGCCGCCGGCGTTGGCGGGCGATGCAGGCTTCCTGTCTGAACCCCATCGGTCTCCTCCGCGAGCAGCCTCGAAGCGGCCACCAGTAGCAGGAGATTCGGTGCGCTCAGGACGCTCGGCACGGGCAGGAGGTGCGCGACCACTGCCGCTAGCCTCACGTTCGCGCCATCCACCTCCAGGAGCTCCTCCCTGGCGGAGAGCTGGTGGAACGTATCCACTCCTCTTGGGAGCTTCGGCTTCGGGGGCTGGAGAGGCAGGTGCAGGTGCAGGCGCTGGCGAAGTGCTGGCAGCAGGAGGAGCCTGGCCGGCGGCCTTCATGGCCTCACGCTCACGCCAGCTGGGCTTGCCGCCAGGAAGGGCAATCTTTGGCGGGCCAGAAGCCGAAGAAGGCTCCGCAGCTGGCTCGCGAGAGAAGGTTCGGTCTGGAACAGCACGAGGGGCACCGGCACCAGCTTTCCGCCTGGCCAAGGCCTCCTCCTCGCGCTGACGTTGGAGACGTGCAACCTCATCAGCGGCACTGCAGAAATGTTAGTGTGTGACTGGATGAATGCGAGGGTTAATACTGACGCTCGTTCTTGCTCTCTCTTTGCCTTCAATTCGGCAATGTGTGCCTTCTTCTCCTCCTCAGCCTTGGCCTTGGCCTCAGCTTCTTCCCTCTCACGCTCTTCCTCCTCGCGCTGGCGGCGTTCAGCTTCCTCGCGTTCTCTCTTCTCCCTGGCGATACGCTCCTTGACCTCCTTGACGCGAGCAGCCTTCTTGCTCTCGAGTTCCTTCTGTGCGATCTTCTGGCGCTTCTCGAACTCGGCCTTGCGCTGTTCCTTGACGGTCTTGACGAATGTTTGGTAGGGAGATACCAGTCTTGACAGACGATGCTTGAGCTCGACATCCGCCTTGTGCCTCTCCTCTGACTCCTTGAGTTCCTCAGCCTTTGCCTTCTCATACGCTGCGAGATCTTCCTCCTGCTGCTTCTCGTAGTCAGTCTTGAGGTGCTTGATCTCTTCCTTGCGGTAGGCTCGCTCCAAATGATCGATACGCTTGCCGGCAATGCGGAGTTGCTCGCCGAGCTGGTTCTTCTCCCTCTCGAGAGCCTGAAGCTTCAGGATACGGATCCGCTGGGAGTCGAGATCGTCAAGATCTTCAGGAAGTTCAATGTCGACCTTGGTAGTCGCCTTGAGCTCCTTGATCTGCTTCTCCATCTCCTCACGCTGAATGCGCTTCTGCTCGGCCTTGATGCGCGCGTCAGCACGTTGCTTCTGCTCTTCGGCCAGGCGGCGAGCCTCCTCATCCTTGATTTGCTGTTGACGGATAAGCCTCTTGGTCTGTTCCTCGTTGTCCTTGGCCTGTTGAGCCTTCAGAGCAGCCTCCTTCTTCTGCGAGATGATGTCGCGGCGAGTGAGGATCTCCTGGTGTTCCTTCTCAGCACCCTCCTTGGCTCGTGCAAGAGCGGCCTCCTTATTACGCTGGCGCTCCGAGTTGAATGAAGGGTCGACATATTGGCATGTGACGAAGAGGGACTTGGCGAGACGAGTGAGCTGAGATCGTACAATCTCCGCCGGAGTGCTCTGCAGACGCTGCACAGAGCGGGACTCGGTCTCGGCAGATCCAGCACCTGATCCAGGGTGCATAGCCTTGGCCGATGAGAAGACGTCGGAGTCGAAGGTGAGTACACCAGTGGCATGGTCGGTGCGGATGGCGAGATCGCCCTTCTTGCAACCGTTCATGATGAACTTCTCAATAGTACCTGCGCTGACGTGGAAAGGCTCGGGGAACTGGGCGAGTCCGAGCACAAACTTGATCTCGACGGAGTCGTAGACCTGGGACAGCTGCTGGAAGAGACGGGTGAGAATGACCTGCTGAAGCGGGCCAACGTACTTCTCCATACCCTCATCAGCGCCAATTTGAGACAAGATTGGAGAGATCTTCTTGCAGATGGACAGAGGGTGGAAATCAACCTCAAGGATGTTGTAGAGATCGCGAATCTCAGGGCGGGCACGCTTGAGCAGACCCTTGCTGAGAGCGTCCTTGAAGAGGATAGCACGGGTAGGAGCCTGTGACATGCCGAGCAAGTTGGTGAGGCGCGAGTTCTTGTTCTTCCTCGCCTCGTCAACGTCAACAAGGGCACCTCGAGAGCGGGAAGTGCTGATGACGGGGATGGCGAGAGCGGAGAGGAGGACGAACGAAGCAGCCTTGGTCATGTCGGCTTCTGTGACAGCGGGGTTGTCCTTCTTGGGGCTCTGGCCAGATGCGACGGCCGCTGCGGACTGGCGGAGGAGGTTGTAGTATCGGCTGTATGCGGCAGCGTGGAAGAGGTAGTTCTCGCTGACCAAGAAGATACGGGTGAGCTTCTCGAAGTAGTTGGCCATCATGATGTTCTTGGCCGGGCGCTTGCTCAAGCTGAGCAGGGTGTGGATGTCCTCAACACTGCGGAAGGCCTCCTGCCACAGTTCAAGCTCAACTGCCACGTTCAGTTGCTGGAAGCGGGTGTCGAGGTGGCGCTGTAGGGTGTCGGGGTCGGACAGGTTGATAGCGTGCATCTGGGAGGAGAACTTGGCGGCATTCTGCAGATGGTTGCGGAGCAGCTCGCAGAGACGACGGAACTCGGTCTTGCGGGCATACTTGGAGCAGAACTGGAAGGCCTGGTGGGCAGTCGACTGGTACATGAGCTCCAGACGGGCGTTGTTCTTGAAGATATCCAGGACAGTCCGGTAAGTCTCCCACAGGAACTTGAGCCATGGTGTGACAATGGCACGGTCGGTGCGGTCGCGCGATTGCTCGCCGGAGACGGTGGAGAGGAGGATGGACTCGGGAGTCTCGGTGGCCTCCAAGTCGTCGACATTCTTGTCGTCAGAGGGTTCGAGCGAGGACTGGACCTCGTCTGCCTTGGCCTGGGCCTCTGTGACCTTTTGCTCGGCGAGTTCGATGAAGCGCTTGAAAACAGTCTACGGCGTGTTAGCCTGAGGAGTTGTCATGTTTCCCCTTGATCTTGCCTACCTCGATAGTGCCGACGTTTGTGTTCTGGGCGGTGTTCTTGTACTGGTACAGACCGTCCTTGGCCAGCTTGCCCTTTCGTAGATCGACACAGAGTTCGACAAAGAGTATCATCACAGGCTCGAGTGAGGCGATGGGGCTGTTGCGGGTGCGCTTCGAGGTGACATGTTCGTGGAGCAGCTGGAGGGCAGCCTGTTGCTGCTCGACTCCGATGAGTTCTTGGGCACGTTTACTGGGCGGTGTTAGTGGGTTTGTTGCCTATACGGCTTCATCGAGGCGGGGCGCACAGTGTGTTCTCCGGCTTGGAGTGCGGTGGAGGCGCCATGCTGGGCAATTTGAAGTCGCGGATCCAACTACACGAGTCGGATGGGCTTTATAGCAAGCAGGCGACGCAGCGAAAGGCTTGGTGTTGAGATATGGGTGCGGGTCTCACACGGCGATGGAGTCACTGCTGCAAAAAGGTTGTGGTAGGTCTGACTAAGCGAGCCGACGAGGTATTCCCAGTTCCCGGCAGGTTCGCGCCCGACTCCCCGCACATGCACGCGGATGCAAGAGGCGGAGCAGGATGCTCGAGCGAGTCAACTACAAATTACAACAGTCACACTCGAAGTCGCATATATGATATAACCAGCCTGGGCCACTGCATTCCTTGTTGCGTCAATTAGAGAGGGACTGAAGATTGGCTGGATGCCCAGGTGAGCGAGGACAAAGCGCTCGCCAAACCCAATATCGCGCTATACCGCAAGCGTTGGGGCCCGACGAACAGGCCCATCAAGGGGAGGGCCCTCATCTTCCAACCACCTCTCCTGGTTCCCGTGCTTCACCTGTCGCCCATCTCAGCAATCCGTCGTCAACGCCCTCGCAGCAGCCTTGCTCTCGCGCTGATACTCGGCGGCAGGCTCACACCCGGCTGGCCGTCTTCGCTCCTTACTCTCCCTTCACCTAGCTCACCCTATCCACGCCGCACGCCCGACACGCACAACTCACGTCGCACCACGACGCATCCCCCGTAATAACACCCACCACCACCACCACCACTACCACTACCAAAACAACAACAACACGCCCATCGCATCCCCATAATACATCCACGCGCACCATGCCCGCCATGCCCACCATGATGGCTCAAGCGCCCTACGAGATCCGGACGGGCGGCGACGGCAAGAGCAAGAAGCAGAGCATGGCCGAGCTCAAGCTGCGACGCCTCACCGAACTCAACCAGCGCCTGCGAGAGGACCTCGAGCGACGCCGGATACCCGTATCCGAAGCCGCGTTGGAGTATGTTTAGGATCATGTCGCATTGAAATCGCGAACAACACGGCTAACCTCGATCGGCAGTCTCATCGCATTCACGGATAAAGAGCCAAAAGACTGGATGGTACCGTCACGATGGGGAACGGTCAGTATACGCGCGCCAGCTACCTCTTTACACGCCTAACAAGTGCGCAGATTGACAAGCGCGACGACCCCTACGCGCCACAACAGAGCAATGGCTGCTGCATCGTAATGTAAACGACGACGAAGATGCAGATGGACATGTCCTTTACCGGCGTTCTGCGGGGCCCTTTTACGGCAGAGTCTGTTTTCTTTTACCCTTTAGGAGGAGGTTGATAATACCCAAGGACCCGGAGTGGCCAAGTCTCGCGCAGTAGTCCTGGGAGCGAGGCAACCGGACGGGTCATGTACTTTTCAGCAATGTGTAAATTACTCGGATACGGAGCTCGCTGCTGTTGATGTTTGCAGCGCAGCGCGGGGGGTTTCAGTCTTTTTTTCTTATAGTCGATCATGGCGGCTTTCTAGGTTCTACAATCACGAGATAAAAAGCACTCTCATAATTCATTTCCCATCAATCCTCATCTCAATCACTCCTTTGAACATGTCGACGCGGCAAAGCTCAAAACGAGGCCATTTGAACGGTCCGGAACTTGCTGGAAGGGGTAGGTGGCTACATGCTAGGGCAAACGAGATTAACAAGGCGCATCAACATGGCGCTGCGCTCCACCGGCAAACAGCCGTAGTCAGTCGCGCTACAGCCCAATCGGCCTGTCCAAAACAAAGGCCCTCTCCATCCAACCAGACGCCTTCACGTGTGGCTGCAAGACGAAGCAACCACAGCCTGCAATTTGCTCCAACAGCTGACTGGTGCGCCCATGTCGAGGTAATGTACGCTGTACTAGGATGCATGTCAATAGCGAACGAATGCGACGTAGCTGTCGTCTTCGCCTACGCCCCTCCCCGGTGCAATGTATGCGGGACCGCACTATTGGCCGACTAGTCTGATGTCTACAAGAAACCAGCCCATCTTTGCCTTTTCCATCCAGCCTGTGCCTAACTCAACGCTGCCGCTTCGCACACTCTGAACCGCGGCCCATGAGTCTGAATTGAGTGAATGACGAGGGTGTCGCGCAGTAGCTTTTGTAGTTGTACTCCAGGCACTTGAGGTGTGCTGCATGCACCCCACGCGCGCGCGAGTCAAGTCATTTGTGAGACTCTGATCAACAACATGCGCAAAACATGACGACCAGGGTGAAGGCTGAACGTCAGGTGGGTCTTTGGATGCTTCGGAGCCACATGATAATAGGCTGAGGACGCGAGGCCAGGTTTTGCAAGCCGCAGTTGGCTACAACCCGCGCTGGATTCGATGCGCGCGGGCGAACTGCCCCCCAGTCTTATCAAATCACCGTGGGGGCCTACCACGACCCGGACTCTTCTCGTGCAGTGCCTCGTCCTGACTTCGACGACACTCTCTTCAGTATCCACTGGAGAGAGCGACGCCAGAGTCAAGGCCAGTCATCTGCACTGTCGCCAAACGCGAACGCACCTTGGACGCACACTAGAAGGCACATGTGAATGAGACGCAGCATCCCGGTCTCAATTCCTATTCCGCCGCGCAGCCCCACCCGCCCATCTTCGCGACGGCAATTTTCTCTCTCCCCTCCGCCCAGGGTCCCGCAGCGACGATATGAACAGCTCGACTGCCCAGTCTTGGAGTGCTGCCGAGCATTTTCAAATGGACCCGGCCACAGAGGACTTTGCTGGCGCTGAGTTCATCGACTTCGACAATCTAGACCTGCACTTCAGCATTGACGGTTACAATCACGAAGGACCCGCCTCTAATGGGAACCAACTCGCCGATCTGACCGAGTCGCTCAATGTCCACCATCTCCAGGGCCAGTTTCCCCCGCAACTTCCCCAGGACCACCACGATGGCGCCAACGGTGGCCAGCAGGTCCAGAATATGGGCGGCCATGACATGTCGCAGCCCGCCAACAACTTCTTCGACTATGGCATGCCCCAGTACAGCCAGGCTGGAACGCCAGCTTTCACCCAGGTCCAGGACCAGATATATCGCCCACATCAGGGCGTCCCGCCAACGCCGAATAGCATAGAGATGCATGGTGATCCTCATCGCTATCTCCAATTGGACCACCAGTCGCTGTTCGACCAGAGATACCATATGCGCAAGGACGATGCGGTATGTTGGATTTGGAAGCCACCACAGAACCCTACTGACCCAGATAGACATTTACCCCACTAGTTTCGCCCGCAGTGACGCCACACGATGCGCGCTTCCAGATTCCCGACTTCACCGTGCCGGGAGCCTACTTCAGCCCCCTTACATCGCCTGCCCTGAATGCCCAGAGCCATCAGCATGTACACCAGCAGTCGCAGAACACAACCTCCGGGAGCTCGACAGGGCACTCGCCTGTCGATGTGGACATGGATATGCTGGGTGAGCCTGCCATGGTGCCACAGGACCAAGGACGGAGGAGTCTACGGAGTACCAACAAAAGGAACGCGCCACGGACAAACGGCAACGGTCGCGTACGACAGTCTCCCATTGTGAAACCCAACAGGCGAAAATCAACCGTTTCCTCGCTCATCCCTCCCAAGGGCGTCACCGAACTTATGCACGAAGCGCGGTCGATGCGTCCGTCTACCAATGGTCTGGATGTGCCGAGGACTCGTGAGAGCTCAGAGACGGACTCCATATCTCCTGAGCCTATGTTGTCTGATATGCGACCACCACCGAAGCCCGGTTCTTCGACCGCTTCCCCTGCTATGATGGCCCAGCGTAATAGCCAGAATGGCACTCCAGCCACTCCAGCGTCTCTTATGCGGATACAACCCTCGCCCGATTTCAGTGGCTCCCAAGAAGCACCACCGATGCTCGAAGACCTTACTCTACCAGAAGCTTCTCTGGACCGGCCAGGCCTATCAAGATTAGACACAGCGGTCCGGAATGAAGACGGCGACACGCCTCGTCTATCTGCGCGGAAGACTCCAAAGTTGAATCCTCTGAGCACACCCGGCGCTTCCATGTCAGCCAGACCTAGTCCGATGCTAGACGCCATGTCGACCCCGACAAGCCCAGCCTTCTCCATGACCAACGGCAAGAAAGACCCGAAGCTGACGCGCAATCCCAAGAAGAGGAACAGCGTCAGCTCGAATCTTGTCAGCCCCGCTCTGAGACCCAAGATCTCACCCAGCATAAAGCCTCTACTACCCGACGGTGGAAGTGGTGAGTACTTTCCAACACCCGGCTACGTGATCTAATCTGACTTTCAGCAGGCGTAACCGACAACACCCACGCCCTTCTTCTGGCATCCAAATCAAACTACCAGAACATCCTCGATGGCACCACAGTCCCCGGCGTCGTCTACCCCACATCACTCTCCACTAACCTCACCTCTAAACGCACATCCCACAAGATCGCCGAGCAAGGCCGCCGAAACCGCATCAACATGGCCCTCCAAGAAATGCAGGCTCTCCTCCCTTCCCCACAACTCGGCGCCATTCCAGATGCCAAAAGCCCCGAGACCAACGCCCAAAACTCCAACAACTCCAAAGCAGCCAAGGTAGAAAGTGCCATCGAGTACATCAAACAGCTGAGACAAGAGGTATCGGAGCGGGATGATTTGATCAGCCAAAAGGACCAGGAGATGGACGCACTGAGGAAAGAGCTTGCTGCACTCAAGAGGACAGGGTCAGAGGCCTTGACACCCGAAGCAGCGGCCCAGCTCAAAGCTGAGCCGTCTTCTAGCCCCAATACCGAGAACGAAACTTGATGAGATATGGGTGATGACATGACTTATTATTCTACTTGACATTGCTCGATTGAGCATTTGGCTATTATCCGCATGCTACATACGGGCATCTGCCTCGCGCACTGACTGCATCGACACACAGCATAATCGACTCTTATATCGTTTTATTGCGATTGATGGTCGATATACAGCGTAGCATAGCCGCGACGGAGCCCATGTTGCATCCTAACGTACGTGCTACATTGTATTTGACGGCTATCGAATTTGCATGGAACTGAGGGAGAGGGGAAAGCATGGTCTGCATAAGATGAGCATTCACAGAACCTACATGCTACTACTAGTAAATAAGTATCCCTTGTGTCGTCTTGTTGCCGTGGCATACGAATTTTGCTGGAAAGTAGACATGTTCGTATACCCCTTTCGAGTAAAACCAGTTGTGCCTACTTGACCTTTGTCAATCATATTGAAATGTATCAAATGTCTTGGAATTGTTGCTGTTCTTTGTGCGTCCTTGGATGACATTTTTGCCATTCGTCTACTTCAAAAAAAACCCCTCTATTTCTAAACCGAACCGTGATCAACCAGCAAGCTAAGGTGATTCTACGTAGGTGTAATCATAGCTACTCCATTGTACGTCCACTGTTGCCACAACTATAAAACAAGGTGCGAATGTTGATGCTTGCGTGATACTACAGTCCCTAGAAAAACAAATGCAAACCATTACATCAAATCAAATCACTCACGACCACGTTATCCACAGGATATCGGATTTCCTTCATTACTTTGCCCCCCAAAACGAAAGAGTAAACCAAGCCTTCAGTCTCACGCGCACAAAGACAGAAACGCATCTCAGAGATAACCATTATTAGATTCCACTTACTGAAACATTCAACGTCTTATCTACTTTTCGTCTTCCTTTTATCCGCTCATATCATGTATATATAAAACATGCCAAAATATACAAGGATAAAGACAACATCACCGATATTATCGTCAATCAACACAATGCTCGATTTATACATACACCAGTAAAAAAAAAAATCCATTCGCCTGTCCCTTCAGAAACAAAAACATCTTCACTTTTAGTCATACCGCTCGTTTTATTACCTCAACCGACGACGTCTACATAACATATAATATTAAAAGTAGCTGAAATATCTTTCTTCTTCTACGCGCCTGAGAGAGGACAAATTTAATGATTGGAACGACTGAAAATTAGGATGAGAGAGTCACGATTAAAGGCAAAGAAGCGAAATGAGAAGATACATGTATCGCCCCGTTCATTGGCGCTATGATTGACGTTTTTTTATTATTTCAATTCGGCACTTTTGAGTTGCGGAAAAGGTGTGAGGAAATGACGACGACGACGACGTGTTGCAAGTCAAATCATCTACTTCCCCGTATTTGATGACCAAAGTTCAAATGATATCTACAAATTCCGGGAGAGGACAGGAAAATCTTCAAGTAAAAGCTTAATAAGCGTGGGCTTCTTGTAGGTCTGCAAGTCAACGCACGAGGCATAGCACTCGTCGACATGTTTCTTGGATTGAACCAAGTGAGTCGTCAAAGGATACACAACAGTCACAAAACATCACGCACACATCAAAACCAGCAAGATTCGAGAAAACCATATATTTCCAAAGCGTGCAGGCAAGCAGAAAAACAAACAAACAGACCACACCACTACATCACTCATCCCACACGTTCCCCTTTCCCCGTCTCCAAGCGCAATGGGCGTAACAGCAAACTAGATATTTCTCTTGTCCCTTTTTCGTCCCCGGAAGCGCGGCCTCTTTAATCGAGAGAGAAAGAGATACCGTCGTCATTCACGCAGAGACTAATCTAGCCGCTCACTACCCATTGCAAACCCTTCGAGTCTAACCAGCCAAGCTTCAACCACATACACACTCTTTCTCCCAAGTTACAATTTGAAAATCGACCCCTTGTTAAGCTTATTTACCTCCCCACAAGCTGGCAGACATATCCGAAGGGGGGAAACTCAAAGAAATTTACTAAGAACCACGTGAAAGTACAAAGAGGGGGGGCAGGGGGGATAATTAATGCGAGGTGAAAGCTGTGGAAAAAGTCAAACAAAGATCAGTCATCAGCTGGAAAGCCGCCCAGTAAGCGCTAGCTGTGCAAGACGTCCAAGATAATCTGTTGGCTGTTGATCCGGGAAAAGTCGACATGTGTTGCTTGCAAGCCGAACTGTTATGCCAATTTGAGATACCGTGTGGGTCGAGCTTCCAGAGATAAGAGACAATCGTCAGAGACCCATGGCCGTAGTAGATGCAAGACAGTGGAATGTCTTCCTAGGTCCGTACGAGGTGCCTGACAAATGGATCCCATGAACAGATCAAGGAGCGACGCCGTCCACAATGTTGCCAGGACGGCAATGCCGCATTTCCCATTCGTTGTGTGTGCGGAGCCGAGTCAGAAGAAGCGGTCACGCAAGAGTTGAGATGACGAATCGAAAGCCGCATCAAATCAGTAACCAGATGCATACTGGTCCCCGCCACGCTTATTGGCCGAACGAAGCTGCCTGAAAGAAAGAAGAAGGTTAGTAAGATCTGTATCTGGCGCCCCCCGCGCTAAGCGTTCTCAACACCAAACGCAAAGGAGAGGGTCCCTTACGAGGATCAGATATAACGAACTCACATTCCGGTGCCCTCCTGGCGTGCGTTGACCGGACCGCGCTTGGTGCCAGCTGCCGTGCCAGCATTGGCAGCAGCAGTGGTGGTGACATGGCGTCCGCGGCCCTTGTCGTCTTCCTCGCCCTGGCCTTGGTTGGCAGCCTGGGCGATGGCCTGGGCGTTCTTCTGGTACTTGTAGACGGTCCAGTCGAAGACGTAGTCGTACTGGAAGCCTTCACGGACGAAGAGATCGCGGAAGATCTTGCGGAGGTACGAGTAGTCGGGCTTGTCATCGAAGCGGAGGGAGCGGGTGTAGTTGAGGTAGATGGCGAACTCGTTGGGGAAGCCACGGCAGAGAACCTCGGTGGGGGTGGTCATCTTCTTCTCCATGATGCGGTCGTATTTCTGCTTCTTGGTGGCCGCCTTAAGACCCTGCCAGGGAAGGGATCCACGGCAGAAGTAAAGCATAACATAGCCGAGAGACTCCATGTCGTCACGGCGGGATTGTTCTGCAGATGTTAGCTTAGGGAGTCGAATGAGACGGAGGATACGTACCGACACCCAAGTGAGTGTTGATACTGGCGTAACGGGCAGTACCAGTCAAGTTCTTGTTCTCTCTGTAAGGGATGTGGAAGTGAGTCTTGGGATCGCGGTACTTCTTGGCCAGACCAAAGTCGATGACATTGACCTGGTTGCCGCGCTTGCCAATGCCCATGAGGAAGTTGTCGGGCTTGATATCGCGGTGGATGAAGGACTTGGCGTGAATGTACTCGATGCGGGAGATGAGCTGGTCGGCAAGGAGCAGGACAGTCTTCAAGGAGAACTTGCGGTTGCAGAAGTTGAAGAGGTCCTCAAGGGAAGGGCCGAGCAGGTCCAAGACCATGGCGTTGTAGTCACACTCGGTTCCGAACCAACGGACAAAGGGGATACCCACGCCGCCGGCGAGGGACTTGTAGACGCGGGCCTCATACTCAAGCTGGGGGTGCTTGGCCTTGACGCTCTCGAGCTTGATGGCGATCTCCTCACCGGAGATGATGTTGGTACCTGTAGACGTCAGCTGAGCTGGTGGTGGAGATGATGGGCGGTGGGCGGCGACGACATACCGAGGTAGATGTCACCGAAACTGCCGCTACCAATCTTGCGGCCGATTCTGTACTTGTTGCCGACGCGGAGGTCCTGCTACGGTGTTAGCCCATAGTGCTGCAAAGACGAGCGAGCTTGTTCGCCATGGTGACGGTAAGTGGGGTCGGAGTGTACCATTGTCGTCATGCTTGCGGTAGCTTCAACCTTGAGGAGGTTGGCCTGTGGTGGAGGAGATGGTGTTGAGGGGGTGGGTCGTCTGTTGTGACAACGGGGGCGTGGTGGTGTTTTGAGGATCAGCCTGCTGCGGTGGACCGGTCAGTATGAGGCTTTAGCCAACAAGGCGGTGAGTAAGCGGAACGGGCAACCGAGAAACGCTAAGAGGGACAGTAGAGCGTGTTGACCGACAGGTAAAGGAAGTGCCAGCAATACAGGTGCGTTGTGGTGAGAGAGATAAGTCGGGCACGGGGTGCAGAGGGCGGAGCCGACTGATGAGCTGGGCAGGACTTACTGTAGGGCGTGAATGAGCCCAACGGATCACGACGCCGGGGGGGTTTTTGAGCGGGCTGGAGAGCGGGCGATGTTTGCAATTATGGCAAAAGGACGCAAAAAGGCAGCTGCAGGGCACAGAACAGCAGAGAAGCCTCGTCGAACAAGCACACTGCGATCGTGGTGCTGTATCAAAGGAACGCGGACGGAGAGGACGCAGAAGCACCACCTGCCTTGTATTCGGCCACCTTGCTTGGCGCGCTAGACGAGCTCTTTCACTGTTGCCCGCCGCCGTGTATCAAGCCTGCGGACCGTAAATCTGATCCCTGAGCCGCCCAAAGGAATCGCTACCTAGACCAGTACCGTTTGCGTCTTGCGATTCCGCACATGGCCAGGGTGTGTCTGCCAAAATGCGGCTGCCCGTTTCGTATGCCGTCGCCTGACGGCCGCATCATGCAACTGAGCCACAGATCTACCCCTTTATGCATCATGCCCGAAGCTGAAATGCTTCTCAAATAGTTCTCGCATCGATTGCGCTATATTTGACTTTCACCAAGAATGTTCTGCAGACGCCGTCCCGCTGCTAGAATAAAAAGCTGTCGTAACCGACGTTCTAGAAAAGGCTACGGTCCGAATATGCCTCGTTACGATGCTCGGGTGGCTGTCAGGCAGTGACTCTGTAGACAAAATCACGATTCAGGCAACGTGATGGGTGAGGCATATCATCGCTTCGTGTACGCAAGTTTCATCATCTGAATCTAACAACCACCACATGTAGACTCTCCCATCTACATCTAGAAGACTGTTCAATGGCCTGGTAGCACCCGGCGAGGTGCTTTTGGATACCGAACAAAGGAAAGTATCGGTCCCAACATTGTCTCCCGGCTGTCTCGTTGTGATGTCACATTTGCGAGATTCTTTACGACTATCTACATATGCAGGCCGATCGAATGTGCTATACTAGACGAACCACGCTTGAGTTGCGTCTGCACATTGCTTGGCTAGATGGTATACATCCTGTCGCATCTTTTGAACGCTTCTAGTCGGAACCAGAAGACGCTTTCCAGGAACTCGGCAACGCTGTCTGCATCCGCACTGCGCTTCGGTGTAAGCTTGAACACTCACGTAGCCAGAACCAGAACAATAGAATAAGAGCAATGCTATGTTCGTGATGGGGTTGATTTTGCCAAAGTCTATACAGCCATCTCAGTAAGAGATCTTGATTGATCTTCCCTCCCCGCGGCTATTGCACACTGCCTCTCATGGCACTCGTATGCCCAAAGACCGCTCCCCGTATCGCGAAACATCAAGCTTAGTGGTTCGGCGCCTGGTTCTTGACGGCTGGGTTGCGCGGGTCGTTCTTGTACTCGTCGGCTGTCCTGGTCAGTTTGCGAACATGGATCAAGTCGGCCGGCTGAGTCTTCCGGGTAGAGATTACGCACCCTGGCCCATGGCGTTGGCGGCAGAGTTGACACCGTAGAGGATGACGAGACCTGGTGTTTCTGTTAATCCTATCCCCACAAAGCTAGCCTTCCGTTCCCCGTGTTCTCCAGCTCTTTTCAATCCCGCCCATTGTAGTTTCCCCAAGCCTTGTTAGGCCTAAGCAAGGTCGCGCAACGTACCGGAGACGTAGAAGGGCCACATGGGCTTGGCTGTAGGTCTTTGGTTAGCCATCTTTTCAAGCTTCATCTTCCACTCTCCGCGCGGTGCAGGGGAGCATACCGATCTGCGCCGGGAACTTCCTTCCGAGAAGAGGCATTGTGACTTGTGTTGGAGGGGCAATGGATTGATTGACGGTTGCGGCGAGGGATGACGGTGATGGAGGTTGAGCTTTCAAGCCGAACGACCGGAACTTCGATATGCTTGGCGTCTGCGCACGGATCCTACAACTCCCAAGTAACAGCCCCGCGACATTCCACTTAACTCACCGCCATAGGTTCTTGCTTGTGATATTCAAGATCCGCCTGCATCATGGCGTTGGAAGGTTGCGTGGGCTCGCTGCGCAGTAGCATGCAATTACTCGATTCATCCATCAACATACTGGACCAAGGTGTGAGCGACTTTCCTCGACTGGCCAAAGTACTGCAGACGACACGGGTGCGTAAAAGTCAAAGTACCAAGTTGCATTCACCAGGTTGACCTTTCAATCGTAGCACTTCGAGCTCATATCTGAATCCGACCTCCAGACTGCGCAATCAGCACTCCTCTCAGAAATCCGCCCTGAAGTCGACAACCTCCTCAAGCGCGTCGAGAACTACCTAGACAAGCTGGAGCGGCGCGAACAGTCCCTCATAGCGAAATGCGACCTAAATGATGGCAGGCTTGGACGTGACAACGGTGGTGGATCGGGCTCTAGACCAGCAAGTAGAACTGCTCAGAGAGGCGGAGGCAAGACCATCAGCGCTCAGCAAGAGCTGAGGATGAAGACACTGAAGGCGAAGAAGGATAGGCTGAGCTATGCCGTTGAGACGCTGGAGTTACAAGCGAAGCAGAGGGAGAGGCAGTTAAGGATGAGTATGGCCGCACCACAGCAGTTCTACGACGATTGATCTTCGCAACTTTCGAGTAACAGAAAGCATCACTTTCGTAAAGCGTAACGGGCTGGACAAGTTCTTAGTCTTGGAATGGGCGTTTTGCACTTAAGATACCCCGGAGTTATTGAATACATACACCTCATTATACCAAGCCCCATTTTACAAGCTGAGTCATAACGTGAGTCTAGCACCAATCCCTTGCGTACGAAGAAGTTCGTTTTCCAAAAGTCCCATCGCACCTATGCTTCACCCTCAAGGCATACGCTGTGTAATGGAGCAATATACTATAAAACATAACATAATATATTTCTTCAAAGTGTGGTATGACTAGGGCAGAACTCATAGGAAAAGAACTTCTTCGTATTATTGCCTTGTCAAAGTTCAGATGCTCAAGATAGTCAGTGATGATGCTAACCGCCTTGGCGGTACCTTTTCGGTTAATCCCGAGAAGTGCCCGGGGCCGCAGAAACTCAACCTCGCAGAACATCCAACTTCCGACACGCATTGCCATTGCCCCACCACTTCGTCCATCATGAGCTCTCTCCGCATCGCCCGAGCCGCCCTCCGCGCGAGGCCCGCTGCCATTGCCCGCCCCATCCAGCGCAGAGGATACGCCGAAGTCGCCAACGACAAGATCAAGCTCTCCCTAGCTCTCCCGCATCAGGTACGCCATACCAGCCGTCGCGAAGCCTGAGAGGATACATTTGGCTGGACATATCATTGGAAATATGAGGCTAACTGATTGCCAATAGTCCATCTACAAGTCCCAGGACGTGTATGTCTCTCGAGACCCCGGCCGATCCCGTAATGCGAAAACGCGAATACTGACATGAGACCTTTTGTAGTGTCCAGGTCAACCTCCCTGCGGAAACTGGTGACATGGGTGTTCTCGCCAACCACGTTGCTTCCATTGAGCAGCTGAAGCCCGGCCTAGTCGAGATCATCGAGGAGCAGGGCGGCAGCAAGCAATTCTTCCTCTCTGGTGGATTTGCCGTTGTGCAGCCAAACTCCGTCCTCAGCATCAACGCTGTCGAGGGCTACCCATTGGAGGACTTCAGCGCCGAGGTATGACTGAATACACGGAATTGGGGAAATAGCGACTGACGTGGAGATAGGCTGTCAGGAACCAGATCGGCGAGGCACAGAAGATTGCCAGCGGAAGTGGTAGCGAGGCTGACATTGCTGAGGCTAAGATCGAGCTTGAGGTGCGTATCATGGGCGTGGCTAAGCAAGAAGTACTGACATGACATAGGTCCTTGAGAGCCTCCAGGCTGCGTTGAAGTAAATGTCTAAATAGCGTTCCTTGAGTACGGCATGCGTGGTATGTATAGTAGCAAGTGCAGAGCATGCGTGCTTTCCGTGCCCAAAGAATAGAAGGAGCTCCATGAGGTGACCAAAACACCTCCAACCTCTTGCAGTCCCGCCTCTCTTGACCGTCTTCCTCTATAACCTGGATTGAGTGCACTTGGATCCACCAGCAACCCTATGAGCTACACATTACCTTCATTTTTATAGCCCCATCGCTTTGTCTTACCTTTTTTTGCATCCTGTCTTACTTCGTCTTACTTCTTTATAGCGTGTTTTACAGTTCCACAGCGATCTCAGTTCTTCTTACATACAATCACCAGTCAACCTCAATCCACAACATTACCGTTCTCACATCGGCAAAGTATCATCTGATAACCTAGCGTCCCATGCCCCGAGGCTTTGACCAACCTATGTCAGGTTCTACGTCCCGAGCTACCATTACGGGACCACGCGAGCAGAGCCAACAACCATCAAGCATAAATACTAGACAGGGTAGATTTGAAGCTCCTGTCACGATACCGGAAGCCAAGGAAGTAAAGCAACCACACGCAATATCCAGTCGCAGCTCTAGTAACCCATCAGCTTTGCCGCTCCCACAATCTTCAAGCGAACCTCAACCGTTTCCAGCTGGCCGCAAAACGCCCGCCTATCTACAGGGCAGGAACCCCTATGGCCAGGTCCTTGACAGGGTTGAACCTCATCGGGAGCCCAAGGCAGTGACGAGAACAGCTGTACCGCCTTCCCAAGCTGGCTCCGATATCGATTCACGATCACGTCTGTCACTTCCTTCTGACTTCAAGACACGATCTCTAGCCCAAGAGCCGGAACGATGCGACCCACCGACGGCACCTCCGTCATTGAGACAACCACAAGTTCCGAAGTCAGTTCGTTCTGCCAAAAACTTCTTCGAGACGAAAGCCTCTCACTACTCGTCAACAGCTCTGCTTCCACCTTCAACAACCGGCGCTAGCACGAGGAGCTTCGCACCCAAAACTCGGCCACGAAGTGTCTCTCATGAACCACCTGCCCATGTTTCAAGTCCAAAGGTGTCCTACACCCCCGAAGAGACAACTCCTGAACTCGGAGAACTTTTGCCTTTTCCAACGAACCTTGACGACACCAGCGAGTCTGTGCAGTCCGTGATTCCATCCAAACAAGGTGCCCCTGACGAATGTGCTCGTACTATTACAACAGGAAGAGCAACACCTGCAGAGATGCCTGATGACGAGGAGCAATACGAGCATGATATTGAGCGAGAGTCCATCGGTCGCCGAAGGTCTACAGATATCTTTGCAGCCGTAACCCGACACGCCAAACCTTCCAGTATTAATCTACAAACCGCTCGTGTCCGCTCTGTGCAAGAAAGCATACCCGATGAGCCGCTCGTTGCCATGGGAGAGCCAAGATCAGTTGATAAATCAGATCCCGCTTCCGAAGTTGTGAGACGTCTATCCACCCGTAGTTCAGTGCCAGCTGCTGAGTCCAAAGAAGCCAAGAACTCCAATATTCATTCGCAACAAGAAGGTAGAGGTGCGAAGTCTGGTCGGGTTCTTCGACGAACTTTCGAGGAAGACCAGGAAACTTTCCCTAAACGGCTCAGGCGCAGTGGATCACACACTGCTCCATTGACTGAGACTGGTAGTCCTTCGAATGGACCCGTCGATCGTGTCGTAGAGTGGATTCCGAGCACGGGTGCCACAGTTCCTCGTCATCAGTTTGGAAAGTCTGTCAGTGTTCGCAGACGAGCGGAAGAGATCGTGTCAATGGGCCTTGGCCACGATGGAGCAAGTGACCTCAGTCTCTCTCGACGAAGTACTATCTCAAGCTCAATCCTAACTGCCAACATTGGTGTAGAAGAGAGGTATCACGAGATTGAAGTTCCGAACGATGTTGACAACCGACAAGGATATGGACGGCGCGTCACGCAAGACTTTGGGTTTCCTGGTGCAAGGATAAAGTCAAACGGCACGAACAGAACCAGCAAGCCATTGCGAGATCCTGGTAACTGGACTAAGCGGGTTTGTGGTCACTTCTCGTACATGGGCAAAAGCGAGCATCGCGATCATGCACAAAAGAAGATATGTCGGCAATGCTCAGGTCGAGCACCACCGCCTGAAGAACTGCCAACTACAAAACGGCTGATACGCAGACGAGGCATATCCGGATCCTTAACCTCCACAACCTCTTCTTCGAAACCCTCCAACAATGACGTCGGCCGTAGACATAGACGTCGTAAGCATCACTCCGAATACATACCATACGACAAGTGTGGGGATAAATTTGCTGAAGAGTTGAGCTATATCATCGGCAACATTCTAGAAGAGCATGCGAACACCGTGCAGTCTGTCATCAGTAATATCAAGAACAGTCGACCGAATTTTGATCAGCTTCGACGAATGTCTGGAGATCTTGTTCAGCGATGTCAGGCCAACGGCGCTTGTGGACAGCACTATCAAGCAACTTGTCAGCCAGCACAAACATCCTGTCGACGAGATAACGACTGGCTCACTCCTTGTCCATACGTCCCACCTAACGCAGCGGAGATACTAAACGTGGGATCTCCCGGGCAACTGCAGCCAAACCTCAACGATCCTCATTCCAGCTTGCGCGAAGCATTGCAGTCAATACCTGACCTCGTCGACCTGGTCAACTCTGCAGCCGATGATCTCGGAGTTGATCTTGAGCGAAGACCCACCGCAACCGACGACAACATGTTTCGCAACGCTCCCTACGAAAGTATGTACGGAATCTGTCTCGTATAATTCAGACATCTCTTTCGAAGCCACAGAGGACAAGGCGAATGATGAAGAGCCGCTTACCGAGGACAGCTGGCTACAGCAGACACGCAGACACTTGATCGAGCTTTCGGAGGGGCGGGAGCAGCTTATGGACGAATTGGATTCCATTGCTGGAGATCTCAACGTCCAGCTCCAGAATCAACAAGAGACCGAGCAAGGGGATGAGTCAGTCGCACATCCTGTACAACGTGTACTTAGTAAAGCCCCTATGGACCTCTCGCATACATCCACGTTGCAGAGAGAAGCCCTTATCGAATCGGTGCAATGCATGCTCACTATAGTCCTTACTATCATTTTGCGCACAGCCACATTGCAGTGTGAGTTTCCGGTGGATGACACCGTAGTCGAACCCGTACAGTGTGTACTCAGCAAAGCTCCTACTGGTGTCTCACAAAAGTCTACATGGCACGATGTTACGCCCGTCGACTCAAATGCTACTCAGAACTACTACGAGAATGTATCGTCCGCTGGAACCATGCATCCTATGCCTGACGATGTCCCCACTGGTTTCTCTCTTACATCCACGTGGCAGATGGACAGATTTATCGATGCTGTCATTAAAGATCTTGAAGTCAACCACCCAGACGATTATGAGGGAGAGGTAGTCACCAACATCGTACAGCGCATACTCGGCCGAGAACCCATTGGTGTTCCAAGCAAGCTCACATGGTCGAGGTCTTAACCAGTCGACTTTGCCGGTGAGGAAATGCTCAGCATGATTGACGACAGTAATGATCAGAGAAGGCTTAGCTACGCACTCATTCGTATCGTTACCCAGTCGAAAGAACCTCCATCTGCGACTCGAGAGCCCTACTAAGTTGAAGAAGTTTCGCCAGAGGAAATCTAGGAGGTGCTTTAAGTGGCGAGAAACGAGCTCCTGGCTGCTGTTGCTTCCACCACTGCCATCCTGCAGACATTGGCAGAGACCAAATACGAACCTGCTAATGAGACTAGCGACGTTGAGGAGCTGAATCAGCATGTCGAGCCGATAAACGAGGCGCGATACAAGCCCACAGTATGGAACAAGTGATAACTCTCAGATCGAGCAGCTACACGGGACTCAACCAGACCAACAATACGACCAAACTACGACAGACATTTACAACGACGACAACAGCCTGAATTCGTCGCTTTCCGGATTTAGTGAGCCGAATAAAGACCTGTATGATGAGGTCACTGAGTCTGGACGTCGCTTGAGTCTAAATTCCGAGAGCAAAACCCTAACCGCGTACTGGTCGGGCGTTCAGCTGTTTCTCAAAGGACTAATTCAATGCCGTCTGTACGGAGGGTGACTGCAGAGGATTTGGCAGTAGATTCAAAGTGGAACTGTGATGATGGGCTATGGTCAGGCGTTCCGCCATACTGCTGTCGAGACAGTTAACGCTCCGGCTAGAGTATGAAAACGAGATCAGTGTCCCTCTGACAGGCTTCCGAGAAGGAGATCAAGATTTTCCACCAGATCTAGAAATGGAGGAGCTGCAAGAGATTCAACGCGCTGTTAATCGCCGTCGATCATCGTTCGTATCGCCTCTGCCTCGTAGAATACCGCAGGAACTTTCTCTCCCGTTTGCGCAAGTCGGCTACCAAGCCCAGAGACAGAAGAACTACAGGGTCCTCAGCGTTCTACTACCCGACGGCGATCTTCAGTTCTACCCCACGACTCTAAACCTATGGAGAAAGCTGCAGGGACGTTTTCTTTTGTGTCGTCTGAGGCTATATTGCCTGACGAGCTTGCCTCTCAAATGCGGCGAAGTCCTTCTGGAATCGAGGTTGCTTTTTCGTCAAGCAAACCCAAAAGTCGAACGAGGTCTTCAGATTCGTCGTCGTCGCTAAAAATTGTCGCAAGCGCGTCTCCAAGACTATTCACACTGTCTTCGATAGAGGCGGTAAATTGTATGTCTAAAAGGAAGCCGGAATATGATGCGCTCAGGGCAGCCGACCGTAAGCGAGCCAGCGCGTGAGCCTACACCGCCTACACAGCAGTCGTCTGGATATGATACATCTGCAACGCCGCCACCAGTACAAGCCGAGGAACTAATTCCATCACCAGTTGCTTCCATATCCAGCAGATTAGAGCAAGTACGCTTCCTGGGACGACTACAGTTCTTGCGGAACCGGATAGAATTCCTTGGGGAAGACATACGATGCAAAAGTCTAAGCGTATTGTTAGCCTTTCGGAGCCGGAATCTCAGCTTCTCGTTGAAGAGGAAGACCCGGAACTATTACCTTCAGTACAACAAATTCGCCGGAAGATCATTATATCATCTACTCGGCAACGGTGAGCAAGTACACGGTCACTAAATGTCGGGAAGCAAGAAGATCATGATCTTCAGTCTTTGGTACAACCAATCCACCAGATGGCTACTGTGGTAGCTTCTGAGCAGCGGGAGGAAACATACAGTCGCCACTTATTCAAGGTCAAGATGAGTCTAAGTTCTTGCCTACCTTACAAGGCATGCGCAGGACTATGACCGCATTGCACAAGCCTGAGGCATCTCGCGAACCATCACCAGTCATCGATAAGGAAGAGCTTGAACACGATGCAACTCGCTCCCAATCCGAAGCCCCTGAGCAGCCGCCGCTTATCGAAATCGAGGAACCTGTATTTAATTCTCCGGTAGAAAGAATACGTCGAATCACTACGCCATCGCCAACCTATCGCCAACCTATCGCCAACCTATCGAGATGAGTCTGAATTTCTATCTCCGGTGCAGCAGATTCGTCGAACAACTATTATGCAGGCGAGTGAACAGTAAGAAGGCTCTGACAACAGCAGGAACAGCAAACGCCGGCACCAGCAGCGAAACCGCTGGGTGCAGTTATGACGAACTTTGGGCCCACGTCTGGTGGAGCAGCGAAGGGAGCTGTGGCGGATGCAGGAGCAAAGTCGCCACAGGCAGCTAAGGTGCAGGAAAAGGCTGGACAAGGATGCGGTATCACCAACCCACTGAGGGGACGTTGGGGATGGGGAAAATGAGTAGTTGAAGATGCGTGTGCTAGGTATTGGTGAATGGTGAGACGTGAAGGGATGGTGGTATTTTATGTCGTTATTATAGATGTGAGAAAAGAGAGCATGGATGCCTAGATATCGAATCGGCTACTTCATACTTTGATGTTCTCACCATGTACATATGACTTTGTGGCAGCAAGTGACGCCATGCTAGATGATTTTCAACTTGTTTGTCCATGTCCCAGCCAAGTATACCGGAGATACGTACTCTCTTCAGAACAAGTCGGAATATACCTATCCCTGTGTTGTGAGTTGTCCTGTCCCAAGGACCGAGTTCCGTCTTAACCACGTCATTAGCACATCTCGACATCGTCCTAGATCCGCGCTAGCCACATAACCATTCCGCACTAGGAAGCTTGCTAACCATATTCACCGAAATATGAAGGCCGTAAAGAAGAAGCATCATGTATGGGAGGACTAACATGTCGATGAATTATGCCGTCTGCGTCATACATGGCAGTAGTAACAAGACATACTGATAAATATAGTAAAGCCACTGGCTCCATTGAGTAGCAGTTCGCATGATCGTTTACTTGACTTCTGCACTTCCTTCAACGCCGTGCCCAAATTTGAAATATATAATCACCAATACTACTCCTCGGACGCATCTCGCAACTATGTTCACAAAACCACTATACATCCTCATCGCCTTACTCAGTGCACTAGCCACCGCGCAAGAGATACCGGCTGGTGTTTCTAGTAGCCTTGGTGCTATCAATCCTACAGTCTACTCTTCGGCTGCGTCGGTTCTGTCTGCGTCTTCGGCATCTGTTGCTTCGGCTGAGGCGACTAGTACGGGCGGTGCAAATGCTCATGGTGAGTCATTTCTGGGAGTCGCGATTATCGTGGTGCATCTCCTAGAAATAGAAAGGCTGACGTTTTGCAGAGGTAAAATATGCTGCGCTGTTTGGTGTTGGTGGTGTGGCTTTGAACGCGTTCATGTAGAAGAGTAATGTTACGCGTAGAAGTAAGGGCGATGTTGGAGTGATGTCAAGGGATTGGAAATGTTGCGACTTCCTCAACAACGCCGTAATACGCTACCCATCACAAAATATGCAGCATACGAAAGGCGATACAATAATGATACACATACACTTTGATTTCTGAAATTCTAAAGAAATCTCGATCCAAATTCTGGTCCCGTAAAAAGAAGCAACCATCCCAGCCTCCCACGCCACACTAGCTTCCGCGGACCCCTCAAACGTCATTACTTGCATCACTTCCTCGATCTACAATCCACACCACCACACGCGTTCCTCGATCCGCTGCTAGCTCCCCTAATACTCCGAGTTGTAGAACAGCGCTGCATCAAAACATGTTCTTCCGTACTTGTACATCTATGGCTCCTTTGAACCCTACACCATAACCACGGAACCTTTTCGCCGCAAATAGATCGTCATCCAAGATTAATTCTGCGCTTGGAAGAGGTGTTACGGCTTGCTGTTCTGAAGATTTGAGGTAAGAGGCTGAGGACATGCAGGTAGGTTGTGCGTTATGAATGATTAGGTTTGGGGGACGCAGAGTCATGGAAGCTGGATTTGGACTTGTATTGGGAGGCGACGGGATAGGATACGACGAATTATTTGGCGATCTTGGTTAGGAAGAATAGATTCAAGGATATAGATATATGTACGAGTAAGCGTTGATATATACCAACACTCAACTCAATTCATGTCCCTATGTATATGCAGTATGTACCAATGTCCATCGACCGGTGAAATAATACAATAACTCGCAATCATCCATTTTTACTCCTCACCAACCATCGTAATGCGCTCCTTCAACATGCTCACCCTGCTCCTCCCCATCTTCACCACTCTCCCCTTCACCCTCACCCAAGACTAAGCCATCTCCGAAGCCGAAACAACAGCATCAGGAAACACCTTAAACACCTCAACGCAAGCTCCCGCAGAAGCTACCTCAGCCGCTCAGTCAGCGGCTTCGTCAATTGCCTCCGAGGCGTTTTCTTCGGCGTTGTCATCGGCTACGAGTAGTATCTCTGAGAGGGTGGCGGAGAGTCCGAGTCCTACGGCGACTACGGGTGCGGTGGCGCCTACGAATGGTAAGTTTTTTGTTTGAACGCTTGATTGTATTGGTGGTTTGGGACGTATACTGATGTCCGTGATAGATGCGCAGTTCACTGCTGTGATTGGTGGGGGGCTTGCTGTTGCTGCTGTGTCGTTTGTCCGAGAATGGAGATGGAGATGGATACCGGGGTATAGCGGGGCCGGCTTAGGGAGATATTGCGCATGGTATACTCCATGGCATACCTACGTTATGGCCAGCTTCGAGTAATCGCAGGCACTCTTCGAAACTGTAGTATAGTATTATCACATCAACATTGGCATCAGAAATCGGTTATCGAGTTGCTCCGCATGTTCCAAATCAAGTAAGCAGCTCTGTTGCTATTCGTAAACAATCGTCTAAACCTCATGTCTAGGGATCACATCGTCTATGCTGTGCGTCTTAAAACCAGGCAATTCTAAAGCCAGGCCAACACCATATCCATCAAATCATAATCCGTTAAAATGTTACCCTCAATGCATCAATGTTCCAAAACATTATCTTCCCCATATCTACAACTGTGTCAAAAGACCCTCGCTCTCCAAGAGCAGGATAATCTGGTGAACCGCTGTCCTGACGTTGGTGGTCGACAGGTCAACAGTCAGATCAGCGTTGGCAGGCACCTCATATGGGTCGTCAACACCGGTGAAACCCTTGATCTCACCAGCACGCGCCTTGGCGTATACGCCACGCTTGTCGGTCTTCTCGGCGTGCTCGAGCGGGGTAGAGACGTGAATGAGGTAGAAGGATCCGTATCGCTCTACAGTCTGGCGGGCCGCCTTTCTTGAGTCCTCGAAAGGAGCAATGGGCGCGACGATAGCTGCCGCACCAGCCTTGGTGAGCTCGGCGGCTACGAAGGAGATACGGGCAATGTTCTTATCACGGTCGGATCGGCTGAAGCCCAACTCGCTGGAGAGTTCACTGCGGATGGTGTCACCAAGAAGGAGGGAGACGGATCGACCTCCTTGTTGGTTGAGGGTGACGTTGAGAGCGCGTGCGATGGCATCCTTGCCAGAGTTTTGGTATCCTGTCAGGAAGACAGTGAAACCTTGTTGGTTGCGAGGAGGGTGGGATTCGCGGAGGACGCGGACGACTTCGGGGTAAGAGAACCATTCGGGAATCTCTTGGCCGGTTCGGAGACGCTTGCGGAGCTCTATTCACTGCATTAGTTTCCAATCCGTGAGTGAGTCGGAACAAGAGGTAACGTACCAGTTCCGGAGATATCGAGGGTCTTGACACCCTGCTCAACCTCGTTCTTGGGCTTGTACTCATCAGAGTCGGGGAGGTAGGTCATCTGGAGGAAAGGCACAACTTCGATACCGAGCTCATCCCTGTACTTCTCGACAGCATCCTGAGCGTCGTACGGACCGTAGAAGTCGACACCCTTGGAGTTCTTGCCCGGACCAGCGTGGTCACGACCGACAATGAAGTGGGTCGCACCATGGTTCTTGCGGATGATGGCGTGCCAGATCGCCTCGCGAGGACCAGCCATACGCATAGCAAGAGGCAGAAGAGCAAGTACGGCCATGCCGTTGGGGTAACGGGGCATCAGCGCCTGGTAGACACGGACACGGGTGAAATGGTCGATGTCACCGGGCTTGGTCAGACCAACAACAGGGTGGATGAGAACGTTGGCCTGGCGAGCGCGAGCAGCGCGGACAGTCAGCTCACGATGAGCGCGGTGCATGGGGTTCCTCGTCTGGAAAGCGACGACCTTGGACCAGCCAAGCTTGTCGAAGTGCAGACGCAGTTCCGCAGGCGTATACCGGAGACCGACATAGTCGTAGTGGTCCAGGCGGTCGATGGCCTCGAGCTTACCACCGACGTAGTACTCCTTGACGGTCTCGTAGAGGTACTTGATCGCAGGGTGTGCTACGTCGTTGTCCTTGTCGAAGACCTGCCTGGCCTCCTTCTCCTTGTCTGGCTGGTATACATCGTCGACGGTGATGATGGCGAGGTTGCGGTCGTCGCGGAAGTCGCGAAGGGCGATGCGAGCTCCCTGCTTCACACCAACTTCATCGATGGTCTGTTTCGAGACATCGAGCGTAATGGGGATAGAGAAGAGGTTGCCGTCAGCGAGACGGTTGTCGGAAACTACGCCGTCGTAGTCCTTCTGGTTCATGAAACCTGCATGGTGTTGTCAGGGGTCGTGTTGCTGCAAACATCGCAAACACGAGGGGCGGCTTCTGTGCCCCTCGCCTAGCGCGGCGGGATGACGACTTACCCTCTAGAGGTGAAAAACCACCGTTCAGGATGAGTTCCAAGTCGCAAAGCTGCCTCTCGGATAGAACGATAGCGGGAAGCTTCTCAGCCTCTTCGAAGAGCTCCTTGCGTTGGGGCGCATCGCGTGCGATCAGGTCCTTGAGGACGCCGCCTATTGTCACCTGCCGTCAGCATCCATTATCGATTTCAGCGGGTTTGCCGGTCAACTCACCATGGGGTGCGTTCGCCATCTTTACAAGGTATTTGAGGGATAAAGGATTTGACAAGAATCTCTTGAATTATGTCGGCGAAGACTTGATATCGTTCCTGGCTATGCTAGGCTGGCTTCGCAAAGGATGTTTTGGGTCACTCAAAAAGAAATATGCGCGACTAAGAACTACAAAATGGGACCGGAGGGAAAGACCTTTTTATTCCCCGGGTTCTACGGACACTCCAAGGATCCAAGTTCCGCTTGTTGACCATAGGCTTCACTGGATTTTTCCTGCTGCAGAGACTAGAGTACAAAGCGGGTTGTTGTATGGGTCGGCAGATCTTGGAAGCGATTGCGCAATTGCACGCGATACTTGGAGCCTGTCTTGCCCGGCTTTTCGTTGGGTCAAGTAACCACGGTGACGTGAGTGGAGCGGAGATGCAGTACTACGTCCTGCAGTATGTGATGCGCTTTAGCGATTTTCAGGAACACATCACGTATATGACAGGTCTAGCGCTTTTGCTTGATATTCGTTTGATTCATGATTGAGCTTCATTGGCTCGTATATCGGTGGTATCTCGGCCCCGTATACATCATCGGAAGCGGCTTCCGCAAACCCAATACTACGATGTCCCAAACCCCACGCTATGCCCTGACCCAGGAACAACCCAAACGCCGATGCTAATGCGATACATGTAAACGAGAATATGACGTTGCCCAGTAAACTAGACGTTCAGAGAGACTTGTTGCAGCTTGTTGGCCAGATCCTCATTTTGTTGCTTCATCGCCTGCTCTTGGAGGAACTGAGCGTATCGTGACTTGGGGTTGTGAATACCGCACTCGGTCTTGTTCTTGCCCTTCCAGCGTCCTGAGCGCTCATCCTCTCCAGCGGCCACTGGCTGTGTAGAGTGCCAGTCCCCAACACTCTTGTAACCCCTGTTGAGAAGGTCGTTGTATGGGACGTCGTTGGCGTCAACGTATTCCTTTACTTGGGCGAAGCTCCAGTTGGCTAGAGGGTTGATCTTGATGAGGCCAGCCTCATCGATCTCGATGATGTCTAGGTCTCCTCGCTTTCCACCTTGGCTGCGTCGGCGACCAGTCAGGACGGCCTTGACTTGAAGTTCAGAGTAGGCACGCTCGGCAGGCTCTACTTTAGCAACGTAGTCATAGAGTTCATCGTTGGTGTCCCAAAGCTTGTCGCCATGCTTGGTAGTGAAGTCGTTGACATTGTCGCACCCAGCAGGCTTGTAAACGTGTACTGGTGTTCCGTATCGCCTCTTTACCCGGTCGACAAGGGCATATGTTTCATCAAAGTGGTAAAGGGTGTCCAGGAAGATCAAGTCGATGTTGTGCTTCAACGGTCCATCAAGCTTCGAAAGCATGTCCACAGTAACGAGGCCAGTAAGTCCAAAGGCGGTAGTCTGGAATAGCCCAGGCAGAGATGTGATGGCCCATCGAAGGATGTCTACGTCAAGTCAATTCATGAAGCTTTCCAAGAACGAACCACTGCCACATACCCTGAGGCTCGAGCTTCTGTAGCTGAGCGTTGATAAACTTCAAGTGAGGCTTTGCGAAGTAAACTTCGGGCAGACTCTCTTGGCTGGATTCGGCTGAAGCATAGCCTGACTCCTCACGGAGTGTAGGCTGCTTGTAGGAGTCGACATTTGCGAACAATGGTGACGACATCTTCAAGATCGTGTGGCGGAAGTTTGGGGTATGGCAAGCACGTGCGGAGAAGCCAGAAGCAGAATGTCTTTGTGGTTTGGTGTCTGAAGGAGGCTTCCCAAAAGAAACTACTATTATCAATCGTGGGGTTCTGGAGGTGGAAAGAGGGAGAGCGACCACGGCCTCGAGTATATATTGGGCGCCGCCATCGGGATCGCTTTGTAACCCATCTCCGCAAGGTGCGATAGTTGGGGGTGAAGACGTGCGATCACGCAATTCGCGCTAGTACATGGTGGAGCAAAACTCTTCCTGCCAGCCTTATGTAAGGCAGTCTCGCCAATCATTCGGCAGCAGTAGTCGGTTTGCTTCATCTGAGGCTCGGACGACGTCTATGCTCATGCACTCCGCGGCTGGAGGTTGATTGGAAATCGCCCGATGGTTTGGGGTTTTGTCATCAGCGTCATCCCCTCGACGTTTGCCGAAATGCGAAAGGCTGAAGTCATAGTGATCTGGCTTTGGCTGGCGGACTAGGCAGGCGGAGGAGCTGTCTTAGAATGGATCGTAAAATGACCTGTTGCCTCATCTTGACCTTCTCTTGATGTTTGCCTTCGCTGGTAATATGGAGTCGGTGGACAGCCCCGGTCCATCGGCAAGCGCCGGGCGATCGCGTCCGGGGCCTCGCTCAGAAGACTTGCGACACGCATCAGGGTTTTCTACAAAATCATCGATTAGTGCGGGTTGTTGTGGAACGTCAAGTATAAAATTTACCTATAGTGTCCATGCATGAGGCTGAACGAATTCCAGCCTCCTGCACGACTCAGTACATCCTGTCGCTCTGGGGCGTCAGAATTGTCCTGCGTGTGCAACCTAGTCTTCCTATATGCAATACATCGCTGTAGTCTTCTTCCTCATAGTAATTCGACGTAGTGTTGTAACGCATTCTCATCTGTACGCTTTCTGGCGAGTTGTTGTCGTGAATGTGGCGGATGTCGCGGCGGGGTCGTTGCTGTCTTAACAAATTCGGTCCTTACACACTAAACCGCCCCGCGGCTAACCGGCAAGGTTTATGGCTTCGCATCAATTGGGTGGGAATTATTCCCGCCCCGTTCTACAAGCAACATTGCCGATAGCAAACTTCATACAGTAATCCAAAAAGTCCAGTTTCGCGAATGCGAGAAGTTCAAGAACGGCTACTACGATCGCTGAAAACATGCCACGTCGCCAACCGCCCTTGACCAGAACCTTTTTGGTGGATCGCCATTAGGTCTTCATCGCGTTTTCCTTGCCTCAACGCACAACCTTTAAAGCCGCTCACTGCTTCCTTCTGGTGTTATACCCCCAAACTGTTCAACCCACAGTTGACTACACATCGTTTCATCAACACTATGGGGTAATTGATCAAAGCTCAATCCAACCACGATTTGATAATGCACAGAACCAATCACGAAACACAATCATCCATCCCTGACCTCTACTTCTCCATCCGATCCAACACCCCAATCTTCCCTCTCCACAGCTCCCTCGCATTCTCCCAAAATACCATCTCCTTCTCCTCGAGTCCCAACTCCCCCGACCAAGCCAATCCATTGATATTGTCATCCACGTTCCAAAACCCAATCCCATACGGGTAATCCGTCCCAAACACCATCTGACGAATCGAAATACCCATCCCGTCCGTCAATCCTTTGATCTGGTTCGGCCACACAGGACCTGCACTATCGTACCAAAAGCGGGATTTGTATGCTTCCCTGGCTGCGGAGGAGATGTTGGGGAAGCCAAGGAGGAAGCGCTCGGAGATATCGGGGAAAGCGCCTGCGCCGTGGGAGATGCGAAAGTGGAGAGAGGGATAGGTGAGGATGGTGGAGGAGGCTGTTAGACTAGAAATTGCGCGGGCGGTTTCGAAGTAGAATTCCCCGAGGCCGGAGCGCAGGGGTGCTGGTGTAGGTATTCCGATTAATTGCCTGTTACAAAACAGCGTTCGAGGGGAAAGAAGAAGAACTTACATGGTCGGGAATTTATTAACCGGCCATCGTCGAGCTTGAGGATGGGCTCCGTGGGATGCACGAAGACCACCTCTTTACCATTTCCCCCATCTTTCCCAGCTCTTTCCTGGAGAAACTCCCAGAGCGGATCGAAGGCTTCATCTCCTGGGTATAACCCTTCGTGGTTCGTTAACACACCGACACCCACTGGCTGTCTCCCCACCATGGCGAACATCCGATTCAATTCTGTAATCGACTCTTGCACATGAGGTAACGGCATAATGGCTAGCCAGCTAAATCTCTCCGGATAGATTCTGCAAAGTTCCGCAGCGAAGACATTGAGTAAACGAGCAAGGGCAAGCGTCTTCTTCTTCCTTAGTGTCTCATCTCTCTCGGTCAAAAAGGCGTTGGATTGAGGTGTAGAGATGCAAAGTACAGAATGGGCGATGCTGTGCTCGCTCATAAACTTGAGGTGAGATGATACATTCCAAGACGGTGTTGCTCGGCCTGCAGCGTTAAGTTCAAGAGCCCGGAACCAGTCCGGGATTGGGCTATCGAGGGTTTTTTAGTAAGTTTTCATTTCACATGGATCGCTTGTATTGGGTTGGGCTAGATATAGGCTTACTGTGTATGTGTATCAATCCTCTTTGAAGTGGAAAAATCGAATTCTTGCATATCCACCACATTACTAGCTAGCGAAGCGATACTCGCAATCGCTTCTTTAGCAAAAGGTAATACTGTTAGGTCGATGCCATCAACATAAGCTTCATATTGTATCTGCATCCAGAGTTTATTCTCGTCGTGGTGTGTACCATTCGAGGGAGCTGAGTAAGGTTTGCCGTAGGGATAAGCCTTCACCGTATTAGTCTTCTTAGTTCAACAGCAGAGTACATAGAGCATAGCAAAGCTCGGATTCTCACCATTCGTTCACTAGACGACATCCTGATGTGAGGAAATATGTTGATGATACTAGCGGTTGTGGTTGCCGCCCAGATGTAGACTACCCCACACGTAAGTAAGGACAAAGAAGGATATCGCATATCTGAAAGTTGTAGCTCAACTCACGGTCTCGCACGTAGAATGTTTGTTATGTTTTACAGATTGTTGTGGGTGACCCTAAAGGTTGTTGTTGTTGGATCAGTGGGTTAGCTTCATGTAACTAGTACGCGCATGTGCGGGGAGCCGCCACCAAGGGTATCATATCTGTACCTTGTAGCCCGCTTCGTGCTTGTCATCGGAGCTAGAAGCGCGACTAGAATCATTTAGTTTAGTAGAGCTGGTGATAAATCGGGGCTATTCATGCATTGGACAGACTTCACCCGAGAAACCGCGCATATGTCCGGGACAACACATCATGTACATTTGGGAAAAAGCAACCCCCAAAACAAACCAATCACAAAGCTATCCATCATGCCACCTCGGCAGTAGTAACAGCACTCTGATACTTCAAATTCAACTGCGGCGCCTCCAGCCCCTTCCCTGGAACATCGCCCAGCCCCTCCGGCTCCACGTAATTCTCCTCTTTATACCCATTAACCCTCAGTCTCAACTTCCTGCTCTCCGCATAAACAACCCTGCGCATCCTATTCGTGCTTCCTAGCGGCTGGTGCTCCTTCAACCCATGCCAACTATTCACCGTAATGCGATCATCCCACCATGTCCTAAACTCTGGTAGCCACGAGTCCTGCGGCGCAAATTCGATAGTGGCGATTTGCTCGAACGGATACTTCTTTGGATCCCATTCAATGCCGATGTCGTCGACGGGTTGTTCTGTGAGGTCCTGGAGGAGTTGTGCGCAAAAGCTGTAGGTTATGGTGTTATTGAGGTGGTGTGTACGGAGGGTTTGGGAGAGGATATTGATGGGGTCTGAGTCCTTGACTTCGGTGTGCTCTAAGTCCTTTTGGAATTTGCTAGCAGGGAAGACGCCGTACTTGGCTACGTAGGCGCCGTGGCGGTAAGCTGATTGGGAGTACTCGGGCATGGCGACCATGTGCTGCTTTGGTAATTGTCCTCCAAGTGTTGCGACATCAGCGTCTACTCTCTTGCTCTGCTCGTCTGCAAATTTGGGAAGGTCGTTCCAGTTCCTTTCCAATGCGTCGGCGATGTCATATGTGGTTTGGGGATCACGCAGTTCTAGGACTGGGTAGTTGTTGAAGGTCCAGTCTTGCGTCTTCTTGTCTTCTCCCCAGATCTTCTCACCCTCGATGCCGAAGACCTTCATGCCAATGCCGCGCGGTGCTGCCAGGTTGTCGGGTAAGATCTTGGGTGTCAGAGACGAGTAGCGCATGATTACATCGTAGGTGCCAGGTTTGGCGAACATGCCTTGGGCGAGGTGCTCCGGGAGGTCGTCATGGACGGTGAATTTGCCCATAACGCACTGCACAGGTTAGCACATCAATTATCTGGAGGAAGCTTCAGAAGGTACTTACACCCTGAGTCTTCAGATGTGTGCCTCTCAAACAATGCATATGCTCATTGAAGTTCATCATCTGAAAACGATTGAACTGAGCAGACACCTCCTTAATCTTCTCTTCTTCATCATCTGGGATGATTTCAACACCTGGCGCATCCCATTTGATGTATGTGCCAGGAGCCTTTTTGTCCTGTCCACCAGCTTTGATCGTACCGCTGGCTACTTTGCCGTTGTGAATGTTCTCGATTCGATGGTAGCCCATGGGGCATGTTTCGATTTTGGTTCCACTCATGCTTACCAGGTGATAGTAATTTTCTCTCTGATGCTCGCAAACGGACGATACCCTACTTAAGTCACCAGCGTAGTCCTCGTGGCGACCCCGCAATAGCATCAAGCTTCCGCCTCGCCGACAACTGCGACTTCCCCATGTTGCAGTGCGGACAGAATGGCTCTAGATCATGCGGGGTAGCACATCAATGATTCCAATTCTTTGAGGTTCAAGCGTGTGTTGTGTTGTCGGGAGCTGCTCCGGAAGGCCTTCCTGCATGCGTCATTGATCTAGCCCGCCGCAACCTACCAATGACAAGAACCGAATTGAAGATCATCGACTCCAGCCGCGTAGCTTCCCGCAGTTGCATAATTCTAAAGCGCATGATTTGGAAGCATAACCGTGCCCCATAAGTCTACCAGATTATTGCATTGATAAGAAAGACCATGTATGCGCTTCTATTGGGACAGTAGCACTTCAGTCTCCACAATAGATCTCGGTATCATCCTTCGGGCGGTATCATGTATCCGCAACTGGTATACACCTATTCTACACTAACCATGAGGTAACCACGCCGTGAAGCAAGTGATACAGGGCAGAGACCGGGTTCTAGAGTTAACGATGGAGTATTGATGGGCGGTCCCGTGGTGGGTGCAGCTGTGCTAAAGCGTTGATACTGCTGCGCCGAAGCAGGTTTTGAAACTGATCTAGATCAATCCGAGAGACTGAGCAACGTTGTGTAATGGATGGTGAGATTTGATCATGTCGCGAGTAGCGGTCGATGTAATTTCGCGGTTATCGCATTTTGTTGTACGTTGGTCACGATGCTAGTGAGCGAACTTTGGAACTTTGTGCAACAACCGTTGTAAACGATGCCTTTTACAAGCTATACCATAGCTTCGATACATTGTAACCTGACCAAATTTGGTCGCCAGTAGTGAACGTAGGTCCTATTCGTGCCAACTAGAGGTCGCGCTTGCATAAATGAAGACATATTCATCCGTATGCGTTGACACTGGGCTATCACAGTACCTAAGTTTCAGATCTTCTGATAGGCAAGCCACCCACAACCTTAGAACCATCACCTCTTCTACACGTGGTGAATACAATACTACGTTTTACGTTCGAACGCCGACCACCTTCTCGAGCCAAAAGCGATTCGGTCATTCAAGAGCATCTACGCGCAGTTCTACTCACGTCAGGAGAAATATCTCAAAGTTGTTAACACAAATCTTCTATCGCTCTTCATCGCACGCCGGACTCGTAAAGTTTTCGAGGCGATCGTCACAGATATGCTCGAAGAGACTCCGGGGAACTATAGCCTCGCCATTTATGACTTCTTAAGTCGCAATTCTTCGCGGTGCTGGATGGTTCTGCAGTTGGCTCACAGTATCAGCCGGGTACCAGGCAGTCATGAGTACCATATACAGCACTCCCTTGGGTGTCTAACCTGGCGACGCGCGCAAAATACCTTCGCGAGGGAGCGAGTTGGAGGTCGATGTCATTAGTCTCAGCATCAGGCCGACTGGTAAACTGCTTGCAGCTCGTTGGCGCGGAGCAACATTATGCAGCCGGATGTATCACAACTCTGTATGGGGGTTGGGTTGTATTTCGCTCCCCAGACGAAGCTGAAGAGACTGGTCTCAGAGACCAGTTCTACTTCCCGCAAGGTATTCCTGTTGGCCGTATCTACAATATGCTCGTTCCAGGGACCTGGTCAGATCGACGGGAGTGGAAGGTATTGCTAGAGACACATGTGAGAGATCCAGAGGAGTTCGAACACTTTGCCCACATCCTGCGTCAAAGAGATGCACCTGACAGCGTAAACCACAAGCGCATGAAGGAGCTGTTAGTACACGATGTGGAACATGCTGTTGTTTCGATTGGTAATTCGACGTGGTGGTGTCGTCACGAAGGGCCCGAACCGAGAGACGAACTGTAGCGACTGGAAGAGATCGGTCAGATTGGCGAAGCTGGCTATGACATATGCTATTTCGGGTGGCCTCTGCCGGTTGGATTCACAAACCGTCCGCATTCATCTCCGTCATTCTAGATGCAAATGTGAGAGGATGGCAGGCGTACGCTTCCAAGTAGACCAAACATTACATTAGATTGAGTAATTTCCGCGGCGGACAAAATCAAACTGTACTAAATAGCTGTCCCCAATACTAGAGCTTGATAAGACCACAACCCCAGGCAGTTGGAGCCTCCAAAACCAAGACCGAAGTCATGGGCAGGGCGCGGCTTCTCAGGGCAGCACAGAAGCGAACACCATCGAGAACAAAGCTTAGGCGATTACTCCAACACAGAGATTCGTGTTTGCCCACATGAGTGTGCAGTCATCCTGGATCGCAGGGTCTAAGCACACGCACACACAACGTTAGCCATCATCTTCAGCGCGGTGTTCAGAACGCGGGGATACTCACTCCACTTGACAAGGTCCTCCAGGCTAACCTCATACTCCTCCTGGATAGCCGGGCAGGTCTCACCACTCTCCACAAAATGAAACTTGTTGCAGTTGTCCACCATGCCGTCCTGAATGGGCCTCGGCGTCTCGATCCCGTTTGACGGCTTCGTAGGTGTAGGAGTGTGCCCGGTTACGGAAATACAAGCGTAGGCATCGGCTAGCAGGTTGGCGCATGTGTCGCCGGCTTGCGGGTTCCAGGCGAGGAAGTCCTCGAGAGGAATGTCTTTTGCGCTGGCGATGTCGACGCAGATGTCGCCGGGCTTTACAAGGTAGAATTCATCGCAGTTGGATACAATGCCAGGCTGAAGAGGAGAAGGAATAGTGCCTGGAGAATGATATGTTAGGATCGGCATAAGTTGCTTCGACTGCATGGCTAGGTAACTTGCCGTTCAAGGGCGTCGTGATGGTCGCGTTGGGAAAGATTGGGTAGGAAGGCTGCAAAGGAGCGCCCATGGCCGTACCGGCGAGAAGCAAGCTTGATAAAAAGAGTGACATAGTTGGATTAAGATTAAAGAGTGGAGTTGTGCGGTAGGAAATATTAGTAGTAGGTTTTCGCGTGAGCCTTGAATACCCTATACCTGACCATCATGATCACTCTTATATACTTCTGTAGATAGGCTTGAGGACTCTTCTCAAGACAAGACATAGCCCCTGAGCTAGACCAGAAGTATGATATGGTACTTAAAATTCGGTGTCATCGCATCGGAAAGTGCTCGGCGTTGTTGCGGTCCACGGGTGTAAGACGGTCGAGCGATAACGTACTTGAGTATGACGAGACCCACTGTTTTCCCGTCTAGACTAACACAGAACCACTATCGTAGTGAGGATAGTTTTGTATAATGAAGTACAATTGCTTGCTTGAGTTGGTGATCACACATGTAGTCCTAATTTCAACGATGTCCTTGTAGTGGCAGAGCTGGTCTGCGAAGATGTCCATGAAAATAATTCCGTGCGGATGCTACTATCGACAGTATGATCAAGGGCGCTCAGCAAAATAAAATGACCGACTGTAGGTAAGCACTTACTATAGTTGATTTGCTTGGGTGACTGATAGTTCTAAAACAGGGGTTGCGTACATGAGTGAGATGACAAGAGTCCGCAAATTGCTTGGACCAAGGACTTCAATTCTCGGCGGAACTCCAGCATGGGGCACGATTCAAGTGCTTGTTTTGTGAGGCTCCTAGAAGGCTGGAGTTTATCGAGAATATGGCTTGATTCGCGGATCCATCGGCAGCCTAGAATTTGACCAGTAGAGGTGCGACGACGGACCTCAAGACTCGAAAGTGGTCATTGATGAGATCCTATTCGTTTGAAAGACGAGAGATTTGGAAAACGCTCTGATCGATGCTCTTGTAGGCTCCATCAAAGAGGAATAGATAGTATAGTGTAGTTCCGAGATGACGAAGTGGCTAGAATTGGGGAACGGAAGTGGACCTGATAGATTGCGCAGGAATTGAAACGCGTTCCAAGGTCAGAACCTCTATGGCATACTATCTGTACGATTTGCATGTGCCGTGACACACTGGAATCATTATTCATCATTAGCGGTTGTGACCAGTACTCATAGAACTCCGATGGCATCCTGCGGATAGAAAGGGTAGTGTAGACTTTAGGGCGCTTGGAAGGTGCTGTAACAACCAAGCCCTATGGCATCACATCCGCCTCCAACCACTATCGAAGGCGTGCGGAATGACGACAACCAAGAAGAGCTCTCCACTATGGGAGTTATACCAGACGAGGGGTTCATGCAAGGCGGTTGTATGCACATGGACGTGCGTTGGGATGTCAGCACCTTCTCCAAACCACGGAACCGAAGCGTCGGGCCAATGAGTTCGCGACAGCCCCGCCACTGATCATCAACTCTCGCGCAACCAACCCTCGCCCAGCTACACATATCCATCCCCACACGCAGCCCACCATGCAGTCGCTACCAGATGCACGATCGCAAAGCTTCGAGGAGCTCTATGGCCCCCCGGAGAACTTCCTGGAGATCGAGGTAGGCTCGCTAGAAGCTCCTTCACCCTGATCTTGTCCCGCAGCCTTGCTCACAGTTGTCGCGTGCACAGGTTAGAAACCCAATGACACATGGTGAGTGGAAGAAGAGACATGTGAGATGTCGCAAGACTGCAAGCTAATGTGCTGGTTAGGTGTCGGCCGTGGCATGTACACAACCTACGAAATCGTAATGCGAACCAACATTCCCGCCTTCAAGCTCAAGTCGTCGACGGTGCGCCGCCGATACAGCGAATTCGAAGCTTTCCGCGATATTCTCGAGCGCGAGTCGGCGCGCGTTACAATACCACCGCTGCCGGGCAAGGTCCTTACGAATCGCTTCTCCGACGACGTGATTGAACACCGACGGGAAGGGCTACAGCGATTCCTACAGATTGTAGTTGGCCATCCGTTATTGCAGACCGGCAGCAAGGTCTTGGCGGCGTTCGTCCAGGGTGCGTGTATATCGAAAGCTGGGGGGAATATTGACTGACGACTGGCAGATCCCAACTGGGACAGACATGCGTGGTAGACTGGTCTAAGCAGGTCAAGTGCACGCCACATGGTGACAGCCGTGGATGTCTTCAGGCACCTACTGATGTCATGTTCTTGCTTGTTGCAAAGGCAGTTGAGGCGCCAATGATGGGACACTTAATATCAGATTGTCGCATTTGCTGCGTTACGGAGCGATAGGGCGTTTTTGTCGAGAATTTACACGGGAGACTGGGTATTATCATGTCCTAAGTAGTCACTGGGAAAATGTTAACGATTCATCATGACTTTTGAAGAGTCCATTGGGTATCCCAAGCAAATCACTATAATGAGTACCGCCATTGCCTGAGTCTCTGCCTACGTTGATCACCATCATCACATGTCACATAAACCAAGCTCGATATGAGCTCGTTCACGCACCCCCACGAGCTTCCATGTCGATGGCTGGGGACGAGCGCCGGCTAGAACGATTGCTAAGAACTTGACATCAGCGGCGAGCCTCCTCCGCGCAGCGCTAGCGATGCAACAAGGAAGGCGCGGGGTTTAGCAGCAAGCAAAAGTTTTTGGGTGCCGAACGGTCTTAACCCTGCATGCTCCCGACCTTGTGGCTCTGATACATCTTCAACCTATCTTTGTAAACTTTGTTTGCTATCCGGGTGCAGATACTATATTGTCAGTCATGGGTGTGCCGTCGCAACCAGCGTCCAACGCCATCATCTACCTCACCTTGGGCGCTTTCCTGTAAGACCCCAATAAGAACCGTTTACGAGGGGGAAACAAGTGGGAATAGTGGAACTAACGGTGGGAATAGGGTCCTAGGATGTTACGTCGCATGGCGATTGCGACACCAGTCGAAGACCGAATGGCTGTCTAGTAATCGCACGCAGAAGGGTTAGAAACCGTCGCAGCGACCGGTTGCAACAAAGCTTCTCCACCACCGACTTTGCGCAACTGCGCGGACATCAAATGCTATCGAAGTAGGACTTGACTGACTTTTGCGACAGGCGTCCCGCTCACTTTCAATTTCATTGCTAGTGGTGAGTGCATTCGTGCACCGAGTGTGCTTCTTTGCACGTGAAAAGAGCAGCGGCAGTATCGGTTTTTATCGCGACGCATTCTGAGCAGTCCACGACGATGACGAAGACATGCTTCCTTCAAAGGCAAAGCGCGTCTTCAAGCTCCAATGAAGCTTGATTGAAATCCTCTAGGTTCGTATTGAGATCTCTCACGGAAGCTGCTTCTCATCACTACCGCTGCGTTGTAAGACTCACTGCAGTTCCCATCGCATGCCGGTGGTATGGGAAGCAGTCTTTTGTGCGGCTACACTACGGGCGCGGAACCAAAGCTAGGCTCAGAACACACATGACTTTCGTCTGTGTCGTAACCTTGAACCTGGTGGAAGGGGAAGCTGAGAAGTACCGTAAGAACTCGATCAAGATAATACTTGCGTGAGGAACGTGCTGCCGCTACTTTCCCCTCTTACAATACCCCCATTTCTCTCATTGGTGCAAGTAGCTGACCTAGGTTTTTTCTACACCCACAGCTCTCGGATCCGGTATCTTGTTCACGTATCCTCAGATCGCTACGATTGCGGGTGTGCAAGGTCTGTTGGTCTACGCGCTATCTTCATCCTTACCATTGTTGGTGTTTGGCGCCTTGGGTCCGATCATCAGACGGAAATGCCCTGAAGGTTTCGTCCTGACAGAGTGGACGAGGCAGCGTTATGGAGCTATCGGAGGATTATTCCTGAGCGTCTGTACGCTCATCACCATGTTCCTATACATGGTAGCCGAGCTCTCAGCTCTACAACAAATCGTCACTCTCCTCACCGGACTCAACGGCCTCCCCGTCGTCATCGTCGAATGCGCCGTCACCACCATCTACACCTGTAAGCCCCCCACAACCCAAGAGACTAAGGACGCCCAGCTAATGATAAAATGTTAGCACTCGGCGGTTTCAAAGTCTCATTCGTAACCGATAACATCCAAGGAGTGATGGTCATCGGTCTAATCATCATGGGCGTCATCGCCGTAGGCGTAGAAACAGACATCGACCGCTCCCTCATCGACCAATCCGGATACCTCGAGTCCAGCCTTCTAGGCTGGCAACTCATTTACATTCTTCCCGTCGCCATCCTGTCAAACGACTTCTTCCTCTCAGGCTTCTGGATGCGCACTTTTGCTGCTCGTACTGACAAAGATCTTTGGATTGGTGTCTCGCTGGCTAGTGTGGGTGTGCTGATTATCCTCACTTTGCTGGGTGTCGGAGGTATGCTTGCCGCATGGTCTGGCGCGTACACGATCGGTGACGAAGAAAACGGTTCCCTGGCTTTCTTCTTGTTGCTAGAGCGGCTGCCGGCATGGGTCGTCGGCGTCGTTCTTGTGATGACTATTTCACTATCTACCGCTGCCTTCGACTCCTTCCAGTCTGCTATGATCAGCACGGGAAGCAACGACTTCTTCCGCAACAAGCTCAATATCTGGATTATTCGCGCTTGCGTTGTTGTGATCATCATCCCTGTCGTGGTCGTCGCTCTGCGCAGTCCGGATATCTTGCAGATCTTCCTGATCAGTGACCTGGTTAGTGCGGCGGTTGTGCCTTGTCTTGTTATCGGGTTGAGCGAGAAGTTTTACTTTTACCGCGGTTTCGACTTTGTTGTTGGTGGTCTCGGGGGTATCTTTACCATCTTCCTGTTCGGACTCGTATACTACGATGGCGATGTGACGCTTGCTGGCAACTTGCTGTTACTCGAAGGTGGATTGTATGCCAATGACTGGAGCGCTTTTGGTAAGTCCAAGCCCCATCTCTTTCTCCCCAACTGCAATGATGAAACTCTGTACTCCCTAAACACGATGAGGGCAATAACAAATTTCCAATTGTTCCTACTGAACGCAGTTATCAATTTGTTCTTATTCAGCTCTATACCTTGGCGCAACTGCTGACAGCTTCTAGGCGCTTTCGTAGCAGCGCCCTTTGGAGGTCTGCTCTGGGCTTTCGCTGCTTGCGCTCTTCGCATTGGTTTCCTTTGGGTCAAGGCCAGGGTTCAGGGTCGTCGTTTCGATGCGTTTGATCGACCCATCCCACGGAACATCGATAGACCCGGTGCGTTTGACGACCATGATGGTGAGGCTGTGCTCGAGCACAGCAGCGTGGAGACTGGCAGTAAAGGGAAGTTCTTCTAAATTAATAGGAATGTGAAAGGGTGAAGCGGAGGAGAAAGGGTATTGTGGTGTAGTAGGATAACACGTGATCGGAGAGACAGTATATATACCGAAAACCTTTCAAGAGAGAAAGGCAGCTTCTTTCTTTAATTTCACTCTAGCGATTGCTCTCGAACCACTTCTTTCTGCTCCTCTATCCGATTGCGGGTCGAACACCTGCCTCCTGACTTTGCTCGATACCTTATCGTGCTACAGTATACAGGGGGGTAAAGAGACTAAGCAAGCGTAGTTTGATGAGCTTGGATTTTGCTTTGTTGGCAGATATAATACGTACATGCGAAGATGCAAGAGACGCTCTCGCTGAGTGGAAATATCTAATGCATTCTTACATCGAATCACCTCTCAACCATTCCTAGTCCCATTGTGGGCTTTGTATGCTCGCAATCCTTCACCCACAGTGCTGGATATACTCTGCAATCGTTCGTTCTCAATTCGCAGCTCGGCATAGAAATCAGGTGAAGTGTCTAGTACCCCCATGAGAACGATCCTTAGGATCTGATGGAAAAGACGCATGAAAGACACCGAAAGAGGCTCGGGGACAGAAGGTCCTATCTCCGAAATAGCAACGTCAAGCTTAATCAGCCACGAATCCAAGGCACCCAGTAGGAAAGCCTTTTTCGACAGCAATTGAAGAGCATCTGCTGCCGATTTTACATGAGATACCATAATGAGAAATTCAAGCGTTGATGTAGCGATCTTTCTAAGCCCCTTTCGCATATCGGGCGCAATCGGACGAAGACTGGGAGGTCTGACACGCTGTTGATGCGCCGAAGTCAAACACGCAGACTCCGTCGTTCCAAATGTATTGGCTGTTACTGGGTAATCCGAAAAATTGCAATGTGCAACGAATAGCTTGACGACAAAGACATCTACTAAGGGTAGCTGATCATGGTATGCTGGCACCAACCTGTGCGCGGTAACTAAAGTGGGCCTTGCCCTATAGTCGTGCATGATTCGAAGGCCTTGAGTGATATGCTGGGCCATTGTATCATAATTTCCCCGTAATTGCTCGATGCTGATGAAGATCTGACAGCAGAGCAAGGCCGACTTCAACCCATCGGAGCCCGAACAGGTGAGCTTGGACGCCAGACTTCTCAAAGCCATACCGTATTGCTGGAGGCCGTAGTAATAGCTCTGAGTCTGCTGTAGGGCAGACGCAAGAACGGCTCCGGACGTTTCGAGATCCTCGCGAAGAGCTTTAAGAGACGAGACTGCGTATCGTATCGATGGATTCGTCAAGCTGGCAAGGAGAATTTGTTTGGCTTCTTCGTCACAGCTCATTCTAACTCCAAGTAGAGACTTGGTTGAGAAGTAACGATTCAGTAGTTCGATGTCCTGGACGTTGATCTTGGTCAGAGTGGGCCGAATGGTTTGCAAACTAGCACACGACTTGATGCTACCAGCATGAGAGTTAACAGCGGGATGGTTCGTGAAAGGTCTGAAGGGTGACTCGTAGCCATCGCAATTACGACCCGTGTCGAGACATTTCTGGCAATGTGGCTTGCTCTCGTCGCATTTTACTTTTCTTATCCTATCAACAAATCAGCACCGTCACCGCATAGTGGATACCTCAGTCTATGCCCATAATCTTAGGTTTAGATCGGCGTCGGGATATGCAACTGACCTGCAGGTTACACACCCAGTTTTCACCTTGTTTCTACATCGATTGCCCCGCTCATGGGCGACAAGAATCCCGGTCATCGTTTGGGTCACAGAAAGCAAAATGTCCGAACAGACGAATTAGATGATGCACCTTGGTCTAATACTGGGATGAAAAGGCCAGTGAGTTGGTGTCACATCCCATGAAGCGTGTAGTTTATAAGGCGGGCATCAGCGCTAACTTGATTGGGTCACGAGAGCGATCCTACCAATCAGACCTGTTCGGTGCGTCTGACGCTTCCTTCCACAAATGGGCTAGAAGCCTCCACAACAATACGGTACGGACGCATTTGTCGTAGCGCTGGACGGAAGCCGAAGAGTCTCTTTCGACTTATATACCGTGTAGCTGGCCCAAGACCTCGAAAGAAATACTTGCACATGTCGAAGCTTATCACGAACAGCCCCAGACTCGTATCAAGATCATTACAAACCTCCAAAATGCCAGCCTTTACCCTATATGGCTTTCTCGGTTCGACCAACACCAATCGTGTCCGCCTGACCCTTGCTGAAGGTGGCTTCACGGATTATGAGTTTGTGCTTGTCGACCTGCAGAAAGGGGAACAGAAGGTGAGTGTACCGCATTATTTTTTGCAGACGACGTAGCTTATCCTCACATGCCCAAAGTGTATTATGCTGACGTTACTGAATCCAGTCGGAAGAACACACGAAGCGTCACCCATGGGGTAAAGTTCCCGCTGTCACATTTCCCGATGGGTTCGCTCTCTACGAGAGCCGCGCTATCTGCAAGTATCTGGCGAGGAAGTATTCCTTCCCACTTCTACCCCAGAGCTCCGATATTGAAGCCGCAGCACTATTCGACCAAGCGGAATCCTCAGAAATACTCTACTTCGCCGATCCCGCGGGTAAAATCGCATTCGAGAAGTTTGTAAAGAGGAAGTTCACGGGATTACCTCCTAACGAAACCGTTGTGTCAGACGCACTGCGGTCGCTTGAAGCGTTCTTCGACGTGGCAGAATGTCTCCTAAAAGACAAAGACTACATGGCCGGAAACGAATTTACGCTCGCGGATATCAACTACATTCCATTGATTCAGAGGCTGTTCGCGTGCGGGTGTGGGGACGTCATCCTCAGTCGCAAGGCTGTGAGTGCTTGGTGGAATCGCTGCATAACAAGGCCAGCCATACAGAAGCTGCTAGCCGCTGACAAGGAAGCTATGGCTGCGGCTACCGCTCATAAATAGATTAGAGGTAATCTAACAGGGAATAGTCACCTAGATACTACAAGAACATCCCGGAGCGGCATCTAGCTCGCTTAAGTTGGAACTTCGCTTGCGACTTGATAGTTTCCCTTAACCTCTGACATAGAATACATGCGACGAACATTTTCAATCGATTGACTAGCTTTATAACTCTATACGCCCCAGTTGCCTTAAGAGATGTGGGAATTCGGCACATTTCAGGCCTCACAGTGACTGTCAAAAGCGGGGCGAGTACAATATTTAAAGGGAGCTACGGAAGGCATCTAGACTTCTCGATGCTCGGCTATAATGTATTTTTACGCATGAATCAAGGCGCAGGTTGTCTTGTACTTCGTCTTACTATGCTGTTTGGCCGAGCGCGTTGTCATAGTATCTCAATGGTAAGCAAGATTCTATGAAGGTTAGGATACTGCCGCTTATCGTAATTAAGTTCATATCTTTAGGTGGCGCAAGAGTAGTAAAAGAACGTGGGACGATGTGACATCAGTAAGAAAATCTAAGGAAAAGAGGATAAAGACTGTGTCGGAGGATGATACAGATGACGGGGCGAGCTTTTCGGTATTATAGAAAGAAATGGTCGGCCTTACTGACGTGTTTGTTCTCCAAGTGGCGAGGAAGGCTTTTTGGTGTCCCTTGGTATAACAAATCACTGTTGGGCATACCATACTCCGGACTAGAGTGGAATCATCTTACTAGAGACACCTAGAAACACTAGAAACGTAACTTATAGCAAGAAACAGAGCTTGTAAAACATGTAAAATATATAATTTAGATCACAAGCGAGTGATGTACACATTGTCCATTTCTTTGGCATGTGACTACGTCATTTATCTACTTCCAACCCATCCCATACGTTCGAAAGTGTGAGATATGACGGTCTTACTGTCTCGTTCACACTCACCGCTGGACTGTCCTCTGTTGTATTTCTTAATCTGGTCATCCTCTGTGACACCCAACTTTGGTCGCTAATATGATGCAATTCATGATAGATTTTGACCTAGAAGTCACACGGCCATGGAATTCAAGACGCTGGGTTTCAGCCTTGAGGATGGGTCACTCTTATCTCCTTGGGGGGCTCGTCCCCATAATCCCGTACTTCGCATACAAGTACGTTAACCACGCGCTCTTCACATGGATTGGGATTACTGTCTTCATTCTGCTAACATCTGGTTACTTCGAGGCTGTTATAACTAGTTATACTCAAAGGGATGCTATTATCGGTTCGCTGCAGACATTGCTTATATGAGCTTTGACTGCAGCGATTAGTTATCGAACCGTGAGAGGTTCTAGCCAACTTCGGCCAGTACATTTGTGGATCTACGAAAGCAACACTAAAGTCCGCCGGGGGTCTTTTTTACCTTGACCTTTCTTCCGATGCTGTTAAGCTAAACCCTTGCAGTCGTGAGCACACGATAGTTGAATGTGACTATTAGGTCTTGTTCGGCATTGGGCTTGTTCGAGCTGTTCTAATTAGATTTACGTTATATCAGAGAATACATCTTAAACTTCAGTCTGAGCAGTCCTCGCATATTATATTTAGTACGCTTACCTACATAACCAAGATAGTAACTACAAGCCCACCAATAAGATTTCAAAATATTAAATTTATTCTCTGCTACACGACTTCGCTAGGCTTTAGTCGTAAAAGAAAGAGCGTCTTCCCAGTATTATCTCTAGACTCTAGACGATAGCCCGCCTTGGTGGATCCAAGAAAAATCGCGGAACCGCTATGTAACAAGTAACTCTGATATCTCTAGATGACGCGACTAGGAGCATATAAGTGGTTGAAGATTCACGATTTCTAGCAATGTACCCAATTGTACTGGTGAAAGAAGCCGTGCTACACTGCTTCCTTGGCTTGGATCCCATGCCAGAGGCTGATTCTTTCAAAGCAAATACCTTGTATATCAGGACAGAAGAAAATTCGTATTCCCTGGAACTTGATTCTGGTCTTTTGAGTTTGGCTATGCAGTAGCAAGAGTGCAACGTAAAACGGTATATGTACACACAAATTCGTCGCGATCCTAGTATTCCATATGTAAACTGCAGATTAGACTACAGATTACCCTTGTATTCTACACACTGTTTCCATGGCTCGTTTGTCGCACATGCTTTGCACAGGTCATGGAGATCTAATACTAAGGCACATTTCCGTGGCTGACTCATGATGGCAGTCGCCGGACAAAGTACTATGAATTGCCCACCCCGCGGCGACCCGTGATAAATAAGGAAGCGGCCACAATGAGTACCACAGCGCCCCATTTCCAAACAGCTCGTCTTGTCAATCGCTCGTAGATCAGCAACATCCTCACAGATAACCTGAGTAAAGCAGTCACTCTGAAAGGCTTCCCTGCAGGAAGGACACAAAGGAAGTCCGGAGCATAGCGGAGGAAGGCCTCATCCTCTCTGAGCGCTTTTCCATCTGCCTCCGAAAGCGAGACAACCACCTCTAGACTTCCGTCTGGCAATTTCGGATGTACCACAATACTCGTCGCACCAAAGATCAGTGCAGCCGGCATGGGAAATCTCGTAGGTGCAGGAACACCCAGATGGCGGCCCCAATCAAGCCTATTCGACTTGAAATGTGTACAGTCATTACACACAATGCGAAATCTGTCGAAGACCAGCTCAGAACGGACCATCATGCCTTGATCGGGAGGCAGTGATTGGACTGTATTGAGGAAAGCATCAAATTCAGAGAGCGACCATGTTTGTACCGCTTTGCGAAGGCTGAGCGCAGCAGACTGGAGAGCGGAGATCCCGTCTGTTGCTTCTAGCGCTGCCAAAGTGCAACTCGCAAATGCCATGCTCACCGCATTGCCGATGAAAGTCGTTGCAATTGGGGGATCGAATCGTTGCCGCATACTGATTGGCATCAGTACAGTGGATGTTTGCTGCCCCGTTGATGAAATCTTTTGTATCGCAGCTATCCGAGACCAGAAAAGACCAATGAGGGCGTTCGACGTTGAGACCCAGCCATCGGACCCTGGAGAGGTGGAGTCCGCTTTCAAACTCTTTAGGCTCTGCGGTCTGAAGCGCCAGAGATGCCATTTCTTGACTACAGGCGTCTCGGCTCTTGACGCTGAATATGCCTCTTTCCTGTCCATCATGCCAACTACCGATTCTAATACGGAACCCATACTTGTATGCAGGCTCGTCAGTGATTGTGACGCAGGCACCGTCCTCCAGAGCTGGTCGTTCTGTCGGAGCTTCTCCGCTCCTGATTGGGGTGAAGAAAGTCTTTTCCTGATCGCTTCATCAACCCCTCTTTCGTATTTTCGATGCGAGACGAATGATTCTCCAGCACTCGTATCCACAGTATGTTGTGCCCAAAGGCTCTCAAGCTCGGATGCCGAAGTACCATCTGCCAAAACATGGTTGAAGCCGAACGCCAGAGTATAGCCACCTTTGATGACGCACATCTTGGCCCCCATCATTGGCGAGCCTTCTAGCACAGGTTGCTGCAGGATTGCAGGCTGGAAGACAGAGTGGACTTCGGATATAGGAAAGTGATCTCTCTTAAATTCATCGTAGCTTGGCAGTCCATGATTGTTAGAGAGATTTTGGAATTCAAAGACGACATGAGCGCTGACATCGATCTTGAGAAAGAGTTGTCGCAGGTCATTCGAGCCACGTTGAAGTGTTCCACAGAGCTGTGGCACGTCGCGCACAAGCCTTGACAGTCCTTCCTTCAGGCTGGCGTGTACTTCTTCTGTACTCCTGGATCCACGTTGCGGCCAGGAAAGCGTATGTGTGAGCGCGAAGTCCTTTGGAGCAGTGTAGTCCGAGGTAGTTAGCTCGAAATGCCTGGAAGTTGACTTCTGCAGGTATACTTTGCTGATTGATGAAGGCATTGCGACGCCTGAGGTTACTGGGTAGTTGATCCCGGAAGTTATCAGCACGGCGACTCCTGTAGTAGGGAGTGCCAGCAGTGAGGTAAGTTATGGACGACTTTTCTCGCTCGATCTTCTGCTATGGGGCATCAGATGAACTTGCTCGTTTACAGCCCCAGAATCCCTGGAATTTCATCTCAGAACTCATCAGTTTGCGTGGCACGCCTAGCTATATTCCCTCTACCCTGGTATCCACTTGAAAAAAATGACACCCTAGTTGGAGAGCCTGCCAAGCCGGGCACCGTTGGTTGTGGTGTGAGCGTTACGCATGAGAGAATAGTCGATGCAGGCAGTGCACACGTCGTAAGACTTACCTCGGAATCGAGACCAGGCGAAAGGATTGCGCATAAGCTTGGGAATCAGGATGTAGACTCAAGCTTTCTGTCTAGCCTATCTTCTCCGTCAGTACGATGCTCTTATGATCTGAACACGTCCTGTCCTGGTAATATCCCGTTTCGCCATCCATCCCTGTTTCCTGTGTCCATAAGTATGATTCGTCTGTAAAACCGGTGAAATTGCGTTATCGCCACAATTCGACGTGTTAGGCGACCCGTATTGTGTGGACGGTTAGATATGGTGCATTCGAATTCATTCGAAGTCTGACATGAGACATACAGGGGGCAAATTTAGCCGCAATGCCAATGCACAGCAGGAGCGATGTTATTAGCGAGAAAGTCCTGACGGTCTTCCTAACGTGGGAGTCAAGTGAGACTTTGGCTCCAATCTTTTAGTAGTCCTAAGTAGCAGCCATTCAAAAGATTTCCGCGGAGAGCCTACCCTTCGCATCAGGCCATCGCTCAATCCACTAATCTGGTCTCTGAAGAAACTATCGACGTTTCTATTTTTCTCCTGCTCACTTGAGTGAATCAATGTATTCACACAGCAGTAAACATGTTGAGAACGGCATACGCCCAGAAACGCCAAGATTCAGCCATCTATGCCTATTGTCAGCGAGAATGTCAGCGAGCCTATACAGAATTTAAGCGAGAATATGCAGGGTGATAGCGATCAGCTTACATGGCACGGGTCGACCCGTCAGCAATGCTGCGTTCGGAAGGAATCGAGGGAGTTTGAGAAGGTTCGAAGATACGGAGAGCGAGATGGTTTGAGAAGGAACAGTATTTGTATGCATATACGAATGTGCTGACATTGAGAAACAAAGACGCTATAGCCAGGTGGGTACCAATGCTGTGACGCTTGGTGAGCTAGTTCTTCGTGGGAGCGACACCCACATGATGATCCTGCTACCAATGTGGCTGCGCCTCCGAACGCCTAGTCGAATGCAACGTCCCACGGCATCTGTCAGCGGCCGCAACCATGGCCAGGGCACATGCCGCTATTCTCTACAAGACTATTCAATGAACGCGCCCGTCCAAATTGCTGTCTTCATTTATCCGACATTGGATTGTTTGCATCGCCATGGATGTATCCAAACACCAACCGTTAGGCAATGAGCCAGTAGTGTTGCTGGATCTTCTTGTGAAGGCCGCCGCCTCTGGGCAAGGACTAGTTTTCTTTGACAACGGCATTGACTCAGCTCCCACTAGAGTTTTATACTCTGAGTTGCTGGAGCGCGCCCAGGTGAGCGGGAAGCACTATCATAAAGGCACACGAATTGGACTAATCACTACATAGAAAAAAGCCGCAGTCTTGCGTAGAACTGCAGTGCAGAGACCCGGACAGATTGTTCTCACACACTTCGATTCCCACTACGAGAACATCTTATGGTTCTGGTCGGTCATTGCGGCAGGAGGAGTAGGAGCAATCATCAGTCCGCTCTCCAACGAACCCAAAGCTGCCGCTGGACAGCTACAAAACATCAAGAATCTGTTTCGTGACTCGCCTTTGATCACGAACGATAAGTTTGCTCAGAACTTCGCCGTCCAGGGGCTGAATATCATGATCTCGAGTCATCTGGAAAACCTGGGGCAGAAGGAGCCCACAAAACCCGCTGATGCTGTCACCATTGCCCCAGATCCAAACGACATCGCGACTATCTTGTTCACATCGGGCAGTACAGGATACTCGAAAGCAGTTCAGTACTCGCATTGTCAGCTGATTGCCTCGGCGAAAGCTAAAGTGAACCATCTAGGCTCGGATGGGAGAACATTCATGTCGTGGATTTCCTTCGATCATTCGGCCAATTTTTGTGAAGTCCATCTGCAGTCGATGTTTGCCGGCACTGATCAGGTTCACGTGCCGACATCAGAGCTTGTAGTGGAGCCGTATCGTTTCTACAAACTGCTGAGCGACTTTCAAGTCGGCTACACGTTCACTCCCAATTTCTTCCTTGCCTCTGCGACACGATCCTTCCGTGCTACGAGTATTGCAGACGTCAAGACCTGGAACCTGAGCAAACTCAAGACTATCATGTGCGCTGGGGAAGCGAACCGCACCGAGACACTAGCTGCTGCCGACGAGGTTCTTCGGGAACTCGGGGCACCTTCACACTCCATTCGTGCGGCATACGGTCTTAGTGAGACGTGCTCCGCATGCTTCTACTGTCTAGAGACGCCGCAGTATGATGTCGAGCACGGGAACCGGTTTGCATCGGCTGGTTCGCATTTGCCTGACGTTTTGGAGATGGAAGTGCTCGCAGAAGACGGCTCTGAGTCTAATGAAGGCGTGCTATATCTCCGTGGGACGCTCATATTCAAGGGGTACTACAACAATCCAGCTGCCACAGAACAATGTATGACCAGCGAGGGATGGTTCAATACGGGAGATATTGCTCGTGTTGATGAAAATGGAAACCTCCATCTCCTTGGTCGCCAGAAAAAAATCCTCATTCTACACGGCAATAATTACTCCTCGTTTGAACTCGAGTACTCTCTCGAGACGAGTGGCATCGTAGGCCTGACAACGTCATATACTGCAGTCTTTTCAACATGGGACGAGAGAAAACAGTCTGAGGCCGTCGTCGTAGTGTTCAATCCTACTGAAGAAGCCACGGGTCCCAAGAAGCTGCGAGAGACACTTCGAGCGATCGATCGCGTTGTCTTCAACTTCGCATCTGAAAGAGCGCTCCACGTTATTCCCTTGCCAAAGTCCTTGCTCCCAAAATCCACTATCGGCAAGCTTTCCCGTGCGCAGCTGAAGAAAGAATACGAGGCAGGAGCTTTCGACGACTATCTAGCGGATGAGCTTCTATCATTGCCCGGGTCCACAACAGTCAAAAGCACGTCACCTGTATTGGATAGCAGCGTGAAAAGGGTTGATTCTCCACAGGAGTCCTTGGAAGAGTCTACAACCCCAATGGAGCGAGAGGTTGCGGCTGTGTTTGCTTCCGTGCTTCACGTTCCCGTCGACAGTCTTCTGCACGGTGCAGACGATGCGTTACTTTCGTCGGGCCTCAACTCTCTCCGCTTTATCCAAGTAAAGCGATACTTAGAGAAGGCATTGGACATGGATCGTGAGATCCCGATGCAGATCCTCACTCGCTGCACGTCCGTGTCTCAGCTGGCTCACGAACTCACCCTCATGGGCACTACATCAGCTGAGTACGACCCCGTCGTTCCACTCGTTACCAAGGGAAGCAAGCAAACGCTGTTTCTTCTTCCTCCTGGGGCTGGTGAATTTCTTTGCTGGCTTACCCTCCTGGAGTATCTGCCAGACCGTCCGTTGTACGCTGTGCGAGCGCGTGGATTACACGGACTAGAACCCGTGTTTAGTAGTCTCAAAGAGATGCTCGACATCTACTATGCTGCTATCCGTCGCACCCAACCCCACGGGCCTTACGCCTTATTCGGCTACTGTTGGGGCGGCCTGCTGGCATTTGAGCTGGGCAAGATATTCATTGCCGCGGGTGAACAAGTGGTTTTCTGCGGCGGTCTAGACAATCCTCCTGATATCCGTCGCGCACTGGGCCATGTGCGATATCGCTCTGTGCTATCGGATTTTATTCCCGCGCTCACAGGCATGACTCCCGAGGAAGCAAAGGCCTTTATGGATGAGACGTCCGAAATGGAAGATCCTGAGTTTTACGAAGCCATTCATAAGAGGCTGCCATCTGCCGTTCTGCAAGAGAATGGCGGCCTAACGGTGCAACGCATCAAAGCGTATGGCAAAGTAGAGGATTGTCACCGTCGCATGGCATGGGACTATCAACCCCACGGAAGAGTGCCCGTGATGGACATTTTTGCTCCGAATGCGTTGCCACTGTTTGATGCGTCGGGCTTCGAATCGTGGCACGCCGTATTGGATCAGTGGCAGAATCACGCCGACGACACGCGTGTGCATGCAATCTCAGGAAATCATTACACGGTGTTGAAGCAGCCCGATATTTTGGACTTTCAGAAAGCGCTCAACAAAGCCCTCGATGCTCGTGGTGTGTGAGAGGTGCGAGATACTATGAAGCTACATTCTAGATCTATCAATCGTTTCAATACCAAACCTGTGCTTCCTTAGATCCTCTCTAGCCAAATCATCCCCGCAGATGGATCTTTTTCTGCTCTTTCTGACACTGTCATCTCCACGCTCAGTTCCATCCCCAGCCGCTTTGCCAGTGTAGAGCCCCTGTCAACATCTCCCGTCTCGAACTTTGCCTTCACTTGATAGAGATATTGATATACAGTTTGGAACGGCACTTTGCCTGTTCCATTCATGAGGGCTCCTGCGCCAATACTGCCGTCACTATACGCAGAGTCTTCGTTAGGGTTTGCAGAGTCGCCATTGAGTGTTCTCTCCCCGGGTAAAGGACCGTGTGGAAAGAAGCCATGCATTTCAAACGTCGAGCCCTGATCATGCTTCAGCAAGTAAATATAGGGCCATGTCCGTGACGAGGGCTCTGCCTGAAGAAAGACATCATGCTCGTTCGCTTGAATTCCGATACCTTCTTCCATTTTAGCCATGGAACGAAGGAGGTCTATGTTATGAGCGGTCTTGACGGTGAACTCGCCATACGCTGGATGCCAGTATTTGCCTAGGTAATCCTCGATAGAGCCAGTGAGCCGATCACAGTTCTTCCTCAGTGGTGCTGGTTGCTGCATGAGTGTTTGGGATGGGTGATTGGTTTGGTCCTCCGCTGGTATGGTCGAGGTGGGTGTCATACGTAGAATCTCGTGCTGTTCGACGGGATCGGGTCGATACAAATTCAGTCGTTGCAGTACCTCGAGAAATAAAGCTTGCCCCACCGTGTTACTAGATCCCATTGTGTTTGCCATAGTGACGAAGCCCACACCATGTTCGGGAACCAGGTACAATACTGTGCCGAAGCCGACCATGCCACCGCTATGCGAGACAACTCGATTGGTTCCTATAGTATGCAAAAACCATCCCAGAGCGTAGGTTGATGGGCCGCTGCAGTGGTCGCATATGGATGTGCTTCCGTGCGGGATAATGGCGCGAGGAGTGGTCATCTCCTGGAAGAGATCTTGACAAATGACAGGCGGAGAAAGCAATCAGTACTTCGTCTCGTGCGAGGACAAGAGACATCGAGAAGAGCGTTCATCCATTTTACGAGATCGTTGACCGAAGAGATGACAGCGCCGGCTCCGGCCACCGCAGTCAGGTCCATGTATTCGTCCGGAACAAAGCATTCGCCTTCTTCATGCCAGTAATATCCGGTAGCAAGTCTAGATGTTCCCGTTGTCGAGTCCTTCTTATTATGGGCCGCAATCAGCGAAAATGTGGTTGAAAGCATGTCAAGAGGCCTCCAGATCCGTTCTTCTAGTACCTCGGGGAGTGTGCGCCCCGTCACAGCCTCAACGCACATCTCCACCGCAGCGTATAGGATGTTGTTATATTGCCATTGAGTTCGCGGCTCTACATTCATCGGCAAATGTCGCGCGCGACGCACCACGTCGCGAGCTGATGCATGATCCCAACCATACGCCATGTCGTGGCTTGGCAATCCTGAGCGGTGGGATAGGGCATCTTCGATGGTTGTGTGTGCAGTGGCGTATCCGTTTTCGAGAACGAAATCCTCGCGAATCATGGCCTGCAGCGGCGTTGTCCATCGGACATTGACGTTGCCGGACACAGATGGTGGCGACGCATCATGAATAACCTTTCCAATGGCTGCTGCGGTGAAGCTTTTTGCGACGCTGCCGGCGAGCCACAATGTGTCCGGAGTCGCTGGCGTCGATGGCAACTGTGCAAACCCGTAGCCCTATCATTTGTTGCCCTTGTTAGAAGTTGTCCCTACTCCACAGGTTCTATGAGAAGTCTACCTTGATTTCAATTTTGCCGTCATGGATGATTCCAATGCTTATCCCAGGTACGTGGTTTTCTTTCAGATGCTTTGCGATGAGCGCATCGAAGTCGATGTCCAATAGCGTGCGAGACCGCTGCTCTCCACGTGCCATGCTATTAACGTGTTATACGCCTGCTGCAAGAGAACGCAAGTGTCATTTCTCGACGAGCAGACGAGCGTCACTTAAATAGTTGCAGTGATAGTATTCGCTTGACTGGGGCCGAAGGCACTAGCTGTCCTGCGAATGAAATCATTCTGCTTTCGCCTTTTGCCGCGCCCAAACCCCCTCCCCCCGAAAAGAATGTGCTCATCAGAGCTGACTTTTGGTCTAGTCTCATAACAGCAAATAAATTCCGGAAAATGGGATCGGATCAAGGCAGACATATATATATACACGTTCTGAACTGTCCTCCACGAAAAGATAATTGCGATGTACAAAATGGACACAAGCGGCCCAACTTGAGTAGATCAGGCTATAATACAGAGGGTTTACATCTTGACATGCGATACAGTTGTACTAGACACTGGGTAGTCACCTTTGTCTGGAATCCGCCCATTATCACTGCCGTTGCTGCGAACCAGGGCCTCCGCTTCGGCTTCCGTCAGGTCATGTGCTGTCCACTTCTTTCTATCTCGCTTGAAGTATGGATGGAGTTCCCGGATAAGCTCCAGTACCACCGCTACTGTTCCGAATATTGTACTGAGTACGAGCGGATATCGCAGATTGTTCGTCGCGTTTTGCAACGGCGCACTTGCGACATAATTGACCCACACCTGTGTCGAAAGAACAACAGTTAGAATGTTACCCAACATACACACCACCGTACGAGGAGAGGAGAGGAGGACTTACGGTTGCACTAGAAATGATATACTGCAAACTGAACCATCGCACTTCATTACGCGGTGGCACCATTTCCGAGAACAAGACGCGGAAGCTGGTGATAGCGATGATACCGGAAAGAGAAACGAGGAATTGCTGCACGTAGAACTCCCACCGCGACTAGCAAAGATTTTGAGTTAGCTTCACACGGAATATGGAAAGAAACAGGGATGAGTTTCGTCTTCTTGACGCACCTTGTAGCCAAAATTAACATCCGCGAAACCAATGCAACCCCACACTCCGGTGAGTGCAAGGACGCCATATCCAATCAAAAGCCAAACTTCAAGACGTATGGGCGTGATAGGCCTGAGCCACAAGAACAGTATGCTACACAATACGCCACAGATGGTCGAACTGAGAGAATACAGAGTGTACTCGAGAACTCCTGGCTTCACTTCAGCATAGTATAGTTGGCCCACGACCGAGGCAACTGCGTATTGGGTGTCGATGTAGATGGTGTAGGTAACTAAGAGCAGTGTCATGCTGCGACGCTTGTACATATCTTTGAACGGTCCGAAAAATTCAATCAGAGGGCCTGCGACCCCTCCTCTCAGCTCAGACTTGGGCTTGGCAGGGATCTTAGGGAGGCCGAAGTAGCAGACAGCAGCAGCGGGAATGGTGATGAAACCGACTATGGTGGTGACGAGGAGTCCAGGACTTGTCACATTGGTTGTGGTCTCTTGAATGGCAATGACGATGCAGTACATGACCAAAGCCCCAGCAGAGTTGGCCACGGCTCCCAGTGCAGCCATCTTGAAGCCGTACGTGCGTTTTGTCGCGCCTTGAACTTCCTCGCTCGTCGCAGTGGTGTTGGCAACCACATGCTGGCGCATGCAATGGGGAATGTAAATGTTGAGCAGGGCGACTAGAATGTTGGTGGCGATGTTGAAAAGGATGGGCAAGGCGGTCAGAACCTTGAAGTCGTACTCGGTGTAGGCCTGTAGCCAGTAAACAGGGATGGTGATGACACCGTATAAGACGAAGAGAATTGTGATAAGCAAGTGCTTTTTGGCTATATGTGGTCAGCACGGAAACAGGATGCATAAAGCAGGAGTCAGGCTTACACCAGTAGTCAGAGTATGCGGCGAAGAACAGTGTGACTAATCCCGAAAGGCCGGTACTAAAGGCCTGCATGTAGAGCAGGACTGAGTTGAGGTCCATCCTCGTGCCGGCCCAGTTGACCAAACAGTAGTCAGCCATGCAGGGAAGGCCATCGCGGTCAGTGCCGATGACATAGCCGACGGTCTGCAATTGGTAAGTGGTGTAAGTGCTGAAAACAGAAAAGGGCAACGAAATCAGCGTCTGAGCATAGATGTACGTGTGTAGCGCTGAGTTCTTAGTCCACCGGGACCAGAGGGAGCCGAACGGCATGGTTGCGAGCGACACAAGCACAGCTGGGCTACCCAACGTAAAAGAGTGTTAGGAATACTTGTCACAGCTACGAACGATACAGAAGAGCCTTTTTATCTACCGACGTGTTCATCTTACGGCACCACTGTTAAGAGGTTCGTCTCCTCGCGTACAGGAAAGTTGTAGCGCGGGCCAATCATACATTTGAGGCACGCGCTAGTCTCCTTGGGGCTTCTTATTCACTCAAAAGCTCTCGTGAGAAGGCCACTCGCATCCTTCCGTGTTGAGGCGTGGAAATATGCGCGCGTTCGCTCTTGGCACAACACCAGTGGAGGCAAGTAGTATGAGTCGTATCATCGCATGCCGCGCTGACTCGACTCTCTCAATGCGGCCAGCTAACCGCGTGGGCATCGCCTTCGCCGTGCATGGCGTGCTAGCTGATAATGCGCCCCAGTAGATGTCGAAAGGTGCTGCATAAGGTACACGCCTGCTGTAATTGTCTTGTCACTACTGCGGCACCATGGAAACCTGTGACGTCCTCATTTATGGCGCTGGTGGTGAGGATCCTTGACGAAACACTTCCCTGAACATCCACTAATTACACGCTTTTGCATACAGCCGTTGGATCTGTCCTAGGCTGGTTGATCGCTCGTACGGGACGACACCGCGTGTGGGTTGTCTGCAAGTCCAATTTTGCGCAAGTCAAGGAACAAGGCTTCCAGCTGCACACCACAATCTGGGGCAACGGTGTCTTCACGCCCCATCACGTTTTCGAAGCTGGTTCTGCACTGCAATGCATGTCCCAATCAGGTTATGCCTACATCATCCTCGCCAACAAGATCAAGACCGAGCAGAGTCGCCTGCAAATGCTGCATGACCTCCAGCAAGTTACCACCGCCAACACCATCCTTGTGTCGACACAGAATGGCCTGGGGAACGAAGCAGCCCTACGTAATGCTTTCCCGAACAATCCTATAATATCCATGGTGTGTAACCTGGTCTGTTGTCAGGTCTCACCCGGTGTCACCGAACAGCGCACGTCTATCAAGCCGCACGCCTTCCATGCTGGCGTCTACGGGAGGATTTCTAAAACCGATTTCACTACCGTAGAATCGAAAGCAATCGAGAGTTTGATTGCGTGCGACGAACAGTTCATCGTCGTTGACAACGCATTACTGGAAAAATGGCAGAAGATCGTCTTCAATAACGCTTGGAACTCCATGACCGCTCTCACCGGAGTCAACACTCACGAGCTCTTTGAATCTCCTGCCGCCATTGAGTTGGTCCGCCACCTTGCTGACGAAGCATGTCAGATCGGAATTGCAAGCGGCGTAGAAATGGGGGGGATGGCTCCAGAGAAGGTACTTGAGATTGCGAAATCATGCGAACCCATCGTCACATCGACGCTGTTCGATGCTCGACGAGGACGAGCGCTAGAGTTGGCTCCCATAACCGGTAGGCAATGCATCGCTTTTTTCATCATCTCACGACCGCCTTACTAACGCGCCATGTCTAGGCTTTTTAGTCGCTCAAGCTGCCCGTGTAGGAGTCCAAGTGCCTTATACAACGGACATCTACCAACAGCTGAAGCAGATGGACTCAGCACTACAGGCATGAATGACACTTGTGCGAAGGTAAGGTATTTACGCTCATTAGACCCCCTTATGTTTGCGGTATCTCTCATTGGTGGATACCATTATACGTACATCTATAGTAAAAGGATAGCAACGGAGAATATAGAAGGGCAATCTTAGACAAGACAAATGGGAATACGGGTTCTTGACCCTCGCGAACGTAATCAAATCTGCCGTCGAAGTTGGGATGTTAGAGACGCGATGTAAATCCCACAATATCATCGAGTCCACATACTCGCTCTCTCACTCACTTTGTAAACATCCTGCTGCGCTTCGTGCTAACGTGTCTGGGAGTGCTTGTTAGAGTGGTAATGGGATGCTTGAAGCAGATCGGCTTTGCGGTGGTACGACCTCCATCTTCCTAGATCGATATCCACGAGACCTTGATTATAGCGTATCGCCTAGTAGTTTCCTAAAAATGATTCTTTAGTCCATCTATGGCATCGTCGCAGGAAACCTTATGATGAACGACAAAAAGCAAGTCGTTCTCCGTGATTCGTTGCGCCCTGCTCGCTTCTCACTCGGTCCATGGTTCTATGAACTCTTCTCTCTCAGCCTCTCGTTCGTCGCGATCGGCTTCTTCGTCCCCCCACCCCCTAGTCATGTACGATAAGCAACCAAATTCACCCTGGGTCGCACGCGTCTCACTCAACATAATCGTTATCATCATTTCAGTCTTATCCCGCGCGTGTATCATGGTCCCAATCACCAAATGTATCCGCCATCGGAGTTGCGTTTATATTGCGAAGACTGAACGACCCTTGGGAGACGTTGTCTTGTTCAATCGAGCTAGTCGTGGAGTATATGGTGAACTGGCTATTCTGGCTCCGTCATGCCATGTCACTTGTTTCGTCTCTGTCGGCTTTGTCCTCACTCACAGTTGTGATGCTGGCCGTCGGCCCTTGCTTCCAGCAGACTGTGGTATACTATGGTGCTCGCGTTGTAGATGACATTCCGTCAGCTTACACATCGGCTGCATTCTAATACAATGGCTCGAAGGGGTATAATAAGGATGATTATGCCGCTCCAGGTACGTTTTTGCGGTAACCATACCCTACAGATACACCTTGCTAATGCGATAATGATTGCCAGAGTTCTCATTGCCTTTCATCATGAAAATTGCTGTTCATACTGGCCTACTATCGTCCAAAATAATACCCAAACCAGACCCTTTGTTCTCTTGTACCAGTGGTAATTGTGGGTGGGATTATTTGGGCACAATTGAGGTAGGAGTGCAGTATATCGATGCGCTGGAGAGTGCTAGTCTAGAATGTTCTCAACAGGCAGACCCTGCCGCGTATTGCGGAGGCCGATGTGCCCTTAGACGAAACGGAATCATGCTTCAAGACATGGGTCGTGCCCTCACGTCCATTTTGTGACCATATCCGCCATTGAACTCAAGTACAAGTCTTACAACTCTTTCTTCTTCGAATCCCTATGGGCGAACTCAACTTCGGATACAGATGCATCCGTTTGGACCAATCATTCATTTGTTCGCCTAGAACTCGAGTGGATTCGTGCCACGGATCTACTTTCGACCAGCGATCCAGTTTACGATACCCGGATGCCATGCCATGATGCCACGTCATCCGCCCGTGTGGTACCTGTATCTGAGCAAGGGATATGTGACACTCATTGGATAGAAATCATCAGAGCGTCAGGAGTGTTTCCGATCTTTGCGCATCCTGTAAATTGAGTGTCGAAAAAGAGTCAGTGCCGTACATCCTCGACAATTCGATCGACTCGTCGATCAATGCCCCTCATCCAATCATGCGTCGCATAAGCTGATTCAAGTTCCTTTCTTTCTATCCACTAGAATCGAAACATATATTTTTCGCGGTTGCGTAGCTTTCTGTGCATGAGGAACCTCCATCGCTTTGCAAGCAGAATCACGTGTACCGCTCGCACGAATGGTATGATTGACCTGTGCTTTGTTTGGAATCCGAGCCACTCAATCCTTTGCAGTCCAATATCCGCGTCATCTCCAATGACCGCCAACTTCTTTATAAGTTTCTCAATCTGTGCATGCGAAAGGGAATCGTCGCTAAACTCGAAGCCTAGTTTCAGGTAGCCTTTGACTTCTGACTGATGCTGCGCTGCCCGCTCTGCTGCTGACCTTGTTGGCGTGAGAAAAATATGATTTCGGTTAGGAAGTAGCGAACAGTGCGTACAATTCCTTGCAGACCTCGGGCGATATCCACGGATCCGCTGATTCAGACTGAATGTAGAGAATGGGTTGCAGACATTTTGGTCTAACAACGCGGTCAAAGCGTTGGTCAAAGCGCGAGTGAATGAAGATTTCCCGGGCCTCGCTGTTGCTAAGTAGAATTCGAAGGCAGTCATCAGTTCAAAACGTCTTGTCCGGTTTATCATTCTTTTTGGGGAGTTGTCTTCGGTCATCCGATTAGTAAGTTGTTTGCTTTCATGTGGTGTGTCTATCGTGAGAACATCTCCGTCAACTTCGTCAGATCGTAGCATCTCCTCCGATCTATGCCAGTTCACAGGAGGGCTCCGTCGGCGTTGTAATCTGGGTCCAAATTCGGACCATAGTTCGAGGTGCTTTTGGTCTTCGCGGTATGCGCCAGGGCCGGTATAGTACACAATCAGCAGGTTGCGAGGCCCGTCATTCTGCTCAACGAATGTGGCAAGAGATCGGTCCATCTGATGCTGAGGTCTGCTCGAGGCGTCGAGCGCGACAATAGTGGTATTGAATCTGAACCGAGCACGGAAGACATATTCAAGATCCTCCACCTGCCACGGAGTCAGCATAGTATTTGAGGGTACATTTTTGCGAGTGAGATAAATTACGGTAGCCACCAGTACGTGTTAGCGACCTTATCAATGGCTACGGTATGGACACTTAATAGAGATCACACACCTCTTTGCGGGATTTCTGCTCATCGAGCTCATCTGCCCACCTTACTAGCAATACTGCAACCTTCTCGTAAGCGCCTGAAGTGTCCATGTTCGCAGCTATCGCTTCATCCCACCACGATTCCATTTCTGTCGCATCATCTTGCGTCATTCTTTTACTGGATAACCGGTACTTCTCTCCGCCGTGGGCTCCGAGCGATTCTGTTTCAGAAAAAGTCTCTTCCATCGATGCTGGAACAGGACAATGTTCATCCGAGTACGATAGAGGAGGTAGAACCGGACGTCCTTTGGAGTCTGTGAAAGGAGGTAGAATTACAGGCAGTCTTTTCGTCGATTGATTGAACTTGGGTGCGATCGGCAATGGTTCTGTGCCTGAAACGCCGCCCTCTGTGCTTCTAGTTGCAGGCAAGACGCCCGTTCTTGGTGCAATGGCTGATTTTCGCTCAACTTCCCAGTGAAGACGATCGAATGCGTTCGATCGACCTTCTCCATAGATGGGTGGCAAATGTACGCCAAAGAGACCAAGAAGAGAATAGGCTGCGTCCTCTTCTCGCTTGGTTTCACGCCCTGCTGCCCATGACGTACGCCCCTCAATGCTATAACTAGATGGTGACAGCGAATGTTTCTGCAGAACTTCTAAAGCGATCGTTGTGGCCTCATGAATCTCTTGCGAGAGTGTTCTTCTATCCCGTAGACGTAGTCCCTGAGAAGTGAAGAAGTCAACTGAAGATGGAGCAAGTAGTTCCTGGAGAGTCCAGCCTCTGGTGAACCACTTGCTCTTCTGGAATGCCAGTTTCCAAGTTTGCCTGAGCGGCGCTTCAGATCCACGGGAATCGCTGATGGATCTCGATTGTACTACAACGTCGGAAAGATATACGTAACATCGGGCTGAACGTTGGTACCAAGAATACATGGAGTTGATCGCCTCAGAAAGCTTTACACTATCTCTCTTATCAATACAGCAGGTATCGACCTTAGCAACATTAGTCATGCACGCAAGGAGGATGACCTCGAGATCCTACCCAGAAGTAGTCCAACCAGTCGTTGGCAGCTTGATCAGCACAGAAGCGTAGTTTCTCGTAGCCGGATTTGCTTTTGCCTCTCGCTTTTACAATGTCTTTGAAGGTCACTTCGTCGCTATCAGAGCCCCATGTGTGCGAAAGTATAGCATAGGGTGGCGGTGTTCCATAGTACTCGGTGAGGCTGAACTCGCCGTTAGTCTCACGTCGCAAGAGGTGCATATTGCAAGGGCAGTAGAAAGAGGCCGATCAAGTTGTCATTGGAGATGGCCGCAAAGGAAATTTGCGGATTGCACGTTGACACCAGCGGAAGAATGAAAGAGTGCATGATTAAGTAAGCGGTGGCGCAGCTTTCAGTTGAGGAGTCGAGATGCAGCCTTCAAAGAGACATGGGTGGGTGTCGCGTGGAGCTGAGGTGGGGGCGGGGCAGATTGGCAGGGTCCATGACGGAGCTTCACGTTCGTCGAAATATCTGACACTTCAGGCACCAGACTCTTACAACAAGAACACCTTCCCACTAAACCTCTCCACACCACACGTTTACCTTAGCTATAGAAACGAGTTCCGCTCATAACCCTCAACCATGCAGATGCCAGACATGCCCGTCAACGTCCCAATTGACGACCCCAACGCCGACACAGAATGGTGAGTCTCTCGACCATCAACCCCAAGCAAGAAATTACAGCGCTGATGTACGCGCAATAGGAATGACATCCTCCGTAAACATGGTGTCATCCCCGAAAAGCCCCCATCGCCCACGCCCATGATCCAAGAAGCGCTCGAGCAAGCCCGTGAACTCGCCCACGAAAACCGCCTAGAAGGCAAAGACCTAGACGAACTAGCCGAGCTAGAGGACGAGGAAGACGACGACTTCCTTGATTCATATCGCCAAAAGCGCATGGCAGAGCTCTCTTCCATAACCACCGCCTCAGTCTACAACCAAGTCTACCACATCCAAAAACCAGACTACTCGTCAGATGTGACCGAAGAAAGCAAGAAGGCACATGTTCTTGTCTTGTTAACAAGTTCGACAGGTACCAACACGGAGTCAAGAGTCATGATTGAACATTGGAGGGAGCTGGCGAAGAGGTTCGGAGACGTCAAGTTTTGCCAGATGAGGGCGGACCTTTGCATTGAAGGATATCCGGACAAGAACACGCCGACCGTATTGATATACAAGGATGGCGATATCAAGAGGCAGATTGTTACGCTGATGCAGCTGAACGGGCCGAGGACAAGTGTACAAGGTGAGTCACGTGCTTTAGCTTCAGGGGGTAATCCTGCATCACAATATGCTAACGAGCTGCGATAGATCTTGAAAGACTTCTCGTAGACGTGGGCGCGGTCAGACTAGGAGACTCGCGCCTACAAAAGAAAAGGGACGATGCAGACACCAACCAGAGCAAGATAAGACAGGGGACCACCGCGGGCGACGACGACGATAGCGATTGGGATTGAAGCAGCCACGGTTAGCTGTTTTCCCTTGGCTGCAACACATGCCCCATCCGAAGTATCGTGCCGCAACGGGTTAGCCTCCTACTCTAGGAGGGAACATGTTGCGAGTTATGGACCGTGAACAAGGCAGGGACAATTGTCGATCCACTGGTGAGCACATTCTTGCATCAAACATTGCCATAGTGATGCATTGGAAACGCAACCAATGACATGGCGAACGAAGCGAAATAGAGAAGATATGGAGCTCGCTTCACAGGCAACATTCTTTACCGAGCATGCACAATTGGTGTTGAGGGTAGTTGTAATCTGAACTTCGGGTCGTAGCACCTATGCATATGCACTCGTGGTGTGATGGGATGGAAGCTCCAATAGATAACCATCCACCGTTTCAGCCATACCACTCATCCACATTATCCCTCGTTTACACATTTTGAGCATGAAACACTCATCACCCGCACATGCATATGTCACAGACGGTGCCGACGACAGCTAGCTCGGCGCCTGGAACGGTTGTTGGACAAGGGTAAGGTGTGCATATGTTTCATTGTATACCGTGCTAAACGTCCGCAGCCTATAGGCTACATCACAAAAACCTCGTCTTTACGGCTATGCTTTCCGCATGAAGTTTCATGTAGCTGTGCGGGGAACGCGGGATACTTCAACACGTATTACTCTTTTTGGATGGTAGTCTACGATGACGGGTGATTAGCGAGCGCGGGGTTTTGATGAGCTATGATGTGCTTGCAGATGTTCGTTTTGATTAGGAAATGTTAGATACGGTTAGGTGTCGGGCAGTGTTTGGTAAGTGTGTCTTGTTCGTGCATTATCCTCGTACTGCTATGGCTACGACATATCCTTGGTGTGAAATACGATAGTAGGAATCGTGACCACTTTTGCTACGCTACATGTGAGCGCTGGTGGCGGAAATGTGATGAATCAGAGAATTTTTATTTCTTGAGATATTTCTTGAGATATTTCTTAAATCGAGTTGCCACGTCGAGAGGCACTGAATGAATACCAAGGTGAAAAGCCCAACAGCCTTTTTGCAAGTACATACATCTTGCCTTGGATCAATGCCTCCCCGGAACTCAAGCGCCCATTCCATGGGACAGCTCGTCTGGCTACAGCATGCCGAACGCCCAACGCCCAAAACCGCATAGCAATTTTGCCAGCCCCGAAAAGTAGAACAGACACAAGGGGTATTGACGAGAAAAGAATCTTCCAGCACGAAAGCGGGCAATCATATGAGTTCATCACCGCCGCAACGGCGCGACTCCTCGACTGCTTGCCATATCGTGCTCTCTTCAAACACCGGACCATGACCATCGCACTTGGTCTTTCCTTTCAGTCGCTCACATACATCAGCCACATCGACAAGACCTTGCTTGACGAGCGTATGCGACTGTATGAGGTCCCAAGCCTGCGCAGCCGGAACCTCTCTCCCCTTGGCCTTTCTCCGTGAATGTTCCCTACCAGCTGTATTCACAACAGTGCCGTTAGTAAGTGATTCGACATTGTAGTCCACATCATGTTCCTCATCATCCTCTAGTGGGAGATGGGCGCCTGGCGAGGGATAGCTAGCGGATACGGGACGCGAGGCTGCGGGAGAATGGCCACTGGTAGCGCGTAGGATCTCGTTTTCGGTGCGGGCGCGCTGTAGAGCGGCTTTCAAGCGCTCGTTGTCTGACTGGAGGGAGTGTGTGCTTGATTCGAGGGCGGAGAGCTTCGTCTCTAGCTCTTTGACATGGCGTTCTTTGCGCTCGCGGAATGCGCGCTGGCTGGGACGCGAGTCAGCACATGCTGTGACACTAGAAGAGAAAGGAGGACAACATACGCTGCCCTATTCTGTGCCTTGCGCCTGCTCTGGGCAGGCGTCAGGTTGTCCTTCTCCTCGCTGCTACTCCGTGTTTGGTTTGGCTGGCCATCTTCGAGTTCGGCGCCAAGTCCCGAGTCTACACTGCCGACAGGCATGGGTGTGTGTGCTGCTATGTTCTCCGGTGAGCCCTGCTGCGGGGTCGGCAAGCCGTTGTTGAAGCCAAAGGCATCGTAGGACGTTGGATAGAGAACGGGGTCGAGAGGCTCCTGTTGCCATGTCAGATTACTAAGGCGGTTTGCGGGGTCTTCCGGAACGCCGCGCCCATACTCACAATGCTTTGCGTCGTGTCTGTGTCCAATCCAGTATGTGCGAACGAGTGCTGCATGCCCAAGAAATGGTTGTAGGGCTGTTGGGGCCCACCAAAGTAAGAGTAGTCCATGGCTGTTCGACGTTGCTGGCGAACACAGCTGTAGCGCGACGGAGGAGCTTCACGCTATTTTGGGTTGCTAAGTACTGACTGAGCCTTGCAAAGCACCGAGTAGTCTCCGTAGTGGATGGAACACGGATCGAGACTCGCAATGGGGGACGCAAGGCTCAAGTATCTCGACAAGATGGACAGCTGAACACCACGACCTTATAATCCAGCTAAACGGTAGGGGTGGAGCTTAGAGGTGCTCACTTCCGCTGCGACAAAGCCCAACCAGAGATTGGACCAACTCGATAGCCATGCAGATGGTGGCGCGAAGCCCATCTAAACGACCCCAGGAAACGGTTTGGGGCCGATGGACCGCTTAGTCGGCGTTTCTTCAACCACTCTGCATTGCTGCAACCAAGAGCATGCCTACGACGCCTACATACGCAAGCTGCATTACGCCAGCAATTCAACACATGATTGACCCATCTCTTCACACTAGAATCTTTACCTTACGACCCATTTCTGCTTACAGCGTCGGCCGAAGTTGCGGTTGATCATCTTCAGTTGCAACAGTGGCGGGGAACGGCGGCGTCGTTGCTGATGGCGGCCGTTCTCAACCCAACCGCACCAGTCTCGCTAATTAGCCCAAACGGTTACTCTCCAGCGGAAGCATTGCTGACTGCAGCTTCGCAAGCACGATATCTTACACGGTCAAGGTAAGGAACCGCGACACCCTGGCTTGAGATGCGACCAGACTCTCTATAGTCATATCCCGCACGCGTACCCACTTGAAGACGGTGCTGACTGAGTCCTGTCCTCACACTCTGCATGGTCGCTCACACTCATAGGTGCTCAATGCACTATGACAACCAGTCGCGTCTAGGTAGCAATCTGCATGTTTTCTAAAAAGCATCGCCTCAACTCGATGCTGTCGGCAGAGCCGCTCTCCCACAATAAGCCGGCTGTACTACTCCAGCCTTACGCATCAGCAACTTCAAGAACGGATTATTGCTTGACCTCAGCGAGCTGAAGCTAGAAAGTGGAGATGAAAGCACGAGGATCTCTCAAGGCATATCCACCCTCGGCACTGTCAGCACTAGCCGTACATCACTTAGTGTACGGTATCGTGACCCGCAGCCTATAATCATCCTCAGCAAATCAGGCTTCATATCACGCTGCAGTCACAGTGTACGCGAAGCTGTGGCCATTGCATCATTCTACTGTCCCGGCCACACAATTATGCTTCTACTGTTATCCATCGATGCAGTCTCTGGACGTTCGCCTGGAAGACGGGCATGGATCATTGTTCGCGGCATCGATAAGCTTCGCCCTTCCGTGGACACTGCATCGCAGCAGCGGTCGCGAATAGAATGCTATCGTTGGCAGGAACGCAGCAAAACCTTGTCGTACTGTGCGGTAGAGACACAGAAGATATGTGTTTTGGTACAGCTCGCGCTCACTTGTGTCACGTCGCTAATCTGCTTCAGAGTTCTGATAACTTCTCACCATCACCCTGTCACGTCTACTCCCAGTGAAGGATCATACACCTACAGATCCCCTACAATCACTCTTTTACCACTGCCCAGCAAACCGTGGACACAACAAAATCACTAACATGATATTTGATGTACTTTCACCCGTTACAACAGCAATGAAATGCTGATCATCGGTCAATTCCCAACTTCAAATGGCAGTTGAGACTACTGCATGAAGCTGCAACCGAGCAGACTGTGACAAAGCTTGAAATTCGAGAGAAAGACGTGATTGCCATAGCACGCAAGCCTTGCTAAGGCTTGCTCAAAGTGGCCAAGACGATCTCCGTCTCTCCAGATCCCACCGGGAATTCGGAGTGTTTCGTGGAGTGGCATAGCGAGAAAAGCAAGTCTCGTATGAGGGTCAATGTTGGGAATTCGTTCACGCTACTCTACGCCAACTAGCAAACACGGGAAATCTGATGCAGAGATGAATCCACCTGGGCGCCTTACGTCGTACTTGGTCCATAGCTGTGCTTCCTTGTAGTCCCATACATGTTTGCAAGTTCAAGTGAAGGCCGGTAACTCACCGCTGTTCTCGGTACATTGGTGCAAAAACTCCGCGCTGTATGCCACGCATTAGATCTCCATTCACTCTATCGTATACAACCGACTGTAACCCAATGCTGTGTCCAACATCAAGGAGCGAAGTATCCGTTATAGCCCTCACGAGCCGAGAGCCAAGGCCTCGACCACTATTTCCGAGCTTCGGAGTCGGCACGCCAAGACAACAAAAATTTGCATCTAATCTTATCAATCAGTCTTAGCCGAACGCCATCCCCCATGCAAAGCAGGATTTACGGCATCTTACTGGATCCCGATCTCTAAGAAACTTTTTGTTCGCTTGTCGCATGTTCCAAGAGAGGAAAGGTGATGGTGAATGTACGGAGTGTTTGCCTATTCAATACATGTCAGGCCATCTGGGTTTTCACCTGTACTTGACTCGCCCAGCGTTGGTACAAATAAAAGACCATCCAGCGCGTCATTAGAAATAGAGCACTCTTGCACTACAACCAACTGCTCTAACCCGTCAATCGCCATGTCTCGCGACAACGACGTTGACGTTGATAAGAATGCCCAATTCAACACCGCTGTGACAGGCGTCGGTTCACGTACCAAGCAAGAAAGCGTCTCCACCGCCAACCATGGTTCTCAGTCTCCGGCAGCACTACCCGGTGCAAAGTCCCCCGGTGTCATACGCATCGAAGCTCTCAACGCTCACACGTCCTTCATCAATCGCTGCTGCATCTTCTTCGGCATCTTCCTTGTCGCGTATGCGTATGGTTTGGATGGAACGCTACGGTACACTTATCAGCCATACGCTACTGCAGGATTCCAGGAACATTCGACGTTAGCCACTATTAGTATGCAGTTTATGATCTAGTAATTGTGGACGGCATGTAAGCTAACCTGTCCTCCAGATGTATTGAGAAGTGTCATCGCAGCCGCCGCGCAGCCCACCGCTGCCAAGATTGCCGATGTCTTTGGCCGTGTAGAAGTCGTCGTCCTCTCCATCTTCTTCTACATCCTTGGAACAGTCATCGAAGCTGCCAGCAAAGATGTCGAGTCCTTCGCTACAGGTGCAGTCTTTTACCAGGTAGGCTACACGACTGTCATTGTCCTCATCGAAGTCATCATAGCCGACATCACATCCCTTCGTTCCCGCCTCTTCTTCTCCTACATACCCGCTATTCCGTTCTTGATCAATACGTGGGTTAGTGGGGATGTCAGTCAGGCTGTGCTCAACCAAACGACTTGGCGATGGGGTGTAGGCATGTGGTGTATCATCTACACTGTGTGCTGCATCCCGCTAGTTGCCTCGCTCATGTGGTCAAGCCGACAAGCCCGAAAGGCTGGAGCACTCGACAAGTACCAAACGCCGTACCAGGTCCATGGAAGTACCAAGAACTTGCTAATGGCGCTCTTCTGGCAAATGGATGTCCCTGGTATCGTGCTACTGATCGTCGTGTTCGGCTGCATTCTGACGGTGAGTTGGTATACTTTTGCATTGTTTAGATGTTTGCTTTGCTGACTACCGAAAAGCCTTTTACTATTGCGGGTGGCGAACAGTCGCAATGGGGTACGGCAAAAGTCATCACTCCCCTCATTATCGGGGTTCTGTGCGTCCCCATTTTCGTCATGTGGGAGCAGAGAGCACCGCATCCGATGCTTCCCTTCCATCTTCTCAAGGATCGCGCCGTCTGGGGTGCTCTTGGAATCGCTTGCACCTTGAACTTCGCATGGACTATGCAAGGCGACTTCCTCTACACCGTACTCGTCGTTGCATTCGACGAATCCATCAAGAGCGCAACTCGAATCAGCTCTTTGTACAGTTTCACTTCTGTCATCACCGGATTGATCCTCGGTGGAATTGTATTCAAAGTTCGCCGCCTCAAGCCGTTCATCATCGCGGGCACTTGTCTGTTCGTGGTAGCTTTCGGCCTTCTGATTCGCTTCCGCGGTGGCTCGGGCGGTTCATCGCATTCTGGCATTGTTGGCGCGCAGATATGCTTAGGTATCGCGGGAGGCATGTTCCCATATCCTGCACAGGCCAGCATCCAAGCTGCAACAAAACACGAACGTAAGTTTCCCCTGTCGTTCCCAATTGTTCGATGAGAGGAGCAATATTAACGATTCATGACAGATGTCGCCATCGTGACAGGCATCTACCTCGCAACTTACAACATTGGTAGTGCGCTTGGTAATACGGTCTCGGGTGCCATGTGGCAGCAAATCATACCGAATGAGCTGGCTCGTCGGATTGGAGATCCTTCCCTCGCATCCGTCGTTTACGGCGATCCGTTTTCGTTCGCTGCTTCGTATCCAGTGGGCACGGCCGAACGTACTGCTGTGATTGAGGCATATCGGCATGTGCAAAAGCTACTTTGCATTGCGGGTATCTGTCTTGCAGTGCTTCTTGTCGCATTCTCGCTGGTTATCCGCGATCCGAAGTTAGGCAAGGAGCAGAGTTTGGAGCATGCTGAGGAAGATGCGGAAGTTGTCCGCTCGGATAGTAAGCAGTAATGTTGAGATTGCAATACTTTGCACACTGTAAGCAGTATCGATCAATGTTTTTGTGTTTTCAAGCGATGGGAGGGCCATCCCTCATACATTGAAAATTCCCACCATCGCCCAGGATTCCCGAAGGGGGTTCTTTGTGTTTTGAAGATTAATTTCCATAGTCGCTCTCAGAGTTGTGTCTGCAAACTCGGAGATGGTAATCTGCAAGCTTACGCCATTGCTAGACTTGAGACTCTGAATGGCGAGCTACCAAATCCGGCCAGCAACCTTGTAGTCGATTTTTTGACTGAACAAAACAAATGCTCTAGTAGGTATGCGCGAAACATCGTAGAACGTGACGGCCGAGTACTGTTTGCACACGTGACCGATGCCGGTATCCGAACGCAGTTTGCCATCGTCGTGCATGTACTGCCAGGCATTTCCAGGATTCAGCGCGTCTCGAAGCGCGCGGCAACCCAAACTAGGGTTGAAGAAGGTGTCTTCGATGAGGTAATTCGGCTTGGCAGGGTCATCGTACCTCTTTTTAAGGAGGGCAACGAAGTCTGCAAAGTGCTCCCAAAGAGCCATTCCCTCTTCCCAGACTCGAGCCTCAAAAGGGGTGTTTGTAAGCCCCGTACGGAAACCTAACATTCCGAAGATAATTCCGTGCGCCAATTCGTGCTTCACCCTATATCTACTTAATGTCCCGCGAATAAAACACATCTTATACTAATATAGTATAGTTATATACTTCAAGGAGTAGATATATGGAGGAAGAACAGGAAGTATCGCTACTTTACCTAGGGAATATAGGTGGAAAGAAGTGATAAGGAAACTCAAAACTTACAGGTCACTGCAGTGCGCAGCGTTATTGAAGACAGAGGTACCATCACCAAAGACAGCCTGCCTTTTGTTAGGCTCCAACGGCCTCCAATTACGCTCATTCCGTAGTGTTATGAAGCCACCAAGTAGTTCTTCCCTAGACCGGGGTCGTGGCCAAACACCATCTTGAAAAATACGACAGTCTGTTCAATCGTATCGTATAGCGCATTTGCGCTCCCGGAGTTATCATCCGCTATCAACACTGGCGGATCATGCTCACCGCGCCGCAAAGCCCCTGGTAGATGGCTATTGTCCACCTGGAAATTGCATCCTTTGATGGCATGTTCGTGGTCATATATGCGCCATCGTGGCTTCACTGGGGCGCCACCCCCTCCGCGTAGATTCACCTTTTCAGGTGATGGCGATTCGCCACTAGGGCTGCGTTCAGCTCGCCTTTCGAGCGGCGATTCGCATTCAGATTCTGTTGTACCAAGAGAGAGGTAGTAGTCCTCAGGATTGGACGGTAGAGTATCCTCCTCCAGTTCTGCTAGGTGGGCGATTTGCCTCAGTATAGCCTCCTTCTCCTCTACCGGTATACGAGGATGGTCAATTAAGATACACAGGAAATCGGCAGAGGGTTGGCAGCACTCCATTGTAGCGGTATGTTACTTGTGAAGCGGAAACGAAGAAACGGTACGGTACGTGTGTCTTGCGGAAACGGGAAGAGTACGATGCGCGATGTTGAAGCTCAAATCATTCTATTCAAGCAAGGTTCTAAGCCCGTGCTCAAGTCAAGAAAGTGCTGCTATGTGCTCACCGCTTTTGTGTCCCTATTGGCGATGTGCTGAATTGCTTCCTCTTTTGAAGGTACCGCGCCTTCTCTACTCACAAAACACGACGCTTTCCCGTAACAGAGTACTAACATTGCAACTTCTGAGCTAGATACGATGCTTTCCTCACAACATAATACCATCATCTTTCGTTTACGATGATCTTCGCCAGTTATCATTCATGTCCGCCTTAGCTGTCATTGTCTTTCTCGCAGAGACCTCTCCATGACCCAGCAGTCTAGTTTCCACCATCGGCCCCAATCATGAACTCCAGTTCGTCCAAGGTAGTGTTGAACATGAGCGCGTACGACGGTGACACCCATACTATGGTTTGATCTCCGGCAATTGCATGAATCGCAATCACGTATATCAGAGTTCATTCTTCAAACGGCAATACTGAAAGTGTTAAGATCATGAATGCTGAGCTTCTTCTGCAGGACCGCTTGATTGATCGTTGAGAGTAAAGCGAGATTGCGTTACATCGTGTACTGCATTCATGGCGAGTCCTAAAGCCCAAACCAGCCAACCTCCCCAAGATCCACCTCTCCTACCTTCTTCGTTTCCTGTCTTGGTTTCCAAATTGACGCTGTCTCTTTATCTTCCGGTGGCGCGGCTTCAGATCCCAAATCTGTCGGCCTCCAGCATCTCCCTGTTGGATGTTCGTGAAACTTGCAGCGGTTTTTGAGCATGAAGTTGTCCCAGATATCATAGTATCGCGCTCCATTGGGGAACTCCTTAATCTGTTCGCGAATGTTTTGTCTGAAGTGCTTGTCTGTTTCGATCAAAATGGCATTGAAGCTCTCGGGATAAGTGCTCAACGCGACATGAAATACAAGAAGTCGTTCCAGGCTGGAATTAGGTACGCTCTCAACGACTTCGAAAAGTTGACAAAGTAAGCTCGTGTCAGGCTCTCTCTGCACGTCTAGATGCTCAGCTAGTGCATCTATTATGGCGTCGCGAAAGTCGGCGCACCCTGCGCGGCTCATCTCTAGGCCGAAACGGTAGGCGGCTAGCATTGTTCCGGTGTCAGGATTTCTTCGAGTATTATCTGACTGCACTGTGGCAATTTTACCGGTTTCACACCAATACTCGTATACTGATTCCACAGAGAGGCTGCCATAGCTGGCTTGCTGGAACTCGGATAACTGGGAAGTACTTTCCAGGCTTGCGGTGTCGGTCGGGACCGCGATAATCTACTGATTGCCTGTAAAACTCTTTCGTATCGGCGTCTTCCTCCGGATAGCAACCCCAGTCTGGTGAGGCTTTGATTTCGGCCATGGAGTGCGTGTGTGTTTGTGTATTGTACGTGGATGGAGAAATGAGTAAAGCCAGGGAGACTTGAAGTAGGTTATATATACTCCCACGTTCACTGAAATTCTGCTCCTACCAAGCGCCGTAACCAATCAACTGCATCGTGGTAAGCGACAGTTGTGGAGTTGGTTCCATTGTTGCTGGTATGGAACCATAATCACTGTTCCGAGATCTACGCGTCGCAGCGACCACATCTTCGGCATCATCCATGGTCACAAATCACACCCAATTCCAGCCTCAATATACTTTCAGTTTATTTCATCTAGTCACAATCGTATCTTGTCCGTCCCAAATCGAAGCCATATCGTGGTTGCAATCCAGTTCAACCTTGGCACTGCGATAACCTGTAACCGATGACGAGCCACTCACAACTTCCATAATCCATTTGTTCCATACGCAAAAAAGGCTTTTGAATGAGAAGCATCGCAAACATAAGTAACTTGCGAAGCAGCTGAAGTATGAAAATCAGAAGAGTATGTCAATGAAGTGATCGCGGCCGCATGTCCAGTAACTCGATAAGTCAAAGTCTTGTTGAGCGGCCTTACGTTGTCAAGCCCAATAAATCGCTTGGCAATAGTACAACCCAAGATGTAGTTGAAATCTTTCCATATACAGTCATTACGAACTTCCCCTACCATATGGTTCCGACGGAAAAACCACCGCGATCCCCGCTATGAAGATATACAACGCCGCACAATCATGTATCGGAACAGCCGTCTAAGGCTGTCCATCAAGTCAGCATAAGCAGACCCCAGCCATTCTTGATGCACCGTAGCCGTGACTTTGGAAACTTATATCAGTAACCGTAGCAACAACCGCACTCAAAATGCCCACAACCCTATCGCGACGTTGTCACTTCACAACACGGAACGAGACCTGATGTTTGAGCGCGGTCTCGTGCCACGACCTACCGCTTCATAATATGATTCTTATCTACTGGGTAGATCACCGCCACCTAGACTAAGAACACGAGTCGTAAACGAGAACCAACGTTGCGCGATCTACTTGGGCATCGACATCAATCGTTCGTGCCTGTGGATGTGACTGAAGCACCCACTGAAGCGCTTTCGATCGGCTTCCCTTCTCAGAGGCAACGGCACTACGCTCAAGGCTATGGCCTACAACGGTGTGCGCCACCACAATCTGCCACGTCTGTCCACAGCCTCCACATTCCGGTATCGGAGTTTTTACACACCCAAGACATCTTGGTAACACAAGCTTAGACAAGCTACGAGGCGTTCCTAAACTGCCGAAGATTGTGGGGTTCCTGGGGGGTGCACGGTTGAACGGTCGCCGACGCAACAATTGCTTAGCTTCAACCATTCGCAGTGCGCTTCGCACGATCAGACTACGTCTTCGATTCGCACCAAGATGTCGGGAGCATCTGTTTCAAAAGTTTGCCCTCGTATCATGCACCCTCTCGTTCTGCGAGAATGATGTACGCTGTTGTCCGTGTTCCTGAATCGTGGCACTCCGCTACCAGGTTGTTCGGGCATTTGGTCAAAAGAGAAAAGCCGAGCTTCTTTGTATCTCGAATACAAGTTTCGCCGCCACGTATACGAGAGCCTTCTAGACTCCACCGCAACCCGATTACGGAAGGTCGATAAGTGTAAGTCTTGTAAGTACGGTGATAGTGATTGCCACAGCAACAAATTGGCTTACGAAAGGCACGAATGATACGGCGCAGAACCGAGAACAATGCACGTATGTCGGACCTTCAACGGCGTGTGGTCTCCTGATGATTCGTAACGCTGCTGATAGATCGAAGCAGTGCGGCAAACTTTCTGCCTTGAGAGCCTGTTATCTGTTGGTCACAATAGGTACCGAAGCACAGGCAGACAACCTCTCGTCTAGACGAGTGTGTAATTTCCCTCGACTTATCCACGATAGTTCGGTTGGAGACATTTCTCCACACGTCCTGCGGATATGACGGTAAATGAAATTGGACTTATTTGAAGATTACAAAGGAAGAGGTATTAGGGAAGTATGGACGTAAAGAATGCGTGTATGATTCAACACAACCAAAACCGCTGAGATACATTGACATATTTATTTCCATGTGGCGTTCGATCCGACATCTACCTTTGAAACTACGTGTAGGATTACGGTTTCCGATTTGCAGCTCGAGCTCTGACCATGAGTGGGGGTTTCAGCCAGAAAGAGTATGTCTCTTGGGTCAACCAGTCATCGCATTTTTCGTCAAGCTCGAAATCAAAGTCCCAGAGCAAATGGCTCAGAGTCAGCCTCAACTCATAGTGTGCCAAACTGTGGGGAAAAATTAGGTCTATGCGTGACGGTGACCGGGGTGGTGGACTTACTTTCTTCCAAGGCAAGCGCGTGGGCCGACCGAGAAAGGATTGAAGGCCTTCTTATCATCTTTCTCGAATTCAACGGCACCTTCGGGTAGCCACCTCTCCGGAGCGAAGTCATCTGGTCGGACGAAGTTTCGTGAAGAGTGAAACGTTGGGTAATGGAGGATGAATACTGTAGCGCCCTGGTGGACATGCTCGCCGCAGATCTGCATTCCTCCTACTGGAACCAATCTCGCCAAAGTTTCTGGGGCACCGGGGTAGACCCGCATGGCCTCGTCTAGGACTGCGGTCATGTACGTAAGCTTCGGCAGGGCCTCTATGGTCATCTCTTCCTTTGAAATGAAGTTGTCGTGAATCTCTTTCTTGAGTCTGCGCATACACCTGGGAGACTTCAACAGCAAGTATAGCGTCCCTGATAGCACAGTTGCCGTGGTTTCTGAGCCCACCACCATGAAGAGGGCTGCATTGCCGACCATTTGATCCAAACACAGTTGTGCTTTCTTCTTATCAGGCCCACCAGTGATCAAGCCCCAGAGATCCGGACGATCAGTCTTCCTTTCCAGTCTTTCTCTAACTCGGTCTTCGGCGAACTTCATGTGAGCATCCCGCTTGGCCTTCATCGGCTTCGGGACCAACAGCGGCAAAATCTTGGATGCAAATGGGATATGGTAGAATACAACAATGCGGATAGTGACGACTTTGATAGTCGCAACGATCACCCGTACCCAGCTGTTGTACTCTGACCGTTCCAGTAGACCAAGAGATGCACCGAACGCCAGGTCTCCCATAACGTCAAAAGCCAAGAAATTGAACATGTCCACCATGTTTGTCTCAAGGCCTTGGTCAGCGCGCGACCGCACTGCCGCGACTAGTCTATCGACATGCTTGCGTAGCAAAGGCTCCTGTTCCTTTAATGCTCGGGTGGAAAAGCCTTGGTTGAAGAGTTGGCGTTGCTCGCGATGTTTTTCGTCGTCCAAAACGTCGATGATACCCGGCTCACCTGACATAGGCGGAGGGTTAGCGAGAGGATTCTTCGGCAGCGGCTTTCGAGGTGCAGAGTTGCCTGTGCCGTGGATATCTTTTGGAATCAGTGAAACTTTATGCAGACAGAGGTAAGGCTGCAATTACCCTTCCATGCATCACTGGATGTGTAGCTCAATTCCCAGGGGCTCAACCGCACGATTGGACCGTATTGTTCGTGGAGGCGGTGCGCATCGAATACTGTGGTACCCCTCCATCTGGACAGAATGCGGGGTATAGGGGATGCTCGCCACAAGAGTGGACCCGGATATTTTCGAAGTGGGTGGAGGAGGATGTTGTAAGCCAGCCATCCGACGATGACGGTAATCTGACTACACTTAGAACTTCTGGGCAATAGTCATCTTCATAGCGCAACTTACTGCCAGAGAGACGATACGTAGAAGAAAAGTCAGGATCGCCATACTGAAGTCCTCCGTACACGAGTTACGCAAAGATTCTGCAAAAGAAGGTGTCGTGTCAACGAAGAGATGATCAAAATGCCCGCCCAGTCTCTGAATTATCTGGTTATCTTCACCCATGACTGGCCGCTACTCAGTCGCGATAAGAAACCTCACTGCGTTCGTTCGATGTCACGCGACGGCTCCCTCGCATTCGGTGTTTTTCTGAATGCATGGCCAGATAGGGCGGTCGTTACTCGGCGTCTCTTCGCTAGCATTATGTGCAACCCTAGACTTCATCAAGACAAGTGAAGAAAACTAGTTCCACCACGCGTTATATCCTGGGGCAGTTCCTAATCTCTGTATCGTGAAGGGTGTAAGTAGGTCCGTTTCGACGAGTGTGGTGAGTGATCCAGCCCTGTGTAGAACGAATCATATATCGGAGTTACATTGTATATAGCCAACGTAGAATATCATCGCTCAGGAAAGATACACCTCACATCGTTCTGATTCAACATCTCAACCTTTCTGGAATTCTATTAGGGAATCCAAGTCTTTTCGGTATGAATCACTTCGCGCCCTCTGTGGCATTCTTTTGTCCCCAGAGCAAAGCCCCCACAGAGGCGTACCTCGAGCAATTACAGAAGTATATTGTTGGAACTCCCCTTCTCCAACCTTTCGCACAGGCCATCACGTCGTTGAGATACACGTGGAGCACACTCTGCGAAGGCCATGCGGACATTGCCAAGCTCAAATCAGGCGAACGACATGTCGCCAGTCTTGAGCGATGGATTACCGACGGCATAGCTGGGCCTGTGTCCAGCTCTATGTCCGGGATCCTAGCCTTACCGTTATTGGTCGTTATACAGATTTGTCAATACTTCCAGTTGTTGGAGTTGCACGACCTCACACATGAGCAAATGCTATCAAGCCTGAGGAACGGCGGTGGTGCCCAGGGATACTGTGGAGGCCTCCCTACGGCCTTTGCTATTTCTTGCGCCAAAGACGAGGAAGACTTGGTCCGTCTTGCAACTAAGGCCCTTCGGCTGGCCTTTGCTGTGGGTGCGTTTGGCGAGTTGAGCGATGACGAGTCAATCGAAGGAGCTACGACCATTGCGGTACGATTGAGAGCTTCTCAGCAGGGCGGTGAGCTTGTAGACGACAATCCTGGCGTAAGTCGCTTTCGTTCTTTTGTTTTCTGCAAAGTCGTCCCTTGTCTGCCCCTTCGGTACATTCAGGAGGTCATAACTCGGCCTGGTGATGGATGCAAACCGTCAGCATCTAGCTTTTTTCTTTCTCATCCGATAGCCACATGCTTACGACGTTTAGTGCTATATTTCTGCGATAACCGACCCAAGAACAATAAGTATTGTTGGCCCAGTGCTAGAACTCAAGAAGGTGGCCGAAAGAGCTCGTAATCAGGGACTACTAGTCACAGATATCCATATCCGCGGCAAAGTACACAACCCGGAGAATGCACCTTTGGTCAAAGTGCTATTCGATATATGTAACGAGCATGATGAGATGGCGCTGCCTGATGCAAGTCAGCTGCGAGTTCCTGTACGGTCGAACTTGAATGGCAAGTTACTAGACAACTGCTCGCTGACACATGAGGCAATCAATACGATTCTTGCCTCCCGATGCGAGTGGTATCGGCTTCTGAAAGAGGTGGCGCAAGACTTAACGGGAAGCGGTACAGACGCCCATACATTTGCATTGTTCGGGATTGGAGACCCTGTCCCTCTCATGCCATTTCACAATGCTCGCTTGCGGGTATCAAAGATAGAAGCTCATACCGCTATTCAGGAAGCCAGATTGGCCGAATACAAGTAGTAAGTCGCCCGAGGAGGATGCCGATGAAGAGATACCCCTATCTCGCTTAAGTTAGCGTCGCACTAACGCATGACGCCAGTCCGGAAGACGCCATCGCCATTACTGGAGTTTCATGCCGACTCCCACAAGCAAACGACCTCGAAGAATTATGGCAGCTCCTCGCCGCTGGCACATCAACCTGCGAAGAGATCCGCCATGACAGAGTTCCGATGCAAGAGAGTTTTCGGGCGCTCCAAAACGAAAAATGGAAGCCGAAGTGGTTCGGCAACTTTATCGATGGAGCCGATGAGTTCGACTGGGCTTTTTTCCGTTCTAATGCCAAAGAGGCTGCCAGCATGGACCCTCAGCAGCGAATCTTGTTGGAGTTGACATTCCAAGCTCTGGACTCTGCAGGTTATCTCCGCAGACATGTTCGTGAGAACGGAGACAGAGTCGGCTGTTTCATCGGGGCGAGTTTCATCGAGTATACGGATAATACTGGTGCTCATGCGCCAACTGCATATACAGCGACTGGCACAATTCGCGCATTCCTGTGTGGAAGGCTAAGCTATCACTTTGGCTGGACTGGCCCGGCGGAAGTCATCGATACTGCCTGCTCTTCTTCACTTGTCGCTATCAATCGCGCGTGTCAGTCCATCTGGTCAGGCGAGTGCCCTATGGCCGTCGCTGGAGGAGTCAACATCATATCCGGTGTCCACAACTATCTGAACCTTGGAAAGGCTGGTTTCCTTAGCCCGACTGGTCAGTGTAAGCCATTCGACCAATCGGCGGATGGATATTGCCGTGGGGATGGTGCCGGAATGATCGTGTTGAAGCCCTTAAGAAAGGCTTTAGCAGACGGAGACCAAGTATTAGGTGTCATACCGGGCTCATCCACCAACCAAGGTGGCTTGTCTGCATCGTTGACAGTTACACAACCCTCAGCCCAGGTCGACCTGTACCAGTCGATTCTCAAGCGTGCTGGGATGAGCCCACATCATGTGTCATACGTTGAAGCTCACGGGACTGGTACACAAGCTGGTGATCCTCTGGAGGTTAGCAGCATCAGGGACGTGTTCGGTGGAACAGTTCGTCCTACTAAGATGTATCTCGGTTCTATCAAAGCAAATACCGGTCACGCGGAGTCGGCAGCTGGAGTCGCTGGACTACTCAAGGTCATTGCCATGTTGCAGAAGAAAGCAATCCCACCCCATGCATTATTCAATTCCCTAAACCCGAAGATCCCCTCACTAGGCCCAGATAGAATTGTCATCGCAAAGAGTCTGGAACCATGGGAGGTACCCTTCAGGGCTGCGTGGGTGAACAACTATGGGGCGGCGGGAAGTAACGCATCACTTGTCGTCTGTGAAGGACCTCGGAAGGATATTGGCGCAGTGTGAGTTTGCATCGTAATCCCAGCAAAGCGAAGACTAATATGTTTGGGCAGACAAACACAACTGCTTGCAGGTACTCGGTACCCTATCATACTGTCAGCCCACACAGTCGAGAGTCTCAGGGCCTATGCAGAATCTCTGAGGTCGTACATCAGCCGAGGAGATCTAGACCTTGCTAGTCTAGCTTATACGCTTTGCGAGCGGCGAAAGCGACATCCTTTGGCATGGATGACAACAGCTTCCGAGATCACAAGCCTGCAAACTGAACTTTCTGCCACTATTCGACCATGCAACATCACAGCCTCATCTAAACATGTGGTGCTAGCGTTCTCCAGCCAGAGTAAGCAAATTATTGGTCTATCGAAGACGTTGTACGAGTCGACCCCCAGGCTACGCCACTACATCGAGGAGTGTGATTCTATTCTCGTCACAATCGGCTTTCCCTCGATCATCCCAGCGATCTTTCAAACTACCATTATCACCGACCCAGTTCTGTTACAGACGGGTACCATGGCCGTTCAATACGCCAGCGCCAGGTGTTGGATGGATGCCGGTGTTCAACCTGCTTGTACCATTGGGCACAGTTTTGGGGAGCTGACAGCATTAGCCGTATCAGGTGTGCTCTCTATTGAAGATGCTCTTAAGCTCGTTGCTACACGAGCGCAGCTCATGGTGACTAAATGGGGACCGGAGAGAGGCACCATGCTTGCAATCTTCGCGCCGGTCTCTGTCGTCACACGCATCATCGAAGCCGTTAGCAACCACTCTCTAGAGATTGCTTGCTTTAATGCTCCCAATAGTCAGGTGATAGTTGGCGCCCAGGCTGCAGTGGCCGATGCGGAGAAGTTGTTGGCTTTTGACCCCTCGTTCAAGGGCGTCAAGAGTCAAAGAGTTGATGTCACCCATGGGTTCCATTCCGTTTTCACCGAGCCACTTCGGAACGACTTGGCCAAATCATTGGGTTCTTTGACTTTCAGGGAAGCTTCCACTCCTATCGAGCCGTGTACACAAGTTCAGGCCGGCTCGATTACTGCTGCACATGTTGTATCGCACCTCCGACAGCCAGTCTACTTCATAGACGCTGTGCGGCGGATAGAGAAGCGCTTAGGAGGTTGCATTTGGCTCGAGACAGGATTTGATTCATCTATCATTCCCATGGTCAAGCGTGCGACTGCCAAGTCAGAGATCCATTCATTCTACAGCATCAAGACGGCTATTGTTGATCAACCTACGGATATTCTTTCTCGAAGCACTCTCGATATGTGGAAGGAAGGAGTCGACGTCACCCCATGGGCTTTCCTGTCTCCGTCCGATGCTGGTGTGGAACCAATTTGGCTGCCACCTTATCAATTTCAGAGAACCAAAGCATGGCTAGAGAACATTGATAGAGCTACTGAGCTCCAACAAAGTTTAGCCAGTCTCACTTCGCAGCAGGCCGAGGTCGCCTCCATTCCTGTTTCTGTTCGTTTGCTGCATCATGCTGGGTCAACTGGTAGTACGGAAAAGCTCGTCATCGACAATTCGGCCAGTCGTTTCCGCGAAGTTATCAGCGGTCATGCAGTCCGAGGACGGCCGCTTTGCCCCGCTTCTATGTATATGGAGTGCGCGGCTATGTCAGCGCAGCTTCTAGGTGCAGATCTCAGCTCTAAGTCGCTGGTGTTTGAGGATCTGTCATTCGAATCCCCACTAGGTGTCAACCTGGACCGCGACGTTAGCCTGACGCTGGAAGAAACTGTCAAGAACAGCTGGAATTTTGTCCTTTCGAGTTCTCCCGGATCTGCAAGTGGTTCAACACGTGCAACTGTTCATGGCAAAGGCCAAATGCTTTTGGTTGAGGATCCTCGATTTTCCACATACAAGCGACTCATAGCTGACCGCCTTGACTCTATTCGATCGAGCCCAAGTGCGGAGAAGCTCAATGGCGGACGAGCATACAAGCTTTTCTCAAAAGTTGTCGATTACGCCGACTTCTTCCATGGGATCAACAGCATCGTCATCGACAAGAACGAGGCACTGGCAGAGATTCGCATGTCAGACAGTCATATCGGGGGCGATGAAAGTTCTGTGACGAAGCACTGTGACACTGTGTCCATCGATGCATTCATCCAGGTCTCTGGATTGCTTATCAATAGCAGCAAGGCTTGTCCTCCAGGCCAAGTCTTCGTAGCTTCGGGTCTTGAAAGCATTACCATGTCAAGACGTTGTGACTTTGACACTCACAAGGAGTGGAACGTCTACGCCATGTTCACTCTGATCGATGATGTGCATGTGACTGGTGACGTCTTCATTTTGACCAAGGACGGCGAGGTAGCCATGACAGCTATTGGTGCCAAATTCCATCGTCTGGAGATATCCAAGCTTGAGCGAACGCTGGACGCGGCCAATGGATCGAAAGCCAGTTCAAAAGAGACTTCACGTCCCTCTCTCCTCAGCTCCATACCTTCCTTCCAGAGTTCCAGGCCTACCATAGTCCAGATTCCGACGTTGCTAGCGCCCGACAGCGATTCTGGCTTTTCCAGCGCATCTTCGGTCGCTGAAGAAGAGTCTGATGATAGAGAGGCTCCGTTGAAAGCAATGATCTCCACCTACACTGGTGCACCGGCTGAATTCATTGCCTCGAACACATGTATCGGGGATCTTGGTGTTGATTCACTAGCATCGGTCGAGCTCTCCGATGAGATTGGCGAATGCTTCGGAAAATTGGTCTCACCTGGCGAGCTCTTGACGATGAGCTTTGGTGCATTGAGCCAGATGATATTTCCTGGTGTTGCCAAGATCAATCGGAAGCGCGTCATGCCATCTACGAGCCAGGCCGCGATAGCTTCCTCGCCAGCTTCTGAGGTGCTTGAAACCAGGTCGAAGTCTGATTCAAGCCCCAACTGTGGTATCAGAGACCCTACCAACGATACTCGACGTATGAAGTTATTCGAACTCATCTCAGAGCTTTGTGGCGCGGACGTCAGCCAGATACAAGAACACCAACTTCTCCAGGACCTCGGTTTTGACTCCCTGTCTACAACAGAACTTGGGTCTAGTATGTCCGACGATTTCAATTTCGATCTTAACAGTGTCGATACTCTCCTTGATATTTCCGTCAAAGAGCTCATGCAGTTAGTTGGAATATCTTCATCAAAATTCAGCTCCTCGCTCTCGGCGCCGCCAATCTCACAAGCGTCTGCTACTTCTACAAGCGGTCCTGATCAGTCCACGGGGATCATGGATCCATTTCAATCTCTCTTGGCAGCAGAGTCCTCACTCCAAGAATATGCGATGTCTTGCCAGTTCACAGAGTATCTTGCAAAGGTCGCCACTCGTCAGGATGAGTTACTACTCGCCTATCTCGTTGAAGGGTTGCAGAAATTAGGAATCGACCTAAGGGCTATCGGAAAAGGCGAGAAGATTCCTGCCTTTACTTATCAGTCTAAACACAGCAAGGTGGTACAGAGATACTATGAGATTCTGGAGAGGCATGGCATCATCGAAAAGAAGGGTCTCGGTTATATCCGCTCATCCGGCTCATGCACTTTCGCGCCTTCCCCTCAGCTTTTGCGTCGCCTCATCGCCGATTTCCCTCAATACAGCTGCGAAGCTGAACTCATGGCTCTCACGGGCCCGAAGATTGCAGAATGTTTGACAGGCGCCGAAGATCCCGTCAAGCTTCTCTTTGGCACTAGCAAGTCTCAGGAGATTGTTGGTAACTTCTACACCAAAGCACCCATGTTCGCCACACTGACCGAAGTTCTTGTCGATTTTATGGTTCGCTTGGTCGAGAAAGCTGACGGCCCAGTTCGCATCCTTGAAGTTGGAGCCGGCATGGGAGGGACTACCAAGAGACTTGGTGAAGCACTCAGCGCGCTCAACCATCCCATTGAGTATTTCTTCACAGACATATCCTCAACGCTTGTTCGGAACGCATCTAAGAAGTTCAAGTACCCATGGATGCAGTTCAAGACACTCAACCTGGAGGTTGAACCTCCTATAGATATGGTCGGCAAATTTGATGTCGTTATCAGCACGAATTGCGTTCATGCGACAGCCAACAGGACGGATACTTGCCGCCGCATCAAACAGATGCTGAACCCGCATGGTTTATTGGTACTCTCCGAAATCACCACCATCTTTGACTGGCACGAGGCCGTCTTTGGTTTGCTAGACGGCTGGTGGCTGGCAAACGATGCCACGCATGCCATTCAGCCTCCAGCAGTCTGGATGAACTTCTTGCATCGGGCTGGATACCCAAGTGCCACTTATTCCCAGAGCAGCGTACAAGACTGTAATCTTCAACGACTACTCGTAGCCTCTGCACAACAATATCCGGAACCGCCCCGTCAGATAGAGTCGCCGGCCACTGGCGTTGAGACAGTCGTTTACAAAGCCATCGATGAGGTTGAGATTGAAGCGGACGTCTACTTGCCGAACAGTACGCCTACCAGCTCAATGCCTGTAGGTAAATAAACCTGTATACGCGGTCCTGATCTTCACTAAACGTCATATAGCATTGATGATTCACGGAGGTGGCCACATGACGCTGTCGCGCAAAGCGGTCAGGCCAGCGCAGACGAAGTTCTTGCTTTCGCACAACATTCTTCCCATCAGCGTGGACTATCGGTTGGTACCAGAAGTGAACGTCATTGAAGGGCCATTTTCCGATGTTCGAGATGCGTATGTTTGGATCCAGACAAAGCTCTCTACGATCACGTCCAGATATGGCATCTCTATCGACACATCTTGCATCGTCGCGATTGGCTGGTCTACCGGCGCCCACCTCGCTATGAGTCTCGCCTGGACTACCAAAGAGCTCAACCTCCCGCCACCAGCTGCTGTATTGGGTTTCTATGGGCCAACCGATTTTGAATCCGGTTCTCTGGAGAAACATCACGACGAAAAGCATTACGACGAGTTTCCTGCACGCCGAATGCGATTGGAGAAGATCATGCAGTCTTTACCACGCACTCCAGTCACGAACTATGGCACTATGATGGATAGCAGTCAGCTAGGCTGGGTCAAGCCTGGCGATCCACGCTCAGAGCTCATTTTCGCGGTCCTCAAGGAAGGGATTGGACTGAACGTCCTGCTTTATGGTCTCTCTCATGAAGCTTTGGCGCTGAAGCCTGAGCCAACGCTCGTTGAGGCGATCAGTCCGATGGCACATGTGCGGGAGGGTTCTTACAATGTTCCCACGTTCGTCATCCATGGAATGGAGGATGAAATTGTTCCGTTCAAGACAGCTGAGTCCTTTATCAAGGAACTAGAAAACTCTGGAGTGAAGTGCGGCTTTCTGCCCATTCCAGGAGTAAAGCATATTCATGATTTGAATCTGAAGCCTGGGAGCAAGGAGTGGAAAGATCAAGTGGAGCCGGGATACCGGTTTCTTTTTGAGATTCTGGACGTATCTATTTGAACAATACTCTTTCTTGGAAATGGCATTGAACAGCACTGCGATCGATTTAATCTCATCCATAGTAGTTAGTGCTTATTATCTCAGTTGCATACGACGCTTTCGTTTTGCGAGGGCAGTATACGTGTGAATGTCGCGACTATCAGTGTAGAATATGTAGCAGATTCTCCCACGGCGTCTCACCTGGAGTCTCCGTGATATCGTCGACACTAAAGTACAAAGCATCACCAAACGTTGTCAGTGTGTTAAGAAGCGTATCTCTTATCATCACACACCGCCCACGAAATGGATGCACATCCCTTAGATGAATTACCGTATCTATTACGGACCGAATATAACTTCTAGACCCTAACACACCGGCGACACGAGAATTGGGCCGAAAAATCGGCGAGCGGGCAAATGATCTTTCGATCTTCTACCAGAGTCTGGTGACACACGATGCGGGGCAGAATAGACCGAGTACATGCAGCTAGCATAATACAAAAGAGGCCAAAAGGTAGCTGGCAATTCTATCTATATCATTTTCGTGACTATTTTCGCATTCCACCACCAACCTCACTCTCACCAGGCACAAGTGCTAGTCATTACTTCGACGATGGGCGACATACACCAAGATGAGAAGAGAAAGATCACCCAAGAGGAAGAAGACCAAATATGGTCTTGGAACGCTACACTGCCGCCAACACCTCACCTCACAATTATTCAAGTGTTCTCCGCACAAGTCAACCGCTCCCCTAACGCACCCGCCGTTGACGCTCCAGACGGTTCGCTAACATATGCGCAACTCAACGACTACTCAACGCGCCTAGCTCGACATCTCCGCACCGTACTCACAGACATCACCGCTGATGAAATCGTTCCAATCTGTTTCGATAAGTCCATCTGGCTTGTTGTCTGCATGATGGCTGTATCGAAAGCGGGAATGGCGTATACAACGCTTGATCCTGGTAATCCAACGGAGCGATTACATGCGTGTCTGGCCACGATCAGTCCCCGGGTGATGCTAGTAGAGGACAAGTTCAAGGAGAAATTTTCTGGAGATGGTGGGATGAAGTTGGTGGCGAACGTACTCGACATATGCAGCAGCGGCTCTGACGTTGGAACGAACGACGAAGTTGACCTGCCCGTTGGCCTACCCCACGATCTTGCCTACGTGTGTTTCACGTCTGGGTCCACGGGTTTGCCCAAGGTAGTTAAGCATACCCAAAGCAGTGCGGTTTCGAACGTCGTTCATGGTCACGGCTACGCGGCTACAAGCCGCGTTCTGAACTTTGCCTCCCAGGCTTTCGCTGCCAGCGTCGTTACTACCTTGAAGACTTTGTGCAACGGTGGTTTACTGGTCCTTCCACCAGAGCGAGAGCGCATGGGCGGTATAGCAAGCTTCATCACTAGGAAGCAGATCACACGGACATTCCTTACGCCCACGCTGTTGAATCTGCTGAAACCGGAGGAAGTGGCTTGCTTACAGTTCTTGACTGTAGGCGGTGAGCCTGTTACCCAACGCCTCATTGATATCTGGGCGCCGCGGCTATCACTTGTGGAGGCCATTGGTATGACTGAGGGTGTCGGTATTGCCAACGCCATCGATGTCAGTGGGAAGAAGTGTCGAGCGCGACAGTTTATGACGGGCTGTGCATGGATAGTGGATCAAGACGATACAGATACGCTAGCGCCGATTGGGGAAACAGGAGAGCTACTTTTCGAAGGACCAGCATTGTGTCAGGGGTATCGAAACGATCCAGAAGCTAATGCGAAGGCATTTATTGTAGGGCTGCCGACCTGGGCGAAAAAGAGGGGAGGGGAGCGACCGAGGACGTTATTTCGGACAGGAGATCTGGCGAAATATGTGGAGGATGGTGTTGTCCAGATCGTGGGGAGGAAAGATACGCGTGTCAAGCTGCACGGGCAGCGTTTCGAGCTGGGAGAGGTGGAGAAGTCCATGTTAGACTGCCTTCCGTCGGGCATGACTGTTGCGGCGGAGGTTGTGGAGCCGACGAATGGTACTGGACCTATGCTTGTTGCTTTTATTCATGGCCTGTCGGCGGACTTCTCCAGCGGAGTTAAGCGGTTGAGAGAGAGACTAACGATTACCCTACCGGATCATATGGTACCGCGCGGATTTGTGGAGCTTAAAGAACGACCACTGAACCCATCCGGAAAACTCGATCGGAAACTGTTGCGCAAACAAGCTGCCGATATGCCACTGATCGAATTGGTGAAGCACACTGGTTCTTTGGATAAGGCAGCGCCAGTAACTTCGCAAGAGAAAACGATGCAGGGTTTATGGGCTATTGTGCTGGGTCTTCCCATGGAGTACATTGGATTGCAGGATGATTTCTTTCATCTCGGCGGAGACTCTCTGCACTGTATCAAGTTGATCGCGGAAGCGCGGAGGGAGCAGATTGGGCTTTCTATCGAAGATATCCTCGAACACCGAACCCTCCAGGCCATGAGCAGATCAGCCAGTTTCGGGGTGGATGTCCTGTCGACCAAGTCAGAAAGCGAAGAACTAACGTACAGGATAAGTGACATCGCCCCAAGTATCGCACAGGAAGATGTCGAAGATATCGCTCTAGCAACGGATTGGCAAGCTTGGTGTATCGGTCAAGGTCTGCTCAAGTCGCATGGCTGGCATGACTACATGATCTTCAAGTTCTCTAAAGCGCTGGATGTTGAGAAGTTGCGGTATGCTTGCCGACAGCTCATAGACCGGCACGCGCTTTTACGGACAGTCTTCGTTGCAAAGGCAAGGAAGACCTTCCAGGTTATCCTGAATTCTAAGGCTTATCCCTTCCACTTCACCGTGATACAGGCGAGCGACGGTCAGAACGTGGATGAGCTTGTCAAAAACACCACCCAGCAGGACTTGAAGCGACACACGCAACTCGGTGATTGTTTGGTAACATTCACCCTAGTAGAAGATCCCACAGAGAACACACACCAACTGGTCCTCCGAATCTCTCACGCTCAGTACGATGCACTAAGTCTTAACAAGCTGTGGCGATCACTCGAAGCGCTGTATCTTGACAAGTCGTTGCAAGTCGTCCCCTTCACCAAATTCTGCGCGGAAGCGTCTCTAGCAAGCAAGGATTCCGAATCCTTTTGGAAAGAGGCCTTGGCTAACAGCGCGATGAGCGAAGTTTGCCCTCACACCCGTCCTAGCGCTGACTGCCCCATCAACAGCGCCGTCAAAACATCTGTTCCGTTAGTGGAACTAAAGACGTCCGGTTATACGAGTGCAACAACCGTTCTTGCCTCCTGGTCAGTCGTACTATCGAAGCTCACGCGTCAGGACTCGACTGTATTCGGATACATCACTTCCGGAAGACATCTTCCTATGCCTGGTGTCTCAGATGTCCTCGGGCCATGCATGAACATCTTACCTTTGCGTGTCGATGTTACGTCAACTGCGCACACTTCCTCGCTTCTCAGCTCAATTCAGACCAACTACCTAAAGTCACTCCAGCATGGCCATCTTGGACACTACCGCATCATTGAGAACTGCACCAACTGGCCTCGTTGGACGCGCTTCTCTACGGTAGTGAACCATCTCAGCTTCGAGCTTGTCAAGCCGCCGTTCTTTGAACTTGGCGAGTGCGCGTTCAGCGTACATGAACCGGAACATGACAAGGCTGATCTTTGGCTGCAGACCTTTGCTCGTGATGATAAACTGGAGGTCGAACTGAGATACTCAACACAAGCGTTCTCGGAGGATTGGGTAAAGACGGTGCTAGACTACTTTGTCAAAGTGTACCAGCAGTTGCCTAATGTATTGGAACGACAACTGTCAGAGACCCTTCCCCAGCTCGGTGTGGCTGCACCCCTAAATCATATGATCAACCATGATCAGCTAACGAAGAAGGTAACAATGCCGGAGACAAAACATCCCAAGGCGTTGGAAGAACTGGTCTTGTCGGCTTGGGAGTCAGTTTTGGGATTGGACTTCAGGTCACATCCTGGATTTACATACCAGACACCATTTTATGAGATCTGGGGTAATAGCATCGCCGCTGCAGCGTTCGCTTCCGAATACTCTGAGAGGGGTTTTGCTATGAGTAGTGAGGATGTGCTTGGTTGTCCGTCTGTCGCAGAGACCATTGTGATTTTGCTACTCCGTACGAAGGACGATACAAAGAAAGTTAGTTAGCGTACTCATCTAGCGAGTGGCATGATAGACTCACCGTGTCCACAACGTAATTCATGCTTTTCCATGGCATATCCGGTGTATGCTGCCTGCCTGTATCCATTGAGATGAAATTTATCCGGCCTGCACTTCGTGCTTGGAACGATATACAAGGAATGAGTCTTGTGCGGAAATCGGTGGAAGCTTTGGTGCAATATATTACCCTTACCTAAAGCGACAAACCGCATATTGAACGTATTTAACGAGACGAGACCAGTCAAGATCCTACTTCCAGATTGTTTGGCCTGACGCGTAGTTGAACAGCCCTCAGCCCAGCGCTTACGAACTTCTCCTTCCATACGGTTCAAAAGGAAAAACGGCCGCAATGCCCGCCATGAAGATGTACAATGCCGCACAGATATATATCGGAACAGCTGTCCCAGTCTAAAAAACCGCAAATGTTAGCAACAAACTCATACAGCCTCGTATCTGGCACGTGAACGGAGACAGAGTGTGTAAGAAAAAGGTTGAAAAGAAGAAGAGAAGGGTAGACTCACATCAGCGACCGTAGCAATGACCGCACTTAAGATGCCCATAACCCTATTCCACCCAATCGCAATCCCATTCCCGGTACCTCTATGCGCACTCGGCAGCACCTCCGGCGTATACGCATAAAGTGTGCCATAATAAATGTTTAGACAGAAATTGATGATACACGTAAACGCCACGTTCTGCACTGCAGTACGAACCTGCGTGTACGCAAAGAAGAACGCCATCGTGACCAGTGCGCCGATGACCATGGTATACTTGCGACCGAGACGAGTATGGCACATATATCCCGCTAGTACAGGACCCCAGATCCCGCTGAAGTTCACAAGGGTGTAGTTGCGCCAGGTGATGTATGGCGATGGTTGGCCGAAAGCGGCACCGCGGGATGAGAGGTAGGCGGGTAGGAAGACGTTGTATAAGGGATAGGCGAGGCCGATTAGTGTCCAAGAGAGCCAGATTAGTGATGTTGAGATACCGATTCTGCGAGTGGAGTAAAGACCGCGGAGGTGCATGGCTATCTCCCCAAACCCCCATTTGCTCTTGTTTCCCCGTGCTGCAACGCGATCTACGGTGCCGCAGTCCTGCATCTGGGTGAGGGTGAGGCTGCAGGGCCGGTTGTACTTTGTTGCAATGAAGTGGAGGGTTTCGACACACTCTGCGTCTTTTCCTTCGCTGACGAGAAATTTGGGTGTCTCTCTTAGCCGGATAATAGTTATGCGGAGGATGGACATGACGAACACAAGAGCACCAGATGCGTACCAGACATAGCGCCAGCCTTGGTTATTGGACTTTGTGCAGGGGCCCGCATTTGGGTCGATGGATGGGTCGGTGCAGCTGAAGTTTGGGAGGAAGGCCCAGGCGAAGAAACCAGCGATAAGTTGACCGATGCCTGTTTGAAGTGTTAGTATCCAACGTTTTTGTGTTAGTTTCCTCAGTACTAGTTGACTGAGAGTAAGAATAAACATACCCCACCAAGCTGCCATGAGCGTAAGCATCCACTGCCTGTAACTAGGCAGATACTCCAAGAAGACCGCCGTGTCCAACACCAAGTTGCCTCCAGCGCCAAAAGCACTCAAGCATACAAACAAGCCCAAGACCTCCCAATTCGGACTTGCACCGGCCACTGTGAAGATGAAGGTACAAAGTCAGTGTATGCCTCTCACGTGCACTTCGTACAGTTGAAACTCACCAATGGCAAAGACGGAGCATATCAGCAGACTAACGTTAAACGCCGTCTTTCGACCAATGATGTCGGCGGATAGACCCCAGAATAAAGCACCTGCGAGCATACCAACGTATGCGGCGATGGTCAACCCGTTGCGGTAGGAAGGATTGAACTCGAGGGTGGCTTGGGCGGCGATGACGGATTGGATAAGTAGAATCAGCGAATCGACAGCGTAGCCGAAACCATTTAGCACGAAGAGCTGAGGTATATTAGAGACGCCCAAGTGCTTTCAGAAACACAATAAATACCTTCCATTGATATTTCGTAAAGCCAATCTAGGGACACCCAGTCAGTAAATAACGACCGAAATGTCCTCAAAAGCCAAACTCACCTCGTCAATAGCATTATTGACCAAATGCATCTTCGCATTCAGCACAGGATCTGTATGCTCGAGCTGCAGAATATCGTCCTTACCCAAACTAGTCGTTTCGCCGTATGCGTCTTGGTGTTCGACATCGTGGTCCTGCTCTTGTCCCTGCTCCTGCACCTTCTTATCTGCAATCTTCTTCGTATCCTCCATCTTTGCAAGGCCGATGCGACACCACAAAAGCCACTCAAATTGCCTTGATACAAAACCCCCAACTCTTTCAATGTCTTAAAATCGCACGCGATACCCGTTGAAAAAAAACGTAGCGATGAACTAGACGAGATTCCAAACAGAGTGGGCACACGAGGGGTAAAGGTAGATCTATGCATCGCCATCGCACCGACAATCTGCATCTCACCGTCACTTGCAGCGAGGGCGAAGCGAGGGATAAGACTTTCCTACCCGATTTACCCAATGCAACGTCCGATCCCACCACGTTTCTCGCTTGGGCCGAACGCAGTGTTACTCGCAGCAAATCAAGGCAGCCGGTTGCGAGCTCGTGGCTCGGCTATGATTGGCTGACATCATAGGCGGGTTGTCCGTGACAGGGTAGCTACATGAGCCGATCGCTCTTGGTATCTCTTGGGAAGGGGGCGTTCCGGGCAATAGCGACACGGGAGGGTTGCTAACTCAGCTAGTAACGTAAGTGTTTTGTATGATCGGATGTCGGGTGTAGGTGGAGATGCGCGCGCAGGATGATTGGAGATGGAAATCGGCTATATTGCAGAGTTCGGCAACATCAGGTATATTGGCTAGAGGACGAAGGTGCAAAGCAGTAAGAACGTGCCGCGAAAACTGAGTACTCTAGCTGAATGTATCTGCATTGATGGTAGTTTCTCCTTCGAAATATGACTACACGTATCATCGTGCAGTGAAAGCCCCGATACTTGGATGATAAAGACACCTTACTAGTATAAGATCAGGCAGAAGATAAGCCTTTGTACATAATATCGCTGTGGATGTAACCCTGGTATCCTAAACGCCATGCTTAAGAGAAGGTATACGCAACCATCAAATCGGTGAAACAACTGAACAAAATGAAAAACCTACGACTGGCCAGAGGTCTGTGTCGGGATATTCTCTTCGGTGCTCGCGATGGCACTGTCGCCCTCCGCCATCATCGTAATTGGTGTTGGTGCAATCCGCCGTCTCTTACTCTCTCGTGCGTCTACGTCCGATTCCGGCACGGCGTGTAACTCTCGTTTCTTAGAAGTCGAGGATACATCGTCACGGTCAGACTCGCTCATTTCGCTTTCTCTTCGTCCGACCTGGCCGATGTTTGGCATCCCGCTGACTGAGCTACTTGCACTGTGCGTTGCGCCTTGTCCATGAGCTGGTGTAAGGGGTGGCGTCCACATTGGGACGGGTCCAGAATTGGCAGCAGCTATGCTAGGAACTGACGACATAGCCGGGGTTGGAGCGTTCATGTGGCTCTGGTCACCTGCACCAGGAGCAAAGGACGAAGCAGTAGCGATGCTGGATACTGAGTTGCTCCTTGTGGGACTGCCGGGTCTTGCGGGAACGAACGAGCTCGGAGAGGCTGGGAAGCCTGCAGATGGTTGCCTCTGCATTGGTGGCGCAGTAGCCGTCGCAGTAGCTGACATGCTTCCGGTCGTCGGTGTGGGGGTCGGAGTAGAATTATTCGACGCGTGGCCCCCTGTGGTATTGATCGCAGCAGGTGTCTGCTGTGGGCGACTATGGACAGCTAACGGTCCCATGTATTTCTCCCCAAGTTCGCCGGGAGCGAATGTGATGGATGAGCAGAAGCCGTCAGAGGACGTCATCAGCAGCATAGAGCCATCATTGGACCTATTCATCTGTCAGTCGAGTCACAAATCAAAGCTTTGTCCAATCACCTACCAAGTGATATCTGTAAAAGTAGCAAAGTGCAGGTTGCTGACAATGCAAAGTGGCTTTTGTTGTTGCGTATCGTAGATGTGAATGGCGTCTTGTGTTGCAACAGCATATATCATACGATACGGGAGGGCGAAAGCCGATGGAGGCCCGGCCGGCAATCCGGATTGAGCGGAAGCTTCCCCATCGGCGGGCTTGGGCGACGGTGCTGATAGACTTGGCGAAGGGGAAGGCGCACTTGTAATGGGCGGAGGGTCCATTGATGAATGTGACGTAGGGGGCTTCGACGGCATGACTGGCTCAGGCAAAGAAGGAATTTCATCATCCATGTTTGAAGTATCGATGGTGATTTGCCTGGTTGGCGGAACGGTCTGGCGTAGGGTATAGTATACCGGCGAGCAACGAACAGCGACCGAAGGCTTCTTGTGACCCGGAAGATATGCGACCGGAGGCTTGTTCAGGCCGGCACGAGTATATATGTAGACTGTATTCGTAATGTCCTCGGCTGGTTTCGCTTCGCCAATTGATGGATGTATCGCTTTGTATTGCCCTGCGGGCGTGAACAGCAGACTGCCATCCGGGGCGAAGGTAAGGCGTCGGAAGAAGGAGGTCAAGGTTTCGTTGAAGTAGATGGGTGCGTTGCGAACCCCAATTGTGCCAATACTGCTAATACTGGGGGAGTTGGGCATGACTGCAGGTAGTGGCATAGAAGGGGCTGGTGAGGCCGAGCGCCGCATTGACGGAGATGAACCAAAAGATGAACGGCGGCTGTGTGATGTTGGCGGCGGATGCATGGTTGGCAGAGCCAGTGATTGCGGCGTGCCAGGCATCGATGGCACGGGTGAGCCAATTGCCATTGAGTCGGCAACGAAGGACGCTCGGCCGCCGAAGTCTGGGGGTGCAGGACTATTCGAGGATACACGTCGTGCGGGTAGGTCCATCTTGGTGACCTTGCTGTGCTGGGCTAACGAGAATTGGCCGTCTTTGTTCTTCAATGTGTAGATGTGTACCGATCTATCAGACGATTGGGTTGCGATGTATTCGTTCATGGGATCCCATGCCACGCCCTGGACGTAGTGGTTGTGCTCGGCAATCTGGCGTACGATGCTTCCTAGACATTATTGAGCAACTATTGGGGAGGTGGTGCCAGGGTAGGTGTCGTACCAGTTTGAGCGTTGTATATGCGGGCAATGTTATCCATACTTCCTGTGATAAAGAAGACGCCATCTGGAGACCAGGCAAGGTCGTAGATCTCGGAGCCTATAGACCTGCACATGGCCTTTACTCGCCATGTTTCTTTATCTTCGAGGCCCTCCTCGCCGAAAGTGTGCGTGGTCTGGTTCTCAGCTGGGACCCAGAGCAGAACGTTGCCATCGTCGCCGGCGCTTGCGAGCATTTCCCCTGTAAGATGTTATTCATCATTTTCGTTGATTAGCGTGGGCTGAGAGTACCTCGTGGACACCATCGTACTACATTGACGGCCTGCGTGTGCTTTACGAGGGTTGAGAGATAGGTGACCTTGCGTTCTTCACCATGGGTCTCGACATTCCAGAGCTGTTGTACACATCAGCGCATGTCCAAGTTATTGCTAAGTTGATGTCGACGCACCCGGACATTGTTGTCTCCGCCAGCTGTTGCGAGGCGTCCCTTGCCGTGCGGCTCAAAGTGAGCTGAGTAGATGGGAGCGTTCTCGTTGTGCCAGGACACCAGAAGCGGAGCAGCCTTCATTTTCGGTGAGGCTACGGCTCATGGGCCCTTTCAAGAATCGAGCTTCTGAGCAAGAAGTCGTATCGAAGCGTGTACGTGGAGGTATGCGTAAGGTGTTGGTTGGTGGTGTCAGACTATGATTGCGCTGATGGGGGGAGCGTGCCGTATGTGCTGATTGCAGGAGATGGTTTGCGAGAGGTCACGAGAGGACAGCAGTGGATATGGCTTCGGGTTTTGGGTGCAATGTTTTCTTTGGGTGCGTGCAGATCTCTTGACATAGTCTTTGAGGCAATTGATGGGTCTCGAGTGGTAGGCACTTCTCTGGGCGGCCTGCACACGCACCCGGTAGCGCGAACGTTCCGCGTCGCCTTCTAGCTCGATCGGGAAAGCTTATTGGTTTTGGTTTCACTGTCGGATGCACCGGGCACGACTCGCTCTCTATAAAGCAGGTGTTTGCTACGTCAAGGACGCGTCCTTGGGTATTACTTCTCGTGTGTAGCTTTGCTGTTGTTTACGAGTACTCTACAGTTGACGGTATAGCCGCCGTGGTCCAAGATTAACCATGTCGCTTCCCTCCGTCACCCCGGTGACAGCGAGCTAAAAGATGAGACACAAGCGAGATATGGGCCTCTTACAGCGCCACTTATGCATCCAACAACGAGCTACGTTTCTTATCATTTATGCGGCACGAACTACTGACCCGTTGTTTTGGTCGCCATGTCATCCAGGGCACTCTATGCACGGGCCTAGACTGGAAGATCGCGATCATGAGAAGACACCACCAGTGCATTCAACCACACTATCCTAATACGAAGCATCACTTGATACACGGATCCACTCAGTGCCTCTTTCTTCGCTGCAAAAGCAGGTCACACTCCAACTATCTCCAATTCCCCTGAAGCGTTACCGTTACCGAGCAAAAGCATACAGTAGAATTTTCCGTCTCGCCAGCCTTCAGCTGCATCTGCATTTACCATGTCAGACCAAGGACCCACCCGCCTTGAAACCGAGCTCGAGCTGTTAGAGGCCATGTATCCCGATCAGACACACTATGACCCCAAGTCACGGGAGTTAAAGTTCTCGCACAATGACCATGCCTCGCTCCTTCTTCGGTTACCGGAGTCGTATCCGGAATTAGGATTGCCGGACATCATCTCTGCGACCGACGCAGCAAAGGATGACCTGCGCATACGTGTCAAATATGCGGTGACAGAGCTTGAATTAGCTGAAGGAGAAGAAGTGCTTGACGCCATCGTCGCTGCTTTTCAGCAGGTCGTGGAATCTGCTCCTGCCAAATCAAATATGACCCCAGCAAATAGCGACTCAAAGGCAGATGCAAACGACAACACCTCAAAAACTGTTATCGTGTGGCTGCATCATCTTCTCAATACCAACAAACGCAAGATTGCTCTCTTGCCACCAGCAGTGACGCCTCCCGTATCTGGGCTCACCAAACCTGGCTATCCCGGCATCCTCGTCTACTCCGGTCCATCAGTAGCTGTCACAGAGCATGTCAACGATCTGAAAGCAAAAAATTGGCAAGCGTTCCAGGTGCGATATGAGGGAGAAGAGCTCTGGCACTTTACACATGGCATGGGCGTCAAAGAGATGGAGAGTATGAGCGACATCGTCAAGGGCGTCGAAACAGAAGGCGCGACTGGGAAGATACAAAAGGAGGAACTCCTAAAGGCTATCGGTATCAAGTGAAAAGCTGCGTTCATCTATGGCGCTGTTTCTATGAGCACATAGAAGGAGCCGCGCGAACCAGGTTCCATTGGCTGCGTTCGCTAAGCCAACTCACAATGCAGCATGTGGGTCCAGCTTCTGCCTCAGCCTGACGTCTTCAACTCTACCATCCGACCGAAAGTTGGCGATGCATACACTACGCAACCTCTTCTCATTTCTACTCCTCCATCATCACAACACGATCGATCGCAATGCAGTCCGAATGCAGTGAATTCGTCGCTTCAGGACACCCTGCATCTTCGATGACCCCTGCGGACAGGGTCGAACGATGCTCGAATTGCAACAGCGACCTCTCTGCAGCAGACCTAGATTTGGAGTCGGTGGCCGAATACTTCAATCAGGAGGAAGTACAGAGATATTGGGAAGAAGGTGCTGCAGGCGGCTGCGTGTTTTGTTGCCTCATAGCGACAGTTTGGGCGGATGCAGGACAGCAATACAGATGCTACAGGTCTGGATATGTAAGGTTAGAACTTACTACAGGTAAGCAGTACTTGCTACGTTTGGTCAACATACTCTCCAAACTACCGCATACTGCTCATCGCGGCGTGTATGCAACGATCACTCTCTATTTAAAAGGTAAAGCTAGCTCTGTTAATAGATATGTACTCCGATACCAACACCACAGATTCTGATCTTCCCAGTCTCTTAGAGAGATACAAGCCAGTCCCTCAACATGCCATTGATCCTGCGTGCTTGAGTTTGGCAAAACAATGGTTGTCGACTTGCCTGAATGGACATCAGCAGTGCGATAAGCGGTTCGATACGGCTGGCCCCTCTCGGTTAATTGATCTTCGTGGCGACGTTATCAAGCTTGCACTAGCTCCAGAAGAGTCAACCCAGGGCTCCTACGTTGCGCTCAGCCACTGTTGGGGCGGTTCGCAATCACTTCAAACTACGTTGGCATCTCTGGCTAGTTTCCAAGAGCGGATTTCTCCCAATGACCTACCGCAAACATTCTTGGATGCTATATATGTCACGCGAGCACTTGGATTTTCGCATATCTGGATTGATAGTCTATGCATTATTCAAGATGACGCTTCAGATTGGGAGCAGCAATCAAGTATAATGGCAAGTATATACAGCAATGCTGATCTGGTTTTGGCTGGTGTTGCAGCCGGGTCAGCAGATGAAGGGTTTTTGCGAAAACCAAGGCAATCTTGTGAAGGAATTGTAAATCTCAGTGTAAGAGGAGGCGAATCTTCATTCGTTTATAGGGTAGTGCCCGATTCACATGATTTCATAGAAGAGCCGTTGTACAAACGGGGATGGACTCTACAAGAGAGGTTGTGTGCTCGTCGCTTCCTCGCGTATGGCAACTGGGAAATGAGCTGGGAGTGCAAAGAGTGCTCTTGCTGCGAATACCACGGTAACAACCTTGACAGCGATTCAATCTCGCAACAAGAGGGCAGTTTTGGAGCCAGGATGGAGACTACAAGTCCACAAGATTTTGCACAGCTTTGGGGTACTCGTGTTGTCTACCCATACTGTCGGAGATCACTGACGAAAGCTACGGATACACCAGTCGCAATATCAGCTCTTGCTGCTCGGTTCCATTCACAGTTCCAAGGTACATATCTCGCCGGCTTGTGGAAAGAAGATCTCTGCAAAGCACTATTATGGTTCTCCAAACCACCGGGACGTCCATCGTCGTTTTTTGCCCCTACTTGGAGTTGGATGTCGCTTCAACTGCCTCATGAAATTGACTACGATCCGACAGTTACGTCAAATCACGTTCTGGAAGAAACACTAGTCTTCAATGTGCAGACCGAAGTAACGCCTTCGACCACCAACCCTTACGGCCCTGTCTCGTCTGGCACAATACGCCTGGCCGGTATACTGATCTCAGCATCGCTCGAAGCTGGTCGCTCGCCAGCAGATCCCTGGGAGGATGCCAAAATGTCCACGTTGCGGTACAACATCTCCAGTGCAATTTCCTACATCGACACACCAATTGTTCGAGTGGATGCTCGACTCATGAATGGAACTGAAGAGAGTACAACAAAGCGAGCTGCAAGACAAGAAGAAAATCCTGGTGGAGCTTACCCGGTAACACTTCTTCCAATCTTTAGATATAGCTGGGGTGTAACGGGACTCTTGCTCGGACGGTCAGTCACGTGCGTAGGGGCATATGAGCGCATCGGCATGTTTGACTATCTTTCTGGATCTACATTCGACTCCATGAGAAAAGACTACGAAGTCTGCGACGTCACCCTTGTCTAGTATAGTCGAATTCTCCTGATCTATTACAAATGCATATTTACTCCTGGTTGCACTCGCTATGGTTCTTATGGTCCTTACCACGTTCAGATCTCAATTTTCACACCCCCACCCAAATCATTTTGAAATATAGAAGGAAACAGATGCAACATTGATTATGTTATTTGCTGCACTACAAGCGATTGTCTTTCTGAGACAAATGTCTTCATGTCAAGCAATGACTAGATAAGTCAGCCTATGGTCCGTCTGATGGATTGCTATACCTACGAATATCAAAGCATTATGGGACAGATCTGCTTGTGAGCTCGAGCACGTCTGCGTTATCTAGGTTCGGCCGGTAAGCCGTTCTACGGATTGGCTGAATACGGACGTGATAGTCACTTTATAAGACTTTTGTCTACTAATACCTAGAGATGAATCATGATTCAAGTTGATTTCTGGTACCTCCGTGTATGGGATACCGATCCATTTCCAATATTCATGACGTGTTTAGGGTGTACAGGTAAGCAAGTGAGCAAGATGTCAGTCGAGGTTGGCCCGAGCGCGGCAAGTCCGCATCTCGAATCATCAGAAAAGTCTCCCGCAACACCAATTCGCAACACCACGTCATCATACACTCTCTACCAATACCACTCATATGGCTGCACCAACCAGATGTATGGCCACGGCCACGAGAAATATCCAAAGTTCACGAGCAGCGCGCATTACGTATCGAACATTCGCCTCCAGCACATCGAGTCCGGTCGCATCATCGCGAAAAGCAACGGCGGGGAACACAACATGTCTGCGGGAACTACAGACCACACGGAATGGATCTGGGAAGGCTTCAGGTAGCTGCCAGGGACAGACAAGGAACTTCTCGCAATCCGCATCGCGGAGCAAGCTTAAGACGATAGATCAGATACGGGCAAGGAACAAGGGCGGGGTACGTTCTCTCTCAAGGATCATTCACTAGATGGCAAACAATCGGACGTTCGGTCAGAGGCTGACATTTTGCAGCCATTCAACCTCACAGCCGCCATCCTCTTCGTCGCAGCCGGTGGAGGACTATGGGCCTACTTCACATACGAGAAAGAGCGCATGGCACGAAAGCGGATAGCAGAGCAAACAAAAGGTATCGGCAAGCCCAAAGTAGGCGGACCATTCCACCTCGTAGATCACAACGGCCAGCCCTTTAGCAACGAGGACATGCTAGGCAAATACTCTCTGGTACGACAAGACTCCCACTCCCCTCTAAGCAACCACACTGACACTAGTATGACAGGTCTACTTCGGTTTCACCCACTGCCCCGACATCTGCCCTGACGAACTCGACAAAATGGCCCTCATGTACGACAAAGTCGTTGCTGAATGCGGAAACGTCCTCCTCCCCATCATGATCACCTGCGACCCCGCGCGCGACAACCCCAGAGTACTCAAGGAGTACCTAGCGGAGTTCCATCCCGACTTTATTGGTTTAACGGGCAACCACGAGCAGATCAAGAATACTTGCAAGGCGTATAGGGTGTACTTTAGCACGCCTAAGGATACCAAGCCTGGTCAGGACTACCTGGTTGATCATAGCATCTACTTCTATTTGATGGGTATGTTACGTTGTATCTGGAGTGGAAGGATTTTGGACTAACAGACAATATAGACCCAGAAGGCGATTTCGTCGAGGCTATCGGACGCAATTTCACGGCTGATCAGGCTGCTAAGGTTATTTCGGATCACATCAAGGACTGGGAGAAGCCGTTGAAGAAGGAGACGAGATGGGAGTAGACAATTAGACGATATGAACAAAGCGTTGGAAATGCAAATAGGCCGGAGTGGCTAATCATCCATGAGACGCGTGCGAAGGTTACACGATTAGAGAAGCAGTGTAGAAATACTGTGTACGAATATGATGGGAGTGAACTTGTACTATAGCGCAGGCAGGAACATGTACACTACATGTATGAACACCCATGTTGCAAACATGTAGACACCCCATGCAATCATGAAAGTAAACACATGTGGACGGCAACTTCTACTCTGCAACCTATAACGGAGTGTGATAAAGAAGAGTAAGACATCCCCTACTAATGTATACGTGTAATATATGTATCTACATGTTTCTAAAGCAACGACAAGAACCACGACTAGTGCAAAGATTGGCCGCCATAAGAGCCGCCATGACGTCTCCAGTGGGAGAGAGCTTCGCCTATACGTTCGTCGTCCGTTTAAGCATGAAAGCCATCGTATGAGAGTCTTATGGACTACTACAGCTGCATACAGTGACTAAGAGGTGTTTGGAAAATACACCTACATTAAGATTATTGTATTGAATTATCTGATCGCGTTGTGTTGCCCTGCCTATGCATCAACACTCGTCCTGTGTGGAAAAAAAAAAAGACAAGCACGTAGGCAAAAAGAACCATTCGCGATGGATAGGGCCGAACCGGAGTCGAACCGGTGGCTTCGGGAAGGCGGTTTTGGTGAACTGCAGTCCTACACTCTACCACTGAGTTACCGGCCCATCAGATGAACGATGGGTGTTTGCGAAATTTGTTTACTTACAATTGCACGTGATATGGGGTTTTCTGGTAGAAAGTCGAGTTTTGACTTGGCTGTATGTGGGGTCCTTCCCTAATCGGACTTTAGTCAATCAAGCAATCTTCTGTTTACTCAAGTTCTACGAGGTTTACCGTTCTTTCGCTTGCATTATGCTTTTGGCCCTCTAGTATGCTCGCTAACTGCTCGCACTTTCGAACGGGCTTCTAATGATGACACTTTCTATGTAAGCCGCTCTTGAATCTGCAGGGGCGGATTTATCAGCAGTACCTGCATGATGGCACCGGGTGCGGGTGTAGAGGACTTTGTATTGCACGCTCACCTGTTTGAGCAAGAGGACAGACCTGAACAGTCTTAGCCTAGTCGCGCTTAGACGATGAGTAATGGGCTACTCGTGCTATGGTAACACATGTTCAGAACAGTGTCGTATCGCGACAAGCAGGTTTTGGCTTCCTCTTTTTACCATGTGCTGATTACGCTGAAAATCATGCAAGACACCAAAGTGCCGGCTCAGCAAGGATTCTCGTCCTCTTCACCACACCCTAATCCGCCTCCCTCACTGTACAGACATACGTTCTTCTCATCCCAAGGCGCCGCAGCGCGGAAAGCGCTTATTCCTGGACTTGTCCTCCCGCTGGTTTACAATGCGATTTTATTATGGGCGTGCATATCATTGTTCTTTGGATCACTGGTTCAGAACAACGACGTGAGCAAGATAAGCGTCTCTGCCATCAACCTAGACGATGGGTTATTTGGGGAAGGGATGATGAGCGGTATACGAGAAGTTCTAGATAGCCCGGGAAGGCATCTACAATGGAGCTTCAGCTACGAGAAGACGGATCCAGTCGCCAGCGATACTTGGGGTAGAAATCTGGTACTGGACGAGGCAGTCTGGGCCGTGTTGCAAATCAATGCTAATGCATCATTGAACTTGCAACAAGCTTTGGCGACAGGAGATGCAGGATACGATCCGTCGTCTGCGATAACATTGTACTTTGCATCGGCAAGGAACCAGGTCACCACGCTCTCGGCGACTGTACCAGCTGTCATGAGTCTCGTCAACCCAATCCTTGCCAGGCTCGCCGCTGTTTCCACCGCTGAGTTCTTGAAGAAGATGGCTAGTGATAAGACAGCGCTTTTGACCAGTCTCCAGTGTGCACAATGTCTTGCTTCGCCTTTTGCAGTCAGGCAGATCGACCTGATACCATTTTCTTCGCCTGTGGCATTTGGAACGTTGAACACTGGGCTTATCTTCGTATGTTCTGACACCCAGAACCTCTCTCTAATCTCCGCGTTGACAATCTCCAGCTTCTAACCTTCACTTTCAACATCTTCACCGTCCTCCGCGCATCCGCAGCCATCCACGGGTCTGTCTTCACGCTCCGCACGCAGCTCTACATGCGCAGCATCTCTTCACTATCAGCGTACCTCTTTCTCAGCCTCATGTACACGCTTGGCATCCTAGCCTTTGGTATCCCTTTGACTGGTCACTACACCACTCCCGGAAGCGGATTCATGGCGCTGTGGATGCTGAATTGGTGTACAATGGGCGCGTGCGGACTGATCATGGAAGCGGTGTTCACCGTTATGGGGATGCCATGGGCGCCTTTTGGATTGAACATCTGGTTGATTGCGAATGCCAGTGCGAGTTTTACTAGCTTTGAGCTTATGGTTGGGTTCTATAAGTATGGGTATGCGATGCCTTTCTATCATTGCGTAAGTGTCTCTGGTGTTGTTCTTGTCCGTTGTGATCTAGTGGTCAACATCAAACGAATCTGAAGAGCTAATAATCAAGATCCAGATTCAAGCTACCAAGTCTATTGTGTTTGGCACAAGAACTCATTTTGGTCTCAACTATGGCGTTCTTGTTTCGTGGATGGTACTAGGCTGGTGTGGTATGTGTCTGAGTACAGCATGGCGTATCACAATGGGGAAAAGGACTGGTATCCATCGAGTACCATAGATACGAGTCGCATTCGTCGGGAAGAGCGGGATACAATGTGCTTCGTAATGCTATGAGATACACAGGTGTCTGGTCAGAGTGACGTAGGATGTGTAAGCTAACTGTTGTACCCCGAATGTGGTGAGCTCTCAGGCATGTCCCAACTAGTAGCGTACAGCATAACGCCACGCTAAGGGTGCTACGGAGCTACTTTCAGTCAATTGATGCACATGCACACATACACAGTACTCACCATGTCTCGTGTGACGCGCAGTCCAACGATCAATGGTGAGGGGTTTGCAGGAATAGTGCGATGACGTGGTCTCTTTCAACAGCTTCTCCACTTCCCGCGCGTCAGGTCTGCCGCATTTCTGTTCATATTCCAAGAAGGGAAAAAGAACAAAGGGGCCCTTGGCTGAGCTGCATATGTGCAAATTCGAGAAAATTCAAACGATAGTGAGGGACCTACGTTCTCCAAAGGTCATCCTGCTAATCTCAATTGTCTTATGCCTGCCGACATGACAAATCCCTATTCGGCGATACCTGCCTTGTTTTTCTTCGATAGGCTGCAGGATCAAGCAGAACAACGTATTAGATCGCTTGAATTCATCTATTCCTGTCCTCAGGGATCTTTTCCACGAGGCTTTGTACAATTCGCCATCGCCTCGTATACCTCGATGGTAAGGATCATGGCGTACGCATACGGGTAGACAGACCAGGGGTATTTGAACTGACCGGTCCCAACTCCAGAGGTCCCAGGAGAAATTTTGAATATCACCCGCAAAACGGGTGCCGTTTTCAACCAGAGCTAGCCCGGAGTCTTCGTGCTCGTCTCGCACCACTTCCAACAAAACGCCAGACAACCTCAACGACGCTTTCGATATTACTCCAAACGGATGATCCTCACAGGTTGTTGGATCCGAAACGTCAAGAATATCGACCAGTGGAGACAAAGGGATACGACTCGCGTCGGAGCCAGCCGACAAAAGATGGTCGTAGTTCACTCCACAATTGACTGAAGCCCAAGACCACGACGGTGCCCTGGCTGGTTTGGTTGTGTCTGCAGGAGTAGCACCTGTTGCATACCATAGGAGACCGAGGATCATATCGCGCCTCCATAACCCTGCATGGTAGCTGTCATTTGCTATCACTCCAAATCTTTTCGCAATTCCAGCTATCGCAGGTAGCCTATCTTCATCGTATGTCAGATCACGAGATGTAAAACCTGCTATCATTTTGTACCAGCAGGTATAGATGTCGACCTCTGGGGCTTTCGGCATGAACGATGTCATGCCATTGATTATGCAGTGGAGAAGACGATGGTTGTCAACTGATATGTTTGGAGCGTGCGGTATTCCCAGCGGATATTTTTCACTGGTCGATAGTGTCAGGCAACGTCAGATGAGACGGGTTCCCGAGAATATGATAGAGCGGCGAGACAAGGCCTGTTCCTGAAGAACCCAGGCTCTTCGGGCTAAGGAATTCCACAAGTGGGATTCAAGGTCTCCTGGATCGCCATGTTGTTCTTCTTCTTTCGTTGGATACCGAGAAATATAGCATGCCTGTCCGGATAGGACAACTGGACAAGGCCAAAACATTAGACCAAGGCGCTCTTTAAAACATCCTTGAGTGGAATTTGCTGCTGCTGCCGTGGAAATGGTCAATCTCGAGTTGCCGTACACAAGTCCCATTCTCGGCGCTTCTTTTGCCCAATCTTCTTGCAATTCTTGCCCTTGAATGATACACAAAGAGTCGATCTAGAGGTAATCTATGCCTATTTCCCTGCAGACTTGAACAGCGTGCCGAAATGTTTTTGGCAATTCTTCATCCTCGATGCCTTGCTGTCGACAAAGAAGAGTCCGATCAGTTGTCGATAACGGTCGATTGTTGGGATCTCCCCAGCAATGACTTAGAGTAGCGTAGCGACCATTCTTCTCTTGTCCAGACGCAAGATAGCATCTGCTAGATCCTTTCTGCCCTACCGCTATCACTCTCGTGGGTAGCGGTGGAGGCTGAGAATCGGCCTGGGAACATACTGGATGCGATGATGTGCAGATGTCCAGCCAGGCTTTGATTCTGGATAAACTCGCCGAGGAGCCAGTATTAGTGTCGCTCCCTGAAGGAAGACATGTTTCTGGAAGGGCTGGAAGGTTGCCTATTCTATTGATTAATCGTGAGAAACTGTAGACATTTTAGGAATAAAGAACGCTCACTGTCCATAGGTTCGCAGATCAGTTGTCCACCCATACCTGGCAGCAAGTCGCCACATAGTATGGTGATTCGGACTTCATCCACTTTGACACCAGTCAAGCGGATTGTGGTTTTTACCCTTTGAAATCTGAGTTTGATGTCGCCATCTAAGGAAGCCGAATTAAAATCTGCTTTACCAATCCATCCACCCCTGGGCTCTTGATACAAGCGACATTTTCCCTCCCACGCTGTCAACAACAATCCGCAAAAATGGCAACCTCCACGTGCACTCTCGAGTAATGCACTAAGCGAGTGGTGATGTTTCACAACGACCCCACGGAAGTTGTTGATGCTATCCCAGTGCGTACTCTTTAGATGACCGAGGCTCATACAAGCGGAACAAAGTCTGTCGCTTTCTGAACGGTCTGGTACCCGAAGTTGACTGTCCCCGAAGCAGGCTGGTCGAGCCTGTTCACCACCAGGAGGACAAACCCATTGTTGAGTCTTGATTCTTATGCCACCCGGCACTACTTCCCAAGGCAAAGAAGCTTGGGTCGTTGGGGCCGGACGCGTTAAAGCCAAGTATACCTGTCCCATTAGAGAGAACTCTGCCAGCGGATAGAAATCGGTGCCCTCGAATCTATTTGAGCGACAACAACCATGCAGGCGAATTAATATTTTCAATGCTGGACAGACAAACGAGCTTGGTGAGTGATGATATAGTAAGGTCAACTGAGGCTGGGGTTTGAGGGAACAGGCAGCAGGCGTGGCGCGGCTGCACGAAGGTTTGGATGTGGTGGCTGGAGTTGCGGGGCAGTGCATATTGACCTATCAAACATCTCCAGCGACTTGGATGCAATGCATGAATCATTGCGAAACCCCTCAAAACGTCTCTGCTTAGTCGCTGCGCCGTATTGCAAACACTTGCCACTCGTTAACGAAATGATCCTACAGCTTGAGCAATGCTTAAAGCAACTTGAAAGAAAGTCAGCATAATCATCACAGTCGCAAACCTAGACCCGGCCAGTACAATTGTTACTCTCTCTCTGTAGTGATGAGTTTGACTTGCAGAAAAGTCCAAAATTAGGGCATATCCCTCCAGTCACGAAACAGAATCCATATACTCCATGGCTTTGCCGTCTGTAGATCCTTATCCAAAGTGATGATTCTAGATCACAGACACGGAGAGAGATCATAGTCGCATTGCCAGTCGTTGGGTTAGCAGGATCGATATCTCGGACGTTGCCAAACGCAGTCCCCGGTCCATTCAGCGCGGTATCGAATCCATACTAGCCAATTCAGGTCATGGTATCGCTGTGCGGGATAGCAATTTCGACCTAGCCCAACTCACACACTACGACGTGGGCTTTCACAACGTGATCGGCCCCCATATTCTGCTCAACCACGACCATCCTTGTCTGTCGGCTGCAGTTTCTAGCGTTGTCACTGCAACCACAGCAATTTCCTTCCTCGCAACTTTGTACCATGCACGATGTTCAGATCCAAAAGCATCAAGGATACGAAGGCGTCACTGTCAATGGCGGGCTAGATATCGAAGCTTGTCAGCGGCGAGCGGGTGATCAAGGTGAACTCCAATACTCGGCTTCGCCCGCGTACAGCTACTTTACGATGACCTGACGTGTCTGATATCCTCGAGCTCGCTCCTGAACAGCAACTATCTTTAGGCCAATGTCTTAGGCGGAACATGGCGGTCGAGTAGGTATTGGTGGAGAGCGATCATGATGCTGATGCCATGATATAACATCTTACGGCTGGATGTATAATCGGCCCCACTACCCTTGACACCGTCGTAGGAAGTGACGTAGAAACGCGTTATTTTGATAGCTCTGTTTCGCAAATAGACGTAGCTGTAATGATGCCGCTTGTGTACTTGTACCTGCGACTTGTTCAATGTGCGAGGCCTAGTTGTCCTTGAGGATATTTTTACATTTCGATAGTCGTTGGTTCCTCACCTAAAACTGACAGTACCATGGGAGCACTTATTGAAATATGGTTTGGCGCTGCGATAGCAAGAATGCCTCATAGGTGACGTGGAGACGATGGAAAGATGACGTGAAAAACGTGGAGACAGTGTTTTCAAAACAAACTGGTGAAGAAGAAAGGACGACAATCAGCGTGGAGAGACGGTTGATGAAACCTAGAGCTGGAAACGAGGGTGTGCTGAGCGTGTCGGTCAGTATAGGCCACAAGGCGAGCCTATCCGCGGTACAAAAGTCAAAGATAAGCGCCGAACGCGTGCCGCCTGCGCCAGGGTACCGCGAACCCGAGCTGTGGGATTGCAGTTAGCTGATCACCGAGACGGGAGAAGTTCCACGGTCCCACGCACGCGTGAACACATGTTATGACTGTGCATGTTGAACTAGTCCTTCTGGACCCCTAGGACAACCAAGTTCCATAAGGCTCAGTGCTGGACGCCGCACCTCACAGCCCGTCATGTCTGCATCCAAATAGAAATCGACCTAGCGCCATGTCTGACTCAGCGGAGGAAGCCCTGCATGGGGTGCAAGGGAAAGCTGCGTGTCATGCTGGTGGAGACCAATCGGTCAACCTGATGCAGAAGAAGCAGAAACGTGGTGGTGTTGCGATTCTAGGCTCCGTGAGAGGTGCGCGAGATACTCAGCTGAAGCAAAAAAGCACGCAAGGTGGAGTGGACTCAGTGGAGAGCGGCACAGTGGCATGCAGACGACGGATCGCTTGCAGAGGTGCAGGAGTCAACTAGGCCCAGAGGGGCAGGGGGGTCTCGCCTAGGGCGTGTTAGTGGGATCTGGAACGTGTTCGGGCTGTGAGGGGATATCCTTGCATGGCACCAACAACTGCAGGGCAGCTGATAGCAACAAGTGATGCTGCTTAACTCTATCATGCGACCGCGCCGCGGATGCCCGCTAGAGATTGCCTCGCCGTGCAGTCATCTACTCCGTCAGCCTCCATTCGCACACTCCTGCACTATCATTCTCACCGTCAGACTCCAGTCGCACCTTCCTCGGTGACATACGACGCCCCCATCCGCATTTCATTTTACAGCAGGAGCACCCCTGTCGCAGTTTCCAGATATACCCAACGCGCCTGCCACCATTTCTCTCGCGTCCTCTGCTGTTTTGGCGTCATCTCTACAGCGACATCAAGCTTTGTTCGTTTCTTCGACTTGCTTTTTCAGGCGAGAGCAGATCACTGCCTCGCATCGACTACGGGGTTTCCGTCGTCAAACCGCTACCGCAAGCCACCCGTCAATGGCGCCTTCTCGATCTCGATAGGTCCATGAGTTGCTTTCCCATCGCACGCCGCCGCTTCCAAATACGACATCGATAACCCTGCAGCCTGCAGACAATCAAGCATCAGCCCTAAAACCCTCCACCCGCCTCGTGAAAAGTTCCCGGCAGGAGGCTGCAGCAATTCATCCTCAAACCAACAACCTTCAACAATGGAGTCTACCACTGAAACCATGGCTCAAAGACGAACATCACGACCTCGCTCGATGAACCCATCGCCAGCCACGTCGACATATGGATACCACAACACCTACCATACTCATGCGCAGCTCCCGGTCGGGTCACCGCCTTCGTACGCTCGAGCCATCGACCCTCAGACCCGCTACATCCTGGATGAGAGGACAAGGACGGAGAAGGAGGCAGTTCGCAACACCCAATTACCACCGCCATACACGTGCACAGTCGAGATTGAAGGAGTTGTTGGGATAAAGCAAGAGCTTTCATCGCCATTCCAAGTCTCGGGACATCGCGAGTGGCACGATGTCTACGCCATACTTCGAGGGACGCAATTGAGCATACACCGCATAAAGTACCCAGGTCTCCTCAGCAAGAACAAGGAGCCATCCCCAGGACGATTATTACGAACTTATTCTTTACAGCACGCTGAAGTTGGCGTGGCATCCGATTTCAAAAAGACGTCGTTGGTACCCAAGTCACCCTTCGCGCACTTGGTTCCCGCTGTTGCTCGGCCCAAACTATACGAGACGGATCCACATCTTTTCGAGCCTGTACGGGAACATGCCATCCGGCTGCGTCTGGAGTTTGAGCAATTCCTGTTTTGTCCATCGACTGAGGAATGCATGCTTGACTGGGTAGAATCGTTTTGCGCCGCCATCGACATCAGCGCACCTCTAGAAGATCGCAGCGAGCCCCGCTACCGAAGTCTTCCTCGTAGGGGCAGACGACAACGCATTTTGGAAAATGTGCAATTTGGCGACAACCTCGAGAGCCTGACGAGTCTGGAAGCCGGTCGACGCATCATTGCACAACAGGAGCAGATTATCCGCCAACTTTACCCACATCTGGCCGGGACCCGGGAACCAGGTATCAGCCACACAGCTCCTACGGCAGATCTAGAACTCGACGATTTCGACCCAGAGGATGTTCGCTTTCCGACACGCTATGCGAGGGATTCTCTAGCACGCATTTCTTCACACGAATACGAGCAAGGCGATGATGAGCGTCATGAGAGTGGCTCCTCGTTTGATCCCAAGTCAGCGTGTGCGCCACGACCTTCAGCTGCGCAGACCCTGCGGTATCGCCGCCGTTGTGCTCCAGTGTTGCTTGCTTCTTCTCCACGCGTAAGCGACGTAGTTTTTGGCAAAGGCCAACGCTTCCGCATTAGCGTCAAGGCTCATATGCTCGTCGACTATACCCCGCACCCACCTCGCTACGATGTACATGGCTTCGCGAGGTCTAAACGCCCTACCAACATCACAACGAATCACAGCTCGCCAACAGTCACTGCGGGTAAGACTATTACCACAACTGTCTCGCCCGAGAGACCCAGCTCGCCTGTTCGTGGTGTTAGCGATAATTCCATCACCTCCATCTCATTCGGCGAGGACTTGGGCCCTGTTCGCTCAAAGTCGAACAGTGATGCCACAGGCCCATCAGGTCCACCATCGCCGTCTGGCATGTCGCAAACAAAAATGGATGCGGCACGCCAACTGGAGACCATGGGAAAGCGTCGACCGAGCGAGGATAGCCGCGAGACAGGCTTGAACGCCGTTACACTTGGTGTTGGCTTGATGATCTGAACACCCTCCACACATCTCCTTGACATATTTTCCTATGTTCTACTGCATTATATGGCGTCATTTGAGCGCATTTCAAGGCTTGCGGGCGTTACTACTGCTACTACTACTATTTTTTGTTTCAGCGTTTGTACTGGTGCCGCAAGCCAGGAAGGAGGATATACCCACTTTACTTTGTATGGAGTATAGCAAGAAGGATTGTATTGGGTTGGAACTCGTAGTCGGAGGAAGAGCGTCAGATGTATATAATAGCCTATATCAACACTCAACATATTCATATGCAAATCTTACATATCCATGTTCTCGACTAAATATCCCTTGCTCAATTGTATACTAAAGCATATTGCGCGGTATAATTCCGCAGCAGTTTCCAACGTAATCAAGGATGGGGGAACTATACAAGCTTCCTTCCAAGCTTTCCAAATGTTAACAGCATCGTCATAGACGAATGCACACTAGTCACTATCTAGACATTACGCCTGATCTCTAGCCCTACAACACTACACTTTGTGCTTCACTATTACGCTAGTAGGCAGACGACGTATTTTCATAGAGGGAGTATTCTGCGCTGAACGACAGCGGCCCAAATCTTGCGGCCCTAAAACATCCCGACTTCACCAAGCGATGTTGATTGGTAACCGTGCATGGCTTACACAACTCTCACACGGCACCCTTCGCGCCTGTTTCGTTACTTCTCTTGCACGTGCCCTCCAATGCTCTTTCCGGATTTGTCGTCCTAGCTTATGACGCAGGTCGTATCTGCTCCACGATTGGCAAAAGGGCATGGATGTAGGACTGGATAAGCCGGAGTTATCTTGCTGACATACAGGTATGTAGCATAAAAGATTACAAAGATGATGGAACAAGGAATCACGGGCAAGACGGACGGACATGCCTGTAGCTGGGTGTTTCTCTCTGGATATAAGTACCAGCAGAAAGGAACAAACATCTTCTATACCATCGACCTCGAGCAAACTGTTGTGCACCTACGCCCGTCTCTCATCGTTACCTACGTTACCTCGATCGAAAATAACTACTCATCCTCGTCCATCCATCTGTCCCATCGCTCAATCATAGCAAAATTATGTCCACCAAACGCGTCGCCCTAATCCTCGGTTCCGGCCCCAACGTAGGCACCGCCATAACCTCCTCGCTTACCGCCCTAAACTACCGTATCGCAACCGCCTCCCGCTCCGGCACCAACAACCTCTCCCCCTCTACGGGTATCCTCTCTCTCACCGCGGACTTCGCAACCCCGTCCTCTATCCCCACCCTCTTCGCCGCCGTGGCCCAAGAATTCGGTACTCCCCCCAGCGTCGTGATCTGGAACGCCGCTACGCTTACACCCCCGCCTATCGAGGGAAGCGTATTATCTGTGCCCGCAGATCAATTTACAAAAGACCTCAATGTCAACACCGTGAGTCCGTACGTGGCGGCCATGGAAGCAGTCAAAGCCTGGGAAGGTATGCAGGGCAAGGAAGAAGGGGGTAACAAGACATTCATCTACACGGGGAATGCGCTGAACCAGATTGTCATGCCTGTTCCATTGTTTCTGACGCTGGGCGTGGGAAAGAGTGCGAGTGCGCATTGGGTTGGGTTGGCGGATGCTACGTACAGGGAACGAGGGTATCGGTGAGTTTCCTAGGGCAACCTTTTCTTCTTTTCTTTTTTTCTTTGACTTGAATTGAATTGAGTGGACTGGAGAGGCTGATGCTGGTCGTTCTAGCTTCTTCTACGCGGATCAACGACAGCCTGATGGTGCACCCATGGGGAATGGTGTTGATGGGCCTGCGCATGGAGAGTTCTATGCAAAGCTGGTGCAGCGGGAATCGAACGACGTACCATGGTTGGCTACGTTTGTCAAGGATAAGGGATATGTCAAGTTTTAGACAGCCTGTATGGTAATTTGAGCCTTTTAAGTTGTTGGTTCAACTGAGGTTCGGTTCATTTTCTCTTGCGTGAACTTATGTCTTACCCAATAGGCGAGACGGAAGGTACTCAATTCCAATGTTGACCCAGCTAGAGTTGGGGTGCCGACTATATCGTACAATATACCACTCATAGTCATACAAAACCGTTTACATGTCGTCCAAGTCATAACCATCATGATCAACCCTCTTTTTCCTTCCCTTTCTTCCCTTGCTACCCCGAATCTTCCGATCCGCAGTATACCGTCCATCGCGATCACCAACCAACATTCTTCCACCTGTGCCGAGGACCTTCGCGGGACCTTCCTCCACAGTCCTTCCGTCTTTCTCGCCAACACCGATTTCGATCGTGACTTGCTTCGCCTTCTTGACTTTCCTGCCCTTCTTGTCGAATTCGTCAGTCGGTCGGCCTAGACGTACGTTACGTGGTATGCGTGTTTTTGCGCCGAGAGCCCAGAGGTCACCCCAACGGACTTTTCGCGCGTCGCGGTAGGCTTGCTTGCTGAAAGAGCGGGGGACGGTCCAGCGTTCAAGCGTACCGGCTGGTGTGCAGACATCTAAGATGATATGACCTCTTCGCTTCAGCGCGGGGAGAACCAAACGTGGGAGTGTGAGTGGATTCACATCGGCGGTTGAGGTCATTACAGGCTCTTCGGTTTCTGGGTTCGACGACGATGCGCGCCATTCGTGTCCTTCAAATGCTGCAGATGTGGAGGCTTCACCTTGCACGAACCCTTTGCCAAGGATGTCGTGTTGGGGGAGGCGCTGATCGCGTCCACGCTGGACGGCCAGGTAGCTGAACTGCACGTCCTCGTGATTCTTGTCCTTTGCGTTCAAGATGCGTTGAAGGTATGGAGGGCGGATATAGCGTTGGCTGAAGAAACAAAAGTCCTTCCTTCCCTGACTGACACCGGTAGACTGGTACATGGGGCATGTGCTGTGGTTGGTGCATGGTGCAACGATCATTCCCGTTTCCTTCTCAGTGAATCTGGTGTCTCCGTCCGGTTTCGAGACCTGAGACTCGAGCAACGCCTCGATAGTCTCCGAGCCAGGAGAGGAGATGTGCTTGTTCAGAAGGTACGAACGGGCAGCGGCTACAACTTCGAATCCTCTTGGGAGGCCCTTCTCAATAAGAATAAGAACACCACCCTTGGGATTCAGCAGGGACCAGTATTTCTCAACTTGTTCTCTGCGCAGATAATCTTGTCTGATAGACCACAGCGTATGCGGTGCGATGATGACATCATAGAACTTGCGTGGTTGTTGCGTGTTACCCTCGTCGGCTGCTGTTACGGTCTCTGGTAGTCGCGGAATGAACGTTGTGTTGTCCAGCAGTTTGCTTGCGCGATGGCGGAGCGTGTCAGATGCAGTCAAAACAGTTGCCTTTCCCAACGGGGTAGCACCATGCGACGTGTTTCCTGATTCTTCATGCATGCGTTGCCATTCCGCCTCTAACATCTCGTGCCAGGCAAGCACACCAACGCCACCAGAGCCAGCGTCTAGTATAGTGCCACCTTTTTTGTTTTGCAGCATATGTTCGAGCCATCCTGTTCCCAATCGTCGACGAACTTCGACCATGGCGCTCATGACGCTTGCGTATGTGCCTGGCTGTACGGAAGCCATGTAAACATCAGCTTCGATGTTACCCATCTCCGACTGCGATGGGTCCAGTGGAATCGGCTTTTGTTCATTGCCCAAACGTGCGGGGGTTGTGCTGGCGGAGTATGGCAGACCGCGACCACCAAAGATGCGATTCGCGGATTCGGCGAGGTGTTTGTGATTCGCGCGTGTTAGGAGCAATGCTGTCGGATCGACGAGAGTTTCTTTAGGCAGGAAGACGGTCGAAGGCGATGGCTTGAAGCGGCCGGCAATGGTCAAAGGATGCGCGCGCATGAAGCTGTCTTCCTCTTGCTCTTCTTCCACGTCCTCCCAAGCCTCTGCTTCCTCTTGTTGCAGCCGACTTTGCTCGTAGATTTCATCGTGGTATGCTTGTGCTTCGTCCTCTCTGCGCGCTTCCCATTCTTCTGGTGTCATGGTCTCTTTGTCCAGCTCAGAATCTTCAGCAGCTACGTCTTCCTCAGCATCGAGCTCCTCGACGAGTTCAACCTCTTCAAGCTCGCCATCTTTTCCTTTCCTCAGTAAGACAATAGAGCCATCGGGCCGTTCTTCCTCGATTATCTCCTCCTCAGCTATATCGCCAGATTCTTCTACATTTGCGTCAGGATCTACGAAGATCGCCGGGCCGTACAATCGCTTGTATATAGTGTATTCTTCTTCGCTCAGGTGGTCGTGCGGTAATGTGTCGCCGAATTGTTGCCTCGCTCTCCGCGCGTTGACTTCGTAGTTCACCGCCTCGGTTGCAGAAGGAGGTACGTCTTCTGCATTCAGCGCATGATCTTGCCCTAATTGCCTCCTTCCAAGCGTCGTGGAAAATGCTCTCCGTGGCGTTGTATACTTGGAGGCGAACGAGGGAAGTTGTTGCGGCGCGGATCGTGTCTGGGCTGGTAATCTTGCGCTACGCGCTCGTGAAATTGCGATGTTCAGTCGGCATGATGCACAAACCGACTGTAACCCTCTCGTCTTTAGCATGGTCGAGCGGCGACTTTGGGAATTGTCGAATAATGCACTCACGTCGGAGGAGAGAAAGTTCGCCGCATCTTCACTTCCAGGGTCCACGCTAAGCCCTGCCCTCGCTACTTCCGCCCAATCATATGCCAGCTGATGCTATACCCCACATCGCTCGACATCGATGCCAAACCATGGGAGTCAATCCATACGCATGCCGACACCTCTTTGGGCAAGCTTGTTTATCTACACACTTTGGTGTTAGTACAGGCCCCAGAAAGCCTTCGGTAAGCACACAGCCGAATTGCTAGATTAAGTTTCATTTGTCATGGGCCTATGTCTTGGAAATGCAGACACTGTGCCTACCGACCTCCGGTGATCTTATCAATATCCACGAGGAGACTTTGCATCTGTCATGCTTCCGATCCGTTGGATGCGACCTCGGTCGACCCACCTATAACTTGTACCCCACCATGCGCTACCATCATGCGCCTCGCGCTCAACAGCCTTATGTTTACTCAGCCTGTGCCAGCCCAATATATTCCCAGAATTTGCACACGACTCGATCAAAAACTTACCAATAAGTGCCTCCCCCGATACCGCGGACTCTTCCCATAGACACGTCACGCCGGGTCGATCCCCTGATAAATAGACCTGCATCTACCGAAATCATCCCCATTCATTCTCCATTCAACTACCGTTCCAGAACACCGACATGATCTCAGCATCTGGAAATTTTGACTATCCTTCGCTCAAAGAGCTACTAAAGGATACGACTGCTGAAGTCCTACTTCCGGGTGACGGCGAAGAGTATGAAAAGAGCATCGAAAGGTGGAGTGAGCACTGCATCAAACGAGCTGTGGGTTTGCCCGATTTCGTCTATCTGGCAGATCATATTTATCCCAGAGCCATGTACTCACACAAGGAAAGGCTGCTGTAATCAGAGTCCGGTCCGCAGATGACGTTTCCGCAACTCTAGCTCAGATACGCGAGCACAGCATCCCGTTCACAGTCCGTGGTAAGAATATACATGTACGAAACGCGCCTGGAGCAAACATTGACTTCGTACAGGAGGAGGCCACAGCACATCCGGAGCCGCATCTATCGAGGATGGCATCGTCATCGATCTTTCTAAGATGCGCAAGGTGACTGTCGACGCGGATGCCAAAACGATCAAAGCCGAAGGAGGAACTATCTGGGAAGACGTCGATGTTGAAGCTGCCAAGTTTGGACTTGCGACTGTTGGAGGTACAGTCAACCATACCGGTGTAGGCGGTTTGACACTAGGGGGAGGCTATGGTTATCTCACTGGAAAGTATGGCTTAACAATTGGTATGATTTCCTCCATGTGTGAATAAACCGGCGAAACTTACATAATTGATGTCATCTAGATAACCTCTTGTCTGTTGACATGGTCCTCGCTTCTGGTGAGCAAGTTGTCGCATCAGCAACCTCGAATCCCGACCTCTACTGGGCTGTGCGAGGTGCAGGTCAAAACTTTGGAGTAGCAACGGCATTTACATTCCAAGGCTACGCACAGAAAAACTCTGTCTTTGCAGGACCATTGGTCTTCCTTCCGGACAAAATACCGCAGATCGTTGAGTTCCTGAACAAGTTTCATACTACAAACGACGGCAACCAAGCCATGCTCATGGGCTTCTCCGCTCCACCACCTGCCAATGCACCCGTTGTACTTTGCCAGATCTTCCACAATGGCACTGAAAAAGAAGGAAAAGCCTTCTTTGCTGACCTATTTGAACTTGGCCCTATAGCGAACATGACCGCCATGATACCTTACCCACAGCTAAATAGCCTTCTTAACCAGGGGGCCGGGTTCGATGGGCGTAAGCTTTTCGGTGGAGGTGCTTTCAAACTTCCGATAGACTCAAATTTCGCTGTGCAGCTTCATGCAGAGTTCAACGCTTTTGTGGCTTCGCACGAACGGATGAACGAGAGCATGATACTCTTCGAAGCCGTTCCTTACCAGAAGGTCATAGAGGTTCCCAACGACAAGATGGCGTTCTCGAACCGCGGCGATTACTACAATGTCGCTGTGATGATGAAATGGTGAGTTGGATCAGCGCTTAGTAGAGCTCGATTTTAACGCCAGCACAGGTTTGAGCCCTTACTCGACGAGGAGATCCGTACATTCTCACGGAACCTCCTCAAGAAGGCCTCAGTGACTGCTGCGGACCGTTTAAAGGATGATGGTGTGGCTCAGTACGGCAACTATGCTTCTGCTGATGTTGAGGCAAACGAGATCTTCGGCGCAAATGTCAAGCGACTTGAGGAGCTCAAGCATAAGTACGACCCTGATAATCTGTTCAGCCACGGCACGAAGTTGACACCGCGCCCCTTGGTGGTCGTTAACTAAATGTTTCCGTCGCATATAGATGTACACAAAAAGTCATGAAATGTATGCTATCGATGCAGTCACTCAAGGAATGCGAAATCTCCTACTCAGACTGTATGGATAGCGCTTTGCTTTGCTGATACACACAGCAAATATTAAGATAAGCAAATTTCGAGATTTTCTGGAGCTCGGCCTGGGAGCTGGAGTCGCGACACCGGATATATCTCTACTCGACGCGACAGTAGCGCCGGAAAACAGCAACACTTGACGTCATCCCATCTCATCAGCCGTCAAACCACCACCAAGCTTCGACGCCACAGCTAAAACAGACCGCATAATTAATCGCATCAATTTGTTTATCCTCTCGGCCCGGGAGATAATGTCAACCGACGCACCGAGGATGTTGAACTACGTTGTGGGGCACGCGACCCACGGACATTCGTTCTAAGGGTGCTTAAATCCGAACACGCAGTCTCCGTTCTAATGGCGAAGTTCGCCGTATACATGACCTTCTTATATCTACTTCCAGGCCTTGGCTTTGCACCTAGACACACTAGTTCCTTCACTTTGATCCTTCTTTGTACTTGAGAGACGCGGAACTACTACGGGACTATACTCGGGTGTCGAACTCCCATATTACTAATCTTAATTTGCTACACGGAACACGATACCAGCTCTAGCCTTCGTGGAGGTCGATTTCCAGTGTCACATAGACATGGAGAGCTCCAGGCAACCGCGACTTCAAAGATCATCTAGAAGTCGATCAAGATCCCGGCCACGGCGATCCGACAACGCACCACTACATCGCATCCTGTCCAGTCAATTTCCGGATGACCATTCTGTGTATCACCATGAAGACGGCGAAGGAATTCACGTTGATTCTGACGCCAGTTCATTGCACAAGACCGAGACTGAAAGGAGAGACGCAAACACAGTTAGTAGCGGCGATGACGACAGCGGCGATGACGTAGACGAGAAAGAAGCGAAAGACGATGCCGCTCACGAGGAAGAGACGACGTACGAAGAGATACGAGGGGGTGTTCCATATGAGCATGATGTTGAAGCACCACCACCATTGGAAAAGAAGAAGTCTACGCGGTCCGTCAAAGATCCGAATCTGGTATGTTCACCTGTCAACTATTGGCTAGTAAGTCAGCAGCTAATATCCACAAGGTTACATGGGATTCAGAAGATGACCCACATAATCCGAAGAACTGTAAGCCAGCCCTATTTACTAGTTGTAGGTAGATCATAGTCTAACAGTTCGCAGGGTCTATGAAACGGAAATGGGCAGCGACCTTTATTGTTTCCGCCTTTACCCTTGTCTCACCAATATCTTCTTCCATGATATCACCGGCTCTGAGTAGCATAAGTGCTGAATTTGGTATCACGAATGAAGTCGAAGCCCAACTCACCTTGTCCATCTTCGTCCTAGCATATGCGATTGGACCATTGTTTTTAGGCCCACTATCTGAGATCTACGGTCGTGTCGTCATCCTACAGCTGTCCAACCTGTTCTACTTGGCCTGGAATTTAGGATGTGGATTTGCTCAAACATCCGGTCAACTTATGGCATTCCGGTTCTTTAGTGGTTTGGGTGGATCTGCACCATTGGCTATCGGTGGTGTAAGTACTCCGTCGACGATCATCGTGAGAACAGAAATCTGACTTTCCCCCAGGGCGTCCTTAGCGATTGTTTCCTTCCTGAGCAGCGTGGCCGTGCCATATCCATCTACTCTCTAGCCCCGTTGCTGGGGCCTGCAATCGGTCCCATCGCCGGTGGTTTCATCTCTCAGAACACGACTTGGAGATGGTGTTTTTACGCCACCACCATCTTCACCGCAATGGTACAATGCTTCGGCTTCTTCTTCCTCCAAGAAACATACGCACCAAAACTCCTCGAGTGGAAGCGAAACAAGCTACGCAAAGAGACTGGCAACGAACAACTACATACCGAGTTCGATAGCCCCGACCGCACACTTGCAACGACCATCAAAATCGCCATGAAGAGGCCGTTCAAGCTCCTGGGTACCCAACCCATCGTCCAAGTCCTGGCATGCTACATGGCTTACCTCTATGGGCTCATGTATCTCATGCTCTCCACATTCCCTAGCTTATGGGTCACGCGCTACGGAATGTCCACAGGCGTCGGTTCGCTAAACTTCGTCTCCATGGGTATCGGTTTCTTCCTCGGCACCCAGATCACCGCACCCCTCAACGACGCTCTCTACCGCCGCCTAAAGAAGCGTAACAATGGCATTGGTAAACCAGAATTCCGTGTCCCGATTATGATCCCAGCGTCCCTCCTTGTTCCCATCGGCCTCTTCTGGTATGGCTGGAGTGCACAGGCTCAGGTACATTGGATCATGCCGAATATTGGCGCGGCGATCTTTTGTGCGGGCGTTATTGTGGGATTTCAGTGTATTCAGACTTATCTTGTTGATAGTTATACAAGGTATGCGGCGAGTGCTATTGCGGCCGCGACTGTGCTTAGGTCGCTGGCCGGATTTGGGTTCCCGTTGTTTGCTCCGGCTATGTATAGTAAGTTGGATTTTGGATGGGGCAACAGCGTGCTAGGGTTTATTGCATTAGCGTTGGGTGTCCCGGCACCGTTTATGCTGTGGAAGTTCGGGGAGAAGTTGAGGAGTACTAGTAAATTCGCGGCTGGCTAGAGGCGAGCGTAAGCGTGAAAGTGGACAGTCATGTGTAAAAGTCGTATATGAGAAAGCTGCAATCTCCGGTAGCACGACAAGCGATATTATAAAGCAAATTTACATTAACAATCATGTAATTCCCGAGCAGCGCATGTTTCATAGTATCTGGGTTTAGAACGCGTGAAGCTGCCTTCCTCATCAGACCAGCCTGATGTGCCCTGAACGAACGCCTTGAAGTTGATCGAAGATCGAGACCGACTTGAATACGTTGGTCTTCCACTCTGATGGACATCGTGTTAGTTTCAGCATCCATAGACCAATGCGCTTGTAAGCTTCGCCGGTGGACTCTGGTTGCATTAACAACCCTACCATGAGGGGCTCCCCAAAACTTCGACTCCGTGACGACTCATGCCACGTGCTAAGTTTGAGTTCGACGAGAAGCCCTAGAGTCATCTTGTCAGAGTAAGTGTGCACCCTATCAGGTCGGTCGAGGTAATACTCGAATAAACCATACTGCTTCCCCACGAGCCTATCAAATTGTCTTGTGATAGTTTCGTTCCGAAAATCGGGTTCCTTGGAGTACCACAGGAAGCCAGTGAATGTCTTCATGACAAGATTTAGGGCCATACCTGTGAAATCGTGGAAAGCTCTGGTTGATCCGAGATCGGCATAAACTTGTTGCGACCTGTCTTCCGAGGAAAGCAGAGAGGCTTGATACATCGGTCCAATCTTGGTTTTACCCGAACAACCTAGCATTCTTCGTATATGATCGTTGACGGAAAAGCCAAATACGTCATGCGAGAATATCGAAACCGAGAACTATGACCAAGAAGGTACCGCTTCGGTGACTGCTTCCGCCTTTCTTGTCGTGCTTGCGCGCCGTGCAAAATCCACACTCCAGGTGAAAGAAAATGGAAATATCTGAGCCCAAGATCCCGCCATATAGGTCATTCGATTGCTATTGTGAGCAGCTTGTGCAATCCCGGCGAAAGCCATGATACGGTCTCTAGGATGCGTCAATACGCGTGCGCGATAATGATAGATAAGCCTCTCCCAATCTTCCATGAACCCTAGTTGCGTAGCCATAGTCGTTGCTGGGAGCGTGACTGATCTGACAGCAGAGAAATGTGTTTTTGAGGCTGTGGCTCTAGGAAACCTTTTAATCAGACCCAGAAGCTCATCACAAAGTAATTCCGAGCACTCCCACATAAGATTTCGGTGGCCTGCAAACACTATGCGAGGGCTAAGGAGATACTCCTGGCATGCCCAGGCTCGCGTAAATAGTGGCCAGTTCCTGGGTGAGAGCCAATCGATATCCAGATCTCTCTGATCCCAAACGTCGCTCCAAGGCATTTCTTCGTCTATATTAGGACGGATATACACACCTCGCAAGGCAAGATTGGGACGACGAAAGATGCAAGGAGACCAGATCTTTGGGTCTTGTCGTGGTTTGGTGAGCACATCTTGTGGGGGCAGAAGATAAGCAATAGTGCAGTCCGCATGTCCGTAAACGTGAGCGATCTTACCAGCTTCGTTTGCCCAGTCACTTGCTGAGTCTTGTATGATACAAAGACTAAGCCATGCGGTCAAGTGGTCAGCACAGATGTTAAAAAGTAAAGTGTTCTTATACAAAACTTACGAGTCGATCCAGATATGATTATAGCCAACCTGCCGAGCTATGCTGATCGCCTCTTTGAAGATGAACGGGAGTTCCGTCCAGGATATCCCTTCCTGGAACTCATCAAGGCGGGACAAAACTAGTCGCAGCTGCTGTTTGCGATCGATACCCCACATGTGGCTTAACGCAAGGTATTTGTAATCGTTTGATTCAGACCAGTTGCAAATAAGCTTCACTCTGTCATTATCGATTGCGAGCATCCTTTCAGGTCTTGTTCTGAGCGCAATTGCTTCGTCATCAGCAGCCCGAGATACAGCCAACTCTTGTCAACGTTTCCAACCCTTCCAAGTGATTTCATACATGAAACAAAATAGTGGAGGACTGTGCAGAAATGACAGCGTCCGTTGAATCGTCGCAAATGAGCTACTGTACAGAGTCTGTAACGCTCTCATGGGGGCCAGTCCGAATGTGGGTAAGAATCATCAAGCCATCTCAGCGCTACTGAACGTTGGGTGAATAACGTGCAGGTTTTGCATAACTCATGCAGTTTAACAGTGCCCTCTGGATATATTGTGGGAGCTGAGGCGCGCCCTACGCTATGTAATGATTCCCTAGTGGTGCGTGTTTCGAGCGCGTTTGCAGCTGAAGCAACACCGATATAGAAAGCCTTTTTAACGGAACGGACAGCCTTTAAAGCGTACCCCATTGCAAAGCGCGGGGGAACGTGTGACGAGTCAGAGTAGGTGAGGAAGTGGTAGTGACGGTCAAGAACGGCTGCGGAGTGACGTTTAGAAAACTACGCGTGGTTGGAGTTCAACCGCACCTTCCAAGGCTGCCTTATCTTGGTCAATCGTCTCACATTAATGGAACCCAGGTAGACAAGTCGCGTAGATGAATATTGAGATGACTGTTGACGGCTTCATTGGTTAGCAATGCTTTGACAGCCAGGAGGATGCTGTCTTTGATTTGCGCAGGCGTATCAGAGACTTCTGTGCAATCAAGGTGCGGGTGATGTAAAGGCAGGTTGTGGGTTCCTGGAAAGCCGTTGGAGGTCCTTGATGCGCTTTGAACCCTTTATGAGCTGTCTGGTTAGGGCTCCTGAGAAAGCTGTCGACCAGGTTCTCAATTCTTATGCAAAACAGTGCTTCGATAATCGATGCATAGCTAGGTATGACTGGCTTAAGCTGCTCATAAGCAACGATAGAGTCGCCCATGTTTACAGAATGAATCCCTACGAGGAAGCTCGTTCTTCTAATTTGTAACAGCTGGCGGCAGCACTCCCTCTAAAGGTAATTACAATGCTATATATCACGATTAGCATAACGTAGGGTGTAGCAAATACCTTTAGGAAGCTCCAAAGCTATGCCCCAACTCAGAAAGTACAAGCTTCTTCGCAACGACGTTCTTGTAAGGTAACAGTTGCCGCTTTTGACGACAGAGTAGCCCTACGCGGTCTTTGACGCATGCGAAGAGACACGACAATATAGTGATGGTTGCGTCACACTGGTGGGCGATGGAGAGGAAGATGGAGATGATCCGTGCGCTTGCAGCAGAACTTCGGACCCCCGAACTTCCCCGCATAAACACACTTTTGCTCGACCAGTACTTGCGCCGCATACCTAGGCACCATAACGAACTCTCGCGTACAGACTTTCTAATCTCCAAATAACAACAACATGTCCGACGAAGATCTCGAGCAAATAAGACGCGCGCGCCTGCAGCAGCTACAACAGCAAGGCGGGGGCGGCGGAGGACAAGGCGGCGAGGGCTCAGAGCAAGATTCGCGAAAGTAAATATACCAATACAAGAAGATGAAGTCTGTTTACTAAGACAATACTACAGGCAACAAGAGGGTATGTTTCTAGATCTTGTGCCCACCCATCCATCCATCCCCTGACTACATGTTCCCTCTTCTACCTATTCCTCCAAACCCCCACCAGCTGCCAACCACTGACCCTCCATACCAGCCGACCAACGCTCCTCCATTCTCTCACAAATTCTCCTTCCCGAAGCAGCCGACCGCCTAGGACGTATCCGCCTCGTCAAAGAATCGCGTGCAACCGATATCGAAAACAGACTCATAATGCTTGCGCGAACAGGCCAATTACGACAGAAGGTTACCGAAGAGCAGCTGAAGGAGATACTGGGAGCGGTGGCAGAACAGCAGGAGAAGGATGAGCAGAAGATTGTTGTAAATAGGAGGGGAGGGAACTGGGACGATGATGATGAGTTGGAGGAGCTCATGAAGGATGTTTGAGAGGTTGAAAGGGTAAGGGCGGATTGAGGAACAAGGAAGGTTAAATGTTGCATTGGGCGGCGTTTCTGGAATAGGCACGATGTGAATATGATTGTGTGTCCGCATTCTGAACAGAGGGCATAGCTACTGATCTCATGTTCATGAAAGATGGTTCAAAAAAAGACCGGCTGCGGCCCACCATCACCCAAGATACTTGTTCGCCCACAAAAGTCCCCGGTCTTGAAAAACTATCGCCTCGCGCAATGGCAAATCAAGTCTCCATGATGCTATCAATCCCACCAGTGGCGTTTTGGCTTGATATCTAGTATATGTTGTTAGTTTGCGAAACAAAAAAAGGTCATCGCATGCAGCTTGTTTCCGCTCTCTTACAATGGTCAGAACAAGTATCATATCCCTCCGCCTTCTCGTTGTAACACCCCCCACCACACCTGTCTATGACGTTGTTAGCACTTTCGATAATCATACTGGCAGTCCTAACACTAGCCAAATCAATAGCTTGCATATGCCGCCCTGAAGAGGAATATAGAGAGATTGTGTGTGTGTGTGTGTGTGTGTGTGTGTGTGTGTGTGTGTGTGTGTGTGTGTGTGTGTGTGCTCTAGAACTTACGAGTATCGCAGTACCGCCCGTCACCTTGTTCAGTGCATGACGCGTTGGAGCAAGCATCTAGTCATGTATCAGAAGTATCGGGTAGCATGTTTTGGGGAGAGACGAACGACTGTGGCAGTAAGGACCTACATCACGGACTCCGTCGTCGCAGACGTTGCATTTGTCTATAAGATACCAAAACGTTAAACATAGTTTTTCAAATAGTAGGGGGTGGATGGAAGAGGAAGATGGGCGCCGTACGAGTGTTGCAGAAACGGGCTCCTGCACATGCGTCGTATGGACAGTTGAATGAATTACAAGAGCCGGGCATGTTGATATAAATCTGCGTGATTATTGGTATTATGCGGATGATAAAGGCTGTGTTATGAGAATGTGTGAAGTGTTTGTGTGACGGTGCAGTGTGTGGACTATACGGCGGAACATGTGGAAGTTGAACGGGAAGATAATAACACACTTCAGATACCCCGCTTACATCAGGCGAGTATACGTGGCTCACTTATATTGGTATCTGCACCGCATCAGGTTTAAGGCTGCCAGCTTGCAGATCAGAGGTGGTTTAACTGGCAGGCTGAGCTCGTCGCACGAGGCTGGTTCACCGATGGCAAGATCAAAGCCGGATCTGTAGAATGGCAACTAACTGATGACCTATTATTGGTAGACTAGAAAGATGTTCATCTATAAGGCTGACCATGGAGGACGGCTTCCAAAAACGAGCTTGTAGCGAATCATTGGTAAGTAGAATGCTTCCGAGGTTATCATGTTTTCCATGGCAATACCGAAGACACTCATACATCCGTAACTGATACTTGTAAGTCGTAATTGTCGCCAAAGCGTGTTCGACTGCGTCTGCGACAAATGTGTAAATGAATTGTCTGGAAACTATCTAGCAGTGGGACCGATACCTACATGACACTCTACGCGAGGCTGTAGTACTGATAGGAAGAACATGTCGGGATTATTTCACGAGCCGTCTTCGGTACGATTAGGGTAATTGCAAAGTGTGTACTCCATAACGAAAAAACACTTAATCCTCCTAATGTCTTTCATTAGTAGCGATTCGATGATGCAAGCAAGCAGTACTACACAATGCACAACATAGAAACAACGCCCATATATCTTTAGAATTAATGTATCTTTATTCATATCTTGATGGTTCGAATGTGTACGATGGAGAGATTAGCATTATATATTTTCTCATGTTAACACTAACTTTCCTCTTCAGCACCCGTAGAATAGTCAGATTACAAGCGCCAAAGTAGCCCCTAGAATTTCTTAATCTGCTTCCTCACTCTTCCTATCTCGATCTCCTGCGACCGCAGGTCCCTCACTATAGTAGCTAGTTGCGGTATCGGGCCCTCAACTGCACTTACAAATGTCGACTGTGCGGTTCGTAGAGCGGGTGGGACAAGAATACCAAACCATCTGAGTGGATCTGCGGGCTTTTCTGTAGACTTGGTCTCTTTTTTTGCTTTCTCTGCCTCTTGAGAGGATTGATGGCCTGTGTCTGGAGTGGGGTTTGCGTCACCTTCTCCGGGGGTTGGGAGGTCTGGTCCTTCAGCTGGGTTTGCCTGATCTGCCGGGTTTGTGGGATTGTTGACATCGGCATACTGGGTAGTAATGGATGGTGAGTAGATGGAAAAGTGAGGTCGATCACTTCTGGCGCATCCGTTTTCGGAGATGTGGCTGGACCGTGTCAATATAGTACACAAGGTAGGGGGGACTTGGGCATAAAGAGAACGAAGCCGTTGGACACGAAGATTCTTAAAGAAAAAGTATAGTACTCACACCTTCCGTAAAGCCTGCATACGTTCGTCATAGCAGTCCCGTCCATACCGGATCGCAGAAGACGAGTTATGAAAGTTTGCTTGAGCTAGAGACATATATCCCTTTATCCTATCAACACGAAATTCTTTGCAAACAAGAGGCAAGCAACACTTACTGAGGACAGCTCCTTGGAAAGCTGCTGCATAACCTCCTGATACTCATGTAGCGTGTGCAGATAGTGTTCAAGCCTCTCATCCAAAAGATCAAGCAAACCATCTTTATCCCGCCTTGCAGCAACTTCCGCTCGATCCATCGGTAGTTCTTGTATATCCGCCATGAGTTTGTAGTTCCGCAGATGTAGAGGTGGTGAAGTAGTGATGTAAGAGTAGTAATTCGATTGAAGCTGGAGAACACCCCCAGGGCATCTAGTGCTAAGATGCGGGGACTATACCGCATCGAGGTCTAGCAAGGTAACCCGAAGCTCGGATATCCGACATCACTGAACCATTCCCAACTTTCTCAGACGCAACCGTCTGGACCTTCCGTTGTGTTGCTCCCCATCCACACACACCAAACACAAATACCCAAATCGCCCGCCATGTCGAAACCAAATCCTTTCATGAGCCTTTTCCGGCGATACTACTCACAACCCGCGTCGTCATTCCTCCGCACAAGCCTCGCCCGTTCTTCACCCACACGTCCTCAATGTCTGCGCACACGTATCCTCTTCCTCCGCCCACAAAATCGCAGCGTAGGCGGCGGCCCCGGCCTCGACCCAAACTTTGTCTCGATCCTCGACCGGCCCGCAAAAATGGCGCGAGTAGGCAAACAACACGGCCCAGGCCTCATAATCCTCGCCATAATCCCCGTCACAGCCTTCATACTAGGCTGCTGGCAAGTGCAGCGTCTAGGCTGGAAAACAGAATTAGTCGCGCGCTTCGAAGATAGATTGACGTTCCCGCCCTTGGAACTCCCGCTGCGCATTGATCCGGCTGCGATTCAGGATTTTGATTATCGCAGGGTTTATGCGAGGGGCGTGTTGAGGCATGATCAGGAAATGTTGATTGGGCCGCGGATTTTGGATGGCGAGGAGGGGTATACGGTTGTTACGCCGCTGGAACGGCGGGACGCGAGGGGGAATGTGCATAAGATATTGGCGTGCAGAGGGTGGATTAAGAAGGATGCTGCGCCGCACTGGTTTCGCAAGAAGAATGGGGCGTTGCCTGAGGGTGAGGTTACGATTGAGGGGCTGTTGAGGATACCGCCCAAGGGGAACATGTTTACGCCGAAAAACGAGCCGGAGAAGGGCAAGTGGTTTTTCCCTAGTGTCGAGGAGATGGCAGCGTATAGTGGGAGTCAGGCTGTGTGGGTGGAGGAGACGATGAGTGAGTAGTCTTTCTTCTTTGATTGATGCAATTGGGGTATCTAACTATAACACAGCGCCGGATTTGCTCACTAATTATGAACGTGAACCCAAGGGCGTACCGATTGGTAGGGCGCCCACCGTGAACCTGCGGAACAACCACACGCAGTACATCTTCACATGGTACGTTTCGCCGTCTCGCGCTTTCCCTGCAAGCAATCATCTAACTCCAAGTAGGTACGCGCTCAGTTTCGCGACCTCAATCATGTTCTGGATGGTGGTCAAGAAGCCCATGTCGGGCACCCAACGGCGAGTACGACACAGTGTTGATTGGTCATGAGACATTACCATGCCTCTTCAGTCGTCATCTTCATGTTCCTCACGGATAGGATTCAATCGCTTCCGCTTTTGTCCCTTCAGCTTGACTGGAGGCTCCATGCGCAGCTGCTGGAGTAGCTCTCTCGGAAGCATCTTCTGCGCCAGAGAAAACGATGTACTATTATTGGTGGTCTTACGAGTCCTGTCTAAAAGTCAGCGGGCCGACCAAACATGTCTACTATGAATCTGCATGTTATGTACAGTAGACTAGTGTAACATACCTCTTCATAAGCGCGATGACGTCGCTTTCTTCAATCATCTTGCGTTGACCGTGCTTTGCATATGCTGCGAGATCTATGCTGATCTGCTCGAAGAAATCATTGGTCGTCCGCACAAGCGCGTCAAGCGTTTCTTTGTTAAGCTGAGCCTTGCCCCCCTGCGACTTCATGAAGCTCAAGGCGAGCTTCTTGACAGGCGCGGTTGGGAATGAGGGGAAGCCGATACCGTGTTCGGAAACCATGTATTCTTTCGACTTGCGAGCACCCTTCAGCTGGGCTACAGATGCTTGCTCAGGCGACTTGGTCTGCCGACTTCGATCAATGGCTGATTCTTCTTCTCGATAGGCGGTTAGTTCGGCGTCGTCATCTGCAGGCGGATCCGATTCCCAACCTAGCATACCGCCGGTTTCTGTCGGATCTTCACCGTTCAAAACAGCGGTTATCTCGTCCTGGTTGTCGCTATCGGGTAAGTCGTAATCATCGGGCAGATTTAAAGATTCGTCATCCAGCTGTTGTTCGTCCTCTTCTTGCTCGTCTTGGTTTCTTTGCCCGTCTTCTTGATTTGGCACACGCATGCGCTCAGGTATCATAAAGCGAAAGGTAGGCTCTTCTGTATCATCCTCTCCCTCGCCAAATACCCCCAAGTTTACGTCGCTTGGCCGTCCGTCTCTTCGCCCTGTAAGTGCTTGTATTGTCGTCTCGTCCCCATCTAGAGCTTCGTCGATCGCAGGATCAAAGAGCCCATCTGCACGTCTGTTGATGAAGGTCCCATCGACCTCGTACTCCTCGTCTACCGCCCCGAGTTCGCTCAGATCCCCAAATCGCTCACTCTGCCTTCCCCCAAACATGAATCGTGGGTCCTCACTGATTGCTCGTCGTCCAAACTCCAGCGATTGTACAGTCCCGCCATCGACATCGTCCGGTAGGTCTGGTAGTAGTGACTGCCGTGGTGGGGCACTGTGGAAACTATCGTCGTCGTCGTACATGTTCTCGAGGGGCATGGAAAGCCGGGGTGCGGGCATGTTTGGGCCATCTTCTACGTCTGGAAGATCAAGGGCCGAATGGCGTGTCCGCTGAGGCAGGTCTTGTGGGGAGGGTTCGACTGGGCGAGTATCACGAGCGAGCGCTGCATGGGAAATTAGCTACATGAGTAACAGCAGCATTGAGTATGGTACCTCTGCTAAGATCGCGCAGTATATCCCGCGGTGTCTCCCTCTGTATGCGCCCGCTTCGCCTTCGGCTGTTCCCAGGCGTCCTCGCTGCATTGGCCCGCTCTCTCAAGGCTCTTATCGCATGAGGTGTAGTCGGCGCAATTCTGCGCGACGGGAGAGGACGAGTTGCCGGCCCGCCACGAGGAGTCACTCCTGTTCCCGGTGTGCGGACAATTGGCGTCCTTCTGCTTCCTGGAGTGGGGCCCGCAATTATGGCACGGCGGGACGGGGTTATGGGTTGAAGGGATGCATCGTTGCTGGGTGTCTGCTGAAAGTCACGCTCTGGAGAGAGACGCTGCTTTTTGCGCGCAGACTCGGCCATTGTAAGAGACGCATCAGAAGAGCACAGTGGTTATGTTGATAGACGTCAGAGAAACGCGTCGCTTGGACGCGACTTCCCCAGCATGCAGCCGGACTAACTCGGAGCAGTTAGGCCGACGCTTATCGATAACCTTAATCTCCTGTCACTTTTTTTGTCGCGAACTCATGTGGTCCTTCCCCCTTCACACAAAACACTAGTCACACCATGTCGGACTCTGATTCAGAAGGAGGCGTGCCCCTGATTGAGGCTCAGTTTGACGTTGACGCTTCATCGAAGAAAAGAAAAAGAGAAGCCGAGCCCGAAGCAAGCAAAGACACCAAGAAGGCAGCCAAGAAGGCGAAGCGGAAAGAGAAGAAGAAGCAGAAGGCAAAGGAGATTGACGAAGATGACTTGGACCAGACGTTGGGGGTCAATCACTCTTTTGAGCGCATGGATGGGCAGCTTGTTGCCGACTACGTCAACGCAAGAACACGACTTTATGGGAAGGAGTTGAGCAGCGTTGAGCTCGAAGACAAGTTCATTTCTGGTGAGTCTGAGCTTGTACTAAACATGTTGTAAATGCTGACGTCAAGTAGCTCGGACCGTGCAAGATAGCACCAGCTGGACCGAGCCACGAACTACGGATAACCTGTCTGCTTTTCTCAAGAAGCAGTCAGGTACATTGGAGCCAACACCATCCAAGCCACCCGGCGCTCCACATACGCTCATTGTCACCGTTTCTGGGATTCGAGCCGCAGACGTATGCCGATCTCTCAAGTCTGGTCTGCCTAAACAGGGCGTCAAGAACCCCAATGTCGCCAAATTGTTTGCGAAGCATCTAAAGCTTCCAGATCAGGTAGCACACTTGAAGAAGACAAAGTAAGTTGTGCGTCTTGCGTTCTGATTACTGATGCTGATTGCGACTCAGAATCGACTACGGAGTCGGGACACCCGATCGGTTGATGGCACTTCTCGAGGACGGAGCGTTGTCCACAGTGAACTTGAAACGAGTGGTGATTGACGTTTCCTACATCGACCAGAAGAAACGCGGCATTCTTGACATGAAAGACCTGCACGAGGCTGTGATTAAGCTGCTTTTGAGGAAAGAGCTTGTTGGGGAGGACAAGCAAGGTGGAGACGGACTCTTCCTTTTCTATTGATGGCACGAAAGACGTGGGAGGAGAGCGACAAAGATACCCGATATAGGCTGTAGTTGATCAAGTAGTATTCACGTGTTGTTGGAGTTAGCACGGCTAATAGGAAGGCCGCACGGTCACACTGGCGAGCAGAATTATGCAGCTACAGGCGAATCACGACGCTAGGAGGCAGCGAATAATCATTAGTCGTCCGCATGATGCGACGGCACGATAGACGCGGTTGTCAAACATTGAAAGTGTCTGGACAGACGTGATTCGCAGAGGGGCGCCGGGTTATGCGACGTGACACCGACAGGCACCAGAGATAGTTGGTGCCGAGTGTTCTTGACTTGAGGCTTGTTAGAGCGGCAGCAAATAGTTCCACCCGTGCACCGTACCTATCAGGCGTGGTAGAAGCGTGTTGCAAATTGGTTTCAAGACCATACGCGCCTGCTGGCAGACAGCCAGCTAACTTGGCTACTTGACTGACTGACCTCTGCCTCTTCTCATCATCAACATTGCCCTCTCGACGACCTCGCCCACGCTGCACTCATCTAAAATCCACGACTCGGACCCCGCCAGACCCAGTGGCCCGCGCTGTGTCGACTCGCGCATGCTGCATACCATCCAACTTTCGAGCTCGCTTCTTGACCCGCCGCCTGCCAAGCGATAAAACGCCCCCCTACGCTGCAGATAGCTCCCGCGCCTTCACAGAAGCTACCCGGAAGTTGTTGAGCAGTCTCCACGGTGCGTCCTTCACCCTCCAAAGCGCCGCCTCACTGCATCCTGTCCTGCGTCTGACTCCATCATCGTGCAGGGTCTCAACACTCGGCGAATCGCTTCACGCTGCCCCGAAGCCCCATCCTGAAGCCGAACAGGGTCCCCGAAAGCCACCCTAATCCGCCGACACACATCGCACCATGGCTGCTCCCGCGACCCAATCCCTAAAGGTGCGCGACTGCGACTGAGTAGTGTCATCTAGAATCGTGGCTAACAAATCAGTGCGTCGTGACCGGCGACGGTGCTGTAGGCAAAGTGAGATACCGTGTTCCCAGTATCGCGTCCCTACCTGCTAACCTCTCAGACATGTCTCCTCATCTCGTACACGACAAACGCCTTCCCGGGAGAGTACATCCCTACCGTGTACGTATCCCCCTTTGCATCCCCCAGCTTGAGCTAACAGGCCCAGCTTCGACAACTACTCCGCAAATGTCATGGTAGACGGAAAGCCAATAAGCTTGGGACTGTGGGATACCGCCGGACAAGAGGACTACGACAGACTGCGACCGTTATCATACCCCCAGACAGACGTGTTCCTCATCTGCTTTTCCATTGTCAGCCCCCCGTCGTTTGACAACGTCAAGGCAAAGGTAACAAGCGCCACAGAAGCGTATTTGACACGCGTTGACCCAAGACCAGTGGTACCCCGAGATAGATCACCACGCGCCCGGCGTACCCATCATCCTCGTCGGCACAAAACTTGATTTGAGGGACGATGAGGCGACCAAGGAGTCGTTGAGGCAAAAGAAGATGGCGCCCATCCAATACGAGCAGGCCGTCATGGTCGCAAAGGAGATCAAGGCACAAAAGTACCTAGAGTGCTCTGCGCTCACACAGCGTAACCTGAAGAGTGTCTTTGACGAAGCAATTCGGTATGTTGCAAGCACCCCTATTGTATGCCTGTCCTAACACTACCCAGCGCTGTCCTTAGCCCCCGTCCTCAGCAGTCGGCGACGAAGAACAAGAAGAAGTGCACTATTCTATAAACGGAGAGGACTGGACAGGGGACAAAGTTTTGGTGTAATCGAGGAAGGACCAAAAGCTTGAATATGCGAGTTACTCCAGGACATCGTATGAGGACGGGGATCATTGCGAATCCAACACGAATGACGGAATGAAAGTGGCTTCTTCCCAAGTCATGATCAAGCAGAAGATTCATGCAACATATGCACCATCTACATGAAATAGCATATGCTCTGCAGCATCTTCTGACTTGGAGCGGTTGGATATCGGGCGAGTCTAGCATTGGTTTATTGCAACATTACTCTTCTTCGGCGTGGAGGAATCACAGGATTAGCATTACCGATAGAACTGTTTATTGCATCTTTCCCTTTCGAACCCTCACACCCAGCGCGCACCAAACGTGAATAGAGCTGATGATGATGCTCGTGCTCCATCTGGCCTCGGTACCCAGAGTAGATTAATTCCCCGCGGTAGTGCGGAGACGGAGCTCCAGGCACCATCCTAGCTCCAACGCGTCCCCAAGCTTCACCCCGCGTACAATCACCACTTAGCCCACTGACCACACACAACCATACCCCACCATGTTCCACCAAGGCACCTTACAGAGCGGAATAACGCTTGCCATTCAGGAACAGAAGCTCGTCGCCTGCTTTGTACGAGGTATGTCGAGGTGCTCTGTCGGAATGTGGAGACATGACTGACAAACTGCATAGATGATGGCGCAACGAGCAACGAGTGGGAAGACGAGTGGCTGAAGAGTGGATGGGTACGCTAACCTCTGAAGACGCACTCGAAGCGTGCGCTAATGTCGAAGACGTAGCTATCGAATCTACTCGTCCAAAAAGCCGTCGTCCTGCGACTCGAGGCAGGTTCCACCGAAGCAGGGTTTCTGGCTGCCTTCTCCGACATCTCCAGTGTCCCCACCTTCGTCGTCATCCAAAACGGACAACTACAAGTCCAGCTCAAGAGCGATGTTACAAAGGAAGATTTCATCAATTCAATACGACGGGTACTGGGAGCAAATCCGATACCAGGCTCCAGCGCAGCACCGACCTCACCACCACAAACAAACACACCAGAACCGAGCGATAATCCAACGAATACGGAAGCCGAAGACGATCTATATGGCCCTTCCGAACCCTCGATACCCGCTTCTTCCGCACCAGTAGCAGTCCCCACATTGTCGTCCAATGCAAAAGGCAAGCAGAGAGCTCCAGACTCGACCCCTACAACCCCATCCGCATCCGCAAGCAAAGCCCAACAAGAAGCCCGCGACGCCCTGCGAAAGAAGAAGAGAGAAGATGCCGAAGAACTAGCGCGAATAAAAGCGCGAATAGAAGCCGACAAAGCAGCGCGAAAAATAGAAGCCTCGTTACGGAAAGCAGAACGAGAGAAGGAAAAGAACAAGTCCACAACACAAAGCTCTGATACACCACTACAACCGCCAACCACAGCGACGGCAACAAAGTCCTCTCGAGGCTCAAATTCCCCCACCGTCGCCCTCAACATCCGCCTCTTTGACGGCCGCACAATCCGTTCTACGTTCCCCCGCACCGCCACTCTAGCAAACCAAGTCCGTCGCTGGATCGACACGGAATTTGGGAAACTAGCTCAAGACGATGAGAATATCAATAACAAACAACTCCCGCCTTACTTCTTCCGCCACATCCTCGCTCCAGCCCCAAGTCGCGAACTCTCTGCTGGAGACGAGAGTGTCGAGTTGGGCGAGATTGACCTAGCGCCTAGTGCAACACTGGTACTGGTTCCGGTCAAAGGGTACACGGATGCGTATTCGGGGGGTGGTAGTGGTGGGGTGGGAATAACGGGGGCTGCAACGGGACTTGTGGGTGGTGCGTTTGGGCTTCTGAGTTCGACCGTTGGGTTGGTGGGGAGTACGATTGGCTCGGTGATGGGCTTTGGGGCGCAGCAAGGACAGGGTGGCGGTAGTGGTAGTGGTAATGGTGATGGTAACGGGAGGACCATGGGTAGTAGACCTACTCGGGAACCTACGCATGATCCTGTGCTCGATCAACAACCGCCTTCTGGCACGACAATGAGGGTGAGGACTCTGGCTGATCAGCGTGCGAGAGAGCCCCAACAGTTTTATAATGGGAATCAGTTGAGTACGGAGCCAAGGCCGGAGGATAACGATAAAAGGGATTGAAGGGCTGTGTGGTTTACACATATCAGAAGCGCCGGGGACAGTGGGAGGGAGGACCGTATAGAGTGAGGGAAGGGAGGGTTTGTAAGATTATGGGGGGATTCTTTTTTCTTATGTTTCTATCAAAGCCCGGGTTGTTTGGAAAAAGCTGGATTAGATCACTCTTCGATCGCTCTGATGGATAAAGCGAGACAATTGAAAGAGATGCCTTTTGGCATTTTCAAGTCCGTGATTAAGACGTATTTTTCTTCACGTGTATGTATGGGGGAAGAAAGCAAAGGGTAGTGAAATGTTGTGAAAAGGAGCGCTTTTGATCTCCTTCTTGTTAGGACTGTTGACTGATTCCTTGTCGTCGTCGTCGTCGCCGCACCACCACGACCGTTACTACCAACCACTTAGACAAAAGCCTTCTTTTCGTCTCCATCTCCGTCTCCACCACGCTGATCTTGGGCAGTACCAGTCTCACTAGCAGTACCATGGCCAGCACTCATGCCCAACCCCTCCTCCGCACTCTCCATCAACCCCGCCGCCTTCAACAACTCACTATCCACCATAGTCCCCGCAAACGGCACCTTCGGCCCTTGAACCTGCATCTTCCAATTCCCGCGCTTCTCATCCCCAACATCCCCCGCGACCAAACCACCATGACCCAGCGCCATGGTCTTCAGATTGTCAATCCGAGTCTCCATAACCGTAATCTTCTTTTCCAGTTTTGCGCGGCCTTTGCCTAGCTCGGGGATGTCGTCTGGACACGCAGTAAACGCTACTCGTAGCTCAGTGAGTCGCTCAAGCGCTTCTTCTAGCTCGACCTGTTCGGGTGTCGTTTGCGGGGACAGGGTCTGGAAGTTTATTCCTGTGCCGTCATTGTCGTCGTCGCCGTCGATATTGGGGGATAGCGCCAAGGGATTATCGGGACTGGGTTGAGGAGCTTCAGTGTAGATTTTGAGGGTGCGTGGGTTGTGGTAGTTGGGTGGGTCTTGCGCGACGTCTTGGAAGAAGGAGAGGATGGCGAGTTGGACTAGGGGGTCCGTGAAGATGCATTCGCCGACTGGGTTTTCGCCGCCCGCAAAGGTGGGACAGATGACTGCTTGGCCTGAGGACCATTCCGCAGTTTCTTCCTCTGTGGTGGACACTGGGGATGGGGTAGTGCCGCTGGTGGAAGGGGTGATGCTGAGGGCGAGTCGATGGAGGGCCTTTGTTAGGGTTGAGACTGGGCCTGCGGGGATGGATTCGTGCCAGGATATGTGCTTGTTTGTTTGCATCACGGATGGTGTGTCGGTAGATATGGGGCTCTGGTCGGTTTGTTGGTTGTAGAAGGTGGGCAGATCTGTACAGTGCTGGGGGTTCGATGTGAGGTTGCTGAACCTCCACTGGCGGGTGCGTTGATGTAGAAAGGCACGGATGTGTGGATCTTTGATTTGTGAGTCGTCGATCAGGGAATGGATTAGTGCCATGGCGGTAATACGGTTACCGTACTTGTCGACTAGAACAGCTGTTAGCTTCAATTCCTCAGATGTGGTCAGAATGGCATTGAGAAGAAGGTCGTTTTTGGGCAACAACTTATAAAGAATGAGCTTCTCGTACTTACAGTCGTCAGTGAGCAGATTTATGACACTCTCAGTTCCATCCTCGATGGCGATGACATAGACTTCTGCGTCGGCCGCTACATGGTCAGGATTGCAGATGACTTGATCGAAGACAGTCTTGACATGCTCCTTTGCATTTCCGTGACCTTGAACACGATTTTCCTCGTCGTGAATGCGAACCATATCGTGAGCGATTGACTTGCGTGGCATAGCAGACCAACTGCGTAGAGTCATGGCCTGATCGTACTTGTGCGAATAAAGCAGCTGACCAGTATTCAAGACGATCAAAGCAGGAGTAGTAGTCTCATCTTCGAGCACATAGCCATCCTTGAAGATGTTTGCACCGTTTTCAGCGTCGTTGTCAGTAGCCGAGCGCTTGATAATCTCCTTGACGAAGTTCACCACCGAGCCGCCATTGATGCCAAGTTCTCGCTGTAGTTGCCGATACGCGAGGATGCCCAGGTCTTGCATAGTGTCGTTGACTAGCACGATGACACGCTTACGCGTCTTGAGAATCTCGGGTGGCGGAGCAAGAATAGGTACATGCGGACCGTTGGGCTTGGTCATGGCGAGATTGGGAAGGTGGATGCGTTTGAGGCCAAGATTAGACAGACGCTTCTCTGCTTCTTTGCGCTGGCAGGCTGTAACATGTTAGCCAGAGCTTTTTCAGTGAGAACTGGGACTTGCTCTGCATGGATTCACGGCGCATCTCATTGACACGCTCATTGTTTGTGGCGTGGTAGACATAGGGCTTCTCAGGCGCGTTGATCATACGTATATCACCTGAGATGTTGATGAAGAAGCCGAGTTTGCTGAGGTCCGCTGGGAAAGACGGGTCCGGCTCTAGAGTGTCTTCTATGCGGCGGAACATGGTCGTGTAGACGTTGGCGTTGTTGCAAGGCCGAAGATATCTTCGCGATAGATGGTTTATAAATGCAACTCAAAGCCGCCGTTACAATGGAGAGTGTAGGTGGTGAGAGCAACCGAGAGAAGATGCGTCTTGCCAACCATGTAACTTATCAAACTCCGAAAGTGGAAGGCACAGTGATGGAACGGGGTGAAGGTGAGTGAGATACTTGGGGCACGAACATGTTACAGTCAGTATCACTGTTTGCCCCGAACGCATTCACCGATAGGGACACAGCTGGAGCCCAAAGTAGACGTGTCATAATCCATGTATATCCTGCGCAATTACGCCGCCCAATGCCAAATCTTCGCCTCATAGTATTGTACATGTAACCCGTCGTTCGTTCAGCAAGATGCATCTACCAGCTTGCTTTCTTCACACCCGGTAGGTTTCCAGCGAGGGCGTTTACTCGGAATTGGTACTGAAAAATTGTTAGCCCTGCATCGCTTGAACAAACTCGCATCCCGTACTCTTCCCATCCTGAAGTCGCTAAAGACACCGCGGCCCTTGCCTCCCATTATACACCTGTTCTTGATCTGTGTGTAGCGTGTGTAGCAGTGCATCTGCGAGAGCTGGAGCTGGGCCTGCGCGCGGACTCGTTGTGGCAAAGTGGTATTGCGGATAATGTATCGGAGGGCTTGTCTGTATCATCGTCAGTTCTTGCGCGACACGAGGGTGTAGAGGCGCATACCGTTCGGGCTCATTCTCAGAGTACACCTTCCGCTTTGTGTGGTCGCGGATGTTGCGAATCTTTGCAAAGCATCCAATGTCGAGCTTGGCTGCGCGGAATTGGGACATGATGGCGTTTGGCGGGATGAGCTGCCTCGTCTTGGAGCATTCGATGATTGACGATGAGGTTGTTCAAATTCCGATGTTCTGCCGCGCGCTCCCCGCTTGCCACCAATCAGCGCCATCCTGCCTCCGACTCTCCCCCATCCATCTCGCAAGAGCCAGACGCAGAACCCTTGGGTTACTTACAAAACATTCACTCGTGGCTCGAGGCAGGTTTTACCTTCTGTAGTCCGAATTCCTCCTTGCTCAGCAGCAGGACCTTTGCACACAAGAAACATTCCCGACTTAGTCTTGATCACTACTTCACCCCCGCCAAGAACACACCAGGAAATGAAGGATAGGATGTTCACGGAAAATGATGTGAAGAACATCTTTGCTCTCTTCCCCCCACAACAAACTTCCGATTTTGTTCCACGGCTTGCGTTGTCTTCCAGCGGTCATGGATTCGCTACACTTCAATTTGTTCAAGCTCAGTTCAGAAGTCGTGTAACAAAAGGTGCGTGTTAACAGTCACTGTTGCTTGCATTTACTAAGAAATATGCCAGAGACGCAGCGGATATCGCTATCTGCACTGGCTAGTGATCTTGATATAGATCAGCTACTTGTCCATCAACTCGTCAGGAACCATCCCAGACTATGCATACTCAGTGCGAATGAGGAAAGCATCATTCCCATAGACGAACGAGATGCGATAGGGAAAAAAGCCATTGATTTGTTGTCCGGCGGACTTGTGTTCAAGGCCGACTTCGTTGCGCAACAGGACGTCTCCCCCAAGAGTCTTGATTTCCTCTTATCTGACCAAAACGATGAAGTCCTGGAAACCAACGGCTATGTTTACACTAGGCTCTACGCTGATCGGACTGTGGAGACTGTCAAAAGCATGGTGAGAAAGGCACTCAACGATATTCAGTAAGTACAAGCACCACTCCCGGTGCATCATACACTAACCCCAGGCAGGACTGTTACTATCAAACCAGAAGACTTGTCTAATAACCCTCCAACATGGTTCATTCTCCAAACTCTTGAGAAAGCCATGCAGTCAGAAGATTTCGCCTCCAAGATCAACGTCCAAGAAAATACCAATAGCGTATCATGTACACCCAAGCAATACCTAGAAACCAAACGCGATACCACGGTACAAGACCTACAGTCCGGCGCGCTTGCCTACCTCGATTTGCAAAAGTTCGCATCCGAATTTCCCGAGCTATTTCCAACCTATCAAGACGTATCATCTCACTTCCAGCAGCTCTCGGGCATCGACATAATCGAGTCATTCGCCGTATCACAAACCTGGATCTCAAATGTAGAGCAAGATTGCGTACAAATCCTCGAACAAGAAGGCTGTACCCTTGACGTCACCGAAGTGATTGGCTCACGCCTTCCACCAAGCATACTAGACACGGTGGCTGCCAGAGCCAAAGACTCCATCGTCGCCCACTTTTCAGAAAATAGTGAAGGGCTAAAGATAGTGCGAATTGGTCCCTTAATCCTCACGGAAACACGACGAGACGGAGCGCTCGACGAACTCGCTGGCTACGCAAAGCAAGACGCAAAAGCACAATGGCGAAATTTACAAGACGATCCGACTCGAGCAGAAAACATCAAGTTCACCCGAGACAGAATCAAGGCCATGATTCCCCCAACAGGCCTCGTACAGCGCCTTCTCTTCGACCAGAGACCCGTCGAGAAGACGCTAGAAGAAGACTTCTGGTCTACCATATCCGCCTACGAAGCACCCAACGAAGAGGACTTTGCCACATACTGGACAGACCGCCTCCTCACCCGCTACACCATCTACAACTCCAGCTTAACCTCAATCACCGACCAGAAACTCCACGACCAGCTCGCAGAGCTCCTCGCCACTTATACACACAAAGACCTGATTTCAGATACCATTGCCAAGGCACGAGCACAGGGTCTAGTCCTCAGTCGCAAAACTCGGAAAAACCTCGCGAGGCTGTCAAGCATAGTAGACGCTACCAAGAACCCGGATACCACATCCATATCCTCTGCACTAGACAGGTTCAACAAGAAGCAAAATATTGCTCCGCCGTCTGCGGATTCCTTGTCTGCGGCCAAGCAAAGCATGTTAGACGACATGTTGCGCCGTTTACAGAAGCAGAAAGCTTCAGACGGGCCTGTGCTTTTCTTGACATTGGTTATTGTGCTCTTTGCAAAGCAGAGAGGCGGTATGGTGTATGCGACGGGCAAGTTTGCGCCCAAGTTGTTGAAGTTGCTCAAGGGAGTGTTGGGGGAAGAGCAGTTTGCGAAGGTGGAGGGGTGGAAGGAAGCTGCTAAGAGTAATACGTTGAGTGCGGAGGACAGGAGAGACATGGCTGAGATGGCTAGTAGAGAAGGCTCATGATGCTGCGGGTGAGGGGATGCAAACGCGAGTCATGTTTGAGATATCATCTGCTGCTCGTTTGTTGAACATGTAGTTATCCACAATCTTACGACAGCAGTGATGTTGTGCCTCGCGATATGAGAGCGAGCATTGAGGCCTGGTTCAGATAAGGATACCGACATTGCATCACGTGATTAGGGGGCACTATTTTGATAGGGAGATTACTATTCATTGAGCTATTAAGCTATTCGGGGGTATTCGTGAAAATCATGCCATGAAAACCATGCCTGTTAGCACTCTCAATCCACTTTTCTGGAGATGAGCGTAAGGGCGGAAGATTAAGAAGAATCTAGTCCATGATGCCAGTCTTGCCGTCGTGGTCAGCGTCCTTCTTGGGATCTGCAGCTATCGTTAGTATTTTCTCTCTCACAACATAAATCGGATGGGTAAACTTACTCAGCTTGTCCATCATAGAGGGCTTGCCGTGAACATCAGTAGTACCGTGGGTGGTACCGTGGGTGCCGTGACCTGAGTGGTGTTGGTCATTTTGCAGAGAAGAGTGGGGCTCGGCGTGGGAAACAGGCTCAGTGAGGGCCTTGGGCAAGTCACCGTCCTCGTTGTTACGGTGTGCCAAGCCATGGCCTGTTCCTCCAACCTCGCCAGGAACAGTCTTAGCGTGCTCACCTGCGGTGCCGGATGTGAATCCTCCAGTGCTGCCTGAGCCAATGCCGCCAGTGTGGCTGTCGTAGGCTCCAGTGCCTGTGCTGCCTACGCGAGGGTCGGCAGAGTTGGCGAGGTGCGAGCTGTGAGGACCGGTAGGGTCGTTGTGGGAAGAGTGACCAAGACCGGTAGAGCCATGGGTGGTTGACGAACCGAGACCTGTGCTGCCAGCGCCACCAACGCGGGGGTCGGCAGAGTTGGCGAGGTGCGAGCTGTGGGGACCGGTAGGGTCGTTGCGGGAGTGGCTACCAGTCAGGTCTCCAGCGCCAACTCTACCGTCGTTGTTGCGGTCAAGGGGGTTGTGGGTACCAGTAGTGCTGGAGTGACCGAGGCCACCAGTGGTGCCGTGGCCAGTAAGTCCTGATCCAGTGGTGTTGTACGCGCCAGATGTAGTGCTACCTACACCACCACCAACGCGAGGATCAGCCTGGTTGGCCATGCGTGAGCTGTGAGGGCCAGATGGGTCGTTGAAGTCGGCAGTACCGTGACCACCAGTCAGTCCACTAGTGTTGCCTGAGCCGTAAGCTCCAGTGGTCGAAGAGCCGAGACCAGTACCGGTGGTAGAGTGACCAGTGAGGCCGCTGCTGGTAGTGCCATGAGTGCCGTGGGTGCCGTGGGTGCCGTGGGTGCCCTCAGTGTACTGTCCAGCACCGTAGCCACCTGCACCAGCAGTGTTGCCAGCGCTTCCAAGGCGGTCAGAGTCGACCCTTGGGTCGGCCTTGTTCAACATGTGAGAGCCGTGAGGGCCAGTGGGGTCGTTGTGGGAGGTAGATCCATAGGCACCAGTGTTGGAGGAACCAAGGCCAGTGGAGCCGTGAGTGGTTGATGAACCGAGACCAGTAGAGCCGTGGGTGTTTGATGAACCAAGGCCAGTGGAGCCGTGAGTGGTTGATGAACCGAGACCAGTAGAGCCGTGAGTGGTTGATGAGCCAAGTCCAGTAGAGCCGTGCTCGCCGTGGGTACCTGAAGTACCAAGACCAGTGCTTACACCTGAGCCGTGATGGTCACCCGCAAAGCCACCAGTGCCAGTAGTAGCGCTGGATGTGTTGTGTACTGTAGGGTCGGCGGTGTTGGCAGTGTGAGAGCTGTGAGGACCAGTAGGATCATCTAGCGTATTGTGAGTAACTGTTGCCTTTGTAAGGTATTCAATTAAAGTACATACCATGGGTCTTGTCCTTGTGCATCACCTGGTCGACCTTGGCCTTGACTTTGTCCATCATTCCTGACATGTTTGCTGATTGTGTAGAAGTTGAGTTGGAATAAGTGTGATTGATTGGGGTTGGTTGAAGTTGATTAGAGTGTTGGGTTGTTGAGTGGTTGTTGTTGTTTAGATGCTGGACAAAAGCAAGTGCTGGCGGTGATATATATACACCACAGGTGAGCATAAGAGTAGGAGACCCATGGTCCTACGTCATGCCTGGACATCATCAGCAGACATCGTACAACTTCCAAAGGGCAGTCGCGGTTCACGATCCCTGTTTCCCGCTTCTGTTCCGAATCCCGTTTGTGAGCACAGCCACAGGTGGACACCCGCTTCGACTTGTCTTGCACGTCATAAGAAACTTGGATCTTGCCATTAAACGTGGCCAATTCAATCCCCAAACGGCAATGGTTCGCTTATCTTTCCTTGAATCCTTCAGCTTACACCTGCCGTGGCGCTGCTTGCTGTCTGCCGCCGCCATAGGATTTGGCTAATTACATCAGCCACTGGAGAACTGGACCCTCAATGAGGGGCTTTGCGACGGATGCAGCTAGCAAATGTCCCGTTCAGTTGTGGTGGAGGCTAGCACGCGGCCGGCGCTGCGTCATTTCGCGATTCGGTGCATGAAAAGGTGGGGAAGAGGAAAGCTTAGCCACGTCTTCAATTCCTGATTTACCCTGTCTTGCATCAAAATTCTGGTACTTGACGCGTGTTGGTAGCAGATCTCCTGTTGTAAAACCTTGATGACACCGCCACAGCTACCTGTGAAGCAGGGCACAGTGGCCATAGTGGGTACTTTCTCGAGGGTCTAGAAGCGTTGAAATCCGACTGGCACTCCTTGCTGGCCTCATGCCTTGGAAACGCGTTCCTGAGTTATCGCCCATAGGTGGACTATTGCAGCATCAGCGGGACAGCAAATTGCCCTGACATTGCAAGTACCTGGGATTCCCTGCACTTCAAAGAGAACGTGTCAAAACTAACACGTTATGACGTATCGTGTACTGATCACTACATTCACAGCTTGCCCCCATTGACGATCTCAATCTAACAGACGTCTACCAACATGTTGGTCTTTGTTCTTCTGCGATACCAAGTTATCTGCTGCAAAGACGTCGCTAGTATACAGGAAAAAAGTCCGCGTTGCTGAGATTGGAGCTTGGACCTACCCAAGTACGCGATTATGACGTAGCTTCCCAGATTTCCATAGCCCTCACCCCGCCAACATGTGGGTGAGGGAACACCACTTCGCTTCTATCACGAGCGCAAATACCCGTTCCTAATCCCTAATCTTCCCATTCGTTCCGATCTATCCGTTGCAATCATGTCGGAATCTAGGATGAGAGTGCCTGACAAGGTCAAGGAAGTCGCCAAGGAGGACTTCAACCAGGCCAGACAGCTTGCTTCAGAAGCTGTACGCTCGGCCGCATATCTGTACCCTTTCAAGGTACGCGTTTAAAGTCTTTCTCATCTACTGCGTCTTCCTGGCTCCGATCATATGGTGACGCGACATTGAGACTTCTTCGCGAAACTCGTTGAACAATGTGTTACGAATCCGAGAAACCATGAAGTGCTCTATGGCCATCTCGCGCAGAGTACGCAGCAACATCTGGTAACAACACTAACATGACCAAAGGGCATTGTCTACTTCTTCACGCACCGTGCGCTATGGAAGCCTCTCGCTGCCAAACTCGTCCCCACCGTTTCGCTCGGTCTCGGTGTCACTGTGCTGATGTTTGCCGTCACCTACATTCCTCAGGTCGCACTTCTTACCCTCTTCAATGGACCACTCGCGGTCTTTACCACCGTCCTGCTCGTACTCAGCGAGTCCTCCACTATATTCTCCGTCTTGAGCAAGAACTTCCTCATCGACGAAGCGCTGATTGATACCTTTGATTCAACCTTGCTGAGCCGCAACCAGACTACCTTGGTTTCCAAAGAGCGCCAGGTGAAGTCAGGAAATGACCCTGTTGCCAAGTTGGGCAAGCTGGTCTCTAAGCCGTTCGCAAAGTTCGCACCCAGCGCCATCATCCGATACTTCATGTACCTTCCGCTCAACTTCATCCCCGTTGTCGGTACCGTACTCTTCGTCATCCTTCAGGGACGCAAGTTTGGCCCGACCGCCCATGCTCGCTACTTCCAACTCAAGCAGATGAAGAAGCAGGAGAAGGAGCGCTTCATTGAGCAACGCAAGGCTGCATATGCCAGGTCAGCCCACCCATGTCTAGTTCAAAGCCGATTCACTAACCTTTCATAGTTTCGGTATCCCCGCTGTCCTCCTCGAGCTCGTCCCCATTGCTGGTATCTTCTTCTCCTTCACAAACACTGTTGGCGCTGCCTTGTGGGCTGCCGATATGGAGCAGGGCGTCCAGAGCGGCGAAGGCAGCACCACGGCGCCGAACCTGCGCCAACAGGCTGAGCTGGCCAAAGATAGGCGGGAGTTGTGAGAGCACACTGCCCTTGACGCAGTGATCCAGATTTCACAGTGCGGTGCTAATGATCGCGTCCAAGTGAAATTGAACCTTACATTCGTTACCGGTCAGATGGGCGCTACAGATACCCGTGGAAACCTTAGTATGCGAGGGGGGATCTTCTAGGTTGGCCATGATGAAATGGCGGTGTAAAGGGTCCTGATTGCATGTGATCTGAACACATGTCATGCCTCTCCGTGGCCTGGTGAAGACGAACATGATACGTATGAAAGCTATGACTCGTTTAATGGATTTATAGTAATGTCAAAATCACGATTCACTTATTCTCTGCCTATCTGTGTGTTTCCATGCGAATGTGTACTGCTGGCTGGATAACCAGCCTCTGATAACCCATCGATCAAGTGCAGCTAAATGTCGTAGCCATGCATCTTGATAGTGAAAAACGCTCCGTGTCTAGGCCACCCTAAACAACGAAGAGACTAAACATGGGTGAAGAAAATTAATCTTCCACTACGTTATAGCCCACAGCCGCACTAGATAAGAAGATCTATCGAACCTAACACTATCCTAGACTTTAAAGCTATATATTTCTCTGTATAATACTTCTACTACGTTTGCTGCAGTAGCCTAAAAGAACGCCTAGCCTACGAAGAAGTATTCAGTCTTTTCCTTAGCTAGGGTGAATTCAGAGAACTAAATTCCTACAAGATAGTTCTGTTATTAAACATTCATTACAGCTACACTACATGCAGTTATACGTTCTACTACTACAACGACATCATTCATCTCATCGTGAAAACACGCCACAATTCCCTTCCTCTTAGATATGCAAGCTACAATTATAGCTACACCCTACTCCTCAGCACTCGGCTGGCCCCTACCCAGACCAAAGCATTCAGCCATGTTGTAGAAGATATCAATGCTGTTATACACACCACCGAACAAGTCGGCGCAGGGCCCCATGGCGAAGACAGGAACATCAGTCAAAGAATGCACACCCTGGTCGTTTTCAACAGGCAGAGTACCATTGAGCAGGATACCACCCTCGCCATCTTCAGAGTTGGCGTAGTAGTCATTGGAATCTTCTTCGATTTCTGCGGCGGGCTCGCGCGGACCGTTCTTGTGAACAGACCAGTTTTCGCGGCGGTCGGGATCGGCCATTAGGCCCTGGAAGAGTGTGTAGCGCGGGTCCCTGTAGAGGCGCAAGTCAGTGTTTGTCTCACGCGCGTTTTGTAGAGTTACAACTCACCAGTTGGACGGGAAGTTTGAGTCAGTGTAGGTCAGGTTGCCGGTATTGATGTATTGGGACTCGCCGGATTGCTCGTAGGTGCCGATTGCGCTGCGTTTCTTGCGGTCGACGTTTTGCGCTGCCAGGTAGTGGGTGTCAACAGAGCCCATGACGTCGAAGCCGTGGCCGTGGTCGGCAGTGACAAGGATGAGAGTTTCTTTGAGGCAGTCTGTGGAGTTGAGGTGGGCGATGGTAGCTTTAATGGTGTCGTCGAGTTCGAGAAGCTCGCCGAGTGCGCGGTCGTAGTCGAGGGCGTGCATCATCTTGTCGATGCTGGCGGCTTCGGACATGAGGAACCATCCTTTGTCGCCGGAGCGGGCCTCGAGGATGTCGATGGCCTTGAGAGTCATCTCTTTAAGACCGGGCTGGTCAAGAGCGGGTGTCTCGTCTCCGGTGGGGGAGAGCGACTGGTTGAGGTTGTCACGGTAGACGTTGCGGTCGAGCCACTTGGCCATGTTGGCGGTGGTGAAGATACCAAGAGCCTTCTCGTCATTGCTGGCAGAGAGAAGAGCAGTGCGGTTCTGGATAATCTGGTAGTCTTGCGCGGCGAACTCATCGTAGTAGTTCTTGTTCTGGTAGGTAACACCTCCAAGCTCAGATGGGTAGAACTGCTCAGCGCCACCGCCAAAGATGACATCAAGAGGAACATCGGTCCAGGTGTAGTTCTGAACACCGTTGAGGTAGGTGTCAACAATGGCACCGTACTGGCTACGAAGACGGGTGTGCGACACCAAGGCAGCGGGGGTAGCATCGGCAATGTATGCGGTGGACACGATGCCCACGTGACCTCCTGTAAGACGGTGGAAGATCTCAGCAATGGTCTCAACTTTTGGGTCGTCAAATGGATCCTTGCTACTGTCCTAGATTGTTCATCAGTAAAGTGATGGCCATAACATGGTCTGCAGGAAGTTGCAATACTCACCGCGTAGACGTTCAGACAGTTGACTGTTGACTTGTGACCCGTGTTGAGCGCAGCAGCAGAGTTGGCGGAATCAGTGATGAAGCTGTCAATCGAGTGGGTCATCTGGTGGCCAAGAACAGGGAATTTGTCCATAGCCATGAGAGATTGGTATTTACCATTGATTTGCTTGTGGGCAATCAAACGAGCAGCTGTGATCATGTTTGTGGTCATTCCGTCACCGATGAAGAGAACAATGTTCTTGGCCTTGCGCTCCTCAGCCAGATCACGAACGAGCCAAGTAGCTTCCGTCTTGCTGCCATTGTTGTAGTTGAGAGTAGCTGTGTACTCGCCAGGCTCGTAAAGGGCAATGCGGCGGTAGGCTTTGGCCGCGACATTGACGAGAGAGGGCTTCTTCGCGTCGCGGGCGAAGAGGTCTTCGTACCATGTGAAGTTCCACTTCTCCAGTTTAGGTTCCTCAAGGTTGAAGAACTCTGTTACTGGTTTTGCCTCTCCACCCTTCTTGCCAAGAGTGAAGGTAAATTGCTCATCCAGAGGCAGACCGATGAACTCGGATCCGTTCCTGGGTTGGTGAACTTCCAGACGGATGTCGAAGTACTGGCCAGCGAGAAAGTCGGCCCTAAAATTTTGGTCAGCAATTGAGCTCTCTGGCCTCTTACACTTTGCATGCTTACTGGTCAGGAGGGAAAACGCAACCAAGCGTTGGGCAAGCTCCCAGACGGCGGAATGTCTGCGCCGAGACAGTTCCCACCAAAAGGGCCGCAGCCACGACAGCCGAGCATGTACACTTCATAGCGAACGCGATTGAGAGTTTAGTAATTGGGCAAGGCTCTCAAAAGTGCGATGAACCAGCATTTGGGAAGCTGGTAACCCAACCTTTATAAGCATGCAAAGCTCTCCGGACCTGCATACATGCATCAAGACGAATAAGACTACATCCCGCGTATCAAGCTACTAGGGTCCACATGTCATACCAGCGGCAGGTCTTCCTATGCAGTACAAAGTCCGTTTAGCTGCGTTGACCCGTCCCTCGTGCGATAACGCAGCGCTCTTACTGCTCGAGAGGACGACTCCAGCTACCTGGACCCAGTCCGCATTCCACAGGCCTGATCCGCGCCACGAGCCACTGTCATCATCAGGAATCTTAACGAGCTGCCTCATTGGGGTAAATATGGACGTTTCTGCCAGTTGATGGAGGGCTGGAGGATGAGGCCTTGGCGTGGCTTGGTCTCTCTTGGCGTCACGTTCCGGGCAGCTGTAGTCTGATTCGCTGTGTAATGGTTCTTTCGTGGGATCCAAAGTCGGTATCCCCGTAGATTTCTCCTTGGCGATGGGGTATTGGGAGCGGCTGGGAATTTTGATGCACGCTGTGTGCTCCGGACGGCGTAATTTCATTCGCCATAACAGTGACGGCCGGCGACACGACTCGAAAAAGCTCTGCTAGCCTGGCTTGTCAACGGATACGGTGCCGGCGAAGTTGAGGAAGAAAGTCCTGGAATGGTTCGATCGCAATTCCAAGGTTCAGTCAGGTCTGGCATCACGTGTCGGCGACCAGGCACCGTACCCGGTTGGCATGGTTCGACCGCCATCCTCCTGTCAAACCAACAAAACTCCAGATTGCACGCCTCCTCCATCCCTTGTCTGTCAAGCGCATCCGAGCGGAATCATTTCGGTCGAACTGACGCCTGGCGTTAGCAATGTAGTTTGTCGCATGCTCACATCCACAGTCATCATTGAAGAGCACCTGCTCAGGCATGCTGTGGATCAAATGCAGCCCTATGGAAAGCACAGAAACCCCAGAAAGCGGCTACAGATCGCGATACGCAGCGGGAACTAAGAATCTTCCCAGATCTCGTATCTGAAACGACGATAGACATGCCTTCGATTGGTGTTCAGCGCCAGGTGTCCATCAGGGTAACGTCTTGATCGGCTCTAGTTGGGTGGTCCGCCGACGTCACCACTCTGAACCCTTTGATCTAAGGTTTATTGATAATCAGGTACAAAGATACCGCTAAGCGCATAGCGCATCTTTAATGTTTTCCTTCAAGCGCGTCTTCCTACCGCAAACTCTCCGTAGGTTATCAGCTACTCGACTTGGACGTGGTAGTGCCGAAGTACAGCTACCGATCCGCACGTTTCGAGACGCGACACCTTTCCTGGGTAGAACATCGCCAAACACTCCCGCAAAGCCGAACAAGTCGCAGTCGCATACGAAAATGTCCAAGAGAACATCATACGAACGCTCTGAACTCGGACACACGACTCTCAAGCGCGCGAAACAAGTAGATGAAGACCTGCCATACGATCAAGTACAAGAAGCCCTCGGCGCGCAAGATGAGATCAAGGCCGTAACAAAGGTGGCGCATTGGTTTCGTCCAAAGGACCTTCGAATTCAAGACAATACCGCGCTGCATCATGCTTCTGAGCTTGCTCAAAGCGCGAAGAAACCTTTAGTATGTTTCTATGTCAATTGCGCTGCAGACGAGTCATGGCACGGCACCAGCCCTGCAAGAGTGGACTTCATGTGCGAGGGGTTGCGTATCATGCAAAGAGAGCTCAAGGAATTGAATATACCGCTAGTCTTTCTAGAATGCGAGGACAGAAAGAAGATTGTGGAGACAGCGGTGGAGTGGATGAAGAAGCAAGAGATCTCACATGTGTATGGCAACTTCGAATACGAGATTGATGAAATGCGGAGGGATCTGAAGCTCTGCAAAATAGCTGGCGATGGCATCCAGGTCTCGTTGTACCATGACCAGACAGTCGTCGAGCCTGGTACCATGCTTACAGGTGCTGGAACACCAATGAAAGTATTTACGCCATTTTTCAAAGCTTGGCTTGACAAGATAAAGCATGAGCCGGAGCTGCTTGATACCAACCCTCCACCTGCCGCAAATCCCCCGTCTGCAAAGAAGGAACTCAAAGATTTGTTTGATACACCCGCGCCAGAACCGGCAAAAGATAAGCAGTTCGAGTCGGAAGAAGACAAGAAGAGGATACGGAAATTATGGCCTGCCGGTCATGCTGCAGGAGCAAAGCGTATGGATGCATTTCTCAAGCAAATAGATCACTACGCCACCACACGCTCCAATCCCGCCGCAAACAGCACATCTCGCATGTCCGCCTACTTTAGCGCGGGCATGTTTTCTGTGCGCGAAGCATTGCAGAAAGTCGTAGACTACAACCGTGGCAGCACCGATTTCACCGAAGCCAAGGCATCCAACGGCGTATATGGCTGGGTTCGAGAGATCGTCTTCAGAGAACTTTACAGACAGACAACCATGACGACACCACACACGTCCATGAACCTACCACAAAATCTCAAATTCGATGCAGTAGAATGGGAAGACGACGAAGAAGGCTGGGAAAAATGGTACAAAGGCGAAACAGGCGAGCCCTTTATCGACGCCGGAATGCGTCAACTCAACGCTGAAGCATACATGCACAACCGCCTACGTATGAACGTCTCTTCTTACCTTTACTGTAACCTCCTGCTCGACTACCGCCGCGGCGAACGATACTTTGCTGAAACTCTTATCGATTGGGACCTTTCCAACAACACTCAAGGATGGGAGCCTTCGTACACTGTTTTCAACCCTGTTTCTCAGGCTGAGAAGAACGATCCCGACGGTGATTACATTCGCAAATGGGTTCCAGAGCTCAAAGACGTCAAGGGTAAGGCAGTATTTGCTCCCTATGCGAGGTTGTCGAAAAGCGAGTTTGAGAAGTTGGGATACCCGAAACCGCATGTGGATTGGAAGGAGACGAAGGCTAGGGCGCTGGATAGATTCAAGAGGGGGTTGAGGAACGCGGATATTTAGATGCGCTTGCCTATGTAGGTAGCCTTTGGTGAGGAAACAATCTAATAACGATGACTCACTGCTTTTAGATGTCTTGGTGTCATGAAGGCATTTGTTTCAGTGAGTCCTCTTGCACGTTTTCCTCCGAATCTTGTTTCAAAAGCCGTCAGCGATGCAAAACCACCGCCTCCTCTAGATTTGCCAAACCGAAGCTTGTACCCTTCGAGGTTGCTAGGAGCAGAGCAAGCTTGATCAACTTCGAGATGACACGGTAGTCTACCTCTGCATACTTCTCACCCAAGGGTTCTGTAACCTGACTTGCCTCGTCTGTATCTAGAGGCGCCTGGAGAAGCTGCTTTTTCCACATACGGATCTTGCGCTGAGTGTTCGAGCATTCGTAGTGGACGATGGCCTCGAACTCTGCTTTGGATTTCATAGATTTGTTTTAACCGGTGCGACGTGGCTATGGTAGTGACGTACATCATTCCTTGGGATGAATAAACCAATGATATGTGCAGAACATCGCTACCATTTCCACCGGATCAAGAATCTGGCTATGCCGCGCATCGGGGGCAGGGTCAATCGTCTCTGAACGAAACATTTGCTGACCTAGTGGACAACACAAGTCCGCCGATAGTGTATCACCTCAAGCAGTTCCGTATTCGAAACCATCTGACGAACATCCTGAATGGCCTGCTAGACGGATCCTCCCAGAGGAAGCGTATCTCACACTGGAATCCTTATTCATTCGAGCTCAATAACATTGTCCGCACCGCAACGCACTCGAGCGAAGACAAAGGAAAATAAATATAGTGGATGGAAGAGCCAGCTCGCGGCTACTCTCCAAGCGGCTTTTGCGTTCCAACTCAAGGTCAAGCGATTTGGAGATGCTTAATTTAGGATTGTTTGGTCCTCACGATTTGCTTGGTGTCCAAGAGGCAGAGCAACTATACGGCCGGTATCCAAAAAACCATGGTGTCATGGAAGATGAGCAACAAAGCCGTGATTGTATACTGCGACAATTTTGTCTTCTCCGCTGTTGGACTATTTCTGGCCCTCATGATCATCGGTCTTGTAATTCTCTTCAGAATCGGGAAGAACATGGCCGGCGTTGATCGCTCGAATATCCTCATCTTCCTTTTGGACTCTGGCTGTTTCCGGTATCACGCTTCTTAAGAGTTGGTATACCAAAGACTGGTCCTGGTATGATTTTATGCACAGGCAACTACCATGTAAGAGCGTTGAAGAGCTTTGAAGAGCTCGGCGAATTCATGGGAGTGAATGAGCAGGTGATTATGATGTATCTCCTTCGAAATGACCACCAACGATTCTACACGACTGGAGAATATAACGGTCTGTTTCAGCGCACCGCCCTCGGAATTGGGGATGGATTTGCGATCGACTATCCGCTGAAGCTACCTACGCTGATCGCGTGTGGGTTCCTTGTTTTCAAGGTTGCGAGCGAGGACGGAGCGTACTTGATTTACATCGGTGGTAAGAGGAGGAATGGGTCGATACACTGCGGTAGTAACGCGAAGGTCTTGGTTTGCAGGGCACCAAGACTAGCTGGGCAGGACAACGAAGAAGTCGAGTTGTACTTCAAGGAAGAAGAATTCTCTTGGGAAACAAGCTATGGTCTCTATACCAATCGGAATATTCTGTTTGGGCAATAGAAGTGTTTGAGCTTGTAAGAGACTATTGCTTAAGGACCTCTTCCGTGATGGTTTTACAATCTTGCAGGATGTAAGGCCTTGTGTTAGCTAATTAGAAACCAAACGAGTCGGAAGTATAAGAGGCGACTCATGTACAGGAGAATCGGACTTTACTATGCTAAGTTGGAGAAATGTCTAGGATCAGAAGCGTGCGTGAAAATAGCGACATATCCTCTCCACCAGATACTGGAGAACTTGGTGCAACTTGTGCAACTTGTCCGGTATAGATCTGGGAAGGCATTCCGATTGAAGAGACGCATGCAGTCAACACCGTATTTGCAAGGCCGCCTCCGCTGCGTCTGCTACCTGTATAGTCGCCATGCAATATAATGTTTGAACAATGTAGTTTCATGGAATCCAGACAGAAGAGACAAGGCAATAGAGGTAAGGTACACAATTGACCGTTTTCGCGAAATATGTACTGTTATCACTAAACAGGCCCTGGGTTTGCACAACACCTTCACCCTGCTCCTCCTCCGGCTCCACCCATCCACCATCCCTGGTATAAATATAGTACATTAGGTAGACATATCATGTCCTTGACCGAATAGGCCCAGAACCAGCCTTTGCATCCTTTCCAAACCCCACTCCTTTACCAAATTTCCAATAGATAACAAACCAAGAAACTCCTGGTATATGATATAACCCAACTCAAGCCTAGGTAACCAACAAAAAAACAACGTGATTTGTATATACTAGAAGCATAATCCTTCAAGCCACCTCACTTTTTTGCCAAACGCGCCTTAAATAATGCTTTCGACGCATTGAAGGAATGGAGGGCAACGAAAAAAAAAGAGAGATAAGAAATAGTCCAGTTGTGTTGAAAAAGATGGAACCATGGAACAACTCGCAAAATCAACCCTCAAAACACCTGCGGTAATTAGTAAACCTCCCACCGAATCCTGGTTGCCCCTCCCATGTCTACTCCTATAAACTCTCGCCCTCTTCAATCAAAAGCCCCAGGCATATTCATACTCGTGCCCGTAGAAGCAGGAATCCTCAGACTAAGTCTATTACCGCTCTCATCCTTCTTCCTGCTCTGCACAGCGGGTGCCGGGTTCGAAGATGAGCGTAGACGTTGCAACGCTGGTTTTTCTAGCGATTTCTTCACTTCGTCTTGGAGTTGAGCTTCAGCATCTTGTTCAATTTTCTTCTCCTCCTCGATGGTCAACGAAGGTATCGACGAGGTGGCGGGAGCAGCAGCGGCAGGCTCATCCCCTTGACCGTTGCCCTTGGCTAGCGCTGCTTCAGCTTCTGGATGGGCGAGTGGAGTAGATCCGGGTTCCGGGACATCGTCGCTCGAGATGATGGTCTTGCCAATAGAAATCCTCTTAGCTTTGTCCTCGCTCTTGCTCCGAAAAGGGTCTTCCTCGCTCTTCCTCGACTCGTTTGCCATTGTCGATGCGGCTGAGCCACTCGCTGTAATATCTCTGGGCTCAAATGAGATGACGCTCTCCTCACTCATCCTCTCTTCGCGCTTGATATCGTCGTTTGTAAATGTAGGACTCCGTGGGCTGTCTCGCAGGGGAACAAAAGATGGAACCACACCTCCACCAACTCTCGTCCAAAACATGCGCTCACGAAGTCGCACACTCTCTTCCCAGGTGGATTTCTTCTCTTCTTCTGTCTCGGCTCGCCAATGCCCTGCAGCTACCATGCGCAGAAAACCAATGTAATCACATGTTGCCCTGACACGACCCAAACACCAATCACAAAGCGGGTAGCGCTGCGAATCTTCCGTGTCGGAGGGCTTGAATCGGAACTTTCGGGCGTACTGGTCGCCATTTCTTGCTTCTCCACATAACGAGCATGGAAAGATGGGAACTCGGAACTTGGATGACGGAGCAGGATTTGGCTCTACAACCAGGGAACCAGAAGTGATGCTGTTGAGCACTGTACGGCGTGCCATCCATGAGAGTCCGGGAGCGATATCCAGGCGCAATGTTGGTTCTATGTCCTCGACTAGAGCGCGTTTGTAGAACTTTTCATCCTTCAAGTTAGGCATACCAGTAGTGGCTACAGATTCGCGAGGCGAGTTGGTGGCTGAGGTAGGCGACTTGGACGGTAGAGACGTGGTGGAGCTATTGGTCAGTGAGCCAAGTCCGAGTACGTTCAGACTGCTGTAGTTGCCGCTCGAAGCACGACTGGCTGGGGCCGAGGAACGCGCGCTGATCTTGAGCATGTCTTGAAATTCCTTGAAAGCGGCAAGGTCAGATCGTAGCACAGGGTGGATTAGATGCGAAAAGTGGAGCGGGTGATCAGGGCTGATCTCGTCGGTTCCCGGCGTACTGGGTGTTAGGTTCATAGCCTCGAACAGTTTGCTCATCTTGTCCGCTGGGGTGATGCCGGGGGTTGAAGGAGCGGTGTTTGTTGTAAGAATGTGGCTTTCGTTATCATCGCCATGGGAGCTCATCTTCTCCACAACACCTTTGAGATCATGTAATTGGTCTTGGAGAGAGTGTTGGAGCACTTCGGCATCGCCCAGCTGTTGCCTAAGTTGCTCGCCGCGTTTCTCAGAAGCCTCAGTTTCTTTGCGTGCAGCTGCGACCATGACATTAGCCTCTTCGAAGAGCGCAGCCGTCAGGGCCTCGACCTCGCTGTCAGTCTTGCGTTTCGCCGACTCTGCTTGGGCTCTTCGTTTGCGCTCCTCGTGCAGTTCGCTGGACAACTGCTTCTCCATCTTGTCGTAAACGATCTTGTCCACTAGCAGACCTTTTGAGACCTTCTCCTCGTGCTGCCTAACCTGGGCTTCGAGTTGCGCCAGCCTCTCTCTTGCGGATTCTAGCTCATGTCTCGTCTGCTGCAGTGAGTCGTCGAGCATGGTTGAGTGGTTGATGGCGTTGATGAGCTTGGTGCTGAGTGTGGAGACTTCTTGGCTCAGGTCTGGGTGGGAGTCGGTCGAGTCGTGGCGTGAAAGAGGGGGTTGTGGGGTGGCTGAGCGCGGGTCGGGGATGGTATTCATGCCATCGCTTTCGGACTGCGACTGCGACTGGGCTGTTTTGGCGAGTTGTGGCGTGGATATGGATCGGGTGACGTGATTCTTGGGTATGGGCGACAAGGAGCGAAGGCGCGAGGGGGTCATGGTGCCTGAGCCGTGAACCCAGGGGGCGGAATGGGCTATGAAGCTGGTGGGTGAATGTAGGTTAGCAGTGTCCGGGCAGCGCCTCGCTCCTCCAACATCGACTTACGCGTACTCGGCCATGGTATTAGTCGATGCAGACAATCTGCTATATCCTCCAGAGCATTACAAAATCAACGGCAAGTGGCAGGAAAGCGCGGCAGGCGAAGTGGGCAGACAAAGGAGTGACGTGACGACAGGCGCGAGGAGCGAAGTAACGAAGCGGAACGTAGCGACGAGGCGACGAGGCGAAGCGTGCGACTACGAGGCTAGTCGTGGAGAGCGTCGGGAAGTATCCAATCTTTACAGCACGCAGGCATTCATCCCAAAGCTATCCTCAACAACCGCAAGTAGGACAAGGCAAAAACACAACAACGGAGAACAAGGTGCACAGGAATTGATAACGTTGGAGAGAGAGAGAATGACTACATAGAAACGGGCAGGTGGTGGCACTGTACGGTTACGACAGCGATTGCGCTGCACCGGAACCACGGTCGGCTCGGGCGCTTACGCTCAGATCGTCTTCCAAGCCCCGCCCGCCGCCAATCAAACCTACGACATGACGACGACGCCCAACGAGGGTCCCTTTCCCTAGGCCTTTTTCCTTTTCCTTTCAATAGTTCTTCCTGCACTGCACTGCGCTGCGTCGCACTGCCACACCCAAGTACCGTGCTTGGACCTGTTCGTTTACTCTTGTACCTTGCACCATGTGATACATGTTGCTTTGCATATTTCACTGCTTTCTTCTCTTCTCTTCCCGTCTCTGCCACGTGCATATATATCCTTCCCTATCCGAGAACGGCTGATTGGCTACCCGTTGACATCATCGTGCCTACAAGCCAAGCCTTTTCCATCTCAACCCATCCCTTCTCTAGTTGATCAACATGGGAAAATGCCAGGGCCTCTCTCTCTCTCGCTCTCGTTCTCTTAGCTATTATAAGCAGTCAAGAAAAACAATCTTTGATCAACATCCTTGTTCGTGTTGGGAAGTGCCAATACTTTTTTGGCCGTCTCGTATCATGTCTCGTATCAGGTACGAACTTGACACAATGGAAAATCTAGGGCTTGACAGCTGTCACGTCTAATCGTAAAAATACCCGCTGGTAATACATGCATCTTGCTTATCCAAAGCTCACAAACTCTGAGCCCATTACTCGACGAATCTGACATTACACCTAGTTGCATACCAAAGCAAAACCCTTTCAAATCACCATGTTACCACAGCAATACTTCACAGACATTGCGCACAGACTGTATATTTCACCAAGCCAACTTCAAACATGTTGCAAGGGGATACGCATACTCCATTCTCGAGACCACTAGCTTACATCCCTCATCCCCAAAAAGGTTGCTTGTTGAACGCGACAAAAAGAAAAAAAGGAAAAATAAAAAAAGACTGACATTATCGCATGTAGCATGCAAGCCTTACACCCCGTCATAACAAGCCTCGAGCCCAATGAAAATGGAGTAATAAGCCTACACAAGCCCCAACAAAGGCCAGCGATGAATTGCCCTCATGCTGCTTCCCACTCTTATGCTACCCAGATAATTGACGGAAAAAGGCCGTGTATCCTGTCCTTTCCTTTTCTTGCCTTCGCCATGCTTTCTGAAATGCTGTTGCTGCCCATGATGCCGACATGATGAATGCTCTCATATCCGCCATCTTGTGCTGCCACCAAAGTGCAAAAAACAAAGGCCATCATCGTCGAATCGTCCAGGAAAGAAGGGTCCACCGTGGTGCCCTTTTGTGCTGATGATGCGTGCGCAACGGTGCTGGAATGACAAGAAATCAAGCACGGGATTTGTGTACAAATGTCGAAGGCCGTCTGGGTAGCCGTAGCCGAAGGGTGGGTAGCGAAATCGAGATCGAGCGTTTTTCGGGTCGTTCGGCATCGGGACTCGGGGGAGGGCTAACGATTGCCATCGTCTAACGACGCCCAAACCTGCTACAAGAGAAGTTCGTATTGATTCTGAATGAGAGTAGTGGTGACTACTTCTAGGTTTTCTTGGTGCGTGGAGACACTGGTCTGCCGCTGCCAAGGTTGGGGACGTACTTTTGTTTCTTCTCTGCGGGCTTGAGAATCTGCACAGACTGTCAGTATGTGTTTGACCTGGTTCAGTGTTGAGAGCTTACCTGGAAGGAACACAACAGACTCTCGTCGACGCTCATCATCGCACCTGCATTGTCAAATTCACCGCAGTAGTTGGGTGCGCTGAATAGTGTTACGAGCTGACGCTTGGAAAAGAATTCGTAACCGTCTTCTACGACTTGATGCGCACGGCAGATGAGGTCCATGTCATGCTTTTGCAGGAAGCGCGATACCACGTCTGGTCCGAATGTGAAGCTCACACCTCGGTCGTTCTCGCTCCATCCGGTGATGTCCTTATCTGGGTCGGACCAAAGCAGATCGCAGAGGAGACCGCAGTCGGGAATCTATCATGGTTAGCCTATGCATTCTATAGATGACGATGTTGTGGTTGTCATCTAAGCCTGACTCACATCGGTAGGTCGCATGACGCGCCTAATCTGCTCCATGGAGTTGAGATCTGGACTGAGACCGCCGTGCATGGTGAAGATCTTCTCGTCGATAATGGCGGCAATGGGCAGACAGTTGAAGCAGTCGGTGAAGGTCTTCCACAGCTTGATGTTGTATCTTCGTTTGCACTCGTCGTAGAAGCCGTAAATGCGGTTGATGGAGGCGCACTCGTGGTTGCCACGGAGAACGAAGAAGTTCTCGGGGTACTTGATCTTGTACGCAAGCAAAAGGCATATCGTCTCGAGAGACTGCTTGCCACGGTCGACGTAGTCGCCTAGGAAGAGGTAGTTGGCCTCTGGAGGGAAGCCACCATACTCGAAGAGCCGTAGCAGGTCGTAGTACTGGCCGTGGATATCTCCGCAAATCTGATGGGGAAACAAGTCAGTAGGTGCTCAGAAGCCGCATCTTGGGCTTCGCAGCACTACGTGTTGTGACTGACCTTTATCGGTGCCTCGAGTTCGAGCAGGATAGGCTGTGAAATGAAGATTTCGCGCGCCTTGGTGCACAAGTAGCGGATCTCCGTCTCGAGCAGCTGCACCTGCTTGCCAGGCCTGCTGCCGCGGACCTCAAGTAGACGGTCTATGATGGAGTCCAGGTCCACCTCGTTTTCGGCCATAGCTGTGGCTTGCTACTGGCGCTGGTGTCGGTGGCTGAAGGTGCAAGGGAAGACCTCGCGCGGGTGGGTAGGGAAGGATTGCGCGTAGCACTGGCGATAATTCTCCTGCACCCCATGTGTTAGTAGCGCACCATTTGTCGGTCATAGCGGGCTGCAATCCAAGTGCCAACGTACCTCTGATCTCAATGAGTCGGCTGGATCGGGTCGCAGGTGGTGGACGACTATGTGCGGGTGGAGTATGGCTCAAAGCCCCTCAAAAGTGCCTGGCGGCTGGGCTGGGATCACGCGACGGGTGGGTCGGCTGCGATGTGCGATGGTCAATTGTGCTCGTTGAGACGGTGATACCTGTGCGGGCTGCTGCTGTGTTGTGGGCAGTCGAGCGCGGTGGGAGCGGGGGAGGGCGCTGAGGCGTTGTTATGACCGGAGCCTGTCGAGTGGGATGCTGAGAGTGACTTCACCGCCTGTAACAAGCGGGCGACGGCGTGACTGCGAAGAGGCTGCGGCTAATGACGTGCGAACTGCTCGACACTGTAGACCTAGGGGGGAAGCGTGAGAAATGTTTGTATACACTGACTTGTAGGCCGGGTTGGGTTGCGGTGGTGAGAAGATCGCGGCGCCTGAGTGTTTTGCAAGTCAGTTTCAGTTGGGCTAGCACCCTCTCGTGCCAAGCCAGCCGCCCCTAGACCTAGAACAGACGCGCGTCGGACCGTGGGAAGCATGTATAAAGGCCTCGATTCCCTTACGGATCAAACAATGCAAGTGAATGGCAAATCAATTGTCTTGGATAAGCATATAGGGTTTTTTTGCGGCTCAGGTACCGGCGTGGCATCTTCCGACACTCTGCAAATGGTCAGGTGCAACTGCCGCCCAGCCATATCTAGCCCTCCATCGCCACACCCCTCCAGTCACTTTAACCGTGTGCACATTTACAGGACGGCTCTTTCGTGAATTCCAGCGACTTTGTTCGTAAACAACAGTGTTGACCCCGTGTCAACACAGCCCCTTCTAGACTCCGGCGTTTCTTCGCTCCAGAAAACCGAGCATTGGTTCAGAAACACAGAATGCTGATCTGTGGCGAGAAACATCCCCAGCACCTCTCACGTGTCACATACAATCCAATCACACACATCCCTTGCCATTGAACGACTGTCATCGTTATATTCATGCGAGCATTCACCCGTAACGCGCGCTTCATTATGCAATAGACCAATCAACGCCCTCATTCTGCCTCCACACTAGAACTTGAACGACGCTAACAAGCAGCAGAAAGAAGAAAACAAAAACCATGCATTTGTCGCCGATAAAAGTGAGCAATCAACTTACTCCGGGAGTACAGTGCGCCGACATGGAAATATCTTACAAAACCCATTCCGACAAGAACATGGTCGTTATGTTCCCGAAAAGGAATACGCAGAAATGCAACACTGCCGCCTTTTGATCATAGAGGGAGAAACACCACCAACAGGTCTCGAAACAGCCATGTGAGATAGACTTTATCGGTACAACGAGCGTGACAAATTGCGACGCCCAGTCCGACGGATATCCGTCCAACGCCTTGCCCAAATCTTGACAAACTAAAGGACGAACAAACTATAGAGAGAAAAGTGATAGCCTCCGCAAACTGAAGTTGGAGTCTGACGAATCGAAAAATTCTTTTGGGTATCGCAAGTGTATAGATCAGGGGGGGAATTATGTTAGCCAAGTGTGCGACCAGAAACAATGCTTTGGCTTGGTGTGCGAGGCAGTGTTGGTCGAATGGTAGGGGAGCTGTATCCGCGATCTGAAGGAAAGCTGGTGACCGACGTATTGTC